TATCTCACCAGCTTCATCCATCTAGCTTGATATCTGATTGTTCATCACCCCCTTTTCTTGACTCCTCAAATCCTTTTATCCGTAACCCTATCTCACTCCCCATCCTTTTGTTCTCCACACCTCAATGCCATATTTTCATATCTGTTCGGGCGAACTTTGATTATGGCAAGTAGTTGATACTTCTCTCAATTCTGGGGTGTAAGATTGCAGTAATTGCTGGTGGCTACGCGACTTTTTGGGGGTGACACGTGTCAGCAGAGAAGTGGCTCACTTATTTGATTAAATAACCAACACAAATTAGTTACACTTGATGTCGTAGTTACAAAATTAATTTGTTTTGTATCTTTGACGTTCTTCACAATTTGGTGAGATGTCAGAAATTTGGGTACTCATTTTGTATATGTGGTGCGACTTTGAGTAGACATCAGAAAGGTTACTTTTAAAAACTATGCTAAAAATCAGAAAGTGAATAAAAGGTGAAGTGAAGCTATCCAAACGCTTGGGATAAATGCTGTAAATTTCTCCTGAGAGTCTCATTGCTTAGCTTTGATACCTAAATGAGATGTGACGTTTGCGGGAAAAGTAAGATGTAAATCGCATCTTATCAATCGAAATTGTCCAAGGGATTTATAATTAGCTAATTTTTTTGCATTTTGACACCTTTGTAGATCGTCAGGATACCTAAATAGACGGTTCTCGCCATAGTTTGATGTTATTAACTGTGATTGAGCTATAACGTCAGTATCTCTCAACTTATCGTCTACAATTTGAACTTTGGACAAAAAACGGGTGTTCTTCAATTCTCTTTTAAAAAAATAAAGCAGGGTTATATCAATTTGATAATGCATAACACGCACCTGTTCCCTTACTGCTCCTAAAGATGAGAATATTGAATGATGGATTTCAATTTGAGTTCTCAATATTTTGCTCAAATGACTACATTTGTGAGATAAGAGGAGCGTCAGGGTTTCTAATGTGGAAGAATTAGTTTAATTTTTGCATCGAAGTAGGCTACTTTAATAGCAACAAGTGCAATGATGAATAGTGGGTACCCCAATTCTGACATTGTCAACGCACAGCAAATAGAGCATACCAAGGATATCCCACAACTGAGAGAGCAGTGATAATAATGACAAGAAAAAATCTAGTATCATTTTCATCTAAAGCTTATGACTTGTAATCATAAGCTACTAACTAATGGCAAACCTGAGACGCGTTTCCGTCAATAGCCGGGGGATGTCTGGGTTTTTGAGGGAACTCTTAGTTGCAAAGTACCTTCTACTACAACAATTGGTAATCCTCATGATAGCCGACAACGAGAGACGAAAGTGATTCTTCTTTTATAGACTGTAGTATTCGATGAACTTAACAAGTAACTCTCGTTAAAGCCTGGAAGATCGTCTTACATTGGAACCCCTCTATAGTTTCCTTTCCATCAGAACAGTAGTCTTTAACGTCTCAAGGCTAGTATCAAACGTTCTATGGATTGAAGGTAAACTTTTGCAGTACTATTGAGGCCTATATAGCCATATACCTAACTGACATCCAAAGTTTATGAACTTAGACGTCGATGTCATAATGTCATTGCATTCCCCTTTAACACCATGGGAACCGTATAAAAAATTATAATAAAAATATACATAGTGTTGAGTGTCTAGTAATCATATATAGCTACTTTAGGGCTCTTCATAGCTTTTCGTAGCTTCAAAATTGCACCGTTGAGCGGTTCGCATATGTAAGTGACATGAAAGTTTCTTTGGAAAGCACTGTCAACGACAAATTTTTAAGCTGTTCAGTCAATATGACAATGTGTAGCTTCCAAATAAGAACCACTTCGCAGCTCAGGCGATTAGCTCGTATTGCTGTTTGTATAAAAGTCTCTCACCATCAGAATTTCTGTATTACCAAGCTCACATCCTAAGTACGAAATAATAGAGAACTTGAGACAAGAAAAAAGACATTCATGCTTGAGACTTTATCGCTTGTTGCCTGGAAAAGATAAGTCATTGGTTCCTTTAGCCATCAAATTTCAGCTTATTCCATTGTCACGCTGGATTGGGAAATATCGTGAAACACTAAGTCATTGAGGACCCCAAAGTAGAAGTCTTATGAGACTCAAAAGCCTCAAACATACGGAAACTTTACGAGAGCGTTTGGAATATAAATAAGCGGTGATTTCCCTTTCTTTACACCATAAAACAACAGAAATCAACATGGCCGCTCAAACTACTCAGAACAAGAACAACGCTCCAAAGGACAACAACTTAAACAAGCACGCTGGTCGTGGTGCTGTGCCCTTCATGTGCACCATTGTCTAGATAATTAGCTTAATTTATCTCATTCAAATCAAATTGTAGATCTTTGACTGAACATTTCGATAGCTATTGTGCATCATTGGCTACTTCACTTACACAAAAAATATACAAAACTTTCATTAAAATTGAGATCTATAAGGGTCGTACTAAAACTCTCCTCATGTATGAAAATAGGGACTTTTCCCTTAAACAAGAATCTGAATCAACGTCAAGAAAATAGCAAAAAGTCCAGATACCTGAAGGCTCGAGGCTGAGTCTTCATATGTGGATACAGCTGGGAATCCCGTGGCAGGAGAAGAGGCCAGTGGGTTACCATTTTGGGAACCGCTTGGTTGGATAGCGATCGATGGGTTAGGCTCATCAGTGCCTGAAGCTCCGGTATTACTGTCGGTGGCGGAAATGGTAACACACTTGCCGTAGTTACAGATTGTCAGGTCAGTAGCAGGTGCGGGTTGCTCAGGAACGGTGTTTCCACCAGGTCCATTGCTCAAGCCTGGGCCGTTCGATGGGTTCTCGGGGTTAGATGGCGTGCCCGATGGTACTGGACCACCTTCACCGCCCGATGGCTGGCCAACGGCGGTGTTGTCACCACCTGTTCCCGGAGTTGGAGCAGGCTGTGTTCCACCATTAGTAGGGCCAGGTTCGTTTCCACCATTAGTAGGGTCAGGTTCGTTTCCGCCATTAGTAGGACCAGGCTCGTTTCCACCATTAGTAGGGCCAGGTTCGTTTCCGCCATTAGTAGGGTCAGGTTCGTTTCCGCCATTAGTAGGGCCAGGTTCGTTTCCGCCATTAGTAGGACCAGGCTCGTTTCCGCCATTAGTAGGACCAGGCTCGTTTCCGCCATTGGTAGGGCCAGGCTCGTTTCCGCCATTAGTAGGACCAGGCTCGTTTCCGCCATTAGTAGGACCAGGCTCGTTTCCGCCATTAGTAGGACCAGGCTCGTTTCCGCCATTAGTAGGACCAGGTTCGTTTCCGCCATTAGTAGGACCAGGCTCGTTTCCGCCATTAGTAGGACCAGGCTCGTTTCCGCCATTAGTAGGACCAGGCTCGTTTCCGCCATTGGTAGGGCCAGGCTCGTTTCCGCCATTAGTAGGACCAGGCTCGTTTCCGCCATTGGTAGGGCCAGGCTCGTTTCCACCATTAGTAGGGCCAGGTTCGTTTCCGCCATTAGTAGGACCAGGCTCGTTTCCGCCATTAGTAGGGCCAGGCTCGTTTCCACCATTAGTAGGACCAGGCTCGTTTCCGCCATTGGTAGGGCCAGGCTCGTTTCCACCATTAGTAGGGCCAGGTTCGTTTCCACCATTAGTAGGAGCAGTCTCTGTTCCACCATTAGTAGGGCCAGGTTCGTTTCCACCATTAGTAGGGCCAGGTTCGTTTCCACCATTAGTAGGAGCAGTCTCTGTTCCACCATTAGTAGGAGCAGTCTCTGTTCCACCATTAGTAGGAGCAGTCTCTGTTCCACCATTAGTAGCAGTAGGAGTGTCCTGACCAGGGTTTGTGGTTGTCAAACCTGGGTTCTCTGTCGTCTGTGGGTCGTTGGTGGTGGGAGAGTCAGTGGTGACGGAGGTAAGTCCGACACTGGTCTGCGTAGGACGAACGGAGGTGTTGTTCCAGTTCCATGGTCCGGACGTGGATGGAACGTTAACAATGACAGTACCAATCGTGTCCGATCCCGAAGGTGGTTGTGTTTCAGTAGAAGGCTCGGAACCCGTCCACGTAGATGTTAAGGTGGTAAAGTCTCCAGTGGATGGAACCTCAACCACGACAGTTCCATCCGTGTCACTGCCAGCTGGTGGCAAGGTGGTAGTTCTGGTAGTCGAACCGGTCCAAGTCGAGGTCAATGTTGGAGTTCCAGTTCCAGAAGGAACCTCGACGACAACGGTATCCTGGTCACCAGATTGAGTAGGTGTCAAAGTAACAGTTCTGGTGGTCGATCCAGTCCATGTAGAAGTCAACGTAGAAGCTTCACTAGAAGGTACCTCAACTATAACAGTGTTCTCATCACCAGGTTGAGTAGCAGTCAAGGTAGAAGTTCTTGTAGTGGATCCAGTCCAAGTCGAGGTCAAGGTAGATCCCTCAGTAGATGGAACCTCTACAACGACAGTGTCTTGGTCACCAGACTGGGATGCACTTAACGTAACAGTTCTCGTAGTGGATCCAGTCCAAGTCGAGGTCAAGGTAGATCCCTCAGTAGATGGAACCTCCACAACGACAGTGTCTTGGTCACCAGACTCGAATGCACTTAAAGTAACAGTTCTCGTAGTGGACCCGGTCCAAGTGGAGGTCAAAGTGGATGCATCAGTTGCAGTGGCAGGAACTTCCACTATAATAGTGTCCTCATCGCCTGATTGAGTAGCGGTCAAGGTCACTGTTCTGGTAGTAGATCCAGTCCAAGTGGAAGTCACTGTTGGAATATCAGTGGCAGGAACTTCAACAACAACGGTATCTTCATCACCGGACTGAGAAGCACTCAATGTCACAGTTCTGGTGGTAGAACCAGTCCAAGTGGAGGTTAAGGTCGATGCCTCAGTAGCAGGAACTTCAACAACAACGGTATCTTCATCACCGGACTGAGAAGCACTCAAGGTAACAGTTCTAGTAGTAGATCCTGTCCAGGTGGAAGTCAAAGTTGAACCGGCCACGGTAGCGGGAACTTCAACAACAACCGTATCCTCATCGCCGGACTGAGATGCGCTCAATGTGACAGTTCTAGTGGTCGAGCCAGTCCAAGTTGAGGTCAAAGTCGATCCTTCAGTGGAAGGAACCTGCACAACAACTGTCTGGGTTCCACCAGACTCAGCTGGCAAAGTCTCAGTAGTGGTTTCGCTGCCAGTCCAAGTACTTGTCAAAGTAGTGGCTGGAGAAGGAACCTGCACAACAATTGTCTGGGTTCCACCAGACTCAGCTGGCAAAGTCTCAGTAGTGGTTTCACTGCCAGTCCAAGTACTTGTCAAAGTAGTGGCTGGGGTAGGAACTTGCACTATGATTGTCTGAGTTCCAGATTCAAATGGTTCCGTGATAACAGATGTCTCAGTACCCGTCCAAGTTGATGTGATAACTGTGACAGGTGTAGGGACTTCCACAACGACGGTGTTGGTTCCACCATCCAGTGCAGGAAGAGTGCGTGTGGTGGTTTCAGTACCCGTCCAGGTGGACCACACGGTGGTGGCTGGAGTAGGAACGATGACAACAACAGTCTGAGTACCTCCAGAGACATAAGGACCGGTTTCGGTGAGGGTGACATCGCCAGACCAAGTGCTGGTGGAGGTAGTCAAAGGAGGAGGCACGTCAATGAATACAGTGGCGGTACCACCCGAGGCGGCAGGGATAGTTTCCGTCTGGGAGCCGGTGCCAGTGTGGGTTCTGGTGATTGTGGTTGTAGGAGTTGGGACGTCAACATAAACGGAATTAGTGCCTCCGGACGCACCTGGAACCGTCTCGGTAGTAGTTTCGCTGCCGGTCCATGTTCTGGTAATGGTAACCACCGGAGTAGGAACATTCACGATCAAAGTTCCAGTACCGCCACTAGCGGCAGGAACGGTTTCCGTTGAGGTTTCACTACCAGTCCAGGTTCTGGTGACCGTGGTCAGTGGCGTTGGAACGTCAATGTAGATGGTATCGGTTCCACCACTACCACCAGGGATCGTCTGTGTGGTTGTCTCGGATCCTGTCCATGTTCTTGTAACCGTAGTCAGAGGTGTAGGAACATCAACATAAATCGTCTCAGTGCCGCCGGAAGCTGCAGGAACGGTCTGCGTGGTAGCCTCAGAACCAGTCCATGTTCTAGTAATGGTGGTCAGCGGGGTAGGAACGTCAATGTACACAGTACCGGTGCCTCCCGAAGCAGCGGGATCAGTTACAGTCTGGGTCTCTGATCCCGTCCCGGTTCTGGTCAAGGTGGTGTAAGGAGTTGGTACATCGATGAAGACAGTGCCAGTACCTCCCTCCAGAGCAGGAACGGTTTCAGTGGTGGTGTCGCTTCCAGACCACGTTCTAGTCACGGTGGTCGTTGGAGTTGGCACGTTCACAATGATGGTCTGGGTTCCAGAAACAAACGGCTCGGTGACGATCTCAGTGTCCAGACCGGTCCAAGTAGCAGTGATGACAGTGACAGGAGTGGGGACTTCCACAATGACAGTGCCTGTGCCACCTGAAGCAGCAGGAATGGTACGCGTGGTGGTGACGCTTCCAGTCCAGGTCGTGAAGACGGTGGTTGTTGGAGTAGGAACATCAACGAAGACGGTTCCGGTCTCGCCAGGACCACCGGTGACGGTTCCGCTAGAAGTATCGGAACCGGTCCATGTTCTCGTGATGGTGGTCGTTGGAATGGGGAGGTTCACGATAACGCTTCCGGTCTCTCCCTCGCCGGCAGTCACTGTTTCAGTGGTAGCCTCGGATCCCGTCCAGGTTCTCGTCACCGTGGTGGTTGGAACAGGGACATTCACAATGACACTGCCAGTCTGTCCAGCACTGCCAGGAACGGTCTCGGTAGAAGCCTCTGAGCCAGTCCACGTTCTCGTCACAGTTGTCGTAGGCACTGGCACATTGACCACAACGGTCCCGGTACCTCCAGCCAGTCCTGGGATGGTCAGAGTGGTGGCATCGGAGCCGGTCCAGGTACTCGTGACGGTGGTAGTTGGCACTGGCACGTTCACCACAACCGTACCGGTTCCGCCAACCAGGGCCGTTACCGTTCGAGTGGTGGCCTCAGATCCCGTCCACGTACTGGTGAGGGTGGTTGTCGGAGGCGGAACATCCACATAGACGGTCGCCGTTCCTCCCGTCAGCGCAGTGATAGTCAGAGAGCTGGTGGCTGTGCCCGTATACGTTCTGGTGATTGTGGTGGTCGGCGTGGGAACATTGACCGAGACGTATCTGGTGCCGCTTGTGGTGCCCACTGTTTGAGTCACAGAGGCGGTGTTGGTGCCGGTGACAGTGACGGTGACAGCAGACATGGGAACGTTCACAATGACGGTTCTGGCGGTGTTGCCGGTATGAGTGACAATGCCAGTATTGGTGGCAGTGGGGTCCGTCACGGTAGTGAGCTTGAGGGGCAAATTGTTACCGCCAGAACCGGGATCAGAAGACGAGTAGTGAGACCAACGGATGGTGGAAGAGGATTTCAAGGTTTCGCCGTTACACTTCAAGTTGTATGAGTAAGTTGTGGGGAAGGTAGCAGTGGACTGAAGCATGCCCGTGAAGATGTTCATGTACGGTCTGTAATTAGCCGGGATGTTGTTGAAGGTGACCACGGCTTCGGACTCCGAACAACTGGTAAGGGTGACGCCGGATTTTTCGGCGGTTTCTGGGAAGTACCATGCGTTGAGGATGTTGGTGATGGAACCTGACATCGTGCTGCAATCAAGGGGCACTTCTGTCTGCTTCAAAGTCAAAGTGCCCGACATACCGCTTACCAGGCATTTGGGGCCGTAGAAATAATGCTGTTTATTGGCGGTGTTGACCAAACCTCTTAAAGCATAGGCAGCATTGTCCGGGGAACCCCCCACGCTAGTGCCTATTCCGTCGACGAAGTTCACGGTTGAAGTCAAATCCTTCAGGCCGTCTTGCCAGGTAACAGTATTAGAGCCAACACTCCACACGGAAGAGGACTCCAAGTTGACCTGGTCGTCAGACAAACCAGCATTGAAGGCAAAGGCAAAGTTGATACTTCCACTAGCGTCATCCAGGCCTTGCACCGCCGATGTCGCCGTACATTGCACCTCGGAGTAACCCACGATATTGTCACCAGAAAACAAGTCACAATCGGCCAACACGGTGCCGTCGCTTGTCACTTGCAAGGTTTCTGCTGTGCTTGTAAATTTGTACACATAAGGCATGTGCAACGTGAAGGTGTCGCCGGCTTTCATGTTCATGGAAGCAGGGATGCTCCAGGCGACAGCAGCCTGCCAATTCACACTTTCTGGACGTGCTGTACCCGGGGGTGTGATGGAGTTGATTTTTGTAAAGACTCCCTCCTTCACGGCTGCCATGGCCGTGGAGACATGGAGGAGGATGCTCACCCAGAAGATGAGTATGTTCATTTTCAGTTGCAGCTGATATTTCAGGGATCTCGTTTTTATTTAAACAAAGGGCAAAGGGTTTGCAGCTGCGGCGATCCTACCAAATCCGCCAAGCTTGGAAAGCAAAGTTCGCCGTCCGAACCATGGCTCCAACCGATGCCTACGTTGTTTGCAGCCTGGTTTCAGCCATGCATATCTGAATTTCAGCCATGCATAAGCTGCAGCGCCGCACGGGTCTCCTGCAGATTTAAGACAACACCCTCGGGATTAATCTCTGGTGCAGCTTTTTATTGGATGGAAGTCTTTCAATATTTAGCCGGCGTACTTTTGCTCCAGTGAGTTCTCTCAAGACAACCTTGCATATTCGCTGCAGAGCGTCGAAACCGGCTAAAATTGCTCCCTAAGCACCGCTACCGGTCCCATGTGGACGATTTTTCTGAAAACTCAGTTCCCGATCCCCAATGTCTCACTTTCTGTTGATAGTAGCGATCCCTGCTGCTCAAGCGAAAAAAAGGAAATAATACCCATCAACAACGCAATAATATCCATCGATCGCATTATATGCAGTACAATCTTCTACGTGCAGCCGCAGAGAAGTTTTTTGCCGTGGAGGTACAGTACGAGGGCCTACCGTGGGGCGATTTCCATCAATGGTGAGGCTAGGGCACTGTCTCCTCGACGAAGCCGCTAAACCTTGCTTCACTATGGGTGAAACGCCTCTTCGTTCACCTAGGCCTCCTCTCTCTTTTTTATACAACCATCCTACAAGCTTGGTGTGTGGAATACTGTCTTCCTGCACACTTGCTTAAGAACCATCAGCCTCCTCCCTATCAGGTGGAATCTTTAGCAACCTTGGAGGCCGAACCCAGACGGATACGGCTACCTCAACGCTTTTTCAAAGCATCGCAAACGAATTGACTTAGCCACCCTGTGCCACAGTGCAACCGCATGTACAGCATGTGCCGCATGTGCCGCATCTGGTGGGGATTGTTTCTGCAACCATCATGACAGCATCAGCATCAATTTGCGAGAAAGTACGATCTTTCTCGTCTAATGTTCCTCACACTTATTTTGAAAACAATAGGTGCGGTGCGTCTTTCCAAACCACGCGCTGGTTTAAGCTTGTGGCTTATCAAACTTCCTCTAATTACCTTCTCTCGATTACTTCAAAGCACCGTCTCTTTTGGAAAATTTGGCAATCGGAATGATTTCCTTCTCTGTCGCCTCTCTCCCACCTTCTTTTTGTGACACGGTTTGTCTAATTTGGAACACATTCCACCAACTTAGGCGATGGTACATAATGCGCATACAGCACGCTATTTTGGGGAAACACATAAAGCAAGACGGAAATACCTTTCGGGATCCAGACTTTTCCTAATCCATCCAGCACCGACAAAAAGCCTGTTAATACTTGCTTTGCTCTATACTGATTGGGGTACAGCCTCTCTTCCACACTTTACTGCGCATGAGGGCTTGAGTTTTGTCGGAATACCCACTTTAGCATTTGGTGCTTGTGATATTTTAAGTAACGCACCATTGAATCTACAGAGGGTCGCAGCTTGGGGAATTTCACATTAACCAACATCTTTGTGGACTTTTCTGCAAGGTTCCCACACATTGTACATGAAAAACAGCTCGGCCCCACGTTCGGCTCTATTGCTCAAGATTTAGTGATCACCCCCAACAGCATGAACGTTAAAGGGTAGAAGCGTAATTGCGCCTGAACTGCGTCAAGGTTACGAGTCCTTCAAAAATCGTTCCCCGGATTTAGCACCATCTGCGTTGATCTCTCGCTTCAACCGACAGCCGGTGATTTTTGTGCCTCTTGACCATATGCTTCGATGGGGCCAAGGAGAAGAAAAGAAAATTACATAAAAGCGACCGAACGTTTACGAGGTTTCGATGAGCGTCTGCATCTTCCGTAGTTGATTAGTGGATTGATGTTTATTCGTTAATAGAAATATAGTGCTTTCATCGCTTCTTTGCTCTTCATAAATTGTTACCTGCTAATTTTTATGTTTTACCTCTTGAATATCAGAACAATTCCTCGTCCCAGGGAGCTCCAGTGGTTTGGGCTAGCTGCATGTCTTCTTATTGTGTTGTACATCGAAAATGGAAAGTCGAGATCTTTCTTTCCTCATTACGAGTTCGGCAGTCAAGGAGCTAGGGCAACTTTTGGAGATGGAAAGAAACGGGGACTGCAATGGAATGCTCCATTGGTCTTTCTCGTCCGTGCAGCGAACATCCATGATATTTCATATACCACATCGATTGGACTTTTTAGTTTCCTAATTTTTGCATCTTCCACGGCCCATTGTATCATGAAACACCTAACCAGTTCGTCAAACTTCATTGGTCTGCTTCACAAAGTGCTCAGTAGTGATGTCTTACAAAGCTGCAAGAGCAAACGTCGGTCCAAGCTTAGCGAACCGAGAAGCCCCATCCTATAAACACATCACCCGAGAGGCTGGGGCCACTGCGGAGAAAATTTTCTATTTGCAGTAGACCAAAGTATCCAAAGAGGCAATCGAGGTAGTTACAGAAATGTGGAAAAATTATCAGAATGTAGAGTCGACCATGCTCATCGGATAAAATGCAAAGCGGTCAACTCGTGGACGCTTAGATGCTTTAAGCCCGAATTCAGCATATCTGTGATTTTTACAAAATTTTTGATGTGACATCGTGAGTCTTTTTGGTCCACATATAGCAGCGTCGTCTTCACTTTCTGGACCCAACAACCCGTTCTTTGCCCCCCACGGATCGTGTCTTTTCTCTTATTTTCATGAAATTGCTGTTGACTACACTTCATTCAAAAAGCCTCTCAGCCCAATAGCAACTCCATCATGGACCCACTTACCCCCACGGCGAGGGGTAGAAGCGCTCTACATGGGCATTGGAAAGCAGCCACTTCAAAAATATCACCTGTGCCTTGACAACACGTCACTGCCGTGAATGTATGATTCAAATCTTCTAAACTCTTCTTTCACCTCAAAATCACCTCATCGGCCCTTATCGTGACTCCACACGGGTACCTGCGCGCTGATAATGACTCAGAAAAATCTTTAACGCACCTCATGGGTTCCTTGAAAAACGATTTGCGGGGAGTCTTCCGTGGGCTCTCCCTCACAGATAAGCTACTTCCGCTTCTTATCATCCTAGCTATAGTGCTAGGTGTGCTTTTATCCGTCTATGTGCCCAGCAGCAGAACCGCTTTGGATAGTTCCAAGGTGGTGGGTGTCTCAGTGCCTTTGGCAGTTGGATTGATCGTGATGCTTCTTCCGCCGCTATGCAAAGTCGAGTGGGAGAACGTGCTCAAGTACTTCTCCAGATCCACCTACCTCAAGCCCATCTTGTTTTCGCTTGTGCTCAACTGGATCATTTGCCCGTTTTTCATGTTCGGGTTGGCATGGTTGACTCTTTTCGACCAGGACGAATACCGGACGGGTATTATCATGATCGGCTTGGCCAGATGCATCGCCATGGTCTTGTTGTGGAACGATATCGCCGATGGCGACAACACCTTGTGTGCGGTTATTGTCATTGTGAACAGTGTGCTACAGATCGTGCTCTATGCGCCCTACCAGATTTTCTTCTGTTATGTAATTACTGGCCATTACCAGCAGACTTCCAGCTCTGTCACCTACTCATTGGTGGCTAAGAGTGTCGCCTTTTTCATGGGTGTTCCTTTTGGACTTGGCGTCTTAATCAGACTCGTGGGAAGAGCCCTTTTGGGATCCAAGCGTTACGATACGAAATTCCTACCATTTGTGAGTCCCTGGGCGCTTATCGGGCTTCTCTACACTATTGTGGTCATTTTCATGGAGAAGGGTAACGACTTTATTCAGGATATTGGCTCTGCCTTCCGCTGTTTCGTTCCATTGGTTGTCTATTTCATCGGCACCTTCTTCGGAACCCTCTTTTTGCTTCGCTGGTTGTACACTTACAGAATCTTCGAAAGCAGACACGTGGAAAGCGACGAGACGGAGACCTCTGATGAGAAGAAGCCTCTTTGCGGTTGCGAGAAAACAAAGGATTTGTACCCTGAGAAGTTCTCCTACGGCTGTGCTGCTCCTTACGGTGCAACTGTGGCTCAGACCTTCACGGCTGCATCCAACAATTTCGAGTTGAGTCTCGCCATTGCCATTTCCATCTACGGTTCCGGAAGTAAGCAGGCTATCGCTGCCACTTTTGGCCCGCTTATTGAGGTACCAGTCTTGTTGTTGCTTGTGTTTGTTGCAAGATACTTTAAGGTGAGGTTTGTCTGGATCGACGTTGAGCCTCTTCAGGATGCTGATGAGGAAGCTGAGGAGGAGGCAGGAGAGGCTGTTGTGGAGGCCTAACGTCCCATCGATTATTTATTGTTAATAGGTTTCGGATAAAATTGTTTAATGCTGAGTGCATTGGGTAATAGAGTGAATTTTCAACGTAGCGAAATTAGGGTTGTCACAGTGCGTGATTCAGAATTCCAGGACAGAGCTTGGCTCAGGAAGCAATAAATGGTGGGCTTGGCAAGTTGGTCATGATGTTGATACCTGGAATTGTCCAAGAATTCTGCCTGAATGGAACTCTCAACGAAGTAGCAGTGGTAACATTCATAGCTTTTCAAGTGTCTACAAATCTCAAAGAAGGTATAAGAATGCCATTTGATTACATTGTGTGTCAACTTGAATAAGGGTAAAAGATTTCATATATTCCGGTAATGGGAGAATTCTGGAAAGGTGGGTGAACATCTCTACTTTGGCTGCGAAAAATGCACTCTGATGAAAAAGGTGAACTTTTATTCAACCACCAAAAATCGAAAACAAGATGAATTCTACCAACAGTCGTACTACCTACTTACCTTCACTCCAAAATTACGATTGAAGTGAATTAAGGGCAATGGCAGGCTCTGTGCTGTATCTACATAGTAGGGTAGTCAAACTCGACTTTGAGATCGTAGAGACCACCATACCACCTCACTAGGGTAACATAGCTACCCTATTAATACAATTACACCGACTCCACGCAAATTCTACAAACGTTAGCTGAGCCCACATTACACCGGTTGGATTGGTAGCCTGCGGATTACGAACCAAGCACTCATTGAGCACCAACCAGCCTTCACCACATTACCCCGTAGCAAGTGCCACCTACAAAACGAATTGCACTTTGAAGTATCGGCTCCTTAGACGACCGGAACCTCGATGAACAGTGGCACAAGAGTGTCAGCTGATGGGGCGCAACACCAACGTTCTTCAGGCGTCTAGACCAGGAGGAGGTAGCCAGCATGGTGAGAAACGGCCATGGCGAAGCGGCAATTCCACTATGCTGGTTGAAAACGCATCTATTCAGAAAAACCAGAAAGAAAAACCAGAAAGAAAAACAAGAAAGAAAACCCAGAAAGAAAACCCAGAAAGAAAAACCAAAAAGCGACTTTCAGCCAACTTTCAGCCAACTTTCCAGCAATTCGGCTGGTCCGGTCCATGCAACTCCGTGCGAAGCCGGGTCCACCACCGCAGTCAGGGGCACCGCAACCGACGAATGGGGAATTCTGTTTTTTCTTAGTGGATGTCTGGGTTTTTAAGTTTAGGATCTCTTGAGGAAGAATCAATCGACAAACCTCGAAAGCGACGGATTTCCAAAGCTCAAGACCATTCTATTGATGCCGTTTCTGCAGGCAACCGACCATTATCAGTGCTCTTCGGGTCGCGCCGGTCAAGCAAAATCTAGAGGCAAAACGCGCCTCGAACCTAACACGGATACACAATCGATCTGGCCAAAACCAACAAACAAAGTGAATCAGCGTTTTAAAGAACCGGAATGAACTCAATTGGCTCATTTATTTAATTTTTAATTCGGCTTTGTCCAATAGCCAAGGCACCGGTGGTGCGCCTTTGGTTCTGGCACAATTTGGGCCATTTGGGCCCGGCCGAGGATATCAGACAGGAATGGTCTGGACGTTGCCCCTGCATCGAGCACCAGAGCGAGCTCCAGAGGAAGCAAAACCGCAAGACTCTGGCTTCCAAAACCGCTGTTTTCCAATTTCCCAATGTCCATCCTTTTCACCACAGGGGCTACCGTCACGTTCCACAAGCTCGTGGACCACGTGGTGGAGCCGCTGTTCGTGCTGGACTTGAATGCCTTGGGCTTCACCAAAGTGGCCATCCAGTTTGGCAACGAGGTGTCCCACTCCAAGCATGTCAGCAAACAGTATTTTTCCGACGCCATGGCGAAAACCGAGTTTATGGAGAAGCTCGGCTTGCAGATCTCCAACGAGTTCAACGACAAGCTGGTGGTGCACTTGGCTCTGCTGGACTTGGACTTGAAAATCGAGGTGTTTCCCTTTGCTCCCAGCATCAACGACTACATTGCCGGCGCCGACATTGTGGTGTCCCACGCCGGAACGGGCTCAATTTTGGACGTGCTCAGGCTCGGCAAGCCCTTGATTGTTGTCACCAACCAGGACTTGATGAACGACCACCAGGAGGAGGTGGCTGCCCAGTTCGAAAAGTTGGGCTACCTCTACCGCGTCAACACCGCCGAAATGCGCCTGGGCAAGCTTCTCGACCTCATCACCCAGTTCCACAAGGGCCTGCTACGTTTTTCTCATATGCTGGCGCCTTCCGACGGAGTTATCGAACAGGTGCTCTCCGAGGAGCTAGATCGTGCCCGCAGGTGACCGGGCGCCGCTGGCGCGTGCCCTAGATTCTCCTTTTGCTCATATTTTCATCTTGTTGGGCCTGTCAAAGGCCCTACTGCCGGAACCGACGCATACGTTCTGGCCCGCTCACCCCTCGAGACCCCTCACTTGTTCGCTCCTTAGGTCCCCACGAGGCATTATATAAGCACTGTTTTTTGCTTCACCCACGGCTTTCGTCATGGCTAATTCGCTTCCAGGCCACATACGGCTGATATTTATTGGTTGCAACCTCTCCACTTCGCCAAGCCTGTATATAACGTCATACATACACCATCAAGTATATGTTCTACAACCTAACCACTCTTCTTTTCCATGTACTCCTACAGACAAACAGCCGCTCCTTCTCGGCGCCGCAGAAGACCTAGATACTTCACTAAGGACATTGAAACTTTGTTATATGCTTTGGGCGATGGTCCTGTCTCGCTAGATTCCACAGTTAACTGCTTGGAGGATTGTCTAGTGGAGTATCTCTCCGACATGATGCACGAAACTTCACAATTTGCCAAATCTCAAGGCAGATCCAAGATCAAGCAGGACGATTTGCCTTTTGCTCTTCGAAATGACCCCATGAAGCTCGGAAGATTGGAGGATATCAAGGAATTGCTTAATAAGATCACCAGAGCTAGAAACATGTTGGACGAGTCCGCCACGGCCACTCTGGAGTATTTGGATGATGAAGACGAGGAAGAAGGAGAAAAGAAGCCCCGTAAAGGGAAGAAGCGTGGTCGCAAGAAGAAGGTACAACAAAATACAGCAAACGATTCCAACGAAAGCGAGTAATCTATATATCACTTACCGGCTCACTCCGCGCCTTCATCAAGATCAACATTCTGGACAGCAGTTCCACGAACATACTTCTCGTTCTTTACCTGTGTGTTGAAATGCTCTAGCAAGCGGATACCGCCAAGCAGCGCCTTCACAGTCACATACAAGGCTATTGATGCCAACGCAAATGTAACTGAGTCCCATGCAAACGTCAAAAACCATCCTATCACCAAGAAGTGTATCAAATCATCCACCAAACCAACGCTCCATGCATACCTCAAGATCGACTGCTCCTTTCTCTCATACAGCCATGTGTTGTATAGTGGGCTCATGAGGAGACCACATAACGCAAAATGAATGGCCAAAGCAATGTACTTGGGATTTTGAAAGTCATCAAATGCACTCTTGCCAAACAACGTGTACTCGGCATCTAACCATGCCGATCCAACTTGTAACAGAACTGCGAAATGTGATATAACGGCCACCCACATCTCTGGCGCCCACCTTCCGCCAACGTTGACATTTAAGTTCATGGCTTCAGGGAATGGGTTTGGTATCTCGATGGGTGTAAATGGCTGTCCATCAAGCGACATCAATAACAGAACAAAGAAGCCGAGTCCTAGACAGAGCGACAGAATGTCAACACGAGATCCATCAACTTCCCATGGGTTGTATGGTATACCTATCCAATTCGTGATAGCATAGAATGCTTTGAGCGTAAGTCTTCCCGGAAATAAAGCTGACACACCCACAAACACGAAGAGTAGCTGAGCAAATATGCCCAAGAGCAAAACCAAGAGCATGCACCTGGTCTTGAAGTTGGGAGGGCGATAGACAATGACGTAGCTTTGCTCGTAGTTGAGCTCCACATCAGAGTAATCAGACTCGTATCCATCCTCATGTTCATGACTTTTTGGCTCTTCCTCGTTGATCGGCTGGTCAGATCTGGTGACAGGAATGAACAACTGATCAATGAACTTTCGAGAAGTATCACTCGAAGGAGCTCTCACAAAGTTTCCATCAGGTACGAAGCATGCGTTAACACCTGGCTCATTAAGCTTCTGACGAGCCTCACTGTAGGTAACTGGATGTTGATAGTCAGGGACGGCACCGTAGAGCTCATGGAACCAGCTTCGATAAACAATATGACCACGTTCCTCGGCGATAGGGGTTCCAAGAATGAAATCAGAAAGTCTTAACTTGTAGCAGACCACTTGGAATACACGTTCCCAAAACTTGACACAGTAGCGAGCAAGAAATTCATGCTTCTGATGGAGCTGCAAGCCAAGGCCAACCAAGTAGAAGACGCCGGTCCAGTTCAACGTCACTGGCAAGAAGATGCGCTCATTAGGGTTGGAAGAAGCTGTAAACCAACGGAGTCCCCAGGTCACAAGACCAATTCCCAAAATTATATTGCCGGTGTAGAACTTGGCACTAAGCCAGATACGCAGCATCTGGAACCTGAGTGACTTCACAAGGGCGTCATGTATAAGTCTTGCATTGGGGTCCTCTGGACTTCTAATGAAGAAAAGAACACCTGGACGCAAGATCTGACTTCTCAACATGCCAACATACAATGCAAAGCAAAGCATGTAAATTGTGCCAAAACCCCAATAGATTAGTACTCGAGCAGATGGGGAGTTGTAGTGCTCGAGAGATGCAATGAAAAGGTACTCGTATGTGGTCGAGCCGTCCTTGTTCTTTATCACCAAGTCAGTTTTGAAGAGTGGCGCCAAACAAATATCTATGAGCCAGCCACAGTAGACTGGGAACACAACTATCTCGACGGCGAACACGACAAAGACTTTGGCAGTAGCTGTAATTTCGAAAAGAAGCTTGTAGACTCTTCTTGCATTTCCAACGAGAGGCTTTTTACCAGACACCATACTTCTCATAACTGAGTAGATAGCATAGCAGCCGACAAAATAGCCAATGGATAATGCCACAACCCTTTGAGGTAAAGTTGCAGGACCAGTATTCACGAGGGAAAGACAGCGAGATAAAGTATCCCTGGTAGGCTGGAGAAAGACATCAAACACGAAAAAGCGGGTATTAACTAAGATGTCCGACTTCAAATATTGCTCATGAGCTAAGTTTAAGATTGGACTCAAGTGGGCTTTGGCAATGACGAGGAACGTGACTCTTTCGTGATAGTCTCTGATTAATGTGTATAATGATGCAGTGATGAGTAGGACGAGGTTTCCTATCATATGTGGTACAAGGTATGCAGCGAATAGGAAGATCATGACAATGGCGTCCACTAACACTGTGAGCAAAAGTGGAGTAGAAAGGTTTAGCTTGAGGCCAATGATCTCCAAGATACCTTCATCGAGCTCCTCTGGCTGACGATCGATTCCGGCAACATCCTGAAGGTTTTGGTCCATTTCTGCTGGATCCCAAACTGCATCGTTGTTGTCAGAGTGCTCTGAGGAAGCGTCCAGGTTGGAGGCTGAATCATTGTCGTTGCCATCGTAGACGTAATCCTCATCGGCCGAGTCATCTGAAGCTTCAGCAACGTGTGGATTTGGGGCATTTTCCATGTCGATGCCGGTGTGTGGGTCGTTCTCCGGTTCATTGGGTGCAACATGATTGGCAGGCATGTCGGGAAGTGGAAGGGGCGCTTCGCCAGGCAAAGCATCCCGTTGATCCTCTCCACGAATCAAGTCGTTGAGCTCGCCGTTGTTGATAGCGTTGCGGAGCTCGACCTCGCGAGTAAATTCTTCGGGAACGTTCCTGAGATCACGAATCGCCTCGTTCACGAGATCTAGCGGCATGGGACGGTTGCGATTGGCTTCATTTCCGCCGTTCTCGGCGTTTTCACCGTTTCCGTCTTGGTTTTCTTGTGCCTCGTTCTGCAAACCCTGTAGTAGGTCCAACAACTTGGAGCGGGGTTCACGGCCAATGTCGTTGAGAAGCATTTTCGTGTAACCGTCGTCTCTGACGACCCACTCGTGTTCAACGAAGATGGCCAATAGCATGATCACAAAGGCACATACGTGGACCATGCCGTTCAGGAAAGTGTTGAAAAATAGGTAGACGGCCTTGTCGAACCATGTGGAGTCTTTCGTTAAAGGCAGATTTTCATCAAAACACGCCAACGTGCCGTAAAGTAGCAGTAGCGGAATACTGCCGCCCGGCGGAAGAGGCCCATCGACCAAGAATGTGTAGACACGCCCCACGATCTTCCAGAAGATGGGGAGCTGAAGCAAGAACATGGTATAAAGGACCGCCAGCAAGTGTTGAGTCAATGTGGTGGTCACTGTGCTAACGATCTTAGCCCAGATAAGCAGTAGCGGGACACGCTTGGGCATGTTAGGGTCATATATGGTCTTGAACCGATATTGGGTATTACAAATGTCACACTGCTTGGTAGACTTGGAGGAGTGCTTGAGCCACTCCAAAAGACAATCTTCATGGATATAGCGAATAGAGCCTCTGCATTTACACGGATGGATTAGCGGCTGTTTCCTTGTTGCTTCGCCACGGCAGATTCGGCAGCTATGTTCTTCGGTCATGGAGTAATGGTGAGTTGATAGTTGTGCAGGCGACTTGGAGGCCGTGATGTAGACCATAGGGGGAAGTACTATGTGAAGGGTTGGACAAAAAAAAGCAAACAGGTATTTTGAAGAAAATTTGGATTGATGAAAAGGGAAAGTTTTGCTGGTTTTGTCGGTTTAACGGATATTTTGTGATGGATTCTGAGACATCGGTCTGGCCATTGCGAGCATCTCTATAGTGAGCAACACCACAGAGCCGAGGTTTTGGCAAAGTTACATAGGGCACTACGAATTTTCGGATTTCTGATAATTAGGAATTTTTGAACCTATTTATAGAAAGCTGTGGTGGTACGTGGCATTTAGACTCAAAAACGGGAGTTTCATGTCTCAACCTCGAATTCCAACGAAACAGGCTTGGAACAATTGAAGCGATTCAGCTCCGTGTATGAAACAATTTAACAGTGCCTATCGAGGCTTGCTTCTGCAAATCATACTTATCTTTGAAACAATGAAAGGCAGTGCCCGGCCCTACTGATCTCCACGCAATTATCGGTTCATGAACTTTATATATGATGTAGCTTAATTGTGCTCTGCCACAGCCTCCTCCACAACAACATTCTCAACAACAGCATCCTCAGCCACAACGCCGCTCTCATCACCTTCAGATGGAGCAGGGTCCTCAGGAACAGCCTGTGGCTTGCCCTTGTTTTCAGTGGCCTCATCAGCCAACTCACCCACAGGAGCCTCCTCGTCTTCTCTCAAGAAGTCGGGCAATGGGCCCTTGTGAGTCTCTGGTGGAGGTGGAGCCTCGAAAGTCTCGGCCAGCAGCTCGTGCTGTTCCTTCTGTGCCTCCTGCTTGACGGCTCTTGGAGTCTCCTTGGCCTCATTGACCACAACGGTCAGTGGGTTGGACAAGGTGCTCTGAGCCACGGAGCTCTTCAACGAGCTGTACTGGGCGGAGTTTTCAAGGAAAGTGTTACAGTCGTAGTCCCAAGAGGAGACCCACTTGGTGGACTTGCACTGGGCCTTGGTCCACTGAGAACCGTAGATCAATGGCGAGAAGTACAAGTAGATGGTGACGGCACCACCCAAGTAAGCAACCAACAAGTTGGCGCCCTTTCTGCCCAAGAAGGAGTTGGACACGAACAATTCGAACAAGTGACCAAGACCCAAAATGGCAAAGTACTGCGAAGGCAAGTAGTGGTGCAAGAACAACTGTCTGCCCATGATAAAGAAAGGAGCGTAGTGGATGAACCAACCAAGGAAGTAACTGAGCATCTGGTAGTTGAAGTGGAACACATCCTTGGACTTGGCAATCAGCTTGCCGGTCTGCCATTTCAAGATGGAGATACCGACGTGGATGATGAAGGCAACCAAAGCAGCAGAGGCAGACCACCAAACAAGAGGGTTACCGAGGAAGTAAACCTGAGTGTGGTTCTTGCCCCAGTAGTTGATACCACGCAACAACAATGGCCAGTCCTGAGGGCTGGATTGCCAGTTGTGGTGAGAGGTCAAACCCTGGTTGATCTTCCACATGGTCTTGTGGGACTCGATGAACTTCTCGAGGAAGCTCAATGGCTTGTATCTGGCAATCTCTCTCTTCTCAGCAGGCAATCTCTGGTCGGCGTTGTTGGTCTCGATGTACCAGTGGGTCAAAGGTCTAGCACCCTGACCAGCGGCAGTAACCTCCTGCTGCTCGAAACCCCAGCCTGGCAACTTAACCTCACTGGAGAACAAGTAGTGGCCGGTCATGGCGTGTCTCAACCTGAAGATGGTGTCAATGGCTCTGATTTCCTTCTGGGCAACACCCTTGGTTTTGTGCTTGACCACCTCGAAAATCCAGTCATCGTTGGCGTCACCGCCGAAACCCTCGTAACCATAACAAGAGACCTCCTTCTGCCAGTCACGCTCACTGACAGGAGGCTTCTCGTCGTGAGAGTGCAATCTCCTCTTGGAGTTGACGTGGACCAATCTGACCTTGTCACCGTCCTTAAGCTGAACAAACTCATCTGGAATAGAGCGGTTGTATGGCTCAATCAACCACTCGTTGTTGGTGTCCAAGTGAGGGTATAAGGTGATCTGCTGCTGCTTGGAACCGGTTGGGTACATGTGGTTGTGAGAGTGCAAGTATCCACCTCTGGTGTTCACATGACGAATGGAGATAAGCGAGCCGTAACCAACCTGAGAGGTGGTCTGTCTTGGAACAAGAGAGCCAGTCAAACCGGCACGGAAGCCACTGGTCATGAAGGCAGATCCGTCACCGTCGTTGGACAAGACGTTGAAGTGGATGCTGAACACGAACAAGTACAAAAGGACTGGAACACCCAACAAGAAGGAAGCACGGGCCACAGCGTGTTTCCAGACAGCCTTGGGCGAGACAGACAAGTCACCAATGAGGAACCACATGTGGCCCACACAGCACACACCGATCCAAGCGATGGTGAACAAACCAACCCACTTGGAGCTGAAAGCCATACCCAAGGCAAGCGAGCACAGCAAAAGCAGGCGGAAGTAGTTGAAAGTGAAAGCCTGCTGCACCTCGAACTTCTTGAACGCGTAGATAGCGGCGGCGATGAAGAACATGAGGGGAGAGTCAAGCAAAATGTATCTGGAGATGGTGACGAACGAGTTCTCAACCAAGAGAGCGCCAGCAGTGGTGAAGGCGACAATTGGACGCACACCAGACGAACGCAAGGTCAAGTAGCAGAGAAACACGGTACCCAAGCCCAAAACAGCTGGGAAGGCTCTCATCAACACGTAAGGCACGGTAGCAGGGAAAACGTCACCAATGTGAGCAAAATCAAAGTCACCCTTGAAGCCAGCAATGGAGCCAACGGCAGCAAAGAGCAACTTGGCCAATGGAGGGTGCACATCCATGAAGAAAGCACCCTTGATGTACTTTTTGGCGAACCCACCAAAGTGGACCTCGTCAAAAACAACAGAGTTAGGGTGGCTCAAGTTCTGCAAACGAACGTACAAACCGGCGGCAAACAAAATAGCCAACAAGGCGTATTCCTTACCAGAAACCGTCCTGGCCTTGGTGATGTATTCTGGAGTGGACGTCAAGAGATATTCACGGTACTGGCCCTTTTCGAATTGGGGCTGCTGGACCGTGTCCAACTCATACAAAGAGTCTAAGTCGGCCTGAGAGGCCTTGGACTCCTTTGTGGATTTTGCCATGGTGAAGCAGGAGACTGGGTAGTTGGAGGATTTTCAAAAATACACGTAGTAGTTTTCCTGCACCACGCACTGAGGCCACCACAGAGAAGTCTGCTGGATCGCGTTTTTCAACGTGGCTCAAATGTATGTGGTGGAAGAGGGAGTGGAAAATAGGAATTTGAAGAAGTGATTTAAATCTACGATGAGTATATTGGATTGAAAATGGTCTTTTCATGCAATTGGACTACATCGGATGAAAAAGATACGGGATGCTGGGATCGCGAAACGGCTGCGAAAAGCGAGTCGGACTTGGCACCAAAAACTTTTCATCAGCGTCGGGGAAATAAGATTTTTTGTTTTTGGGCTTTTTTAAAAGATTTGGATATTTCTTGAGTCAGCGTAGGTAAATTGGCTATGTGATTGAAAAAAATCTAAAATGCGGGGACAACTCCCGGCGTAACGGATAAGAGAACTACTCAGTGTAAGGTATGAGTTGGGTCGACATACTAGATGTTTGATTGTCGAACTGGAGCAATCTATTCCGTTTACAGAATTGTAAAGCATGTATGAATGTCTCTGGAGATATCGGCAATCTGAGACACTTTTCTGAGGTCAATTTGCAGCCATACACAGTAGATTTGAATGGATATGGACACTTAGGCTGCAGACCGCAATTCGCCCAAATCGGTCAACCAGCCGTCTTGGCCATTAACGCGTTGCTGAAATTTCGGAACGATGTTGTGGTTTACCAGTGGAAACGCAGAGATGCTTAAAAGATGCATCCCGAGAACGATGCGACATTGGGTTAGGCGAGCCAGCCAAATCGTGAATGGTGAGCTTTAAAGTGCAAATACCGTTATCAATTTGAAACTGGCATCTTTCCTTTGAGTATAAGTGGTAACGGCTTCAAATTGAACCCTTCGCTTCATTTAGGCTGTGACTGGCTGCATCAAGGTCTACAGAGCGGGACTAAAAAGCTGTGACTCCAATTGGTTGGGTTAAATTTGTGGACTGAAATATCACGAACCAAGCCTTTCCATATACCAACTTCTGTCCATATGCCCCTCGGCCTTATCGGTCAACCACGTCTTACCATGGAGGAGGCAATTTACCGACTAATGGCGCCTTTAACCGCAAAAGTGACGTTCACGAATTTTGAAAATTTCCTAAGATAACGAGATGGCACAAATTGGCCGAGATTCTGCACAATCATTTTAACCTTGGCTCAGGGTCCTTGCAGGCTTATTTGCAGCCACCCAGACCCGCCAATATCCCAAACGTCAAAACCGTAAACGAAATAGCTTATTCACTAATTTGATCAAAATTCTCATAAAGTAGACTTTTTTCCAGAACCCCCCGTTTTGACCACTCCATTGCCAAATTGGGCCCTTACTAATAGCCGCTTCAGCAATCGCTCAACTCTACACAGGCGATCACCAGTGGAGCTTTTGCTACTACATGGTTCTTTGGAAACAAACCACGTTACGTCCCCTCAGCCAATTAAAAAACTTCTATCGCCACATGCACGTTGAAATCATTCCCCAGTCCTGGGGTAAGGGAAACAACTACGGATACCTTTTGGTTGATGAACCATCCAGACACGCCTGGTTGATAGACCTGGCTTTCCCCGAGGATATCGAAGCTTATATTTCCGAGAAAAGACCCAATTTCGAGTTGAAGGCTATCGTGAACACTCACCATCACTGGGACCACGCCGGTGGCAACGAACACTTCCACAAAAAGTACCCAGACTTGCCTATCATAGCAGGTAAGGATTCTGACTTGGTCACCTACACACCTTCCCATCAGGAGGTGATTGACTTGGGCGACCAGTTGCTGATCACCGCTTTGCACACGCCGTGCCACACCCAGGATTCCATCTGCTACTACGTCAAGGACTCCAAGACAGGACAGAAGGGCGTTTTCACTGGAGACACCTTGTTTATTTCCGGCTGTGGCCGTTTCTTCGAGGGAACACCTAGCCAAATGAACTCAGCACTCAACGAAATCTTGGGTAAATTGCCCAAGGAGACCGTCACCTACCCAGGCCACGAATACACCAAGGGAAATCTCAAATTCAGCAAAACCGTCTTGCAGAACAAGTCGATCGATAAGCTCCAAGATTTCCTCAGCCAGAATAGCGTCACTGCCGGTCAGTTCACTATCGGCGACGAGCTCGAGTTCAACCCGTTCATGCGTCTCCTGGATCCCCAGGTTTTGAAGGCTACCGCAGCATCAGGTGCCGTCGACGTCATGGCCAAGTTGCGTGAAATGAAGAACAACGCTTGAAACTACATCAATGAAAGCTTTACATCTGCTGCCTTTTCGTAATATCCTTGTTATTATCTGTAACTCATTTTTATCTGTCACTGCCTGACAAAACCCGGAAGCCACTCTTCCTCGTAGCTGAGCTCGGGCTGCCACATCTCTATAAACTCCAAGTCAAACTCGGACTTGCCCATGGCGAATTTCTCATACTCCTCGAAGATCCCACTCATGCACCAGCCCTGAAGAATCTTCCTCATTAGTCCCACCAAAACACCTATTCGGTGCTTGCCCTTATTGGAATGTATGAGTATGGGGAAGTTTCTCCTATCTAGTATGAGATGTAGGGCTGCTTCAAGGGACTCTTGAGTCTGAATCTGAGTCTCCAACAGGGTGAACGGCTCCTGTGACGAATGCACCAACAAAGGGCAAAACTTGATATCCGTGGAGTCGATCCATGCTTTGTACTTTTCGTATATGGCAGCAGAGCCGTTTTTGTCCTTCTTTGGCTTATCTGCTTTTTCTTTTGGCTTATCTGCTTTTTCTTTTGGCTTATCTGCTTTTTCTTTATTCTTTGGTTTCTCGTGGGACAAGTCCCCCACATAAATGATTGTCTTGAGTTTGAGCTGTTGCATGAATGGATAGTTGATGGGCATTGGAAACCCAGAGCGGTAAATTCCGTCCTCTACCAATGAAAAATTCAAAGGTGGAACGTAATTTGGCCGGGGAGTTATCGTAGTTCTCGTCAAGACTTGACCTTCCTCCTGGGTCTCCTGCTGAGCGCCATTTTGTGGGTCTTTTGTTTGATTTCGACTTGCTTCTAAGCTCGGGCTACCAATTCGGGTAACCTCTGTAGATGGTTTCTCCTGTGACATGCAATTCAGACAAGGTTGTCTGAGGTTCCTTCAAAAACGACTTCCGGTTTGGGCCTGTGAGCCATACACCCGTGCACCTCACCACTGCTTATCGGCTCGAATGGCTGCAAACTCACTTTGGTTAGATCGGATATGACGATTATGCTATAAAAGAGGCTGAAATTTCGGAAGAAGAGGCGTTCTAGGTCTCAGCTGCTGCACATTGTTTTGGACAATGGGCGACGAGGGTTGCTGTGGCTGTGGCAATCTTGGCTCAGGAATAGCTGCCGGTATTGATGATGGAATGGAGGGAGTTGGTTTGAAAGGTGGGGGCAAAATTATCCTTGGCGAGTCGTCAGAGTACCTTGACAGCGTGACTGTATTAGCCATCTCATATGTTGGAATGCTGGGGATTCTTTGAGGGAAAATCTCGAGCTCAATGTTGTCCTCCTTGCCAAAGATATTCTCGAGGTCGAAGTCTGAACTAACGTAAGCACCAGTTTTGCAATTGCGAAGTCCATAGATTTGGGTGCCATTGAGCTTGAATGCTTGTGTGGCGTTCTCCATGATCTCCACAAAACGAGGTGGTGCTGAGTTTCTGGTCGGATATGTGAACTCAAGAGAGGAGGACAAGAATCGAAGCACCACCAGCTTTTTATCGGAATCAAGCTCAGAAGAAGCTCTTGCGTGACTTCTAAGCTCGGTTGCCACTGCGGCCAAATTAGTGAGCGAGAAGTTGCCACTTTGTGAGATCTCTGGGTCTGGAGTCTGCTGAGAGTTCTCAATCTCTGTCCTAAGAAATGGTTTTGAGGAGTTCAGAACCAAAGGATACTCTAGAAGAATGCTCCGGTAAAATGCTTCACCAAGCGGGTACAATATACGATCAAAGCCAAAGTCTTTGATGCAGCAGCCAACAAGGGTCTGTAAGGTCAACGAGGCCGTCTCGTCGTCGAGAGACTTGTTCACATGCGAGTCGGGTTCCAAGCTCCGGTAGAATTGGGCTAGGAAGGGATGCAGAAGTAGTTTTTCCAGAAGATAGTCTATGGATGTCTGGTTGAGGTTGATGAAGGACTTCTCAAACATCAAGGCGGCTATAGCGCCTATGGAGTTCTGGCCCAAGCCCCGGAGAAACTCATTTCTTGTTTTTGTCGTGGACTCCAAGCACAGCCTGGATCTTTTCATTAGGAGCAAAAGCGCTATTCTGATGGCCTGGAGCTCTTTTTCATTCTCAGCTTGTGACAGACAAGAAGTGGGAATGCTAGGCAAAGGAGGGAGCATCACGCCGAGGTGAGGTCGAGACTCGAATTTGCTCAGCAAGGGCTGAATAATGGAGCCTATGGCGGCTCGGGACTGGTCGTGGTTCGTGATGGCTTTTGTTCTCGAGTAGTTCATGTCGTACACCTCGTCGTTTCCGTCTGTATTAAGTCTAGTGATTTCCGAGAGGAAGCGATCGCTGTCGTGGCCGTTTGGCTCCGGGGTGGTGGTTTCCTGTTTGACATCCGAAGAGCCCTCGGACGAAACCCTCTGTCTTTTGGATGCTCCATTTCGTTTCAGCTTTGTGGATCTTTTCCGGTTCCGGCGAACACTCTGGACGGCAGCACGCACGAGCTTGTCGAAATCCTCAAAAAACTGAACGTCGAACTTGAACTCCAAGCGCAAGATCTCTGCAACCTTTCTAATCTCGTCCTCTTGCTCACTAGCCTTTTTCGAGCTGAGATCCAAAGTATCTATGAGCTCGAGCCGCCGGGCCAGAAACCGTTTCCAGAGCCGCTCGTCCTGAAAATTTAGCTTTTCCCTTATGCTATGGGTAACACCTAACTTCTTGTCCTCGGCCATGGGAGTAGGAAGCATGCTTAGAAAGCAGGAGTGGGATGATTCAAAATCATCATGACTCCGAGCCCGCGCGAAATTTGGCCTCACCAGATCTTGACTCATGACTCCGAATCATCCGTCCCTAGACAAAGCCCCCACGGTGGCAAAATTGCACAGAGGGGATGGTTTTTCATATTTTGTCTGTTGTGAATTCGAGGAATATTGTTTATTTTATAGGGACGCCCCAAATGGCGCTGTTATTCGAGTTCGGGTGTTTGAGCAGAATTCCGCGGGCTCGGCGCTAGGCCAAACCGAGACGGCTGAGTCAGGTGAAGGAAGCAATGAATAGGGAAGGTGGGGCAGAACAAGAGGGATTTTCAGGGATTTTTAACTGATTTGTTTGAAATGTTTTTCAACAGACATGAAGAAGAGATGCTCTTTGTATGCTGGTCTGCAAAGTACCCCAGGCTTGAAGTAGGTATGCGGTCACACTGGCTGCAAACAGACATATATTTTTCCACTAATAGCTATGTTAAGTCTCAAGGAAGCATCCAGAGAAATTAGGGAAGAATGTGGAGCAGACTCAGACTCACATTAGTTGACGGACACTCCGAGTGATTGTCTGTTCGGCTGTTCTGAAGGTGGTGCCAGTATGACGATTGTTCCAGGCAACATCAAGAAGGATGGCCTTGAAACAACTTTTTTTTGATAAAAAAGGCTAAGAGCTGAAAGAGACACATATCTTCACGTACGCATAGACAGGCAGAGACAATTCGGATTGACGTCAGGCCAGTTTGAAGGTTGTGCAAGAGCGGCCCGCTTCAAATATCCAAACTTATCTTAAAGGGCAAAATTAAAGGGCAAAATCAAAGGGCAAAATGAGATGCCTTTTCTAACGCTGACCAATCATCTAACTCCAATTACTCCCACGCCAATGCCACCAAGATCTCACATCTCATTACTGGTAGTTCGCATGCTAGACTAGACCAAACTATAGGGTCCAGTGATCTCACACTAAGATCAGCAGCACACCAGCCGTGGGCCACCTCTGCCTTTTTTTCTAAAAAATCCTTCCCAAATCCAACAAACTTAGGCAATTGTCAACTCCAATGATATTCTATTCATACCCCACGTACTGGCTTCAATCCTGGAGACATCAACCTCCTCGCTGGGACCTTCCCTTGACGCCACAAACTTTGCAGCCATTGTCTCGAAAAATTCTCCCTCGTCCTGACCTACCTTTTTCACCCCATTGTCAGCGAAAATACGAAGCCACGGCAACCCTGCCTGCCCATACTGTGACTCTTTGTTTTCTGCATGCTCCGTTGACTCACCGCGTGAGGGTGAAGAAGTCAGTGTGGCATTTCTACACTCTCAGCGTTGGAGAGCTCTTCTCAAAACGGAAACCATCAAAGCAGCCGCCAACCCACCACAGCCCTCCAACTTCCCACCCAAAAACACCAATTCTGTGAAAAAGTGGCCTCGTTGTCGAGGTGGAGTGACTCATGGCCTGTGGACAAGCCGATCCTGGCGTGGGCCTTCCCAATGCGGTAAGTGAAAAAAACTTTTGCCGCGATGGACAATCAGTATAAAGTGCCCTGTTATCGCTCCCCTTCCACCTCTTTTTTTCCTCATCACATCACTCTCATAAACACCACTCACAATGTCTAAAGGAAAAGTTTGCTTGGCCTACTCCGGCGGTTTGGATACCTCCGTGATCCTCGCCTGGTTGCTTGAACAGGGCTACGAGGTTGTGGCCTTTTTGGCCAACATTGGCCAGGAAGAAGACTTTGAAGAAGCCGAAAAGAAGGCTTTGGCCATTGGCGCCTCCAAGTTCGTTGTCGTCGATGTCAGAAAACAGTTTGTTGAGCAGGTCTGCTTCCCGCTATCCAGGCCAACGCTGTCTACGAGAACGTCTACCTTTTGGGTACTTCTTTGGCTAGACCCGTGATTGCCCAGGCTCAGATCCAGGTTGCTGAAGACGAGGGCTGTTTTGCTGTTTCTCACGGCTGCACCGGTAAGGGTAACGACCAGGTTCGTTTCGAGTTGTCCTTCTACGCCTTGAAGCCCGATGTGGTTGTCATTGCTCCATGGAGAGACCCAGAGTTCTTCAACAGATTTGCTGGCAGAAACGACTTGTTGGAGTACGCTGCTTCCAAGAACATTCCTGTTGCTCAGACCAAGGCCAAGCCATGGTCCACCGACGAGAACTTGGCCCACATCTCCTTCGAAGCCGGTATTTTGGAGGACCCCAACACCACCCCACCAAAGGACATGTGGAAGTTGACTGTGGACCCCACGGATGCTCCAGAGACGCCCGAGGACTTTGATGTTGTCTTTGAAAAGGGTTTGCCTGTCAAGTTGGTTTTGGACGGCGGCAAGAAGACCATCACTGACCCCGTCGAGTTGTTCCTTGAATCCAATGCCTTGGCTAGAAGAAACGGTATCGGCAGAATCGACATTGTCGAGAACAGATTCATCGGTATCAAGTCCAGAGGCTGTTACGAGACCCCAGGCTTGACCATCTTGAGATCCACCCACATTGACTTGGAGGGTTTGACCTTGGACAGAGAGGTCAGAGCCTTGAGAGACCAGTTTGTCACCATCTCCTACGCGAAGTTGTTGTACAACGGTATGTACTTCACTCCAGAGTGTGAGTACGTCAGATCCATGATTCCTCCTTCCCAGAAAACCGTCAACGGTACCGTCAGAGCCAGAGCCTACAAGGGTTCTTTGACGATCTTGGGTAGATACTCTGAGACTGAGAAGTTGTACGATGAGACCGAGTCTTCGATGGACGAGTTGACCGGCTTCTCCCCTGAGGACACTTCTGGTTTCATTGCTGTGCAATCTATCAGAATCAAGAAGTACGGTGAGGCTGCTCGTGAGAAGGGCCAGAAGTTGGATTTGTAAAAAGAAGGTGTGCAATGTACGAATAGAATGTCATGATTAATCTATTTCTCGTATCTCATTAGCGTGAAGAGCTCGTCATTCACATCGTACATCTCTCCGACGAGCGACTTGACTGTGATGACGATTTCGTCGATCTTCTTGTACACCAAATGCATCACAAGCAAGCACACGATGTTTAGCCTTCCATCGTGACTTAGCAATTTTTGGTAGTTCACATTTCGTCCCGACCTATTTCTTACCTCCCCGACGGCCTCGTCGATTGGATCCAGGTTTTCGGGATCATCGTAGAATCGCTCATTGAAAGTGACATCGCCATCGCCCCATTGTGAACTCACAACCTCAAAGTGTCTCAGCGACAAGTTTGCATTGGTCACCTTTGGCAATGGAGTCTTGCGTCGGAGTGCCGATGCAGACATGCTGGTAAGCGAGAGCACTTCGGCAACTAAACCTGAATCTGTCCAGCCAGCTCTATCGAGTATTATCGGTATCCACTCGTCGGTTTCTTCGATCTGATTGATCAGCTGGTAGATCAAATAATAAAGCTGGATGACGTCATTGACCAACAGCTGCAATGTCATGAATGTTTCCGCCGGCCAAGCTCCCGTGATAGGAGTCTCATACTTGATGAAACCCATCATTGCCTTGGCATTAGCAAGAGAAAATAACAAGTTCCTCATCTTGTCGCTAACTTCATCGTGACGAATCTTGACATGGACATTTGGGTTATCGAGACGTTTCAAAGCAAAGTCTGATATTTTGCAGAACATATCACTCGATTCTTCCAACAAGCTGGACATGATTCTTCTGACTGCCACCTTAGAGCTTCTTGGTTTTGGAATTGCGCTTGCAAGCATGGCCACCGAGAGACCAATGACTACACTGATGTAACGAGTCACTGCCGGCCTCCATCCGACCCCAATGTTAGAAGCAAAGTCATTTCTTGAGTCCGCCCAACTGGTACCCAACACCAAAACAGGAGTAACTGTGATCATGATGCCCGGAATCTTGGATTTGTGAACAGCCCATTGACGATAATATGACACTAAGAAGAAAATCACGGCGGAAACTACCCCATACCCGTATGGATTACCATTTCCACTTCCTGTTGAAATATACCAACCAATCATTCCCGTAAGACATCCCACGAATGAGTAGATCAACTTCAGGAAATACGAATAGACGGTCTCTGCGGTGTACTCGGCAATCGAGACACCGCACGTAACGGGAAGCCAAATCAACCTGTTTGTGGTGTAAAATTCTGTGGAGGGTTTAAAGTAGTATGGAAAGCAGCAAAATTGTAGAAGCAAACTTGCCCAAAGCCAAAACCACAAACGGCTACTGTAATAAAGTTTTCGGTACAGCCGTATCAAGCCCACCACAACGACTTGAAAAAGATTCTCTGGGTCAAGGAGATCCGGGTCCCTTCTTTGCATCAATTTCTTTGTGCTCATAGCATTCACTGGATCGTCGAATATATTGTGATTGACGGTAACCTTTTTGTCGTGACGTACTTTTGAAAAAATAGTAATCAACCTTGGTGTTGGCGCAAATTCATCGATATCGAGAAGAACTTCGCATAACCTAAGCATCTGATCCCCAATTTCCTTGCAAAAGAAAAGCAATATTGCACTCTGGCTCACTAAGCACAACCTTTGCTCCTCGCCTTTAAGCTCATTTGCGAGTCCTTGAATGTAGTCGTTCGCATGGTAAAGCTTCTCGACCTCTTGCTTCAATGAGTCCCTAGCTTGCAACAAATTTTCATGCTGTTCTTTCTGGGCTTGTTTATGTTTGCTCCACTTGAAAATGCTGTAAGTTCTAAATTCATTCGCAGTCGCTAGCCAAGACGATATGGCTCTAAAGGTTTTCGGAAGCTCATTATGAAATTCAGAGTAATGATCTTTCATATGGTCACAGATAACGTCTAGGTCGTGAAGGTTTATGGTGCATTCCTCAGTCTTCATGTTTAAAAAATTCTTTCGTTTGTTCTTTCTCACCTCATTCTCAAAAACACCAACCTTCGCATAGGCTTGTCTGAAGGTGGCAACAAGCTTGTTGTGGCTGCTCGAATATGTCTGACTTGATAAACTTCCTCTTCTTTTTTCTTGCGTCCACACGTTACGAGCGATGTCTTTCCTCTCCTGAATTAGCTCGTAGAAATACTTGTAGCCTGCTAAAACAGTGATCAAGGGCTTAATTCTGGATCTGATTTCCGCAAGATCACCAGAATCAAACCTACCAAACGAGATTTCCCACCGTGCACTTATGAGAAACATTTCAACAGGCGCAAGCCTCACTCTGATTGCTTGAATATCAGATCCTAATTGATGGTGATTTTCAAAGCTATCCAAGGAAGGCTTCAAGGACTTAAAGAATCTGCTGTTTTTCTCACAGGTTTGTGCAAGAGACCCGTGTATACTCGCAACAGCACCGAGATAGGCGAAGCTCGATGTAAACGGGAAAACCACTAATCCACAAACAATTTTGAATGCAAATGCAAGAAGCAAAGGCCTGATAAGAACGTTTGTCTCACCGCCTATAAATGTAGGGTAAGTAACAAACGTGACGGTGTGGATGACCACACAGAGAGTGCCAGCAACGAAAGGCAAACGCATCAATGGGTGATATTTTTGAGTCCAGCCGTAAAATGCAAATGCAAAGAGGCACCCAAAAACCCAAATCACTGTGCAACGGGTCTCCAAATACCGTCCTTTAACAATCTCATCCTGATAACAAGATGCGGCATTCTCGATCGAGCAAACGCCATTTGATATAAGCTCCTGAATTAGATCCTCCTGTGTTGGCCATCCCCTCAAATGCGTTGTAATGGCGCTACAGATAGTAACGACAAGCCAGGAGCAACATGCATACACACAACACGCAAGGGCCACTGTGACGTTGATAACGCTGGAAAAGCCACCATTGGCCATGATAAAGCCCACAATCTGGAACAAGTAGCAGGCTGGGCCAAACCACTTTTCAGTTTTGGGAACAATGCAAAGGAAGACGGTGGTCCATACCTGAACCCAAGTCTGTAGCACCATCTTGACGTCACGTATTGTCAAATGACCAAGGAGCCAGTCGGGATAGAAAAACTGCCATAGCTGTCGCCAAAAATTGGGTTTCGGCTCAGCTGTTTCGAGTGGAGTAGACGGTGGGGTATCGTGATAGACATTATACACGGAGGAGTCTGAATCTTCTTTTTCGTCAGCAACTAGCCCCTGCGGCAGATATTCCTTTACCGATTCCGAGGAGCGAGCCATGATTCCAGACCTTCTTGTGTGGTTGGCAGACTGGAGAGTAGCAATTGTGTCAATATATCAGCGATAACTAAAACACAATGTGCAATGACAGCCCCCGCTGCAGGAACTAAACCTTGAGACTATGGCGCATTAGGTCTCATGCTCAACGGTTAAGATCTGCGTATTCCAGTCATGAAGCTGCTTTAGGAAATGTGGAACGTCTTTTCCGATAAGTGACGAAGGGATTGTTTTTTTGGCAACATTGCTCGTTTTACTAAGCTCATAGTGTTCTTCCAAATGAGCCACAAGGGCTGAGATGGTTTGGCATGCGTACAGTAAAGCCCCAATCTTCTGCATGGTCGGTACCTTCGGCTGCGATGCAAGACAATCTTTGAAAAATTCCTCCTGGTGGTTATAATAGTAGTACGCAGTGAGCCAGAGGACTCGATTAAATTTGGGAAACCTGTAGCGCAGAGGCACACCGGTGGCTTTTTCGATCGAATAGATCTTGAGGTGCATAGGGATGTCTCGCAAGGTGAGATAGTTACCGCCAATAATGACGGAATCCTGCGGAGTATGCACCGAATGAATCCAGCCACTGGGGATGATAAATAGGTCGCCCTCCCGAAGGTTTACTTTAAACCCGCCAGTGGGGGTGAGTTTTTTTCCTCGTAGCCTTTTAGAATAGGTTCCGAACCAGGTGAAGTTTTGCTGGGGCTCTTTGCACCAGCTGGTGTATAGTTCGAGATTTTCATCCGTGGGTGGGTACATCAAGAATGTCTTGCTTCCGTGGCAGACCGTATAGTAGACGGGCGTGCCACTGAAGTCAATGTGGAAATCCGTATATGACCCAGCGATCGACATGAGACAATAGGTGGTGACCTTGGGTCTTTCTTCATCTGTGCCGTTTTGCAGCCATACCTTATCCACGAGATCCAAGTCTCGAACCATCTTCGGCCGCACAAATGCATCGCCTAGACCCTCCACATCGGACACCTCGAGCGAAATCACGTTACGAATTCTGTCTTTTTCACGCATGTAGAAATATCGTTTCCACTGGCCCAAATTCCACCCAGGCGACTCACTTTGCTGGGAAAGCACATCCATGACCTCAACAGGCTCATCTTCGCCTACTTTCTCGGCGATCCACTCGACAGTCACGTCATCTCGTTTACACGGAAGCGTCATACCTGCCTCTTCACCTACCAGAGGCACCAAGACCGGTTTAGGCAAGCCTGTGCTCAACACGTACTCTTTTGTGAGCTCGTCACTGTCCAAAATATCAACATGAAATTGTTTTTTATCTCGACTAGCCTCAGGCGTAAAGTCCATGAAGCTGGGGACGTGTGGATGGATGCTCTTGTCCACAGCGAACGTTTCGCCTTGATCTAGAGCCACATAGTCGATCTTCACTCTGGCACGTTTTGAAACTCTTCGTAGTTGTGATGGCCCATGCTTTTTGGCACATTTGGCACAGTGGTAGGAAGCGATCTCGGCTATATCCTCTTCCGAGGTGCCTATGCAAATTGTGTGGAACCACAGACGGCAAATGTCACACTGGATCCAGTTGATATCCTCGAGATCCGATGGCGGAGTCTCGGGACAATTAGGACACAGGTCCGTTGAACTAGGCATATCTGGGGTAGTAGTTGTTAGTAGATCTAACTTCGCACGATAGCTGCCGGACTACTCATGGTTGCAAACGGTGGAGGATAGATCGAGATGATAGTCATCTACGGTGGGAAAGTAAGCCACATTTAACAAAATATGATCTTCATGAGATCTTGGATTCGAAAAATGTATTGTAGATGTTAATGGCGAGGATTCCAAGTACGGCCTTACATACCATAGGTATACTGGGAAGCCCAGATCTCCGCTTCTCCGATCAGGAAAAAAATCGAGAACGGAAATCATCCCACATCTCCAAAAATGTTATATTTCTCTAGCTGAATGCAAAAAATACGTCAATTCACATTCCATCTCTGGAAAATTCACGCCCATTATGATACTGCGGGTCTGCGATGCAACGTCAAATTCCCGGATCCTGTGCAACTCTATTAGTCACGGCCTCTTTTCCCAGATCTCTCTGAAGCGACCCATAGAAACAAAAAAGTTATCATATCACTTCACCTTCAAACCATCAGAGCACCCCTGAATTCACCAACATCCCAATATCATCCAAATTCGCTGCTTGACCTTATCTTGCTTTCGCACAAGAGCCTTACCATCCATGTTACGCCCAATTAGACGCCTTCCATTGGCCATAGGCCCCAGAATCAGAGGCATAAGATCGAATTCGTCGGATTCTCGACAACAGTTTCTCCAGGAATACAAGGTCCGTTCGTCCTTGGAAAGACTCATACACCACTACGCCAGCGAGCCATTGACCAAGCTCTCCATCCTGACTATATTGGAACAGTCGGAGAAACTCAATTCTACCTACGTTCTCCAAAGCGCAAGGGAAACCATAGAACAGCTCCTTGCTTATAATGCTCGGCGTTTGCGCCAGTTCAGAGATCTTCCCTACTTGGTGATGCTCAATCCCTCCATTTCAGACTCATACAACACATACCTCAAGACCATGTCTGTGTTGCTCACAGCATCGCTTCATCCTCCTTGCACCATGGAGGAAACAAGGCGTCTCAGGGAAGACGTGCTTCAGAGCTTTATGGATGTTCATGCCGATGCATTGCCAGTGCTATCCAAAGGCTTCGGCGAAGTTTTGCACTTGCTTTCGGTGGACAAAGTCAAGAACTTTCTTGACGAGCATTTAAGAGAACGTGTCAGTATGCGGCTTATTGCCCACCAGCAGATCTCCTTGACAGACTCCCTCATCGACGGAACATACAAAGAAGGCAGCCCCTACAACGGTATTGTCAAGCCGCTCGATATCAGGGAGGTCATCAAACGAAACGCCGAGCTCGTGAACGATATATGTCTCATGAAGTACGACCAGAGCGTCAAGGTCAAGATCGACACGAATCTCCATCCGCCTAACTTCTGGACCCTGAAAGACGAACCCGCAGTTTCAAATCCAGAAGAGCCATTGATGTTTCCCTACATCGAGTTCCACCTAGACTACATTTTGATGGAGCTCTTCAAAAACTCCTTCAGGGCTCATATCGAAAAAGGCGTCCCAGACCCTGTCCAGGTGACAGTGTCCATTAGTGAAAATCCCTCGTTTCTCGAGATGAGAATCAGAGACAAAGGCAAGGGTATCCCGCCACAAGCGCTCAACCACGTTTTTGACTACTCATTCCTGACCTACGAGTCTGGTGAAGGTGAGAGCTACAAAACGCTCAATGTGCCGCCTGGAGAAGCCGGTAACACCGTTGCAGGAATGGGCTACGGCTTGCCACTTCTGAAAAACTACGTCGAGATCTTCAACGATTCGGCCGACCTAGAAGAGCCAGCAAAGGGTCTGCTCACGGTGCAGTCATACTACGGCTGGGGTACAGACGTCTATCTCAAGACAGTGGGCTCATAAGTATATAGAATGGCTGCCAAAGGGCGCCTGGCGGTGTGTGCTGAGTCAAATCAGACAGAATCTTGGTAATTGTCCTCGGTCTTGGCGTTTCGTGAAAACGGCCCTTCTGAGGACATTGGCACATGGAAAATTACAACCACCATGCCGATCCAGGACCATTGGTGTACCACAGTGCGATCTCGGTTTGCACCCATCGGCGATATCTGGTGATCTCCCACACCTCAAGTCACGCATCCTGCCAGGTTCCATAATTATTTTCTGCCATCAAAATTACTCAGATCCTCAATTGCTTCCTCCCCTCACCCGTCACCTTCTGACCCCTTCCATTTTCTTGCACCTGCCTTTTTGGTCCATCGGTACCTGACCTGCCTGAATCGCACCAGCCGCACCTCGACTATTGCTCAGACTTTCAATGTTTCAAACGTCTTCCCGGGCCCTAACCCAATGACTCCGTCGTTTGATGCTTTTTGCTCACAGATTGCGGTACCGCCTCTAGAAACGGTCCGATCGCTGTGCCGCCATTTGCTCATCAACAGCGACCCCACAGAATGCAACCAGTCCCTTTCCACGTATCTCAAAGCAGCTGTGGACCACTTGGTGACGGAACTGGAAATATACCACGTATGCCTGGTGCTTGCGCTCGACTTGCTCCGGCTGAACTTGTTCACCAAGAATTTCAGCTTGTGTTTGGGCAAGATCCTTAGTTTGCTCGAGGTGCTCAGTGATGCTGAAACTGATGATGAGGTGGAAAGCTTCAAAACGTTGCTTCTGGTGACTTTACTTCTCACGCTCAAGGCCAAAGACGATCCAGCAATGGGGGCCATCTTCTCCGATCACATCTCCGACAAGGAGTTTGTTAACACCATGAGATCCTTAGGTATAGTGCAAGTGGTGGGCAACAGCATCCACAAACACATTGTCTCGCTTCCCTCCTCCCACGCCGCCTACGTGCTTCTTAAGTTCAATTGTGACATCATATTCCAGTACTTATACAAGGTGGTGCTCCTCACCGATTCCGAGTTTGACTCATTGACCCTCAGTCCGTTGATCCCCACACTCATTGCTGATCTCACCTCCAACGACAACTTCAATGAGTACGATGTCACATACGACGATTTTGAAGATGAGGAGAAGCTTGTGGCTTACGAAGAATTTAAGCTTCTTCTTTTGATCAATGAGCAGTACCTCATGAAGAGCATTTCATGCACTCAACTGAAAAATAAGGTTTTTGACGGCTTGCTGGTCAACCGCCAAGGAATTAACATTCTATGTGGCTTCACTAACTTGCTAGTGTACCACCTCAACAGGGAAGAGTCCAGCATCATCAAGATCTTGATGCTCAAGTTCCTCTACCTTGTTTTCACAACGTCATACACGGCTAGAATCCCCTACCTTAATGACGTCAAAATCCTTCTAGATATCATACTCCGTGAGCTTAATGATCTTGATTACCTGCCCGATGAGCCAAAGGAGAATTGCATTCTCGCCCTCACGTATTTGAAGGTATTGAATCCTTTGCTCGTCTTCTCTCAATTGGCTGAGTTGTCTCCTCCGTACAAGCCCAACGAAATCATTGAGACACTGAGAAATATTGTCATCAATTGCGATTCGTCTGCCTTTGATACGCAAGACCCCTACCTGAACACTAAAGATTTAGCAGCCATCGTCAAGTCTGCTACGAAATGCTTGAACATTCCATGGGTCAAAAAGTGTGCTGTGGGTACCAAAGTCAATCTGCTGTTGGTATCTAGCAGAAACACCAGCTCTGACAGTCTTAGCTCGGTTGCATCAACAGTCTCGAAAATCGGCAATCTCAAGTTGGCATCAGATCATAGTGCCTCGACAGATTCCCTTTCATTCACTCGTGTGGCCTCTGTCAGGGCCTCCAATAGAGACGACTATCATTTGCATACGAAGTCACACAACGATAATCTTGCTGACTCACCACTGGATTCTGGTTCCATGTTCTCCTCTAATAATGGAAATGTCTTTCTACAAAAAAGCGCCAACGAGGACCCATTCGCTACATTCGTTGCTGCTCATGCTGAGCAATTGCTAGATCTTCCAAAAGAATATTTAGGAGGAAAGCACCTCCCACCACTCCCCAGGGAGAAGTCGACAGAGAAACTCAACGCAAGGCAACAGAAGGCCAGGTTAAAGAAAGCGCCACCGCCACCGCCACCTCCACCAAGGAGAAAAAGATAAATTTTTTAATTAGACTTTTTATTATACAATGTTAAATTCTGTCAGTTTCCTCCTTGAAACTTAATACATCGTCAAACCGCAAGCCGTTGATCTCAGTCCTGCTGTAGATATCCAACTCCTTCGTCAGGTAATTAGGGTTAGCCGCTGGGTCCATAATATCATTAGAAGCGACCAACACCAACCCTCTAGACCTGATCAATGGTATGAGTTTTGGCACTAGATCGAGTAGATGAATCGAAGTAATGACACCAATAAGGTTGTTCTCAATAGTGAAGTTGACAGCGTCCTTGATAGATCTAACAGTGAGTTCCTGATCATTGGCTCGGAGTTTCGTCTCAGACGTCGTTGACTTGGCATTCGAATCAAAATTACTGGACTGTGCTCCCATAGTGTCAGAGCTTTCAATGGGTAAGCCGTTAGCCGAATGTGCCTCGAAGACTCCAGTAGCATTGTTGTAAACAATACCATTCATGATCAAGAATACTGGGAAGTTAGGTTGCTTCCAGTTCAAAATCTTGCAAACAATCGAATTCGAAGACAAGAAGATCAATGACCTGCTTGTTTCATTCTTCGTATTCACCTTTACAGCCCTTATATGATCAAAAACGCTGTTCAAGGTGAGATCGATGAAAGTGTTGAGATTCAGCTGAATGTTTCCTGCAAAAGGGATCTTATCCAACTCGTAAAGCGAGGGGAAAACTAGCTCTATGCTGCATCTGATCTCAAGGTTCAAAACGTTCAAAAATGTATCAAGCGGAAGATAAATAATTCTTAGAAGCTTTTTGATAAGCGCAATGTCCTTTACAGTCATTTTTGAAAGATCATTCATGATCTTATCGTAGTCAAAGAGACTTGATGATATTGTTGTCAATTGGTCTGGAGTCAAGTTGGGCAAGAGAAGCTCAACATTTTCTGCAACGGCGATAGACCAATGAGGGCATACGAATGGAGATCCATCGTTAAGAAGACAAACCTTGATTCGCAAGTAGTCACCAGAGAGGGATGTGGCGGTGACGAAAGATGAATTTGATTTTGCACCTGGAGCCGTTGCCAGGGTGACTTGGTTACCAACACCATTTCCGTTTTTCGCATCACCATGAGCGTTGTTTATGTTCGATGGAGATAAGAAGTTATTAGGCGACAAGCCTTGACCATTAAGTTTGTTGGCAGGCTTGTTCTTAACGAAATTGGTGGAAGACTTCCAGTAGGTGTCGTACTTGGTTGTCTCAAGCAAGGTTCCCGAGAATGGGAAGATGACTTGATAGTTGAACTTGAGTTCACCGATATTTCTCAACCTCAAATCGAAGAGAGGAAGCACGATTGCATTAAATTCAAGAGATGATGTATCGAGCTGCTTCAAATTTAAAGCCGTCGTCTTTGCAATAAGACGAGTCCCAAACTTTGGAAAGATTTCAAAGTCGATTCTGAACTCATTTAAAGAGTCGACTTCTGTTTGGAAAATACAGCTTGTTGTCTCTTTATCGCCCCCATTGGTTGGGAGTAGAATGTTCCTGGGAACGATATCCGAGATGTTGGATGTGATGGTAATTCTACCTGGCTGAAGCCCTGTTGCCGAATTAAAAAGGTTGATAGAGCCTTTTTCATTAGAGAAGACAAGCTCAATCAAAACCTTTTGCTCCAAAAAGTTATGACCGTACCTTCTGAGGGGAAGAATAGGAGGCGGAAGCTCGAGGTGGGGGATCAGGTCAACATTCTTCTCAATATCACCACTGTCTTCAGAATCCTCTTCAACATCAAGTATCGTCACTGAACCATCTTTGTGTTGTCCTGGAATCGAGCTTTCAGGAATAGAGTCCATGTTAACATCGATTGGCGATCGCTTCTCCTCCTTTGCAATATCTTTCTTATACGAAAGAATATGATTGAGAACACCTATATGACCTTCAGTCACACAGTAGTATAACACGTTGTAGCCATCTTCATCGACAATATCTAGCTTTGCCCCGAACTTGATCAATTCCTGCGCTGTGTTGACATGTCCTTCAGCAGCAGCATAGAATAAGGGTGGCCACTTGTTTAAACCATCAAGCTGGTTCACCTTGGCTCCGAATTCGGTCAAGAGTTTGATTAAAGGATAGTTGCCTGAACGAGCAATGACGTGAAGTGGGAAAAGACCTTCTACGTCTTGCTGGTTGATCAGTTCGGGGCTAGTGTCCGCGTAACGCAAGAGGTATTCGACCGTTTGATAGTCACCAAACTTACAAGCGTAGTTGACGGGGAGATATTGAAGCTTGGACTCATTAGTGACCGGATACCTGTTACTTCCATGTTGCACCAATATCTTGATAATGTCAAAGTTGTTGTGCTTTATAGCGAGAAGCAAAGCTGACATAGATTCATTGTCAAGATCGTCGAGATGATTCCTGGGGAAGTGTGGCAAAAGGAGGGTCAAAAGCTCAAGGCAGTTGTTTTGAGATGCATAATGCAAACAAGTTCTACCATTCATGTCTTTGCGTATTAAGAGCCGACTCAAGGACTCTGGCGAAAGATTTCGAATAATGTACTCGATGATGAAAACTCTCGAATGTTCAACGTTATCAACAGAAGTCACCACCTTGACACCGTTGTTGATGCTGACGTGCTGGTGCTCTTCATGACCTGACAGCGGCTGGATAGAAACACATTCGTGTAGAAGGGACTTGTTGTTGTTGAAATCCTCTGAACTTAACTCGAAGTCAACGTCGTAGTCAATGAGGTCAAGGAACGTCTTGAGGAAGCCATCTGAGATATTGAGGTTGCCAATTGCAAGAAGGAAGATCTTTGAGAACTTGTATTTTGACGCAGCATCACCTTGAGCACCTTTTGGCGAGGACCTCACTTTTTCGATCCATCTCTTCAATACTGGCACATCAGTGTCTTTGAGTGTGGCAACGTTCACAAAACTCGAGTACAAATCATCAATTTCGGAGGTGTGGAAGCCAGTAAACGAGTTGTGACGGGGACTGGGGAAAGCAGTGCCAAACGAAGATTTATCCAGACTCATTTCTTGCTGCTCAATACCAGTGATCGAACCGTGTCTGGCAATGGCCTCAGAGTAGTTGGAAGGAGTCAGAGCCAGTCTGGTACTCCTGTAGTTCTCCAAAACAGCGTAGTCACCGTCCATAATAGACTCTAAATCGAAGAGGGATTGAATCACAAGATCGGAAAGCTCGTTGATCTCATTCTTGTGGAAAACCGGCTGCACGCTGACCGCCGTCTGCAAGAAGAGCTCTTTGGTATGGGACTTGGACCGCTTGTCCCACTTTTTCACCACTTTCAGGAAACCCTGCTCGTTCAATTCGATGAACTGCTGCAACCGGAGCAAGTCCTGGTGGATCTTCTTGAAATTCTGGTACAAATTGAGGAACAAGATGGAATTCTTGAAGTTGAGCGTGGAGTTACTGGATGACGGGTCCAGAGCAATCTCCAGCGACTTGGTGAAAAGCTCCTCCTTCTTCATCAACACAAGGTCCAAATTGATCGCCATGTTCGCCTGCTTCTCCAAGTAAAACAGATTCACCTTGTCCAATTCTCTCTCCACACGGAAAAAGAAACTCGCCTTGTTGTCCTTGAGCTTCTGCTGGATCTTGAACTGGCTGTTCGGCTCCGTGCTAGCCAAGTCGATGCCTCCACCCAACTGCTTGATCAACTTCTTTAACGCCTTGTAATCGATGAAGTAGCCCAGGTACTCGGGTAGCTCGAGCTGACGTGACGCGAGGTACTTTCCGAACTTCATGGCTGGAGAAAATTGTGGAAAAGGCGGTGGGCGTTTATTTATTCAAGATGTCTGCTCAACCACGTGGACCAGAGGCTGCGAAACGCTTTAGCGTATTGTGGAGGTGACCCACTGTGCGACTGGATGCTGCTGGGTTGAAAAAAGCCGGGGTGACTTTTTGGGGGTGACTTTTTGGGGATATTTGTAATAGAGGTTCTGTGGTTCTGAAGAGGGGGGGGGTGATTTTTGATGACGTTTTTTGATTTGTGACTCTTGAAGCGTTGCCGAATTGTCACTACAAAATCACAAGTCCTCATCGGTTTCGGCTGTTGGCTGCGAATATGTGATGAATGTAAACTGGCCAAGAAGGCCGATTCATTGAATTTCAAAATTGAGAACGATTTGTATCGTTACATGGTACTACGCGTCTTGGACTACGTGAACCCACTACTTTTTCCTTGTTCTGCTGATAATATATTACTGTATAATTTTTGATATACTGACGAGTCATTCTCGTCAAAACGAATTTCTTTTATGAGATATTGTGATCCTTGCGTCTCCTGGAAGACAGCGAAAAGTATGTTTCTTCTTTGTAGAGTAGGGCTTGAGTCATGGTTGATCCTGGCCCATCTCATCAACACATACCACAACAACCTACGAAACCCTACAGCTCTTTTTCCGTAGCGTGAATTCTATGCATATCTTTTCAGCTTCCCCATTAGGCCGCTTATTTGGCCTCCTCCTTGGCCTTGTCGAAATGCTCCTTGAAGTTGTCAGCATTCTCCTTGTTGCCGAATCTAATGGCCAAGGTCTGGGCCTCAGGCTCGCCCTCAGAGACATCGGCAGCAACAGTGTAGACCCAGGATCTGTCAGAACCAATGTTGGCCTTCAATTCGTAGTCTGGCTGGATCAAGTGGTTGGCACAAATCTTCAATGTCTTGTCTCTTCTCATGACAATTCTGGTCTTGCCGCTGGTCTTGTGCTTCAAGAACTTCACGTCACCTGTACCTCTCTCCTTCCACTCCTTAGACTCACCGTGGAATCTGAACAACTTAGCACGCACCTTGTAGACGACATCCTCGTTCTCCTCGTTGGTCTTCACATCAACCTTCTCCAAGTGCACCAATGGCTCGAAGTGGACGTCAGCCTCCTCCTCATCGGCGGCATCGTCGTCGTCCTTCTTGTCAGACTTCTCCTCCTTCTTCTCCTCCTTCTTGTCTTCCTCCTTCAGCTCTTCCTTGTCGTCCTCTTTCTTCTCCTTCTTGGCACCGAACATGGAGAAGACGTTGGAAGTAGGCACGCCAGAGGATGCAGAGGTCTCTTCAACCTTTGGTTTAGTTTCTTCGGCAGACATTATTGTGTGTACCTAAACAGAGTGTTTGTGAATATGATCTATGGAAACTTTTTCCTTCACCTTCCATGTCGCGCGCACGACATACCTCCATCAACATTTCTACGCAGAGGCCGTTTACTTCTCAATTTAATATATTCCTTTGTAAAAGTTAATGGTGGAATTTTTTTTTTCCCTTGGTGAGTGTAGTATGAATTTTAATGATCAATCTTCCATGTCGGCCGGTTTGATCAATCCGGCAACCTTGAGATCCTTCTCTCTCTTGATTCTATTCTGTTCTTGCTTCTCAAGCTCCTTGTCTTCAGCGTAAAGGTAGTCGGTGGCATCTCCGCCAAACTCCTTGATTTGCACGAGGAAGTCTCTCAACGTGCCCTTGAATTTTTCGAGATCCTTGTATACGCCAGTCAACACGTTCAAGAAGTTGACGAGCTGCTCTCTCTGCAAATTCTCAAATGCCGACGACAAAGAGTTGCCCAAGTACTCCTTGAGGTATTGTGAGTTGGTAGTGCCCTCAGCAGCTTGTCCTGGAGGGTACAATGGGTCCTTGATGACGCCATCCTCGACGAGATGGAGAAGTTGAGCAAGAAGCTGTGCCTGGTAGTTGAAACCAGATTTGTGATCTGGTTGTGTCAACACATAGAATGTATCCGAAAGAATTTGGAAGTAGAAGTTCTCGTAGAAGACCTTGGTGAATGGTGTGCTACCGAGCTTTTCGACGTTTTCGATCAATTCTATCGTCAATGACAAACCATTCTCCTCGACTTCTCTGTTATTATGTCTCAAAGCCCAGAGGGATGCATTGATTAACAATTGGAAGGCCTCGCCCGAAAGCTGCAACAAAGCTTCGAAGCATTTAGAATTGATCTCCTTCAACAACTTATAGTACTCGACTCTATGCTCAGGGTACTCGACAAAATCGTTCTTGATCATATCAAGTGTGCATTCAAACACATTTTGAAGTATGAGGAAAACACCAGATGGAATCATGTGGCCCACCTTGGAAACCAATGCAGTCATACAATTCAAAACCTCAGCATCACGAGCATCAGGGACATTGCTCTTGTAGTCTCCCAACACGGCTGAAAACAATGGCTGGGAAAGATCGCGAACGATTTCATCCAAATTGTCTGCCTGATTAATGTAAGTCTCAATCATCTTCAAGATTTCCTTCTTGATGGTTCTCAAGCCTCTCACTTTTGGAGTTTTGGTGGCAATGACGCCCTCAGATGCAACTAGGTTTGAGATCATCTCACTGACAGCCTTGTACAAAGACAACATGTCAACATACATCAAGCCAAGCTGGGAGTAGAAACCAGGCCCCATGGCTTTACAGACAGCAACATTTGTCTTGATGATGTTAGCAATGATCTTCACATTCTCGCTGTCGACCAACAAAGTGGAGTCTTGTGCAGCTCTCTCTACGATAGCCTTCCAAGCGACATTTGGTAGAGCCATTAAGTCACTTAAAAGCTTATCACGAGAATCCTTTTGGGTCTGTGCACTGACGATGATACCACAGGCTTCGTAGAATGTGTGCACCTGTTGAGGCAGCAAGTCCTCAGTGATGGATTGTATGTTGCGGATGATCTCAACGATAAATGGCTCTGTCTCAGCTGGTTGCGTAACAACAAAATGTCTCTTACACTTTGTCGTTATCTTGATAAATGTATCACATGCCATATCTTGCACACCCTCATGGGACTCGTGCATAAACTCGAACAACTTGTTGACGACAGTCTTTAAGAACTTCCAGTGAGCCTTCAAGAACCTGGGGTATTGGCCAACAATGTACATGATGTTCGAGGCCACGACAGCCTTGTTATCTTTACCTCTCTTCAAATCAGTCAAGGACAACAAGTCCTTGATAACACCAACAAGGAAACGCTTTTCCATATCTTCATTCATCGTACCGGAGATGGAACCAATGGCCCAACACAAGGTATTGATGTTTTGCCACGACCACTCGCTTTCGTCGATTTGACGGGCAAGTTTCTCCTCCATAATATTTTGGGTATCCACAACATCTGAATGGGTCAAATACACGAGAACTTCTCTCATAGATTTGTACAACTGGATGGTGTCACTCTCCTTCACGAACTCTCTAACAATTTCACCCTCATCGTTCTCAACGATCAACACTTCCTCGGGTCTGACCATATTCTCAATCACCACCAATCTCAACTTGGAGAGGATGCCAGCGTACTTATGCTGTCTCAAGGGGAATCTAGCCAACACAGCTGGGTCTGGAGCACCATTTGAAGATGGACGTAACGAAGAGCCGTAGGAAAGCTGCATCAATGGACTCAACTCATTAGCAGGCAAGTTCTGGATCTCTTCGAACAAACCCTGGACGAAGCCAGTCCAGAAGTCCAAGCACGTTTTGAATAATTCACGCTCCTCAATTCTAGAGAGTTCAATAAGGTACTCCAATGAAATAAGGAGCAACTCTTTCAAGCCGTCAGCCAGTTCTAGGGCCTGAAGGTGGTTGTGCAAGAAAGTGCACAAGAACATGGCCAAGTCTTGCAAGAATGACTGGTCATCTGAGTTTGCCACCTGGTAGGACTTTTTGAGGGTAGTACCGGAGTTCAATGGCACAATCGTGACAATCTTCTCCATGGCGTTCTGGAAGAAGCCCACAAATTTCTCTTCGTTACCTGGAGACACCAAACTCGAAACTTCGGTCAAACACTTGAGAGTGATAGCTCTCGTATCAGCTGGGGCCAAGAACTTGTTGGTCAACAAATGCAAAAGGTCTGTCTCAAAGATGTAGTTCAACGGAATCCAATGAATGTATCTCAAGAGGGCATTAAGAGTGGCCACGATCAAAGAAACCTTGTTGGTCTTGTCTAAAATTTCGTAACACAATTTGAAAATTTGCTCAAACTCGGCCTTCAAACTCAACTTCAAGTTATTGGCCTTAGCTTGGGTCATGGACTCCTGGGAGAAGTCGAACACTTCCTCACTCATCAACTTCAAAATGATCATGTTGTTCTCACAAACGTTGAAGGACGAACGGGAGCTCATGACAATTTCAGGAATAAACTGTGGCCAGTTGTGTGGCCACTCCTGCTTCAAGACAGACACCAATGTCAAGTCAATTTTGTTGATGAGAGCTCTCTCGGTCTTGAAGATTTGCTCGTCATCACACAAGGCGATAATCATATCGACAATGAAGTTCCTGATGCCAACACGCTCAGTCTCAGGAATAGTCTTCCATCTGTACTGGATTAACTTGTTCAAGCAGGACAAAGCAATGTATTTGGATTGGGCATTTTTGGACAGCGAAAGAATGGCATCTGCTCGTTTCCAAGAGTCAGGGTTCTCCTGAAACTGGTTGAGCACGAGTTGTGCTTGTCGTTGGTCTGGGCCTGATTTGTAGAATGTTTCTACGACTTTGTCGAACAAGTCGAGGTCAAGATCCTTGGAGAAGTCTAGGATCCCCTCCATACTGTTAAACTTTTTTTGTATTCCGTAATTTGCCACAAGCTGTTGTTAGTATATTGTTTCATCAATCGCTTAGAAAACCATAACATGACAGTTCTATTGGTTGGAGGCGAATTCCGTGTTGGGTGACACTCGGAATTGCGCTGGATCTAAAAAACTAAATAAGAATTAATTGAACATACTTTTTATGGCGCAATGGTGCAAGGGATTGGGGATATACTCCTAAAGTATGGTCTTCGGATATGGAAACAAGATAGAAAACGATTTGAGAAGTCGTGCTCAGCACAAAAGTATGAAGGGGACACCAGATAGCCCGCAGGTGTGTATGCAGGCGATACTAGTGAACATATAGAGACAGGCTTACAGTGTGATTAGGCCAAAATGTATTTTATGTAATTTTGATGAGTTTACTTGGTGGCGAAAGCAACACCCTTCTCGATGTTCTTGGACAACTGGTCAATGGCAACTTCCAACAACTTCTTCTCCTCGTCGCTGGCCTTCTCCAAAACGTCGTACTGAACAGAGGCAATACCGTCCTTGCTCAACTTGACTGGGAGAGAGAAGAAGTCCAAGTTTTTCACCAACTTCTTGGCCTCAGCAGCACCCTTGATGGAGGAGTCCAAGTAGAGGAAAGTGCACTCGGTGACATCCTCACCGGCAGCAGCCTTCAAGAGAGACTCGGCCAAGCGGTAACCAGCGAAAGCCATGGACAAGGTGGCGGAGCCAGCACCATCCTTGGCCTTGACGACCTCGTCACCACCGAACTGGACACGGTGGATCAATTCCTTCTTCTGCTCAGCAGACAACTTGTCGTAGTGAGACTTAGCACCCTGGGAGTACAATGGCACAATGGTCTCGCCCGAGTGACCACCGACAACTCTGATCTCAAAGTCAGTTGGCTTGGTCTCGGATGGGTAGAGCTGGGAGATGAAGGTGTTAGCACGGACAATGTCCAAGGTGGTGACACCGAACAAACGAGCTGGGTCGAAAACACCCTTGGCCTTCAAGGTCTCAGCGACAATTGGCACGGTGGAGTTGACTGGGTTGGAGATGATCAACACGAAAGCCTTAGGGGCGTTCTCAGCGATACCCTCGGCCAAGCCCTTGACGATGGAGGCGTTGATGTTGAACAAGTCGTCTCTGGTCATACCAGGCTTTCTTGGGACACCAGCTGGGATGATGACAAGGTCAGAACCCTTGAGGGACTCAGCAAGAGCGGTCTTGTCCTCCTTGGAAGAAGGCAAGAAAGCCTTGGTGGCGGCGTCGGTGTTAATGTGAGACAAGTCAGCACCAACACCAGGGACATTGACAACGTCGAATAGAGACAATTCAGAGACCTGGGGGTTGAGCTTCAAAAGGAGGGACAAAGGCTGACCGATACCGCCGGCAGCACCGCAAACTGTGACTTTAACCATGATTTAAATAAGTGATTCGTTGGGAATTGAGTAAGAGGAAAAAAAAACCCTGAGGTCCGGGGTGCCTTATATAGGAGCGAGAAAACTGGGGAACCCGCGCCAGGTGCACATGGGAGGCTCCGGGCACCCGGACCGAGGAAAACCTGGATCCCGGGTTCTGCCGGGCTGGATCCAGTCGGATAATTTAGCACGATCCAGCTGTCAAAGCTTGGGGTGAAGGCAGGGAGAGAGGGAGGTGAAAGCTCGACAGGACTTGTCAGCAATTGGTGTCTTTTGATTGGCTGATTCAGTGTGGGGTGAGTCAATGAGGGTGTCGCGGCCAATTGAGTGGGCGATGCTGGAGAATTGACTTTTTCGATGTGTGAAATATAACGGTTTTGGCTGGCAGTGGGGCAGGTTGGGTTGCTAGTTTCTGCCTGGTTTACAGTGGCTGCGAAAGGTCTAAACCCGGGGTGCGACTGTGGTGTCTTTGAACGGGTGGATGGTTTGGTGTTTTGTTTTGATTTTGTTGGATGAATTGGATCAAAATTCAATATGGATTGAGTATGTGAATTATTTGATTTGAAAATTGCCCAATTGATGTTGAATGGTAGGACTAGTGCCACCCTGGGGTAGCTACTGCGAATACAGGATACCGGGCGGTGTAGCAGACATGATCCTGAGTTGTCCGGGCACAAACGGGCCAGAACGGAGAGAAATCCGAGTCGGCAGTTGTTGGTTCTGCTTTTCTTCTGACTTATGTTCAATGATTCTTGTAAAAGTTAATTATGAATAAGAAGCCGGAGTATGGGGCTGCAAGTTGGGCCCGGCTGCGAACCTAACGCCGGAAGGTGTCAAAACGGGATCGAAAACGCCGACCGGCGATAGCGTCAGGCACCCAATTTTACAGAAGTCAGTAGTGACAGAATTTCGAGTGGGGCTACGAACTCGAGGCAGGGCACCTTACTGTGCTCATTCTGATTCAATAGTTAAACTGAACTAGCGAATTCTTCAAGATATTGAATTGTTTGACTCCGTGATTTATGGATAAACATATAGGCCCGGTAGCGCTGAGGGTTCGCTTTCCAAGAAACCATCGAATAGGTATGTTCTGTACTCGTCGACCGTCATGACAGCTTCTACTCCCCTTTTGCCAACAAGAACTTACAAGCACAAGCGAAAACACGATTTTTCAAAATTCCTCCACAAAACCGTCACCAACCTAAAATCGCCAGCAAGTATCCAAATCAGTCTCCTCGCATCGGCGTCGACCTTGCAGCCTCACCCCAAGTACTCTCTCATTCTGCACAACACTCGTATTTTTACCAACGCAGGCCAAGCCAAACCACACAAAGAAACCCCAAAATCGCCCCACACATCAGCTCAACCCAATTTCCTTGGTTATCCAATCACCTTCGATTTCACAGTCCACTAGCCACATCCAATACGTGTGAGGCTCGGAAAAACTACCTGGTCCGGCTTCGCTCCGCCAAACGGAAGAACCCCACCCCCACGCCGCGTAAAGGTTATTTCAACAATTGGACAAAGAAAGGCTAAAAAGAAGCACGATGCCGTACCTGGGCTTCAGTGAGCGTCACGCTGGATGGAACATCCACCTTTAGAGATATATATCACGATTATCGGAGGAAAACAAAGAATGTTTTCTTCAAGAAACCAATCCTTCTTTCATCCTTCAGAAGGTGGAAACGCCCCGCAAGGCTTGCGGCGTTCGTATGGTCGCCAAGCAGTCTTTGAGACATTGCGAAAGCCGCAACCACGACGAGAACAGGGTACGAAAGACGTGGCAAAAGCAAACACAAAGGGGAAATTTTGACAATAATTCGAAAACGTTGACCACCCTTCAAATTAAAAAAAATCATCGGCCCGCTTTTTCCTCATTGCTTTCCGAATGCCGTTTCCTGCCCGGTGCATTCATGTCTGCTTTTTTCTGGGGCTGACTATCGCTACTTGCAGGCATCTGCGCACGCTACCCCATATAAAGCAGTACGAGATCTCATCGTCTAAAAAACATCCCATGAACAACCCTTTTAGAAGATCGTCCCAGCTGAGCGACGATGACCCCTTCGACGTCCCAGAGAACTACTACGGTGCCGACACCGATCCCGCCCAGGCGCCCAAGAACTCCCGTTTTGGCCGGGTCAGGACGTTTTCTGTGTTTGAATCAAAGACCAACCGTTTGAACATGTTGCTGCCTAACGCTTCCCAGTCTTCTACTGAGGACGGCTTGGATGACCAGCAATCTCTGGAATCCTCTCCGACGCCTCCTCCGCCTCGCGTGGACTCGCTCAGAAGAGGCCTGATTGTGCCTATCTACCACGATACCATCAGCACGGACTCCTTGGGTGGCACCACCAAACCCGTGGAGACTAGAGCTCCGCTTACTCAGCGTAGAGCGTCGCTTGACTCCTCCATCATGGCGCCAAAGAAGTTCTACATCAACGATATCGATTTGACCCTCAGGGAGCTCTTGCAGAACGAGGACACAGACCACAACTTCCAGATCACGATCGAGGACCTGGGGCCCAAGGTTTTGAACCTCGGAACGGTCAACTCCAACGGCTACAACCAGTTCGCCGTGAGGGGAAACTACCAGCTCTCCAACTTGCTTCAGGAGCTCACCATCGCCAAGCGGTTTGGCCGGAACCAGATGATCTTGGACGAGCAGCGTCTTTGCGAGAACCCCGTTCGCCGTATGAAACGTCTTATCCTGACCCAATTCTGGAGAGCTCTCACCAGAAAGATCACGAGGGAGAATATCGTGGATATGGCCAGAGACACCAAGATCGTGGAGGAGTACACCAACGAGAAGGGCGAACTCGTGAGAAATGCAGAGTCCGTGAGGTTGTATGTGCCCCACGACAGGCCTGACCAGTACAAGTACTTCAGCTCGATTAAGGAGGAGCACCCTGACATCACTTTGGACGTGCAATATCTCCCCAAGAAGATAGACGCTACTTACATCAAGTCGATCAACAAGAAGCCCGGCCTTTTGGCCTTGGAAGCGAAAACCGCCAAAGACGGCGAGCTACTCAACGAGCCTTACGTGGTTCCCGGTGGCAGATTCAACGAGCTTTACGGCTGGGACTCCTACATGATCGTGTTGGGTCTTCTCTTAGACGCCACTCCCGAAAACCAGACAAACTTGCAGTTGTCTCGCGGCATGACCGAGAACTTCATCTACGAAATCAACTACTACAACAAGATATTGAACGCAAACCGGTCGTACTACTTGGGCCGCTCGCAGCCACCCTTCTTGACCGACATGGCTCTTAGGGTCTTCGACAAGACGCTTGAGATCAACCCAGGAAGCAGCGAAGACGCCTTGGATTTCCTTGAGAGGGCCGCTATTGCCGCAATCAAGGAATATGAGACTGTCTGGTGCTGCACACCCCGTCTCGACGAACGCACTGGTCTCTCATGCTACCATCCTGAAGGTGAAGGTATTCCCCCAGAGACCGAGGCCTCCCATTTCAATGCCATTCTTGCACCATACGTGAAGAAGCATAACGTAACACAGTCAGAGTTCATCGAGATGTACAACAACAAAAAGATCGAGGAGCCTGTCTTGGACGAGTACTTCTTACATGATCGAGCAGTTCGTGAGTCGGGCCACGACACTTCCTACCGTTTGGAAGGCAAGGCAGCTTACTTGGCGACAGTTGACTTGAACTCTTTGATCTACAAGTACGAGGTGGACATTGCGCATATTATAGAAACCCACTTTGGCGGCAAGTTGCTTGATCCACGTACGGGTGAGACCAACACTACTGCTCAGTGGCAGGAGAGGGCAGCCCTTCGCCAGCAGAGAATGACCAAGTACTTGTGGAACGAGGATGATTCGATGTTCTACGACTACCACATCAAGGAGCAGCAGCAAAGCAAGTATGAGCTGGCCACCTGTTTCTGGCCGTTGTACTCTGGTGCTGCCACAGAGGCTCAAGCAGATAAACTTGTGCGTAACTCTCTCCACAAGTTCGAAGAAGACGGAGGACTTGTGTCTGGTACATTGCGTTCTCGTGGAGAGGTGAACATCGACAGACCCTCGCGGCAGTGGGACTATCCTTTCGGCTGGGCACCTCAGCAAATGTTGGCTTGGATTGGATTGACAAACTATAATTACAACGGCGCTGCTCGACGTCTTGCCTATCGTTGGCTCTACATGATGACTCGAGCATTTGTGGACTACAACGGTGTTGTTGTCGAGAAGTACAATGTGCTTGAAGGAGCCGTTCCCCATCGTGTTGATGCAGAGTACGGCAATCAGGGAGCTGACTTCAAAGGTGTCGCTACAGAAGGTTTTGGCTGGGTCAATGCCAGTTACCTCTTTGGTCTCACCTTCATGAACTTGCAGGCACAAAGAAGTCTCGGTGCATTGATCCCTCCCGATGTTTTCTTCAAGAACCTCACCGAGTCCCAGAAAGAGCTCTACACATAAGGGCTTGGAAGGCCCATGAGCTGGAAATTTAGAGCTCTCTACATAATCATGCTTCGCTTTGTGAAGTACATAAAGTTTATCCGCGGATGCTGTGCGGCCGACGCACAATGATATAGTTGTCGACGTATAAACAGTTTTTTCGAAGCGCCGTAGCGTTGTCTCATTACATCATCGCGGTTATACTAGCACGACTATATCCGCAGACAGCTGCCTCGTACTAGTAACAGCAAGTAAACACCCGTACACCAGCAACGTTGAATTCTAGCAGCCCATGATTTTGCAGCACCAGTAAACTAGCAGCAGCAGCAGCAGTGGGCCAACGTCACTCTTTCACCAGGCACTCCCCATATATAATAGACAGCCCATGACCTCGTTGCTCAAAAGCCTGTTTCTCAGAAACAGGGCCGTGCATTGGCACCTGCTCCAACGAGCAGCCACGAGATCCAACTCAACAACCAACACCTTCAACACTGCCGTGGAAGCAGCGGAAAAGCTCGTGCAGCCAACAAAAGACAAGTCGTTTAATGACCCCTTTTCCATAGTCAGCCACGAAATGTCGTCGTTGGCCAAGCTGATAGCCAGTTTGATCGGCTCGGGCCACTCGACTCTCAACAGAGTCAGCAGCTACTACTTTGAGGCTGAGGGCAAGAACGTCCGCCCGCTTGTGGTGCTTTTGCTTTCTAAAGCCTTGCTGAATATCCCTGTGGAGGAGCGCAACAGGATCAGAATTGACTCCCAAGATGTCACAGACCAACCCGTATACCCCGGAACACCCCAAGGCACCGTGATAGCCGGAAATTCCGTGAACCAGCTGATTTCCCCCTTGGCCGTTTTGCATGGAATCAATCCTAAGGTCATTTTGGACCCTTTGCTGAAGCCCATGGACCAGCTTCCTCTGATGGATGCTGCTAATGGCATTTTGCCCAAGCAGAGACGTTTGGCTGAAATCGTGGAGATGATCCACACGGCCTCTTTGCTCCATGACGATGTTATTGATCTTTCGGACGCCCGCAGAGGCCGTCCCAGCGGCAATATTGCGTTCACAAACAAAATGGCTGTTTTGGCAGGCGACTTCCTTTTGGGCCGAGCCTCGGTCGCCATTGCTCGTTTGCGTAATCCAGAGGTGATTGAGTTGTTGTCAACGACGATTGCCAACTTGGTGGAGGGCGAGTTCATGCAGTTGAAAAACACTGTTATCAGCGGCGATGAGTCGATCAATAACGACGGTGAGATCAAGGACGTTCCTGAGCCTACAGGCAAGGTGCCTGTTGAGCAGCACAACTACCGCGTGGAAAAGCCCCAGGAGGTTGACCACGAGGTGAACGTGGACGCTGCTTTTGAGTACTACTTGCACAAGACTTACCTCAAGACTGCTTCGTTGATGTCGAAGCTGTCGAGAGCCGCTGCTGTGTTGAGCGGTGCTCAGGACGATATTATCGAAAACTGCTATGAATACGGCCGTAACTTGGGCTTGTGTTTCCAGGTTGTGGACGACATGTTGGACTACACCTCAAGCAATAGTGCGATTGGCAAGCCGAGCCAGGCTGACTTGAAGTTGGGTTTGGCCACGGCACCTATCTTGTTTGCATGGAGAGAGGAGCCTAAGCTTGGCGAGCTTATTGCCAGAAAATTTGCCGAGCCCGGTGATGTTGATATCGCTCGTAGGGCTGTGGATAGATACGGAGGATTGGAGAAAACCAGGGCCATGGCCCAGGACTACTGCACGCGGGCTCTTACCAACCTTAGAAATTTGCCTGAATCGGACGCCAGAAGCGCCTTGGAGTTCTTGACGAACTCCGTCTTGACCAGAACAAAATAACCCAGTACATAGCATATAGACGGACACTGGCTGCAAAATGGCAAAACAAGTAAACGTGATTTATATCATGTGACTTGGAGGTGTTACCCGGTCGCACCTCTGCCACTATATAAGCAAGCGCACTCCCATCTCAAAAAGGCTGTCGCCAGAAGATCAGTTTCAAAGTCGTACATGGTTCTTGCCTTTTACCAGAGCCATCCGGGAACTGTCTTTGCTAATGGTGTACTTTTATTTTTTGGAACCTCCTATCAAACCAAATCAATTTTTGATTGGTTTTTTCTTCTGGTGTGTTCTCTGAGGACAGAGACCTCATCAGAAGTTACCTACACTGCAATTTCTCTTTCCTGTGACCAATGCTATTTACAAACTATCTACGTGCTCTCCTTCTGCTTCAAGCGAAGCATCGACTCGCCATACAACTTCTTGGAGTCGGCGATCTTCACAAAGCTGCCGTTGGCTCCGGGCACTTGGCCCTTGACAACCAAAATGCCGTTGTCACCGTCAGCATGCAACACCTCTAGGTTTTGGGAAACACAGCTCTTTCCACCCATGCGTCCCGCCATCTTCTTGCCTGGCAAAACACGACCAGGGTCTTGTGTAGGACCCATGGAACCAGCGGATCTGTGTGCCAAAGAAACACCGTGAGTGGCCGCAAGACCCTTGAAACCGTGTCTCTTCATAACACCAGCAAAACCTTTACCCTTTGTGGTGCTCTTAATATCCACAAGCTGGCCAACGGCGAAGTAGTTGGCTGTGAGTTCCACACCAGGCTCGATGAGACCCTCGTCGGTTCTCACTCTGAACTCACCGTAGTTGGCTTTCGTCGTGACGCCTGCCTCATTGCAGATTTTGATTTCATGCTTCGTGACGTTTTTTATTTTGTCCTTCTGACCGAGGAGCACAGACAGGTAGCCGTCTTTGGCGACGGTCTTATTGGCAATCACCTCACAAGAGTCGATCTCAAGAACCGTGGCAGCGTATTGCACTCCGGTTTTCGTGAACCAAGAGATCATACCTCTTTTGATACCCAACATTCCTGGTCTTGCCAAAAGTGCTTTTCTCTCATTGGCAGCCTCTAAGGAATGGTTGATTCTAGATGGGGTGGTTCTCACATGGGGAACAGAGTGGAGTGACGGTATTTGTGCAGCGTTTCTGAAAGCCACGACTGACCTGACACTACCAGGGGCCCTCTTAGCTGCTAGGTTCCATAGAACTCCGGCCATTTTTGTCTTTTTTGAGGGGCCTTCAGACTATGTCTATGGTAGTAGTCTCTAGTCTCACCAAAATTTTCAGTACACAGGGGGTTCACGCACGACCTATCAGAGACAGCCTGAACGTTGTACATGGCTCTACAGAATTTTCCGATGAATGCTATTGTATTTACAGGGGGAAGACCGACTATTTGATCTTCTTTTGCTTGAGTTTGATCGTCTCGTCATCAACATAGAGACCCTTACCCTTATATGGCTCAGGCTTCTTGAACTCTCTGATTCGGGCTGCAAACAACTTGACCTGTTGCTTGTCAATGCCCTCAATTAGAAGACGTGCTGGCGACGGCAAGGATGCTTTCAAGTCGCTTGGCACCTTGTATCTGGGTGTGTATGGGTATCCCACTTTCAAGCCCACAACCTGGGAGCCGTTCTCTTCTTCTAAAAGAGCTCTGTAACCAACACCCACAAACTTGACGATGGCTAAGTGGCCCTCGGACGTGCCGATGACGTTGTTATGCACGATAGCTCTTGATGTTCCCCACATGGATCTCTGGACCTTGTCGGTTGGATCTTCAACCAGGACAGTGATTAGCTCACCGTCTTGCTTCACTTTCACAAAGCTGGGTACAAGAGTTCTCAAGACACCTTTAGGTCCCTTGACGACGATATTCTGATCTAGCATGAATCTCTGTTTACCCTTGGTGAATGATTTGCAGAACTCTGGAGGGATCTGTTCTGTGGAAACCTCCACGCCCTCGACCAAGCGCACAGGCGAGACACCCACAAAGGAAAATTGTGGCCTGCTGGTGGAGAACAGCCTTATGCTCCTGGCCAACATGTTCCACCTGTTCAACATCTTGTGCACTTTGAAGGTGTGAGATTCTGAAAATTTTGATGGTGTAGCGTACACACCTGTACACCAATACGTCTGGGGCACCATACACTGAAGATATTGTTGTGGATTTCGATTCAAATGTTGTAGTGGAGTGGGTAGTCATCAATGACACACAATGAGCTATTTAGATGAGGCTTGGATTCTTCATTTGTCAAAACTGACCTAGTGGTGTGGCAGAAAGTAGATCATGATGTATTTTGCAGCCATTCGCGATCACTTCCAACCACAGGGAGTATGGGTACTCAAAGAGATCAACTTCTATCAATATCTGAAGGAACCGTAAATCATGCGAATTTAAGTGACTTGAAGGTGGTGGCACCATTCAAAGGCATGTGTCAGTCCCAGAAAGTTCACCAATAATCTACCCTTCAAGGAGTAACTCCGTGAGAGGTCCCGTTCACGGCAAAGCTCAAATTTTTTCAAATGATTTGGGAGTTTGCCTTCAAAAAATTTCTCTGGCAACGTGAATCTACGGTTATTCGAATTGCCAGCAACAGCCACCTTAAAGTCGCTCCATCGAATCGACGGTAAGTTCCGCTTATTAACCAAGATTGTCTCCTCCGACAACTTGCTGTCTCCGTAATTCCCCTCGATCAATGTGATCATAGAATGTTCAAATCGGATTGTTGTGTCTTCCACAGGTCGATAAGTGCTGGCTTCTTTGAAGCCCTGTGCAACCATAAGTGTAACTTTGACAATTTCAGATAGCTCTATTCCCGGGCTAACGATAGCCACGGAAGTACACTCCAATGACTGGTGGAAATGCTTATGCCTATTGAGTACCACTCGAAACGAAAGGGGAATGTCTCTTTCACCAAAACGAAATGTCGGATACGGAAATGTTCTCTTGCGTAGCAGAATTGGATGTGAAGAGTTTGCTTCAATTATTTGACCATCCACTACAATGCATGTAGCAGCATGTGGCTTATCAGAGCTGGTACCGGTCCCAAAAGTAGGTGAGTCAATGATTCTGGTCTCCCAGCAAGGCTTCATTTTTCTTTCGAAACTCGTTGATTCAGAAGAGCCCTTCAACCACATCTGACACTTAGCCGCTGGGTTTTCTAAGGTGGTTTTGCCATCTTCTTCACATTGTGAAGTTTTCGACTTGTAAGTCCTATCAGCAGATAGAATAACGCATCCCTTTTCACCACTTCGGTGCAACAGAAAGGCGTACCGTTGGAACTTTCCTGTGAATCCGTCTGCTCCCAAACGGCTGAACGACAGCAAACCATCGGAAGTCGCCTCAATTCTTTGAAGATCGTCCATGAAAAATCTGCGTTTGGAAAATTCGTCGCCATAATCGCCCAAATAACCCGAAAGGGACTGATGTACGTTTTTTTCGCTCATCCGTATGAACTTTTTCACTGCCATGTGAAGCTCGATAAACGCAGTTGCCTTGAAAGTGGGAATCTGTTCGCTGGAGATCGTCAATGTGACGTTTAGGCCATATGTTCTGGTGAAGTCCCCGGTAAAAAACGTGGGACCCACTTTTGGAATCACACAATTGTACATCGTATGGGGTACCATGATTTTCCCGTTCAGCGGGTCGATCGCCAAGGAGACATCCTTCTCTGACAACACCAAACCCTCGATGTCTGTGAGTTCAAAGTCCCTGTTAGGCACACATCTGAATTCTTGTAATTCAACACGGATATTGGTCAAATAAAGTGGCTCCTTAAGCTTGTTCGACCTTTTCCCACCAATAAATTGTAAGCTCAACGGAAGGAATCTTGCTACGTGCATCCCAGGAACAACAATACGAGCGTACGCTTCTTGTCGAAACCACGTAGCTTGCTCAAACTCGGCTTTGAATTCAAGTCTTCCAAAGCTTGTATCATGAGTCGAGCCCATGTCCATTTCGGACCCAGATCCATACAACTGATGGGACATTGGGAACTTTGGACCTGGAAACAATTCTCGCTTACTCCCATCAGCTAAAAAGCATTTCCCAACTACAGGCATTGGCATTTCAAGATCTGACCAGTCAAAGGTGTGGTATGTGTAAGTTACTTCGAAAACAAGCATCGTGCTGTCTGGATTTGGCCCTTTACCAAAAGAGGTGACGCCATTCTTCTTTCCAAAATGTTCGATATGAACATTCAGCTGAGGGTGTTCGGCCATGTCAAGGCTCTTTAGAACAAGCTCAGTAACCTGATGGTGCTCGTCTCGAATCAAGAAGCCCACTGTCCGGAACGAAAAGACATTGTTGTCTACAGCCTTCACCAAGCTATCCAACAGACGTGTGTAGTTTGTTCGAAGGTTCCGGAATTGATAAATTGTGCTCAACTTCTGTCGAGGGGCCTCATGATGAGGTTTAGCTCTGCGACTTAGGAAGTTCATCAAGAAAGCGTTCTTGTCTCACTCTGGCTAAGAAATCAATGGAGATAATATAAACTGGTTATTAAAAAGATCTTTCTATGTCATCGTTTGTAATACTTACGACCGCATGACCTCTTGGTATCGAATACGGTAGGCAGTGCCGAATGAGGCAGGTTTGGCCTAGTTAGTCGTGTGTGCGGTGTGAGAAATAATTAATTTTTTGGAAATCGGGAAAGGTAGTTGATGAATAAGGAAGGTGTTGCTCGGGAATAAATAGCAGCTTGGAGAGTGGTGTGCGACAGGGTAGAGTCTTTATTCAATGGGTTCAACATTGCAGATGGGTTTCCTCCAGTCCAACTTGGAAAACATTATTGAAGTATCTTTAGGAGATTGTCCTCGATAAATCGTCAATATTTAAGCAGCCCAAAGTGGTCACATCTCACTTCCCCAGATAGAAGTGGCATGGGGTGGACTACGTCATTGAGGCGAAAGTAATCCAAGTATCGTAACCCATTGTCCTAATAATAATTTCAAAATTTATAGAATGCAAATCTACAAAAAAAAAGCAGCCGTGCTTCGGGGTTTTGGAATTTGCAACCGTTGTGTACTGCATGGTACCCTACTGCTTAAAAAAGTCAATGCTCATCGATTTGGTTCACATCTTCAATCCACAATGGTCAGAAAACTTAAGCATCATGAGCAGAAATTGCTTAAGAAAGTTGACTTTCTCAACTGGAAACTGGACCAGGGTCACAGAGACACCACTGTTATGGCCCAATACCAAATCAGCAATAGAGAAGACTACCACAAGTACAACAAGATCTGTGGTGATATCAGAAAGATAGCTCACAAACTCTCCTTGCTACAACCCACGGACCCTTATAGAATCAAGCATGAGCAGCTTTTGCTCGAAAAATTATACAATATGGGCATTTTGGCCACAAAGTCGAAGATCTCAGACCTAGAAAATAAGGTTTCTGTGAGTGCCTTTTGCAGAAGACGTATTGGTGTGGTGATGTGTCGCCTTCGAATGGCCCAAAATATGAAAGATGCCAACCTTTTCGTTGAGCAAGGCCACGTGAGAGTTGGTCCTAACGTCATCACCGACCCGGCCTACTTGGTCACCAGAAACTTGGAGGACTACCTCACCTGGGTTGACAGCTCCAAGATCAAGAAGAACTTGCTCAAGTACAAGAACAAGATCGACGATTACGACTTGGCCTAAGGGCGGTGCCGGTTTATTTCTTTTTGATGACTATGTAATAGTCCATCTATGTATATTAACTAATCAATGCATTTACGTTTAAAAGTTGGTGTTCATCATCCTTCTCACCGCACTTTTACGGTTGCCAGGAATCAAGTCATCATGCGACTGCTGGTAGTCGTTAAGGTAGTTTGGCTGGGATGGTTGCTTAGGCAAGGAACCAGCCGGCTTGAATTTTCTTTGAGATTTGAATTCGTCGACTGGGTTCATGAGCGAGACTGAGGTTCTCGACAATTGGTGAGGGGATGGTGTGGGTCCGCCCTCCTCGCGAATAGTTGGTGGCATTTCGCTCGTGGGCGACCGTAAAGTAGTGAAAGAACCATTCTGAGTCAACTGAGGTGATGATCCTGCGCTTGATTCACCAAGGGATGTGCCCTACCCTTACCTCTAGGCTGGTAGTCAGTGAATGTCTCGATGGTGGAGCGGCGAATCTCCGAGGCACTTGGAAGCGACTTCAATGGGGGAAGTTCTGCTGGAGGAGGTGGCTGAAACTGCTCCGCTGGAAGCTGAACGTATGGATGCAGCAGGAATTGCTGATGAGGCATATTATACTGCTGAGGCTGTTGAGCGTCTTCAGCGAAGATTGGCGCCTCGTCGTAGATGGAGGACGTTGTCGTCTTACGCTTGTCGTATTGGGTGTCACCCTTCAACTGGTCGTTGATTTGCAAATGATCAATGTCGATCTTAGGCAATGGCTGGCTAGCATCGGCCTGGAAAGCACCATCTTCACCAACGGTAGTATTTGTACGCGTCGAATTGGAGCGGTCAAAGTAGACCTTGTAAACGGATTTCATTCTGGCTAGCTCTTCCGCTTGCGCTGGGTCCAAGTCTTCACGTTCTTGCGTGTCACCTTCACCCTCGTCATCACTGACATTCTTGAGTAAATCAAATGCAGACAATCTAGGAGATCGGGAAATGTTAGTTTTGGGGTCCATCGAACTGTTTGGCGTTGGATCAAGAGTGGGCTGCTCAGAATTGTCCTCATGAGACGCGTCATATGTGGTGTTTTGGGTTGGCTCTTCGGTTTCGAAAGTCTCGTTTTGCTCTTCGAAAGGCGACCTTACGAAAATAGCAGGCGCCACTTGGCGAGGCTCCTCATCTTCGTGCTCAGACTCGTGCTGTTCCGGCTCATCCTCATGTTCAGTCTCCTCAGCTTCCCGCGATGCAGTTTCTGGCTCCTCGTACTCGTCAGAAATGATTTTTCTCGTGTCTACGGGCTCCTCGTGGTTCGTTTCGAGGAATGGGCCTCTCGAATCACTGGCATCAGCAAAATCGTCGGAGGATGTGGTCGCATTGTCCTGCCTTTTGCGAGGCGATGCATGGGCTGATAATGTTTGATTGATGGGCAAGTCGTCTTCGTTTTCGTATTCCACCGTGAAATCGTGGTCGCTCAGCTTGGATGTATCGTTGGTGTCGTCGCTGACTTCCTCCTTGGTGTTGAAGTACTCGTTAGCGCTGAGCGAGGCGACCGAGTGGTTTGGAAGATTTTTGTAGTCCTCCTTCGTGAGTTTGCCGACGGGCGCCTCCTTTTCAGCCACGGTTTCTTGCTCATAGCGCAAGTTCAGTTTTTGAGGCAGAGTGTTGGTGCTCTCGCCTGGGGTGGTGGGGTTGTGGCGCAACAGGGACCTTCTAAATGTGGGAACGCGGTGGTCCACCAGGTGACGTGCAAACTCTTCCAAAGACGCCTTGGACAGCGTGTTGTGGTGGTAGGGCAAAACAAAGCCGTCAACAGGCGTGTCGTCGCCGGCGTTTCTGGTGGATACGGAGCCGACCTCCGTTGTTTTGTGATTGGAGGCAGAGTCCATGTGCTTGGAGTATGGCCTCACAGAGAAGCGGTTGTCAAACGGATCGTCCTTCGCGTATGGAGGGAAATCAGGGAGAGCAGTAGCATCTCCATTTTCATCGAAATCGGGGTCATGTTCCAAGGACTCTTTCTTGTTTTTGCGGTACCTCCACCACATCAAGAGACCAAGAGCAGCGAAAACAACCACCACGGGTATACCAATTCCCAACCCAACTTCAAGCCCAGTAGTGGAAACAGGCTTCTCACAGGAGTTACTTTTTGAATTTTTGCAAGGATCACCGGAGGCCAGGGAGCTCAGACTGGAGGAGGCCCTCTTGTCCAAGATCGTGGGGGTGGCCATGTCAATTTGTTTATTTGAAGCGAACGAAAGGCACGAAGCCGGTAAAGAAGAAATGAGTAGTCTGGTCTCGGTGGGTATTTTTTCCTTGATCCGAATCAGCGTGTCGCGCTGCGTGCACGGATTGGGCGGAAAAGCGCCCTGCGGCGAGAACGCCAATCGTAAACGGTGCCCAAAAGAAAGAATTTAGATTTAAGGTTCAAAAATGGTGCCGAAACGACTGTCAATTAAGGTGAATTTACCACTAGGGTTCTGGATATAGGCTATCTATGGGCCTATGGCACTCTCTACTGGATGATTGCAACTGTTCTGTGCACTTTGTTTATTGACAGCGCGCCTCGCCTAGGCGCCCATTTGGCTGCGAACGCCCAGACGCTCTGGACAATAGATACGTCTTTGGTGACAGGTCTCGCGAAAATTTAATTTACCATGTCTGCATCTGGTCGTAGAAATCCACTCTTTTGCCCTCGGGCAAGTTTCCAGCAATAACCTTTCTCAGGTAGTCAACAAGCGAACCGTGACCACAAGCAACAAACGCAACGGCGCCGTGAGCCTCTGAAATGTCGTCCTTGATGAGGCCTTCCACATCGGGGCGTCCTTCTCTGAACTCCACAAATGAAAATTGGCTGCGAATTGCTGCAGCCACATCCACATCCTCACCTTCACTCTTCTTTTCCTCGCTCGCCGTGTCGTCGAAAGACTGAACAAACGATGAGCCAAGATTCTCCTCAGGACGTGTCACGTAAACAATGGGTTGCACAGTGGTGTCCTTCAAACGCTGCAACTCCTCGTAAAACCACTCAATCAGGGTCCAGTGACGGATCATCCAGTACAATTTGATTCTCTGGTTACCTTGACGCTTGCTAAGGTCCCAGGCGCCAGAGTACAAGCCTGGAATACCACGACCTCCAGCAAGGAAAATGACGTCCTGGTAGTGCTGCAAAGGCGCCTTGTGGCCATATGGACCTTCCACGGAACACTTGATTCTGGCCTTACGCTCAGGCTGCAGGCTCAAGTATTGACACAAGCTGCTCAGCATGCCTCCCTTGACCTTGATGTAGAAAGTGATTGTCTGCTCCTCCACCACAGAGTCAAGCACTGTGAATGGGTGAGATTGCCAGAAACAGTTGGAGCGGAAGAAGTAGATGAAGCAGTGGGCCATTGGGAATGGCTTCCAGTACTTGTTACGTGGAATCTTCACTTTCAAGTTCTCGTCGTCAAACAATTGTACCTCGGCGGTCTTGACACCAAACCAAGCGAGTCTGCAGAGTCTAGCAAACTTGTCAAAAGCCCAAATAGCAGTGGCAGCGTACATGTACTGCTGGAAAGCGTGGTCGGCAATATGGATCCATGTACCTGCAATGAACAAGATGGCCAAAATGTTGTGTGAAAGAACAAAGAACTCGTAGTTCTTTTGACGGATGAACGAAAGCGAGTGGGCCATCATAAGAGCACCGGCAATGGTTGCAACATAACCCAACTTCATGTACATTTCCGCGTTACGTCTCACGTACTTGCCAGCACCCACACCATTGAGGGTCATACCGACAGCGTGAACAATGATGACAATGAAGAGGATTCTGGCGTACCACTGGTGAATAAGGTTGAATCTCGAGTAAGACCAGCCAGAAATGTACTCCATGAAGTTGTTTCTACCGGCAAACAAAACCAACTGGGGAACCATGTAGATGGCAATGACACCAGTTCTGTCGGCAATTTTTCTACCCATCTCGACTTCCTTCTTTGGCCAGATAGGGTTAGGAACATCATGCTGGAAGTTGGCCACATTAAATGCCACGCACAAGATGAACCAAATAAATATTAGGATCGTCTCCAATCTAGTTGGAATCACGTATTGGATAGCTTTGAGAAGGGTAGCATGCTCGCTGACCTTCCCGTTGAACAATCCTGGCAAGGTGATGTATCTTCTGTAGGTGTTGGAGACCTTGCCGTTCAACGAGTGGACAAAGCCTGGGAATGCAAACTTGGCAAGTCTACAGAGACCAGCAATGACAACAACCACACCCCAGTAGGCAAGAAGAACCCAACTGTAGTAGTGAGCGTAGTTGTAGTTGTAGTAACGGTGCAAGACAGAGTGGTAAGCACCGTCAATCTTCTTCTGAGAAATCTTCACAGGCAAACTGAACAATTTGGTCTTGTTGAAACCGGGAACAGCGGATGTGTTTGTGACCAAGTAGCTGGTAGCGTTGTCATATGCATCCCACAACTGCTCCTCAGTCAATTTGTACTTAGAACAGCCTTCCAAGAAGACACCAACAGCCTTAGGGTTTGGCATTTGCTTTAAACAGTGGGCCATCGAACCCAAAGCAGGCTGGTTGTCAACGTTACAGTAGGCAGCCTTATCTTTCTTACCATAAAGTGTGACAGTCTTACCGAGAATGGTGTCGCAGGCGTCAACGGTAAGCTGGTTTTTGTGGTAAATCATAAATCCATCGGAAGATGCAGATGCCGTGGCTGCTGTCACACAGACGGCGGCGAAAAGTTTGGTCAAACACACCATTACCTATAAGGAACCAAAACCGAGCCAATCAATCTAAGGAAAAAAAAAAAGAGCGGAAGCAGAGCAGGCTTTGCTTTAATATATGAACGCCTTCGGAAAGGCTTGAGAAAGGATTATGCACTTGGGCGTGGCTTTATCCAGCTGAATCTGACAAAAGCTGGTGCCCAATTTTGCAACTGCAGTTCGCCAGTGCGAGAGTACAGGATATTCTGCATCCACGATGCATGAATAGGTTTCATTTGGTGTGCCTCAAGCTGTACGAGGCTCTGCTGCAGTACAGCAGCTGTCAGTTCCTAATTTCGCTCGCTGACAGGACGCGCCAAGAAAAAAAAAAAAGTACCAAAAGCTGTCAGTTTATCTGTCAATCAACGTTCAAATTCGAAAACTCATTCAGCAATCGGCCTTGGGCTTTGTCGACTAGGGACGATCGGGATCTCCCTGCAAGCGAATGCCATGGGGATAAATCCGCTGGATATTTGTGAAGATTTTTCGCAGATTTTGTGCCGTACGTTGTCGCCCAGATTCATCAGATAATCGATGCCATAGCCATAGCGCCGCATCGACACAAAGTAGGTGCTTCTGACATACGCAACAAAGGCATCTCTAACCCGTCAGTGTGTCAACAACAGCGTGGCACTTTCTTGGCAAAGGTAACTGGTACATGAATTCATGCTGGGGACATGGAACACGGAGCCTGTGATTGGAGCATTTGCTTTATAGCTTCGGCGGCATTACAAAGTGCGCGAGGGGTGGCTCTTTCGCAAAATGTTAGTCGGTTCGGGCAAACCCCCCATTGTCGGAGCACAAACTTCATTGGTCGGTGCCGCATGGGACTCGTATTGCGATACGTTTGTCAAAACCGCTGATCGGTCTACAGAACACTGCTTGCTGCAGCGCGGAAGATTTCCATATTGTGCTGTGACTTCAACATTGAGGCGGACCGTTTTCAACGCACAAAAGTATCTTCCTGAACCACTATGCCTCCCCAACCCCTCGGCCCCTAGATTGTAAAGATACCATGTATCTTGACGCCACAAACCCTCACATCGGCGTTGTACTTCAGGATGCCGAGAGACGCTCTCTCTTTCTGTAGGAGGCTTATGCTCCAACATTCCGCCGTATTGAGACGGCTGCGATAGGCTCCCAGACTGACAGTAATGCAGGTATCCTTGTCTTGTACTCGATATTTTAGCCCACCTTGCAGGCTTCCAGCACGCCCATGGAGGCTGCATGCTCCTGTTGATTGACATCTGCGTTATTGTCCTGTCGATCAGCCGCCAAATCCCTGGATGCTGAGAGGCTGGATTCAGCTCCGGCGCTAGCCAGCGCATAAGCCGAAATGGCACCACATTTATCAGCATGCTATTTGGCGATTTGCGGTTCATTTCTAAGCCTTTCATCTCCGCATGCGAGGGGCATCATCCTGGCCGGTTGCATACTGTCGTCTGCCTCTGTCTCATGTAATGTTCATTGATTTGAGTTGGGCTTCTAGTTCGAGATCGGCTTCTGTGAGGTAATCTTCGAGCTCTTCCTCATACTGTTCGGGGTCCTGGGGATGCCCACTTTCCTGATAGTGCTGCTCCTGCTCCTCATCTACCAAAGTATCCACATCGACCTGAAAAGCTTCAGCTTGTTGTTGAAGTCGTTTTTGGTAGTCCTCGTCGCTTTCTCTGCTGTGCCTTTCCTCCCTTTGTTGTCGAAGCCTTTCCTGGCGCTTACTCTCTCGAATCTGCTGCTGATTGTTCACCACCTTGGTCTTCAGTAGTGGCGAGGACATTGGATGATATAGAGCATTGCCACGCTCCTTCTGTGCCTGAGCCATGTCCTCTGTGGCCAGACCGCCTCGTAGCGGCAGCGAGTTCCACTGATTCATGACTAGCATTGAGGTTCTGGGGGCTTCTTATGATGGATTGGTCTTGCTACTCGCACGTGATAGCAGTAACCTATTCCGGTGACTTTAATAGCTCAAGCGCGTCAGCGGGACGAAGCTATAAGCGATTCTTCTATGCGTAAGCGAATTTAATTTCTTCCTGGACCGTGCTTCTGCTTAGGTCTCGTGTGGTTGTGCGTTGTAGGCGCGTCAGATTGATTGCAACTACATCGCGCATTCTTCTTACACCTAACCATGGTATTCGATGAGTATGATCCGGAAACCATGATACCTTTGGTGAAGCTCATGCTGGAGTTCGCCAAAGAGATATTTCCATCCACATTAGAAGCAAATGACCAGGTCCTACATCGCAAGTTGGCATACGGCAAAGGCGTCCATCTTGAGCAGTCTGTCGCCATCGTGAACAATTGTATGGGTCCATTGTACGTGGCACACAAGGGCAAGGGTTGGAAAAAGCAGAAAGAAGATGAATTGAGGGAAATCGGGCTACTATTTATATGGTATGCCTTGGAGGACTCTCCCAAAATGGGTGCCTTGGTGGTGTGCAAGCTAGTTGACGAGCATACGCTATTCTTGTATGAGATCCAAGTTCTTCCTGATTATCAGAACCACAAGTGGGGCACAAAGCTTATGGACAGCTTTCATGCATTGGCGAAGAAGCTAGATGATTCTTCGCTTAACGACACAGAACTTGACGAGTTTCTTCGAACAAACTGCACTACAGAGTACACTGGCTTGACCGTGTTCCCAGATAACGAAAGAGCACTCAAGTGGTACAAGCAACTCGGCTACACCTACTCTGCTAATTCGCCGAGAGACAGAAAGACTCGCCTTCGGGTTATCAAGCCCGACTTCTACGAGTTGGAGAGGGAAGTCGACTAAACATAAATCGTCCGATTAAACATATTTTTTTGTAAATCAATATTACAGCGTTATGCCTGAGCCTTCTCCTCAAGCTTAGGCGCCTCGCCCTGAATAGCTTCCTTCTTGATCTCCTGAGGCTGCTCCTTAGGCTTCTCAGACGGCTGCTCCTTAGTCTCCTTTGGCTTCTCTGTAGCCTCCTTCTTAGGTTCCTCTTTAGGCTCCTTCTTTGTCTCATCCTTGGACTCCTTCTTTGGGGCATCCTTCTTGGGAGCGTCAGCCTGGCTCTTGATTCTAGTATACATGGCAGTGATCTTCAGACTGGGCACCTTGGCGGGCCAGTAGAAACTGGCGTAAGACCACAAATGCTTGCTGAACTTGTCGTCCTTCTTCTCCTTGCAGGTGTCATCAATAAACTCACCAATGTTGACCAACTCTTTTCTGAGCAACATGGCCCACTCGTGCTTACCCAAGCCCTGGTTGCCCTTGTGCAACTTCATCAATGACTTGGCAACGGGCTTCAAAGTAGCCTTGCACAATCTTTCATCCATGCTGTCGTACTCCAAGTAGTCATCGTTCTCGTCGTGGTGGTCCTCATCATTTTTGATCTTCATGGTAGGATGACTATCAAGCTTTGGAGAGTTGATGTTGGAGCCAGAACCAGTCTTTTTGGCCTTGGGTTTTTTGACCTTGACATCTGGCGATTGCGACTTGGTGGTCTTCTTTGGCTTGGCTTCAGCCTTGGGCTTCTTGACAGTCTTCTTCTTCGTGGTACCATTGGTGCCTGCTGCTGCACCGTCCTCTTCGCCTCTCAAAAGGAAGAACAAGTAGTCGACTCTTCTTCCGATGTGAACTGCGCCTGGCACCTTTTTGTTGGAGCCCTTCGCCTCCTTCTCAGAAGGCTTCTCGTTCGCCTTGCTGGCACCTTCGAGGAAAAGCTTGTTCTGTAAGCCCAAGAGCGGGTCATCTCTGATCTGTGTCCATGAGCCGTAACCAAACTTGTTGACACCGACAAGAAGCATAGCATCGTCCTTAGCGCTCCACTGACAGTTCCAGTTCAGCACCAGCTTTGGAGTGCGTGGAAGTTCGAACGAGAGTGGGTTCTCCTTAGGAATGAGGGACTCAAGAAGTCTCATGTCTGGTGGTCTGGACAAGACTAGTTCAGCGTTGATGTTCTTCACGCCTTGATAGGTAAACAAGACAGCCTTCTTCTCCTTCTTTTTAGCAATCCACAAAGCCATTGGGTTCTCGCCATCCGTTTGCACGGTTGAGGACTTTGACTCCTTGGCCTTTCTCTCCAACTCAGCAAGAGCTTCTGTTCTTCTTGCCTCTTCTTCCTTCACCAATTTCTTGGAGATGCTGAGAATCTCATTGTAGGCATGCTTGATGAGAACAGGGTTCTTGTTGGAAATACTGCCCTCTTCGACAAGTTGATTCCATTTGCCAGACAAATCGCCAATTCTGAGGATGGATCTATAAATACCACGAATTTCCTTCTCAGACAACTCATGGTTTTCTTCCACCTTCTTTCTAGCAGCACGTCTTCCACTGCCCTCTTCTTCGTCATCTTCATCAACACCACTGGTGTCTGGAGTTCCTCCTTGCAATTGTTTGACGGCAGCTCTTCTGCGAGAATACATAGCAATTTGCTCGTTGAGATAGTCCTCCTCGGCCTTCTTCTTCTCCTCTTCTTTGAGTTTGACCAATTCATCTTGTGGAATAATGTCATCCCACTCGACATCTGCCTTGTAGTCAGTGACCTCGAACTGCTTCAAGAACTCCTCGGATCCCAAGTTGGACTCGCCAATTTCAGGAGTGGTGACATGATCTTCGGCTCTGTTCAAGACATCGTCCAAGTTCAATTCCTCCAATTTCTTCTGATTATCAGAGGCTGCAAACATGTTAGCTGCACCAAACTTCAAGATCTGCGCAAGCTCACTCGAGTTGGGCTCGTTCTTGTTCTTCTTGCCTGTGTTTGGATCGTTCATTCCCAAAGAGATAATTGCGTACTCGAGAATCATCTTCTTTCTGGCCCTTTCAAGAATCTCCTCTTCAACAGTATCCTTACTGACAAATCTGTACACTGAGACGTGCTTCTTCTGACCGATTCTATGAGCACGAGCCATGGCCTGCAAGTCGGCTTGTGGATTCCAGTCAGAATCGAAGATGATAACCGTATCAGCCGTCATCAAGTTAATACCCAAACCACCGGCTCTTGTGGACAACAAGAATGCAAAGTCTCTGGAGTCTGGTGCATTAAAATGATCGATGGAGATTTTTCTTTGTGCAGATGGAATACCACCATCCAAACGCTGAAACTGGTAGCCTTTGATAGACATGTAGTCACCCAAGATATCAAGAATTCTCACCATTTGCGAGAAGATCAACACTCTGTGGCCTTCCTTCTTCAACCTCGTCAAAAGTTGTTCTAGAAGCACCATCTTACCAGAGTTCATGATCATACCCTTGAGGATATTGTCCCTAGAAGCACCCCCTGCCTTGACAAGGAACTTCTCTTCAGCGCCATCGAATAAGTAGGGATGGTTCGAGGCTTTCTTCAACTCACTCATCACGTTCAACAAGGAAATCTGAGAGCCCTTGATACCGGCATTCAAAGCGGCATAGTTTCTGGTAATGATGTTTCGGTAGTATTCGGTTTGCACATCGGACAACTCGACTCTGAGAATACGTTCCGATTTAGACGGAAGAGACTTCTCCACATCCTTTTTGAGACGTCTCAAGATGAATGGCTTGATACTCAGTTGCAAGTACTTGATGTACTCTTCTTGTTCTGCGTCTTGAGCTTCGAAGTCGATCTCCTGGTCAATGTTGAACTTTCCTGGCATCAAGAAGTTACACAAGGCCGCAAGCTCTTTGATGTTGTTCTGCAACGGTGTACCGGTAATCAACAATCTGTTGGCCACCTTGAACAGCTTTAAAGACTCATACAACGAAGACTCTGCGTTCTTCAATCTATGAGCCTCATCAACAGCGAGGAACTGCCACTTGAAAGCGCCAAGCTCATTTCTGTCCTTCAAAATATATTCGTAGGTGGTTAAAAGGATATTGAACTTAGGCTTGTTGGTGGAGCCGTAGAACTCGTAGTCACGGATGTTTCTTCTGGCCTCGGTGTTACCCAAGTAGTAAATGCAGTTTACATCCGGGGACCACTTCTCAAAAGTCTCTTGCCATGCTGGAATAGTACTGAGAGGGACCACGACCAAGTGAGGACCATTTTGTCTGCGTGCGTAGATCAACCATGACAAGAAGGCCACAGTTTGAACGGTCTTACCAAGACCCATCTCGTCTGCCAAGATACCATTCTCGTTACGCGACCATAAGAAAGCCATCCAGTTCAAACCGGTCAACTGGAAGTCTCTCAATTCACCGTTCTTGATGAACAACGGCTGCTTGTTCAACTTCTCGAAACGAGGTCTCTGGTTCTGTGGATAGTTGGCAGACAAGTTAGGAAGAATCTTTGATTGAAGACGCAGCTGGTACTTGCTGACCTGCTCTGGAGCAATCTCGGCGATCGTTTCAGCATTTTCCCAAGAACACTCATCGTAGTAGAGTCTCCTCCACTTGACGTAGTACTGTAGTTGCGAGGTGCCGTCATCAAGCTCAACTCTATCGCTATCGACGATACGCTCAACCTGAGTATATTCTTCTTGTTCGTCTCTCTTACGCTCGCGCTCGATGTCCATTGCCTCGATGTCTTCCTTGGTGGTATAAGGATCATCACGAATCTCTTGATCCAAGATGATGAACTGCTTGATGTAGTTCTCGACTCTCCGGCTACCTTTGAATTCCTTGAGCGTGGGCCAAGGTTCCCATGTGTTGTGCAAGTGAGAAGCGTCCGACCACTTGATCTTGAATAAGTAGTCGAGCTTTGGGTCGCCAGTTTGTTCGGCATTTTCTGGATTGAGCTTGTGGTCCAAGACAGCGTCTATCGAGCGAGCCGACTCTTCTGCCATAGCTTGTTCGTAATAGTAGTAGTCACCGGCACCTTCTTCTTCGCTTTCCACGAGATCCTCGTCGTCCTCATAGTCAACAGCGTAGTTGACCTGAGAGTTGTTGTTTCTTGTCGAGAATCTCACTTCTGCCGGAGGTGTCGGAGTGACGTGTGCAGACGCTGTTTTGCTCCTGCCATTACGTCTGCCATTCTTCTGCTTAGCAGTGCTGAAGGCACGAGTCAGATTCAGCTTACGCTTCTTACTGACTCCAAAGTCCTCGTCGTCTGAGTCCTCCAGCTCTTCGGGACTCTCATCGTCGTAGTCCTCGTAAACCGTCTTTTTCCTTCTAGAGACTGGCTCGTCTTCGTCGCTTTCCTCAGCTAATGACGCTACCTTTCTGTCTCTGCCTGATCGCCTGAGTCCGTAGAGCTCAGGATTCTGCTCGATCTCGTCCGAGAGCTTGACCATCTTTATAAATTAGATTAAGGGATAAGACTTGAGGGTCTGAATGGATTTTGGGGCCTTCCACCTATAGATAAACGTAGACCCTTGGTCTATTATGGTATCTGGGAGCTTGCGTATGACAAGGTCTATTCACCACTTTTTATTGGCTTCGAACTAGCTAGATGACTTAGACTAGCTTATTTGAAGACTGTAAGAAATTAAATTTTTCCCAGTGGGTTGGGATTATGGTTTTGTGGAGCTCGTGTGGTGGAAGAGAGAGGTGGTGCTTGGAAAAAAATTGGGCAATTTTACTGCGACGACGACAACTCCCCAATTCGGGATTTCGTGAAGGATCATACGGAGTGGGCTGTGGGGATGACTACGAGTGATTTGGGGCAATCAATGACGGGAAATGTTCCGAATTTACTATATATTGAATTTTGCATTTTGCCAACCACATTTGCGTGGTTTCTGGCCTTGGCCATGTGGCTATACTCTGTCTGTGAGTGGAATGCGAGGATTCTGAGGGTCAGAAGAGTCGTAGATGACAACTCGACAGCATTGAGCTCACCAACAGGGTTTCCACCGTATGACAATCACGTCTGTGACGCGTCCACTTGTGGACAATTGGGTCACGGGAACCTTCTACTTCTGAGCAGGTATAGCGCTCGAGACTGAATCCAGATAAATGAGCAAACCTGACAGTATCGGGTATTCTCCAGATGGCTCATCCAGACCATGCGTCATTCTGGGACATGCATGATCAGATCATTTGGTCTCATATGGAGTCGCTATCTCGTGAAGCAGCTCAGTTGGGAGCGTCCTTAGCAGCCAATATCTGAAAATGATATTCAAAGACTACAAAGCGTAGCTCTTCAATAATCTGATCTCACTTCCTGGAGTGTGGTTCGGTACCTCCTGGCTGCTAGAAGGCTGGAGCCTTCGCCTTGTTCGCTAGAGCATCTCGCGGACCAGCTATGGCGTAGCAATCGGCAATCTAGTCTTCTCGGACTGACAGCTTGCAAAGCCGATCAGGTGTACCCCAGGTTTGAACAGCCTTCATCACATATAGATGCAGCAATGATCAGGACTCTGTGAATCCATTCAGCAGAGCTTTCAGTGGTCTGTTCGGACTATTCATCTGATTCCACGGTTTAGCTTATGCACATTTTTCATGCAATTTGAGGTGGACTCGCTAATGTGTGGAGAGAAGATAAGTAGGGAAAAGAGAAATAAAGGAGTGGTCGGAAAAGAGGGGGAAAACGGCCACGACTCTGTTTTGATGTGGACACGACCCAACATCTCTGCGCAGGACGCTTGGCTCAAGCTTGGAAAGAATGAAAGAGACCCAAATAAAAATATTTAGAGGGCAAGCCCGACTTGGCTCATATGCATAGAAAGATTCTAAGCTTGGTAGGTAGTGTCTGTATTAGAGGTTGATGAAAGTCATTGCATGATTTTGTAGTCATGGCTGCGAAAACAGAAAGAACTGGGTTACTTTGCTCTGTGATGGTAACTTTTGAACTTCACTTTGGTGTGGCAGGTTTGACATAATGTCAGGCTAAACCACCGGAAGATATCACGTTTTCCGGGTCAAGTGTAGTGGATCATAGGATGATGTGCTATATGACCGAGCGTTCGGTGAAGTACCATACCAGAGCTCTTTCAGCACTTCTTTGGCTGACTGAATAGGTAGATATCTTCTCAAAAGCCATTATGATATTGAAAACAAGTTTAAATGGCTCTTGACGATTTGACATCTCGCTCCTCTTTCTTCTCTGTTACTTTCTATGATTTGGAGCTCACAGTGGCATCGATCGCTATCTTAGCCACTAAATGAGTCTATCCAGCATCCAAGAAGTGGATTTAAAACTTTTCAATGTTCCCGATAAGTCTCCAATTTATGACTGGTATCACAATTCTATCTTCTATTTCGAGGTGCTCAGTGATTCTGAATTTGTAAAGTGTTGCAGCAATATATGATAATGTGCAAAATGGAACAGAAGTTGCAAAACTCGAATTTCAAGTATAAACTTACAAAAGCTCCGGATAGCCAATAACTCTGGCATTTGAACGATTTGAGCTCAACCATTTATAAAGATAGTGGACTTTGGCGTCTCATTTAAAGGTCAAGTTGATCGAGAGGTAGCCCTACCCAGTAGCAAATTAGAGAGCGAGACTTGATTAGTGGAGTTCGGTGCTTCACAAGTACCTATGAAATTCCAAAAGTCACTTCGTCGTTTTTGATTCGCAACCACCTCTTAAAACGATGTGGACGAATTGGTGACTGAGACATTAATAAAATTGCCACTCTTCCTATTTCATTATAGTAGAAAAATTGAAGGAAAAGGCTACAAACAGGTTCAAATCATCGCTCTTCATACCCTACAAGGACTTTCGATGCCTCCTCCTTCAAACCTAAATATCACCTAGAAAGATCCTCTCAACGCTCTACTATTCCTCAGCAGACATCAGCCCACCACGGCCATCAACAAAAATTCAAATCGGTCAAAAAAATTCATCAGTTCAATTTCATTTTATTACATTCACAGCATGAAAATCCCAATAAAACCGAAAATTACGTGTTTTGAAAAGGCCCTGGCAGACCCTTCGAGACGCTGTTTGCAGCCAATTGATGGCCGCGATTTAGTAATGTGCTCGATTTAACTGCAAGGCTCAGCTAGTAAATTCGAGCACTCAGGGCGCGCTTGCAATGAGACTACCATAAAAAAACGAAACGCCTGCCTGCAGGCTCATCAAAGAAAAAAAAAAAAGCAGAAGTGAGAAAAGCAGCTAACGACACTTTTAGTTTTCAGCAAACATGAGTGGAAAAGGTGCCAAAAAGAACGCCGTGTCGTCTAAGGGCCAGAGAATTGCCATCGTCAGCGCTGATAAGTGCAAGCCCAAGAAATGCAGACAGGAATGCCGTAAGTCTTGTCCCGTGGTGAAGACTGGTAAGTTGTGTATCGAGGTCACGCCAGCTTCCAAGATCGCCTTCATCTCCGAGACCTTGTGTATCGGTTGTGGTATATGTGTGAAGAAATGTCCCTTTGATGCCATCACCATTATCAATTTGCCAACAAACTTGGAGGCCGAGACCACCCACAGATACTCTGCCAACTCGTTCAAGTTGCACAGATTGCCTACGCCTAAGCCTGGTGAGGTGTTGGGTTTGGTCGGTACCAACGGTATCGGTAAGTCCACTGCCTTGAAGATTTTGGCCGGTAAGCAGAAGCCCAACTTGGGCAGATACGATGACCCTCCAGACTGGGAGGAGATCTTGAAGTACTTCAGAGGTTCTGAGTTGCAGAACTTCTTCACCAAGGTGTTGGAAGACGACATCAAGGCTATTATTAAGCCACAGTACGTTGATAACATCCCTAGAGCTCTTGCCAAGTCTCCAGTGAAGGATGTTGCCGGTACTTTGAAAGCCAAGTGTGCCAGACAAGACTCTTGGGACTACATAATGAGACTTTTGGAGTTGGACCCTGTTATGAAGAGAGACGTTGCTCAGTTGTCTGGTGGTGAGTTGCAGAGATTCGCTCTTGCGATGACCTGCGTTCAGGATGCTAATGTCTACATGTTTGACGAGCCATCTTCCTATTTGGATGTCAAGCAGAGATTGAGAGCTGCCGAGTTGATCCGTTCCCTTTTGGACCCATCCACCTACGTTATTTGTGTGGAGCACGATTTGTCTGTTTTGGATTACTTGTCGGACTATGTCTGTATCTTGTACGGTGCTCCTTCCGTGTACGGTGTGGTTACTTTCCCAGCCTCTGTCAGAGAAGGTATCAACATCTTCTTGGACGGTTTCCTTCCAACCGAGAACATGAGATTCAGAGAAGAAACTTTACAGTTTAAGTTGGCCGATGCTGCCGATGGTTTGATCTTGGATCACTCCACTGCCTTGCAATACCCAACCTTGGAGAAGACACAGGGTGATTTCCACTTGAAGGTTGAGGAGGGTGAATTCACCAACTCCGAAATCTTGGTCATGTTCGGTGAGAACGGTACCGGTAAGACTACTTTCTGTAAGATGTTGGCTGGCGCCTTGGCTGCCGACAACGGTGTCGAGGTTCCCAAGTTGAACATCTCCATGAAGCCCCAGAAGATCGCTCCAAAGTTCCCTGGTACTGTCAGACAGTTATTCTTTAAGAAGATCAAGGCCGCCTTCTTGAACCCACAGTTTCAGACCGATGTGGTGAAACCACTCAAAATTGACAACATTATCGATCAGGAAGTCCAGACCTTGTCCGGTGGTGAGTTGCAGAGAGTTGCCCTTGTGTTGGCTCTCGGTATCCCCGCTGATATTTACTTGATTGATGAGCCATCTGCGTACTTGGATTCCGAGCAGCGTATCGTTTGTTCCAAGGTTATCAGAAGATTCATTTTGCATGCTAAGAAGACTGCATTCATCGTCGAGCACGATTTCATGATGGCCACCTACTTGGCCGACAGAGTGATTGTGTTCGAGGGTACTCCATCGAAGAATGCCCTCGCCAAGGCTCCTGAGTCCTTGTTGACTGGCTGTAACAGATTCTTGAAGAACTTGAGTGTCACTTTCAGAAGAGATCCAAATTCTTTCAGACCAAGAATCAACAAGAGAGACTCTCAGATGGACAAGGAGCAGAAGGCTGCTGGCAACTACTTTTTCTTGGACAACTCTGAGTTGTAATAGCATTCGGCATATTCGTTGTTCTTGAGGTCCCCACCCGGTTCATGGTGGGACTCTCGACTTGCATGTACACTACTTTGATAGCATCAGGGCTTGGTTATGCATGGTTCTGTTACGACGTTCCATGAAGCCATCGGACCCCTCATAATATTATATTAATATTAACTAGATTGTAGACGCTTTTGGCTGCAACTCGATGCAAAGTCACACGACTTCCACCTGACCAACACGTGACTTTCACACTTTTGGCCGGACCCATATTAGTATAAACACCTTAACCGACGAGAATCCAGCACTGAAACCCAGCATAATATGGCTACTGAACGCCTGAAAATAGAAAGTGCAAGGTCTCGAAAGCTCAGAGAGCTTCTCTATCTTTTTTCCAATCCGTTACAATCGCTAGAAGCTTTCAAAGCAAGGAATACCTCACAAGTCGCTCACGACTTCTACAACGCCAACGATGTATCAAAAAATGAGCCATTGCTGATCAGCTTTCTTCCATATGTTACTGATAAAGAGTCGTTGAAAAGCCAGTTGGAGCTCGCTTTGCAGAGTGAACTTTTCCAACCTGAACACCTCAAGAGAGAGGCAGAAGCAGCTGAACTAGAAAGGCCAGTGAAAAGTCGAAAGACCAGCCTCACAGACTACCCTAGCCGATTAATGCCAGAAGATAATAAGCTGAAAAAGAAGAAGCTGCAAGTTGCGTCCCTCAAAACTCAAGTCGAGGCTCTTGATGAGCAGACAAACGAGTTCCTTAATAAGGATATCCTGGACTTAGATGTGCTCCTGGTTCCTGAAAACTTCCCGTCAGAGGTCCACGCTGTATCTTCGCTAGCCGAGCTTTATTACTTGACGCAAACGCTTCCACTTATCAAGCTCCTTCCAGGATCCCACAAGACACTCATGACAGACAACTTCGAGCTGGCTCTTCTCGAAGGAAAGATCGCAGTCTTGTACTCCCGTATAGAAGAGCTTAAAAGACAGAAGAAGTGGTCACTAAGGCAGCCCATCAGATACTACGACCCATACATATATTCGAAGAAGAACAAAAAGTCCAAATCGCACACCTGGGACGTCCTACTAGACGAGGGCAAATGGTTGTCGGCTGATTTCAAAGAATCAACCAAATTCAAGAAGGCTTGCTGTTTCACTATCGCGCAAGGTATTCGTGACTACTGGTCCTACGGCAAGGTGATGTGCATCAAGCGTGCTCCAATCCAGCATCTAGACGATAAAGCTATCGCGAGTGCGGCAGATGTTGATCAGATTATGGAAGAAGTCGATGCTGCTAAGGACACGGCTGATGAAGAGGAACAAGAGACAAATGAACCCGCAACGCCCGAGAAGTTTGATGGTATGCGGGAAGACCCGGCTGATGGTGAAACCATCGACATCAGCGAGCTCTTGAAAAGGCCCGATCCAGCCACGGAAATTCCAACGCCTGATCTTCCGAACTTCAGCTTGGAGGAGCTCGAGGAAGCTAACATTTCTGCTGTGGACAACAGCATGCTCAAGACGCACGCAAACATCGCTGACCTCAGAAAAATCGACCAATCGATCGTCCAAAACTTACCCAGATATAGTGCTTTCGATGGTACTGAGCAGTCTCACGTTCCTGGTCAACTGAACGAGAATTCTATCATGCCGGTGTCAAGGATGCTATACCCCACTGACGAAGAAGATGGCTGGTTCAAGATTATCTTGAAGGACAGCAAGGGCTCAGAGGTTGGTAGCTCCAAGATTCCAGGCCCACCAGAATACCAAAAGGGTCTTTTCGGTAATCAGCCACATCGCCGCTTTAATTTCTTGCGTCCTCCCAAGCCCCTCTTGTCAGGAATATCGAGTACAGATCGCCAACCATTTGGCTTCCACAAGACGATATGTACCTCATTCATTACGTCGCGGAGTACTGCTTCAACTGGGATCTTATCGCTGCTAACTTAGCGTCTCATTCGGCGACATTGAAGAGATACGAGTCCAATATCGAGAGAAGAACCCCATGGCAATGTTTCGAGAGATATATCCAGCTCAACGAAAAATTCCAATTCTCAGACATGAAAGGCATCAATGCATATCCCGCACAGCAGTGGCTCGAGCACGCCCATAAGGCTCAACTGACCACCAAGAGAAGAATCTCCCCGCTTGGCGTGGGAAATGAATCGATACAGAGAGGCCACAGAAAGTTGAGATGGGCATCGATGTTTGATGCCATGAGAAAGACTATGCGCAAGCGTGAACAAGCGCTCGCCAAAGCCAACCCACGTAGACCTGCCAACAACTCGAACGATTACAGCGTACAGAATAGCGTTGCAAATGGAGGTCGCTCAAGTGATGATACGCTCTCTCCAGCAGAGCTTCTGGACCTCAAATTCGACAGAGACAGAGCTACCCAGGAGACACACAGAACCCAAGAGGCCACGAGGGCCCGTATGCTCAATGCTGTTTCCCAGCTGCAAAAAGCTTCGCAAGGATCTTCCCCTGTTGGTCAGCAACAAGGATTGGCTCAGAAGGCTAACCCACAGCAACGTGACCAGGCTCACAATGCCGCTGTGGCCGCAGCCGCTGGAGTTCCTCAGCGCCGTGTTTCTCATGCTCCTTCCCAATTGCATGGCATGCAGCGGGCACAGGGTAATATGGCTGGAAATGCTGCTACTTTGCTGAGACCACAGACTGTTGGACCCGGCACGCAGCTTCAGCAGGGCCAGCAGGCTGGTCTCATCAACAACATGAAGAGACCAACAACGCCAAATGGTACACCCTACACGAAGGAACAGCTTCAGCAGCTTGTTCAGCTTCAAAAGCAGAGAAGATTGATGCAGCAGCAGAACCAGGCTGGTGGCAGCGTCACAGGATCTGGTCAAACCAACATGGCCAATCTTCAGGGCACCTCTGCTCAAGGCAGAAGAGTTCAGGGATTCCATCCTACTCAACAAGGTTCTGGTCAGAACTTTGCTGGTCAAGCAGGCGTGGGTGTTGCTAGTGGAGCCGGTACCTCTGCTTCATCGCAAGCAGCCATGGCACAGGCCAAGAGAACAGGTACTCCTACCAAGAAGGGACTTCAGTTTCCAGCAGCTCAAGTTTCCGCCATCATTAATTCTATTCAGCAGAAGAACCCCAACTTGACTAAGGAGCAGGTCACCAAGCTAGCTGCGTCCTACCTCGCGAACATCCAGCAACAACAGCAAAACCGTTTACAGCAGCTGCAGCAACAGCAGCAGTCTCAGCAGGGCTCTGCTCGTTCGCCTACAACCATGTCTTCCTCAGTACAACAAAACCTAGGTCTGGCCAGACAGGCTCATCTTCAGCGTCAACGGATGGCCGAAAAGGAGTTGGATGCACAAAAACTTTCTAAGCTTCAGTACGAAGAACGCAAGAAGCTTATGATGCAAAGCCAGCCTTCGTCACCTTACGTGCAAGGAGGAAAAAGCCCGGCGATGGGTACCTCACCTACACCAACCAACCCCAAAAGCAGGGCACAAGCGGCGGCGCAGAAAAACTACGGTAAGTATCCTGGCATGGGTGCTCGCAGCAAGAATAATGGCAGCGAGGATCTGAGTAACGATTAATGAGAAGTGTACCATAGAACATTCCAGTGTAGTATAGCCCATTTCGCAGCCAAGCAAGTTAGAGTGCGACTGATATCAACACCCTCATTTACACACAATCACACCATACAAAACGGCACACATCAGCATTACAACCATTTATGGCCCTACGATTGCGATCTCGTCATCGTAATAAGGAGTCTTCGGTCGAGAACCCAGATGCGCTATCTGTAGCGTCTGAGCGGCCCAGAAAGTCTGGGTTTGTTCGAGAATCGGGGTTCTCAGATGCATCCAGACTACCGAAGCGGATCCTCCAATGGCTCTACTCCATTTCGTTGATCATTTTTATGATCCTCACATTTGGTTTTATCCTTGTCACCCCCCTTGACATCATTGTCCAAACATGGGGTGCTCCATCCACATGGGCTAAGACCTTCATCGTCATCATGGCATGCGCCTTCTTTTTATTCTTCTGCCTCGTCATTTACTTCCTGAGACTTTACCAGAGCAGAGTAATGCTTAATCAAATTCCTTCAAAATCGGTCTACATCCCGCTAGAAAAGCACGACCTACCGTCAGACGTCCGTCATTATGTCGATGGCACACTACGACGCTGCGTGGGAGACATCAAAATAAGGGCTGGACCTTTGTACAACAAAAACGAGATCATCAATATTCCAGGGGCGTCGCCGCCAGAGTACATTCAAAAGAGAAACATTTCAATGGGCTTCCACAATGAAGGTACCCATCTCCCACCAGATTGCATCTACGAAGATATCTTGGACAGTTTGGGTATGCAGATCCGGGGCAGCGGTGTAGTGCTCACCAATTTTGACATTCCAGATTGCTATTCATTCCGGGAGATTTTACTCTCCATGGCACAGATATTGATCGAGGAGCACGAGATCGACCGTTCGAGGCTCCCAGAGGTTCGTCGCATGATACAAATATATGAGAAGCTCAAGTTTGGGCCAGATCGCATCAAGGAGCTGGACATGGTGGAATTTCTTACCTTGTTTGAAAAGCTCCAACTTTTGTTCCACTCGAACCGTCTCGAGCTGGAGGATCTGCAAGCGCCCATTAAGTACGGCATCAGCCGAGGATCGTCTTTTGGCACCGACACATTCTTGCTGCCGAACTTCAGCAACGTCCGTCGCAGTCTGCACGGAGGAGCCCGCAGCTCACGATCTGGAACCCGAAGTGAGCTCTTTGCCGATATAGACCAGCAGAGCGATTCAAGCGGTGAGATCAGCGGGCTCCACACGTCTCTGAACGAGCTAAATGCACAGCGGATCTCGCGCAGCAGCACAGGCACGAGCGATCCAGGCAGACGACCAAGCACAGGGTCTGTGATCAAAAACAAGCTTGTGTTTCGTGGGCACAGCAGGGAAGGTGATTCCTCTACCGGTGGGCCGCCCACTGATTCCAGCTCCAGCGATACGGCGTCGGTGAAGGTTACCCACACGACGACCCCTGGCGTCTAGATCGCCAATAGCAACCATTTAATAGATAACTCGCATGGACACAAACGGCTTCAGTTTTGCCGGGGCTTGACAATACCATCGTGCACAAAGTAGAAAACAACCGTACCGTCTGTGTTGACTAAGGCCAACGTTATGCGAGCGGGCCTGGCGGCTACCAAGGCTATGTTGCAGAACCACTTATCGATTTGACTGGTGGAGACGTTCTGGTCGGCCATTGCCAAAGGAACCACCCATTCTGGCTGGCCTGGCGTATCTCTTTCATCGAGCTTTTCTGGAGGATTCCCTTTAAGGAAAGTGGACTCGCCACAGACTACCGCATCTACATCCGTCCATTTGTTATAGTGGACCAAATTGGTTTGCACAGTTTGGTGTAGGGACATTTAGTGGTAGATGAGGAGGTAGTGCATGGAGCGGAGGCAGCGACGTTGGGCTTATATTTTTCGCTGCCTGTAATAAGCACGAATCGGGAAAGATGAGGCAGGTTCGGAAAAACCCGTCGTGAAAACCACAAACCGTTGAAACGAAAAAAAAAGAAAGGTCAAACAGCTTTCACATTTTCAGCCGCTGAAGCTATGTAGAGGTCCAGGCGAAGCCAAAATCAAAGAGAATGTAGCGGCCAAAGGGCTAGATCGACGCTGTTTTTCACAGGCTGAGCACTGCCTTGGCTGCAAAGGTTTCAGAATCTCTGAGGCAGCATTGTGGAGGCGTAGATGGAGGACAAAAAGCCAGGGGCAAATGAGAAGGCCGGAGATCTAACGAGAAAGTCTAGAACGAGCGTCTCAGAGGTGTCGCTATATAGGAGATTAAGGCGGTGCGATGAAACAAACGGTGTTGCAGATATGGCTGTGAAGGCTTTTTTTTTTTTCAGAATTTTTCAGATTTTTCGCATCACCGAGGCTGTCAGATGCTGTATTGGCGCCGGCAGGTGTTCTAGACACACTGGGTGTTTTTGACATGGTGGAATCTTGCTTTCTTTTTTCTGCACCCGGGTGCCACTTCTTGGATCTCATTCGTTGATGCAGCCCGTTTTAGCCCAGCTTCTCTAGATGCAACAAATCCCAAACAGCCACCGGGCTTTGGTCTAGAACAGCGGGTTTGGCACCTTCGATGGTCTGGCGTAGGCGGCGCTGTGTGCCATTACGCTTCCACATCGGGAACGGTGAAAAGTATAAAGGTGGCACGAATTCGCCAGCTTCTCTTTTTCTTCAACAGATTATTTGTTGGTTAGCTTCCTTCTCTTATAGCTAACGGTCTTTCCTTCTTTGCAACAGCCGCTCCCTCGCACAGTCCTTCTTTCAAAGATGCAATTTGCAACCATTCTTTTCGCTGCCCTCGCAGTCGCAGCACCCACTAAGAGGGAGACCACTTGCAAGTTCCCAGACAGTAAGGGCTTATCCTCGGTGACACCTTCCAAAAGCAACGCCGGCTGGGCACTTTCTCCTGACCAGAAGTGCACCGCTGGCTCTTACTGCCCTTACGCTTGTCCTCCAGGCCAATTGATGGCTCAGTGGGACAAATCTGCCAAGAGCTACTCCACCGGATCCTCGATGAACGGAGGTTACTACTGCAACAGCGACGGAGAGCTCGAAAAACCCTTTTCAGACCGTGATCTCTGTGTCAACGGCACGGGCACCGTTGAAGTCAACAACAAGGCCAAGAAAAACGTTGCCTTCTGCCAGACGGTGCTCCCAGGAAACGAGGCCATGTTGATCCCCACGGACGTGGACGGCGGCAAAACAGAGACGTTGGCCGTTCCGGACGAAGACTACTACGCATCCTCGGCAGCCCACTACTACATCAACCCATTGGGCGTATCTACCAAGGACGCTTGTGTGTGGGGCAGCAAGGACAAGGCCCAAGGCAACTGGGCGCCGTATGTGGCTGGAGCCAACACGGAGTCCTCGGGAGACACGTTTGTGAAGATTGGCTGGAACCCCAAGTACATTGATGACTTCAAGGACAAGCCGCAGTACGGGATTCGTATCACTTGTGCGGATGGCGACTGCAATGGCTTGGACTGCGAGATTGATCCTTCCAAGGACGGGTACAATGGCGTTAACGGTAAGGACACCGGCAAGTCGCTTGGCGCCTCGTACTGTGTTGTTACGGCCAAGAACAAGAACACCGCTACCATCGAGGTGTTTTCTGTCTGATAAGTATGGGTAATAGATTGGTTATGGAGGGGAGTGTAGACGTAGTGGAGCTTTTGCTTTTGTTTTTATTTTTTGGAGTTTGCTGCTCCCCATCGGGCGAGCAGGTGCTCGGCATTGCCGCTTGTTTGTTTTGGTGACGCCGTTTGTCTCAGATTCAGACAATCGGCTGGCGAGGCAGACAATTAGGGTCTGCGTTAGATCAGCCCACGACGCAGAAGACTAGTAAGCGAGCCCATGCAGCGACAAAGCTCCCAACAGATCCGAAGGCGGCCGCCCCCCTATCTGCAAAAAGAGCATTAAATACGAAAATTTAAAACTTCTCTATTTGAAAACTTTCTTCAAGTAGCTTTTTTTCTCCCACAAATCCTGCCGCAAGGCTCTTTCTCCTTCCCTCAGGGTCCAGTGCGACAGGACGGTGCAGCGAGTCAGACGGCGCGGTTGCAACAAACGGTCTTGGAGAGATATACCCACCGAGCACAATGGCCAACTTCCCTTGGCAAGCTCTATGCCGTGGTGCCGTGGGGCCCGTAAGCGGCGCCTCATCTGGCGATGGACCCCATAATAAACCAAACTTGCAAGACCACCACAAATATAAAAAGGGGTCTTGGGAGGTCAGTGATTCTTTTTTTGTCCACCATGGGTACAGCACTGCCGCCGCCCGGTATCCAGACAATCGCACCCGATCTGTTGTTCGGTGCGTACCACCCTCAGCGTCAACGTCACCGTACACTACCACCAAGTGAAGAAAAAAGCGCCTGTGGGCTTGTCGGAGTGGGCCTGTCTGTGCAAAAACCACCTTCCTTCTTCTGGCGCCGCCGTGAGATCCTAGCCGCCATGAGCGACAAACCCAAACCACTCAAGGTCTTTGGCCGCTCCCACTATGCTTGTACCCGCTGCAAGCTCAGCAAGATCAAGTGCCTGGGAGAGAAGCCTGCTTGTGCTAATTGCAAGGCCGTCAACAAGGAGCAGCAGTGTGTTTATCCGCTGCGTGACCGCAAGATTGTCATTATGGAGTCCGACTTGAACAAGCTCCATGAGAAGGTCCGTATGTTGGAGGACTTGGTGAAATGCCAGGCGCTGTACTCAGACCAACAAAACCTGCTGTTTGAGCTGTCTTTGGTCCAGAAACGAACCTCCAAAGGCCTGGCCGCCGTGCCCGAGCTGTACTTGTTGCCTGATGCCGAAAACGATAGGGTTCCACTCAAACTCTTGCTTCTCTGCCGCCACCAGTTGCCCGATCAACACTACACCTGGCAGTTGCTTAACGCCGTGCTGTTGACCTACTCCCGAGAGTTCTACATCATCGATTTGGAGGCTCTCCACCCGTTGGTCAATCGCATCTACCTGTTTTTCCTGGTGCCCGACTTGGAAACCGTCCCGATCCAGGACCACATCCCGCTGCTTTCCCTCAGCTACTTCTTTGGCCTTTTGGCCTTTGGCGAGCAGATGAAGAATATGACCTTGGAGCTGCTTCCTCCTTCCATTCTCGCTGCTACGGGAGAACCTCACAAGTTCCCCGGCATCGAATACTACTCCACCGCCGCTCGCCTTTTCTCCTTGGCTCACGAGGATATGCTGGTTCAGTTCATCCAAAACGCCTTGGTCTTGGGCTTGTACGTGTGCAACTTGAACCGCTACAACACCGTCAACAACTACTTTGGCGTCGCTGTGCGTTCGGCTGTGGCTAACGGCTTCCACCGCAAAATGGCCACGCCCCGTTTGTTATCGGATGAGCAGCGGCGTGAACATCTCATTTTCGAAGAGAAGACCAAGCGACTCTGGTGGTCCATTTTCGTCATTGACGTTGTCTGGGCCGCCAAAATGAACATGCCTGCTTACATTGACTACACCGACACCGATGTGGCTTTACCCAACGACAGCCCGATCTTGGACCTCAACGACAATTTCAACACCGAGATCTTGGAGGCAAACGTCCACTTGGCCAAGTTCATCGCCAAGTACAACCGCTTGATCTACGGGCCCAGCATCCGCACCTTCACCATGAACTACATCAACACCGAGCAGTTCAACCAAAAGATCCTCATCAAAAACATTATCCACTCCCTCAACGACTTGCAGACCCTGTTTGAGACCCCGACGCTCTCCGACTACAAGCATGTAAATATCATCTCGCTGCCAGACAGAAACGTTGCCAACTTGTTCTTGCGGTACAACCAAATGACCATCCTCATCGCAAAGCCTTTGCTTTCGTTGATCCTCAACAAGGGCAATCGCTCCCTCATCAACGAGCCGGCAAAGGTCATGGACTCTATAGCCACTATCGCAGCTTCCTCTGCTCGCTCGGTTGAGACTCTTCTCAAACTTTACGAGTACAACAAGCTTTTCGTGTTGGGTTTCTGGGACAGTCAGCATTTATTGTCTGCCGTGCTTCTTCTTGTGATGGCCTCTGTTGCTGGTGTTTACTACGAAAATCTCAACAAGGCCACCGCTTTGCTCAAGTACATGGCAGAAAACCAGAACATCAACGCTATAAATGCCATGGAGAAGCTCGTTCAGGTGAACGGCTTTTTAAGCCGAATTCCTGAAATAAGTCTCCGATTGGATCTTGAGCTGGACATTACGAGATTTGTGAACAAAAAATCTCCCTCGATCAACGATCAGCCCAACGGGCACACTGTGCCGTTCTTCAACCCGTTTTCGGAGTTGGCCTTGGACACTAACTACCTCAGAAACATCCGGTCACCCGATATTCCGCTTTACGAGCAGTTTGGCTTCCACAAAATGAGCCAACCTTCGCAAGAAGCTTTTTACGACATGATTACGACGCTACAAAGCTGGGACAACTTCCGTGGGCTCCCCATCCATGTGTATGGCACTGGGGTGACCAGCGAGCAGGAGCCGCATCAGCAGAACCAAAGCCAAGCCACCAGCAACTTCAAAATAGGCAACATCATCCAAGGATGATACGAGTGGTTTGACAGGGTCCGATTTTGGCTGCGAAAAAAAAGCACAACCGGACGCCGCTTGGGTTGTTTTCTTTATGCAGCATTTGTTATGTACTATCACGTGAGATCGCGACACGTGCCGAGAGCTAGGGCTTAACCCATGTTTGGCACGCACCAGCATGCAGGCGCACTCGCCCAGGGCCGGTCGCAGTGGGCGAAAATTTGCAAAATCGCAGTCCCAGATACTTCTTCATCTATTTGAGGACCATTAAAATTCCTATCGAATAAAAACATATAATCGAAATGGGTGGCACTCGTGACAAAAAGATTCAATACTTCGCTAAGTTGAAGGAGCTCTTGACTGAGTACAAGTCGATCTTCATCGTCGGCGTGGACAATGTCTCCTCTCAGCAGATGCACGAGATCAGAAAGGCCTTGAGAGGTGACGCCCAGGTTTTGATGGGTAAGAACACCATGGTCAGAAGAGCCATCAGAGGCTTCCTTGCTGACTTGCCTGAGTACGAGAAGTTGTTGCCTTTCGTCAAGGGTAACGTTGGTTTCATCTTCACCAACGGTGACTTGAAGTCCGTCAGAGAGGTTGTTACCGCCAACGTTGTTGCCGCTCCTGCCAGAGCTGGTGCCATTGCTCCTAAGGACGTCTACGTCCCAGCCGGTAACACCGGTATGGAACCAGGTAAGACCTCTTTCTTCCAGGCTTTGGGTGTCCCAACCAAGATTGCCAGAGGTACCATTGAGATTGTCTCTGACGTCAAGGTCGTTGAGGCTAGCACCAGGGTTGGTCCTTCCGAGGCCGCTTTGTTGAACTTGTTGAACATCTCTCCTTTCACCTACGGTATGTCTGTGGTGCAGGTGTACGACAACGGTCAGGTGTTCCCAGCTTCCATCTTGGACATCACCGACGAGGAGTTGGTCGGCCACTTCGTGTCTGCCATCAACACCATCGCCTCCATCTCCTTGGCTGTTGGTTACCCAACCGTGCCATCTGTTGGTCACTCTGTCGTCAACCACTACAAGAACGTTTTGGCTTTGTCGATTGCCACTGACTACACCTTCGAGGGCTCCGAGTCCATCAAGGACAGATTGGCTAACCCAGAGGCTTACGCTGCTGCTGCTCCAGCTGCTGCTGCCGCTGGTGACTCTGCTGCTGCCGAGGAGGCTCCAGCTGAGGAGGAAGAGGAGTCTGACGACGACATGGGCATGGGTTTGTTCGATTAAATGTAGATATAGTCTCTCTTTAATACAGAACAGTCTGCTGACGAAGCATTGTAGCAATTAGTTGAGGAGATGTGGAGTTGTGGAGTTAGTGTGAGGATAGGCCTACAAGGTATATGATCTTGCTATATTGATAACAGGCCAATGATATTGTCTCTGGTCAAAGCCCCATTTAAATCGTAGAAGATCTGAGATGGGACTTTTGTCTACTTGTGGTGTATATCCATCTCCTGTCCTTCAACATACCAGCATTACACTTACATTGCACAACTTCTTCCTACCATGGCATTTTCAGCCACTTAAGTAATGTATCAGCCATATCTGACCTCCGTAATCCATATTATCAACATCGCAACCCAAATAAACCCAATTTCTGATCCACTGGACCGGCGGAGCGTGACCCTACTTAAACCCCCAGATCGCACTGGAGATAATTTGCAGCCATCAACCACTCTTTTCCTGGCCCTTTTCTGCCCCCGTAGCCTGTAATGTCTGACGATCTTTTCGGTCCTCCGGACCCATACTTCAATCCCGTGGACCATCCCTCTCTTTCGACCTGGGCATCCAACTCTTCTAACATCGCCAGTGGCCGGTTCTACCAAAGAGCCTTTGGCGATACCCGTTTGAGCAACTCCTTGGCTCTCATTGTCTACCTGGCCCAGTGTGGCTATTCAGATACCGACTCCATCCCAGCGGTGCTTATCAACCTCAAAAACGCCATCTACGAGCTGCTTCTCCACTGTGTCAGTGTGGACAGACCCACCTACACCCACTACATCCAGCAGCTCTCAAAAAAGCTGGATGTGTTGATCACAAGGCTTATTATTCCAGCGTTAACAAAGACTCTGGAGCAGCCGGGGCTAGTTGTGGGACAGCTGATCATCAAGGAGGTTCATGAACTCGTCAACCTCTTGTATGGATTCACCAACCCACTCAAGATCCCTGGGGTACTTTCAGACGACCACAGCGTCGATGGTCCTCATGGTCTTCGTCTTTCAAGTTTTCACACCGTGACTCTTCTCTCTGTGGCAAGAAAGTTGCAGTCGGCCTTGAATAGCCAGATTATGGCAGGAGATACCAAAGTGGTGGGTTCAAACAGCACTCCTCTCAATATGTGGAACGAATGGATGGCGCTGCTGCTGCTGATGGTGACTCGGCTTATTGTGACCATCTTGAATAATACCGTGCCCACAGCAACCGTCTTTGTCTACTTTGAGGACCTCTTGCGCCAGGAAGGTGTGGATATTCTTGACTTGGAGTACTTTGACGAGTTTCTCTCCCACTTCCAGCGGATCAATGATTTTGCCAAAACGCAGAAAAATTCGGCTCTTTTCAACGCCCAACGCCTTCTTATCCAGGACCACTTCCTCCGGGTGATCCGCTCTTTTCCTTGTCATCCTCTCAGTTGGTGCACTGCCGCTCAGACGGTCAATTATTTGCAAGTGTATATCGACATCTACAACGATGTGTACAACGATAAGCTTTTGATTGAAAAGCTTGCTGACCAGCACGAAAGCACCGTTGTGAAGAGGGCCATTGACTCTGACGAGGTCCCTGACGGTCACTTCCTCAATTACCTCAGCAGAAGCCGACTTGCATCCAAAGAAGTACCTGTGTTTGTCAAATACTTTGAAGAAGACTCTGATAGTACCGAAACTCGCGAGAAGGAGCTTCGTGTGCCTGTTAGCCAGCCCAAGAATTCAGAATCGTTCCGGAAAGCGTCCCAGAAGAACGTTGATTGTTACCTCAACGGGACAGCAGCCAACTCGTCAAGATTTAGCTCTCAAAATCACAGAAAAGATTTGCCCCAGGATCCCATTTACCTCAAGGTTTTCCGTCTCAATGAAGAGGTGGCCCATGAAGTCAGAGAGCTTCGAGCCATGGTCGAGGAGCAAATCCACAAAGGCAGCAGGCGGAGCTGCTGGAAATGCAAGTGTGTCCCGTGGCACAAGCATAGACGGCGCTAGTCTACAACCAGTCTTTATCTTCAATTCCATTAGGTATTTACAAGTGTCCCGCGAGACATGCCCAAAGATGCATAGGTGAAGAGCTAGTCTCTCTGTCTGAAAAACACACGAGGCTCCTCCTTTTCCGTGTGAATATCCTCCACAACCCGCTTGGGGATGTGCTGGGTGAGCTTGGCTGGCTTGGGCCAGTTCTCAGGAAGCAAACCTGCTCTCTTAAAGAGGAAACCAACACGGTCGCTCACTTCGGCGCCCACACCCAACCAGTACTTTGATCTGTCAAAGTCCAACTCGATATGCTTGAATGGCTTGATGCCCTTGGACTGTTCTTCTGGCGTGAGTGGTACTGGGACTGGGTTGTATGTGCCGATGACTTCCACAGGCAAGGAGTCTCTAGCCGATCTGGCGTTAGCCACGACGATATTGTAAAGGGGCTGATGCCTTCTGCCGAATCTGGCTAGCCTTATTCTGAGTGGTGGCCTGGGCATGGTATGTAGTGAGTTGGTGGTGAAGACTTACTTAAATTTTCTCACCTCTGATTCTCGCGCACTACAACTACTGGAAACCGATTCTATCAAATGTGTTCGCTAATGTACAATAGTTTTTTTTCTCTCCCTCTCATCAAAGCTTTTTTCTGGCCTTGAATTTCTGCTTGGGCTTGCCCACTCGGCCACCTTTGCCAGAAGTCTTGTTGCTCTTGACAGGCTTCTTGACATCCTCTTCATCATCGGACCAGTTGTCTTCGTCCTTGTTCTTCTTGAACTTCAACTTGTTCTTCTGGCCTCTCACTGGCGCCTGTTTCACGGCATCCAAGTAAGCGTCGATACCTGAGCCCTCCTTGGCCAATGGGTCGGCCTCGTTATCATCCCTGAACACAACCTTACCGTTCTTCATCTCCACCTGGTGCTTCTTCAAGTCCTGTTTGGTGTACTTCTTAGGCTTGGAAGAAGAGATGTGGGCCAAGGTTTGACGGTCCAACAAGTTAAGAGGCTCCTCGTTGTCCTCCAAAATGTACATGTCACCACCCTTGCCTCTCTTCTTGGACTTGGAGTTGTCCTCCTCTTCCTCTTCATCTTCAGAATCAGAGTCGTGAATGGCCTCCTCGTAAGCAGACATAAACTTCTTGCCTTGCTTCTCCTGAGCGTCCTCACCCTCATCCTTCTGCTTCTTGGCTCTGTTTCTCGTCTTTCTGATGTTGGCAACAAGCTTTCTGTCTTCCTCCGGCATGGCCTTTTCAACTTCATCAGCACCAAACTTTCTCACCAATCTCTCCACGATATGCTTCACCTTGGACTTGAAGTGGTCCTTGTGCTCGTGAGACCATCTCATCAACTTGGTCAATAACTCAGACAAGTTGGCACGCACAAGCTCCTCAGGCAAGGAGAGAACCTCAACCTTCACAAATCCAATAGCAGACTTGGCAATTTCCCTGGAGTTGTGCGTCAAGAACAACTCAACGGTGGATGCAAGCTCAACCAAAGTTTCCTGAGGCAAACGGTCCTTGAATTCAAACATCAAGCATGAAAGAGCAGTGATGGTAGCAGAAATCATGTGCTGACTTTGAGCCGCCAAACCGGCACTCACCATGGTGAAGTACTCGGTCAAACTGGCCTGGGATGGTTCGGCATCAGGACCAAAGTCAGGAATCATATTGTTTCTGATGACACCGCCTTCGCCCATTTTTTGACCCATTTGGATTAAAAGACCAAAAGCTGACTCACGAGACTTCTCGTTGACGTCCTTGGTGGACATGATGATTTCTTGCAAAATGGCGGGAATGAAGTGCAAGTCAGTCTCTGGAAGCATCTCCATAACGACTTGAAGTGCAGCCAATCTGTTCGTTCTGGAGGAGGTATGAGTGGTGCTAATGGTTTCAATGAAAACATTTTCGATATCGGAAATGAACATCTTGAGAGCATTTTGGCCAGACTCAGACTCGTTGAGCTTGCTGATGATTCTGTACGATCTCTTTTGGATGTTGACATTATTCTCTCTCTTGACACCGAAAACGAAGACATTGAAAAGACCATTGTAAGATGCCTCTGGTGCATACTTGGCCATGGCAACCACAAGGTCCATCATGGAAACACTCTGTGGAGGAGGCTGGTCCTTCTTTTGATTCTGCTGAGGTTCGGCCTCGTCCATCTGAATGGCAGTGTGAAGGTGACCGAAGACCTTGTCCAACAAGCTTTGCAATTCTTCAGCAGGCAAGATCTGCAAGTAGATGTCGATGGTCTCCAAAATGTAACCTCTGGCCTCTGCGAGGGTGTTGACGTAGACATTAAAGAGGACCAGGATAAGGTTGTTGGCCAAAGAAGACAAGTACTTCAAGTTCTCTTGAGCTTCTTCGACAGAGAAGTTCTGCAACATCAATGGGTCATCTGAAAGAGCACCCTTGCTGTAGGCAAGATTGGACTCCACGAGAAGACGCAAAGCGTGACAGATGGTAGTTCTCAGATCGACATTAGAATAAAGCAAGTCACTCAAGGTACCGGCGAACTCTGTATCGAAAGCCTTGCGCAAGTCATTGGGCAAGTCACAGAAGTGCGGAAGCAAAGACCAGATCTGGTCAATGATGGTCTGGAAAATCTTGATATGCATGGCTTCCTTGTTAGGAGCTTCAGCGACCTTTTCGTCGAAGACAGTGGCAAGAGGCAAGATGTTCTGCTTGTAGTTCTGCAAAGAAGCAAAACGAACATTGTCTCTCAAGATTGGCAAGAGCCAGGCTCTACCAGGTTCACCGTTATTGGAACCAGTGAGGTTGAGAGGAAGCTCGCTCAAAACAGCCTCAGGGCCCATGCTGGTGATACATGCTGCGATGAAGTCTTCGGCTTCTTTGTTGTATGGGAAGTTAGTGTCTTCGTTAGATCTCCACTCGCCCACGACTCTGAGAATGGAAAGGAAGTCAGGGTTGGCTCTGGTTCTGAGCTTGATAACAGCTGCAGTCAAGAACTCAAGCACCACTCGCGTGGCATGCTGGTATTTGATGGAGAAGAGCTCTTTCTCGATAAACTCAACGATTTCCGTGATCATGTCGTCAACCTCCTCGTAGATTTCTGGAGTAATGTTGTATTCGGCATTAGGCTGGAGCAAGAAGCTGTCTGGCAAGCCCTCGCTGAGAATGGCGATCATGCACTGGGAAGCAGAGGTGTAGATATCCTTGTTCTCAGAAGCAAGGAAGTCAGCAACGACAGGGAAACGTTTCTGGATCATCTTCACGGAAAGATCGGGCAGAATCTTGGCAAAACACTCTGTGCCCTTAGCCACTACAGCAAGCCAGGAAGCAGCCAAATGGGCATCATCCACTGGAGGTTTCAAGTCAAAGATAATGTCAAGCACACGAGTGAATTTTTCGGTATCAATTTCGTTGGTCATGGACATGAACAAGCCGTTGAAGGCAGCAAATGCAGAAGAGACCAAGTACTGGTCAGATGTTTTAGACACTTCGAGCAAAGCGTCACAGAGAGTTTCAACATGGCTAGCAGGCCAAGCGTTGGCAGATGTGATGGCTGTGATGAGCTGCAAGCAGTGGATAATAGTAGCATTCAGCTCCTTGTTCTTTTCTGGTCTTTTACTCTTTGGTGCCTCAGAAAGAAGGCCTGACAATCTCTTCAAAGCCAATTCTCCACAGAGACCGGCTGCAACATGCGTAGGAGATGGAGATGCTGGAGGATTCGACAAGACTTTCTGGACCGCATCCTGGGCTCTCTTTCTCACCTTTGGGCGGGGGTCAAAAGACAATTCTAGCAAACCAACCATGGCTCTTTTGGGTGAGACATTACCTGAAGCCAGCCACAGCCTGTGGTCTTGAGCCAACAAAAGGCCTTCCAAGGCGCCAACTGCGGATCTGAGAAGAGGAGCACCAGCCTCTTCGTTGGACAACACTGGGGCCAACTTTCCAAGGATCTGAGTGAATTTTTGTCTTAAAAGGGCAGCTGGAGTAGCAGGGACCACAAGATCCAAGAAGTATGCAGCAGCGGTAGCCACGTTCGAGTCGACGATCTCGTCATCGGCCACCGACAGCTCAAGCAAGGAAAGGAAGGAAACAAAGTAGGCCACTGGGGATTTTTCGTTGTTCTGTTCGGTGATGTTCTCTTCCACGGCAGATAAAATAAGAGCCAAGCTCTTCTGGTTCTCAAGTTTCGAATTGACCTGCGTTCTGATCTTGGCAAGCTTCTCATCGAGAAGATCTGCCTCAACAGACATGCCACCGTCGGGATTATTTGCGTTCATGGTGGTGCTGAGCGGTGTATCTGTAGATCGAAAAGTGAGTATGGGCCTGTAGGTGATGAGATGCGATGCGTAGGGAATTTTTTCGACCTGCGTCACGTGGAGATTTCTGGAGTAGAAGAACCAGAGGGTTATCCTGATGAAAGAATATTCAATTTGACTCTATCTGTGATTTTTTTGAGAAAATTCATCAAGAAGTGGGTTCCAAATAGTGTATAGGTTGGCTGGTGTGAGGGATCTCAAGTTTCGAGGACATCTCTCGAGCTCAAGACCACAATTAAAGAAGTGGACCGAATAAAACGAAAGTATCAACTCTTAATTAACATCTAAACAGCACATTTATTTCAAATGTCTCCTTCAATACGCCCCGTTGGTAGACCGATTCCACTATGGCTGCAAAACGAATCCGGTCACATGACCAATTCGCACGACTTTTTCCACCAGTCAAATCTGTCCCATTACAGAGAGACCAAACCTCAACAGAGAACAGAACACCCCAATGTCCAAGATCGCTGTCTCTGCTGCCTTGAGAGAATTGAGATTCCACTTGTCCCAGACAGGTGAGGCCTCCAAGCCTTTGAGAACCTTCTTGGTCAAGAACTACCCTACCCTCAAGACCTCCACAGACTACAAATTGCCCATTTTGATCAGAGAAGCCTTTGGTGTTCCTCCAAGTGTCACTGCCAGATTCGAGAAGGGCAGAGAAGTGAAGAACAACTTGGACGGCTTGAAGGAGTCCGAGATTGAGGCAGCTGTCAAGTCATTGATCAAGTAACGTCATAAGTCGAAGGAAGCTAGGGAATGCTCCTTGTCATTGGGTAAGTCATGGTCATATATTATATAAAATGTATTCTACAGAACAGATTGAAACAGTAGTTTTTTAAATGCTCGCTATTTAAGGTGTCTATGCTGACTTGCCAAACTGGTACATACCCCAGCCCATGCTGCCTTGGTTGTCGTTGAACAATTCGGTAATTGGCTCCTTAAGGTTTCTACTTATAAGACCAGAGGCCACAACCACAGGCACAAAATGCTCAAGTGTGGGATGCGCCAGGTACAACAACTTCTCGTGGTCTGTCTTGAGCTTGTTGAGGTTGTTGAGGAGATCGGGCCCGTTTTTGAGCGTCTCTCCAAGCAAGTCGTTGAATGGCTTTGTGTATGGCATGAGCTCGGTAGGGTTAGCAAGGAAGTTACGAATGTCTCTCAAATTGTGAACAGACATGCCTGAGGTGACCACCATTCCCTTCAAGTAACGCTCCTCAACAGGGTCCCAAATAAGGTTTTGTCTGAAGAAGTCGAGCGCCTGTCCAAGCTTGAAATGGGTATCGAAGTCCTTTTCGTAGCCAGTGAGAGATACCTGAATCACACGAGTGTTAGGAAGATCCAATCCAGGATCAACGCCCTTTGGTGGAGGATTCAAGGTGTCGTAGTCCGAGAAGGCCACCTTGAAAGGCACCCAGACGCCGTGATCAATTCCTCTCTCGGTCAATCTTGAGTGGAAGCCGTTTTCCTCAAGCTTCAGACGGATCTCCTCAGAAAGGAAGGCAGAGTTCAAGGATCTGAACCACTCCTCGTACATGTGTTTGGGAAAGTTGTAGAAATCGTAGACAAGGCTGTTTTCGTCCTTATCCAGCTTTGGAGGTTTAGAAGGAACAGCGATTTCCACTGCCTTGGATCCACTCAGCTGCCAGTGAGCCGAGACAATGATAATATAGTCAGGCTTCAATTCATTTTTGATTTTGTTTCCCAAGCCCCTCAAGGCAGAATACGCCTTCTTGTTGCCAAAATCGGAGTCCTTGTACATGAAAGTAGGACCTCCATGAGACACGAAGTACCCAGGATAAGGGTTGGGGTTAGGCTTGACGGCCAGGAAGTTTTCGTCTTGAGTTTTTGTCACCATCTTAAAGTAAGCTCCTATTATGATTGCAATGAGAAGAGAAGGTAATAGCATGGGCGGCTTTATAGCGAGCGATTGTGTTATATAGACATTGTGTGATCAGCGAGCCGTACGCTTTAGTCATGCTTATAAAGCACTATGTAAGTGCGATCAAAGCAGGCGTTACGAGTTAGGCAACGCTGCACGGGATACCTGATAAAATCTTTTTGTAATGATCAGATAAGCAGCTACTAATTTATGGATTTGATGAGAAAGCTTTTTTCACCTGCTTGCTGCAAAATGGTCAAAAGGTCTACATGATGAACTGTGGCTGCGAAATGGGGAGAGGACCTTAAGGCGGCCACTAGTTGAGGCAGACCGGTAGAGATTTCAACTTCCCATTAAATGAATTAATTGGTGACTTCTGGTTGCTTTGAAGAAACCCCAGTGTGATGAAAATTAATTAGAAGTTCATGGCAGACTAGCTGAAGGTAGATTGTGAAGCTGCGTTCTCTGCTAAGCTTCAGGCTTGGCTTCAGACTCAGGTTTACTTAGTCAATAGTGACTTGTGCTGTCAAAGTTTTGCTTTCGACACTTTGAAAGTTGATTACTTTTGGAGCACAGTGTATTAAGCTTTAGGTGAAGACAGTTGGTGATAAGGCCAGATTCGAGGTTTGACCGAGGCTTCACTATTCAAGGCCGATCGAGCCACCTAGGCCCAGCCGGTATTCCTTGAAAATGAGGATCTAATCTCGACCACTGCAACCTGCAAAGACTGTTCTGTCATCCAGTTTTACGGCCTTCCGTTCCTACCAGATCAACTCCCTGATAGTGATTCTACGCAGCTTACATCAATTTAATGGGACTCGATCCATAAAATCCCATCTGTTGCTCGGGACCCTTTTGTGTTAACTTAACTTTCCCGTTTCACCCCTCAGACCTGTCATCTCGAAAATAACCCGTCAGACATTGCCGAGAAAGCGATCGCCAAAGCCGCTTAAGCCCCAGTCTAATCAGGACGATGAGGAATCTTGCAAGCCACACCTACAATTGATAGACATTTCCACGTGATGCAAACCAATAAAGGCATAGGTATATAAATGTTGACAATTCCTTGCTAAGGGGTCAGAATTATGACTATCAAGCAAAAACCCAACTTCATTGTGGTGGTAGCCGACGACTTGGGCTTCACTGATTTAAGCCCTTTTGGAGGTGAGATCGAAACACCAAACCTCCACAAATTGGCACTCAATGGCCTCAGATTCACTGACTTCCATACCGCTTCAGCATGTTCACCAACCAGATCAATGCTTCTTTCTGGTACTGACAACCATATAGCTGGGTTGGGTCAGATGGCCGAGACTGCCAGACATTATCCTCACCTTTTTGCAGGTAAGCCTGGCTACGAAGGTTATTTAAATTACAGAGTGGCCGCTTTGTCTGAAATTTTGGAAGATTCTGGCTACTACACTTTCCAGAGTGGAAAGTGGCACTTGGGTCTCACCGAGGACTACTGGCCTTCTAAGCGAGGATTCCAGAAATCTTTCACTTTACTTCCTGGTGCTGGTAACCACTTCAAGTACTTCCCCATTGATAAGGAGAGTGGTGGACCAGCTAACTTTATGGCTCCGCTTTTCCAGGAAAATGGTGTATCCGTCGATCCGTATAGTCTTCCTGAGGACTACTACAGCAGTGACTATTTCACGACAAAGTTCTTGGAATTTTTGGGGGATGACAAGGAAAGAGACCAGCGTCCATTTTTGGGGTTTTTGACTTACACCGCTCCTCACTGGCCTTTCCAAGCCCCAGAAGATGTGATTGCAAAGTACAGAGGTAAGTACGACGGTGGCCCTGAGCATTTGAGAAGAAAACGTCTAGACAAGGCATTGGAATTGGGCATTATCCCTGAAGGCGTCATTCCTCATGAAGTGATCACCCATAGAGACAAGGCATGGAAGGATTTGAGTGAGAAGGAGAAGAAGGTTGAAAGCCGGATCATGGAAATTTATGCTGCGATGGTCGACATTGTGGACCAGAACCTCGGCCGAGTTATTGAGCAGTTGGAGAAAACCAGTGAGCTTGATAACACCTTTATTCTATTCATGTCTGACAATGGCGCAGAGGGTATGATGATTGAAGCTCTTCCTCTCACAAATGCCAACTTCAGTAAAGCGATTGAGAAGGACTACGACAATAGTTTCGACAACGTCGGTAAGAAGAATTCGTTTGTTTGGTATTCTGACCAATGGGCACAGGCTGCCACAGCGCCGGCCTACATGTACAAGGGGTGGGCCAGTGAGGGAGGTATTCGTTGTCCTTTGATTATCCATCATCCAAATGTGATACCTGAGGGGAATAGAGGAAATGTGAAACACGGCTTTGCGACGGTCATGGATATTTTACCTACAATTTTGGATTTGGCAGATGTGCAACACCCTGGTACTGACTTCAGAGGAAGAACTGTGGTGAAGCCAAGAGGTTTGTCGTGGAAGAAGTACATTACTGGAGAAGCTGATTTTGCCCATGACGAGAACTCCGTCACTGGCTGGGAATTGTTTTCTCAGCAGGCCATCCGAAAAGGCAAATGGAAAGCCTTGTTCATTCCCAAGCCTTTGGGTCCAGGTAAATGGCAGTTGTTCGATTTGAAGGCAGATCCAAGTGAGCGGATCGATCTCGCTGAAAAAGAACCCCAGATCCTCAACGAATTGCTTGATCACTGGAGCCAGTACGAGGCCGAGACGGGTTTAGTGAAGTTTGGCGATGAGATGTACGAAAATGCCGACTGGGACCCAAAGATCTTGTATCAGTAGGATGATACGCAATATTTCGCAGCCATAGATAATATCCACAATCCAGGGAAGATAGCAGGATTCCCCGCATCTGCTCAGCCGGACCATCAGGGAACGATAATAATTACCAAACCAGTAAATACACTACAGATGTCTCTTCCCTCTACGTCAGCTTTGATGTGCCTGGGCGCAACAATGGCCTCCATTGTGCGTGCCCTATCGCCCGAGTGTCATAAGTCAGATCTAAAATTGTTTTTCTTTTTCTCTCAATGCCAAAGTCCCTCAAGCTTATTTTTTTGTTTTCGTTTGCAGTAAACAAACCCCTCTGCTGCACCATCAGAAAGTATGCCGAGCCTGAGTCACATTCCCGATTATTTGTAGGCGTCATGGATACGGCAGACTACGGCAGTCTGGGATAAAAGCCGCCGGCAGCAATAAATGGCTGCGAAAGACCCGGAGTATCTTGAGACCAAAAAGCCAAGGAAGCCGGAAAAAAAAAACGCCGTTTTTGACATTTCCCCTCGAAGGTTTCAAATCCACAAAAAAGCAATCTAGCCGCCCCTCGACCCACGTTGTTTTTGTGTCTTTTCCTAACCTTGCTGAGAGGCTCCTTCACAGTAATTTCTTCCTTGCGCAATCGCACCTATTCTGCACTCCAACGGCTGTCCTTCACCTTTTGGGCCGTCATCATCACAAGCAATTCTTCCCTACTCCTGCTTCTTTCAAGGTCTGCTCAAACAAGCCCAGAACCGCCATAATGCCAGGTCTTTTTTCAAGAAAGGTATGTTGTCACCACGCCCCGAATCTTCCCCTCCGTAACAAGGAACTAACCCCAGAAACGCAATGACTACCAGGGATTTGCCAAATACACGGAAGCCTACACTCCTCCTGCTGTCCAGCAGCCCCGTTCTCAAAGTATGACCAACGCTTCGCTGGCTGCTTTGGCTGCTTTGGCAATGCACAATAACAACAACCAGGCGGCTTCTGAGCAATCTTACAATCCATCGTTGCAGGCCTACCAGGCCAGTGGCCGGGCTAACTCCCTAGCCGGAAACAGAGCCAACTCCATGCGCTCATTCACGTACAATCCCAAGCCATCGTATCAGGCCGGGCCAGCGGCCAATAGAAGCTACTCCTTGAGATCAAACTCGCTCAGAGGGGCGCCTCCAATCAGATCAAACTCTCTTTCCCAAAGACCAGCCCTGCAGCAGCAAGAACACCCCAGGTTCGAAGGGCAAGCTCCTTGACGCAGAAACCTACGCTGATTGGCCGGACCGGCTCCTTGACTCGCAGCCCCTTAAGTCAGAGAGCAGGCTCTCTTACGGGATCTCAACGCGGGCTCAACTCCTTGCTGGGATTCAACGAGGAGGACGAGGAGTTCAACGAGGATGATGTGATCTCCACCACAAAAACCACAAAGGTCGTGGACTCCATGGGAAGGACATGTTCCATCACCACCGAGACCATCAGAACCTTGCCCGACGGTTCTAATGTGGTCGAGACCACCACCAAGAACCTCTCGAGACCTACTTCTAGGTCCAACTCTTTCCGCAACAATTCCTTGACTATAAGCCACTCTAACGCTAATTATAACTTGAACAAGATTGACGAGGATCTTCAGGACTTCGACTACAACTACTTGGATCAGCATCCGTCGCAGCCGCCTAGGCTCAATTACGGTCATGAGGATCCAAGCAGAGAAAGCAATAATTCCCAGTCTCTTGGACCCGCTTTTGATGCGTCTTCGACATCAAAGGAGTTTGTTCAAAATTCTGCCCCTCCTCCAACACGAGAACAGATCGAACCTACTACCTCCCCACTGAGCTCGGCATCTCCTCGCCTCAAGTCTATTTTGAAACACAGCCCGAATGTACCTCGCCCTATCCTGCCTCCGGATGTATCTGCTGACCGCTTAAAGCATAATCTTAGCCCGAATGAAGCGGACTTTAAGGACGCTCATGAGCAGCTTCATGAACCCTACAGTCAGCCTCAAAAGGCCACTGTCGCCTCCAATGCGTCGGGTGGAAACTCGATCAAGTTTTTAGAACAAGTTGAGGAAATTCCTTACGAGGCAAACTCACAAAACCTTGCCGAGTTTAGCCGAGCTGAATCACTCAAGCAAGAGAAGGAGAAGCAGGATAGCATTCTCATGTATGAGCAAGCTATGAAGGTTGCAATGGAGAGGGTGTATGGTACATCTGAACCACCAGCCCTGGCTCTTACCCCTCCACAGACCCCAAAGAAACAGTTTGAGAGTCCACAAGCTAAAGTCGATGATTTAGCAGATAAGAAGGTCAAGAAGGATCATAAGAGAGAGAAGGATGAAGGCGGTGTCAGCACGAACTACATCTACGAGAACCATCACAAGGACTTTGCATTGCGCTCTTTTCGTGGTGAAGAAGAGCCAGGTAGCAGCTCCAGAAAAGAGCGTGCCAAGGAAGAAAAGAAACAAAAGAAAGAGGAAGAGAAAAGAAAAGCTGATCTTCTCAAGTTGGCCGAGAAGGAAAGAAAGAATGATGAAAAGGAGGAGTCAAAGAGACAGAGGAAGAGCTCCAAAAACCCTCTTTCGTTCCTTGGCATCAAGATGAGAAGAGGAAGTCAGGGCTCAATTACCTCTTCTTCTTTCAGTGGTAACCGTCAAGAGAAGGCACATGAAGAGATAATGCAGTTCTCATCCGAATCTGGAAGCAAGGCCTCACCACAGCAGCCCGTCACCAAGGCGGAGGAGCAGTCAGCTTTAGTTGAGGAAACACCAATTAATTCCCACAGTAACTCTTATAGCTTTCCTCAGAAGAACGAAGCTGCTAATGTTGATACCAAACTAGCATCTGTTGGCAATCCTGATACTGCTCGATTGCAAGAATCCGCTTACGCTACACCTACATCCAAGACTTCACCTTCTTTCGACAAACCGATCGACAAGACGGTGGCCGATACCCCAACTGAAGAGGTGTTTGCTAAACCAGAACGTCAAGACTTCAGTGTGCCTCCAAGATCGCCTCTTCGAGACTCAAGTGCGGTGGAAAAGGAGAGACACTTGAGATCACTCTCTGAGGGCAGCAACATGACTGATTTCCTAAACGAGCCGGCACAACTAGAGAAACCCGTTCCAATTGGCGAAGTCGATGAGGCGTTCCATGATTCTAGAGATGACTTCATTGACGTGCCTGAAGAATATGATGATGAGCCCAACAATGCCGATGGGGGCGCTCCGGAGACTTTGATTGACCAAGAGCCATATAAAGTTATTGACGTGCCTGCTTCTTCGCGGGAAGGAGGCGATGTTTCCGATGTGAAGTCCCCACCTGCTGCTAAGGCTAATCAGACAGAGCCCGTTCCCGAAGCAGCCGATGTTCCAGAACGTCCGCAATCAACAGAGCAACGCGTTGGTGGTAACTTGGATACCACTAATAGAGCACAGCCTGAAGACGTCAAGAACCAAGCTGTTGGTGGAGAGCTCCCTACTATTGTGGCAGGTGAAAACAACCATCCAGTTGTGTTAGGCCAGACGGAGGAGAAGGATCAATCGTATGGCTATAGCACCCTTGATCCGGGCTCTCCTAGCTCCAAAGGTGTACCATCTCAAACTAGGAATGACGTTGCTACAGTATCTTCTAGTGAGTCGGCTGTGGCTATCCCTGCTCCAACAAAGGAAGATTTGAATGAGCGTGCCGAGGTGAACCCAGAAATTGCTCACACTAGCGCAGGAGCTCTTGAGCCATCTGCTGCGATTGAGACGAAGTTTCAGCCTCACCAAGCTCAGTCCAGTGTCGCTGCCGCTCCACAGACTGCTGAAACGGGGTCAACAGAATCGTCCTATGCCGATCCTGAGGTTACGGAGGCAACTGTAGGAACCGTCGGAGCCGAAAAGCATAACCCTGTTCCAGACTCTCTTGGAGTCAGACAAAACAATGAAGGCCCCAGCCGTGAGCAGCCATCGTATTCGTCTGGGGAAGCTACCGAAGTGTCGGTTCCTTCGCAGCAAGAGAAGAACGCCAAGCCCAAGAAAAGGAGAGGCCACAAGTTCAAGAAGATGATTGACAAATATTTTATCAGCTCCTACAGTCGCTGATTTTATCTAGACAACTATTCGTACTACTCGATAATTAATGCATAATGGTTAGTGCGCCGCAGTAGATATATAGTGCGCTTCACTGCGTGTTGCCCGATAAGAAACTCTTCACTACTTTCATGCTATGCCTCTGGAAACATTGAATGAAGTTCCGGTGGAATTTCCTATGAATAATAGGGCTGTCTCGCTGCTGGACACCAGAGTTGCTTCTTCCTCGGATGCAGATCCCGAAAAAGCATATAAAAATCTACTCTGGGCCTGTCGAATCGGTGATACTGACTTGGCCGATTCGATTACCCTATTGCCCCAGCTTGACATCAATAAAGTCGATGAATGGGATTATCTGCCGCTCATTCTTGCATCTTTGTGTGGGCACTTACCCATTGTGGAGATGCTCCTAGCAAGAGGAGCAATCTGTGAAAGAGACACTTTCCAAGGAGCTCGTTGTATCTATGGTGCTCTTACAGACGATATCAGAAACACGCTCTTGAGTTATAACATCACGAAGAAGACTGATACGGATCAACCTTTCCTGGCGCATATCTCCAGCTTATTATCGCCATTGATGGTGTCATACGCTTGCAAAGACATTGCTTTCGTGTTTCCACATGAACGAGACAGAGAGTTACAGGTTTTGGTGGTCAATCGGTTTCTTCTTGCGGCAAGAAGCTCATATTTTAGAGAGCGAGTCTTGCCCGGTGGTATTTGGTGCTCTTTATCCAAGATCACCATGCCTGCTGAGATAGATGCAACGATCTTCAAGGCCGTGATAGACTACTTGTATCTTAGAACGGATTTTTTGCCGCTCGAGAAGCCTCCCATGCAATTGCTACAGTACGCATTGGACTTCAATCTCGACCATTTGCTCACAGCGATTCTGTATGAGGATGAACTCAAACCAAAGGCTGTGAAGTCACGTCAAGACGCCGAGTTGCAGTTTGTAAAGGACGCAAGACTGGATATGGAAGGTTTTTTAGAGAGTCACATTTTCCCCAATGTCCTTGTAAAATCTCTCGACGATATCGATCTCAAGGAGCTCAAGTATGGAAGTGATCAAGACGACGAGGAAGAAGAGGAGGTTGACTTTGAAGAGCTCGATGTTAGCAGAATGCTTAGCTACGAGGAGCGCAAGCTGCTCATGGAGTCATCCGCCCTTCCAGATGCAATCTTGTGCTCCGTGGATCTCGAGTCCAATACCGTTGTGTTTTATCCGGTTCATCGAGCAATGTTGGTGAGAGCTAATCTCTATCAGACCATGGTCGATCCCAACTGGTCAACAGAAGCAGCAGAGATTCCATTTGTTGATTTTCAAGGCGACTACTCTGCTCCGAAAACGGTCGACAGGCCGTTAATGGAACCACACCATGTTCCTGTCATTAGAACGTATATGGGTGCCACAAGAAGAAAAGTGCCGGAAGTAATACTTCGCTTTTTATACTATAACGACTCTGTGGTGGTTGAGCCTGAGATAGCCGTCGAGGTTCTTCTTGCGTCTGATGAACTCAACATTGAAAGACTTAAATCCATCAGTGTGTTGAGTCTTACAAATTTTGTGGGAAGTTTTGCATTGGAGAAAATTGGTGAGCTTCCATCAAAGGTTGGCTATGATGTGTTCGAACTTATTGAGATTTCATGGCGTTTGCAAGCCGAACGGCTCGAGCAACACATGACGAAGCTCATTGCACACAACATAGAGGCCGTCTTCGAGGATAAAAAGCTCCGGAGCAAGCTCTTACAGTTGATCAAAGCCAGTGCCCATAGAATTCAGGAGCGTCAATCTACGGATACTATCGAGTTGGTGGATGATATGCGGTACTACTTGGCCAAGAAGTACGCTGTGTATGACGAATTCACCAACTTGGAAGGTATTGGTGCCACTTTGAACCCCAATATGGCCGAGCCAGAAGATAACCGGACCTTCAAAGCAGCATTGCTTGATTACGAGTACGACGTCATGATTGTGGATAAGCTTTTAGACGAATTGGGCTTGGACGCCTAAGTCCTTGTTCGAAGATCTCTTATCACAGAAAAGGGTCTGTTCAATAAAAACCAGCCCACATATACTTATTTATTACACTATTTATCAATGAACTATGACCAATAAATTTGTATCCTCCTCTTTTTCTTCCTGTCTTGATCAAATTGTGTGTACATGGTGCATGCAAGGCATGTATAGTTCTCGATGTGCGTAGTAGTATCAACCACACCTTTCATATCCAACGATGCTGCTTCAAGAGTTGATAAATAAATTCCAGTATCAAGAAACCCTAAAATCTGATCCACAGACAAAGTCACTAGTCTTGCTTGGAACAATTGACAATGAGAGTGCCATAGTGCTGCTCGAGAAATCTGCTTTCAGTCTCGATTCAGATGCCGACGTTTCCCTAGAGAAGATCATTCAAGACTTGAAGCTCATACAGAACAATGACATCTACTTCTGGTCACTGGCTACCCTAACGCAGAGCATTGATCAGACTCCAGCTGCCAAAGTGAACTTGATATACCCAGCTACAGAGACCCATATCAAGAAGTACTCTCTGCAAAAACTACATGTTGTCAGAGAGACCACAGAGATCTACAAAGAGGTAGTCGCTCCATTCATAGAAACCCAGAAGGGCGACAGAATTCAATGGGTTCACAACATCCTATTTCACGGTAAAGAATCTGAGAGTGTCTTATACCACGATAAAGACCCGCAAAATGGTTTTGTTCTCCTCCCTGACATGAAGTGGGACAAAATAAGCATGGATGCTCTTTACTTAATGGCAATTGTACAGAGAACAGACATCTCGAGCGTTCGTGACCTCAATTCGTCACACATAGACTTCTTGAAGTCCTTACAGGAGAGGGTCAAGAAATTAGCGAACGAAACGTACGGGGTTGCCGAGGATGAATTACGAGTCTTCATACATTATCAGCCTTCGTACTACCACTTTCATATCCATGTCGTGAGAGTCACCCATCCAGGCTTGGGTGATGGTATAAACGCCGGAAGAGCCATTTTGTTAGATGATGTTATCGAAAACATTCAGCTTGTATCCGACTATTACCAGCAACGTACACTCACTTACGTTTTGGGGGAGAATCACAAGCTTTGGGATGCATTGCTGAAGCGTAATGTTACATAATCGTACCGTAATGTCTATAAACTAGTAATTGAACTCAGCAGTCTGAGCTTTTTCGGCCATCTTTGCCATTCTCAACATCTTCTTCCTTGGGTCCTCCTTCTTCTTGCTCGATTCAGCACCGAAGTTTCCACTGGTTTTTCCTAGCTTCTTGGGTGTCTCTCTCAAACCAAACGTTTTGGCCAAATGTCCAAGATGAAGGAGCTTGACATTGAAAAAGTTTCTTTCCGAAGACAAATGAGTGGCGTAGGCTCTAATGTGTGAAGTAAATGCATGCAGCGCTCTCTCGAGTGCTTTGGAGTCTTCCAAAAGCCATCTTTCGACTTCAAGATGCCAGGTAGTAGCATGGATGTCCCATTTGCCCTCTTTAGCTTTTGGATCGACTTTCTTCCCTTTTTGAGGAGCAGCTTCGGTATTCTTCTCACCAAAGCTGTCTTTAAGCAAAGTTTCGTAGCTGACAATCCTCAAGCTACCCTCCTTAGGGTGCACCACACGAAGCTTTCCGTCAACATAACCCTCCTCCTCACCAGGAAGCAAAAAGAGGGTAGCCTCACCTTTATTACCTGCTCTGGCAGAACGACCAATTCTGTGCAAATGATCGTCAATGGAGAATGGTGGATCGTACTCGACAACACTAGCGATGTTTGGCAAGTCCAATCCTCTGGAAGCAACGTCTGTGCAGAAAAGAATAAGATGCTTACCTTCGTTATCTCCAGAATCACTCATGAATTTCTGGAGAGTCGAGGTACGCAATTGCTGCGAGAGGGATCCGTGCAAACGGAATATAATAGTGTTGTTATCGATCTGAGGAGCATTCAGGAAGCACAGCTCGGTTGGCTCGTCATCTTCGCTTTGCTCCTTCTGGCCACTTCTACCTCCTCTAGAAAAAACTTCAAAATGGAAATTCACAGAGTCCGAGCATGAAAAGAATACCATGGAACGAGTAGTCAGGGTTCTGTAGTTCTTACTGATTCTCTTCAATTTAGCCGCAAGAGTCACCAATCTCAACTTTGGTGGAACAACCATCACCTTTTGAACAAGCTGATCTGGTGCAGTTGCATCTCCATGGAATGTAGTGTCGTTCTTGTCAATAGAGATCCACTTGGGGTTGTTTAAAACTGTACTTCCCAACTTCTTCACATCCTCGGGCATCGTTGCCGAGCAAAGAACATTTACGATATTGTTTGGAAGAAGAGGCCATTGGCGCAGCGAGGCAGCCACTTTTGAATGGCGTTGTAAATGTTCTGTAATCTTTGTGATTGTCTCTTGGAACCCAAGCTCCACAAGTCTATCTCCCTCGTCCAATATAAGCCATCTGGTCTGAGAAACGTCGAGGGACTCAGTATTTTCCAAGTGGTCAGCCAAACGTCCTGGAGTAGCCACAAGAATATTCACACCTTTTCTAATTCTGGCTTTCTCTGACTTTTTCTTCTCACCACCAACCACAATACCAGGCACAATGTGATGATGACATCTGAGCACTGCTTCAAGAACCGAGTAGATTTGAGACGCCAACTCTCTCGTTGGGGTCAATATTATGCCAAAAAGTCCGCTTTGTCTGTTGATTTGGGTTTCTTCTGACATCAAACGATGCAACATGGGGAGCACAAAAGCCAAAGTTTTACCGGAACCTGTTTGAGCCTTCACGAAGAGGTCATCATTAGACGTGAGCATCTGGGGAGCCACAGCTCTTTGAACTTTAGTCGGAGAAATGAAGCGCATGGAACTTTTAAGATGTTCACTCAACTTCTCATTGAGTCCGAGACCAGCAAAGGTGGATGCATCGCTTAATGGGGCATTAGATGGAAGGTGAGTGGTTTCGCTAGATCCACTTTCTTGAAGGGTCTCACTGTTCTTGTTGGATGTGAACAAGGACGAGACATACGAGTTATTCTTTCCACCGAACTCACCTGAGCTTTCATTGAACTTTATTCTTTTCGCCAGTCCTCCTAGAGGTTCACCATTCTGTCTCTTGGCTTGGGCATCATCATCTTTTGGTTTCCTGGGTTCTCTTCTCTTCACGTCATGCTTTGGTTGTGACCTTTCTTTGCTGGATTTGTCTGGGTTTTCATCCTCATACTTCTTTTGAAGCTCATTGAACTTGTTGTTCGTAACGTCTATACTGTTAACGCCAGATCCTTTTTTCCACTCACGGCCTTGCAGCTTCAATCTAGCATTTCGGCGGTCTGTCCAGCGACCTCCCTTGAACTTAGTAGTTTGTTGCTTTGACTCGGTCTCAGTTGGCTCTGCTGTAGCAAAGTTCAATATCAACTCATCGTCACTCATTATGTTTGGTGGAGTCTTCGGAGTAGATTATCTTTCGAGATGGGGGACTGCAGGATTATCACTACCGATGAGCTCCCACTGTGAAGAGCTACGACGTACAAAATCTGATATCGCCAATAAAGCGGTATTTTGGTAATTGATCTATTTAATTGAAACCCTTTGATGGACAATATTTTATTTCTTATCCTATTTTCGAATTTTGCAGCTTTGTCGGATTATCAGCTTTATTGAATTGGGTGCGAAATGCACCAGAATACTTACAAACGGGAACTGAGACAAGAGACAAACAATAACAAAAAACCGTTTATGCATATTTTTTATGATTTGTATATGTACCCAAAGAGAAGGCTTTCCGACCAACTCAATGATTCTAATTTACATTATGCGAAGTCGTCAAACGTGGTTGTGGCATCGACGGCATCCTGCGAAGGCGACTGAAGACTGCCCAAAATATCCTGTGTAGCTGGGTCACTTGTTGCCTTCCAGCCCAATGTCAGCCAAGTTTCCTCATCGAATTTCTTGATGTGCTTTAGGCATGAGCCCAAACCGCCGTGAGTACCCTCTGACAGTAACTGGTTACTTGCCTTGGCAGCGGTTTGCAAGACATGCACAGCATTTTGTTTCGTGGGATCCAGAGTGCTGACCTCCAGCTTGGTATGAGATGTACGAGCCGCTTCTAGATCATCAATGTGTTTGAACAGAGGTTTGAGCTGAGCGGTACTATCCACTGGGAGAAGCACCATTTGTAAGTTGCCGTCCTTCTCGACTATCTGGCCAACATAAAGACCACCGTCGGTTTCGGTAAGAACTCCTTTTAAATTGGATGTGACCACCTTTGTACCTAGTTCCTCGGCACGAGCTTCATCATAGAATCTGCTAGTATCCATTGGGACCTTCATCTCCACCACCTTACTTCCCGGTTTGATCGAAGACCTGAGACGCTCTTCGTCGAATGGACGGCTTTTTGGCCTGCTGGTGTATTGAAGGACATGAAGTGACTGGGATGATCTGTGAGGTAGAGATCCATGGACCACAGGCATGGTCAGTATGATTGGATCGTCTTCCTCCTCTTCCATAACCCCCTCGTTAGTGTCTTGGTATTCTTCTAAAGCGGGAGACTCTGAAACATCCTCGTCCTCTGCGACAAAAAGGTCTTTCTTATCCATGCTAGAAGAAGTGATGGTTACTTAGTGGACTTCGCATCTCGAAAAAGTATACAGGCAGCGAAGAGTAGTACCATGAGGATCGATTGATTGCCCAGAGAGAGAAATCTCACTTTGGTGGAAAGCTATTCGATAAATCTCAAAATGATATGAGAAATAATCGAAAATAAGTAAAAAGGTGGTGATTCATTGATTGAAGAGTTTTGTTCAGATTCTATGCGCCAATATGTAGATCCTACAACCATGGCTGCGAAAAGTTTGACATATTTGGAGGTATTTCCTCACAATCAAAGTAAAGCGAACAACGAGGTAGCTTCTTTGATTTGACTACGGCTTGATTGGAAATCAGATTTTATTTGGAAAACAACAGAAATAATAGTAAGTTTCATGGAATGTCAAGGGGACTGAGGTTAATGGACTATAACCCTCAAGGTCAGCTAGTTTAACCCTCGAGGTCAGCCTCGACCTCTCTCTTGACGAAAGGCTCACCTGGCATGAATCTCAACCAGCCCCACTCGGCTTCAGCATCAGCTTCGGCATCTCTCTTGACGAATGGCTCACCTGGCATGAATCTCAACCAGCCCCACTCGGCTTCAGCATCAGCTTCGGCATCTCTCTTGACGAATGGCTCACCTGGCATGAATCTCAACCAGCCCCACTCGGCTTCAGCATCAGCTTCGGCATCTCTCTTCACAAATGGCTCACCTGGCATGAATCTCAACCAGCCCCAGGCGGCTTCAGCCTCTCTCTTCTGCTTGTCGCCAGGAAGTGAGGCATAGGCTTGCTCCATGATAGTGGAGTTGAGCAAGATCACATAGCGGCGGTCACCGTAGGTAACCGACAATGGGTACTCATCGGAGTCGAAGGAGAACTGACCAATGATTGCCTCAGTTGGGACACCGAAGGAGCTCTCAACAGCGGATGGAACAGCAGAGACGGTTGGCGAGGGAGCTGGAGCAGCAGAAACCAAGGAAGCAGCGGCGGCGATGATAGCAGTAGTGGAGAACTTCATTTTTTAATGTTTTTGAATCTTTGAATAGAAGATTGAAGCTTTGACTGTTGATGATAAAAAAAAAAAAGAACCCTAGGAGGTCTGATCCACCGATACTTATAGTTTTCGAGGGCACTCGATCTGTTTCAGAACAGCCATTGACTACTTCTTCGGAAACAGATAATCATTTCACAAACATAAGAGCTTATGAAGACCCGATTAGGCGTTCAAAGAGATTTCCAAAACGCTGAGATAAAATATTATATCTCAACGTCGCAGAGGGTCCATTGAAGGCCGAAAATGGAAGTCATATTGCGATGTCGGCAGCACATGAGTACATCTCACTGTCAGAGATGAAAATTATTATTTTTAATGGCGGGCTGTGCTAGGTAAGTCTGATAGATTGTCCTTTTTGATTCGCCGAGGTGGGTTTACACCTGCGATCCACCAAAAAATAAATTGTGGGTTTAGATGAAACTAGCCGCATAAGATGAGTTTGATCATGTTTAATTCTCGTAAATCAACATATTGAGAATCCAATGGCAGATATCATACATCCATTGATTGCGGTCAAATTCGGGTTGGTATGTGAAATTGCCGGGGAACCAAAGCTTCGATAGTAGCCGGTAATCTGCTCCGTTGATTCCGAAAAATCCTCCAAATGGTCCGTTAGTAGATTAAAAATTGTGTAAGGGGATCAAATCAATTTACCACGCGTCCCTTATTCTTCTGGGGGAGTCAAGAACCTCAACCTATACTCGATGCGAATACATTAATGATACTCCTCAATATGATACCTTCCAAACGGCTCCAATTAGGCTAAAACGCATCTGAATGCTTTTTTGGTACAATGGGACTCCATTATGATGCTTGCTTTCGTTTTTGAGTCAAATCTCAAAGAATGAGAGCTATGAGAAGATCACTTTAATCATTCTCATTTTGCCTGCATATCTCAGAGTTATCTAAGTCCGATATAGTGTAACGGCTATCACGGTTCGCTTTCACCGAGCAGACCGGGGTTCGACTCCCCGTATCGGAGTAACAATTTTTTTGTTAATTGCCTATTTACAATCATCCGTTTTAAGCATTATAATTTCCGGGAAACTTGGAAGAAGTTCCAACCACACGTGCATTGCTATAGCAAAACAAGCAACGTGCAGCTGTGACACCACGAGGTCAGCCTTGGGCTAAGTCACATGTACTGCACATTACCGGTCAAAACACATGAAGCATAATCTGGGGTAGTGACCAGCTAAGGAGATAAACGGATCTTTTAATTTGAAGCAATTCAAAGACATACCGAGAAGATCAGAAGATCCGTCTTATCGTCGTGTTACATACCCGGATCGGGTGTTATCAGTATGTTTACAAGAGCGCGGTGCCTGATAAGCACTGTACACGATAAGGAATGGCATGTATTGGAAGCCGGGACACACAGTGTCGAGGAAGTAAATATCTAGCGACAGATAATAAATAAGCAACGCCAGCGCCTTTTATGTATTACGAGGTGGTTTCAGGCACGTAAGTTTATTCAGAGCGGAAGGACTTGCTCTTTTTCTGTTTGCTGCGTGCAGCCTTCACCTTATCGGCCTCCTTAAACACCTTGTTCTTGCTGAAGTAGTTGTTGATTTTGAATTTCTCCGAGTACACAGACTCAGACAAGTCGTCTTCGTCGTCAGCCACCGCCAATACCGAATACTGGTTGTGGCTCACTCGTGAAGCTGCCCGTGATTGTGGCACCTTGGACGTCTGCTGTCTGTGCCTGGCGATTGAAGCCGCCTCGGCATAAGACAACTTCCGGTAGGCGATATCAACAAAGTCCTCGGCGTCATCGTTCATCGACACATGGTACACCTGAGACGAGTCTCTGTCGGGCATGGTGAAGGAGGTGTTAACCTCACCAGGGGACAAGGGAGCTCTGGTTGTGGACTTGGAGAACCAGCCAAAGGGCAAGACGGACTTAAACATCGGGGAAGTTTTGGGGTTAAAAGAAGGAGGTTTCTCGCAGTGGAAAGGAAAGTTGGATGTACTGGAGAAGAAAAGTACGAGGTTCCAAATAACCCGGGGGCACCCGTCCTTTATATATGGTAAACAGAGGTGCAAATGCGACCGTGCGTAATGTCTGAGGGGTGGCACATGCTGGCACAGAAACGCTCGCTTGTCATATGTAATGGTATGCAGTGACTCATTTAATCAAGTTAGATTAGGTATTCCGCCACTTTGAGGTGAGTGGCAAGATCTCCGTCATTTCGCTCAACAGGCACGGTGACTCACCGAGGATATTGTGGTTACGGGGCGTACCAACTCACGTGACATATCACGTGACAATGATAACCAAGCATATTCAGCCCCAACTGGCCCCCTTTCATATCTATTCTTCAAATTCGAAACTTGTTTTCTTGGATACCTTCACTCAAAGCAAACTTTGCTATTCGGACTATTTGGTCCATAGAGCGCGACATCAACACTATCTACACAGACCGAGCACCAACACCACAATGGACGGATGGGCAGAGGTATGTATACACAGACACATTAGACTAATTCAATGCTAATAGCCAGGTTACCAGGGTGTCTGCTACGGCACGACCAAATCAGCGGAACGAACCTCCGCAAATAACGTCCCTCCTATTTGACCATACTTCAAATCTTGTCTGGTGCGCAGACTCAGCAGGTTACACATGTTCATATACCCCAGTACAGCAGGAACATAGCGGCTACGGCTTGCAAAGTCCATTATCGCTTTATAAGTATACGAAATTTCGGGCCTCACCTCGTGGAGACCCCGTTTTACAGCAGCTCAATAACCAGAAGGGCATTTTTGCTCTTTCCAAGTCGTCAGTTACATTCAACACCCCTCGAGGTCTCAATAATGCTTGCTTGACGCTGCTGCTGTTCAGTGGGGATGAGAAGAAGAGCTTCGGTGACTTGTCCTGTATGACGCTGGCTTATGCTACGTCAACCGATATTATCGTGGGTGGAAAGAGGTCCTTGATGAAAGTCGACGTCAACAAGCCTTCCATTGTTCAGCAGTACAATCATGACAAGGAGCTTCTGTTTGTCAATCACCTGTCTAAGTTGCTTGCCTTGGGAAACACGTCAGGATCAGTGGACCTCTTTGATACTTCCTCCAACGAAGTAGTGAAGAGTTTGTCGGGCCATAGCGGGCTCCTCTCCGACCTTGATGTGAAAGGAAACTATATTGCGACATGTGGCTACTCGGCCCGCCCTAAAAGGTACGGTTCTTCATCCGCTTCATATGTGGTCGACCCGTTGGTTAACATCTACGACTTGAGAATGATGCGTGCTGTCTCGCCAATTCCTTTCCCCGCTGGCGCTAGCTTTGCCAAGTTTTACCCAAAGTTGCCCAACATTGTGGTAATTGCATCCACGACTGGTCAGATCCAGTTTGTCGACATGTACGACCAACTGCAAGTGCATTTGTATCAGGCAGACTTGTCCATGCCCAACAACGCCAGCAGCGTGGCTGCCACAACGTCCTCCTATATGATCAACTTGGATGTGAGTGACAACGGTGAATTTCTCGCTTTCAGTGATGGCCATAACACTATGAGCCTCTGGGGAATCAATTCTGGAAATAGCGGAAACTTCGTCAACTATCCTACTTCATTAGACCTTCCAGAAGTCACCTCACAGCCAAGTGCTAATTCCGTGGGATTGGACGAACCCTACCCGCTCAATTCTGTTGGAATGCCATATTACAAGGAGTTCCTCACATCGTACTTCCCGGCTGAGATGATCTTCACCAAGGAGCTTCTGAAAACCCCAATCAAGATTGACCAAGAGCTTCTTGACTTGAGTGAACGAAATCCTGGTAAGATCCTTCCATATGACACATCCAAATATGGTCCCCGCAATGTTGTGAGGGATGACGAAGAAGATCACACTAAGGCACCGGAGAAGGACAGAAGCATCAATTTGAAGCAAGCTCTTGTACCCAAGTTTATCAGTGAAAGAAGCGCCACCGCGTCCCCTCTACCGAGAGATGCAGACATCGGCTCTCCTAGCACGAGCTCAATAGCCTCATTCCAAGAACCTCAGACGCCGAGCGATAACCAAAAGCATCTTCAAGCGTCAGCGTTCGAAGACCAAAATCATGACAAGACCATTTTCCAGTATAAATCACCTTATGCAAATCAAGTCCCCTCATGTTACAGCAGACTTGAAATCCAGTACTCGAGATTCGGTGTTGATGATTTTGATTTCGACTACTACAATCAAACAGGTGGACTCTTTTGTGGTCTTGAAAATCATTTGGATAACTCCTACGCCAACTCTTTAATCCAGATATACAGGTTCCTGCCAATCTTTTACAGCGTTGTCACTGGCGCTCTTCTCGAAGAATGGCTTCCGAACTCCACAGAGGTCCTCATTAACCAGGAGAATCCTCAAGGCTCTTCTGTACTCAATGAACTTGGGTATTTGTTCGACATGATGCATAAAGCAGAGGGAAGAAACGTCAGCATAAATAACTTTTCCCTGATTCTTAACGAGAGCCCTATTGCAAAAGCTCATGGGCTTATAATCAAGGATGATGGCAAATCTCTTAATGCTCGAGAATTGCAAAAATTGATGATCACTTTCAACAAGTTCCTCGTGGAGTCTGTTGTCAATGACTATGCCAAGCAGTTCAATCTTTATCTTCAAGACATGACATCAATGCATTATGAACTCAACATCTTCACAAACAAGGGTGAACATATAGAGAGACAAACAGGGAGTCAAGCGACACTTGACTTGATGACGCCGCCTATTAATATCGTCAACAGGCTAGGTGGTGGCACATACACCCCACCACAGGCTTCATTGACCAAAAGGAATTACACTTTGCTCAATTATCTAGAGTACTCATTGAACCAGAGCAAGGTGTTACCTCCTTCCAACCTGAACCCATTCCCCTTGGATGTGAAGCAGACTTTAACGAAATTGGGCCCACTCTTGCTGATCAACATTCCTTTCAGCGCTCAAGAGTATGAGCTCCTAAGGCATTACAAAAAGTGGCTCGTGCCAGAGTTCTACACCACTTTGAACAACAACAAGGTTAATTTCAAGCCCGTCGTTACCCATTTGAACCAAGAGACAGATAAGTATGAGCTTCTTGGATACTCGTGTCAAATCAATCATGACGCTAATACGACCCCTGGAAAGCACAACATGATATCGTATATTAAGATCAAGTCACCCGCCTCAGGCAAAGATCAATGGTTTTTGTTCAATGACTTTTTGGTAATGACTGTGCCAGAAGATGAAGTATTCAATCTTTCCTACAGCTGGAAGAAGCCCGTCGTGTTGGTCTACCATAATGTTGAAAACCCCCACAACCAAAATTTCTCCTACTATGAGATTGAGTTCTTCCGTTCCATAAAGCGCCTTGATGACTCGATCTTATACAGAGACCATTTTGCATGCGGCATAAGAGAGGGCTTCAAGAAAGAGTATGAGCTCTTGACGAGAGAGGAAGCACCAGAGGTCGGTACCCTCGTTGCTCTCGATGCCGAGTTTGTCTCTCTTAAACCTGAGGTGGCAGAGGTCAGATGTCCCTCTAAGAAGCGCATTGTTCGTCCAAAGGTGCTCTCATTGGCACGTATTTCAGCACTTCGGGGAGACAAGAATGGTAACGGTGTTCCTTTTATTGATGATTACATTGTCCACACAAAACCAATCTTCGATAATCTCACTGAATTCTCAGGTATCGAGGAAGGTGATCTTGATCCAAACAGATCTACAAAGACTCTCGTGACTCTACAGACTGCTTATAGAAGACTCTGGCTTCTATTGAATTTGGGCTGTACTTTTGTGGGTCATGGCCTCAAGAGTGATTTCAGATGCATCAACCTTCAGGTGCCCAAATCTCAAATCCGTGATACGATTGAGCTCTTCTATTTGGCGGACTTCAAGAGAAAATTGAGTCTTAAGTTCTTAGCATACGCTGTACTTCACCAATCAGTGCAGACAAGTAATCACGACTCAATTGAGGACGCCAAGACAGCACTTTTGTTATACCAAAAATACTTGGATCTCAAATCCAAGGACGCCTTTGAGAGGACTTTGAACAATGTCTACAACAAGGGATACAATCTCCGTTTCAAGGTGCCAGACCTGGAGTATTAGGCACCGGACACAATGACAGGAGAGTCCGAGCCTGGGGACACATCCGTGCACCACTAAGTAACCAGCCTGCCGCTCCGCATTAGTAGTGAGTGCAAACCTGGTGATATTAAACATATAGAACAAGACCCGGAGCCATATATTGTGAGAGATTCAGCTCACGAATAATAGGATAAAAACAAAACCACGCATCACAACGTTTGAACAGTAACCAAACAAGGAGCCCGGATCAGCATGTCACCCGGAGAGCCTCATGATGAATCCAGACCATCAGATACAATATCAGAAAAGAGCTCGGAAGCGACGGGGTCTATTCAATCTGAGACATCTACTCAAGAGCATATAAAGCCTGCCAGGCCCATGTCACGAACACCAACCCAAGATAAAAAGCCACATTTAAGAAGAACTCACATGAGGTCCCAGTCGCATACGAAGATGCCTACTAGACTCAGCACATCAGGACCAAAACCAAATTTGAACAGGTCCAAATCTTCAGACATTATAAGAACGCTGCGGCAACCTGGTATCAAGAGAAACAACAGATCGTTCACCAAGGTTCCTGGGTTTCTTCCATTGCATAAGACGATGCTGAACAGCTCTGTAAAGGGCGCAGGCACGCTCAACAGATCTACTCTGGCAAACTCACTCAAAGGGTTTGCTCCCTTGCGTAAGACTACCCTGAACGGGTCGAGTAAGGATAGACATGCATTACACAAGACGTTTCTGAACAGCTCCATGAGGTCGAGTAAATCGCTGAACTCCCTCAAAGGATTGAACAACTCCGTTACGAACGGGCCAAGTATTGGTCTCCGGCTCAGCTCAAAGAGAGGAAGGGCCATTGTGAGGTTGAATGAGGATGCAGAAAGCAACGAATATGAGGATCTCAGCGAGGATTCAGAGCTGGAAACGAGCTCAAGGCAGCAGGACCGCTCAAACGAGAACCTCCCACTGGAAACTCAAGATTGGAATGAGGATCATAAGATTTCGCAAGTGCCAGAACAGTCTGAAAGTGATTCATCCAAAGACGATACGCCAATCGCAAAACCTGTTCCACAGAACAAGGCTCTCGGTAGAGTCAAGCAAGAGCTTGAAGCGGTTGACGAACGTGCAAAATGCACGTCAGAACCCCCTGCTTTGATATCAACAAACAGCTCAACTGACGAACTCATGAACAACAACTTATACGGTGGATCTTTGCTTCTTTCTCAATCCACCGGCCTAACCAGGAAGATCAATGAGCCGCTAGGATACAACATGGCTGGTGGTGCTTCTGATGAGAGGCTCGATCGCTTGCGTGACGAGAGTGTTAGTGGTATCTCGTTCAAGGCGAGGCCATATAATGAGCTCCGAAACAAAGAACCGGCAGAGCCAGTCCAGGCCACTACGACGGCATCAGTCAGCTCTTATCAACCAGACCAGAGCATCTTCAGTAATTTGCAGAGAAACAACTCCAAGTATCTAAGCAACGTCAAACTGCAAAGACCGTCGCAACAAACACAATCACAGACACAAAATGCATCAAACAAGGACTTTTCAAGCTTCTTGAATAGCAGTCATTCTTCCAATGGCGCTTCGAACCATAATATCGAGACCAGAACTCAACAGCGACTCTGGCTTCAGCGTGAGAACTCTCTCATGGATGTTTCTCAGAACATTGATCCCACCAAGCTTCAAAATTTGTCAAACATGTCGCTTAACAAATTGATGTTTGCTCACAATTACAACAACAGCACGACCAATGTGAGGGATCAGGGCAGAGTAGCAGCTCCACAGACAGCAGGTGTCCAAAGTGGACCACAGGTGGGAGAACAAGAAGGACAAGCCTCCGGCGACTCGTCAAATGTCACGAACTTATTCCATCTCGTTCAAAGTGGGCATCAACAGGGATCTGTGCGTTCTAGAACGGAGTATGAGAGATTGAACCGAGAGTACCTCAATGTGAGGCGTCATTTGAATCCTGTGGCAGAGTCCTTGAACCGAATGGAGAAGTTCTACGCTCACAAGAAGGGATTGAATATGCAAAAAAGTACATCGGTCTCCAAAGGTGCTTCATCGTCAGTTCATTCCCAATCGATGAATGCCAATAAGTTCGAGGAGTTTGCAGCAGATAGAGAAAACCGAGAAAGTAAAGCTGCCATGCTTGTGAACAGAGTTTGGCAAGACGCCTTGCTTCAAACGTCATCTAACTCAAGTCCGTCTGTATCGCGGCAGGAGCCTGCTGACCAAGGCGGTTCTCAGTTTCATCAAAACCCCCAGCAAATTCAACAGAGGTCACAACCAATGAGACCCAGCCGAAGCACGGGTAACAGCTCTCAAAGGTCTTCACTTACACCCACTACACGTGCGGTAAAACTCGCATCCCAGGCAGCCGGGGATGGCCAAAGGTAGCATCACGATATAAAAACATGCATTCTTGGATTGTCTATGTACAAATGAGAGCCACGTCTAACGCTCATCCCTGTCTCTGCTTATGCTTGCCGTTAGATTTGCAGTAGACAAACAATCTTCCTTTTCTTCTGACCATGTAGCAGTCCTTGCAAAATTTCTTCACTGAAGTTCTCGTCTTGAGCGTTCTCATGGCCGTGACGGCTCCAACAAGCAGGGTATTGGATTTCATAAGATTTGGCACCACCAAAGCCCTGGTAGGCTGGACAGACGGAAGTGCACGCCTGAGGATGGAGGTCAACCCTAACATTGTGAATAAGTCAGTAGTTGTAACTGATAGATATTGCGCACCTACAGGAAATCACTAGATGGGACACACATGGAAATGGGCCTATGTTAAGACAATATTTTGTTCTACGAGAAAATTCAACACTTTGTCTACGCATCGTTTGTTCACTTATTAGCATTACAGTATGAAGTATGACGAAAGAGCTTAGTGTCTTCTGGACTCAGTGATGATCTGACTCATCTCCTCGACCTTTCTCAGAGCTCTCTTGTGAGTACCCAATCTCTTCTTGGCCAACTTCTTGGCTCTCTTCTCACCGGCGTTTCTGATCAATTCAATCAATCTTCTCTCGTATGGAGCCAAACCGGAGACCTCAGAGACAATGCTTCTGACGAACTTGGTTCTCTGGGAAAGAGCACCCTTTCTCTGGGAGATTCTTGGAGCAACCTCCTTACCGTTGACCTTGTGGCCCTTGTTCAAACCGACAGCAATACCTGGTTGTTAGTATAAGCGTTTTGGAGATGTGCCTTTGGGAAGAGCTTGAGCGAATTGCAGCTGGAAAGGAAAGTGAAATTTCACTTTGTGGATGGTCGAATGCACTGCTTATGAAACTTGTTTGCCATGTTGTTGGGTGGTTTGGTTGTTGGCGATGGGTTTTCATCAAACTTCGATGGGACTTGGATGGACTTAATGGGACATTTAATGGAAACGGGAAATTGATTTCGATCATTTGGACTGCTCTTGTTCATTTAGATTCATTCTCAAAGGCTTTTAACGTCGTGGAAACATACCAGATCTAGCCATTTTTGTCTTTGTAGATACAGAAGAAGGAGAGAACTTCGGTTGTATGAGAAAAATTTTCGTGAGGGTCTGGGCCTGCCTGCAGAAAGGCGCACTGAGGCCAATGTATGGGTGTACAGGTGTAAGAAGGCGCTTCACTATGGGCGCTGAGGGCACTTTCGCGACCTGCACATTCTGCTCCTACTACGTTATGTGTTCACGTGACCATGTGACTGCTATGTCTGTGTTTCTATTTTATGCTATTATGTACAAGTAAATGCCCTCCTTAGACGGTGATATCAGCGAAATCGTGGCCGTAGGCCTCCAACTTTTGCACAAGCTCCTCGGTGGTCAACACGGTGTGGGTCTTGATGAAGTACTTCCAAGGCGTGGGTGTGTAGCTGTCCTTGTAGACGTATGGGTACAAAGTCTCCAAGAGCTTCTTTCTGCCCACGGTGATTTTCTTGCCGGAGTCCAGAATATGATAAACGGTCTTGTCGCTGCCCTCAGAGTTCAGCTCGATCTCCTTCTTCTTCAAGATATCGTACCTCAACTTCCAGCCCTTCAATCCCATGGTCTTGATTCTCATGGGCGATGACTTGAGCAAGTAGTTGTCCAAACCACCGTCTTTGGTGATTGTACGTAATGCAGTGGTAGTGGCCTTGGTGGCGATTCTACGGTTCAAAGTCTCAGACCATAGTTTGGTTTTCACGATATTGGGGAGCTGCGACTTGAGAGTCTTGACTTTACTCTCACTCTCCCTCTTGTGTGTTTTTCTCTGTAGACCGGCAAAGAGGCCTCTGTTTTGTCTTTTGAAGAACATTGTTTCGTAGTCATACTCGGGATAGAGCTTCTTGTAACGAGGAATCAAGCTGTTGGGCAATTTGTCGCCCTCCTTGTAGACGGTGTGGCTTTGGGGTTTGGCATATCTGGTGATCTTGAACATGCTATCCCTCAACGTCGACTGTCTAGCAGCACCTGAAAAGGTATTCATGATTGGGGTCAAACTGTTGATGAATTTTTCTGCTTGAGATACGTGGGTCTTGTACACACACCAACTGCCATCAGCACCTATTAATGCCGACTAGCGTTTAGAACGAAGAGACGGAGGTGGGAATGATTTTGGGTATTTTATGCATTTTTAGTAGACTTGGCGGAAATGGTATTTCTGTTTCGAACGATGTGTCTTTTGTGGTAACGCATGGTTTCATAGCTGTGCTCGATTTGCAGCCACCGAGGGAGGACAACGATATCGACCGGATTTTAAAGGAATAGGTAAAATAACTGAAACAAAGACTTTTCTTAGGAATTCTTGAAAACTTTGCTAATTCTTTGTATACAGAAAAGGAGGAATGAAGTTCGTATTAGGGATCGAATCAGCCTCGTTTACGAAGAGCTCTATGCTTGCCAAAGCTGAAGAGCTCTATGCTTGCCAAAGCTGAAGAGCTATACGCTTACCAAAGCTGAAGAGCTATACGCTTACCAAAGCTTCCGTCATTTTTTCCTGTCAGCGTCATATCTCTCACAAGTTCTCCCCTTTTTGTGACCATTGGTTCTTCAAGGTATATCGCAAACTGACTTCAGCCATGCATCTGCACAACCGTTGTATCTTCCAAGCCGAGCCAACAAACATGATCCGATGTTGTAATTCAACACTCATTGAATCACTCATGACTTTTCCTTGAATCAATCTAAGTTGCAAAGCAATTAATTTCGTTTGAACCTGGGTTCACTTTGTCGGGTCCATTGTAACCTCATCTATATCTTTCTAGAATCTTTCCGAGCGCCAACACTGCAGCTATAAAATTCTCCTAGTAAACGAGCAGAAAAAAACGTTCATGCGCCTACTGCTTCGCACCAGTGAACGTTCTATGCTCTTTGCTCACCCACACAATCCATTACACCGTTCAATTCCCAACTACCCAAAGAAAACGACCAATTTTTGTGACCGGCTTTTTCCTATTCACCGCCTCCAAAAATATAAAAATATCACTTCACTAGCCACAAAATACACACCGGGCAAAGAAAGAGGCACATGAGCACGCTTGAATGACCAGGCTTGCATGTGGCCAAAGCACCAAAAGAGTAAGCTTTTACGAACTGGTCAATCGAGTCAAAACTTCATTTTTATAGCTGATTCACAAAATTTCCGTGCCACTGCTTATCGAAGATGGGCCAAGCTTGGTGACCCATTTCACCTGGGGACCCGTGCATTTGCACCCACGGAGTATCTGCACGGGCTCTTAAATTCCTGAAATGGGCGCCTTGAAACTGTAAAAATAAGAGTGCAATAAGAATAGCTTCTGTTAAAAGAAGGTACAGAAGGTCGTTCTTCCACCTGTATCTCTACATCACACTTTTCCTCCATCCTCGGAATATAGCCGCTTGTCCTCCCTAAGTAGGACAATTCAAGACACACAAGCCACAATTTGCCTCCGCCGAGAATACAAAAACCAAAAAAGGGCATTTCTCTCAAATCAAAACACAAATCTATCAATTCCCAGCGAGCCCTGTAGAAAGATCTCGCAAAACGTCACCCCCTCCATCGTGGCCTCCGTTTATCGCTATTCCTTCCTCCAGTCTATCGGTGCGTTTTTTTCTCGCCCTATCTCATTTCCTGTGTCCCAACACCATCTCCATACAACCAGCCAAACACACACCCTGCTATTTATTTCTCTCCTTAACTGCTAGCAAGTTCAAGGCCCGCCTTCCCACCGTCATCCCCCTTTACGTCATCGTCTCCAACGCATGACAGACTTTGCCAAGTCCATTCTCGGCTTGGGCTTCAAGAGAGACGCTTCGCCAGAAGAACACTCCAACTCGCCACTGCCGGCACCGCTGCAAGAAAACCCCAAGAAGTTTTTGCCCAAAAACCTAGCCGCTCATCCGACCACTGCAGTGCTGAGCCAACAGTTGGCCTACGGAACCACAACAACATCTGAAAACCAGCCATCGGCACACCAACGAGCTCAGGGTTCGTTTGCCCACGATTTGCATCCCTCCGTGCTGAACACGGACCCCTCCTCACAGCGCGTGGCTTCTCCTGCTGTCCAGAGCATCAAGGAGCAGAGCCAGGCTGACTCCAACATGGAGACATCTCCTTCACCACCAGACCTGTCACAACCGGTCATCATCACCACCGACGAAAAGGGCCAGCTCCAGCAGGCCCAGACCTCGCTGCAGCCCAAGGGTAAGTTGAAGGTCACCATTGTTGGCGCCAAGGACTTGTTGATTTCCGAGTACTCCCAGCCGTACGTGGTGCTGACATACGAGTGCTCGGAATTCGTCAACAACCTGACCCCATCCAAGCTGCCCATGCTTGCTCCTCATCAGAACCGCTTATCTCCAGGCATGCCCATGAAGCAGCCTCGTGACAAGAGACCAGCTTTGTACCAGCGCCAGCTGTCCACGCAACAGTTCCAGCTCTCACAGGGCCTGGCCACCCAGGTGTGGAACCACGAGGCAGTGTTTGACGTGGTGGGCTCCAACTCGGAATTGGACATCTCCGTCTACGATGCCGCCAAAGACGACGCTTTCTTGGGCCAGGTGCGTATTGTGCCAAACACAGACACCCCAAGCGCCAACAAGACCCAGGAGCCCCGCTGGGAGCCATTGCGTGCACGTGTGGTCGGTGAAAGAGTCACCGGCTCATTACAAATCAAGTGGCAGTACACCAGATTCGATTCCAAGAAGCTGTATGGCCCTGACGACTTTGAGGTGCTTCGACTCTTGGGTAAAGGTACTTTTGGCCAGGTCTACCAGGTCAAGAACAAGGACAATGGGCGTATCTACGCCATGAAGATCTTGTCAAAGAAGCTCATTGTCAAGAAGAAAGAAATCGCTCATACGATTGGGGAGAGAAACATCCTTGTTCGTACCTCTGCTGCTGCCTCGCCATTCATCGTTGGTCTCAAGTTCTCTTTCCAGACCCCTACGGACTTATACCTCGTCACCGATTACATGTCGGGAGGCGAGTTATTTTGGCATCTCCAGAAAGAGGGCCGCTTCAACGAGGATAGAGCGAAGTTTTACATTGCTGAGTTGGTTCTTGCCTTGGAACACTTGCATGACAATGACATTGTTTACCGAGACTTGAAGCCAGAGAACATCTTGTTGGATGCCAAGGGCCACATTGCTTTGTGTGACTTTGGCTTGTCCAAGGCCAACTTGAACAATGACGGTACTACAAACACCTTCTGTGGTACTACCGAATACTTAGCACCTGAGGTGCTTTTGGACGAGAGTGGATACACCAAGATGGTGGATTTCTGGTCGTTGGGTGTGCTTATTTTCGAGATGTGCTGTGGCTGGTCTCCATTCTACGCCGATAACACTCAACAGATGTACAAGAACATTGCGTTTGGCAAAGTGCGTTTCCCCAAGGAGGTTTTGTCTCCAGAGGGTAGATCGTTTGTCAAGGGCTTGTTGAACAGAAACCCACGTCATAGACTTGGTGCAATAAAAGACGCTAGAGAGTTGAAAGAGCATCCATTTTTCCAGGACGTTGATTGGAACTTGTTGAAGGCTAAAGACATTCCTCCTCCATTCAAGCCCCACCTTTCTTCAGAAACCGACACGTCCAACTTCGACCCCGAGTTCACTAACGAGTCTACCTCCGTGCTCAAGAAACACATGGATATGGCCTCCACGCCTCTTTCACCAGGTATCCAGGCAAACTTCCAAGGTTTCACATATGTGGACGACTCGGCCATGGACGACCACTTCAGCAAATCGCATAGATATCAAGCATTCAAACATTCTGGCTCTTTCATTCCAGGCAACTCCAACCTTCCACCAGATGACGAGGTCATTGACGACCAGATTGACGAGGAAGATGAGATGGAGATCGACAACGACGCCAACATGGAGAGCGAGGAATTTGTCCATGGCCGCTTCGACCTTTGAGGTCAGCCTACCCGCCTACTTAATTTCTTCAGACGGTCCTTCATTTCGACGTGTTTGTACAATATTGTTTTTATAGTGTCTTTATAGAGATCGCTTCGAGGTAATGCTGGCTCTGGCTCTTTTTCGCACCCACAATCTCCAGTCAGTGTGTGCGACTCAGAACAATCACAGCATCAACAACTACCATCAATTAGAATTCAACCATAACAAGCATGAGCAGGACGACAAAGAGAGTCAGAGGCCGCATGCAGCCAATGGAGCATGGTCATCCACCTGCCTCGGTGTTAAAAAGTGATAGTCTACAACTTCACGATGAAGCAGACTTGATCAACTTCCGTGCTGATGCATTCTCTCGTTTCATCAGCAATCAAGACCTTCTAGAAACAGCGGCCCTGAAACCGTTCCATACATCAAAAATAGCACCCCCTTCGCCTTTCCCGGTGCACAAGAAGAAGCTTTATGAAGAAGATGCCACAGACGACAAAGTTAAAGAGGTACTCCGAGATCTCGGCAAGGAGGATTTTATTTTTGGAGACATAAGACTAATGAAGCTCAAGGGCCAAATGATTGAGGAGGAGCTTGAAGAAGACCGCAAAGCTTTGGCCGAAATGAAAGAAGATCCCGATAAGTCATTCAGTGAGGAAATGACGTTCCAGAAGAAGGCTGCGGCACAGCTAGCGAAGCTTCATCGTGAGTGTAACGATGCAGAGTCGCTTGAAAAGCTCGAGAAGGCTATGGAGAACACTTTAGCGGAGTATGAGGAGAAGTATAGCAAGAACTACAAGCTACAACAGACCGCGTTCATCAAGCGGTCCATACCAGCCGAGGAGTTGGGTGCCACGGTTGAAAAGGCGCCTGAAAACTACAATCCACGTCTGATATCGTCCTTCTTGGACATTGAGGATAAGCCTGAAGAGAAGCAACCCGACTTCCAGGACCCAATGTTTGGTGGCCATCAAAACGATAATAACGGCCAGCTTTACATGCAAGGCAACGGAGACGAAGACTTTGCCATGGCGATGATGAATGAACATGGCAGCGAGAGCCATCCAGAGAAACCCGATATTCCCGCTCCACAGTCATTACAGCCAAACAAGCAGGACAATAACGAAAACGATGTCAACATGGAGGATCTCAACCAGTTCCTTGCAGACCCACAGGGTAATGATGACATGATGGGAGATGACATGGACGCGTTGATGAACTTTGGTCCCGACAACGAAGAAGGCGGAATAATGGATGACGACGCCTTCAACTCGGATTTCCTAAGTCAGATTGATCACACCATGGAGTAGCTCTTTCCCAATTCCAGGATGATTGCACGTGCTGAAGCCTGGTGCCCCTCACGTGCGACACCTGAAAACGCGAGATACCTGGCAAGTATGTAGGTGACAAAAAAATACCGATAACAGGTAACATCAACAGCTAACGGACCACAAAACACACGGCCAGCGGGATACCAATACCAAATAAACCCGGCTTTCCCTTTAATAGACGTTTTTATCAATTTCTCACTAGTGCGTCCCGGCCCAGAAACTTCACGGATCCGGCATCCGGACCATATGTTGATACCCCAGAAACCACTACAAGAAATCTCCGAATTATGCTGTTGAAACAGCAACAGCAAGCCCGTAGCCGGTTAAGGCTGCAGCGGCTTAAAATTAGTTTTTTTGGTTACCTCGTTGTGTTGGTATTCTTCGCTGTCCTACAGTTCATCGGAGTCTACTTTTTCTCCAAAGGATTTCTTCTATCTCGACAAGTGTTGCCCGACTTAGCAGAATGTGGCGATTCCGGCTGTTTACCGGCTCAGTTCGAAAAAACTGTCATTGTGGTCATCGATGCTTTGCGTTTTGACTTTGTCATACCTGTTGATGATGCTGATGCTGATCCATACTTTCACAACAACCTTCCCATCTTGTATGATCTCATGCAAAAACAGCCGGACAACGCTGTGCTTTTAAAGTTTTTGGCTGATCCACCCACAACAACGTTGCAGCGACTCAAGGGCCTTACTACTGGAACCCTACCGACATTTATTGATGCTGGTTCCAACTTCAATGGTGAGGCAATAGATGAGGACAATTGGGTTCTTCAGCTTCACAAACAAAACAAATCCATTGCATTCATGGGAGACGATACCTGGGATGGCTTGTTTAAAGCGTATATCAACCCAGACCTCCATTTTCCTTACGATTCCTTTGACGTGGGAGACTTACATACCGTTGACAACGGTGTGATAGAGCATATGTATCCATTGCTCGAGCGCAGTCGTTCGAAGGAGTGGGACCTTCTCATTGGACACTTCCTCGGTCTAGATCATGTGGGACATAGATTCGGGCCCCGTCACCACGCTATGAAAGACAAATTGCATCAAATGAACTCTGTCATCGAGGATGTTGTGAACAAAATAGACGATAAGACCTTGCTCATCGTGATGGGCGATCATGGAATGGACTCCACAGGAAACCATGGTGGTGATAGTCCGGAAGAGTTGGAAAGCACCCTTTTTTTCTACTCCAAGAACAGGAAGTTTCATATCAATAAGCACGATGCTTGCGAGTACGACCTTTCGAATAGAGGCCGGAACTATAAAGCGGTGAACCAGATTGATTTGGTTCCCTCGATCTCTTTGCTAATGGGATTGCCAGTTCCATACAATAATCTTGGGTTTCCAATAGATGAGGTCTTCGGCGACGACAAGGAGCTTAACTTGGCCAGTCACATCACCGTCGAGCAAATAAACAGATTTAGAGAGGTTTCGAATGAGTTTGGACTGGAAGTGAAGTTTGCGGAGAAGTACCAATTTATTTCCGAAAACTACAGAAAGCATGGGAAGAACAAGAAACATTTTTCAGACTTAATCCAGGAATCTAAGGCATTTCAGGAAGAGTTTTTAGATCATTGCAAGGGTCTCTGGGCTCGGTTTGACTTGGTACTTATAGGGCTCGGCATCACGGTGATGTTATTATCCCTTTCTTTTGCCATCACTTACTCACGCTCAATTCCTTCAGTGAGAGTCCTGACAATGTCTTTTGAGTTCATCGGCTCCATCATTGCGATGACACTCTTGGGCCTTGTCTCTAGCATTTCCATATTTATTGTTCTACGGCCCTCGGGTGTCACTCTTCGTACCTGCTTGTTACTTGGATGTGCAATCGGCATTTCCATCGGCTTTTGGGCTCCGATTATGGATCGGTTCAGCGTTATTTGGCTTTGGCATCAGGTGAAAGACTTTTTCAGTTACAATCTCAACAGTTGGTCATCGATGGGATTGTTGATGGTGCTCATGCACAGCATGATTTTCGCGTCCAATTCTTACGTAGTTTGGGAGGATAAGTTCGTGAACTTCTGTCTCACCACATTCGGATTCTGTTGTTTTTTCGGATGTCTAAGAAGTCCCAAACTGCTTCATCAACGAATTTTGGGAGCGCTGCATGCGGCTACCTTCATCATTTTGACGAGGTTGGTATCAATGATCAATTTATGCCGTGAAGAACAGGAGCAGTACTGTGTTTCGACGTTCGAAACTCATTGGTGGACAATTGTGCTATTGCACGTCTGTCTGTACCTATTACCTACTGTCATCAAATCTTTCTACACGCTCACATCTTCTTATCATTCAGCAGCACCGTTGTGGATAGGAACTGGAATGAAATTCCTTATGTTCATGAACGCATCCTACTGGACGATAGAATACGTGGAAAATAATGATTATCTCGGCAACATAGCCAAATCCTTCATTGATCTTGGGTTGACCGAATCCTTGAAGCTAGGAATTGCTCGAATTGTGTTGTTTATTGCCCTTATTCTTGCCAATTTTAGCTGGTCTCGTGGCCCCTTGTGTGTCAAGATCGAAATGTCTAATGCACCCGAAAATGACAGTATTGAGATGTCATCCGACTCTGATGATGAAGGAGAGACTTTGTCACCAAGACCTAGACAACCTAAGCAACCATCAGCTACAATTCTAGGATACGAAAATGTTTATGGCTCGTCATACTTCTTGCTCATTATCAATGCAACTTGTGCTATTCTTCTAGTTACGCAGCCGATTGGAGCTATCTCATTGTGTATTATGGTGGTACAACTTTTGTCACTATTGGAGCTTTACGATATCTTGAACCTTCAAAGAAACTTGGTCGCTGTGATCGTTTTCGCACTCCTCGGTTACCAGCACTTCTTCAGTACGGGGCATCAGGCGGCTATCCGTTCGATTCAGTGGGAAACCGGTTTCATGGTCAATCAGAAGGTTCTGTACATCCTTTCTGGGTTAACGATTATACTCAACACATTTGGATCCTTCTTCATAATATGCCTCGCGGTGCCGCTCATCACCCTTTGGAGAATTCCTCCATCAGCAAAACCCATCACGCTACTTGCGCAAGTGGTGACTAATGTTACTACATTGCTCACGTATCAAACAATAATCAGCATCATGAGTTTCATTTTTGCTGCCCACTTTAGACGTCACTTGATGGTGTGGAAGATTTTTGCCCCTCGGTTCATGCTTAGTGCGCTTTTACTCATCGTTTTCAACGTCTCACTCACGTTTGGAACGATGTGGTTCGCTACGTCCCGAGTCTTGACCCAGGTCAACCGCATTTTTGGTAAGTGACGATGGTCTCACTATAGAATACCTAAGCATATTTCGCAGCCAAACGTAGTTGACGCACGTGACCTCACAACATATCAGCCAGTCTATCGAGCTCTAAAGGTAACCACAAACACCATGTGCCGGTTCATGATATACAAGGGTAAAGAGCCTATGATGCTCTCAGACCTACTTACAAAACCAGCACATTCCATCATCAACCAGTCATTTGACTCACGTCTCCGTCTAGATATGAGAAACCCCATCAATGGAGATGGTTTTGGTGTGGGATACTATCGAAAGCTAGACCAGCCTTGCATATTTAAAGCTATCACTCCAGCCTGGAACAACGTCAATCTTAATTCATTATCCAACTGTACAGAATCGCTGCTTGTCTTTGGTCACGTTAGAGCCTCTACTCAGGGAGTATTATCCGAGACTAATTGCCATCCTTTTCTGTACGGCAGAATCATGTTCATGCATAACGGAGGAGTGTCGAGTTTTGACAAGATAAAGAAGAAACTCATGAACCACGTGGATGATAAGTTCTTCACATTCATTCAAGGTTCTACCGATAGTGAGTGCTGTTGTGCTTTGCTACTAGACACTTTGTATAAGATGGGCTACGATCCTGAGGACTCTTCGACCGTTTTTGGGCATAAAGTATTGAGGCAAGCCACACTCAAAACTATCGATCTTATAAAGACTTGGCAATGTGAAGTCACGGAAGAACCTTCCTTGTTGAATTTCGCCGTGACAGATGGTGAGTCTGTGGTGGTTACTCGTTATATCACTTCAAAGACCGATGAAGCAGCGTCTTTGCATTTCAGTACTGGCCTGCGATTTTTGGAATACGAAGATGGATTGTACAAGATGGAGAGGCTCAACAGATCACAAGACGTTGTTTTTGTCGCCAGTGAACCTTTAACATTTGAACGTGGAGATTGGATCTGTGTCCCTACAAACACGATGATTTCGATCACTAGCAACAACACCGTTCTCATGCATCCAATTGAAGACGAGTTCTGGAGTGATGGTCTAGCAGAGAGATCCTCTGGTTTGGCCATGAGAAAAGGTCTCATGGGCGGTGTACCAACAAAACCTAACACTAAGCCAAGTGCTGAAGATGAAGTCGATAGCACTGTTGCTCACCTTCCTCCTTTGGAAAGAGAAGGAAGAAGAGCGAGCGAAATTGCATCATAGAGTAGCTGGAACTACAAATATCTAGAAAATGGAAATCGTATTTCATTAGCATCATTAAAGTTAAATGCATGCACAGCGTAGTCTATCGCGAGCGCCTCGGAGCTCAAGCTGCTTCATGACGTGAATGCTGTTCGTGTTGAGGTCGCTTTACTTTGGTTGAACTCAACCTTTGCTTGCAACTCGTGTGAGTTTGTTGTCCTTGTTATCCTCGTCATCAGTGTTCAAGGGAATGTCATCATCGTCACTGTCAGAGCTCGACGTGGAGTCCTCACTCAGATTGTTTGTGTGCCCTGGAAATTGGCGCATGTTGTCCTTAACAAGTAGTCCCTGTGAGTCGTATAACGGATTGGCTTTTTTGTATGACATCCCATCATCATTGGGGTCGATGTAATCGTCATCATCGTCATCTCCTTCGCCGTTTCCGGAGACATGGAGGAAGTCCTTGTATTTATCTGAGTCGTCCTCTGACTTCAATTCTTTCGCCTTGCTACTGAGAGAGGACTGGAATGCATTGGACCCAGAGATCGTGAGCTGCAGCGACATATAATTAGCAAAGTGATCGTCATCATCCTCAGACTCGGACTCATCGCTTGAGCTAAGCTTATTACTGTCCTTCTTTTCTGTGTCAGTCTCTTCGCGGCTGTCAACATCTTCATGGAACTCTTCCTCCTTTTCTTGGTGCTCGTAGCTGCTGCCAATCAAATCGTGATCGATATTGGGGTTGAGACTCAAGCCACTGTCAAAATCACTCTCCTCAATAATTTCGCCAGTGCTCTCGTCGAAGGTATTGGAGCCTTCATCGTCATCAACATCGCTTCCGCCAAGAATTGCGTTATACTTCTTTCTCGTATCATACAATACCTGGCTGACGTAATTCTCCCAAATGTCGTCTTCGATCTTTTCATCAATGAATTCACTGACAGTGCCGACGGGGTATAATTGAATAAACTTCACAACTTCCTCTGCTATTAATGTCAAGTGACCCATGTAACCGAGTCTCATACCGCAGTGCTCCTGCTCATACTCTGAACAAAGACGCTGGCCCTCTGTGATTTTATGAGTGATGTTTCCAGAGTGGAAGATATCAATCGCGAGAAACTTGTTGAAGCCAATGTCCATTGAGCCATTCAACACCTGTTGAACAATATCAAAAACCACATTATGCAAGAAGTTGTTCCATGGGAATTTGAAGAACATGGACAAGATGTTTGACACGATTTGTGAGTCGTACAAAGCAATCTTGAGGTAATCACCAACAACTGGGCTGCTTCTGAGTTCTTCCTCAGTTAAGTTCGAGTTACTATGGGGTGGCTCGTCCTCGTCACCGCTATTTTGGTTTCCATGATGGGCGACTGAAGAGTCTTGCATCTTAGAATTAAAAGAGTCAATGGTGTCATTGAAATCGTTGTCGTCATCAAATTCATGCTTTGGGAAATCCTTCTCAAACTTTTTGGTCAACTCCTTCTCTGCGTCGAGACTAGGCTGCCAGTCATCGGCAGGAAGCTCGATGACCTCGTTGTACTTGAAGGCGACAGGGTCGAACTCCCTCATTTTTTTTCTAAGTTCGTCTCTGATCTTCACCACATCAAATCCCTTGTTGTCATTAAGAAGAGCCATGTTCGAGCAGTGCAAGAGCTCTGCGATCAACTCGCAGATCTTAAAACGTTCAAATCCCAATGGCTCGATTTTACCAAACGTGGTGAGCAATGACGAGCCCTCGTTGACGTGTATCAACAACTTATTGAACTCGTCGATCTTGCTGCCAAACACCTTCAACAAGTGACCCAAGTAAATTGGATCTCTGCCGGTTGGTGGATGGCTCTCCAAGGTGATATAAAGGACCGGTAAGATGTCGTAGTCCGAGTTATTCTTTCTGATGATCTCGATGATAATACCCACACCATTTGCCAAAGCATAGCCGCCTTTCAACATGATGTCACGAAGGCGGGCCATGATGTCATAGGAAACAAGCTCACGAGTGAGCTCATTGGGCCCGATGGTGGAATTATCAGTAGTTGAGTTTGCCGAAATGGTGATAAGTGCTTTTAGGAAGTCCGCAGCTGATGATTGTCTAACGAGCAACTCGTCCATGTCCGCGTCGGAGTCGGACGTGTCAAGGGCCTCAACAAGCTGCGGAACAAGTTCCTGATCCTGAAGAAAGTCTATTATGCCGGTGGAGTTGTCTGGCTTATCGGTGGAGATAAGCTTAAGCAAGAAGTCCATGAGGGGTGGGTTGGACAAGTGGTTCATGAACTTGCGGACCAACGCAGGCTGGTTGTCAATGAGGTAGGTGATCATTTCCTCGCACTTCATATCCAACAAGTGCTCCATGATCTTCATGAAATAGGTAGCCAAGTTGATGGACAATGGCTGCTCCAAGTCAAGAATGGACCACAACTTGTTGAGATTCTGCGTCGATTCCATCACGGTATCGGTGAGCGACCACACGTCAGCACTCAAGATCTCAGCCGAGAGAGTGGCGTAACGCGATCGTCTTTCCTCAGACAGCTCTGGAGTGGCCTCCTCTTCCTTGTCAGGCTCCTCCTCAGTGGTTTCATCTTTATCTTCCTTTTCCTTGGATTCTTCCGTCTCGTCATCTTCGCCATCCTTCGACTCGACCTTCAAATCCGCCAGGAGATGGAGTCTCTTCAAGCTCATGGCAAGCTGTTCGCCCAGCAAGCTCTCCAGGATCAAGAGGTCGACGAGCATGCTGATGACGTTGTCGTTACGCAAGAACTCGAGCAACATGGAGTTGTTGGACATCAACTCCTGGAGCAAGTCATTTTCGTCCAAAAGCTTTAGGAGCACGCTGATTGTCTGGGAGTCGTCCTGGGCATTGTCATTGATGGTGTGGTTTTCTAGAATGGACGTGACGTTAGAAAGCGAGGTGAAGCCATTACTTAGCTTCCAGAATGAACCCGACATGGTGTTAAAATTGGGGATTCAGGGGTTGCCGGGACCAGTCACACGGAGGCTTCAGCGGGTATAATGGGGTGGGGGAGAGAATGGAAGGAAGGATCCGTGGAGGTTGGTGGTGAGTCGGTTGAGGTTGTTGGATGCAGAGAAGGAAAAAAAAAATAGCCAAAAATGAGCCAAAAATGAGCCAAAGGAAAAACAAAGAGGTCGAGCGAAAAAAAATTGCACAAGTGGCTGCGACGGCTTTCGAGATTAAATCGGGGTGATTTTGGAAGCTGGAAGGCCTTGTAGAAAGTGTAGCGTGGCACTGTTCCTTGCGGTTCTAAACTTAGGCGACAGACAGCGTCTCGAGACCCCTTCCCACAGGGTTTGCGGTCCAATGGAAGGCGTTTCCGTGGAGAAAAGTTCAGACGAAAATGCAGAGGTGCAAAATTACGAAAGTTATTGAAATGGAAATTTTTCGATCCGGGGGCGTACAAGGGGTTTTTATAGTGAGTTTGCTGTCGTGGCTGAATGGCTGCAACAGTGAGGCTGAAGGAGACCACCCGGGATACACAGGGAGTCGATGAACAAAATGATTAACCAAAATTCAGGGATTCAGCTATCTGTAATTGTCTACTTTCAGAAAGGAGAGTCTGCAAATGGTGACTAAGCTTTCGTTTAGGGTGTTGTCTAGGTCTGGCTGCTTAGTCACCGCACCGGTATTCTGGTTAGAAGCATGTCTCACACCTTGTAGGTAGGCAAACACACTTTGGGAGGTATACGGATGATTTTGTGGAACAAGCGAGGTGGTGATAATAGAGACGTTGTTATTGGGTGAATGGCATAGCAAGGTATAGGTTTTCGGTTGGATGGATTGCGGTTGAGGTCCTACGGTGAGAGAAAGATATGACTTGTGGGAGATGAAGTAAGAGCCCTTTGTGAGTTTTGTTTTCCCAAAAAACACTAATTCTGTTAGCTTCTCGATAATTTAGGCGTTTTGTGGCTGTGGCGGTCACTCCATGGATGGTTATCTCCAAGGGAGTAGGGCTTATTCCTACGCTGATGATCACGCGGGTGAAAGAATTAGAACGCTCTATCGTCAGAAGCGTATTAGAGGCTGCTGTGTGGGTGCTATAATTTCGAACTGTCGGACAACTTTTCATTAATCCGATACGTGAGTAAAGAAAGAAGAGACTCTGAGATAGCATCTTGTAGTACCAGGGTTTGCTATTAAAAGAGTTTGGGGTTCACGCTTCGATATCCTTAACCATAATTCAGAACTGTCGGGCTGTTCATGCCTTGGTTTTCCACCGTCTCAGTATTTCGCAGCCATATTTGGTTACACTACCCTCCACAAATGGGATGGATCGCATAAAAAAAAAACACTTTTCTATTCACAGTAGAGAAGTTTATGGTCGTTTCTCTTGAAAGTTTTCTCTGTTGTCTTTTCTTTCAAGTCAATTCTAAGTGGTCAGAATTACTCAGGAGATGTGACCTAGAGTCATCGTGCTGCTTACCAAAACAGATTCCTTGAACCACTAGCATCAAAAAATAGATAGTAATTTATGAAATCAAAAAAGTCCTTCACTATTCACTCGTCGAAACCCGGTGGTCAGGGCCTATCTGGTCTTGGGCTTGTGTGGGAGGTACGGGTGTAGAAGGATTTTTTCATTCCTACGTCTTTAGCACCAACTTCTTCAATCCAACATACATGCTTCGGACAGCTTTTACCTCGTGCAGACTGCTTTCGCTGTCGGCGTTGCTTCGAAATGCTGCGCCTGCAGTGTCTTCTGCTTCCAAAGCTCTTCCAGACTTGACCTACCTCAAATTCGACTCGAATGCTTCCAAAGATCTTTACGCTGTGTGTAAGATCCACAATATTCCATACATGGTTACCAAAGGTGACAAGCTAATTTTGCCTTACAAGATCAGAAACCACGAAGTGGGCGACGTGTTCAAGTTGGACAATGTTGTCACTCTTGGGTCCAGAAACTTCACCTACAACGACAAGGAAGGTATCCCAGAGGATGTGTTTGAATTGACAGCTACGTTGGCTGAAATCACCAGAGAGCCCAAATACCAGGTTGTCAGAAAGAAGCAAAGATGCAGAAGAAAGAAGACTACCGATGTCGAGCCTTACCAGACACACTTGATCATCAACGAGTTGAGGTTGAAATGATCGCCCTGTAAATATCACCCGGTCTACTTGTATACTACCATAATCGTCATTAGTCATTCATTCGTCTCTGTAGTTACACCCGTCTAGTGTTGAATTTGATCACTTCACGGAGCTTGGTATCATTAAAGCGGAAGCTGGGGTCTTTCACCATGAACGGATGCTCAAGAAGTTTTTCTGCAGTGGGTCTGACTTCAGAGTCTGTAGTGAAACATTGTTTCAAGAAGTCCTTTGCCTCGTCACTGACATCGTCTGGGATCGGTGGGGCAAGCTTTGTCTTTCCAATCTTGTAGATAGCACTGATGACGGCCTCGTTCGACCAAGGCCTCTGTCCAGCGAACATCTCGAGAACGACACATCCTAACGACCATATGTCGACCTTGGCGCTGTATCCTTGTTTCTTGTCCTCTACAATGTTGTGAATAACTTCGGGGGCCATCCAGAACACGGTTCCTTGCATCGACATCTCAGCGTTGTTACTGTAGATATCCTGAGACTTCTTGGAAATACCGAAATCAGAAATCTTGCACGTACCGTCAGTTTCAAGAAGCAAGTTGTCGGCCTTCAAGTCTCTGTGCAAAATGCCGTTTGAATGCAAGTACCTTAAACCATCTAACACTTGTCGTGTGATGAACTTAACAAGAGGCTCGTCAAATTTTCCAAACGACTTAAGGCAAGATGAAATCGATCCACCGCCAACGTATTCGAGGAACAAGCTGTAAGTGTTCTTCTTCTGCTCAAAGCCCAAGTATTGGACGATATTTAGGTGGTCCAAGTCTTTCATCGTCTCGACTTCTTTATGTAAAGCATCAAGACCGTCTGAGGTCTTGTTCCAACTATTAGTCACAACGACTTGTTTCACTGCGAGCATCTCACCGGTAGTCACATTAAGTGCCAAGTAGACAGATCCAAAAGAGCCTCTACCAATGAGCTCACCCTTGATCCAAGCAAACTCCTCAAATTTAGAGCTAGCACTTGATCTTATGCGACTGACGAAACCCTTTTCAATCTCAGCCGAAGTGACTTCGACGAGTTTCTGGCCCCACAATTTCGTATTTGATCTGCGAAGCAGACCTGAACTCTTTTCATCCGTGGTTTTGGCTGGGGGATCGGGGAATTTTTTGTTAGCTCTTTGACCAGCTAAACGCTTGTTACGTGCCTCATTGGCAACCGTTCGAATAGTCTTCATTCTCTTGAAAGGTTTACCTCCATTATCAACAGGAATCACTCCATCCTCGTCGTTGGGAGGATTAATTGGCGAATTGTTTGCGTTAGAAAACGTCCTGGAAATGGATTCCTTTCTCTGCGTAGGGAATGATCTCTTGGGGCTTATGGCCTGGGCAACAGGAGAATCGGGTGAAGCGTCAATAATCGGTTTATCGAGATTAGTGTTGGGGAAATACTTCTCAAGATTATTGTAAACTTCTTCGACAGGTGGTCTCACGTTCATCTCTCTCAATTCAGCACTCTGGTTGTTCTTCGTGGGCTTCATGAAGAAGTCTTCCTCGTCATCGCTGTCAACTGTCGTTTCAGCCAGGCTCTTCTTTTGAGACATCGGTTTGACGAAAAAGTCATCATTATCAGACTCTTCGTTCGTGTCAAGGGCTGACGTGTCTTGCAATTGGGGTGATTTTGCTGATGCTGGTGAAAATGATGGGGCGTCGTCGAAGCTGAATTCATGCTCTGCAAAAGCGTTTGTCTCTTCTTCCTGCTTACGAATCGAGGCCAGCTTCGATGTTACACGTCTCCCGCTACTGTTGCGGGACAATGCTGGCAGGACTGAAGCACCCAGTAGAGTTCTAGATCTCACTGAGCCAGTTGGAGGAGGAGGGGCCTTTCGTTTTGCAATGAAACTGCTAGACCTCTCATACTCCAGACCCAGAGAGGAAGCTCTCGAGGCGGCTTTGGCAGCACCCTCTCTGAAAATAGCAGAACGTATCGCCTTCGTGGAGAGACTATTCTTGTCCTCTAGAAGTGCAGAATTAGCATCTTTAGAAGCAAAAGAGCTTTGCTGTTTTGCTTCTGGAGATTTCCAACTTTTAGAGCTATCAGGTAGCTCTGCAGCATGCAGATGGGCTTGACCTGTAAACTCAACCTTACGGCCAGTTTGCTGACTATTGTTGGGCTGGAGAAGGTTTTTCTTGCTGTGCCTCTTGTTGACGGGAATAGTGAGTTTGAGGGGATGCTGATAAGGCGTTGTAGGACCTCTCGCATCTTTTGGATTCTTAATCTGTGAGAATGCCTCATGATCTTTGAAATTGATGTAGTCTATTCCCTTGTCTCGAGCATCCTGTAATAGATACTGTGGAGTAGCAGGATACATCCGGCCATTGTTATCACCTGTGAGATCGAAGGATCTGGCATCTGATGAAGTACTTGAAATCGTGTTGGTACCTGGGGAGTTCACAATTTGCTGGATGTGAATTTTGCAAAGGGTGTTTTGTCGAAGAGCCTGAACTATGACATCGTCGCTCATTGCTTCACCAGGAATGCAGTCATAATCAGTAAGATGGAAGGTGATGAGGCCAAAACTGAGGAGATCCAATGATTTATAGATCCTCTTCTTTAATGATTCCAAATCGTCAAGATCTTTCGTATAGATCCTCAATGGTTTGAAGGAAACGTTGTCTTTGGAGAGTAGAATAAGCTTGGATTCGTCTTGAAGACTGCCTTTTGGTACTGGTAAGTATCTAGCGTCGATGATCTCCTTCTTTATCTCTGCGCTGAACAGGCGTTCACTATCGGCAGAAGATTCATTGACATCAAAAGGAGGGAACCCGGTGGAATTTGTGGATATTGGAGAAAGCGTACCATCATCTTGCGAACGCTGCAAGCTCAATAATGAGTCTCGATTCATGAACGAAGTGTTCTTGCTGGACAGATCGGCTCGTCTATGTTGTGGCATGACATAGCTACCTCTCTTATTACCACTTGATTGTCTCCCACCGGAACTCCCAGAGCTAGGGTGCACTTGTTTGACAATCCCAGCTGCTTTGTCGCCACTGTATTTCCAAATCGAGCTGAATATACCGCTCATTCGTTGACCAGTTGAGTTTCTTGGATCATCCCCACTTAAACTGGCAGTGCTTGTATTTGCCTTTGTCGAATCAGTAGATGGGGTTCTATGGTGAAGCCTGAAAAACTTGTGGGCGTGTGATTGCGACGAATCTCTCAATGGGTTGGCCTTAGATGAGCTTGATGGCTCGACGTATGAATAGGGACGAGGTTTAGTGGGCACCGATGATGACAACTGTGTTGATAATGTCGCAGATGACTTTCTGTTCTCTGCTCGCTTCTGAACTTCAATTTCAGGAGGAGCCAAGGTGGAGCTAGTGTTTGTGGAGGAGTTTTCGATATTATGGAGCTCCGAGCGTAACAAGTGAATGAACCTATCTACTTCACTCTTGTCCTCACCCACATGTAGGCTCCTGCTAAACTGTCTCCAGACCATTGACGATGATTCGTAATTGCCAAGTTCCAAGAATCGGTTGCCTGAAATTTCATTTCTCCTGAACGTTTCTTTCCACGAGGGATTGAAGTTGTGGAAGTCTAGCCAGGAGATCACATTGTCCATCAGCCATCGCGTAGTCGGATTAAGTGCTGGTTGTGAAGAGTGGGCGCCCATTGCATATCTGAGGAACCTCTGCTGGTTGTTACTCTTGGTGAGGGTGGATGCTGTTGAAGTTGTGGATAACGTAGATGACGCCGAATTGTTTCGTAGATGCTCTCCACGTTTGCTGGCGTTCAGCTCTTGCAGACTGCGCATTTCGTCCTTGACAGGCTCTCTCATTCTCTGTTGATCAATCTCCGGCTGAAAACTCGGGCGAGATCCACTTGAGTACATTGATCCTGAGGTCAATGATGCAGCAGTGCCTCTTGTCTCTACACTAGGGTTTAACGCCAAGGCACTGGAGCTGTAGTCGTACTTGCCGATGATCAGGCCAACCAAGTTCGAGTTCCCTGATTGAAGGGACTTTGGAGGCAGCGAGGATTGTATCGTATTTGTCTCATCCTCAGACTGACTCATTGGCAGCGTCCTTATGCTAACAAAATCAGCATTTTCAAGCTCATCTTCGTAAGCAAGTCTTGGTGAGAAGTGGAACTCCCTTGCAGATTCATCAGCCTCGCTGAAGCTGAACAGGTTGACATTCGACGGGATATTTTCAAAATGGACATTCTCAGAATTCGCAAGCGGTTGCTCATCTAACGGTTTTTGATCTTCCTCGTTCACACCCACACGACGAGAGCTAGTGCTGCTGGTACGTGAGAATGTCTCCATGAACTGAGACTCACGTTTGACCGGCATTTCGAAATCCGGCTCGTATGTTGAGTTCACGGGATAGCTTCCGACGCTCGGCTTCTGTGATGCATTGCTTTGGGAATATAGACTATCGCCAAAACTGGTCAAGGACGAAGGAGAATGCAGACCTCTGTTCCTCGCCATCACATCATCGGATACGATTCTCTGGGGTTCCTGAATATCATGGTATGCCTGGGATGGCCTTATCCGCAGAATATCGTGGCTTGCGGACCTTCTATTGGGGTCGCTAGCTGGCGGTACCCACGACATGGAACAGGTGTAGTTTGGTCCAAAGGAAGTTCGGTTGCAGTAGTATTTACCCTCTGTGCACAGGACTGACCAAATATAGAAGCTTCAAACTGATAAGGGATAACACGGCAAAGGCGAAAAAGAGAAGAGGCGATTGGAATAAACGGGTTAGAAAATGTATGAGATTTGCTGATTATGGTATACTTTAAGGACTATGCTTCCTGGTGAATCGCATATTCACATTTGCAACCATGTCTCACTCGGGACCAAATACGCTGTCATAGGTTTCGAAACCAATTTTTGGGGAGCAGGAAAAGTTATTTTTCTTCACAAAGTCTTTTGCAGAGACTGTTTCGATTCACAGAGTTTTTCTTTTTTTATTTCAAAAATACATGATTTTTATGTGACCCGGCCCGAGTAACTTGGCTCTAATACTGATGCAAACATACCGCGCATCACTACTACATCAACACTGACATGCCATGGTAGAGCATAACCAAATCTACCACCTAGTCAGGGACCTCCATCTGCTCCAAGACCTACGAAATGGAGAAGCACAATTCCACTCTATCTTCAAAAAAGTTGTCGAAGACGTCCTACGATTGGTTGGCTTGAAACATAAACATAGAATCAAGATAACAATCCACACGTCCCAATTCCCTGCTTTGACCTTGACCTGCTATTGCAAACCTCAAAGGGCGAATGAAAAACCGAATATTCAACAATTGGCACAGCATGAATCCCATTCCCATGGCCCCTCGTACTTCGATCACCTACTACAAGCATTATCCACAACTTCTATTGACAATGGCCGGCCTAGATACGTCAAGGAGAGCTATAAGGCAATTGTCGAGGAGCTTTTTCAATATATACAGCTGGCTCTGGAGATATACAGTTATTCCAAGGACCATTTAGCGGAGTTTCTTGGTCAGTGTTTGATACACGAGTATACCATAGCGAAAAACCTTGATCAAAAGGTGGAACTAGCCACAGATGAAACACAGCAGCTTGCCTCTGTGCTAGATGAGCTACTCAACAAAAGTATGGCATCAGATAGCGACTCGATTTTTGAGTACAATGTCCCTTCAGCGTCCAAGACTGGGCTTTTGAACTTCACATGTGACGATGAAGCGTTAAACAAGGCCTACGAAGCAGTCTTACACCTCACGCTTCTCAAACCAGAGAGCTCGGTTTACAGCAGTGTTCCCTCTTTGGTGAGGATCTTACTACTGATGTTCGAGAAGCATCATGCCATCGAGTGTATGGAGATTGAGTCGTTCGAGAATAGAGAGAAACAGCTTCAACTATTTTACGAATTCTTTCTCGGCTCGGAGCAATTGCCTGGAGTCGTACCAAGTCAGTACGTTCAGCAAGCTGAATCGATCTTAGACTCCGTTGAATTCCCAACTGATATACCATCACTAGTCAAAGGCAATGAGTCCGATCACGAACTCGCTGCTATTGCCGAGACTCTGGTCTCTGAGGGTTTTCTGCAGCATGAGCTTGGTGAACTATTATCTAATTTGAGCACCGTGGTCAACCTCCTCAACGAGTACGACCCGCAGTTCCATCCTCAATTCCCTCAAATTTTCAAACAATATGTTCTCCTTGTGTACGAGGACTATACCGATTTGGCTTGTTTGGCTGATTATAGGTATATTGAGGAATTGACTAACCTCGTTGGCCAAATAAGCGAATATGAGGCCAATGAGGATATGAATGGCGACCTGGTTCGTTCGATTGTCGATCATCTACATTACTCACAGGGGTTTTTGACCTCTGGATATCAAAGTTCAACAATACTTATGCGCTTGGCGAATAAAATCTGGTCTTCGTCCTATGAGATCACAAAACAGATCTTTCGTAAGTGGAATGACAGAACAATTTCTGCTATTCATCTCAGCTCAAAGCTTTTTCAGAATTCACTTGAAAGAGATCTGAAGATCCTCAATTCGAGGTTCAGTATCTGGTATGATAAGTTTATGAGACTCCTGATGTTAGTATCGCAAGCGGAGAATTATAGTGGCAAAAAGCTTCTCGCGAGGGTACTCAAAGATCTCTGGATACCAAAGTTGATACATGTGGGTGACTTGGAATATCAATCTCAAAGATTTGTAATAAAGAATAGGTTTCTCGCATGGAGGGCTCGAACTGAAAGACGCTCTCAGATTAATCGCAAGCTGCGAGAGTTTTACAACCGAAACCTTGCAGGAGCTTGTTTCAATCAGCTCAAGGAAAAGCATAAGCATTATGAAGACAATGTTCAGAAAGCGGTAGCGATCCATCGCAAAGTCAACAAAAAGTGTGACAACATAATTTTGCAAAACGTTATTCGAAAGTGGCACAGACTGTTGGATTCTTCCAACCGCTCCGCGACTCGGAGCATGGGAAGCACCAAAGACTTTGTTTTGAGTGAAAAATTGATTGCCCTTGACAAAATCGAAACTCGATACACATCAAGCAAACATTTCAATCTATGGCACAAGAAAATGCGCTTGCTTCAAACGTACTCCAAGTGCTCTCATGTTAATTCCAATAATACGAAAGCATTTTTCTTCCGCGGATGGAGAAGAAGCTTTATGTTGAAGGGTTTACAAAACGAATGGGAAGCGAAGCAAGACCGAAATTTCGCCCGATCAGCACTTGAAATTTGGTCTCAACACAAGAACCACAGGGTTCAAGCTTCTGGCTATCAGAGAAAAATCTCACTCGGGCGCGTAATGAAGAAGTGGAAATTGGCTCATAAGAAGAAAAGTTCTCGTCTTGAACTTCTGTTGGGCACCATTTACCTTAAAGCTTGGAGATTGAGGATGATATCGAGGAATCTCACCGATTCTGCTTCAAAAAGGATTCTTGAGAGGTCTTTCTCTAAGTGGAAAACTATGAATGTCATACACTCTGAGGATGAGGCACGAGCTTCTCACATTGCCAAATTGAGTCTTCAAAAAGCTACGCTAGCTCTTTGGAAATCAAGGATGGACATGCATGAGGAGTTAAGGCTTGTTGCTCAGCTCAACTTCGAAAGACAATACTTCTTGAGATGGAAGGAAAAAACGTCGGACGCCAACAAGTATTTACAATTAGCTGCCAACTTTCGAGAAAACGGTCTTCTGTTCAAAGATAGGTACTCGGCGAAGTTTCACATCAGACTTTGGCAGAATCGAATTGTCTCGAGATTCGAAGCATATGCAAATGAGGCTATTGATAACTTCCATGAAAAGGTAAGGCATAAGCGAACTTTGTCAATTTTTATCAAACACTGGCAAAATGAGTCTGCCAAAATTGGTGCAAGGAGAAAGAAATTGAATCTTTTACTTCAGCAGCACAATACGGCTAGCTCAGCTCTCGCACCAGTACTTAATCACTGGAAGGACAAGACTCTTCGCTACCGAGAGCATTATGCAATGAGTCTCGAATTTCATGATGCGGTGCTCCACAAAAAAGTCATGGTGCTCTGGTATGAGAAACTTTTGATAAAGTCTAACTATCTTGAGGAACTAGCGGACGACTTATTGAGCCAGAAGAGCTATGCGACTTCACTCGAGTATCTTCAAAAATGGAATCTAAAGTACATCAAAACTTACAAGCGGAATTTGCAGACGTGTACTATGTTTCAAGAGAAATGGAATGCGTCTAAGGCAAGGTCGCTTTTGCAAGTGTGGAGATTTAAGGCACTTCATAGGGAGTTCACCGATGACAAACAAGAGGATGAGTACATGGAAGCAGATACCAGCGTCTTTTTCAGTAGTTTGTCTCCGCTTGCAAAGAAACGAGGGAGCTTCCTCGAAGGACACAGCTACTTACATACCCCCGTGAAGAAGCAGGTCTCCAGCATTCCTTTCACGCCATCATCTAAGATTCGCAGGACGAGTCCGACAAGATTGGATACCAATATGAAGATGAATTCAGACAAAATTGATGCATTGATTAATCATTACAGAAAGGCGAAATCTAAACGGGGTGGGGGTGGGAAGACATCGTCCCTTAGGCTTCAAGATATTTCGACGATTCGATTGTCGCCCCCTCGGCCAAAAACTAATTATTCAGGTCTTCCCTCGAGACCACCCGCCCCGCAATTTGAGCGAATCTTGGAAGCATCACCAAAGGCAACTTCATCACCATTCGAGCCCAAGGGATATCAAAAGCTTCCATCTCCGCTCCCACTGGCAGACATTGATGAATCTGTTCTTAGTACAGCAAAGAAACTCAAGAGATTTAGACCGTTGGTAATTCCAAACAGCGAGTCTACAGGTGGAGCAAGTGGGTCTCCTGCGGTGAAGCTCAGGGAGCGTCTCGAAAATGCATCTCGTTCATTTAACACTCATAGCGTTTCCTAAATTAATTATTGGGCAGTCTCATAAGCATCCTCGAAGCTATCGATCTCTTCGTTAATTGCATCCTTGACAGCATCAGCGTCAACTGGAGGAGGCTGGTCAATTGGGGGCTCCTCTGTGGCCTTTGCTTGTTCATCGCTTTCCAAATTAAGATAAACAGGAATAGCATCCTGCTGGGTTCTTTCATAAACATACAAGTAGCTCCTTGTCTCGATCGTAGTTCTGAGAAACTTCAACACTTTATCCTTGTATTCCCATGGGCCTGCTGTTCCAGCAGGAGAAATTTCCGCGGGAAGTGCTTGGAACCGTTGAATATGCTGAACAGTGTACATGAAAGGGAAGAAATTGATCCTGGTGAATGAATTAACCGTCTTCAACTTCTTCCAATGAGTGCGGTCATACTTGATGAGAGTCTCCTCCTTTCTTGGCTTGTCCATGTCCACCTCAGTGATCATGTGCGTGAAATTGTTCCACAAACGGGACAATTCCTCGAGTTCTTCAGTTTTGTCAAACACCACGTTTGGAGTGTGCAATTCTGTGAATTTTGTGATTCCACTCATGCAAGATGCCACATCCATGTGCACCAACACATTTTCGTTTGCCTTGGAATTAACAATGTAGTCATTTAAGAATGTCACAGCCTCACCACCAGGGTAATTGAAACTCGAAGCGTAGCTCATCATGAGAGTGTAGACAACTGAGACACCAGTACTTGCAAGCATAATAAACAATAACAACTTATGGGCAAACAGAGTTGACCACTTTCTCGTCACATTTGCGAGGCCATTGGCAGCTTGCAAGGTGAAGATTGGGACAGTGTAAACGATGAACCTCCATTCTTTGTGAGGCTGCTTGGACATGAAAGCAATGTAAAGAATGGCGGAAATCGTCAAAATCCTGAGCGAGTTTCTGGCTGGGTGTGTGACGATTAATTTGTTATCGTCGGTGACCTTTGTTGGAGTTCCATCATTGGCTGGATCGACAAGAAGACCCAAGACTACCAATAACAAGATGTGGGGAGGGCGGAAAAAGTTCAATAAGTACTTCTTGAAGTAAGCACCGTAAGGTTCGACGCCCCATTCGGAAGCATTACCATTGACCACATTGTACATGAAACTCTCGAGCTCAGGCCAGACCCATTCGCCCCAGAAGTAGGAGTCCACAAGCACTGTAACAAGAACTCCGACCACAGTTCCTACCACCAAGAAGTACAGGTTGATTTGGATATCTGACTGGCCGAAACCGAGAGAAGAAATGAACGAAATGGTGACTGCAAGAACACCGATTTCGACACGGAAGATCACAGCGGTGAACGCCAACCAAGTCAATCCCGCCATATTTCCTTCGATGAGCTTACCGAAAGCATAAGTGACGAAAGGCAAGGCAATGAAGTTGGGCAAAGTTCTGGTGCTGTAGTATGGAACATGAAACTGGACAATCAAGAAGAGGGTGTAGAAGACGCCGATAGCGCCTCTAGTCTTAGCATTCTTTTCAATAAATGCCACCTTGTTAAGGCTGTTTCTCAACTTCAACAAGCCCAAGACGTTGGCCAATCCAAGCACACCTCGAGCCACATATTGCACGACGAGCTGGCTGTCCCCTTCCTTCACCACCAAAGGCACGCCTTTGATCAATGTATGGCCATAGTCAATGGCCTTCACAATGCCTCCAATTAACAAGCTTCCAACAAAAGTTCTCGGCACGACGCCGGGGAATACCTGGTGGTCGTAGTTCTTGAGCTGGTCTGGATGAACACCGTAATTCACGATATCATGAATCGCCTGGATATTAAAAGACTCCTCAACCTTTGTGTATGGAGCGTTCCAGAGGTGGTAGAATACCGCTGCCGCCAACAACAAGTCCAAGAAATAAACGAACTTCATCCTGGAGTGGTTGATGGAAGATGTGGAGCAAATTGTGCAGTAGGTGCCGCTCGCCTAACCGGACTGCAGTTCGAGCAACCAGTAGACGAGGCCATACATTTGGGAGACTTCATCAAATTGATATTTTCAAATTTAAGAACGATATCCAATTGCTTTCACATGACTTCAAAATATCTTTTTTAGTGTAATTTTTCTACCTTGAGTGTGAAATGAAGTGCTGGGACGCCGTTTGTGGGCTCGATGAGAGATTCCTTGCTTGATACCATAGCTAGCCGGTCTAATAATACTCTCTTACAATGCATCTTTCCTCCGCAGAGGCATTGCTTCAGTTGACGTAAAATTGGCGGCACAGCGCTCAACATCGTTCAAGATTTGCAGCCATTGCTCCAACTGCCCCAATGAACTTTACATCCCAACTCTTTGACAATATCCCTTGGTAGTGGTCTTTTTCCAGAGATCATCGCTTCTATGTGAAATTGCAAAATATGCCAATTTTCCAGGAAACTGGCCTGTGTGCTCCATAATCGGATCTCTTAGATAGTGCGCGATGAACATCCCCACAGAAAGAACCATGGACGACGAGATACCCGAGTTGGTCACTGAACTTGACGAGACTTTCGTCACCAAGCCAGAGTACTTGGCTACTCAACAAGACACAACTCAGTATGAGCAGAAACCGTCGAAGGTGACAAGCAAGTTACCCATCACGATCGTGACTGGGTACTTGGGATCTGGAAAGTCGACCCTACTAGAGATGATCGGCCGCAAGTCCAACAAGCGATTGGCCATTATATTAAATGAATTTGGTGACTCGGCTGCCATTGAAAAGTCGGTCACGATCAAGGATTCCGAGAAGAACGAGAGTGTTCAGGAATGGCTAGATCTAGGTAATGGCTGCCTTTGCTGCACCGTTAAAGACAATGGTGTGATGGCCATCGAGAACCTCATTGAGAACTCCGGTGACAAGATTGACTACATTCTCTTGGAGACTACAGGCATTGCAGATCCAGCGCCAATTGCCGAGATGTTCTGGTTGGACGATGCTCTTGCTGCTAGTGTATACATTGACGGAGTAATTACTGTGGTTGACGCCGCAAACATAATTCAATGTCTCGATGACATTGGCGGCCACTGGCACAGAGCAAACAAGCATGTCCTTCAGGATGACGATGAGGATGTGAGTCCTGAAAAGAAAGAGCAGGAGAGGAAGATGTTGGATGAGGGTATCAGTACAGCACATCTTCAGCTAGCCCTTGCTGATACCATCTTGATCAATAAGATTGATACCATTGAGGGAGATAAGAGTAAACTAGAAGAGATTTGCGGTAGGGTCCGTGACATCAATTCTTCATCCCCCATCTACACAACCTCATACGGAGATATCGATTTGGACAAGATCTTGGATCTACATGCATTTGAGGCTTCAAGCGAGAAGCTCGCGAATCTGGTGAGTTTGGCCACCAGCTCGTCTTATCATGATGATAGGATACAGACTCTCACGATAGACTTTCCCTTTTTCAGCGACAACTCAGGGTTCGATAAGGTGGAGAAGTATCTTCAACATGTACTCTGGGAGAACGACGCAAACGGTGTCTCTGTCGAAATTCACAGAACGAAAGGAGTGTTGGTGTGGAAGGACGATGTTAGAGTTGTCCAAGGCGTACGGGACACTTACGAGGTGATTGAAGGCGGTAAATTGCACGAGAGTATCAAAAATAACAAAATCGTGTTCATAGGTAAGGGCCTTGACAAGCAGGCATTGGAGGACGAGTTGCATAAGTATATATAGTTAGTTTCCGCCTAATTCATAAACCCGCGTATAATTTTGCAACCGTTATGCAAATCAGGTCGGTTAACCAAAACCGCTCATCTGGATCACTACATAGAAATTCGAAAACCACAGAAAAAACAATCGAGCTTTCAAATTAACTTGATAACGTAATTAGCAATACACATTTCTATTTCATCAGCAAAATTCACCCCGGTTTGTGGACCTCTCTTACATTGGTGATTCACTGGTGCTCACACGCACGAAAAGATTTCTAGCACATAACGCTCAGCTACACATCGGGCAAATAGATATGTCAGAAGGGCCAGAAAAACCGGAAAAAACGGTCAAACCTGAGGCTGGTGCCCCAGAGGCCCCAAAGAAAAAGTCATGGTCCAACCCAGCCTTGAGGGCAATGGGTATCCCCAGAATCCTGCTTCCATCGAGAAATTGGATGATCTTCTGGACCGTCTTGGCTGGTGTCACAGGAGGTATTGCTTACGATAAGTACCAGCAGAAGCAGGTTCGTAAGAAGTATACTGCTGAAGTTGAGAAGTTGGGCGAGGAGCTCTACGACACTACTAGAGTCCCAAGAAGACTCACCATTTTCATCGCACCTCCACCCAACGATTTCCTTCAGGAGTCATTGAAGCATTTCAGAAAGTACATTAAGCCTATTTTGAATGCCGCCGCTATTGACTTTACCATCTTTACCGAGGAGAGACAGGGCGACATTCGTCATGAGGTTGCAGACAAGATTAGACAGTTGAGAAGAGAGAGGCTAGCCGAGAAGCTAAAGGAGGAGGAGAAGATCAAGCAAGAAGCATATGACAAGTCATGGACCAAATTCTTTAAGGAGGGTGTCCCAAATGCATTCAAGAGCTTGCGTAAGAAGCCAGAGGAGCCAGAGGTTTTCGTCAGCCGTCATGAGTTGTACTCCCCAGCTGATCTTCTAGGCTTGTACAAGGTGGTCAAGCCTATGGAGCCAGAAAGGGACGATTCGAAAGATTTCCTTTTATCTGGTGGTGTTCTTTGCATTGGAAGAGGTACTTACAAAGAGTACATGACAGGCGTGCACGAGGGTCTTCTTGGACCTTTGGAAGCTCCAGCACCTCCACCAGAGGTCAAGAAGATTGAGGAAACTCTCAACACTGAAGCTCCAAGCTCCGAGGCAAGTGGTACAGAGACCTCTGCCGAGACTGAAAAGAAGGAAGAGACTCCCGACGAGATTGAGGACTTTGGGCTGCACACTCGCAGAAACGAGCTCCCGCCTGTGCCCAAGCCATTCATTCTGCCCGCAGATTATGCCAACGCTCCGTTGGCGCCAGAGTTGAACATGAACGAGGTTGTTCTCAACGACAAAAACGTCCCCGTCTTGTTTGAGCAGCCTGTGGGCGTCTTTACCGTGCCAAAGCTTTCCGGTATCATGAACACGCCCACGAAGATCTATAGATACTACACCAAGAGATACCTTGCCGCGGAGGTTGCTGAACACGCACAGAAGGTTGTCTACAGTGAGAGCCGACCATTCCAGAACTTGGACAGCTTCTTGGGAGCTGAGGAGGAGATGGACTGGCCAAGAAAGTGGATCGAGAGGGGCAAGAAGAAGAACAGCGAGTGGGTGCAGCCACTTGAGGTTGATCCTAGAGTAATTCTGAGGATGAGAGTGTTTAATTTTGGAGAGACGAGCAACAAGGGCATCAATGTTGCTACGGACGTTGAGAGTGTTGAGGAGAAGAAGATTGAAGAGGTGAAAATCGAGCAGCCCAAGGCGGAGGAGAAATGAAATCGTGTAAATAGAGCCGAGAGGCGAACACAGAATGCATGAGAAGTGGACCAGTTGATGCAGCGTAGACTGAAGACGAAGTTTGGTGATTTCTTGCTAAGAGCCGTTTTCAAGCTATAGAATGGATAGCAGCTCCTAGTATTGAGAGCTATCTTGGTGCATCTGCACAAGCAGGCACATGGACGACCATGTCTAAACGTTTACCTTCTCTACAAATAATCATCCAAGCTTTACATCAGCGCTAGTCTGATTGAGGATAAGTTGACGAGGAAACCGATGGTAGGCTGCCCCGCCAGACGGATGTGAAGAATCCAGATCCATCGCTTCCCCTGCGCTGCAACGGCGGCGTCTAGCACAAGACATCTACCCTCGATAGCCGAAAGCCTAACAATGCAAACCCATCGCAATTGACGAAGGAATTCCTCTCCTAGGCAAGGACGCCGTGATGTTGCACCCGAAAACACCCTGATGCCTATTGTTGTTGCATTGTGCGATGCCAAGGACCCTCGGTTGCAAATGCACCATGACGTTGCGGGTGCCAACCGAAACCAACAGCAGCTCTGTCGAGGGAAGCAACCAATAAGGTTTGAGGGAATCTAAGAAAGTGATTTAGGGAATCAGGCTAATTTGGCTAGAATACAGTAGGGAACACTGACTCGAGTGGGAGACTAAAAGTGGCATGCTGCGCGAGCCGCGGCCTAAAGCAGGGGCACCAGAAGAGAAATACAGGCGACAGACACCACCTAATTTTCGCCATGAACAAGAACAGAAACCACGACAACAAGCAAACGCAACGTAGGCAAAACCAAAATCAAAAACAAAACCAAACCATTAAATCACGATCCCTTGGACAATCGATATGGTTGACGGACTTGGCCTTATCGCTAACCACCGGCCAATCGCTGGACCATGAATGGTGGGGTTGGCTCAGTGGGTTGGCTCAGTGCTATCGACCAATATGGGCTCTCTAGGTGGCAGTAGGTGTACGGCAAAGTGGTGCGGTACGGGCCGGGTCGGCGCGCCGGTGGAATCGCAATTCCTTAATTGGGGGTAGTTTTTGCGAAGACGGTGTGCCGGCCGGGTGAACTCGGGATGGCAGTAGGCCTAGGACCAGGAACGGCGGTGCCGACGAGAAAACTCAAACGGGAATGCGGTGAAATCAGAGTAAAAAGCGTGGCATGTAAGCAATATCGGGTAGAGTCGGCTGACCGTGGCCAGAGGCAAAAACGGAAAAAAAAAAAAAAAATAAACGGTGTGGTGGTGAGAGCTATGGTTTGCAGCCATCGCCCACTGCCGTCAGCCTACTATTTCTCCGAAATGGGGGAACCCATGGGTCGCCTCACGGGCCTTGGATATTGGCCTATCTTTTGTTTTTGGCATCAACCACCTGCAATCCAGCCTAATTTTCATTTTCCACCGATTTGTGGTCCATGCTGAAAGAGCCGATTCGGAGTCAAGCTCAGTGGTCGATAAGGCGGACCGGTTCCGCAGAGAAAAAAAAAGCCGGGGCCACTGAGGGTTTGATTTGTCACTGATAGCGCGCGGTCAAGGCAAAAGAACAGGGCTGGGGCGGCAGCACGTGACCTGCAAAGCGCTCATTGGCCAGAGATCTGGATGATGCAGCCGCCGATGCAGGATCTTGACTCAAGCGCGCAGTGATGGAAGCATCACAAGCAGTGCAGGAGGAGATGGCCAGGGACATATAAAATCACGACACTTCCCCGGTTTCCCTTCCTCCTTATCCTGAAATACTAACAATGGTCCTCCCTCACGAACCCGAATTCCAGCAAGCTTACAACGAGTTGTTGTCCGCCCTCGAGGACTCCACTCTCTTCACCGAGAAGCCTGAGTACAAGAAGGTCATCCCAGTGGTGTCGGTGCCAGAGAGAATCATCCAGTTCAGAGTGGCCTGGGAGAACGACAAGGGCGAAATCGAGGTCAACAACGGTTTCAGAGTCCAGTTTAACTCCGCCTTGGGCCCATACAAGGGTGGTCTCAGATTCCACCCAACCGTGAACTTGTCCATCCTCAAATTCTTGGGTTACGAACAGATCTTCAAGAACGCCTTGACCGGCCTCTCCATGGGTGGTGGTAAAGGTGGTTCCGACTTCAACCCTAAAAACAGAAGCGACTCCGAGATCAGAAGATTCTGTGTCGCTTTCATGAGACAGTTGGCCAGATACATTGGTGCCGACACTGACGTTCCAGCCGGTGACATTGGTGTGGGTGGCCGTGAGGTCGGTTTCCTCTTCGGTGCTTACAAGTCCATGCAAAACAACTTCTCTGGTGTCTTGACCGGTAAGGGCTTGACCTGGGGTGGTTCTTTGATCCGTCCTGAGGCCACCGGTTACGGTACTGTCTACTACGTCGAGAAGATGATCGAGAAGGCTACCTCCGGTAAGGAAACCTTCAAGGGCAAGAGAGTCGCCATCTCTGGTTCCGGTAACGTTGCCCAGTACGCCGCCTTGAAGGTTATTGAGTTGGGCGGTATCGTTGTCTCCCTCTCTGACTCCAAGGGCTCCATCATTTCCCAAAACGGTATTACCCCAGAGCAGGTTGAGACCATCGCCGCTGCCAAGGTCAAGTTCAGAAATTTGGAGCAGATCATCTCTGACAGCGCTTCTGCATTCTCCGGTAAAAACAAGGTTGAGTTCATTGCCGGTGCCCGTCCCTGGACCCACGTTGGCCAGGTTGACGTTGCATTGCCATCTGCCACCCAGAACGAGGTTTCTGGTGAGGAGGCCAAGGCCTTGGTTGACGCTGGCTGTGCCTACATCGCCGAGGGCTCTAACATGGGCTCCACTAAGGAGGCCATCGACGTCTTCGAGGCTAACAGATCCAAGGGTGTTTGGTACGCCCCAGGTAAGGCCGCCAACTGTGGTGGTGTTGCAGTTTCCGGTTTGGAGATGGCCCAGAACTCTCAGAGAGTTACCTGGTCCCAGGAGGAGGTTGACGCCAGATTGAAGGACATCATGTACACTTGTTTCGACAACTGTTACGACACTGCTGTTCAGTACTCTGTTGACAAGGACGCTTCTGGCTTGCCATCCTTGTTGAAGGGTGCCAACATTGCCGGTTTCATTAAGGTTGCCGACGCTATGTTCGCCCAGGGTGATGTTTTTTAATGGTGTAACGATATAGACTTTTACTTCTCTTTTATATTAGACAGGAAATTTACGGATAACAAAAACGAGTTGTAGAATTAAACAAGCATTGCTAATTTTATTTTTTTTTGGTATAATGGTCTATACTGGCCGTCTTTCAGATCTAACTAGTTATAGTCAAGCGCGCTTCAGTATTTACCTCACGTAATACACCATTCAAATCCCATCAAATGAGCTCAACAGAAGCACCAGCAAGTCTACCGAACTTCAAGGAGTTCCCAATCTATATTCCTGTTCATCCAAGCGTAAAACCAAATACAGAATTCGGAAGTTTACTCCTACTACGAGAGATCGAGGAGCAGCTTCTGAACATCAAAAGCAGTGCTGAGTCATTCATCGATTATGCCAGCTCGAACCCTCAACTTGTGTCGAATCCAGGCTTCAAATCTTATTCTGAACAAATCTTGAGCTCGTTTGAGAAGCTATATTTGGCTAAAACTAAGCTCCAAGCTCTTCAGCAGGCCTTGAAGAACACACACAGGGAGCTTGTTGAAAACCGCCGAAGTACTCTAGAACTTACGCTTTCAAACTACGACTCATGCAAGGAGCTTGTGAGAAAAAACTTCGCCGACGGTTTCAGCGATGATCTAGACGAGATCATCAAAGAGAAGCTGGGTGCACGTTTCGAGGAGCTTCTACACCGTGACCCTTCGTTTAATTTCATAAGAAACTCCTTTTTCGTTCTACAGTTTCCTGAGGATCCCTTGCAAGACGAAACGGTTGACGAGGAATTGGCCGTGGAGGGCGGAAAGATATCCTTGAAAGATCCACTCTCGATGAACTACTTCACGGATCCCGTGGTTTCGAAAAAATGCTCCCACGTGTTCGAGAGACATCATATCGTTCGCCAGATTAGAAGCACGAGAGAGAAGTACGCTTGTCCGGTGACGGGTTGTGATGCATATCTTACTGAAGGGGACTTATCTCCCGATAAGCTTATGAAACTTAGAGTCAAGGCCTACATGGGTATGACGAAGAAGAGAGACCACGAGTCAGTGGTGAGGATTTAGGTTTGTGGCTTCCAGGGCACTACTTGGCATGCAATAGGACCCTGCACCATGTTTGACAGCGTCCACAAAGGTCCACATAGATGATGGTAAAATCCTTCAAGAAATTCATAGACAGCAATAAAAGGAAAGCACTGCCATAATCAAACATTATTCCGTAAAATGCAAAGCGATTGGTCCATATCAGCTAGCACCGATAGGTGCATATCGATGCCATAGCGCGCAGGTTATCTGGATCCCTAGTTACTACTTACCACAATATGCCAGTGGAACATGGAAAGCCACATGCAGTGGATGTGCCAATTCAAGATCTAGATGATCCTGAGGACGATATTTTCAATAACGAGGGCAATGACTCTGAGTTTCTAGAGCCGCTAGACTACGAAAACGATAATGTTGACAGCCGACCTCAGCGGTTCTGGAAAAGGATTCAGGAATACTTCAACGGACCTGATTCATATAAGCCTGGCTCCTACGAGATGGTGAATACGAGCGGCGTGAATTCCGATGATTTTGAAATCGGCGATGAAGATAGCGAAGGTACTGATGAAGACATTGTGGCTAAGAAGATGAGGGAACGCAAAGCCGCTCGACTCCGTAAGATGGTGAACTGGGGCATATTGGCCTTCACAGTTCTACTATTCTTGATGTGGCTCTCCTACGCATTCTTCGAACTGGGCGAGGATTCCGATCGAAAGACGCATAAGTTTGATAAGGGAAAACGTGTTCTATCTAATAGCACCCATGAGTTTTACCCTACAACCATAATTGTTTCGCTTGACGGATTCCATCCACATTACATTTCTCCACAGAGAACGCCTGCTCTCCATGGGATGATGGTGAACGATTACGGTGCGCCATACATGACTCCATCATTCCCGTCCTCAACCTTCCCCAATCACTGGACCCTTATAACGGGGCTCTACCCATCTGAGCACGGAATTGTGGGTAACACCTTCTTCGACCCAAAGTTGGAGAAACAGTTTGTCAATACTGATCCTGTCAAGGGTCTCAATCCGGATTTCTGGAGGGGCGGTGAGGCAATCTGGACCACTGCATTTAACCAGGGGGTGAAGTCAGCGGTACACATGTGGCCCGGAAGCGAAGTTCCAGGTATAGGTGACAATGGGCCAATGGAAGTGGATAAGTTTAACGGCACGGAGTTGTTGACGTCTAAGATCGACAGAGTAATGGGGTGGATTGACCGTGAGGACATCAAATTACGGCCAGAGCTCATCATGACCTATGTGCCCACGATTGACCAATATGGTCACAAATACGGCATCAGTGGCCCCAACCTTGTTGAAGCACTCAAATACGTGGATGACTTCGTTGCCTTGATGATCCAGGAGATCAAAAGCAGAAACTTAAATGATATCGTCAACTTGGTGGTTGTGAGTGACCACGGAATGGCCCCAACATCAAACGACAGGCTCCTTTTCCTTGATGATGTCGTGGACCTTTCGAAGCTTGCACATATTGATGGCTGGCCACTTTTCGGATTAAGACCCAATAAGGATCACTCAGTTGATGAAATTTACAATGAAATTAAGGAAAAGTTTGAGAAGCTTGATGAAAAAACAAAGAAGGGTTTCAATTATTACAGAGTCGAGGATATTCCAAAGGAATGGAATTTTGGAGGAAAACTCGAAGATCATAAATTCAACTACCGATTAGCTCCAATTTGGATTGTGCCTAATACTGGCTATGCAATTACAACTAAGCAGCAGTTTAAAGAGAAGGGTGAAAACTACACTCCGAAGGGTGTACATGGCTACAACAACACCGACATTCTCATGAGGGCCATCTTTTTGGGCAGAGGTCCATTTTTCAAGGAGAAGCTTTCCAATAACAAAAAAGTGCTTCCTTTCCCCAACACCAACGTTTACAATATCCTTTGTGAATCGCTTGATATAAAACCTTCCCCAAACAATGGAACACTGAATGATGATTTTGTTATCTCCTCGAACAAGCTTTTGCCAAGTGATTGGAGTGACAATCTGGTGTATCCAGGGTTGCCATATGAAGTCGATCACATTGTAAAAGATGCTACTTATGATTTGCTTTGGCGTAAGCCAAGTGGGCGTACCAAAATGACAACGATATCGATAAGCTCAAACACAAAGCCACAGGAGAGCTTGTCATCCGAGGATTCTATGTTAAAAGACCTTTCAACGGAATCTCTTCCCAAGCCTAGCGATTTTGAACAGACGACCACTGATAAGAGCAAACCAACTTCAGACTCGGAAGACTCAGATTCGGATAGTGACTCCGATGATGAATCTGGCAAGCACGACAAAGAGAAACAGAAGCAAAAGGAGAAAGAGAAACAGAAAGAAAAAGAGAAGCAAAAAGAGAAGGAGAAGCAGAAGCAAAAGGAGAAAGAGAAACAGAAGCAAAAAGAGAAGGAGAAGCAGAAGCAAAAAGAGAAAGAGAAACAAAAGGAGAAAGAGAAACAGAAGGAAAAAGAGAAGCAAAAGGAAAAGGAGAAGGGAGGTATTCTCGATGATGTTAAGCAACTTGTGGACGATGTCGCCGATGCAGTCGATGATGGCATAAGTTCGGTGTGGCATTTCTTTACTGGAGATCGTTAGTTTATAGCATTAAAGTTTGGCGATGATTAGACAGAGTGTATTTTTTCTTTCCTATAAATCTCTATCTTGCTTCGAGTAGCTTACCAGACCTCGTATGGGTCTTTGTCCTTGGCACTGATCTCCACCTCCGCCTCTGGAAGCTCCTGTTCCAACTGCTTCTTCAACACAGATAAGAAAGCCCGCTCAGTGTTCGAATGGTTACAAGCGATCAACGAGGAACCACTTTCCGTAAAAAACAACGCTTCATGGTGTGATAATTCACCAGTATAGTATAAGTCTGCCTTGACACCTCTGAAAACGGAACCTCCAGATCCAGCACAGATAGCAATTGTACTCACTGGATGGTCTTTGGCCAAGTTTCTGCCAACACCAACCTGGACGTGCTTAAGCGATTGAGACAGCTTGACGTTCTCCACGAGTTTTGTGAGCGATGCGGGCTCCTCAAGTTCTATGAGGCGACCCATACCACAGCCTTCTTCCTCAGGGTTTGGTTCAATGACTTGGCGAGATTTGATCTTCAAGTTCTGTGAGATGCCATCAGCCAAAAAGTCATTGACACCGCCCTTGGCGCTATCAACGGCTGTATGTGGACTGTAAACGCTGATGTTATTCTGGATCAATTTGACAAGAGATCTTTGTTGGGGGTCTTTGGATGTGATAGACTTGAGCCCCCTGAAGATGAAGGGATGGTAAGCGACGATCATATTCGACTTTTTCTCGACTGCTTCCTCGGCGACATTCTGGGTTAAGTCAATTGTCAACAAAATCTTGCAGGCATCGGACTCATTGGCCTCTGATGATGAGTCCACTAACAAACCGGTATTGTCCCAGGAACTATCGGCTAGTCTGACTGGATAAAGCTTTTGAACTGCTGTGTTAGATTTTGTACGAGTGTGCTCTAAGTATACATACTTGCATTAGTGGCTGCAAGGACAGCTCTTTTCGAAGTTGGACTAGGCATTGAAGAGAAGAGTTTGATAAAAAGTGAGAATCTGGGGTATATAAAAAAGAATGCGCAAGCCCGGAATCGAACCGGGGCCCAACGATGGCAACGTTGGATTTTACCACTAAACCACTTGCGCGGACAAATGCCCCCTGCCAGAATTGAACTAGCGACCTTTGCATTACAAGTGCAACGCTCTACCACTAAGCTAAGGAGGCACCTTGTTAGAAATGGCGCGCATGCGGGTATGAGAGCTCTATTTTCACAGTCACGTGAAAACTTGTATGCACGAAACCGAATAGTACTGTCTTTTTGCGCAGGAAAGTTAGTACGAGCCTGGGGTACCAAGGCATCTTGTTGATGTAAAATCTATGAAATTTAGGCGCAGATCAATTTGTCTACGGCCCATTTGGAATTGAACTTTATTTTGAAGCCCTAGAACAAAAAAAAAAAAGGGCCTATTGGTGGGTGCAAGCTGAGTCATGGCCTCACCTATTACAGAATTGGCAGAGATGCTGCTTGTAGCCCAGGGTATTCCATTTACTGTCAGCAACTATACTGTTTCCCGCCCTGGCTTTATTTTACAACAGGTTGCAAGATCCACATAATTCAAGAATAGATTCGAGGTCTAATTTCAGGTCTCATGTCAGGATTTGGTGCTTATCTTCAAGCTGAGGTGTAGCAGCCATATATCTACTCCTACAGCTCGACGCACGAGCCCTTAACCTTTCTAACTTCAAAAGATACAAAGTTTATCTCTTTAAATGCGGTACAGAGGAATCAACTTCGGTTAGCTTCTCTTGACCCCACAACCAGCTTACTAAGCCGCTCAACGGTATTTAAACGGCGCATCTGCCTGGAACGATATCGATTTCCCCGGGGCACCTCAGTCTGAAAAATTCATCGATTTGAAAAATAACAACAATTCTTACGACCCCCAAAAACCTCTATACCGAAATATCCACAACCTTACCCCATTTTTCACTTACTGGGTCCTGTGCGTACCACTCCATCGGAACATCTCAAAGACTCAATTCCGCAATTTGCGATCTACCCGCAAGAGAGCAGTTTTGACCAAATCACCGAAGGAATTTCGATAAAATCACTTCCCCTCTATAAGAAATCGTAGTTGCTAAAAGATCTCCCCTTACTGTCCCAGACTGGCCTTATCTGTGGCTGCATCCCTGCGCACCAAAATCAGTGAGGCACTGATGGAGCCGTTTAAAAAAGGCAGATACCGCAAATTCTTCATAGATCTTCTTCACCTGATACTAAGTCATTTTCAAGCTTAATGTCGTCCATTCCTCTCGAGGATATCAACGAACCATTTATAGAGCCTGGTCCTGGTTCTGATAATATCGATGGGCCTGACTTCAAGTACTTAGCGACCTTACCACCGAACCAAAAATATACGGTTCAGTTCAATGGCCAGGAGGTCTACATGGACTCCGTGGACTGGAGGGATAGCAAGCTTTTGAAATCTCAAGTGCTTGTTGCATTTCTGACTTTCGTCTTGTTCGGATTAGCAGAGCAGACCATCGGTGCCATCATCCCTCGGCTTCAGGAACACTATGAGATCAATGACTTGGAAACGTCGTTTATCTTTTTAGCATCTACTGCTGGCTACTTCATCCTGGCATTGTCATGTGAGTTCTTTCAAAAACGTTTTGGCGTCAAAGGTGTCGGCACGATCGGCACTGCTTCCATGACATTGGCCTATCTTGTGATAAGCTTCCACCCTCCATTCCTGATCTTCATCTTGTGTTTCATCTTCAATGGTATTGGCTTTGGAAGCTTGGATGCTAGTATCAATGGCTGGGCTGGTGGTATTGCCGACTCAAACCAGATTCTAGGTATAGTCCATGGATGCTACGGTTTAGGATGCATGATTTCTCCTCCGCTAGTGACGAAGCTCATGGAACGGAAACACAATCCCTGGCAATGGAGCCATTACTACGTGGTGCTTAGTGTCATTGGAGCGTTTAATTTGATCTGCTTCACGATCTCTTTCCACTACGAAACGGCGTCAAAGCACCGCTTCAATGTCATTTTGAAAGAAATGAAGAGGAATCTTGCTGATAAGGACCCTGAATTTGAGATCGGTTCAGGCGACGAATCGGTCGATGAGGGCGCTGACGTTTCCTTTGGCGATGCTCTCAAATCTAAGCTTGTCTGGGTGTTTGCCATTTGTCTATTCATCTATGTCGGCGGTGAAGTCGCTTTTGGCGCTTGGCTCATGACATTTTTGATTAGAATCAAAGAGCTCAGCTATAAATATTCCTCATGGATGGCCACAGCATTCTGGGTCGGTTTGACGGTAGGAAGAATTGTCCTAGGTTTCGTCACTGCCGCTGTCTTTAATAGCGAGCTCACAGCGAACTTGGCGTACATCTTGGCCTCCATGATCGGCTATTTGGTATTCTGCCTATTTGCTTTCGCCAAAACGAACTGGATCTTGTTCCCAATCGTCTTCTTGACAGGCCTTTTCGTGGGACCAATCTTCCCCACTGTTATCGTTGCCTCTATTGAAATCTTACCTCACAGGTACCATGCAACTAGTGTGGGCTTTATCTGTGCTTTTGGTGGAGGAGGAGCGGCAGCTCTCCCATTCCTCGTTGGAGTTGCTGCTGAGCATAGCAAGTTTGGTATGAAATTGCATCCTTTCATCGTGCTTGCCTTGTACGTTATCCTTTTCGTCATGTGGGCTGCCATTTGTAAGCGTTATGCTGGTCATAAAAGGAGGGGCGTACTTTAAATTAGAGGATCCCTCCTTGCGCTTTCCATTCATCCGGCGTGAAACCTTTCTGGGTAAAAGCATGAATGGCAGCAATCTCTTCTTTCAAGGCACCATTCACTAAGCGGTGTCTCATTAACTTATTCTTCCCCTTGAAGGCCTCGGACACTATGATAACAGCGAATGCCTGTCCGCATCCGCCTGACATGTCCTCTACCTGAACAAGATCAGCCTGGAGCCTTTCTTGGATGATATCCTTGAGGGAATCTGCCGTGAGAGCCATATCGATGGGAAAGATAACTGAGATTCTTCGTTGACTTTTCTCAGTGGAAATCTCACTGGTGTCTGCCCACTGTGCAGAACATACACTCTCACTAGTTATATAGCTACAATTATAGATAGATTGAACTAGTATTAAAGAACTTTTATTAGTTTCATGTCATAACATCATCATTATTTCGCTGTTGATAAAGAGTCCACGTTGATTTGGCCTCTTTTGATTGTATTTTGTTGGCTGGGCTTTATGGAAGCCTCAAGCTTGAGGAACCGCTTAAATACCTCAGGGTCCTCCTTCGAGTGTTTCTGCACCTTGCTAAAGATATCCTTGGAGCTCACGGTATCCAATTTGGGTGTATTAGTGAATTGGCACTTTTCGAATAACTCCCATAAGTCTGGTGGAATCACGGCGAGCTCTTCATGCATCTCAATCATCTGATTGACGACTTCAATTGCCAAAAAGTAAGATTCACCAGACTGAACGGGTGGCCCGTCTGCCGATTGATTCTTGGAGATGAGAATGTTTGGAGCAAGCACTGTAGCCAAGTTATGTGTGTCCATCTTTGATCCCGACTCCTCGTCCGTAGACGCAAACGAGGCAACCCATCTGAAGAAGTGAAGAAGCACCTCGAGAAGGTTTCTGTGACTTCTTGGAAGCATACAGTATGTGAGTTGCAAGATCCTCTTGCACATCGTAGCATCGTTAGTCTTTCTCGAGGAGATCCATAAATCGAATAGATTGAAGGTAAGCAATGGTGTAGGCATCTCTCTAAGCCATTTCTTCAAAAGCGCAGCCAACTGCACCGCCGAATAGTTGTGGAAATCGGGTGATTTGAGAGGATTTTTGTTAATCTGTTCTGTCAATTCTCTTAAGTTCTTGATGTTACCGTTCAAACGGAAAATACCCTCAACAGACATATCTTTCTTCCTCAACGAGTTGACGACATCGTCAACAACGATTGGAATACGAAGTTGAGCGGGACCAACACCTAAGTCAGAATCAACACCGTAGCGTTTAGTCAATTCTTGAAGATCGGTACCAAAAACGTTCATTGGCTTTGTTTTCTCACTTCCACTGAATTTGAATTTGTCCCAGAATGTGGGCAGCTTTCTTGTCTGGATCAAAGAAACAAGATCCTCACGAGATTGATCACCTCTGATGGCAAGGAAAGCTTCAACCGCAATGTGACGCAAGATGAAATGCTCGGACTTCGAGAGCTCGGAATAGTATTTGATCTTGACCGGAACAGGAAGATTTTTGGAAACATTGACGTCTCCCAGACCTTTGAACTGGTGGATACTACTGCCGTTTGAAGACTTGAGCGGCTGGGCCTTCTCGTAAAGTGAGTTGTGATGCTTGAAGGCATTTGGTCTTTGATCTCTGGCCTGCTCGGCTGCAACAATTCTAGGAATATCATCCAAGGTCAATGACTTTTCGTTCTTCAACAAGTCAGAAGTACGACCCAAGCTGCTAGCGGCAACTGCGAGTGGTGGCTCATCGCGGATCTTGAGCGATTTGTTGTGAGCCAGGAAGTTTGCTTGATCGCCGTCTCCTTGTTGCATGACAAATGAAAGAGAGGACGCAGAGCTAGCCTTTCTTGTCAGACTGTCACGATCAGCATTGTCTTCTCTAGCAGAATCTGCTTCAGGAGCTTCTAGAATCACGGACTTTCTCGCACTCTTCTTTACCGAGTTCGACAACTTCTGACTTTCTCTCTTGGTCCTCAAGGACGTCACATCTTGTAGCGTCTTAGAATAAACAGTTTCGGTGTCATTGATTTGAGAGACTTCCTCGGCAATGTTCGACATTTGAGGGCGCATGCCTTGGTCAATCTTCTTCGGGTCAGTGTCTTTCCTTATGGCAGCCTTGGTTCTGAACATGGCGATCTTAAGAAGGTAGATCAATTGTGACAAGTCAGAAACAGAAGTGAAGCCATACTGATATCCCATACCGGCTTTTGCGTTCAGCCTCGAGCACTCAACGCATAGCAAGGAGTCATCGGCTCCACAAAGGAAGCTCTCAGCCTTGAAATCAGGGGAAGGTGATCTTTTACAAGAGCTGCACTCGAAGCACTTCTTGTGCCATCTGATGTTCTTGAATCTGTAGCATGACTTCTCGATACTCTTCTTGCACACCCTGCACCCATCAGTAGCATTTTGAGGAACAGCTAATCTGGTTTCTAGCAGAGGCAACCCCGAGGCAGGGTTCTTCATGGCTTCCTCGATCTCTTCATAGCGTTTGGCAGACTTGAGGAAGCCGTCCAACGCTCTGGTATCTCCCCTCAATTTGTTCAACTTGAGGGCGTTGTTGAGACCAGTTCTAAAAAGTAGTTTGAGGTAGTGAGCACAGCCTGTGATGACGGATAAGAGTTCCGCTGAAAGGCTTCCCGAATTCGCAATCTGTGTCGACTTTCTTAGGATAGCCAAGTAACTCATAAGCTTTCCGGAGATATTTCTTGGTTCCTTTCTGAGAGGTTGGAAGTTGTCAAATGCATCGACGGAGTATATTTCATCTCCTGAGGCATTGCGCTTCTCTTGGCTCTTCGTGGGATCGGAGTTGTACTCGATACACATACCTTGGACGAAATCTAAAGCGGAGAATAGAATCTCAACGTACACAATCAACTTGCTGGTGGCCTGGATACCGTTCGCTCTGTTACCTGTGCACGCTGAAAGAAGCATTGCAGAGATACAAGACGCCAAGGTCTCTTCAAATCCAGACAATACCAACCAACATTTCATCACCACGCTCTCAATTTGCTGCTCCACCATAAGAAGTTTCTCTGGATCGATATCCTTCTCGAGAAGATTTGCAGCAATTGATTTATCCATCTCGAATCTACTTTGGAGGCCAACTGAATCTGGTGTGATGAAAACATTCCAGAACTTGTAGACCATATAACATTCAGGATGCCATTGCTGATTCTTACCGCCCTTGAATAGTTCGACAAACTGCTTGACAATGGAAGACTGACAGCCTTCACACTTTGTTGCAAACAATTTGGAGTAATGGAAGTGGCAGTAAATATTGCTTTCGTGCTCGTAGTAGCTTTCCTCTGAGTCAAAGACCTTACCACACTCTGAGCATTTAAAGTGTTCCACATGGTATTTGTTGCCCAAGGCAGTAATATATGGTCCTCTTAATGCACTGTTGCAGTTATGACAGATCAAATCAAGCTTCTTGAAGTAGTCGTACTCGCAAAGCGGGACTTGGAAGACAGAGCCGTCCGGCAGCGTGATGTCTTGAGGAAAGAATTTAGAGGAGCATTGTTGGCCACACTCGTGACAAGTAAAGCACTCGACGTGATAAGCATTATTGAGTGCTCTGACGAACTGGCCTGCTATCTGTTGGTCACAGACCTTACAGATTTTACGCTTCCTCGACGTACGAGACTCATGGGGAGCATGTTGGAGTTGCAGTTGCAGCAGCTGCTTTCTACTCAATGAAAGGTCCTGCGGCTGCCCAAGATATTGCGTGGAAGATGATGAAGAATGTAGGCTGTTTGGGGTCAACTGACGACGGGGTGCTGATGGTGTCATGGGAGGCTGGAAAGCCGGGGGATTGCTCTGGTAATGCATACCGTTTGAAAGCCTGTGGTCTTGGACATTTCTTGATCGCCTCGTTTCAGGCGGTAGGGATGAGTTTTGATGTGGGGTGAAGTCGAATTCTTCCGATACAGGTCTTTGTTTGGATGTAAGGAACGGCAGCTGCTGGCTATGGAGGCCCGGTTTCTGCATCTGAGGATGCGTTTGGGGATGTCTAATGGAGGGAATATCGTTGGAAAGTGTGTTTGGAGGGAGCAGGTTGGAAAGGGCATGCGGTGGAGTCCTGGCGAGGTCTGAGCTGCGGTGGGCTTTTTCCTTTCTGAAGGGGTTTCTGTTTTCCTTCACCAGCCCCAGGGAACTTGTGCGAGATTTCAGCGCCGGCATTTTGGGGAAGTCGTATTCCCGTTCCCTGTCCAGCTCTGGGTTGGGCAGCGGCTGAAGCATGTCTGGGATGTTTTTGGAGGATATGGGAGAAATGGCGATTGAGTGACGTTGCGGCGGGGCGGCCAAGTCGCCCAGGATAAACGAATCGGAGCTGTTGTTTGTGGAAGAGCTGGGGAGTGGGGGGATCAAGTTTGTCCATTCCAGGGAAGTTTGGACGTTCTTGGACTGGAAAGCCTCGTGACTTAGCGATCTGGCGTGGTGGGGAGGCAATTTGCCGTTGCCGTTACCGTTGACGTTGCCGTTGGCGGGAGACTGGGAAGGGGATCTGGAGAACAGGCGTAAAGGCAGCAGGGTGAGGCCTTTTAGAAACCGCTTGGGGCTATGGGGGTACTCTGTCTGCCTGTTTTCGCTGTGGCGCATATTAAAGAGTGACTGGGGTTAGGCAGAATGGAGGGCGATTGCAATGTGGGATTATATTTTGTAGGTGGGATTTAATTATTGGGACATGTATTAGGGAGTGGTAGAAAAAGTCTCAGTCGCAGTGTTTTGGTCTGAGCACTAGACACGAAAGCGAGAAAAAATTCCTGTGCGGGAGGGAGGAATGAGACACTGAGATGGAGCGACAATGGGTGGGGACTATTGTGGGAGGCCGCCAGATTTGATGGGTTTCGGGGAGGATGGAGGGCAAACTGCTTTAAGAAACTAAACGACAAAAAAGTAAATGAGAACTACGTCTTATGGAAAAGTATATTTACCTTTGGATACCCAAAAACGGAATCCATCAACTATCCTGTTCTGCGTTTGGTTGCAACTGGTGGTGCGCACCGGCACAATAAGGACCAAAAGCCAGCCACGACGCGTAGTGGTGAGGGCATATATAGACGTGTTGGTTGAAAGTCAGGGGCTTGTGAAGAAGACAATGAAAAAAAAAAGATGTGGATTCCACCAGGCCTTTGCGGTTCTGGTGTGGTGCCAGGCTGAAGGCCTGCGTTAGGCTGCGTTAGACTCGCTCGCTTCGCAATGCAGCCATATGAAAATGTTTTTTGTGCGTGTTTCGTGGTTTCCCTTATAGGCAAATAAGCAGGGACTCTGCCGCATGCTGTTAGGCGCCGAGGCCTGTCGGGTATTGGGCAGCTAAAATAAAGGAAAATCTTATTTCAATGCCAAAATTGTGGTTTGACCAGCTTGGGCCCGCGGAATTTGTTTTGCTTCAGCGCCGATCGCGACGCAGTGCAGCCAACGGCATTCGTGGTGCCACCTCGACAATAACCCAGTACACGGTCAGTGAGATGGCATTGTCGTTGCAACACAAAATCGACACACATTGTTTCGCAACGACAAAAAGTAAGACATGGAAGAGAAAAAACAAACACCCAGCGAAAGATCGACGAGGGTCTCGGGATTCCTTGACTTTCTCGATTAGGCAGCATTTTCGTTTCTGCTGGATACTTCTGCGTGGCTGCAAACAGCCGCGGAATCAGCGTTAGCATAAGGTTTCGACTACGCCATTGGCCAAAGCACAAAAATTGCAAAAAGTTTCGGCAAACTCTCAATGACTCGTTTACAGCGGTTGCCCGTTGTCATCGGCCGAGTGTTTCTCGCTTGAGGCGCCGCAGTCCCGTTTGAGAAGGCTGATCCCAGCCTTGGCTCACCAGTATTTCCGGCCCGGTGATTGGCGAAGCCGCAGTGGAACATTCCCATGGGATCTGGCGGTGGTTTTTACGATGTGATTTTTTCAGTCGATAGGGCTGCCTTATTTTTTGACAATGGCTGATTTGGGTGTTTACGGTGGCTGAGTTGGGTTTTTACGGTGGCTGATTCGGGGTTTTGCTTGGGCATTACGAGATGAAACGGGCTGCGAATGTAAGAAAGGAAATTAGCGGCGGCGCAGAAAGTGGCACTTTTTCTGGTCTCGGTGCAACATGGACTCGCTTTTCTCGTCGTAGGCCATTGTGAGCCTCACCAGTGTTGCACCACCAGCGGTTTATAAAAAGAGCCCGCCCCGAGGTTGCAGGTGCAAGGTGGTTTGTAAGAGCATTTGGTCAATGCATTTATGCCAGTAGCGTTTATGGAATGAATGATATTTGGCCTCCTATGTGTTTTGGTGGAGCCCTAAGTATCTCTCTATCCACTGCGATGAGACATTCTTCAGGTCTAGCAATTACCAGCACTACCCATAAAAACACATTTCAACTCCCTATTCTTTGATCCCACTCTAAGGCTTTCACCACAACAATCTCTCAATTGCAATTTCTCAATTGTGAAGTGGTTGCAAAATCCTGTGGATCACCAGACACTTAACAACCCATCCCACTCATCTCTGCCTGCTTCGAGGCTGCACAGGAGCTGATTCACGAGATAGCTCCCGCCCCTGAATACTCTGTTTTGATTGCTTTTGATCTTGACGCCCAATCTATCACCAGAGACCAATGGGCGGCAGTAGCGAGATCTTCCGCAATGTGGCGCCACGGCAATGTACCTCCGGGTAGTCTGATACCCAAGTACGGTGTTTGAATGTCCTCTTTTTTAAAAAGAAAAAAGAGAATTCTTCAAATTTGAAGAGTGGAGACAATTTTTGCTGATGCCGGTCCCCAATGGCTCCCAGTTGGCGTTGTTTGCGTGTTCGAGTACCCTTCGGTGCTGCTTCTCGCTTGCAGCATAAGCGAGTATCACCAGACGGAACATCTCACGATAGGCCCAAAGTTTCTTTTCTCCTGCTGCGGTTTGGTGACTCCCGAGTCAGCCTCCCTTCTGTGCATTTCGGAAAAACTCGGCCGTTTTCGTCTTTAATATTTATCGAACTATATAAGCACCCTTTCTTCCGTTGACTTGTTGAATATCCACAATGTTCGCCCTTGCCCTTAGATCCGCTACAGCTACAACGCCAATGTCTTTCTTCACACCTCACGCCTCAAAGTTAATTATCAGCGGTGTTTGCTCCATCTTTGCCAGTATGCAAATGGCAGCTTTGGCTGAAAAGAAGAACCAGGGCACCTTGGTGAGACTGCTCGGTCGTTACTAATTGTCGATGCTACAAATGGAGGTTGCAATGCTTCTTGTAGCGATGCCATTCAATTCGGCACACTTACTAATACATTTGGGTTCACGGTTGTTATAGATTAATATAAGTTATTCGTTTCTCTATCTCGTAGTGTCATTGGTCGTCTTAAATTTTCTCCTGGGTGTATCTTTTCGTCGTTCCAAAAAGCATCTCACGGCTCTGGCGGCATACATCCACGAGGATGGGTTTACGGGGTAAGAAGTTGGGGAATACTATCTTGATGCCATTCTCTTCCGACCCGCTTCTATGTTTAGGCAGCGTCAACACGCACATGTAGAAGATCACCTGCGCAAATCCGTAGAAGCCTTCGTGTATCACGATATCTATCGTATCAGACAACGGGATAAACTCTTTCTTTGTGAAGCCCCACATGTCCCGACTGCTGAGCTGAATGCCGACATCTTTGATGACCATGATGCTGTCCTGGGGCTCCTGGAGCGATATGAGGGCTGTTATAATACATGAAAGCACCACAATGAACGTGATAAGGCATAACTTTCTGACGGCACCATCGGAAAGCGATTGAAGAACAGGAACATCTTGAACGTTGTAACCCACTTCAGCAAGAAATATTTCCAACAGAGGGAGATAAATATCAACCATTTCGAAGACGTAGCCGGCTTCAGCGGCAAGCCGTAGAATGATCAGCACTAACGTGCCACACAAAATGGCAACAAGGGGCACTTTCCAGAAGCGAATGAAATGTGAAGGGATATTCAGCACCGTGTAGGTTGCCAAATTGCCGTTATCCACCAGCGTGATGTCCAATTTAAAGTCTTTCAGGGAAGACATGCTAGTTACTTTGGAATCACCTTTGGAGAGACATGAAATGGAACAGTACCGATTCGGAGATGATAGCGATGCCGCACCCTGCTTTCTCAAATGTACGAGCGCTACATGCACTCCTCTCCAAATTGGTAAACCCACCATGCGATTGTACTTAATTCTCTCCTTTGAGAGCCCTGGTTGGCTTTTTAGAATCATCCACCGTACCAACAACAACCTCGTTCTTTCTCAACTCTCTTTCTCTTTCGGCTCTGGTCATGATTCTAGATCCGGTTCTGATCTCCATCTCTCTCTTTCTACTGGCCTCCAAGTCTTCCTTAATCGCCCTCTCACGCTCGCTCTGGATCTCGTTCAAATGCATCTCATGATCCTCTCTGAGCTTCTCAATCTCCTCCTTCACTTCTTCCAAGGACTTAAAGTTCTTACCATCTGCTGCAGCAGCACAGTATGCATCAAGGTCTGGCGGAAGCTGTCTTTTTAGAGCCAATTCCACAAGCTCTGGGCGTTTCTTTTCTTCTAGAGTGAACTTCCGCTTGATTTGTCTTCTGTTTCTGTAAGGAAAGAGTTGGGCAATAAACGTAAAGTCAGTACCCCACGTGCTCAAGGCATTGTAGAATTGGACAAGCTCGTCTGTCGTCCACGCATCTGTGTAAGCCAGCTTCGTGTAGGAGTTGGAAGTAATCGGATTCAAGTATGAGTTGTCGACCTCAACCTGACGATCACCCTTCTCTGCCGCTTGGTTGTTGGATTTGACAATTGATTCGGCATCAAGCGTAATTTTATCTCCGGAAATTCCCATTTTTAAGTTGCTAGGTGTCGGTTGTTCCGGTTCCTTGGGTTTCTCCTTATCACTTTGCTTCTTGCTTAGTTCATTGTCCTCCTGCTGGATCTCCTCTAGAGCCTTATCGTAACTAATACGCTTTTCCCTTGCTCTGATACGAGCCTTGCGCCGTGCTTTTTTGTCCTTTTCTAATTTTCCTCTTGCGCTCTCGGCGTCATGGAAGTTGCCGCTCACAGAACCTATCTTAAGTGTTGGCTTGCAAAGCTCTGCTACTGTCAAATCGTCAGCCAGAACCGTGAGCTTTGCATACAAAGCCTCATCTTCAACATCAATCTTTCTCGGGAGCTGTCTGATATCCTTAACTGTTGTTATGAGGTCAGGAGGTGCGACACTAAGGGGCCCAGGGATACCCGCATGAGCTTTGTACTTCTCGACTCTATTTGTAACTGGATTGATACCGACAACAAAGTCTGGGCCCAGGAATTTCGAAGTCTCTCCATTCTTTGCGTCATCTCTGGCGGCTGCGCTTGCGTTCTCGTCTTCCTCAACCAAGGTCTGGCTAGGAGCAGCTGCAGAAGATCTCTGCCTCTTGGAGGCCCTCGATATCGACAGCTTGTTCCTTTTCGATGGCTTTGCGGTGGGAATGCCAATAATTTTGACAGGAGCAGCCTGTGCTTCATCACCATTATCTGGGCCCACAGAGCCTGGAGTGGATACAGATCCTGATCTATTGAAGATACCGGACAATCTTCTGGAAGCAACGGAAGACCTTCTTCTCTGAGACTTTTGAAGTTCTTCCTTCTCTGCTAGCGTTTTCTTGAAGTAGTCATTGTCGTCGTCTTCATGGGCATCGCTTTCCTCATCCTCAATGACCTCCTCATTGGTAACCTTCGATGTATCTTTGGGATCCACGATTTCAGCTTCTTCGGTATTTTCGTCAGAAGTCTTCTCGCTAGGAGTTGCAATTTCATACTTTGATAAATCCGTAAGGCCACCTGTGGCCTGCGTAGTTGGAGGTGTGGAAATCGAAGCCTCATCTGGCTGCGTTATCTGTGTTGGATCAGGAGAAGCATGTGACTCCTGGGTTGTAGGGGGAGTGGGCTGGGCCGCCTTGTTATTTCTGGTAACCCTCTTTTTAACTTTCGGGGCGAAGTGTGAGGACTTCTTCACAATACTACTCATCTTATGGGATAGTGATGTTGCTTGTGATTGATAATGAGGGTAAACATCGAGCTTGATAGACAGATATGCAGGAAAATTCATGGGGCAGTATCGATGTCTTGGAACAGTTTGTGGAAATTTTAAGGGGAATGACATAGGAAAGCAAAAAGCAATACTTGTGAAGATGATTTGAACAGTGTGATTAATTTTGACTCTTGTTAATCGATCAGCCTTTTCAAGTTGCAGCGAGAACAAGTTTGTGGCTTACAAGAGGATAGCTATTGCAAAATCTTGAAGCAAAACAAATAGCTCAAAAAAAGAATTGGGAATTGCAAAGGTTAAAATTATTTATTGTTGTCATAGGTCGTGGTCTCCTCTTTAGATCGCAAAAGAGAGGTTTTGATACTTTTCGCAGCCAATGAGTGACACCCAAATACGATCAATTCTACTTTCAGAGAATCTTCGCCAAAATCCAAGTAAAACATTCAGCCTCAAATTCATCCTATATTACCGAACAGGGAAGATGGGTGTTTGGTCACGAAAAATAGTTCCTCCTACTTGGTAGCTGCGATGCCATCACTAAGACTCCAAGTTTACACTGTAATTGACATCACAGGCTTTTCGATTCATTTTCTCTAATAAGAAAAACAGCTAATAACTTTATAAGAGTACATTTTTCAACACTTCACCATCTTGCCCATCTCCACCTCAACAACTACCTCCTCTATATGTGCGCGAAGAGCATCTCACATCTACTCCAACATGAACGCTAAAGAAGTGTTTGCATGGCGTGCTCAGGAAGACACATGGGTGCTTCAGCTTCTACACTTTCCTGAGATTTCCGGAGGCTCGTTTGTTGCATCCACCAGTTCCGGTGGTTTGGCGCTTTTCTCCACTGCTTCCTTCAATCAGGCTCCAATCTACACCAACGAAAAGGCACACGAATCCAGCATAAACAGCATAGCCAAGGTCGATGAGTCCGTTTTTGTGTCTGCTTCTACAGACGGCCTCAAAGTTTGGGACTTGAGCAAGGGTCTTCAAAAGCCTGTGGCCTCTTTCACCAACTCGAAGAACTCAAACTTCCTCTCAGTGGCTGCCTCTCCAGATGGACAACTTGTTGCAGGAGGCACGGAGCTTGCGGGGGTTGACGCCGAATTGCATATTTGGAATTGGCAGAGCCAGAAGTTGGTGAAGCTGCTTGTCGACTCTCATCACGATGACATCACTGATATCAAGTTCCACCCTACATTGACGCAGTACTTGATGTCGGGGTCAACTGACGGCTACGTCAATGTTTATGATTTGAGAGAGGAGGACGAAGAGGAGGCGCTTCATCAGGTCATCAACTTCAATTCCGTCCACACATGCAACTTCATTAGGGAAAGACGTATTCTGGTGCTTTCTCACATGGAGACGCTTCTTTTCAGCGAGCTCAACAACGTCGACTACGAAAACCCCGAGGAGCCCTTGCCCAAGGATGTAGGTGATCTCAGAGTATGGCCCCATTGTGAGTATGTCGTGGAAGTGAGTCCACTTGGCTACGCCGCTTTTGGCGCTAATCTGGAGCAATCGCTTCTGGTGATGCCGTTCGATTGTCAAAGCGAAGAATTCGACAAAACGCAGATCGTCAGCTTTCCAGGCGCCCACGGTGAAGAGGTGGTGAGAGACGTTTTGCTCGTTCCTCAGAGCAAATTGGTTATCACCTGCGGAGAGGACGGTGTGATTAAGGCGTGGGAGCTTCCCGTCGAGCTCCAGGGTGTCAACGTCGTCAAAGGAGGTAAGACAGAGGTGAAGGAAAAGAAAAAGAAGGATAAAAAGGACAAAAAGGAGAAGAAGGATAAGAAGGACAAGAAGGACAAGAAGAAGAAGGACAAGCGTGGAAAGGATGCGCGGTTCAAGCCCTACTAAGCTGCACTGCCGCGGAAGAAAATTACCGTCGGGCAGCTGAAAACTGTAATGAAAGTTCCCTCAAGTAATTCAGCAAACAGACTCCCCTGAATTTTCTTCCCCGACAGCAACATAACCCCCGGGATCTTAATAAATGGATCAGGCTGGCTTTTGGGGCTCAGGCATTGCTGCAGAACATGCGCATGGCCTTGCAGCCGCCTCGCTTCGGGTTCTGGGCAGGCAGAGTTCCACGGTACCACGGCACCAAAAAGGCCTCAACGCCCCTATCGGATATTCAAATCATAGACAAGCGGAAATCGTAGAATAGACCACCATACCACCTTGAGCACCTGAGCGCCCTCGGAGAGGCCCATTTAGTCGTTGGAATGCGTTTGTTCCTGCACATGCTGCCGATACCCACACACTCTTGACATGTACTGCAATTGCAAAAACCAACTTGTTTTCACCAGTCTCTTCTGCTCCTCACCTCACGAACCCTATATATACTATGAACACAGAGGAGTTCCGGAAACGGCCTTTGGAAGAGGGCGACCAGACCGGACCGCCCGGCCCCGAGACCCTGGAAATTCCCCAGACTTCGGCGTCCCCAGAAACGGCTTCTCAGCCTGAACCAAAAGACCAAGATATGGACGTTGATGTGGCAAACGTGAAACCTGAAATCAAGGAGGAGTCCCTTCCCGAGGATAACGGCACTGTGGCCGCCGCCCCTATGAAGGAAGAGCCCCCAACGCCCGCTACCAGTACTTCTGAACCCAACGGTACTGAAGCAGGCCCCGAAAACGGCACCAAACGCTTCAAGCTGGATACACTTGTCGTGGTGCCCCACAAGACGCCACAGCTTTTCTACACGTTGCTCAAGACGGGGCTCGTCTACGACGTGAGAATGAGGTACCACGCCAAGATCTTCACATCGTATTTCGAGTACATCGACCCTCATCCCGAAGATCCTCGTCGAATCTACCGTATTTACAAGAAGCTCGCAGAGGCAGGTCTTATTCAGGACACGTCGCTTTCTGGCTCTGAGGAGCTTGGCCCGCTCATGGAGAAAATCCCCGTCAGAGAGGCCCGAGCCGAGGAGATCTTGGAGGTGCATTCCGCCGAACACTTGAAGTACATCTCGCTGACAGAGCAGATGACCAGAGACCAGCTTCTTGAGGAAACGGAAAAGGGCGATTCCATCTACGTCAATAACGACTCGTACCTCCTGGCCAAACTCTCGTGTGGTGGCTCCATCGAGGCATGCAAGGCTGTGGTTGAAGGCAAGGTCAAGAACTCCTTGGCCATTGTGCGCCCACCAGGCCATCACGCCGAACCCGATACTCCGGGCGGATTCTGTCTCTTCAGTAACGTTGCAGTTGCGGCTAAAAACATCTTGAAATCGTACCCAGAATCCGTGCGCCGAATCGTCATTCTCGACTGGGATATCCACCACGGTAACGGCACCCAAAAAGCTTTCTACAACGACCCTCGTGTCTTATACATTTCCCTCCATCGTTACGAAAACGGTAAGTTCTACCCTGGCACAAAGTACGGTGGTTCCGATAAAGTGGGAGAAGGCGAAGGTGAGGGCTACTCCGTGAACATTCCTTGGAGTGGTCCAGGTGTGGGCGACGGAGACTACGTCTACGCTTTCCGCAGAATCGTCATGCCTATAATCAGTGAATTCGATCCTGACCTCACCATTGTCAGTGCTGGATTCGATGCTGCCGACGGTGACTTGATTGGTCAGTGTCACGTCAGCCCGGCTGGTTACGGTCATATGGCACATATGTTGAAGAGTGTTGCCAGAGGCAAACTTGCTGTTATTTTAGAAGGTGGGTACAGTTTAGACTCAATCAGTGAAAGTGCCTTGGGCGTGGCTAAAGTGCTTATAGGCGAGCCTCCTGAAGCTACCATTACCTCCCAGCCCCGTTTGGAGACACTTGAGGTTGTCAATGAGGTCATTAGAACACAAAGTAAGTACTGGAAGTGCATGAAGCCTGGAAACTCGGCTCATGTCTTTGAGGACGTCTACGACTTGTCCACCGACAACCTTCTTTCCTTTGCTGAACCCATCAGAGCGTACCAAGCTCAACAACTTTTCTCCAACCACTCATTTATCAGTCTTCCTATCATCGACCATCCAGAGTACAAGATCTCCACATTCAGCACTGATCTCCCTCCCCACATGGAAGACCTTGTTTTGGCAAGCCCTCAAGTGCAAAAGCACTCCACCATCATTGTCTCCATCCATGATCCACCTGAGGTCTGGGCTAATATCAACCCTATCAACGGAAACATCGAGAGCAGCACATCTGTGGTGCTTGAGCACCCATTGACCCGTGTCATGAAGAAAGTTCACTCTGAACTTTCAAATGACGGTGGCTCACCAGACGATGTTGGATACATCGACATAAATATTCCTTCTTATACTGAGGCTGTGGCTTCATCCTCCTCGAAGGAGGGCTCGGTTGAGAAAACATCTTCACCGGTGAAGAGCTCTAATTATAACCCAACGATCTTCGCTCAAGAGCTTCTTCTTTGGGTGTGGGATAACTACTTGACCTACTTCCCAGAACTCAAAAAGGTGGTTTTTGTTGGGTTTGGTGACTCATACCAGTCCATTGTCCATCTTTATGCTAAACGTCCATCACAGGAGATCAAGGACGTTGTCAAAGGTACAGTTGGTTTTGTCAGCCGATCAAACCTCAAAGCCTTGGTGCCAGTTATGGACGAATCGATGGTAGACTGGTACTACCAGAGTTCCGTTCTCTTCACAAGTTTCAAAAATGCTTGTTGGGTCAGCGCCTCAGCCAACTCTAAAAATGGCGAGGCTGAAGATGTGGGAAAACGTCCAAGGAAAAAGTACGGCCGTGTTTTAAAAGCGTCTGTCGATGGCTTGTGGGATGTCATCCACGAGAGGTTTGACGAAGGCGTCGATTTCATTCTTGACTCGATCGAGGACTTCTCTGAATCAGAGTCTAACTAGGATTAGTGTACTATCTATGTATTATGGGACCACATCGATGGCCATGAATCGAACGCATACTAATACAGTTAATTTAGACGTAGCTTGGGAACCTTTTGGCAAAAGATTTCTCAAGATCCTCAACATCAGGTATTGAGGTATCACTCGAGTTACTGAGCCTTCTGCTTTGTTCCGGCAAGGTCAAATGCTTAGGTTTAAAGGGTTTAGGTGGTGGTCTCTTCGCCGGCTTCTTTGGCGATTTTGTCTCAGAGGCGGGCTTGGACTTCTCCTCAGACTCTGACTTTTTCTCCGGTTCAGACTTTTTTAGAGACACTGGCTTTCTTACAAGCCCAGCTTGTATCTTTGGGTCTACCTTCACAAGATCAGGCTTCTTCAGCGGAGTATTGAGCTTTGTTGTAGAAGCTGACTTTGAAGGAGAGAGCTGTCTCTTAGGTAATGAGATCTGCGAATGTGATTTGCTCAATCCTGGGGCACAGGAGGTGGTGTGCTGTATTTTCTTGGTGACTTGGATTTCAAGCGTTTGTCCGATGGAGTCTTAGAAACCGAAGGCCTCGATGGTGCGGAGTCAAGTTTGTGTAGTTCCTCGGTCGAGCTCGATTCATTGGTAACGAGTGAATCAGCGCTCACGGATGCGGAAAGATCGGTATAGTTTATAGCTGAGATGTCGTCTTGATCGGTGTACTTTCCGTACCCTGAAGCGGTCTTAGGAGCCTTTTGTTCGGAATTATTGAGCAAAAGCGACATACGCTTTTGTATGGAAGAGACCTTCTTCTCTTGGGATGGGACGCGTAAGTGATTACGATCTTCAATGCCTTCACCCTTCTCTTTAGATCCTGTGAAAAGCTTTCTAATCGAGCTTGAGCTTGAGTGTCTCTTATGATCATTAGACCCACTCCTTTGCGAAGACACGGATCCCCCTGTGCTTATCCTTCTCAATCCCTTCTTCAACGATGCTTTGATGGAGCCACCTGTGCTCTGGCGAGAACTGATTCCCACGTCTTCCTTTGATTTCAAGAAGTCAAGCGTGGAGCGGTCTATGTCTTCAGACTTTCTATAATTGTTGAGTTCTGTAGAGCTGTCATCAACTTGCTTTTTAATCATATCATGTAATGTTGTCGATGAATTGTGTGATCTTCCAGATGGCCTGCGAGGCAAGTCTGGTTTCTTATGATTAGAACCCATTGAAAGAATCTTTGTCTTGTCGATGGAAGCAAAAACATCCAGTGTTGCAGCCTTTGCGGGAGCCTTCTGAGGAATTGTCGCTTGTAAGACCTGAGTCTGAGAAGTGGAATCATTGTTGACACTGGTGTAGTCATAACTGATGGGCACAGTCTTCGAGATGCGGACAGAGTAAGGCACAGTCTCTGGAATCTGTTTAACGCCTTGCATCAGGCAAACCTCCTGTAAAAGCTGGAGCGCATTCGGTCTTCTTCTTGGATCTGCTCTCAAACAACAGTGGATGACGTTTTGAAGACGATTGGAGTATTGAGGCGAGCCTGGGAAACGGAGATTGATGTTGCAATTGAGAATCAGCTGTTCCAAGTCAGCCAAGGATTTCTGGTGAGGCAGCTCGAATGGAGTTGTGTAATAACAAAGCTTGTACAAAAAGATACCCAATGCCCAAATATCCAGCTTGTCATCTATGGGAAAGCCGTGCGTGAGGTCTATCATTTCTGGAGCCCGGTATTGGGGTGTCGTGTGCTGCATGAGGTCGGAATGCAAGGCATTGAGTTCTTGTGGTGTTTGGGGTACTGGCGCATAAGGCACGGCAGAGCCGAAATCACAGAGCTTGTAGGTGCCCTTATCGTCAATCAAGACATTTTCGATCTTGATGTCTCTATGGATCAAAGGAGGGTGCAATTGGTGGCACATGGCGACACCGGTGGTAATCTGAGACATGATGCTGAGCACCTCGGGCTCAGTGAGACGATGCGTCAATCTAGTATTCATGAAGTCTATCAATCCATTTTTAGAGCAGTATTCCATGAGAAGCAACACTTCGTACTGTTGCGTGTCGTTGGCCTTTGCCAAAGGAAGCCTGGATGCATGTGAGTCGATATATGAGACAATGTGCTTGTTACCACGCAAACGCTTCATGGCATCCACTTCCTGCCTAAGCAAACTAAGCTGGAGCTTGTTTGGCACGACAACACGCTTCAAACAGGCCACCTTATTGCCGTGGAATGGTGGATCAATGGTGCACGTGTACACATGAGCAAAACCACCCAGGGACAAGTACTTGAGGATGGAAATCTTGTGGGAGCCCACCTGAAGCTGTTTTCCCTTTTGAAAGGCGTCGGGTGGGGCGGCGGTCATTGGGCGTGGTGGGAAATGAGCTGGTGGTTTTTGGACCAAAGTTGTAGTATGTTTCTAGAGGCAGTTGCGATATATCGCACCAGTGCCTCAGCAGTACAGAAGCTGCTTCTTGGCGCAAGACCACCACCTGTTTCTAGGCTTAAATAGTGGCGGAATTCAGGGGTACCGAAGCCGAGCCAAGAATGACGGATGTAGCCTGGAAAAGTGTTTAATTTGGGATGATTATCGATAGCCAGGCGGAGAAATTTCAGACCGTCCTTGGCTGGGGTTCCAAAAATAGACTTCTCCAGGGAAAAAAGTGATGTTTTTTTGGGTTATACATTTGGAGTGAATCTTTTTTCAAAAGAATGCAAACCTTCTTCCTTAGTATTTGCATGTATGGTGAATGTTTGTGCTGTGATCTCTGAGCGAGCTTTTCGCAGCCAATCGGTGTAAGATGCATCGGCCCGAACGCAACGAACAAGCTGAATAACCCATCTAGCTTTTTTGATGACCAAAGTCGATTGATCTAGAAATGGTTTTATGGAAAATTGGAACTTTCGGGTTCGTTCATTTATTCATGTTCCTTCTACCCTCTAAGCCACAGTCATCGCGTAGTATGCTACACCTCTTCTCCAAAATCCTCTTTTTATGGCTTTCAATGGAGAACGATTGTCTTCATCTACGCATTGATCATCTCCAGATTACTCAATTCTTGGCCCAGCCTTGTGGTGCTTTGTGCATCGCTGCTATGATACGCATATACTGCTCTCCTGCACTGCTTGGCGATGAGTACCTACTAGATGAAGCTTTACTTCGAGGCTGAGAAGTTCGTCAATAACGACAAGGGCAGCTTGAAAAACAGGATCTTCAATGCTAAGCTATCGAATTCTCCAAAACACGTCTACGCCCTCGTGATCTCCACCCTCAAATACAAAGAGCACATCGATGTCATCATACGAAAGTCTCGCTTGAAAGATGTGCCTCAATTGAAAAAGTTGAAAGTGTCAGATGCCCTACTATCGCTTCTCGTCCAGGACTTTCTATTTTCTGCCAAGGGTAGGATCCAGCTGGGCAAGCACCCTATCAAAGAGGCCTTCTTGCTTAACAAGACCAGAATGCAAGCAGAGCTCACGAAGCTCAAGCTAAAGCACAAGGTCAAGTCTGTGGCAGAGCTACCCTTGAAGGAGGGATTTGATGACGATGAAACACCCGTTCGCTGGATCCGTGTAAACACCTTGAAGACCTCGCCGGAGGCTTTGTTCAAAACTTCGTACTTCTCCAAGTTGACTGAGGTTTCGTCTCTTGATGAGCTTGACGGCCCGGGAAAGATATACAAAGACGAGTACATCACGAATCTTTATGGAATTCACCCTCGAGACAAGATCACGAATACTCAAGCCTACGCTCATGGCGAGGTGATTATCCAAGATCGTGCCTCATGTTTCCCTGCTGAGATCCTTAACAACGATCCGAGCGATTTGCATAAGTGTGTCATAGATGCCACTGCTGCTCCAGGCAACAAAACAACTCACGCTGCATCTTTTGTTGCCCAGCATGATGGAGTGGTTTTTGCTTTTGAAAGAGATAACCAGAGAGTCAAGACCCTCAAAATGATGTGTGAAAAGGCCACAGGCAAGGCCAAAAAGAGCTTGATCCACCCTACCCATGCCGACTTTACGACCGTTAAGCCCGAGGATTTCGAGAATGTGACTGGCCTTATAGTGGACCCATCATGCAGTGGTTCAGGCATTTTTGGCAGAGCCATTGAGGATGCCAGTGCAGAGCAGGAGAAGGAAGAGACCGACGAAACAAGACTCAATAAACTTGCTGGGTTCCAGTTCAAAATCATGAAGCATGCTCTCTCATTTCCAAAAGCCCACAAGGTTGTCTACTCCACATGTTCTATTCACCCACATGAGAATGAGAGGGTGGTGGTGGATTTGCTCAGTGACCCCGAAGTGAAAGAAGCCGGATGGAGACTTGCCCCCAAAAATGTGGTGATTCCATCCTGGCCCAGAAGAGGCTGGGAGCAAGAGTTCACATCGTTGAGTGATGGAGACGAAGCCAAAGGCCGTGAGCTTGCAGGAGGATGTGTTAGAGCTATACCCAAAGAAGACGGAGGAATTGGCTTTTTCGCTGCCTGTTTCGTACGTGATAGACAATAAACTACCCTTTATTCACATTCTATTAAAAACGGCCAACAATGTCGTCAATGACCTGCTGGGTGGTGGAAGAACCGCCCAAGTCTGGGGTCTTCACCTTGTCCTCCACCAAGTTGGCGTCAACAGCCTCGTAGATCTTGGCAGCGGCCTCCTGGTGACCCATGAACTCCAACATCAAGGCGGTGGAACGGATAGTAGCAATTGGGTTGGAAATACCCTTACCCTCAATGTCTGGAGCAGAACCGTGGCATGGCTCACCAATGGCGAAATCAGCACCGACATTGGCAGATGGAACAACTCCCAAAGAGCCCACAAGAGCAGCAGCACCGTCACTCAAGATGTCACCGTACAAGTTTGGAGCAACCACAACATCAAAGATCTCTGGCTCTCTGAACATACGGTACACCATCGAGTCGACAATCTGCTCCTTGTACTCAACAGAGCCGTACTTGTCCTTGTTGGCCTCCCAGACGTTCTTACAGACCTCACGGAAAAGACCGTCTGAAGCAGACAAGACGTTGGACTTGTGGGTAACCGTCACCGAAGGCTTGGAGTGGAGCGAGCTGAGGTTGGAAGTCTCTCTGATCTTCTGTCTCAGCAAGGCAATGTCGTAAGCCATGGCGGCAATTCTGGAAGTAGCATTCTCAGAGATTCTCTTGATGGCCTCGGCGACTCTGGTGCCGTCCTCAGCGTTGTAGGTCTTCTCCTCCTTGACATACAAATCCTCAGTGTTTTCTCTGACAATAACCATGTCGACTGGCTTATCGGAGCCGTCCACAGACTTGACAGGTCTGACGTTGGCGTACAAGCCCATCTTCTTTCTCAATGCCACGATAGGCGAAGAGTAACCAGCGACCTTCACACTAGGAGACGAAACGGCACCAAAAAGAGCACCGTCACACTCGTTCTTCAACACCTCGACGGTCTTGTCGGGCAAAGCAGTGCCGGTCTTCTGGAACAACTCGTAACCAGCGTCCAAAGTGACAAACTCAAACTGCAAGTCAAACTGCTTGGGCAACTTTTCCAAAACCGCCTGGCCAGCAGGAATCACCTCACGGCCAATGCCGTCGCCGGGAATGAGGCCGATCTTCAATTTCTTCAAAGAAGCGCTGGAAGTGGAAAAAGTACGCACTGATCTGGAAAACATGGTGATGGTGTTGGTGGTATCTGTGAAAATTCTCCAAGCTTGTCCGGCCCGGCACAGGCATGTGGGTGTGCAGATAATCAGGACCACTATCGGTTTTCTGGGGAAAGCCGCGTATGAGTCACCATGTGAAGCTACGGTAGTTGATTTGATCTGGCAATGTAGAAGAGGGAGGAAAAAATGGAGATGTTTTTGATTTGGATGTTGAATTAATTCTTATCAGGTAAATGAGTATTTATCGTGATTTGCCGAGATAATGTGTCGATAGGGCAATTGCCGCAGCAGATTCATGAATCATGAATGGTGCCGATGACGTACGCAATCGCTTTTGATAAGGAATTTGAAATGAAAGATCAGATAATAGTGCTGATTTAAGCATGCCTCTTGATTTTCAAGAGCCAACGGCAAGATCACCTTATATTTCGCTGTCTATGAAATGGCTGCAAAATGTCGCAACGAGGTCTATCGTAGTCAAAAAAGGTCTAAAGACCCTAATGCAACTCCGTCAAAAAAGCAATCTACTCTTTTGACGATATTGTACAGCATTCATTATCCCAGTGCCTCAAAAGATCGGGCTCGGCCCAATCTCCTAGACTATTTTTTAATTATCCGTAAATCTCTATACAAAAAGCATCAAGCCTTTTCATACATCTCTTTTCTCTCAAAAGCACCCAGTACTCCCGAGGCAAACGAGCCAGAGACCTCCTCAACTCCTTGAACAACGTGACCTTGCAACTCCTCTTCGAAGTTCTCAACATCCTGGAACTCCTCGAGCCAGGCCTTCTCAAACGGTCTCACTTCAGCGGCACCCTCAACTGGCCAGAAGTAGCATAGAAGAGCGTACACAATGGCAGCGGAGAAGAAACCTGTGAAGAAGTTGAGTCTGTAGACGTAGATTGCACCAATTGGAACAGAATCCTCACCTTTAACCTGGCCCACAAAACCAACAATATTTGGCATAATTCCGCAGAGGTACGCAATGAGGGCTCTTGGGTTCAGGCCAATCTTATTGTACTTGTAAGCAGAAGGCTTCTCAGGCTGCTCTGGGGCAAACAACGAATACAAGTGCGTCAACTTCAAGTGACCTCTTCTCACGTAGTAGTAATCACAACAGATCACACCAACAATCGAGGAAAGGAAAACAGAGTAGGCTGACAAGTACGTCGTGAAGTTAGAAGAGCTGGAAGTCAAGTTCCATGGCTGCACGAGCAAAGCCAAAATGGCACAAAGGTACGATCCCCTCCTGATGGTCAAGTATTTTGGAAGAAGGGAAGTGACATCAGTACCGAATGAAAGGGAATTGGCGGAAATGTTGGTACCCAATTGAGCAATAGCAAAACTGAATCCGAGCAAGAAGACACCAGCTCTGTTTCCCGCGGTATAGTTATCCAAAAAGTGGCCCAACACATCCAATGGATTCCAAGTAGGTTCGCCGTACAAGACTTCTGAGGCAGAACTGACGATAATACCGATCAATGAAGTGATGGAGAAACACAATGGAATGGAAACCGTCTGCACGATATACTTCATTCCAAAAGATGGTTTATCGGCGAAACGAGAAAAGTCAGGTGCATTGGTGATCAAAGTAGCAAAGTTGGCCAAAGCATTCATGGTCGATTCAACAAAAGCCCAGCCTAAATCATGCAGATTAAGCGTGGAAGACTTGTGAATGACGGGACCAGCCCCATGAGCCTTCACCAAGGTCCACACCAAAAAGGTCACACCTGCAACAGGAACAACATAGGCCTTGAAGGTGAACAAATGCCTTATTTTGTGAGGGGGGAACCACAAGAACGGGAGTTCGAAAAGCCAGAAAAGGAAAAATGACAAGAATTGAAAGGTTGTCAAGTTGGCATTGTCGATACCGTTGTGCATGGTCTCATCAAGGTGTTGACCAAAGATCGACCTTAACATCAAACCGATACATGGAGCAGCCACCATGCTCTGCACGGAGTACCAGACACAAGACATGACCACACGGTTGATGACTGGCCAAGCAGCGAAAAAGATACCAAAGGACGCTCTCGCGCCAATGGGGAAGGAAATGTGGTTCACCACACCGATTCTGGCCGAAATGGAGACAAATACACCACACAAGAAGTAGCCAACCCACACGGAAATCCAAGTCTGCCACCACGTCATGCCCTGCTGGACACCTGTGGACGCGATCATCCAGGTGTTGATATTAAAGGAATCAGCGATCCAGAAGAAGGCGTAATTGTACCATGACCATTGCCTTCTTTGGGCCTCAACAGGACGCAAATCATGATTGAAGAGAAACCGTTGCATGTTCGTCAAGTCGCCTGGGTTGTCGACCTCAATCCAGTCGTTGAACCTCTTGTACCATGGCTTCTTGACGGACTCTCTGCTAGCATCGTCGTAGACCTCGATGGTCGTGTTCAAGTTTTTAGACATGGGAGCTGACGAAGAGAAAGGCAGATCCCGGAGTATTTATGCCTTTTTCATCGCCGCATCGCTGATTAAGTCACTCTGCAGAGATACATCTTCGTTCTGGTCTAATCCTCCAGGACAGGCGGATAACGTATATGCCTCGGCGCGATGCAGGAGAGGGCGCTTGCTATCATAGATAAGGGAATTATGAAAGGAGTTAAAGGCAACGTGCAACAGAAGCCTGAAGCGGCTCAGATCTGGTAGAGCTTTGTCGCATAAACTATAGACTTTTCGACTTGTTTCTTTATTTTCTCCCAGCTCTTGCTATGTTGGCGCAGTGAAATAGAGTACGGCACTGAGGGGGTTCAGACATACAGCTGACTTGCGGAATAAGCCTGGAGGGCCCCGAGAATTACCCCGACGGTGGTCACCACTTTGTTGACGATGGAGGTTCTGGCTGCAAAAAAGCCAGAGGTGGAATCCAACTTCCTAATCTGTCCTTGACACCTGCGTCTGTCAGGCAGATTTCGCGGCATCGTACGTAGTCAAAGATAAGAGACTTCTGGCGCGGCGAAAGCTTTTTGCACCCACGGGCCGAACATGCAAGGCATGTTATTGTAAGCGAGAATAACAATTGGGGCGGATTTTGAGTGTGATTAAAACCGAAAGAGATTTTGGGGCGAAATAGGAGGATTTGCATTTGACGCCTGCGATGCCCATTTGCACGGAACTTGTGAAACTGGCGAGTGATTGTGGGTTCTTTGGTGGGGAGTCTGACTAGCGGAACCGCATCATCACAAATTCAGGTCACCAAAAATCAGCCGCTGGACGAATATCTCTGAAATTGCCAAATGGAGTTGCGGCGGTGTGTGTTGACGACTATAGCTGGCACTGGAACTACAGTTGCGTGTTTGGATCGGAGCAGGCCCGAAATGTGGAGAAGCACGAAATAATTTCACTCCGGAATTCGCAACCACTTGGAGGCGATGTCCTAATTGAGTAGTAGAGATGGAGGTTTTGATGATGGTGGCTGGTTTCGTGACGTTCGGCTGAAGCAAATTAGGAAGTGCAGGCGGAATTGGCCTCTGGTGGCCTGGTCCTGGTAATGGACTTTGTTTCTGTATATGGGGAGGTAGGATCAACAAGCATTACACCCAAACAAAGAAGCCCTGGGCAAGCCGCCATAGCAATGAGCGAAGGACGAAGGAACAAACGAAACAAAGAATGCAATTTAAAAATCAGCTTCACCAACTTCTTGTTGTCACTAGTCCACCCCTGGGCTGCTGGACTGGCTGCGAAACGCAAGGTGCGGAGTTCATCCACCGGGCTCTAAACGGAAGTGGGGCAGATTTCACCGCTCAAATCATCTCCACCGAAAACCTCCTTTCCTTGTGTATTTCCAGCAAACTCCCAAAACCAAAATTCTCGAGAGCCCTTTCGCCATTGCCACCAGACAGTCACACTTTGGTGCCCCCTGTACACAACCGAACACAGTGAGGTCCACTGAAAATTTCTCGGAGTCACCTTAGGAGTAGTGTAGCACATTCTAATCATAATGCAGAGAGCCCTTTACGCCGTGACGAGATCAGCCGCCAGGCCAGCCCTCAGGATGGCCAGACCCGCTGTGGTTCAGCCCTTGAGGTACAACTTGGCTGCTGTCAGATTCAACAGCACCAAGCCCGAGGGTGAGGCTAAGGAAGAGCCCAAGGAGGAGCCAAAGGAGGAGGAGCCAAAGAAGGAGGAGCCTCAGGAGGACCCTATCGTGGCCGAATTGAAACAAAAATTGGAGAAGAAGGACAAGGACTTGGCTGACATGAAGAACCACTACGCCAGAGCCGTGGCCGACTTCAGAAACTTGCAGGAGACCACCAAGAAGGAGATGCAAAAGAGCAAGGACTTTGCCTTGCAAAAGTTCGCCAAGGACCTTTTGGAGTCTATTGACAATTTCGAGTTGGCCTTGAACTCCGTCAAGGAGGAGACCTTGACTGCCAGCGAGGAGGTGAAGAACCTTTACGATGGTGTGTCGATGACCAGAAACGTTTTCCAGAAGACCTTGGAGAAGCACGGCATCGAGAAGATGGACCCTATGGGCGAAGCGTTCGACCCTAACCACCACGAAGCCACTTTCGAGATCCCCCAGCCCGACAAGGAGCCCGGCACCATCTTCCATGTGCAGCAACCTGGTTACACCTTGAACAGCAGAGTCTTGAGACCTGCCAAGGTGGGCTTGGTCAAGGGCGAAAACTAGATGAAATATCTTTTGTAAATAGTAACGACCACAGCCAGACCCGTCATGAACTGGGCCTGACACTAATGCTGCTAATTTTGTGTAACAGACGTATGCTGCGAGCGAAGAGACCGAGCAAGCCGCGGTTCCTTCTCTACATGTTTGCAACTAGATGGAGCATCGGCCCCAGGGTTCTAGGGCGACAAATTCGGCGTTTTCAACTCCCGTCGAGCTATAAACCCAATGGCAGATTTGTGGGGAAACTCCCGTTTGGGCAGCTTTTGAATATATGGTGGAAATCTCTCAGACCGGGCAGACTAGAAGAGCTACAACAGGCTTTGCTTGAACACCACTTTCCCTTGACCAGGGAGGAGAACAAGGGCATTAAGAGGGAGAGCAAGAAGGTTCCCATTGACGAAAAGGGCAACTTCATCAACGAGGTTTCGTTTGAAGTGGTCAACGATGAGTCCTACACCACCAAGCATGTGGTGTTTGTTCACGGCTACGGTGCCTCGCTAGGCTGTTTTGCCAGGAACTTTCATGTCGTGAACAAGTTCAGAGGCCTCAAGAACAACTACAAAGTGCATTTTCTCGATAACATCACCTTTGCGTTGAGTTCGAATCCTCCGATGAAGAGCATCGACTATAGTGCGCCTATACCCCAGGTGAAGCATATCAAGATGACCGACACCAGGGCCACAGTGCCCAAGGACCTTTACAAGAAGTACTATAAGCTCATCGACAGCTACAAGTTTGATGTGGAGGAGTTTAAGAAATCGAGGGACGAGCTTGCACCTGTGCTCAAGGACATGGAGGACTACTACACCCAGGCGTTAGACGGCTGGAGAAAAGGCACTGGTATCGAAAAAATTGACTTTTTGGTAGGTCATTCTTTTGGAGGCCATTGGTGTGGTTCCTACTCTGTGAGAAACCCAGACAGGGTTGACAGGGTGGTGCTCTTGTCGCCTGTGGGTGTGGAAAGAACGGCTTTTGGGGTGACTACGCCAATTCCTGAGCAAGAAGAAAATCTTCCGTCTCTTGACCCCACATCCTACCACTTTTTGAGTCGTTGGCCCATTCTCTCGCAAGAAACAGTATACAAGTGGTACCATGTCCAGCCCAAGTTACCTCGTCTTTTGAAGTTCATGGGTCCTTGGGGTGTGGCCAAGTATTACGACATGTGGTACAGCAAGCTTTTCGCCATCAACAAGGTGATAAAGAAGCTTGGTGGTGCTCTGGTGTTCAAGAGTGAAAATGAGTTGGTCTATGGTTCTAACACAGAGTGCCGTCTTCTCATCGAGTACTTGTACAATTCCATCACCACAGGGACAAAGTCAGACACCCACGTGAAGTACCTCTTGACACCGGCCACCACGAGCAGATGGCCATTGTACGACAAGTTCATGAGCTCCAACAAGGAGGACCTCTCCAAGTTCAAATTGCACATTGCGTACGGCCAGTACGACTTTATGAACTCCGAGGCTGGTGAAAAGCTTGTGAAGGAGCTCAATGAGACCTTTGGCGTGAACAATGCCAAATACCACACTGTACCTGAAGGTGGCCACAACTTGTACATCCAGAACCCATTTGGCACAAATGAGCTTTTGGAGGACATTGTGACCGAGGCCGAGGCTCAGTAATTATTTATTAGATAGACAGATAGAACAATCGATAGAACACAATGAGCAACAGCATGGCTGCAAGTATGCCACTGCATTTCGATGCTGCAAGTGAAGGAGTTAATCGACCGGGCAAAGAAGATAGTGCCGAGGTGATTTCCTCATTATGATTTTAGCTTTTCAATCTCCCTTTTTTTATTCTTTTATTCAGAATTGATTCTCTGATGTCACCAACATACCACTACTGCGTGTTGATGATTCTGCAACACCTCAGACCGTGGGGAAGGACCCCTCAGATGTAACCGGCAGGCACGCTCCAGAACAACCGGGTGAAGGAAAAAAACAAAACATATAAAGAGAGCGCATTCCCAGACACAAAAACGCAAATCGCACCGGATCAGTCTATTCTCCATGTCTCCTCCAGCCGAGTCTACAAGGCTCTTGGGCACTCCTCCACCGTCTCTGGGGCCCAATCCTTCTAATAGTTCGACTCGCCGTGCCAGACCACCATTACTTTCAGTGCCCAGTTCCCAGTCGGTCAGATCGGTCCGTTCTGCTCGGAGCATGGACCCTGTTATAGCCGACTACCGCCTGTGTGATGTTGATCTGTTAAATTTGGAAGCATTGGAGGCCAATAAGAACTTCAGCCGTTGGGCCTATGTCAGCTACTACCTACCGATTCTACGATGGCTCCCCAATTACAGTGCTAAGCAGAACTTGTTGGGAGATACTTTGGCTGGGGCAACTATGGCCAGTTTCCAGATGCCATTGGTGATGTCATTGGCAACCTCCTTGGCCAAATTGCCGCCTTTGGTAGGCTTGTACTCGGTCGTGGGGGCTGCTACAGCGTATGCTATATTTGGCGGAGTGCCAGTGTTAGTTGTTGGTCCGCTGCCGGGAACGGCCGTGTTGTACGGCCAGGTGATAGACGATATCATGCACTCAAACAAGGAGATGGAATTGACCAACTTAGAGGTGAGTGCTACGATTTCGGTGGGGATGTCGGCGATCTTGTTGGCGTGTGGTTTGCTCAAATGGGGGTTTCTAGATAACATATTCCTGAGGGCTTTGCTCAAGGGCTTCATTGGCGCCATGGGTGTGGTGATGATCATCAACCAGTTTGACATCCAGATGGGGCTCCAGGATTTGGCTGCAAAAGAGCCTCACCAGTCCATTGTGGATAAGGTTGTGTTTGCGGTGATAAATGCCCTGGAGGCACATAAACTCACGGTGGCTATAACAGTGCTGACTTTGCTAATTGTGCTCTTGGTTCGAAAGTTCAAGAACACTTTGGTGAATCGCTACGGCATCAAGCTGGCCGTCTATATCCCCGAGCTACTTGGCATGGTGGTAGTGGCCACCATTCTCTCCTACACGTTGGACTGGGAAAGCAAGGGCGTGGAGATTGTGGGTGACTTGACCAGCACGAAAAAGAAGGACGTTGCAGCTGAGTCAGTGATCATCAATCCCTTCAAGTTTTCCCGTTTCCCGTTGTTCAAGAAGGTGTTTCAGACATCCTTTCTCTGTTCGATCCTTGGCTTTTTCGACTCAACCACTGCCACCAAAGCTCTAGGAGCCCGTTATAACTACAATGTTTCTTCTAACAGAGAGCTCGTGGCGCTCGGAATGGCTAACTTTGCCATTACTATGTTTGGCGGTCTACCTTCATTTGGTGCTCTTGGCCGGTCCAAGGTGAACATTCTAGCAGGAGCACTAACACCCATGGCCACTCTGATTATGGCTGCTATTGTCGTTATCGCCATTTGCTACTTACTACCGCTCTTGTACTTCCTACCTGAATGTGTTCTTGCTTTGAGCACGACAATTATCGGCTTGACTGTGCTAGAGGAGGTACCTCATGACGTAGCGTTCTTCTGGGACATCGATGGCTACGATGAAATTGTCTCCTTGTTGGTGGTTTTTGCAACAACCATTTTCTGGAGCGTCGAGTCTGGCGTCATTCTCGCAATTATCATTGCAGTCGTCAGAATCATCAAAGCGGGCACTCAATCTCGAATCCACATCCTAGGCCGAGTGCCCAACACTACAGTCTTCAGAAACGCAGACGAACTTATTGAAGAAAGCTTCTTCACATATACAGAGGCCGAGCACCAGGACGACGCTACATCCTCAGACAATCTAGCCGAGTTGGTGGCGGAGATCCAACAGATCGAAGGTGTGCTCATTATCAAGATCCCCGAACCACTCAACTTTGCCAATCTGGGAGCATTGCGGGGTCGCCTCAGCCGCATCGAGAAGTTTGGAAGCCTTCTGGTGCACCCATCTCAGCCGTCCGTGCGTGGCTTTGAAGATGGTGCAATCAAGTTTGTGATCTTTGACTGCAAGGGAATGACTAGCATCGACGCCTCGGCTACACAAACACTTTGCGAGATTGTTCGTAGATACAGCGAGGTGAACAATATCTGTGTTTCATTTGCCAGAGTTCCCACAAATTCCCAGGTCCGCAACAGGTTTCGGCAGCTGGGCATTGTGGGGATCGTCAACTCCAACTACGAGCGGTACGTGAAAGGCAGGTCCACACCCCAGCTCAACGGAGCCAACAGCTCCACATCTCTACGTACATACACTGTTGCCAAACGCCTAGGCAACGGATTTTTTCTCAGCATCGATGAGGCCCTCAAGGCTTTTGATATTGAGGGTGTCTAACCTTATTGGACTTGGCTGCAAAATGAAGGCATGACTTGTGTGTGCCTGGCCAATGTGCGCATTTGTAATGGAGCATATACTCTGTAGGGCCTGCAGACTCCACAGAGCGGGCCTGCCTGTGGGTGTTGCTCATACTTAACAGATGTTTTGCGCATCCAAAGCTTCAGCGAAAGCTACCTACATTCCTTTGACCTACTCGTCATGCTTAGAACCTATAGACAGATGTCGACGTCGCTAGCGCGCTCGTCCAACAAGTTTGCCTTTTACGATTTAGTCCTTAGGACCCCTACCCACCCCAGACAGCCTATCGAGGCCGTGTTGATGAAGCCCAGAGAGTTGGAGATGCTTAAGGGCAAGACGAAGACCACATTTGAGGGCAACTACGCTCTTGAGGATCTTTCCGCGGAAGAGAGAATCGCCAAAGTCTTTGGCGGTCGTATCAAGGGCGAAGAAAGACAAAGCTCCAGTCGTGTGAACGTGGGAGAGCCAAGAATCATTGCCGGCGTCACGGTTCCAGACAAGCCCAAAGAGCCCGATAATTGCTGCATGAGTGGCTGCATTAACTGTGTTTGGGAGTTGTACAACGACGATGTCAAGGACTGGAACGATAGAAGAGCGTTGGCCGCTGGCAAGCTCAAGGAGCAGGGTGGTTTATGGCCTGCGGATTTCTACCCACCTGTCAAGCTCTTGAATAAGGAGAATATCCCAGAAGAGTTGGCCAAGGCTTCTGACGCCGAAAAGGACTCCGCCGCTGAGGAGGCCTGGGGTGGTGTCCCAGTGGCCATCAGAGTGTTTGCACAGACAGAGAAGCGTTTGAAGGCCAAGAGGCGTCAACGGTCAGAGGCTGCCTAGACTAGGCATGTCCTCTCGCTACTTCGAAGCCCTACAATCCTCAGCCGACCAGGTACCTACAACCTGGCAGCCCAACACCCACCGTCTGCATCAGAGTAAAGACAGAGCCGATCATCGCTCCGCCATCTCTACATAATCTTTGCATCGTGTATCTTAATTTATTATCGGCATTTATCATCAAAGCTATTCATCCAAGTCAAGACCCTTCTCCTTGTAGAAAGTCTTAGCCTCGTCTATCTGCTGCAACAACTCCTTGTAGCTCTTCTCCTTGTCCTTGAAGGTGAGAACACCCCAGCCTAGCGTGGCCAAGGCGTAACTGCCGAAAGTGACCAAAGCCCACCATGGCAAGAATGGCAAGATCTCATTCTGCACCAACTCGCTGGTGGGAATGGTACCGGTGATCAAAGCGAAGTAGACTGCACCGGCAGCGAAAAATGCAAGGGCGGTCTCGGTGGCTTTAGTCATGACGATGGGATTAGTTCAATTGTCGAAGTCGCTCTACGTGGTTTTATCCAGGGCGAAATGTGTATGTACTGCAGGATGCGCTCTCGTTACTTTTGCAGCCATATCCACCATTACGGTACACAGTTAGGTCACAGTGAGTCTCCTATAAATTATTGTTTTGCGCTCAATTGCTTGCTGCCCTCGATCACCTGAAGAATTTGTATATCTTATTCATCGGCACGAATAGCCTCGTGTTTGATGAAACTGTCAAAGGACGCGAGTTTCTCTGCTGCTGGGCCATCTGCTTGCCTGATTCTGCTGAGAATAGATTCTTCCGTGACAGAAGCAGGATCCACTACATCCTCGTCCATGTCGTTGTCCTCGGCCTCGTTTGTGTGGTCCGCGCCATCCTCATCCTCTTCATCAACCTCCTCCTCATCCTCATCCATGTCCTCGTCATTTTCCTCTCCTTCTTTTTCCGTGTAATCTGCTTCCACAATTTCGTGTATCTTTTCACGCTCAATAGGAAGCTCTTTGTACAACCGACGTAGCTTGTACCTGACGATACGACGAATGGTCTCGATAATCTGCTTCTTGATCCAGCCTTCTTGCGAGTCCAAAGTGTCCCTCAAAAGCTCTCCGTGTGATTCAGCACGTTTAATTACAGACACAATATCGTCGTCCATTATATCACCGATCTGGTAGTTGATCGCTCCAGGTAGCTTCTTACCAGTGAACAACAAGTGCTCAGATACCATCACTTCCGAGTTTGGATCGTTCATTTTAATGGTGTTAGGGACCACCCGTACAGTTTCCTCGCTTTGATCGAATTTCGTACGAAGTCCTTGTAAACGGAAATATCCACTCTGGTAAACCCAGTAAGAGCTGCTGTCCTTGGGATTGACTCCAAGTCTCACGTTGCAAAATCTCCAGGGACCATTTTTGTAACAATAGGAAACATACGGAAGCGCCTCTTTCACAGCTGCCTTCAATGGCTCTGGAGTGACATCAACGAGCAGCTTTCTTAGCCAAATAGGCTTGATCTCAAAAAGCCTCCTGAGAAAATGAACGCAATCGAATAGCTTCTTGTCCGAATACTCTTGTGATAGATCTGCTGATACCATCCATTCGTATTTTTTGATAATCTCGGGTAGAGGTGCATCAGGGATCGAGTCGCTGTAGAAGTCAACAGTGTTGGTGAACAATTTCTTGGAATCTGACTTCATCACCACCTTGGCATTGCCTTCTTCGTCTCGTAGCGTTACTGTGTATGGACTCTTTTGATACCTGAAATCAAATGGGAACCGAATGCCGCTGAAATGTGGTGGTGGGATTAGTTGGTGGTCTTTGTTCTCGAATATCTCGGGGTTTTTGTAGTCGTCTGTCTTCGCGAGCTTATCCTGATAAAACTTTTTGTAGTCATCAAATTGGTTCAGTCTCAAAACTTGGTTATTGAAGTCTTGGGCCATCTTGTTGTTCTTCGTAGTCATCTGGAAGTCAGCTATGGCACGAAAGCTGTAGTTCTTGTTGATTATAGCGATTGGCTCTACCTTTGCATGATGACCATCATCATTCGATTGCCGTAAAAGGTCTCTGACGGGATATTTCTGTGGGTTCTCGTGATAGTCTTTAGGAAGACTTGATTTTGGGATGGATACCTTGAGCAAGACCTTTTCTCTCCTGTTAACCGAAGCCTGTACTGGATGATGAAAAGGATCATTTCGGAGCCTCAATTCCAAATTCTTGTCGTCGACAGCATGGCTGCTGGGCTGAATGGCTGTTGGTCTGTATTGTGAGTTGATGGCCTTCTGGATCCTCTGTTTTCCTCCTAGCATATGGACTGCTCTGTCTGTGTTTTTCACGTTGAAAGGCAATTCCACAGACGTGACATGGGGAATGTCCATGGAATGCTTCTTAGCATGATCTCTATTCGACATGTAAAAAATATAGCGTAGATGGTTTGATCAAAAGAATAATAAAAGCGTGTGTATGCGCGATCCAAAAAATGATGCCTTCAGCCAGATTCGAACTGACGATCTCCTCATTACTAGTGAGGTGCCTTACCAACTTGGCCATAAAGGCGGATTTTACTTGAGGCACCTGCAGGTAATATATATCGCGCACTTTTGATGTCCGGTACAAAAGTGCTTTTTGAGAGCTGGAAAGCTGCGAAATGCTTTATTGAAGGCATTAGAGTTTGTATAGTGAATTTTAGCTATATGCGGTCAAAATTGAGCGTGAAATCAAAGACCAAAAAAATATCTAAAATTTGAAGGCCGTTGAAGAGGCCTACCATTTCTGAAGCGACCTCAATTCAACGCAGTCAACGAAGTATTATTTCTGTTTCACTAAAGAGGAGCTTCAAAGGCAATAAAGGCAAATTGCTCGCTTGTAAGGTTGATCAGGCGTTGAATTATCAAAAAGCTGTTCATCTTGTAATTTCTCTTGCAAGAATCCCACAAAGTCCCGCCTCAGGAGCTTATGAATGGAACTGAACGTGAAATGATGATGTCATTGCAATTGTTCATGAGATCAAGTGGATGGTGTCTTTGGTTGAATTAGACACTCATTCTCAACGAAACAACAAGTATAACCAGGCTTCTCCTCTCCAGGTCAATTGAGTGAAGATCTATAATACTTATTGGGAAGAAGGCTAGGAGAAGTAGCAGTTTTACGAGGAGTTCTTAATGAATTTGCCTAACTAGACAACATCACTTCAATCGATGCCAGCATTGTCCATCTCCAGTCCATATCACTCTACTCCAAATTAAAACGAACAATAGCAGGGTTTCTCTGCAATTAACCTTCAAACCATAAACCCTACCTCCAGAAACAGTCAATTCCCAAGCGGCTCGATCCCTACTTGCTCAATTGCCCCAACCCAAGCTGGTGTATATGGCACGGCTACGTCAGCCCTATTTTAAGCCACCACGACCCCACAGCTAAAATCAAAGCTACACGCTCAATTCTAACGCCGAAAGCACACAACAATGCTGTGATTTTTCAGATCCACTCTCCATTCCGAAAAACCCGCAATTTCATGCCCTTCTGTCAACCCCAGATTATGGCTGCGAAAAGCCTCGAGCCACAGGCGTTCAATTGCACCAATCAGGGGAGAGAAAGAAAAGCAAATGAAGTCCGCCAATTCTTTAGAATTTTTCCAAACCTCCATCAACCCGCAATGCCAACAGACCCCCATAATGGCAGGATCGGTCGGCCTCGGAGAGGGCTGAAGGGCCTTGGAATCGTTCGCGCTGATTGGCCCGTATGTGCGGGTTCAAGCGGTTTTCACACTATCCCCACGACTATATAAGCGCGAGAAAATTCACCGGGCCGAGATCCACACCCCCAGACTCCCACTTCTTCGTAATGTTCAAGGTTTCTGCCAGATCTTTCTCTGCCTCCGCTTCCAACGCCTACAAGGTTGCCGTGCTCGGTGCCGGTGGTGGAATTGGCCAGCCATTGTCGCTTTTGATGAAGTTGAACCACAAGGTTACTGACTTGGCCCTTTACGACTTGAAGGGCGCCCCAGGTGTTGCTGCCGATGTTTCCCACGTCCCAACCAACTCCACCGTCAAGGGATACAACCCTGACTCTTTGGAGCAGGCCTTGTCTGGCTCTGACGTTATCGTCATCCCAGCTGGTGTCCCAAGAAAGCCAGGTATGACCAGAGACGACTTGTTCAACACCAACGCCTCCATTGTCAGAGACTTGGCCAAGGCTGCTGCTGACTACGCTCCAAACGCCTCCCTCTGTATCATCTCCAACCCAGTCAACTCCACCGTGCCAATTGTCGCTGAGGTGCTCAAATCTAAGGGTGTGTACAACCCCAAGAAGTTGTTCGGTGTCACCACCTTGGACGTCTTGAGAGCCTCCAGATTCGCCTCTGAGGTTGCCGGTACCAACCCTGTCAACGAGAAGATCACCGTTGTCGGCGGTCACTCTGGTGTCACCATTGTCCCATTGTTGTCTCAGACCAACCACAAGGGCTTGGACGCTGAGACCAGAGACGCCTTGGTCCACAGAATCCAGTTCGGTGGTGACGAGGTTGTCCAGGCCAAGGACGGTGCTGGTTCTGCCACTTTGTCCATGGCCCAGGCTGGTGCCAGATTTGCCGGCTCTGTGTTGGACGGTTTGGCCGGCGAGACCGACGTCGTCGAGCCATCTTTCGTCGACTCCCCATTGTTCAAGGACGAGGGTGTTGACTTCTTCTCCTCCAAGGTGACCTTGGGCCCAGATGGTGCTGAGAAGATCCACGGTTTGGGCGAGTTGTCCGACTACGAGGAGGGCTTGATCAAGAAGGCCAAGGAGACCTTGGTTGGCAACATCAAGAAGGGTGTTGACTTTGTCAAGCAGAACCCATAAGTGTTTGACGTGAGACGTTGCTAGTACGCTTTAAATAAAATGATCTAGACATGGATGTAGGCAGCCAAGGGTAGCTATCAGCATGGATGCAGCTTGTGCCAAGTGCAATGACCTCATGCAACGATTCAAGGGTATTGCCCCATTGGGCAATGACATAGAACGGACGAACGGAGGGTCCGGTCCAAATTCCACAACCACAGGCAATGGCCCGATTTCTCTGACAAAATTTGCCCCTAAGCCTCCGACGCGGTGTCCGGCATCATCCGACATGGCGGCTCAGGGGTCGAGCGTTTGAGATTTGCTGAGGAAACTTTAAAATACGAAAATAGCCGCGGGGTGCGGTGACGTCACCCACCCGTCAACAAGAAAACGCAAAATCAGAAACCCTTATGGAATATAGGTGATCCCACGCACCACCTCCTCCAACCTCACCTCGCCATTTCCACGCACAGCGGTGTAAGCGAGCAAGTGCATGGTTCTATGCATGGAGGAAAAAGGGCCCGGTGGGAAAAAAAAAAAAAAAAAATTGCGGTGTGGTGCACGGATGTTGCTTTTTGGAGGCTTGCTGCTCCCGGCGGAATGCGTGCCGAAACTTGTTGCTACCTGCTCGTAGTTAAGGCATGGCGGGGCGCCAAAAATAGACGGGGAGGCGGAGCGGTGGCGCTGCCCGGTCGCCAAAGTATTGTTATCGCGTCGCGGTGACAGGCGAGCTTCTTTTTTTGTCACCTGTGTGCAGGACACAGGACGCGTCCTTCGGCGCGCCCACATTATCGTTGGCGACGGCTCAGTAGACGAAAAGCAATTGCGGGCAGAAACGGCGGTTTAGTAGTACAATTCAAATTTCATGGTGTGGTGGCGTGGTGGTGGTGACGGTTTGCGCGGCGCGCGGCGCCGCAGCCACAAATAGCCCGCCTAGCCCGGCGCACACCCAGGATTCGCAGCCACTGGGCGCTGGAGATCCAGCTCGTTTGCCGGCGGTGGAATTCTCGTGGAAGAGCCGTGGCGGCGTTGGCAGCAGGCAGCGGAAAAACAGCACAAACGGTTTTCCCGAGAATCGCCCAGTATGTGAAGGTGCCGCCTTGGCCCACCCGATTCCGTAGCCCTAGCTCGTGTGGGCGGATCAGGTGCCATTTTTCAGCCGGCAGTGGTCGCCGTCTCCCACCAGTCCACCACTTCTTTTTATTTTTTGCTGTTTTTCCAATAGGCAAAAATTGCAATTTCAATCTTAATTTTTTTTTTCTTCATACCCCATTACCTCTTCCTCGTCTGCCTTGCTTGTGTCGCCCTGCGCTGTCTCAGCTCGCTTTTTTCTTCGTGCGTTTTTCTGGGCCGCTACCTCGCTTTTCCCCCTCCAACCAGCACGTCCTAGAGCCAAAGGGCTTCATCCTCCACCATCACAATCAGCCCAGGGGCCATGGAAAAGTTTCTCATGAGCTCTCCCTCCCAGCACCACCACCACCCCCCGCCCTACTACTCCCAAGACACGCTACCGGCGCTCCAAAACATCGACAATCCCGACGTGCAAAACCAGACCAACTCCCCGTCCGTGTACGACTTGGATTTCGCCGACCTCCCGCTGGACTTTTACGATCTGGCGTTGGACTTTGACTTGGAGGAGTCCGCCCACCGCCCGCTTCTGGCGCCTTTCCACGAGGAACCCGCCCGCAACAAGTCCCATGCTTTCCACCACTCCAGAAACATATCCTTGGATGACACCTACAGACGCTCCCACCAGCACCTGCTGCTGATCGTGTCCAACCTGGCCGACCCGCCGCTGGGCACCTTCTACCTGCTGCTGGCGAATCTCCAGCTTCTGGCCGACCTGGTGCCTCAGCTTCTGCTGCTGGTGCTGAACCCGCTGTTGCTTGATCTGCCTCATTCCGCCTTGCAGCCCACCGCCACCCCGGGCCGCCGCCACAAATCAACCTCTATCTCGTACACAACGCCTCTCCGTGGCGGCGTGCTGCCCTTGACCCACGCCAAAGTCGGCAAGACTCCGCTCAAGGGTCACCGGCGCTCGCGGCTGAAAGCCAGCTTGGAGCCGTCCCTGGCCCACCTTTTGGCCTCCGTGGCTAGCAACAAGAGCTACGACGCCTTGGCCAACTGCAACGTCAACTTGAACGAGCACAACCCGTTCCACAACGACTTTGTCTCGCCTCGCGTTGGTCTCGACGACTCCACGCCGCTAGCGACGCCAGCAGGCAAGACGCCCATGGGTTCTCAGTATTTCACGCCCATCTCGCACAATCAAAGCTTTGGCGGCCTGTTGCTCGATCTGGCGGGCCCCAGCCAGAGCCGTCCAGCGATGCTTCGTCGCAACGACACCTTGGACTCCATCAAGATCGAGGACCAGGAGGACGACGCATGTAAGCAGCTACGTAAAGCAAAGCTGTTCACGTCGTTTGGCGACCAGCTGAGGATGGCCCGCGTCGTCAACTCCCGTCTGGGCCACTCCTCCTCCCACGACTTATCCAACGTGTTTGACCTGACGCCCGAACTACTGGCTGACGGCTCGCCTCCAAAGTACAACAGCGAACAGCATCCGCACGATGCGTTCAAAAAATCTGCATCCATCGACTTGTTGCTGCCGGAGCTAGTCGCCTCCGATCGCATGACCGACACCAGCTTGAAGTCTTATCCAGCATCCATAGACCTTGCGTCTATCACCCAATCCAGCAGTAGTGCTAGCGCCTCTCACGGCCATGCTTCTCCGCTGCCTCCAGTGTCCTCGGGTCGCTTGATGCCCCGATCACCCACGTCCTGGCCAATATGCCGCTGGGCCTGAGGCCCACACACAACAATCATCGCCTGAACTTGTTGAACGCTGCTGCTAAGAAATTGTCCTCCAAGGTCTTGACAGGATACCCGACCGCGTCGCAAATTCAAAAGACCTCCACGACAGAGGACATTGCAAAATTCGCCGAAAGCATTCTCCAGCTGGACCTGAAAAGGCCCATCTACGTGCAGCAGGAGCAAAACGATGTCTACGACCCGAAGAAAAAGCATAAGTGTCCGCTTTGTCTCGCCAGATTTCAGCGGCCTGAGCATGTCAAGCGTCATTTGAAGAGCCACTCGACAGACAAGCCGTTCCAGTGTGACGAGCCCGATTGTGGGCGGCGCTTCAACAGGAAGGATAACCTCAAGGCGCATCTCAAGAAGATACACGGTAAGATTGTATAAGAAGAACGAGTCCAGGGGACTCTTTTTGGTCTATAGGCCATACTATGCATTTTAGGTATATACGTAGAGCCTAAGCGGCAGGATACTTTCTGACGACGGCGTCAACGGCACGGCAGAAGGCGTCCAAATTAGACAGATTGAGGCCGGCCACGTTGATACGGCCGTTGGCTGTGAGGTAGATGGAGTGTTCCAGGATCAATTTTTGAACCTGCAATGGCGTCAAGCCCGTGAAGCAGAACAAGCCGTTTTGCTGAACCACGTGGTCCCAGTTGCCTGGGGTCTGGAGCTTCTCGAGCTTCTCGACGATCTGGTGACGAACCTGCTTAATACGGTTGCAAACGTCGGCAACGTCGGTCTTCCACTGCTGCAGAATGGCAGGGTCGGTCTGAACTATAGTGGCAACTCTGGCGCCAAAGGCAGGAGCAAAAGAGATCTCGTGACGGGCAAGAGCAGTCAATTGCGAAGTGACATTGGCCACACTGTTCTTGTCGTTGACCACCACATGGAGACAGCCTGCTCTCTCTGCGTAGAGGCCCATGTTTTTCGAGAAACTCTGGCACACCATGAACTCGATGCCCGAGGCGTAGGCCTGTCTGATGGCCCAAGCGTCGGTGTCAACCGAGCCGCTGGCAAAACCCTGGTAGGCAATGTCAAACACAGGGAATAAGTCTCTTTCTTTAAGCAAGGTGATGATTTGCAGCCACTGGTCCTGCGTGTAGTCGCAACCGGTCGGGTTGTGGCAGACTGCCTGGAGGACAAAGACAGAACGTGCAGGAGCGGTATTGAGCGCCTCGATGGTGGATGCAAAATCCACTCCACGCGAAGCTTCGTCAAAGTACTTGTAGCTGTGGAAAACACCGCCAACGTGCTCGATCATGCCCTGGTAGTTACCCCAGGCAGGCACGCCCACGTAGAAGTCTTTGAGACCCGCGGATCTCAAAAAGGCAAAGGCAAAGTGCAAAGAGCCCAGGCCAGAGATGGCTTGGAGAGACACAACATTGTCGTGGTTTTCACCAAAGATGGTGCGCTGGGCCAGCTGGCGGAAGGCCGGAATACCCGTCATGTTCGTGTAGCAGTGGCCAGGGTCATTTTCGGCTAATTGCTTCTTTGCCTGCTCCACGCATGGAAATACATAGTGGGGGTTTCCCTTGTCACACTTGTAGACACCGATGGAGACGTCGATTTTGTCTGGGTTGGGGTCGGCAGCCGACGCCTCCATGAGCTGGGCGATTGGGTCTGGAGGCGAGTCGTCGAGATTTGCAAAATACGAAGAAACAGTCATTGTGATGGGGTGAAACAGGCGGAAAGCATCTCCGTTATATGGCCCCACTGGGGCGCTAAGGCAATTGGGATGGAGGCCGCGAACAACCGTGCGGTTCCGGAGGGGCAGCCCAGACCACAATTGGGGACTCACTGAGACTGGGTGTGGCACGACATGAAGCGAAGAAAATCTTCACAAATCTTGACGGCCTCGTCGTCCAGCGTAAATAATTCTTTGGCTTTTGCAGCCACGAACCCAGCGTTGTTCAAAACCGCTGCAGGCTTCTGCTCGCTTTCCGCAAGGCTTTTGTGAAGCTCCAGTAAAAACAGCGCAAACGGCCCCGCTACCGCACTGGCAAGTGCAGTGTCTGGCGCGAGTTTTGATCTGATGGTGCCGTGGGAGAAAAAAAGCGCCTGCGCCCGAAGCTGATCCAAGAGATCGGTTTCGGAGATGTGAGCGGGCGTTTCGAATAAAGCTGTTAGGATCAGTGGGCGGAGGGTTTTGTTTTCAAGCAAAACGATGCCTTCCTCTCGTTGCATGAGCGCCCGAAGCACGTTCAGTGCCGAGCAGAACTGCAACCACAATTCTGGATATTTTTCGGCGTTCTCTGCGAGAGCAAGTTTTTTCAAAAGCTTATTCAGGGTGACAGCCGCCTTGGGCACATATCCGGGATTGTCGCAAGCGGACTTCACTATGGGGTAAAACAGCTTCCAGTGTTTGAAAAGGAGCTCGCTCACCTCTGGCTGCAAAAGGTTCGCGAGACAGTGCACATATTGGCTCTGGATCATATCGTCCCACTTCCGAGTGATGAGACTAGTGATGAATCGCTCGAGCCCGACTCTTTCTTCTATCAATGCGGTGATTTTTGCCTGGTCCTCTTTGCTTTTCACGCAATTGCCCACATCGATGGCAGCTGCGGCAGTAGCAAAGTTGTCGCCATCTCCCACCACGTAGTCTATACTTTTCTCCACGTTCGCCCAATTGTCGTACGCGGGGCCCAGGAAAATGTTACCCTGGCCTCCGAAAAGCCTTCTTTTGTGCTGGCGTTCGAAGTCATCATCTGGTACCTTAGCGTATAAACCAGAAACGCTGTGAGCATCTGCCTTGCCGTATCGTGTCACTTTCTCGAAAACCATGACCCAGTAAAGGCAATGCTCATCTTCTAAATCACCATCAAACGCCTTTATCATCTTGTCGACCAATTGTTGAGCGCGTTGATCATATATAGCCATCTTGTTGTCTGGAATCTCCGATAGCAACTCCACGGCAGTCTCCTCAGCAGCACACTCTGGTTTCAAGACATAATCAATGATGGCGTCCCTAGCATTAATGAAAACTTCGCTGAACAGTGCACGGTAGGACTCTCCAACATTGTACATGTATTGGGCCATAAGGATCACCACCAACTCAGCTGCCGCAGCATCTTCGCCCATTAATACATTCCCTGCTTTTCTCCAGAATTCATCCTCAGCATACAAAGAGTACCTGTTGCCGTCGCTATCGGCGGTATAGTTCACAAGCACCTTAAGCACATCAACCGTGTAGTCGTCGAAGTAACGGAGTACTTGATCCAAGATACCATTTCCTTCGGGAGAGTCACGGATGTCTTTCTGACGAAGAGTGTCTCTTATCGCAACTAGGGTCTCAGCCACTTCGACTCCTTCTGTTAGTTTAGCGTTGAGCTCTTGTAGCAGCATGGTAGTTGATCAGATCGCGCGCCAGAGATGGAAGAGGTGAGAATATAGAGGGATCTTCTCTACTTGTAATTTTTTGATATTTTGTGATTGAAGCATTTTTGACAAGAACGGTTTTGAATCTTCTGCAATTGAAGCTTCCAAAGTGTTTGTGAGTTTTTGGGTGTAGCTCGAAGGTTTACCATTTTGCATCCATTAAGAGAATGCGTGTAGATTTCGAGAAGCAGTGGTGGTCTTCGGTGGATAAGCTACTAAGTCTATTTTTTTGTCAATCGAATAGTTGAAGCAATTGAAGGAAGCCAAAAAACAATTTCATGTTTATTTCATTTTTGAAGAAAAACTTCTCTACGAGCCCTAATGATGCCTGAATCAACAGGCAAGTTAAAGCATTCTATTTTTGAAACCTCAACTCTAAGATTACCCTAGAGTCAATACACGGAAGTTCCCTTCCGACGCGATTTGTTTACCCATTTTGAGGAAGCATTGTCTCAATGCAAGGTGAACTGTAAGTCAAAAGCTTATCAATCGATGCCTACACAATGCGTACTGTTCATGAATCATTAACTATATCATAAACTCTCAAAGAGTTTTTCGCCGCTCCGCATTCCAAGATAAACCTCACGTCAATACACATACTCAAACTGTAGAGCATGGGCAAAAGGTTTACCAAGTCTCTGTCGCTCTGGTCGTTGATCCAGCCTTCGATCATCACGGCATTGTGCTCGTGCAAAGCATAACTCACTGGGGAGTTGTCCAAGATGATCACGTTCTTGAGATCGTCGTCCTTCGGGAAGAACTTGGATAAATCCTTGATGTATCCGACGCCCTGTCTGTACGTGCAATCGTTACGGTAGTAGCGCTTGGTGAACACCTTGCTTGGCGGGTCTCGCTGGGCACCTTGGACCTTCTTGTAGTCGATCAAGTCCATTTCTAGCCAATCGATAATGGGATCAGCATACTCTTGCACGCTGGCAGTGAATATCTGAAGCTCAAACCACTTGCTCAACTCTTTGAGGAAAAAATCGCAGTAGGGTCTTTTATAAACATAGTATAGTGTGGAGACGTTGTTGACTTTCAACTCGATCATGTGGCACTGGCCGCCCGATCCACCGAGTGACCGGGAGCACCTCGCGAGAGGGAGTGAATAAGCGTCTCGTCTAGATCTAATATGAGCACCTTCTTCTTCTTTCTTTTGTCGGGATTTCGGGATAATGGGAATAGTCTGGGCGGGGTGGGATGAAGTACTTCGACAGGGAAGAGGGTGACTTGATGTGGTTGGCCATGATGCGCTCTTGCTTGAGCAACTCAATCTTCTCCCGCTGCTCCTCCTGGGAGGTCGGCGAGTTGTTGCTGAGAATTTGAGGATACTCCTGCTCGAAGAAGTAGGTGAATGGAAATGTTATTAGAAGCCACAAGAGCATGAGTGGGCGTATGATCAAGTTCTGGGGAGAAACAAAATGAGTGACCAGAGCTGCCGAAGAAATGAAGGCGCTGGCGGTTGTTTTGATGTGACGGGTTCATTTGATTCTGTGGATTCGGTTGTTTCTATGGTTTCGGGGGCTTCCTGCTCTGGATCCTTATGGACCTTGTCGTCGAGGGATTGTGCCTTTTCCGCCTCGAGCGGAGGCAGATAAAAGGGCTCAAATGATGCAACTAGCTTTTTGATGGAATTCATATCTGATTCATTGTATGGAAAGACGGGTGGCGCTGCTTTGGTGGAAGAGCAGAGTTGTGAATTGAGTTCCACGCCGGGAGGTCCAGAACGGGAGCAGCGATTCGCAGTGTATATAAGGTCACACAGAGAGTCGCCGAGGAAATAGCAAGGAAGAGGAGTGATGTTGGCTGGGATGGGGAGGATGAAATGGTAGAAGAAAAAATGGAGGTTTGAATCAGGTCCGCAGAAAATCGTGCCGCTTCCAGGCGTTGGGGTATTTATTGGGCCAGGTGGGTATGTGCGTCTTTTATCGCTTGCAGGCACACAGTGAAACTAAACGACTAGCATAGGCAAGCTTATGCGCCCATGCGGTGGCCTCACGTGCTGAACCTGCCAGATGGGGCCAAATTAGCAACTAATCCAAGGAAAGCGATTTGGGAGGGGCCAGATTTGGAAGAGTTTGGGAAAAATCGAAAAAATTTGGCCGTTTGGCTATGATCGCCGACGTTGACATTTTCCCCAGATTTGGGGCCCAACAACAGTAACGGTTGGGATTGCCTATACAGGCATTGGGGCGCCGTGACATTTGCAGCACTTCGTGACGTCTTGGGGTTCCAGAAAAAAAAAAATTGGGTCTAAAACCCACCAATTATGTCCGGATCCGACTGCACTTCGTTATCGGAGTTCATCTCCGACATCGTATTATTGATAAAGTTTTGGAAAACTGCCGTTATTGAAGTCCTGTCAACGTCTCTCTTTCCTAGTAGCGATTTGGTGAGCCTGCGGAAATTCACTATGCTGCCGGAGTTGCCGCCTTGGTCATCCAGCTCCTCACCATCACTGTTGTAGTCTGCGTCGTACTCAGTGTTGTTGTCTGTCGTTTGCTCGTCGATGATGAAGTTGCTGCTGAGGTTCGTTTGCATGAGCCGCATCGACGCAATACGATCATTGTCGCCGTCCAGCTCCTCTTCTGCGGAATTGTCGACACTCTCCTCCTCCGGCTTTATGAGCTTGAGCTGGTTGGTGTTGTAGCTTTGACAATACTTGCACTTGAGCCCAAGCACATGGTATTGACAACTTGACTTGCCTTTACAGTCGTTGCAGCTAATGATGCACCTCCACATGTTGTATGGGTGGGGAAGAGGCAGCTGACGAATTTCCTGATCGAGGATTCTGAATTGTGTTTCGACATTCACCACGGTCTTCTTGCAAACAGGGCACTTGTATGAATGTTTCACCATCTCGTCGTAGCACAGCTCGTGGATCAGGTGGCCACATTTCATGAAAACCACCTTGCTGACACTTGCAAAAAGATACTCGTTGCAGATGGGGCAGTTGCAATGGGTGGTATTGGTCACACACTTGTGATGTTCCTTCAAGTCGATGCTTAGGCAGATATTGCACTCGTCACAATGGAAGTAGTCTTTGCCAATTCCAAGGCCCAAACGGCAAATACCACATTTATCACAGTGGTAAATATCCTTGTTGGGGTCATTGTCGTACAACACACATTTGAGACAGAAGTAGTTTGCTAGTTCCTCTTCACAGTTGACACAGTATGCGGTGTCTGGAACCTGAGGAGCATTGCACTTCATGCAAAGAATATGTTTGACAGCGTTTCGTTGAAGCTTATGGTCCAGAACCTCTTGATCGTGGCAGAATCGGCAAGGGTACCATTTGAGACATGTGGGACATTCAAGTTTGCAATTTCTTTGGTAATGGCTGCAACCCAAAATGTTCTTCTCTTTATCAAACCAAGATGGCAATGTATCCTCTCTAGTCAAAACCACCTCATCATCGTCCACTTCCTCCATGCTCTCGTCCCCTGATTCTTCGTCATTCGTTAATGGTGGTTGCTCCTCGACCTCATGTTTGCACTCCTTGTCTTTCTCCTCCGGCAAGTGGAGTCCAGCCTGATTCCGCAATGAAAAGCCCTTTTCTTCCGAGAGCTTCTCGTTGATGTACTTGTAATAGTTGCCCATCATGAGACGCGTTACCAATTTGTTCTTGGACAGCTGACTGAGGTCGGCCAAATTTTGAATTTTCTGGATCTTGCTGCGGAGAAGATCCTCTTTGTAAAAGTCATCTATCGAATCCAAATGTGTGAGTGCCCTTGCCTCCTCAGGCGTGAGTTCATCCATATAGTCTAAGTCGCTCCCTGTCTGGGTATCATCCGAAAGCACAACACTGCCAGCACGCTTAAAAAGCCTATGGGCCTTGTTTCTATGTCTGTCTCGCCTGGGTCTGTGCGTTGGATCTAAAAGCCCATCAATTTCCTCTCCCTCAGGGGGCACTAGTTGGGTCAATAATGGTTGGTCACGGTTCACAATTTCACCTACACCTTCGGGCTCAAATGCCGTTTCCAGCTCCTTCTCGAGCTCTTCGTCGCCATCCACAGGAAGAGTAATGACCTCATGGATTAAATCCGTGAGTGGCTGTAGTCTATCAATAGCAGCTTGAAGGGATCGGCCGTTTCGCAAGTCTTGTAGGAAACTGTTCATCTGTATCTTTGTAGCCACGGCAGTTTTGACCGAGTTCATGCGCTCCGGGTCCTCCTCGGCGCCGTCCTTGCCCTTCAAGGAGTTCATGTATTGTGAAACATATTTGGAGACCTCGGATAGATCAAAGTAGGGTAGATCAAAAGACGGGAGCTGAGGTAGATTGCCAAAGCTGGGGAAGCCGGAGAAGTTCGGGAAGCCCTCTTTCAACGATGGCCATGACGGGATGCTCAAACGGCCGATCTGATCTAATTCTCCAGCCATGCCATCCTTGTCTGAGGAACTTGAGGAGTCATATCCAGACTTGGGGGTGGCCTTTGGGGATGAAATGGAGCCTCTTCTTGAAGGACCGTACTTTGAAGCACTGGAGGTGCTCCGTGCACGTGGACGAGGTTCCATTCGGTCCAGAAGGTGTATCATTATGGTTCTAAGAAGCACCTAGTGTTAAAGGATCTGAGGCGAATTACTATGTGCATCACGTGAAGATAGTCTACACTTTTGCGGCACAAGTGCCCCCGGAGCCGGATGCTAAATAACTCCGACAAGGACCCAACAATGAAGTAAAAAAATGACGGGGCCTAAAACGTAAAATACAATGGATAGGCGGCTTAGACGACAGGAAAAAAATATTGACACCCGCGAGGTTCGAACTCGCGCCTCCGAAGAGACCAGGAATGTATGGTAAGGTAACCTTACCCTGGCGCCTTAGACCACTCGGCCAGAGTGCCAATTGATGCAAGGTGTACCGTTGGAGTGAAATAAGAGGTGTGTAATTTGAAGAATGTCTAATAGGTTGATCAAAAGATTTAATAGTGTTGCTTAGGTCTATGGGAGTATTCTGGCAAAATTTGAGCGCTCTAGCTCAAAAATTGGGCGAGGTACGTGTGCTCGCAGCTTACACGAGGGAGATACAGTATAATTGATGCCATAATTCAATTCAGCCATCTAGAATTAGCCCAAAAATTTAGCTTTTCTTTCTCTTGTCTGTATTCTGTGCTCTGTCCAACGGAGCCCTGTTTTGCAGCCATTTAAGCGAGTCCTCCACAGAGTGCGACATCAAGAGCTCATCTACCTACTTCTATCATCATGTCTATACCTCCAATACAGCTACGAGATACGATAGAAAAAACTGCTGGATATGTTTTGAAAAATGGCAGCAGCTTTGAAGAAAGACTAATAAAGAATGACAAGGACGGGAAGTTCTCGTTTCTTAAACCTGGAAATGAGTATCATGAGTACTACAAGGCTCAGCTCAGCAAGACAGAAGCTCCAGCCAAAGAAGCCGAAGAGGAAAAAGTGGAAACTCAACCACTAGCCAAACCGAGAGATCTTCAATTTCTTACTGAGCTTCCACCTATTCTGGCTTTCGACCTTGAAGTTGTGAAACTCACTGCATTGTATGTTGCCTGCAACTCACAGAGACACATCGATAGTCTATATCGCTATATGGAGCAGAGAGGCAACCGAAGTCAATTTGCATTTTTAAGGCGCTCGCATTCGCTTCACGCTTTGTTCACGAGATTATTGAAACAGTATCAGACAGTCATCAACGTAGTGGAGAATCCTGACAAAAACACCCAGTCCAAGGAGCTTCATGAGAAGATTATGCTGGAAAACAACAATTTGTTTCAAAACGCTTACGATCGTGCTGTCTATGAGCAGCAGCATAAGATCGAGAGGAAAACAGAGGAGACAGAGAAGAAGAACAAACAGCTCCACTATGCATCTATCGATTGGCAGAATTTCACCCTCGTGGCTAAGGTCAATTTCGATGCTGTTGATGAGGTAAGCGAGCTTCCAATACCCTTATCTCGAGACGATATCGTCTATAGGTCTTTGCAAGCGAAGTCCAAGGAAATCGAGATACCTACTGCTAAACCAGAGGCACCTCAGCAACCAGAACCAGAAGCAAAACAAGAACCTGAACCCGAGGCAAAGCAACAGCCCAAAGTGCCTAAAGGTATGAAGATCAAGGCGGCAGGCGAATCGAGACTCAAACGTAAAAACAAAGAGTTCACGCCACGCTCGCAGCGGACCATCAAGTGTCCAATTACAGGAAAACAGATACCAGAGCAGGACTTTGACACACATTTACGAGTACTTCTTCGAGACCCTCGTTACGAGGAACAGAAGAGCAATTTCATGAAGAAGAACTTCACGTACGAGTCCAACTTGACGACCGACCAGGTTTATGAAAACATCAAGCGGTTGGTCAAGAAACGGAACTTGTCTGAAGAGGAGGAGGAAGAGCTGCAAAGGAAGCGGATAGACGTCAAATAGCCAATATATCTACACTGCAGTTCGAACAAGGTGATATTTATAGATACCAATTATAGTACGGGGGTGAACAGTACCGCTGTTCTTAAGCCTTCAAAGAGGAAGCTCTTCTCTTCTTGATTTCGGCTCTCTCAGCCTTACGCTCGTGCAAACGCTGGGCCAACAACTGAGCGTACTCAGCGGCAGCGTCTCTCTGCTGTCTAGCATTGTTGATCTTCTTGGCCTTCAAAGCTCTCTTTCTCTGCAAAGTCTGAGGAGTGACCAATCTCTGGATCTTTGGAGCCTTGGTGAAGGTCTTGCCGTTCTTCTCGACGGTTCTTCTGACAACGTAGTCTCTGACGTCGTCCTCCTTGGTCAAACCGAAGAACTTTCTGATGTGGTTGGCTCTCTTAGGACCCAATCTCTTTGGGGTGGTGGTGTCGGTCAAACCCTCAATGTCCTGCTCACCCTGCTTGACGATAGCAAGAGCAAGGACGGACAAGTCCTGGTTGACAATGCAGCCTCTGACGGACTTTCTCTTTCTCTCACCAGATCTTCTTGGTCTGTAACAAGAGTGGCCCTCAGACAACAACAATCTGACTCTGGTTGGGTGCAAGACACCCTGCTTCATGGGGAAACCCTGCTTGTCGTTACCACCGGTGATCTTGAAGATGTAACCCTTGAACTCGTCGCTCACAAGGTCACCCTCAACCTCCTGGCCCATACGCTTCTCGTAGAAGGCACGCAACTTGTGCTCGTCATCAATGTCGATACTCTTCTGGGTACCGTTGGCTGGGTAGGAAATGTTTAACTGGATGTTAGTACATGGGGTTTACAACAGGGAATAACTCGACGGTCCGTGGACACTTTGTGGTGATTTTGACATGGATCGATTCGTTGGACGTCGTTCTGCTTCATGGCAGTGGTGGCAGTTAATTGGGGAACATACCTTCATGTTGAACTTGTTAGCCTAGATGGAGATGGAAGAAAAAATTTTAAGCGGGCCTGGTGAAAATTGAATTTTTTTTTCTCCCCCAGCTGCGCAGTAGTGTGGGTGGGCCTTACTGCGAATTTGGCGCCTTGTGTGCAGGCCCCACTATGAAGACTGTCCATAGTACGAGTTCTCGCTACTCGAGCGCGTCACGTGGGGAGAGTTTTCTCTAGGGCTGAAGCCCTGAAGTTAATACGTCGTACGACCGTGGCCACCCACTACAAACCGGCAGTAAGATAAATATTTTGACTAGTCTTCCGAGAATAAAGAATAGAAAGGTGATTTGAGATTGGCTGCTACAAGCAGGTTGTAGGCTCATGTTGTGTCTTGTGATAGAAAGATGCAAGTGAGGAGTCTACTTTACTGAAATTAGTAGCTAGATCAGCAAATGGATTTGAAAAGCTAATACATCAATTCTTAAGTACTATAAAAATTTATTAAAAGTCAATCATTCAAGTATCTATACTCATTCTTTGGAAATATGCTAGACAGCATTGGCTAAGAAATGGCTGCGAAATGATGCACCATGGACCCTGAGGTGAATAATATCAATCGGCTGAGATAAGGACGTACCCAAAACTATAAATCATCTCTTTGAAACCCTACATACACTTCTCTAAAATACATGCTTGTCATAATATACATCTGCAGCGAATCCTCTGCCACTCTATTACCCCATGTCCATGCCACTGTCTGAGCTCTTCAGTCTAATCCTTCTTGAAAAACTGGCCGCTCATATAGAGCTCCAGATTTTGCGGCAGCGTATTGGATGTGCTCAGCAGCTGCTGTTGCGGCGGGGGTTGGTTATTCTGTCCGGACAGATTCTCGTCAGGCGGGGCATGGAACCCTCGTTGACCTGAACCAGAACCGTTTCCACTTCCGGTACCGCCAACTGCCAGCAGAAGCGACCCTCGTGCGTTCACAAACATCGGGTTTCCTGTCATCGGCGTAGTTCCACTGCCCAGCGGTACCATTCCTACAAAGTAATGCGGCATGTTTTGAGGGAAGGAGGTCATGCCCAGGGGCCATTCTTGCAGGGGGTACAAATTGGACGGCGACGGGAAAATATCGTTAACATAGCGGGACGGGAGCGCCAGCATGGGCGTTTGTTCTGGGTTGGCGAATTGCGGTGGGAAAGATGGTTTGTACTTTTGGGAATCGTCGTTGTCGTGGTGGCCCTCTTCGGTTCCGTTATTTTCGTTATTTCCCGAACCAGACTGCCCCATATATTGCTGGTTGAATACCTGGTTAAGCACCGGCGTAGGAAGAATGGCCGGCTGATACCCACCAGGCGAAGCCTGAGGCATCGAGTGGAAAAACGGAACACCAGAATTTCGAGGAAGTTGTGGCGCCATTGCGCTTGACGGACTCAGTGTCTGTGATTTGCTTATAGTAGGTACGGGGAGCTGGGGCGTTTTAGCGGGCATGCCCTTCAACTTGGAGTAGCCGTCGGAACGACCGACCAGCTGCCCGTCGTGATCGTCAATACCTTGCTTTTTATCTGTTGTTTCCAACGCGGTAATTGTCTTTGCGGAGTCATTGCTGCTGGAGTTCTTAGCGTCCGAAGGAATCTGAACCCTTAGAACCGGCCGCTGCAGCAGTTTCTCCTTTTGAGGCTCAGAAAACTGCGGGATCCGTGACCCCACCAGTGGTTTTGAATTGTACATGGAAGAAGGCGTCGATTGGCGGGACGGAGCATTAGGCTTGTGTCTCTTTGGTTCTGGAGACTCGGAGTCGTAGTCTGAGTCAGCATCGTCCACGGGCACATCGTGGAGCTCGTCTTTCGGCAGAAGAATAGGCCGCTCGTGAACATGGGCCTTTTTCTTGTAATTGCCGTAGTTTTCCGGCAGCTTCTGCTCGTGGATATCGCATCTCTGGTAGCTCTTGATGAGCTCCGGGGTGTCGACGGAGGAGAACTCGTATATCTTGTTGTTGTTGCCGACAATGATGACGGCAAGGTCGACCTGGCAAAGCACGGCCAACTCGTGGGCCTTTTTGAAAAGACCGGCCTTCCGCTTGACGAAAGTGACGGTTCTGTTGCGGTCGTCCGTCAAGGGCTCGATTGCGATTTTTCTTCTACCCATTGTGTCGGATGACAGGAATTGGGAATAATTGAGGTGAGTTTGCTAAGCGATTTGCAGCCGGGCTGGCGGGCGGTTTTTGTGGTGGGAGATAAGGCGCCGTTGGGAGATCGAAGCGGCTACTTATAAATAGAAGCGAACAGGCGATGGAGCTTGTATGAATTGGCATCCGCACAGAACAAATGCGCACTGTCATACACTCCAGGGACTCAGGGCTCCAGGGCAGAGGGGGTGGGAAGACGGAAGTAAAACGAAGGAGGAAGAGGAAAAAAAGCAGATGAAGAAAAGGCCGGGGACTCGGTGCCTTTTATATTTGAGAATTGGGAAATGTCGTACAACTGTTCAGATTTTGTGTACCCAGGGAGACGTTTGGGTGAGGGAGGCTGCAGCTGAGACATATCACGAGCCCCACCGTGGACTGACATAGTGTACATTTACGCCGTCGTGCCTGGACATTATTTTCTGCTAGGAAGCTTAAACACTGTGACTTTAGAAATGTAGTATTTTTTTTTGAAGCTGTCCCTGACGCTAGGTCTTGTTAAACAATGGTGCACAGGGGCTCCTGGCCAATTGTTCCAAAACCTGAGAGTCTGAAAAAAATGGCTCCATGGATTTTGCGGCTGGGGCTGAGTGGTGGAGTTATCGCTGAAAAAGTCAAATTTTTTTGGTGCCGTTTGGTCCAGACTCGGCAAGGCTGGCGTTGAAGAAAAACCTGCAAAGGTGCAGCAAATAGACTAGGCAGAAACGCAGATTTGGCCAATCGGAGTGGCGGAGGCGGTTTACAGAGGAAAACACGAAAAGTGGTGGATGCGGCGTGGGTGCAAAACCCGTGAGGTGAGCCCCAGCGGGGCTGAATAACGGCGCTGCGGCGAAAGAAAAGCTGATGGAGAGACAGTCGATTTTGAGAAATGGGTTTTTATTTGCGGAATTGAATTGACAGAGTGCTGGAATTCATAAACTTGTGAAGGCTTAGAAGGAATAAGGTTGACGGAATTGGCTGGCTTGGCATCAGCACGGCTTGTGGAGGCGGAGCTGTCAAAGCTGCGTATGCGAATTAACGATCTCCAGCCTTACAGATGGGTAGTGAAATTCGGAGTTTTCTGAGAAAGGTAGGCGCTGTAGTTGGGAAGTTCGTCTAATGATAGGGAGGTATTTTTAGAGATACGGCTTGGAGAGGGAAGATGCGGAGAGAAATTGTCAAAAATACCCTAGAAAGTGGTATTGGGGAGAGATGCTATAGATGGCTACGTGAACAGCCTCGATAAGTGCCGCAGAGAGGATAGTGCACTTGAATAGTAACGTTACATTGATTAACCAAAATTGGCAAGCGGACTCGGTAAAATTCAGTTGGAGAGCTCTCATTTTCAGTACGTGAATAACCTACTCTTCAAGAAAAGGCCAGTATAGCTGACAGCTCCTACACTTGTACTTCGTAATGCTCGAATTACCTTGTGCAGCGAGCTCTATGTATCAAACCTTCCTTTAAAGCACTGGAGGCGGAGCATGGTTGAAGGTGGAAATTTTAGCTATTTAAAAGAAAATCATTGAAAGCGTGGGACGAATGACCCAAATGGCTGTACTTGCCAATTGAGACATAACCCCAAAAGTATTCATAGATAAGCAATTCGTTCTACCATCTTCTCCTGACCCGAGTGACAGCAGATCCCCAATGAAAGAACTCATTGAAAAATGCAAAAGACGTCTAAAGAAGAGCAAAGACTCGGGTCCTCTAAAACTAGACACTGTTCTTGTCTTTAAGATCTTGGGTACAAGCGTTAAGCAAATGGCAAGGGAACTCAGCACTGTAAGGGATTACGAGTGTTATACATTCCAGGAGGATTGCTTTACAATCAACGACCACTTTTTCAAAGTCACAGAGCTACATTTTTTGGTAACCGAAGAACAAAACTTTCTTGAAGACCCCAGGGTTCTCGAGGACGCCCGTCTGCTGACCGGGGTGACATCATTCGGTTCGGGCCCAGACCTTGAAAGAAGAGTGGTGGTTTTCGAAGTTTGTCACACTTTAGTCACATATGAGTGGTCAGCTTATGAGATGCCCATGCCTACGATTGGTGGCTGCTTCTTGGTAACGGGAGATCATAGAAAACTCATTCAGGGCCCAAAGTTCCCAATGTCGCATCTGCTTTATGGAGTTGGGTCAGAGTTCCCAGCGGTCTCGAGTCACAGAATTTATGATGATGTCTCGATCAGTCTCAAAGCTGACTTTGTCAAACCATCTTGGTTCATTCAAAGAGAGTACCACCGCATTGTGACGCCTGGCATGTCTGTTCCGGAGATCCTTCCTTTACAAATTGATATAAGTGGTGTGACAGATATAAAGGATGTGTCACTGGAACCTATCCTCGTATCCGAAATAAGCATTCAGTTGGAGGAATTCACTAGCGTATGGAGAGATGGAAAATTCTTCAAAGACGTCCGCTCAAAGACCTTGCTTGAAAACAAATCCACTGGTCTTGTTTACGATTTTGGATCAACATTCGTCATTCCACCCAAGCTGTACAATTGTAAGCTTCCAGAGGTGGGGCCGAGTTTCTTCTCCCAAAGCTTTACGAGAAGCTATGGCTTGAGATTAAAAATCACCTTATTCAACGAAAGCCTTTCAGAAGTAAAGTTATCCACATTTTTAGAGTTGAATATGGCGAGAGTGAAATACGAGCGTCTCAAAGAAAGTGATATTCACGACGACGAACGCTACCTTGGGGAGGAGCGTGATGTACAAAGAAATCATTTGATGAATCATCATACTACCAAAATGGGCATAGACGGTTTTTTTAAACTGTTCATATACAAAACAAAACGTTCACACTGGGCCGGATATCTGTTCCGATCGTGGCAACACGGCAACAAGAGGGTATTGTTCGCAAGTATGGAGGCCACCAAACCATCTGAGCCAAAACAACCAAGTTATTATGAACTCGGAATACGCACCAAAGATATTCCCAAAACCTTGAAAAAACCGAGAGGCGAGTGTTTCGACGTACACGTTAAAGCAAAGGTGATCGACAAGCCAATTCACGGTGGAACTTGCTCAGCTATCCAGAAGCCATATCTCACTGCGTGTGTCATGAGGGGCAAGAAAGTGGTTGGTAACCTCGTGAATGAAAGGTATGGGCATTATAGACGAGCCATACCTGATTCGTCTTTTTCGATAGGGGATAAACTGTTGCCATTAACAATTCGTCTTACTCGATGTGAAAGTGAGCGCTACGAAAGGCAAAACAGATGGGATGATTTATTACTCTTGACTCCTGGACTGAAATTTTGTGAGTTTTTCAACCTTACTCTCATGTTACCTAGGAGCTTCGAGGAGGCCAATTTAGAGAGCCCGATGGAGAATTTCAAAATCTAGCTTGAGCATATTGAGATAAACATAATAGTGGAGTATAAGGTGTACCCTCATGATCACATAAAGAGGCTTGTTATCAACAAAGATCTCAACGACATCAAAGGTTGTACATTCTGGTGGAGCGAATTTATTGATGAAGTTCCGGGAAGTCCGCAAGTTCGTGCCCTAACGTTGCCTTCGGAAGTCCTTGATGGTTTGGTACCGCCATATTTTGGACTTAGCAGGTCTCAGAGTGCCTCCTTGAGTGGTAGATTACTGTTTTCGACGCTCAATCGCAACTATGCTTACACCTAGCAGAACAATATAATGATTGCCCAACTTTGCAGTGATTCTTCGTAATGTTCGAGAGCCAATAAACCTGTTATTGACCTTTTGTCTTCATACGGGGCATCCTTCCCTTGTCCATGATGACCCAGAGGTTCCAGAAGTGATGCCTCGGGCTAATTGTCATAATGGCGAAATAGTGGACACGAGCTAGAATGATAAAAAAGTATATTTCCGTATCATATTGGCAACGTGAACTGGTGTTTTCCATTAAACAAAAGCAGGGATCACCAGCTATGGATATAGAGGTACTAGAGTCGAGGCAGGATAGGGATTTTTGGCATAGGGTGATGAGCTGTACGTGTTGCACTACTAAGAGGCATTTGTATATAGACTATCTTCATGAAGTACAATGTATGTTTAAGAAGCTGACTGAGTAAGCCAGATCCGACTGGACAGCAGTTAGCCTTCTTGATTTCAATATTATCAATCACGACACACTGGCCATAATGACCCATGAAGATATCTCGTTTCTCTTCCAGGCGACAGAAACAGTCCTATTTTTTGAGAGGTTGAGTGGAGGCATTTAGTGGGTACTGTAGAATGTGCCGTGAGGCACCTCATGGTACGGTTGCAAAATCGACACTTCCTCACTAATTCACAAACACACTCCACCACAACTTCTTTTCCGTAATCCGATTACTGACAAGTTCTGAATTGTGGAACAGTGACTTCAATCGATCTATTCAATTAACGAAACAAACAGCGAAGAAAAATGAGGTACACGTTAGGGGGTCTTTTGTTGGGGTTGAGTCTCGTGGGGATTTCAGCTCCCAAGGAGTTCATTTTTGACTCTTCCTTGTATACCAATCGAAGCCATCTTCCCGATAACCAAATTCCCTTCAATATCGGCCGTTATATCCCAAAAAGCGAGGAACAGCAAGGTCGTGAGGCGAAGATACTCGTCTATCCGAAAGGTCTCACTAATGACGTCCTGAGACACCTCTGGTCCGAAGGTGAGAGGCTTAGACGTAGCACTTTTAACCTCAACCTTTGTATGCCAGGTACGATGAAAAAATGGATGGATTATTCAGCCAGGGTTGAGAGCTATTTACAGCAGCAGCTGTCATCCACAGGAGGAGAGCTTTCAACGAAAGACACCACTGAATTTGAGATACTCAAAAAAAATTACTTGCCTCCTGAAAATAGACGACTCTACCAATTGGGTTGCCAGGAGACCCTTGATTACCTCAAGGAGCAGTATGAGGAGGGCCGGTTCTATGAATTATTATGGTGGGGTTTATTAACATTAGCGGTAGTCTCAGTTGCTGGAATATATGAAGGCGATGAAGTACTCTTAAAAGCTTTGGCTCTCACATGCTTTCTTACAGTTGTTGGTTCAGCCTGTGCTGCCGTTTGGCTCGCCTTCTCACCAGCCGAAATGTATTCGCCAATGTGGATAATACCAAGAGTGTTGGCCAGAATGACTGTGCCATTCATTGCAGGTACCTTATTTGCATGCTATCTATTAAGGAAATTACCCAGGAGGTGAAATTGAGTGGGATTAAATGATCTTGAAGTTAATTGATTGGTTTTGTTTGATGTATTTGTTCTGAGGTGTAGTGAGATCGTTCATCTTAGAGTCCTAGAACCGGGGGGGCATTTTCAGCAAGCCCTTATCGTATTTTTGCTGTGAACGCACTCGAAACGCTTTTTTTTAAAATAATTCGTAAAACTACATTTACGGCATTGACCTGGGGATCAGCCTCGCTTACAAAAATGGCTGCGAAATTTGAAAGCATCAGCAGTTACTTAATGATATGGAGGCCGAAAAAAAATAAACCACTTTTCATATCTTTAGCCGGAATTTCAATATTTCTGATGAGTCAAAGGTCACTTCTAGCGGGCCCTCCGAAACGCAGACAATTCACGGTTTTTTGGTCCAGATCCTCCATCGTGGCACCTGTCCATATCGGACCTCACAATGAGCTCCAACGAAACTCTAAACAACAAATGATTCACGACTATAAACAAAGCTTTCTTCAAAATAGAAAGACACTGTTTGCTTCTCCAAAAGTAAATCACCAAAAAAACCCACCTCTGTCAATCCATTACCATCGAATCGAAGCGTTGGGTAGGCCGCGCCTGCACACAAGGTGAGCGTCAAATAACACGCTTTACCCACACCACCCACTCAAACCACCAACCCTACAGCATTTCTGGATATCCACTACGGCGAGTTTGCCCAAAAACCCCGTGATGAGCTCCAGAAGAAGAATCAATAAGGCCAGGCTGGCGGCACGTGCCAACCAGCCCTTGGTGGACTTGGACGCCTTGGCCTCCAATGTTAGACCCTCTGATTCGCCGGCTCCACCCACTGACACGTCGGACCAGCCGGCTCCAGGACCCCCTCCCAGAAGGGCTAGACCTCCACAGTCACAGAATCTAGAAAGTTCGGTTTCGGAAAGCAAATCTACCGAAGGTCCACCTCCTCGTAGAGGAGCCGTGAAACCGCCAACGAGTGCCATCGACCAGCCTCAGCCTGTGCTAGGCGAATCGGAGCACATTGAGCACAGCGATAACAGGAGCGAGTTGTCGTGGGGCCATTCGCCCGAATGGCAGCGTCGTGAAGCTCAGAATCAGGAGCAGAATGAAGAAAAGCTGAAGCAGCAGGCGGAAGATACCCCCCAGGACTGGAAGCTGAACCAGCCATCGTGGCAGCAAGACCACGATCAGCAGAACCAATATCACCAGCAGCTGTCTGCCGACGACCAGCAACAAGAGCATGTCCAGGAGGACCACTCCTCGCTCCCGCGGGGCAACCCTCCATTCGATGTGCCCTGGGACGAGAACCAAAACACAGGCTTGAACCAGCATCAGCCACCTCAGCATGAAAACTTCAGCCATCACGGCTCTTTGCCCTTGCCGCCAGATGAAGATATTCAGGACGATGATGGCTCCGGGTGGGACGCATACACGAATATTGAGCTTGAGGAGAGCCAGCAGCTACAGGCAGCTCAGGCGGAACAAGAGCACGGAGGCAAGGCCCAAAATGCTTACGAATCTCAGGATCAGCAATATTGGCAGCACGAAGCAGCCCACCAAGACAACTGGGATCAAGCAGGCGAAACTCAGGCCCCTGAAGAGGCCAACGAGAAAGACCCCTGGGACCAGGACGACGATCTTGGGGAGGATCCATGGGACCAGGACGTGAATTTGGATGCTGAACAGAATGATGCATGGGATCAAGAGGGAGGACAAATTCCTCATGAAGAGCAGCATGATCAATGGGATCAAGAGGCAGAGCAGCCGGCTCACGAAGAGCAGCATAAGCCATGGAACCAAGAAGCAGAGCAACATCCTCATCAGGAACAGCACGACGCCTGGGACCAAGAAGCAGCCCCAGAACATGCTAACGAGGCTCAATGGGAGGGCTACAATGAACCCGTGGATAATGCATGGGACCCCGAAGCTGCGAATGAAAGCGAGAAACAAGCTCCGTGGGACTACGGGGCTCACACCGACAATGCGTGGAATCCAAATGGCGAGCCCGAGGCTCCCGAAGATCCTTGGGATGACAATGCTGCAAATGAGGCAAACGAAGACCCTTGGGACCAGCAGACTCCATACGATGGAGAGATCGAGGAAGATGTCAGAGCGGGCTTTGATCAAGAGAGAACCGACGAGAATGTCAACTCCGAACAACAGCCCGATCAGCACTTCCAGCATGAGGAACTTCGCCAAAACTTTGAAGAAGAACCTCTTCCTTGGGACAGTAATCAAGCAGACGAACCCGATGAATACCCATTTGAGCATGAGCAACAGGCACCATTAGAAGCTCAGTCCGAGGAGCCATTTAATCATGATCACTTCCAGTCTGAAAGTAACCATGAGGCTCCACAACACGGGTACGATTCTCACGCTGGCAATGTTGCCGAGCGTGACTCACAGTTTTTCGACGACCTTGCTCCACAACCTGCTACCCAGGAGAAGCAAGAACAACCGCAAGACTTTTGGAATAATGGCGAGTCCAATCAACCTCAATCAGAAGAACAACCACAAAAGGATGAGACCGGTCTTGATAGCATGTTGGGCGACGACGACTTCCTCGGTGAAAGCGAATCGCCTGACCCACAACCTTTAGACGAGCCACAGCACGCTCATTACGATACAGTCATTCACCACGGTGTCGAACAAACACAGGAAGCAGATGAGAGTCTGAATAATAAACTGAGGGCATTGGAAATGCTCGACATGGATGAAGATTTGCTTTTAGACGAAGAGTTCCTTGAAGATGAGGAGCAAATCACCCAGCCTAATCAAACTCATGTGCAGCAGCCTCCTCAGCAGGTCACTCAACCAGCACAGCAGGCAGCTCCACAGGCTGTAGCGCAGACACCAAAGCAGTCTTCAAAGTATGCTCCAACGCTGAAATACGCCCCTACGGCAGCTCCTACGCCTGGCGGAAACCCATATGCACCAAAGGATGTTGAGCAGCCAAAACCCGGCCTTGTTACTGCAGTTAAACCATCAGGACCAACCATTGAGCCTAGAAAGCCTGCAGTGGCCGCAGCTCCTCATGCACCAACGATACCCAAGCCTGACGACAAGATCAAAGAACAGCTCAATGCTGCAAAGAAAAAGAATGATGCGTACGATTTTCCAATGGGTTTGGTTAAACCTCCTACAAGGGCTCCTAGAGCTGCAGCCAAGCTGAATCCATCTTCAGTAACGTCCCCATCGGTGAATCAAGCAGGTATGGCTCCGCCTGGAAACGAAAGAGTTTCATCAATCACCTCGCCAAACGTCACGTCTTCTAGTTTGAGTCCTGCTGCTCCTCCAGTGAAGAAAAATTTCTTCGAGGAGTATCCACCCAATGCAATTAAGCCTTCCTCGAGGCCCGGAAGAGCTGCTGCTTCATCTTATACCCCTCAACCAAACAACGACGACCCCAACTCGTCTTTGAAACATGCACCCAGTCCATCCGTTAGTCATGCATTACCCGCTAAATCACCAAAGAATCCTTATGCCGCATTGCAGCCTAAGAACTCGCAGACAGTGGCACAACTCCCCCAGCCTGTTATAGGAAACGTTCCCCTGGCCCCAATAAGTACCAGCCAAACACGCAGGCTCCACCGGGAATGTCTCCACAGATTAATACTGCTCCTATTGGAAGGCCTCCACAGGGAGGTTTTGTTCCTCCTCCTCAAGGCCAACCAGGTGTACCTCCACAGGGTCACTTGCCTCAACCGGCGGCGCCCCCTCAAAATCATGGTGCCCAGCCATTCCCCAATCTAGGTGTCAGACCACAGGAGCCTACCCAAGTCCAGAAGTCTCCAAGAATGAGTGTCAACACCTCTATGCAAGGAAAGTACGCTGAAAAGGGAACCTCAATGAGCCCATATGTTCCGGTTTCAGGACCCTATGCGCCCGGCGCCAGAGGCCACTCGCGGACTAGCTCAATTGTTGGTGGCAAGGCCAAGGAAGGAAACCCATATGCTCCGGTGCAAGGTGGCCCACCCCCCACTCAACAGCACGCCAAGGGTGCTGTACTTCCACCAGGTTTCCACGGAACCAGGGCAAGAGGTGCTTCTTTGAACAGGAAATCAAACCCAAAGGTGCAGAATCCAGCTGCCTTGTTGGAGAGACAGTTTCCAATCTTTCATTGGAACAGCTCTCAAAATGTGGCTTTCATGATTCCTCATCAGCCAGTGAGCTCCTTCGATCCATTGATTAGAAAAATCCAGGTTGAGAAGGTTTCTGATGTTGCAAGCAAACACAACCTTTATAATGACTTCCCTGGACCATTGGTGAAGGGCAAGGTCAAGAAGAAGGATATGGAACTTTGGTTGCAAAAGGTGATAACATCTACTGAGGCTGAGAATCCGGCTTCCGATGAAGTGGTCCTCGCCAAGATTCTTCTTTTGCTTGTAAAGTTCGACGGAAACTTCCGAAACGAAGAGTTGTTGTTGGAGATTGCCAAGGTGCTCACTCCTAACGTCGACTACAACCAGGAGACGCCTGCTGCTTCTATGTCTGTTGGAGGACAAGCCATTTCTGCCAACGCCTATAAGCTTGATAATCAAGGCATTAACAGTGTCTGGAGTTTAATTCAGACCGGTAAGACAGAAGAGGCATTGTCCATCGCAATGTCGAAGGGTGATTGGGCGCTTTCGTTCATCATTGCTTCCTCCATTGGCCAGGAGAGATTTGCAAAGGTCGCCTCGGATTACGCTAGAATTTCATTCCCATTCCAAAAGGGTCTGATCGCCAAGGTGCAACATCTCATGCCAATTCTTATGAAGATCTTTGTTGGAAACTCCGCTGGTGTGATCAGCGATTTTGAGAACGTCGCCAGCGAAGGTGAATTCGCAAGGATGTATTACAAGGAAATCCTCGCCGCTGCCATTGTCAACAATTGCAACACCAACTTCTTAGTGGACTTTGGTAACTTCTTATCAAACTCTGGCATGACCACTGCTAGCGAGCTTTGCTTCATTATTGGAGGATTAGTAATGACTCCTTCTCCACTCACAAACGGTGCTTCATTCCAAGCTGTTGGTGTTTTTACACTGACCTCAGTCTACTCTGAAATTTACGAGTACATTTTGCTGGTTTCGCCAGCAACACTGAACACAATGCCCCAACAGGCTTACCTCACTTGCTTCTGTTCAAGTTGAGACGTGCCCAGACTCTTGCTGACTTCGGCTGCTTTACTGAAGCAAGAAGATATTGTGATTTGATCGGCAGTACTATGAGGACTCTTGGTAAATCGCCATACGTAAGTCCAGGGTTGACTCACGAATTTCAGGAGTTGCTTATCAGGTTATCTAACTCTGGAGCTACTGATTCAAGTTGGCTTGGTGCCAAGTTGAGGAGCAGAGTGAACATGGACAAAATGTGGGGACATCTTGACAAAATTATTGGAGGTGAAGATTCAACACCCAAGCCGCAAGACACTGGCGTTTTCCGCAATTACAGTCCTTCGCTTTCTCGCAATGCTTCCACCCTAGACGTTACTCAACACTTGCCAAATGGAACTCAAATACGCCCGATTTGAACAGAACAGCATCACTCGCATCAGCACCAGCTGGACACACAGACTTCAGTCCGGTTCAGCCACAATCTCGTGCAAGCACACTGAGATATGCGCCAGGCGGCTCAGGGAGTTACAAGAAGGCACCTTCCTTGCTGGGCCAGTCAAGTTTCCCGCTGGGCCTTCCTCAACATCCCACTCACAAAAGAATTCCAAGCAACGGCTCGCTGCCTAATGTGGCTCTTGACCCAAGCCCAGTGAACGAGGATGCCAAGCCGCCATTGAAGCAGACCTCTTCGTTCGCTCCAAGACAGCCTCCAATCCCTCGTAACCCATTGTACAGCAATCGCTCCGGTCAGGTATCTGCGCTGTCAATTGTGTCGTCACACGTTAGCCCACAGCAGAATCAGCAGAGACACAACGATCAGCATGAAAGATTTGAGTTACCAGACCTTGACGTAACTAATGAGCACCCGGTGATGGAGCGCTCACCAAGAGGTCTTGAGAAGGGTCACTTCAGGACTTCGCTGTTGCAGAGTGAGGTGCAAGATGGAATCGATGGCAATGAGGACAACCATGTACCTGATACTATTGAGGAGAAGTCAGAGGAATCTTCCAGCCAACGCCCATCCACAGGTGAGTTATTGCCAAAGAAAGAGGAAGCAGAGCCTGAGCCACAGCCTAAGCCCACCCCAACAGAGGAACCTGAAGAGAAGGATGAACCAAAGAAGGATGATGCTGTTGCACCACCACCACCTATTTCCACCAAGAAGTCTCTTCCTCAAAGAGCCAATCCTTATGCTCCAGGAGGATCCAGAGGCCAGGCTCGCGGCTCCAACTCTAACAGGTATGGACCAGGAAAGACAGCCAGCAAGTATGCATCCCCACATCCCTCTCAACATACAGACTTTTTGGAGAAGTCTACACCTAATGTCTCGACTAATGAGGTTTTGGGTCATGATCAGAATGGCGACGCCGAGAACGAGGTTTCTAAAGCCGAAGAGGAGAAGGAGAAGGAGAAGGAAGGGACGGCGAAGAGGCCTCTTCTGGCGCCCCAGCTTCCGGCGCCTTGCCTCAACCTGAACCAGCTAGTCAGGCGCCTCCTGCAAGAGGACCTCCCCAAGAAATGGCCCCTCCAAACCAAGTGGTCCACCAGGTAGAAGAGCCAATCCTTACGCACCAGCCTCTAGAAATCCTTATGCGCCACCAGGGGAGCAGACCAAGCAGCCAGAGAAAACCAACTCGAAGCCTCCAGCTAATGTTGATATCAGTGTTGACTACGGCGCAGATGAAAGTGTGGACACTTCCGAAGACACCAAGCCACCTATGCCAGGCAGAGTGGTTTCTCCAACTGCCAGGGCCGACTATGCCAACCCATTCCAGCATGAGAAGGCACCAGTCGAAGGAGGCCTCGAAGACTTTTCCATACCTGGCTCGCCAGAGTACACCACCAGAGCCAATTCTGTCATTGGCCACAATGGCTTGTTTTCCAGCAAGTTGTCTCAATCTCAACAGTCGGTAATGTATCAGCAGTACGAGGTGAAGGATGACACTGTTCACGACTACGTTCCTGTTCCTGAGGATGAAGAGGATGAGGAGGAAAAGAGGATTAAGAAGAGAAAGGAGGAGAGCGCTGCTGCCCAACAGAACGAAACAAGAAGACCAGCACAAGAAAGCGAGGGTTGGTTGAGCAGGTTGAGAGGAAGGAAGGGAGACGACAAGCCGAAGCCAATCAAGGCTAAGCTTGGACAAGAGAATACCTTCTACTATGACGATGAACTCAAGAGATGGATTGACAAGAGCAGACCTCTCGAGGAGCAGATCAAGGAGCTGGCACCGCCACCACCTCCAATGAAGAAGAAGGTTGCGCCCAAAGCGGCACCAAAGGCTACTTCTCCAGAGGCTGGCAATCCATCAGCACCTTCTGAAAGCAATTCCGAGGCACCATCGGCCCCTAAGGGCCCCACTCCTCGAGCAGCTCGTGCTGCCCCAAGAGGGAACTTGGCGAATGCCAACTTGGACGATCTTTTGTCGTTGAGCAGCGGAGCTTCTGCTGGTGGCCGCGCTCCTGCTGGTGGTCGCAAGCAGAAGAGAAGATACGTGAATGTGCTTGAGAAGAAGTGAGCAGCCAATAACATAGAGCAATAAAATTGATGATCATGAAGTGACCTAGGATATCGTTTAAGAATGAGTGATGTAGGTGAACCACCTTAAACAGCGTGATAAGGAAACAAGAGAAATAGGTTGTTCTTCCTCGATAAATCTGGAAAACAGCACTTTTTCTTGAATTTAAATATATCCTACAATTTCACGTTTTTGGGTCCATTGTGGCCGAATTCGTCTCCTGAGACATGGCTGCGAAATCCACACTATGCTTCACTTTACAACAATCAAACACAGCAAACATAACTCACAGAAGCAAATTCCAAATTCTATCAAAAATCAAAATTGCTGATTCTCCACCCTTTCTTCCCTTTCCTTTTTCCTTTGTTCTACTCTTGATTTAGTGTAGGTCGTGCGCGTACCGCGCCGGGTAATCTCATCAGCGTCGTTAATGAGGAACGAACGGTGGGACATTGGATTATGATTGTGAAAAAAAGGGGCCTGCATATTGCGTTTTTTTCTCGCTAGGCCATCAACGATGATTTTTTTTAAAAAGAGTTTTCCTCTTCAGAGAAATCTCCAGCTTCTGCCCTACTACGACTCGTGAATAACCGCCAGAGCCCCGTCTCGTCGTTGTTCGTTCGTATCCGATTTTCCAAAAAAGAAAAAAAAAAAGTAAAAAACACAAAAAATAATACATTATGTCTGCTCCTGACGCATCCCAAATCACTGAGTCTTTGGACAACTTGAACCTTGACTCTAACGCCCCTGCCCAGACCGAGGCCACCGAGGCTTCTGCTCAGGGTGAAGGTGAGGCTGTGGCCGACACCTCGGCCTCTTTGTACGTGGGTGAGTTGAACCCATCTGTCTCTGAGGCTGCTCTTTTCGAAATCTTCTCCCCATTGGGTCAGGTTTCTTCCATCAGAGTTTGCCGTGACGCTGTTTCCAAGAAGTCCTTGGGTTACGCGTACGTGAACTACCACAAGCACGAGGATGGAGAGCGTGCTTTGGACGAGTTGAACTACTCGCTCATTGAGGGCAGACCATGCCGTATTATGTGGTCCCAGAGAGACCCAGCCTTGAGAAGAAACGGTGACGGCAACATCTTCATCAAGAACTTGCACCCTGACATCGACAACAAGGCTTTGCACGACACCTTCTCTGCTTTCGGTCGTGTCTTGTCTTGTAAGGTTGCCACCGATGAGGCTGGTAACTCCAAGGGTTTCGGTTTCGTTCACTACGAGACCGCTGAGGCTGCCGAGGCTGCCATTGAGAACGTCAATGGTATGTCCTTGAACGACCGTGAGGTGTACGTGGGCAAGCACTTCACCAGAAAGGACCGTGAGTCTTACTTTGAGGAGTTGAAGGCTAACTTCACCAACGTGTTCGTCAAGAACTTTGGTCCTGAGTACACCGAGGACGAGTTGAAGAACTTGTTCTCTACTTACGGTAACATCACCTCCGTCCACTTTGAGAAGGACAACGAGGGTAAGTCCAAGGGCTTCGGTTTCGTCAACTTCGAGGCTCACGACTCTGCCGTCAAGGCTGTTGAGGAGCTCAACGACAAGGAGATCAACGGTCAGAAGATCTACGTCGGCAGAGCCCAGAAGAAGAGAGAGAGAATGGAGGAGTTGAAGAAGCAGTACGAGTCTACTCGTTTGGAGAAGTTGTCCAAGTACCAGGGTGTCAACTTGTTCGTCAAGAACTTGGACGACAGCCTCACCTCCGAGCAGTTGGAGGAGGAGTTCAAGCCTTTCGGTACTATCACCTCTGCCAAGGTTATGGTTGACGATGCCGGTAAGTCCAAGGGCTTCGGTTTCGTGTGCTTCTCCACCCCAGAGGAGGCCACCAAGGCTATCACCGAGATGAACCAGCGTATCATCCTCGGCAAGCCTTTGTACGTTGCTCTTGCCCAGCGTAAGGAGGTCAGAAGATCCCAGATGGAGCAGCAGATCCACGCTCGTAACCAGATGAGAATGCAGAACGCTGCCGCTGGTGGTATGCCAGGTCAGTTCATGCCTCCTATGTTCTACGGCCAGCAGCCAGGTTTCTTCCCTGGTAACGGCAGAGGTGGCAACGGTCCATTCCCACCAAACCCTCAGATGATGATGCCAAGAGGTCAGATGCCTCCTCCTCAGGGTCAGTGGCCAAGAGCTGGTCCAAACGGCCAGCCAGTGCCTATGTACGGCATGCCACCAATGTACGGTGGTGAGTTCCAGGGTCCTAACGGCCGTCAGCAGAGAGGTGGTTTCCCACCTCAGCGTGGCCAGAAGGGTGGTCCTAACAAGGCCAGAGACTTGGCTGCCATCATTGCCTCTGCTCCAGCTGAGCAGCAGAAGAGAATCTTGGGTGAGGAATTGTACCCTAAGATTGTCTCCACCGGTAAGGCCGACGAGCCTGAGGCCGCTGGTAAGATCACCGGTATGATGTTGGACTTGGAGAACCAGGAGATCTTGGCTTTGTTGGAGGACGACGAGTTGTTTAGCACCCACTTTGAGGATGCCTTGACCGCTTACGAGGACTACAAGAAGTCTTCTGAGGAGGCCACCGAGGCCTAGGTCAGAGAATAGTTAATTTCTAGTTCTGATGTTTGCTTGCTAGTTTTTATTTTTTCGGATGGGTAATTGGATGAGATATATATACCATGAAAAAAAGAAAAACAGAATTGACAGCTGTAGGTGTATGTAGAGGAATTTGCCTTAGCGGGAAAAGTCCGAAATCGAGGCCCTTAACGGGCAAAGCCATACAGAATGAGCGTGTTCAATGAGTAAATAACCATTTAAATCATATAATTTTTCATTCAAATCAGAAACACTTGAATTTGAGTAATATTGCAAAGAATCAGCAAAATCATTGCTGAAAATTCGTAATTCACTCACTATCTTGTTATCACCTTATTCTACGCAGTGACTGCAAACAGCAGGTATAACTCAACCAATAGCAAGTCCAATCATTTAACAACAAATACTACCCAATTCAATAAAAAAAAAGCAAAATATGCTTCTCCAGAGCTTAAAACCAATCTCACCGAAAAGTGCCCATTTTAGACCTATAGCAACCGCCGCTTCCACGCATAGATCTTCCGATCTACCTGCCGTCCAGATATCGTGATACCATCTATAAGCTTCTTTAACTATTCCACCGAAAAAAGCCCATGCCTTCCGTCTATGACCAATTGAAGGCCTACCCGGCTGACACCCCCACGATATCTCCCAAAGCCTATGCCAATGATAAAAAGCTAAGCTTGTCGGGACGTGTTCTTAGCGTGGTTCTGTCATTACCGACTCAGATATGCAAAGTCAACGAACCTCTGGGAGGTTCCACATGGTCCGTTGCTCCTATACGAGGCCAGCTGGCTTTGTACCTGTCGGTGCTTTTTCTTCAGCACGAGACCGACTGGGAAAGTCACCTTATCGGATGGACTGGAGAGTTGGTGAACAAGACTTCTTTATTGAGCAATTTGCATCTGGACAACATCAAGGAAGACCCCTTGTATTTGGATGACGAGGATAAGGGCGAGCTTGAGCACAAGATGCGCCAGACATTGAACTCGGAAAACGTCCACCCGGTCTGGTTGTTAAGGAAAGACCAGGACAGGTGGAGACGCTATGCAGAGAAGGTGATATGGCCGGTGTTCCATTACATCCAGGGTCTGCCCAACGACGGGGCCCAGGAGGGCCAGGAATGGCACGACTACGTGAGATTCAACGAGGCCTACTTCCAGAAAATCAAGCAAATCTACAAGCCGGGCGACATTATCTGGATCCACGACTACTACCTCATGCTTTTGCCGCAATTGTTGAGAATGGAGTTCCCCAACGCCTTCATTGGCTTCTACATGCATGCTCCATTTCCTTCGTCGGAGTACTACCGTTGTCTTGCCAAAAGGACGCAGTTGCTTGACGGCATGCTAGGCTCCGATAAGATTGCGTTCCAAAGCGAGTCGTTCCAGCGGCATTTCCTCAGTTGTTGTGCCCGTGTTTTGGGCTACGACGTGACCAAAAACAGCATCAATGCGTACGGCTCAACCATTTCAGTAGAGACATTGCCCATTGGCATAGACGCCAAAAGGGTTGAGCACGACGCCTTCCAAGATGCATCCATTGAGGATAAGATTCGGGCTCTTAGAGAGATTTACGCAGGCAAGAAGATAATCGTCGGAAGGGACCGGTTGGACTCTGTGCGTGGTGTTCAGCAGAAACTCCAGGCGTTTGAGATGTTCTTGCAGATGTTCCCGGAGTGGAGAGACAAGGTTGTTCTCGTGCAAATCTCCTCTCCTGGGTACTCTCACGATATGCGTGTGGAGAAGAAGGTTTCGGACTTGGTGACTCTGATCAACTCACGTTTCGGAAGCTTGAACTACACGCCTGTTCTTCACTACCAGATCCGCATCAGTAAGGATGAGTACTTGGCCCTTTTGCGTGTGGCTGACTTGTGTCTTATCACGTCAGTTCGTGACGGAATGAACACTACGTCATTGGAATTTGTCGTTTGCCAGAAGAAGAACTGCTCTCCCTTGATTCTTTCAGAGTTCACTGGTACGGCGTCTGTGTTGAACGACTCTATCTTGGTCAACCCTTGGGACTCCGTCAGTATTGCAAAGACAATGAACAATTGTCTTAACATGAGCCAAGAAGACAAGGCAAAGCTTGAGTCGAAGCTCTACGATAGAGTCACGTCCAATACCATTCAGGTGTGGACATCTAACTTTTTGGAACATTTGATTGGTCATGTGGAGACTACTCATCAGACCCACCACACGCCTACTTTGAATAGGCCCATGTTGTTGAACAACTACAACCATCTGAAGAGACGTCTTTTCTTGTTTGACTACGACGGCACTTTGACACCTATTGTTCAAGATCCAGCTGCAGCTATTCCTTCTTCAAGGTTGCACAATATCGTTGATAAGTTGGCGGCAGACCCCAAGAATCAGATTTGGATTATCTCAGGAAGAGACCAGGTCTTCTTGGATAAGTGGTGGGGCGCCAAGAATGTTGGTTTATCTGCTGAACATGGCTGTTTCATGAAAGACGTTGGCAGCAAAGAATGGCACAATTTGGCAGAGGCATTTGACATGTCATGGCAGCAAAAGGTTGAGGAAGTGTTCAAGAAGTACACTGACCAGACACCAGGCTCCAATATTGAGCGCAAGAAGGTTGCCTTGACATGGCACTTCCGGAGGTCTGACCCGGAGTTAGGCAAGTACCAAGCCGACATGTGCTTGAAAGAACTACAGGGCGGTATTATGAAGGAGTATGACGTGGAAGTCATGGAAGGAAAGGCCAACATTGAGGTGCGGCCTCGGTTCGTGAACAAAGGTGAGATCGTCAAGCGTTTGGTGCTTAATGGCCATGGAAAAAAGCAAGATCCACACCTGATTAAGTTGGACGCTCTGTCTATAAGCCCAGACGAGCTTCCCGACTTCATGTTGTGCTTGGGTGACGACAAGACCGACGAAGATATGTTCAGATCTCTCAAGGACATTGAAGCTACATGGCATTTGACGGAGTTACCTAAAAATAGTTTGGGCTCCTACGGAGTTTTCCCGGTGCTTGTTGGGCCTGCTGCCAAGGAAACGCTAGCAACATCGCACCTCAATGATCCCTCGCAGGTGATTGACACATTGGGATTGCTCTCCGGAGATGTGTGCTTGTTTGAGAGTGCTGGATCGGTGACATTGGACGATAGAGGCCATGTGGAGAACAGTGAGTCGAGCGAAAGGTCAAAGGGACTCGTCAGAGAGGCCACTATGAAGAAAGACGAGTCACGCAATTCCAGAATCTAAGTAGCTTATAGCTAAATTTTATAGCATCCTCGGCTCTTCGGTTTTTTTTCACCGGTGGCTGCGAAAAAGCGTTGGGCAATCGCACCCGTACACCACAAACGGTATCGCATAAGTAGCACCGGATATTCCGCCATTGCCATACCAATGGGTATCCTCAATTGGGGCTTTCGTGCCACCCTCAAGATCCATACGGTTAAGCTGGATGAATCAGTGAAGATCACTTCCGACAAAACCTTGAGTGAATTTGTTCGCAACGACCTTCCTCTCATAGACACCAAGAACAAGCTCTGGTTGAGTCCCCTTTTGTTCAACGGTACTCTCCAGACCTTGTACTACGCTTTGCACAAGAGTGAAGACAAGTTCCAAGTTTACTATGGTCGTGAGTTGTTCAAATACAAGGATGGCGGTCAAGCTTCGATAGACTGGGTAATTCCAAAACCGGACTCCACGGCCGAATTCAAGAAGCTTTACGAAGAGACTATTCCCGAGGACCTGCCCAAGCTCCACCCAAGGACGCGTTTCTTCACCAAGGAGGAGCTTCTGGAAAAACAGAACCCTAAGGACAGTGACACCACAGAGCCGCTTTGTGTGGTTCTTCACGGCTTGGCTGGAGGTTCTCATGAACCGCTTATTCGTAACTTGGGCGAATACTTGGGCAAGCAGACAGCTTTGAAGTGGGATGTTGCCGTGATCAACTCGCGTGGTTGCTGCAGAACGAAGATTACCACCGATAAGCTCTTCAGTGCATTTTCCACGGACGACGTCAAGGATGTCCTCGTTGAGATACGCAGAAGGTACCCTAAAAGACCAATCTATGCCATTGGCTTTTCTTTCGGCGCTTGCATCTTGGGTAATCTTTTGGGCAGCGAAGACCCAGATATCCAGGATCTTATCAAGGCTGCTGTCTTCATTGGATGTCCTTGGGACTTGGCCGACAGCGCCTACCATGTCGACAGCTCGCTTACAGGCCGCAAGGTGCTTAACCCGGGTTTGACTACTTTCCTCAATAAGCTCATCAAGCTGAACAAGCAGGAGCTCCAGAACTTCAATCCTGACTTTTTCACCGAAGAGCGTATTGAGGAGGCCAGGAAGGCCGTGAAAACGTTTGACTGGGACAACTGCTTCACGTGCAAGACGGTCGGTTTCTCCAATGCATTCGAGTACTATAGAGAAGGCTCGCCCTTGCGCCGGATCCACAAGATCAAGACGCCTGTGCTTGCCATCAACTCGACGGATGATCCAGCTGTCTCTGTGCGCTTGCCAATCCAAGACGTCGAATCCAACCCATACTTGGCGTTGGTGGAGTCTGATTTGGGAGGCCACCTTGGATTTGTCAAGTCCTCTGGAGAGTTCTGGTGTGTGGAAGCAGCTGACGAGTTCATCAACAAGTTTGAGGTGGCCACGCGGGCCAACTAAAGTAGAGGAGTTTTAATTTATAGACAATATGATGTACCGATTGAGATGTTGGTTTGAGGATCGGTCCAGCCAGAGCGGTCCGCACCGAAGTGCGTTTGCAGCCACACGGCGTCTAGAGCCGTATGAAGCCTGTCGCAATGTTCTTTATAGTACGAAGTGTATCAATGGACTGCTTTTGACGTTGAAGCCTTTGATGTGTTTATGTCAAATCTTCATACTTTTTCATCAAAGTTCGGGGATAAAGTTAGCGCCTCGAGGAGGGTTCGCATAAATTGGCCCGCCTCGTCTGGCTATTGTTTCTGCATTCTGCCTGTCGCCAATTTGCAGCAATTCGCAGAGCCGAGGGATCGGTGATTCACCAGTGAAAGATGAAAATTGAATGATCTAAAGAGAAAATCTTTAGTTGCTGGGTCTCCTTTTTCCGGAGTTCCTGGTTTTCTACGTTTTTTTTCGTTTGCTTGTGGCGTAGTTTGGCGACTTGCGGTAAGAGGTTGCGGTCCGTGGCGCGCCAGCAGGAGAATCAGAAGACTCTGAGAACAGGTGATCTCCGGCTTCCTGGAGGATAATAATTGGGCCTTTCGAAAATGCAAAAAAATTGGAAAAGCATAAATAAACTTGCTATTTTAAAAGCTTGGATATTTCGCTCCGCAGTAAATAATAATAGAAATCGAAGCCAGGGCAGAGCCCTCGCGCCGTAGCGAAGCCCTGTTAATTAGCAGCAAGCTGCGACTCTCGAAAAAAACGCAGCCTCACTGGAGTCACCCAGACGAACACACGTGTAAGCAGAGGAAGAAGAAGCATATTTTTTTTGAAAAACGTCAGAAATGCCAAAATTCAAAACCAAGGAATTCAGAGCCTTTTTAATCTTTTCCCAAAGTACCGCGTGGTCACACGGTTAGGCGCCCAGCTTTGGCCCTCTGGTGAGCCGCAGCCGCATCGAGGTAGATAAGACGCAAAAATTCAGCCCATCACATACAAAAACACTTTTTCATCCGTAACAACCCTCCCATCCCCCAATTCTTCGCCACCTACATGGCAGCCTTCTTAGTTAGCTGTAAATGTTCAAAAACTCCCAACACAAGGATTTGTCGTATTTCGACATCAGGCTCAAGCTGGAACACAAGAACACCATCTTGGTGAAGGGATCCGAGTTCGACGTGGACTCCGTGCCGGTTACGGGATCCGTGAAGATACTGACCAAGGAGGATTTACACGTGAGGCGTGTCAAACTCCAGCTTATAGGAGAGTACCAGGCCGAGTACTATGAGAGAATGTCCAACGGTCAAGTTGCAGGCCAGGTCACTGAGAGAAACTGTGTGCTTAAGGTGCAATGGCCCAATTTGTTGACTTCAAGCGAGGGAGAATTGCAATATGGCGATTACGGCGATTCCATGGTGAAGATGTCCAAGCTCGACTCCCACTTGAAGAAGTCGTCCAGAGAGAACTCGGTGACGTCCTTGTCTCAGCTCGACAAGAACGCTTCCAACACGTCTTTGGCAGATACCCCTACGAAAAAGAGACCTTCGTATTCAAGAGCAAAGTCCCAGGGCATGTTAACCTCTGTCAAGCCCACGTTGTTCACTATTCCCAAATCTGGCGTTGATGGTACACCTTATCCACTGAAGACCACTGGAAAACTGGACCTTCACTCGTTTTTGCTCCCCCAGGGCAACTACAGCATGCCTTTCAGCATCATGCTTCCTGCAAACGTGTCTGAGTCCGTGGACTGCTTGCCTATTGCCAAACTCAGGTACAAGCTTGTTTGCACTGTGGAAAGAGGCCGCCTTGAAAAGGCCTATTCTGCTGCGAAGCACGTTCGTATAGTGAGGACTTTGCACCCACACAGCGTTAATTTGACCGATCTGATTGAATACGGCAATACGTGGCCAGGCAAGGTGGAGTTTAGCGTTTCGCTGCCTCGAAAAGCCTTGGCTTTGGGTACCAAGATGCCCATCAAGTTGACAATTGTGCCTTTGGTGAAGGGTCTTTCTTTTAAGTCGATGTACGCCGAGGTTGTACAGCACAACGGTACTAAAGGTATCACTGGAGAGTCTCCTCAGTTCGAGGCCATCATCAACAGACAAAAGCTTGCAAACGAGTATACGCATTTTGATGAGGACCACTGGGTGGTAAAGTCCCACTACAGGCTTCCATCGTCACTTAAAGACGTTACGCAAACGTGCACGCTTAAGAACGGAATCATCACAGTCAAGCACAGAGTTAGAGTGCTGATCCATATTAAAAACGCCGACGGCCATGTTTCTGAGCTCAGAGCAAATCTCCCCGTGCACGTATTTATGAGTCCCAAGTACGGAACAATCACTACTCGTCACTACGAAATCGACCAGCACCATGGTCTCTTCACCACTGCTCCAGACCCAGATCGTGAAGACACCGTTTTCCACAGAAAGGAGTCCCAGCCTCCTTCTGAAGACGAACTGTCCAGTGAAGACTCGTACGCTGCTGACCGTGAAGAAGACAATGCTCCTCCAGTGTACCAACAGCACATGTTTGACATGGTGTATGATCAGCTGAGCCCTAGGTCTCCGCTCGAACAGCTCCGTGTCAACGGTGTCAAAAACGCCCTTGAGGGGTACTTTGATATTCCCTTGCTGAAATCAGGAACTCTGTCGCCACCATTAGACTTGAATGTGCTACTGAAGGTGCCCAGTTACGAGAAGGCTTTGGACGACGACTCCGAGGGCGAGGAGCCTGCTCCCAACTACATCAACGATGATGACTTGCTGCGTGCTTTTGGCTCGCTTAATGCAAAACTTCTGGAAAGAAGTGCTTCCATGTCAGACATTCAGCTCAATTTTCCTCGTAAGATGAAGGCAGCATTGACAACCCCACCCCCTAGAAGCCCCGAGGGAGCGTCACCAAACACAAAACACCAGTTCCGCTTGCGCTTCTCCCACAAGCACAAACCTTCACGATAATGTACATAGACGAACGATTAATAGAAATACCTGCTGGTACTTATGTTTGCAGCCATTAAACCCGTACACCACACTCGAGACACATCAATGCAAATCAAGCTCGACATCAAGTGAACAAAAAAACCTTATAGATGTCTGTCCCCACCGTCGCCAACGCTTCGGGAGCCGGCGTTGCTCCAGGAATGGGAGAAGGCACGCCTATCCAGACCACTGGCCAGACCTCGCCATACGTGTTAAATGTGGCCAAGTACTTGAGAGACAACAAGCAGCTAAAACGCAGAACAGGCTTGTTGAACAACAAGGACGACATTGACTTCTTCAGATACAAGCGTTTTGTTCGTGCGTTGTTGAGTGACGAGTACAAGAAGAAACAGGCCAATCCAAAGAATGAGTTGCTTCCCATCAACAGTGAGGAAGAGGCGGGTAAGCTTTTCATCCAGTTGATTCTGGGCCGTCTCCTTCTACCAGTGGAGAAATTGCACTACAAGGACGTCAAGGCCATCAAGGGCTGGAAGCCCAACAAACAGAAGCCAACGTTGAAACCCACGCAAAAGGCTGCCTTGGAGCCTAACGCCTACTACGCCTGGATCTACCAGAAACCAAACCCATACATTGTCTTGTACGGTTTGCTCACGCTTGCTGCCGTTTTCACGATCATCTTGTTCCCCTTGTGGCCTGCGTTCATGAGAAGAGGCGTGTGGTACTTGTCGATGGGCGTGTTGGGTCTATTAGGATTGTTGTTTGCCACTGCGATTGTGCGTTTGATCATCTTCATCATCACCTACTTGGTATTGCCACAGGCCTTCTGGCTCTTCCCTAATTTGTTCGAGGATTGTGGCTTCTTTGAGAGTTTCCAGCCCACCTATGCATGGGCTGAGCCAGCCGGCGCAAAGAAGAAGAAGAAGGGCAAGAAGAGTAAAAAGAACGCCTTTGGCGATGTTGGAGAGAAGCTCGGAGCCGTTATCGATGCCCATGTGAAGGAGCAAGAGGGAGAGGCCTCTGCTTCAGGAGCACAGCCCTCGTCCACACAGCCTAAGAAGAGAGCCGTGACCCTCGAGGAGGTTGAAGACAACTAACTCAGCAACGAGGCCATTTATGAATAAATTGTCAGTGGGCGCCATTTTGGGAAAGTGGTGGATGCTGGGACGGGGCTTGACTCGATAGCAGTCAGTCACCTCTATACCGTACTTCCCCAGACTAGCGAGCTATCACGTAACCTACTACTCCACCAACTACATAGATCAATAACACACCCATGATCAACGACTTGGCGTTTAACCAGGACTACACGTGCCTCCTGATGTCCACACTGGAGTGCCACAAGATTTACAATTGCGATCCATTTGGTGAATTCTACACTTCCGATAAGAACAATGCCCCGACAGCATTTCTCCGGATGCTTTTCTCCACGTCCCTTACGATTATAGTGCCTGAATCCGGGCTGAATTTGGGCAATAGGGTGCTCCAAGTTCATAACCTCAAGCAAAACTTGAAGATCTGTGAGCTCACGTTCCCGTCAAACATAGTGGACCTCATGCTCAACAGAAAGAGATTAGTGGTATTCCTCGAGGTTGGCCAAATCTACATTTACGATTTGAGCAGTGTGAGGCTCATGAAAGTCTTGGAGATAAACTCGTACCTGAAGGGCGAGAACGATGGGGTTGTGGCAGCCTTGAGTGCCGATGATAGGCTGTATTTGGCTATGCCGCTCAGTGCCGTGAATGACCAAACAGATCTTTTCAATGAGAGTTCAAGTCAGCCTAGCACTCCTGTTTTAAGGCCGAGCGACCTGGCCCCGGTAGTTCTGTTGGACGCTCTTGTGGAGCTTACTCAGAAGAACGAGAACTCCCTGCTTGCCAAAAAGGAGACAATTACATTGGAGGATTTGCAAAAGGATTCCAACGGCTGGGTGGTAATTTACGATACGATCAATTTGAAGCCACGGCTTTTGTACAAGGCCCATGACTCGAGCATTGCCAAAATCACATTATCGAGAGATAGCCAAGCAGTTGCAACGGCCTCTACTAAAGGCACGATCATCAGGGTTTGTCATCTCAACTTCGATCTTCTTGACGACCTTGGCAAGCTTCATATCACACACATTACCAATCTCCGGCGTGGCCACCACCTAACCAGAGTGACCAATCTCACATTCAGCGTGGACTCGAGTGTATTGGGCTGTGGATCAGACAGCAATACCATCCACTTCTTCAAAATCGGCCCTGAAACGCCTCAGCCGGAACTGAGTGACGAGGACCAAAGCAACCGTTCGTCCCTGGAGGATCTCAACGAGAACTTGGCCAATCTACTAATACTGAAGCAGCCAGAGGAGCCTGAGCAGGAGGAAGGTGACAAGCTGTACTTCTCACGCCTTCGGAGACCCAGCAAACTTCTCAACAATCCCTACACTAAGCTGCTTATCAAGAAGCTTCCTTACAAGGACTACTTTGACAACTTGATCTGGGAGCCGCCCAGACGCCTGTTTGCATATGTGAAGCTTGGGGAAAATGCGCCCGTGTCTCACAAGAATGTAGAGATTGGCTTGGGTGCTCTGGGTGTGTTGATGTTGGCTTCCTACCACACGGGAACATTCTACCAGTATAAGCTTCCGAAGCCTCATGACGAGGATCGAGAGGAGTGTGTTCTACTTTCATCACACTCGTTGCAATGAGACAGTGTTGCATTGATTCAGGAGAAGCATTAGGTGAAGTTGATCAGAATTGGAGAACTGGCTGGACTGGTTCCTCAGTCTCGAGACATTTGTGCTGGCTTTTGAGAAGATGAAGATGGGGAAGATCGATTTCCATGGATAATTTACGAAACATGATGTGCCGGGAGTAGCCTTTATCAATTTCAGATCTTGTTTCGGCTATTGCCTGTTTTGCTCCCAGCCAAGCTTCTACACCCGATAACCTTAATGCCTTTCCTGAACTGTGGAGATTTCGCAGCCATTCCGTCGGCTTGACCTGCCCCTAATGTATTGTTCAGGTCGAATGATCAAAGGCGGGGCGGATGTTGGGTATGTCGAGACAGATCGGAGTTTTGAACAAAGGCTGGTGCTTCCGAGTCAGACTCTGAGGGGCTGCAAGGCTCCTACACAATTGTATCCACGGATACTCGCGAGCAAGGGATCCAGACCGAGGCCTACCACAGGTTTGCCAAAACAACACACAACCAAAAATCGAAGAAGAATTAGGGTCAATCGACGAAACCTGAAGCTCTACACCTTCTCCTATCTGCATTTGCAGCCAGAAAGAAGGTTCTTTTTTTTGTGGGGAACCCCAGGGGCTGCGCGAAAATTTTCACAGTCTCTCGGCTATTGGACCCCTCCGCCTTATAACTCCCACAGTCCCACAATCCTGCTCAATGTTCTGCTATAAACGGGTCTCTTCCTCTCGCTTTATAACACAACTAAGAATGTCTTCCACAGGTTACGCCGCCGACGACGTCTTGTTCCACAATGAGAACTTGGCTCGCGTCATTTCTTTGAACAGATTGAAGAAATTGAATTCCTTGGACACCTCCATGGTGACCAAGATTGGTCCTCGTTTGTCTGAATACGCCAAATCCGAGGCTGCTTCCATGGTCATTTTGACTTCCAAGTCCCCCAAGGCCTTGTGTGCCGGTGGTGACGTTGCTCTGTGTGCTTCGGAAATCTTGAAGGGTAACCCTGGCTACGCTTCCAACTTCTTCCAGGAGGAATACAATGTCAACTACCTCATTGCCACCTACTCCAAGCCATACATTTCCTTGATGGACGGTATCACCATGGGTGGTGGTGTCGGTTTGTCTGTTCACGCTCCTTTCCGTATTGCTACCGAGAAGACCAAGTTGGCCATGCCCGAGATGGACATTGGTTTCTTCCCTGACGTGGGTACCACTTTCTTTTTGCCACGTTTGGACGACAAGCTCGGCTACTACTACGCCTTGACTGGTGAGGTGTTAAGCGGCTTGGACGCTTACCAGGCCGGTTTCGCTACCCACTTTGTTCCTTCCGAGAGAATCCCTCAGTTGGTCAAGCGTTTGTCCAACTTGAAGCCTCCTGTGATCAACAACACCCCAACCGAGGGCACCCTTTTGAAAGACCAGAAGGACTTCTTCATCCAGGTGAACATGGCCATTGAGGAGTTCACCGAGAACAAGTTGCCAGACAACTACAAGTTCCACTTGACTGAGGAGCAGATCACCTTGATCAACAAGGCCTTCTCCGAGCCAACTTTCGACGACGCTTTGCAGGTTTTCTTGTACTCCAACACTGAGTTTGGTAAGAAGACCTACGACCGTTTGTCGGCCAAGTCCCCCACATCTACGCATATCGCCTTTGACTTGTTGAACAAGGGTGCCAAAAACAAGATCCGTGCCCAGTTGGAGTTGGAGATGGTCTCTGCCACCAACATGGTCAACCACAAGATTGAGGAGAACGACTTCGTCAAGGGTGTCAAGCACAAGCTCATTGACAAGATCAAGGAGCCATTCTTCCCTCAGTGGAGCTCTTACGACGCTGAGCGTGTCAGAAAGTTCCAGGAGCCATCTGTCCACACCGCCAAGCTTGAGACCCCTCTCTTGAAGAGATTCTTTGGTGTTGACTTCCACCAGTACCCATTCAACTTTGGCTTGCCATCCAACCAGGAAATCGAGAACTACATCACAGGCCAGGACGGTCTGAACAGAAAGTACTTGCCTACTCCAAAGGAGGTGGTTAGACACTTCAACACCGTGACCAACAACAAGTTGGGTGTAGAGGAGAAGGTGAACAGAGCCTTGGCCTTGCACGGCGAGGCGTCGAAGTATGACAACAAGTATGTTTCTTGGAAGGCGTAGATCATCCACGGAACCCGAACAAGGAAACGACGGAACGCATAAATCATAATACAAGTATATATCGATACTTGCGAGTTGTAGAGCTACACCGAAGCAGAACTTTTGATATAATACAGGTATACATACATTACTTGAACTTTTCCAAAATCAAGTCCTCACCAAGCTCCTCGTAGTCCGCTTTGGAGATAAACCAGTTATCCAAGGCTATGTTGGCACTGCCGTTTTCATCCTCCACAGCGTCGTTGAGCATGCTGGCCAAGTTGGCGGCACCTAACCACGAGCCGAACTTCTTATCGTACAAATCGTGAATATCCCCCAGTGGGTAATTGCGCAATGGGGAGATGTAGATCTTGTACTGCGAGGTGATCATGTAGTTGGGTAACACTGTGGGAGCGGTACGGCTGATGTCACCACAGAGTCTATCGGAGAAGCCTGAGAGAAGAGCACCCCCACCGGTGATTAAGGTGTTTGTGAAGAGGGTTCTCAAGACCTCATTGAAACGAGCATTGCTGTTTGAAGTAGCAGGGTCGTTGCCAGCAGGCACCATAGTCGATTCCAAGTTCTTCAAGGCGAACAAAACCAAGTTGGAGATACCGTGTGTATGGGCCTTGTCGAACGCTGGGTCAGGAATAGGCACGTCTGGCAATTTGTATACGTGTGGCACGAAAAGAGCCTCTAAGAGCGTTGATGTTTCTCTTTCTGAGTAGTTGATCTGTGTACGGTCTGGCAACTGGAAGAACGGAGGCAGCTGGTGAATCTGAGTGTAGTACGAGTTAGGAGCTGTGATGCCTGGTGGAGGCTCGCTGACTGAAAGCATGGTCTCCTTGAAATTCTGTAAAAGATTGTGTGTGGCATGGTACAGCTTGAAAGACTGGGAAACATTGTCAGCGGTGTACTGAGGAGGCAACAAGCGGGAGTAGTCGAGCTGACTGGGCTGGTAGCCCAACTTGGCTTCTATGCTACGCAAGGCGTGCAAGGATGCAAAGTCACCTGCGTACTTGGAGTGGAAACACAGCTTCTGCTGGATGACACCGTCCAAGATGGGTGTCACACTGGCCACACCAGCACCTATGTCGATAACCAACCCACTCAGACGGCCGGTGTGGTATAACTGAGCCAATGGAGACTTCAAGAGCGAGAAAAGGGGTACTTGCAAGCCTTCAAAAGCAATTTGGGCAGCCGCAGCCTTGTTCTTAGGCGTGTTCCACGTCTGTTCTGTCATCATCAAAGGGTGGTCCTTGGCATCCACGCCATTGCCGCTATCCAAGTTCTCGTACACATATTCCCAATTGCTGGAAATGTGGTCGTAGTTGTAAACAATACCATTGTCCACGAGGGTCATCACCTCAAGGTCGGGCCTGGAGTTGATCTTGTCTCCCACAAGCACCTTGTTGTTTTCATCCACCAGGTACGAGGAGTTGAACACAAGCGAGGGCAAATCTTCCAGCGCAAAGCCGGCACGTGTGGAGCTCGTGCCGTTGTCTATAACGACCGCAGGAAGCAGGTTGACCATGTTGTTGGAGAGTTGTTGGTAGCGTTGATGTTTTCTCACTTTGAAGTATTGAGGTGCACGGGTGTAAAGACTGCCCCAGGCAGCCAGCCCGCCATGGACCAGGTCACCTAGATTAGAAAAGTTACGAAATGATAAAGATTTTAATCATTCGAACTTAATATTGAAAGTCAGAGATCTAAGAGCTTTCTTGATTTTTTTCCGGGGTCACTTTTCTCAACGATCTTGGCTCGATAAGTCGGATGTCAACTCGAGGCACACAGATGTCACAGCAGTTCTGGTCCAATTTTCTTAGAAGCCCTAACACAGTCAAAGATGGTTCGGTTCATGAATTTTGCTATTTCGCTAAAATTGGCACATAAGTAAAAAGCACAGACCAGATGAGATTTTCGCAGCCATGAGAGTTGTACTAGTTAGTATACGATCAGACTCCAAGAGAACAGTAGACTATGGCTCTTCAAAATACCTACCTAATTCCGTTAACTTAGTTTTTTCATGCTATGTATCGTAATCACCACTGGAAGTTCATGGACTGGTAGTGAACATTAAATGGCAGACCCACCTCAATGTGGTCCATGCAGCTGTTTCTGATCTGGTCGTCCATCACACCTGGACCGCAAGAATAAACATACAAGTCAGACTTGGACTCTGATTTAGCCTCCTCGATGCAATCGCTCACCCATTGGTTCACATCAGGTCGGCTATCCACAACCTTGACAAACTCCAACTTCTCGTCATCTAACTTCACACCTTCAGTTTCACGAACAAAGACCGTCACCTGAGCGCCCTTTCACGAATATACTTGATATCCCGGCGCATCCAGAGAAATTCGTTGATGCTGTTGACGGTCCAAAGAAGCTTGGTACCGGCAGCATTGTCGTAAATGAATGGGAACAAACTGCACACTCCAAGACCACCAGCCATGAATACTCTAGCGTCGTTATCCTTATGCTTGATTGTCTTGCCGCCGTAGGGACCGTCCAAAAGACACCAGAGCCACATTCTGCCCTTTTCGTCGGTGGGCAATTTGAGAAGGCTCTTGGTGGCTCCTTTCTTGACTCTGACATACATCTTCAACACACCGGGCGACGAAGCAGGCGAGGAAAGAATGGAAAATGGGTGGGATTGCAAACACTGACCCCAGATTTTGGTATGGAAGAAAGTAACATAGACCGTGTTGCCAGGACGGTAGGCCATGTCGTATGCAAGTGGTTTGGGCAAAATCAACTCAAGAGTCTTATCGTCAATTACGTTGATGCAAAGCTCAGTAAGCCCACGGTTCAAGATAAACATTTTGCTCCATCTCATGACTCTGTCGTACACTGTAAGCGCAATCATGGTGTAGATCCAGCCCATCCAGCCAAGAGTAATGCAATGGTACCACATCGACACAATGAAGAGCCACCCGAAGACCTTGTGGATGATCAAAAAGGCCTCGTACATGAAGTTTCTGACGGGCTGGAAACTCTGGCCAATCATGAGAAACAAAAGGATGGTTCCCACTACACCCCATCTCCAGTAGTCATCCATACCCCAAGCCAGGTACCCGGCATCGTTGATGGCGTAGTCTGTCCACACTGCGGAGTGAATGAGTGCCTCAATTGACATGATAATGGCAACGTAGGTGTGGTATTTGATAAACTCTGCTCTGGAGAATCCGGTCAAAAGCGTAAATGGGTTATTTCTGAGGCCAAACATGAAAACCACGGGGAGGAGAGAAAACGAAATCAAAGCCGAGCGGTAGCCAATCAAGTCCAAGGTCAAGAAGTACACGTCGTTGATGTAGATGTTGGGAAGCTGGACGTCGTAGGAAAGCGCCGTAGCCAAAACGGTGAAGACTAAAAAGAGTCCCATCACGAGCATGTCGCCAAAAGTGTATCCCCAGAGACGAACAGGCGTGAGGTATTTCGAGCAAACCTGAGAAATTGTTCTGGGCGCCCTTACTCCAAGGTAGGTCTTCAGGAGATGAAGCACCGAGAAGATGCCAATCACTGCAACCCAGTACCATAAAAGCCCCCAGCCGAGCCACTGGGACTTGAAGACGTGATGGTTAATTTCGTCAAAAGAACGCATGTAAAGGTGGAAATCTGTGGCATTGACGCCCAACGGATGGTAGGTCTGTTCCTCCTTATTTTGTTCAGTAGGCTGCTGGATATACTGAGTAGCGTTTTCCCTCCATGTCTTCATTTCGTCCACGGAGTAATGGAAGTGGCCCTTTTGGAGACATCTTGTAGTGACGTGCTTCAAAGCATGGTCAATCTTTCCCTGGTCGTCGGTCTGCTCATATATACAATTCGACACCGACCCCAACCAGTCCACATTTCCACAGCGGCACATATAGTACTTATGGCCCTGGCCTGTTCCGCCACAACCCCAGTCAAATTCTTTCATATAGTAGATGCATGCTGAGGCTATGGAAGAGTCCACAATGACTAGCGAAAGCACCAGTGATAGCCATAAAAAAGGCACTAGATGGTGGAAGAGCATTGGGTGCAAAAAATGCGTCTTGGGGAATTCGGTGCATTATAACGGAACGCAGTGTCGCTGAAGCTGCTTCTGGAAACGGTAGTGGAAAAATGCTCATAGTGAGACGAGGAACAGTGGGGCGTATTTTCCGATGCCAAGAAGATTTAAGGTGTAGATTAGGTGGCTTTGGCGAATCACATTGCTGATATTGACGCCTGGGTGCCTGAATTCACAATAGGCATTGTTCATTGTTGCAGTGTCACTTCCCGAATGGTGAGCAGATACGGGGTGAGGTTTGTGGGCCAACTGAGGAGAATAAGCTGCGGTAAATTTTGATGGAGGGAAATAAAAAGGATATTGACTTCATTTTCGAATTAAAGTAAATGCTTCTATTGTTGTTGCCTTTTTTCGGTGCCAGGTGGGTGGATGTTTCTGAGATCTGACGATTGGTAGCTACGCAGTGCGATAATGGTTACCAGTAGAAAGTGACATTCGGCATTTCGTCAAAGGAATGAAAACTTCCAAAAATCCGGTTGGTTCGAAATCGCCTGATTTGAAACTTTTCATGCTAGCCGCCGTGTAATCCGCTGCACATTGCCCGATTCGCCATGAATGGTTGCAAAACGGCTCCACGAAAAGTGCTCATACTAAGCGGCTGGTTATATCGCCCAGACCTTGTCATCGGTCCGAAAGCACTTGCATGCGGTACCATTGTGGTCTGTTAAGCTTTCCCAAATTGATTCTGTTCTATTGGAGCATGCGATTTGATGGACGTAATGTTTACAGAAAAGGCCTAAGATCGAGTGGTTCCTTAGCAATGTTGACTCAATTGGCGTATTGAACTTCATCAAAGAACTTCTAATCTACATCAGGTCCCCCTTTTTATCGCTTGTCCTTATCATGACAAGAAATACATCGGAATTAGGTATTCGTTGACGATATAGATGTCAGAATGAGAATTGATCACTGCTCAAACTCACAAACACTTCATTGAACAACCTGGCTCACATGTCCCCAGCTCCGGAGTCAAAGCCATCTCCCCGGAATCTAATCCACCCAGCTCAGAAGACAGCTCGTCAGAACTCATCCACCCATAGACTGCCTTAGGCTCTCCTTTCAATCCTTCAGAAGCTGGGTTGCACTTTCCGGCGCTTCTCTGAAAAAGCGACGATCTCAGAGACTTGGCCTTCAACTTCTCTAGTTTTGGCTGCAACCACTTGAGTGGAGCGTAGAAGGCTTCCTTCACCCTCTGAGACTTTGGCCTGTGAGCTCCGAATCCAACCAGACTATCACCATCTGAAGAACTCGAATCCTTATCGGATCTGCCTCGACTCTTCCTTTCACCAAACAACCAGTCTAGATAAAACCGTTCACGATTGAACCTCCTCTTTTCTGCCTTTCTCAACCTTCTTTCAAAAAAGGCATCCACTCGGACCTTCACCTCACACCAATCGTCCCAGTTATCCCAGGCATAATCTGACACAGTGCTACACTCCAGAACCCAGCCAGATCCCCAAGAGCTGGACCAATCATCCCACAGACATTCAAATGACAGAACCTCAATATCACTGCAAGTGTCATCCTCAATCCAGTCGATGTTGATGCTGTGATTGTCATCTTCCATGATGCCCAGTTTGGCAAACTTCAACCATGTCAGAAGATTGGGGTCCTTCATTAGACAGTCGTAAATTGGATCAATAGAATAGATGCTCTCAGTTTCGTAATCTCTCAAACCCATAAACTGCATTACCCTTTCTGAACTTTCTTTCCTCACTGCCTCATGGTCGTTACAGAGGCTCTCCATACTTTCCAGTGGCAGATAGGTTTTGGGATTTTTCAACAGCTCAAATTCCATCTTCCTGAACTCTTCTGCTGGATCGATTTCCAAAGCTCTTTTCTGAAACCACTCGAGACTGTCTTCTTTAAGCTTTTTGGCTGCATTGAACCTCTCTCGAGCTATAGCTTCAGCTTTTTCTTCATAGAGTTTTTTGGTGAGTTCTACATTGAAATTGATATTACCCCAATCATATGAAGGGTCCAATAGAGACAATTGAGACATTGTAGTGCTGGTTGTTCCTAATTCAAACTTTGCTTTTTGATCTGGGAACTAGAGTAGTTGCGAGGCTGCAAATATCCTCGAGCGCTCTCTTTATATACTACCACTACAGACCAGCATAATAAACATTTCCATTCACAATCTACTTTTTGTCAAATTCTTTGATGGTCTTCTTCAAAGACTCATTCTCCTCTCTCAATAAGTTCAACTCAATAAGGAGACTCTGCTTGTTGCTGTAGCTTACCATTCTCTGTAAGGACTCATTCTCTGCCAGCAAGACCTCCAACTTGCTCACGAGTCTGTGGGCCATCTCCTGTGCGTCGAAGGTACCATTTTCTATGATGTCACTACCTTTGTTCATCACCAACGCTACCATGATGGCTTCCAATCTCGACTTGGTGTCCTCCAAGTCACTGGTCCTCTCATTCAAGGTCTGTGTGAGGTCTTTGAAAAGCTGGTGGTATTTCTGGGGCATCTGCACAGATGGGCTATCCTTGTAATTGGACCCAGATGCCTGTGTCTTGTTTAACTTGAAGTTCTTGAGCTTCTCTGCTACGGACTTGTTCATCTCAGTCTGGAAGGCAAGCTCGGCTTCTAAGGCTTGCACCTTGTCTGATGATACTGACTTGGCTGGCTTCAACGCCTTGCCGTCAAAAGAGCTATGCTTCGAGCTGATTGAAGCTGACGGCTCTTTGTTCTCCTTCTCAAATGATGGAGTGTAGCTCTGGTTATTGTAAGCCATACGGATGTCCCTCTTCTTTGAGAGATCGATCAGACCATCGACGCTCTTGTAACGTGCCTGTGGAGCTGCGACATAGGAGTCGGCTCTGGGCCGATGGATGTAGTTACTGTTGATAGTGTTTTCATATTGGTCTCCAAGTCCGGTGATAGACAACAGTCTCTGCATCGGATACATGTTCTGGAACAGGTTCGTGGAGGAGACCGATGGACTCACCAAGGAGGACAGGAAGCCAGCGTTTGAAACATAATTGGCCATCAGGATCTTTTGAGCCGTGTCAAACTTGTCACTTACTGACTGGGGCGACGTCCAAGCTGGCAGTGCCTGGATCAGACTAGCAGACACGGTAGACGCGTTGATCAGCAGCTGACGGGACTTGCCATTGAGAGTGTCGTTCAAAAGGGGGAAGAAGTCCGGGTCGGTGTCCTCAGTTTGGGAGCCAGCATATCCACTGGAGTTCCCGAAACTGCCAGAACTGAGCGTGTTGAAGATAGGGGGACAATCCAAGGTCTGAAAGGGTTAGTAAGACGCCGTGCCAGCGTGCTGGAGGGTGCCACTTACATTGGCCAGTGTTCGATCCATTGAGCTAGAAGAGAAGAAAAAGTTGGGAAAGGAGAAAAAGGGGGACCAAAAAAAAGTGGGAGATCGGCCGTATTTATAGTGCTGTCTCCTGGCCGTTTCACATTTGCAGCCATTTCGCATACAGGGTCCACTTCGAGGCATAGCCGAGACCGGGGCTTTTCAGAAAAAGTTCACTTATGATTTTTAAATCTTATCTTTAAGAGATAGATCAGGAAATCTATGAAATTCTGTCTGGGAGCAAAGGCACGTCTAATGCAATGTCCAAGCTACACCTACAGGGTACAGTTACATGCATGGGCACATACGCATATCTATTGAGTTCTATGGCAGGAAATGCCCAATTTGGGTAGTTGAATTAAGAAAACCTTTCCTTGACCAATTTCTATAGCATATCTATTTCAACTTTCTTCATAGCGAGAATCACCTCAGAATCCAAAGTAGGCGTTTCCAGCAGCACCTCCAGATCCACCATTCAACATCTGCCGTAACATAGGTCCCAAAGGCGAATTGAGCACTTCTTGTGGTAACTTCAAGATCCTATCTTCTAGGTTTTTACCCACCAAGAATTCCATCACCACATCGGTGAAATGGTTGCAGTTGTTCTCAAAGAGATCGTATGCCAGGGCATTGTACTTCTGCTGTTCATGGTTTCGAAGATCTTCTAGAAAGTCTTGAAGAATGTCTTCGGTGATATAAGTCTCGCCAACATCAAGAACCTCTTTCGGTATTCCGTACTTCGTTCTTCCAGCTGGTGCCGCCTTGATGCCTTGATCAATATAGTACTCTTTGCCAAATGCCACTACCAGAGTGTGGTAGATGCCGTCTATGGACTTGCCGAGGAGCTGTGGCGAGTATATCGCAGCAAGACCGTGAGATAGATCGTAAACGTTGACTTTGACAGGTTTGGCTTCGTCAGACATGAAGAAGAGTGGTTGTGGAGGGTTGAAGAAATGGCAAGTGATCTGCTTATCGGCACGTGATATAGGTTCCAGTGGCGGTGGCGGTGGAAGGCAAGCAGCAGGACGCAATGGTGATTGTGGCGGGTTTTGGAAGATAAGGAGAAAGGATAGGGTAATTGATGTTGTTTTTTGCTTACATGGGATGTTGGCGGGGAGAGGAGGCGTTAGAGGATGTCTTGAAGAGTTGAAGGGTCGGATTCAAGATAATAAGGAAAACTGAACGAGTTTTATCAAATGGGTCTTTCTATCAAAGAAGCAAGTGAAATGAAAATGAAACATTTGTTTTATAATGTCTAGCCATTTTGGACTTCAATGAATATAGGGTTTAAATGGCTGCGAAATGTTGATGCAGATAGACGCATCTCGATGTAAGCCCAAAAGGAGTCTAAATTGTGTAAGAAGAGTCTTCAATTGGGCTCATTACCGTTAAAGCATTTTTCAAGTGGCTTGAATTTTGAAATCGAGTTTCAATGGATGTGATGTCTCAGGACAGGCATGGTTGGTGGGTATCTGAGACGGGATAACCCGTGAAGCCTCAACCACAGCGGTGAGGGTATTACAAGTCTACTTCTGGGACACCGCAGTTCAATGATTAGTTAACTGAATAATCGATAAAAGCAATAAAATAAATGTACACCTCCTAACTCAGATGATGATACATATCATGCTAAGATTTCAGATCCTCATCAGGGTGTTCCATGCACCTCTGTAATTCCGATCGCGGTCACAATGGCTGCAAACTCTCCCACCAACGTTGCCTATTCCTAGAAAAATGAAATTCATTATTGGAAAGACTGACTGAAAATCAATAACGGAGAGAAATCAAATCGAATCATTCAAAATACGAAGATCTGCCTGATCTGAATTCTGTAGCAACCACCCCTGCCCAACTGCAACAGGCTAAAAGGAGTAAACCCATTAAAACTACCAGCAAAGATACAGCTCATACAACCTGTAAACCAAAAACACACGAATTTACCCATCACCCCGTACATGTCCCACCTACGACCGCCTCCAATTTGCAACCACCAACCGGTCCTGTGCAGAGGCCCTGAGCATCGAAAAAGCCGGCCTTTTTTTCTTCACCACAAGCTTAACGCTGAATCGCCAGAGGCCCATCGGCATTTAGAATGATCATTGCGCCGTCGTTGCCTTAAAATATGCTCCCGCCTCCCGTCACCGCAGACATCCAAAAATACAAGTCTCACCTTGACGATTTCCTTTCGAAAAAGTATGTCGACCAGTCTCTCCTCCTAGGCTTCAACGCCGTGGTCCAATCCAAGTTTTCCCAGTGGATCCAGGACGACGTGGCTCGGTACCACGAGAAACAGCACTCTGGCGCTACTCCGCAAAACCAGGATGCTGAGTTTGCGCTGGTTGAGCTTTTGGAGATACTATGGGGTAAGTTTTTGCACCCCATCGTGAAGTTCTACCAACGCCAGCATGCCGATTTGTACTTGCAGTCGGCAGATACACTCAAGGACAAGAAAAAGGGGAACTTCAAGATTGTGGAAATGAGAAAGTTGAACGAGACCTTCACCAAGTTCGTCAAGTCTTCCACTGCAGCATACAGATCCATTCTCCAGCATATGATGGCAACGTACGAAAATCCGTTATTGCCGAAAAACTACCTCGCCGATTTAGACATTGCCACAGGCGCAGGCAAAAAGTGCACGAATTCCGATTTTAATGCAAACCTTACCTTCATCCTCTACCACTGTTTGTTGGGATTGGGTAATTTGAATAGACACTCTGCCACCATCACGGTCACATATGTTGATCCTTGCAAGTCAGTGAACGCCTACTACAGACACTTGAAACAGCAGGACAAAAACGCCAATTCTCTCAAGCATTACGAGCCTGCGTTGCAGTGCTACCATAAGTGCATTGGTTTGCTTCCAGCGCTCAATGAGCCTTACAACCATATTGGTGTTATTTATAATAGCGCCAATGCCAAGTTTGATGCAACTTTGTGGTTTTTGCGCTCTCAGTTTACCAGAATACCGAACTACGTTGTTGGTAAGGTGAACCTTGCAACGATATTCAAGAAGCAGTGGCTCGAAGGAGCCTATACTTCCATTAAGCTGAAACACCCTCGTCAAATGAACGAGGAGGATATCAACATCTGGCTTCTACGTATTTTGGCCCAGATCTTCTTTTCTTCTTTTTATAAACGCCCTCTTAATGTTGAAACAGCAGAGAAGGAGATCATCGGGGTGTTGTTCTGCAACCCTGAAACTACTCAGTTTGTCAAAAACCCTGAATTCATCAAGGAGCATTTGACCGTGTTGATCTGCTTCTTCTGCTGGGCGGAGGCCGAGAACAGCCAATCTGCTAAGAAAAAGATTGGTTACTTCTTCGTCAACTACCTTAATGCTTATCTCAGAGACGTTGCGGAATTGAAGTTCAACAAGGACGTTCACCTCCCGAACTTGCGTTTCATCTTGGCTTTCCTCAGAAAACAAACAGGGCTTCTCAGCTACGATCGTGGGGAATTGAACCATTCTGTTGCAAAAGCCGTGAATGCTATCGTTCTCAACGATCTGGAAAAGCAAGCCCACAGGCTCGCTATTCTCTCAGATGCCTATCTTGCTCAGGACCTTCCGACTCGTACGCACTACTTTGCTGAAGATGTCAACTTCAAGGACTTTGGCCCAATTGGCTTCCAGTTCAAGGACTTCCAGGACACGAGATTGTTTTCCAGTGACTATGTCGGACCACTTTTTGGTGGTGAGTATTTTAGCAAAGCCCAGGGCATTCCCTTGTTTTTGGACAACTACGCTGTCCAGCAGATTGACAAGGAGTTCGAGCTCAACAGCGAAAATCTCGATACTGAGAGCAAGAGAAAGCTCAAGGCTGAGCTCATTGCACAGGCATCCGAATCGCTTGAAAACGATATGAGGTTCTGCGCTATTGCCAAGCAGGTCAGCAACAATTTTAACGATTTAACCCTCGATGAATACTCCCATTTGCTCCAGGTCAAGGTGGAGGTTTCGGCCACGCCAAATGTGAAGGGTATCAAGAAGAAGTCTCCCAAGCCAAAGACTGATAAGAAGGCAGAGAAGAAGAAGGATTATGCTTCGATCATCAGAGAGGGTCCCAAGAAGCCAGAGGAAGCTAAGAAGGTGCCCAAGAAGCCAGTTGAAGAGGATAACGAAGTGCAAGTCGCCAACCTGTCTACCGAAATTTCCACCTCCAATGTGGCTCCTTCTTCCATTGAAGAAATTGAGCTGATGATCGCAGGCCATGCCCAGTCGTTCAGACAGCAAAATGGTTCCGGTGGAATTGACACCGAAGCGGGTCTTTCTGATATGGTCAACTCCATCATCAACGATACCTACCAGGACAAGTCCAACGATGTGGTGATCCCTGATTCTCAGGACAGCCTGGGTGCTCTCAGAACGTCAACCCAGGAGCCTGTGGATGCCACACACCAGATCCAGGCTGCTTCTACCCAACAGGGATTTTCTCAACCATTGCCTCAAGGAAGTCCACAGGTCCAGGGCCACGAGTTCCTGATGAATCAGCCTATGATGCCGCCAATGGGACAGACTCCACAATTAGGCTACTCCATGGCACAGAGCCAGTTTCTTCAAGGGCCAGCCCAGCCTTTTGGATACCCACAGGGCTACGGAATGCCCGTTTATCCTGGAATGGCGCCACCTCCACCTCCACAAGCTACGCAGATGCCAGGTTCATCCCAGGTTCCTGATTTCCAGCAATACGCCAGTATCTACGGTCAGCCGCCGGGAGGATTTGGAATGTACGGACCACAGGGTCCTTGGAACCGCCAGGCACCATGGAACTACTACGGCGGCAGTTCCCAGAGCAGCCAGAACTTTGGGTCTAGCCAGTAATGGTGCCTGGAATGGTTGCAAATTGCAAATTGCAATTTGAGCAAGAGGGGAATTCACAATGACATTATTATTTTTTCCAAATGCTTATTGCATTGCTAAACACCCTGCTACTGTGAAACCAGTTCTGCATTCTGAGTTCTCGATCCGGGCCTATCGGATTCCCGAGTATGGTACCTAGATTTGACAGGCTCGCACCATCGCCAGTTTGACGCTATGCATCCGCAAATCAGACCAACCGCGTAGTTCACATACAAATGAACAATACCGAAAAAGTGACGATCTCTTCTTTCAAAAACAACACCAAAGTACGTTGACAGATCTAGAGAAGCAACAGCAAAGGGCAACGACAAATCTATGAAATGTCCCCTTCAGTATGGACCCGTCTCTTCGTACTTCCTGCACACACCACACTGCCTTTTCACGAAATCAGACCAGACTCATTTCTCATCTTTATGGTCGAGTCTCTTACTCATAGGATCTCTAAACAGAGCTACAAGGTGGAGGCGCCTGCTGCCGACGCGCCTCTCGACGTGCTCAACGAGTACTACTGGACAAAAGACGCTGAGCCCCATGTGGCCAGGAGAAAGGCCATTATAGCCAAATACCCGAGGTCAGAAAGCTCACGGGTCACGAACCCAAGCTGAAATGGTATGTGATGGCGGTGGTGGCGTTGCAGGTGGCAACGGCGGTGTACTTGCGGAACACCCATCCGATTTCATGGAAGTTTTTCGGTTTGGCCTATGTGATAGGAGCCACGGCTAACCAGGCCATCTTCCTCGCTATCCATGAATTGTCCCACAACTTGATGTTCAAGAAGCCTTTGCACAATAAGCTTTTTGCCATCTTCACAAATATTCCTATTGGTATTCCCTACAGCGCCTCGTTCCAGCCATACCACCAGTTGCACCACAAGTTCATGGGCGACGAGTACTTAGACACGGACTTGCCTACTTCGTTAGAATCAGTCGTATTGTCGAATGTCTTGGGCAAAGTGTTTTTCGCCACGTGCCAGATCTTCTTCTACGCCTTGAGACCGATGTTCATCACCCAGATCAACTTCACCTACATTCATTTGATGAACATCGTGTTCCAGGTTTCTTTCGACGTGGCGCTCGTGAAGCTCGCTGGCGTCAACAGCTTGCTCTACTTCATCATGTCGTCCTTTTTGGCCGGCTCCTTGCACCCCTGTGCTGGCCATTTCATCGCCGAACACTACGTGCTCAACGAAAATAACGTTCCTCGGGCTGGCCACGAGAAAGAAGGCAATCTCACGCCCGAGCTTGTGCCCGCAGAGACATACTCGTATTACGGAACGCTCAACTTAGTGACGTGGAACGTGGGCTACCACAACGAGCACCACGACTTCCCCTACGTTGCATGGACCAAGCTTCCAGAGCTTCGCCGGATCGCAGCCGAGTTCTACGATCCTTTGCCAAAAGTTGACTCGTGGTGTGGCGTCATCTGGCATTTCTGCTTCAACGACGTCAACACGTTGTGGAACAGAGTCAAGCGTACGGGCAAGGAGCGTCTGGGACGGAACGTTAGCGGGTTGGACAGGAATCAAAATTAGGATAGGATAGGAAAAGTATGATAGGCAGATTTCGCCGTTCGAAACAAAAGTAGTTTCTTGGTATGTGCCAGCTTCTGGCAGTTCTATTATAACACATTTACAAATTCTTGACCAAACGAGTCAAAACGTCAGCATCACCGCCGTTGTAGGCAGCCAACTGCTCCTGAACAACGCTAACGATATCCTTAGCCTCCACAAGCTCACCCTCATTACTGTCATCGCCCTGGCCCAACTTCTTCACTCTCAACTTGCCCTCTGGGTACTCCTCCTTACCCAAGATAACAGCCAATTTGGCACCAGACTTCTCGGCAGCATCAAACTGTTTTCTAGGGTTGGCCTTAGCCTTGTAGACGTACTCAGCGCTGATACCAGCCTGCCACAATTGCTTAGCAACAGACATTCTCTGTGGCAAGAAACCAGTCCAGTCAGGACCACCGCCAAACGCCATAACGTAAACGTCGGTCTGAGAAGCAGAAAGAGACTCCCACTCCTTAGCGGCTCTGGCCTTGATGATGGAGAAAATTCTCTCGACACCGAAAGAAATACCCACACATGGGATGGACTTGCCGTTGGAGAACATACCCACCAAGTTGTCGTAACGACCACCGGCAGCAATCGAACCAACACCAACGTACTCAGACGCATCCTCCTCAGAGTCCTTCTTGGCCTTGGCCTTCAACTCAGCAGCGTTCTTTGGTGGAGCAGAAGCGGCAGTGACAGCCTCGTAGATCAAACCAGTGTAGTAGTCCAAACCTCTCGCGAGAGACAAGTCAAAGGACAAGAAGTTGGAGATACCGAAAGCCTCGGCGTAGTCGGCCAAAACGGCCATTTCCTCGATACCCTTCTGGGCGCTTTCGTTGGTTTTCAAAAGCTCAGACGACGACAAGAACTCCAAGGTTTCACGGATGGAGCCGCTCACCTTGACGAACTCACCAATTTTATCGGCAACCTCCTCGGTCTGGCCCTTCTCCACGGTCATCTCCTTCTTGACAGCCTCCCATGGAGACTTGTCCAACTTGTCCACCGCAGACGAGATCTTTCTGACGTCCTCGTCCTTCACACCGCAAGCCTGGAAGATACCGTCCAAGATCTTTCTGTGGTTCAACTTGACCTTGAAGTCGGAAACACCCAACGACGTCAAACCCTCACACAAAATGACCAAAATCTCCGAATCGGGCACCATCACGTCGTAGTTGCCCGCCATGTCAAAGTCACACTGGTAGAACTCTCTCATTCTGCCCTTGGTCATAGCCGGCTGGTCTCTTCTGTAGACCTTGGCGATGTGGTAACGCTTGATGGCGCTGATGCTGTTGCAGGCGACAAAACGGGCGAACGGAACGGTCAAGTCGTATCTCAAGGAGGTCAATTCGCCTCCCTGGTCCTCCAAGTTGTAGATCAATTTGGAGTCTTCACCGTACTTTCCCGTAAGAATCTCTCGGAGCTCAAACACCGGCGTGTCGATGGTCACACCACCGTGTTTTTTGAACAAAGAGCTCAAGGTGCCGAAGATCTCCTCTCTCAACACCATGTCCTTATCGGCCCAGTCCTTGGTACCCTTTGGGGTTTTCAAGAGAAACTGGGACTCCTGCTTTTTTGATTTTTTGCTCTGCTTGGCATTTGGGGCAGCAGCAGCGGCTTTGTTGGCTGTGGGCTGTGTGGCTTCCGTGGACATGACTCTGGCGAACGTTCGGGTGGATGAAAGTCGTAGAAACCGCTTGAACATTCGTTTCAAGACGGTGGGGTGGAAAAAAATCCTATAGCAGAGTGTGGTGCACGGGTGTGACTACCCTTCCCTGGGGCTCAAACGGTGGAATCTGGCGGCTGTATTTGGTGGTGGATGATAAAATGCGGTTTCCCTCCATTATAATAAAATACAATAAGGCGGCATTGTCCCATTTTTGTAAGTTGGTGGTTCAATGTTGGTATCCCATTTTCGCAGCCATTTTTCAGCCGCTTGAGCGATGATCATCAGTACAAAAGTACAAAGTCAGCTGAATTCAAATAATATCTCTGTCCAATTAATTCAGGTTGATTGACTTTATTTAGATCTTCTTTCAAATCTTCTTCATTATGTTCTTGAATTCGTTGTCTACTGACGCACCCCAATGCCTAGCTCGTATCCTCTATTATCATATATCAATCTACCCTTTGGTGCAGACCAGGGACCCCAGTGGCATCCTCTATCTGCGTAATTTTGTTGAGCTTGTGTTTCGTCATGAAACTCGAATCGACTTTCTCGTCATTCATCCATTTAATCCTCATTAATACCGTTCGGCTTGGAATATCCCAAACGCATCACACCGTCACTGAGAAGACGCTTACCCCAGCTGCCTGCCGCAGGATCACCGGTCTCGTCTCTGCATTGCTTCAAGAACGGTAGCAAGGACGTACCACCTGTACCCTTCTCTTCAACACCAGCAGCCTTCTTTTTCGCCAATCCAGAACGGAGAGTCGACGAAGAACCCATCTTGGGCGCCTTCTTGGCCTGCAATACGACATAACGTGTGACGATCTGGATGTGTTTGTCTCTGAACAGCTTGAGCATGGCCAAGCAGGCGTCGTAGCTGAGAGTGAGCTCCGAGTTCTGCTTGTTCTGGAAGACAAACTCACGAATTTTGCATTCTTCGTCCACCATCGCCAAAAACTCTCTGTGCTCCTGAGGCATGTACTTGCGCATTTCCACGAGGAAGGCGTTGGAAGCCGAACCGGTGCTTTCCTTTGGTGGAGCGGATTTGGCCAAATCGGGAACCGGTCTCTCGCCAGTCGAATGGTGCTGAACGCTCAACAAGGAGTCAAGAAACTGGATCAAAGAAGACTGGGCGTTGGAACCACCCGCATACGTTCTGTGGGCCTTTTCGTTGCCGTAAATCACACCATTGGGGTGAAGACCCACGCCTTCCATGTTCTTCCAGCCGGCCAAGTAGGGTCTGATTCTAAAGTAGAACACGTGTGGATCACACATCTCCTCCATACGCATGAGCACGGAGCCCAAGTGGTCGATGGTCTGAGCCAACTCCTGAAGACTCCGGGTCAACTGCTCGATGTTGCCGTTCTTGGCGTGCTCCATGGCCTGGAGACCATAGCGGACACACTGGCCGCCGCTGTACTCGAAAAACACACTGACCAAGTAGAACCAGGATTCGTCGATGGAGCCTGTGAAAGTGTTGATGGTGGTGAGGTTGTCCCAGTTGAACCTGCCTTGGGCGTATTCGTCCAGACCGGGCATGATTTCTCTGAAATTCCAAAGGCACAAACCGGCGTACGTGGCCAAAGGAGGGAGTCCGAGGCGGTCAGCAACTTCGATCAACGGCTTTGCTACCTGTTCGGGTATTTTGGACGACGGCGTCGAGGCGCCCCATACGTATCCGTGGGCCAAAAAGCCTAGAACGGAATAAGCCCTCCTGAGCTCAGGAAGCTCTTGGATCTCGGCCACGTCGATTTGTGGGAGTTGGTCTATGACACTTCTGATTCTTCTGCTGAGAAGCAAAGCAGGCAAGTTTTCCACGATATCCTCCCAAGGCTGAAAACAGGGCTGGGGGAGTCTCCGGAGCGGGAGCTCGGCCGGAAGGAACCCTGTGGTATCCAGCACTGAAAACGTCTTGATGTCCAACACCATGAAGAAGAAGTGGTAGTTGCGAAAACTCAGCTGATTTGCAGGATGGAGTATCTTCGGAACGAGGCCTTGGAAAAGCGGCTTGGCGGTGTGGGTCAGGGGCGATTTCGGAAGAAATAGGAAGTGGTACGATTCGGGTGATTTATATAGTTTTGGTTTGAGGGTTTTCGAGGGGCTTTTAGTTTCGGTGTTTGGTGCTGATGGGTAATGTATGTCTCAGAAACGGTCGATCCTTTTCGCAGCCGTCCAGGGAGATGGGATGTGTGTTTTGTATGTCAAAGGCTGATGATGTGATTATTCATGAAGTTGAATAAGTTGAGTTGATTCTTCCCTTTGGACAGATTTGCTGATTTTGCCGGCTGGGTCGTTATTATTGTTGCTAGTGTGGATGATAATGTATGATGACAAACCACACTTGCTAGTGCGATCACCATAGACTTCAGTTGCAATGACACCTAAATTTTCCAATACCTTTTATCATCTTCATTCCTCGATTCTATGAAATTCACTACCTCCTCCGTCCGGGCTTTCTCCTCTTTCTACAATCCTCCCGAGCAAGCCTGATCAAAGGATTGGTCTGCTCTATCATCTTGCCATAAGCCTGACCAAACTCCCGAATAAGCAAATTGTGGTCTTCACAAAACTCGCCTGCTATATCAGGGCCCTTTTTGCCGAAAAGCTCTAACAATTGCCTCGCCCGTGGAGTAAGCTCCTTGTATCCTGGCATCTCTTCAAGGTAGATATTGCTCTGTGTTGGTTCGATTTCCATGAAATCCAGGAAGCCCAAGATATGGACGCCTCCCCAGAGAGCCACCTGTTCTCTAAGATTTAAATTAAATCTCGAACACAACTCGCCAAAGCTGGCCTTAATAAAAGGCATGCTGTCGAATCTTCCTCCGGTCCATGGAATCTTGGATGCTCCAAGCAGCTCCAATATCACCTTGGCGGTGAAAGTCCACATATCTGCCGAGCTTATGGGGAAATCCTCTCTCAAAACCTCCATCCACAAAAAACAAACCTCGAGTTCGGGCTCCAAATACATCATATCAATGTCGGTACCGTCCCAACTGAAGTACTGCCAGCAGAGTTTCAAAAAGAGGTGTTTAGGTAAGCCCAGAGTTTCGATATATTTCTCGATTGCAATCCTGAGGTGCTTGAAACGGCTGGCAGTGAGGACTGGAGGATGATTTGCAACCATTTTGTGGAGCACTCTGTGTCTCTTTTTGATTTTCAGCTTTTTTGCAGCCTCACAGTAGGATGTGTCTGTCACTGAAGAAGAGGAGGAGACTTTTGAAGATACGTCGTGGGGATCGAATATTGAAGCTTCATCCACAGTGGATGTTCCATTGAGGGTCTGTGGATTCTTTGACTCTTGGTCATTCTGTTCCGCCTCATTGGACTCCTCTTCCAAATCCGAATCCACATACCCCTCGATCACCTCAACGGTATGGTAGGCATTCTCCCAGATCTTAACCTTCATCAAGTAGTCGCTGAACCCTTCAGTCTCAGCAAGCGGGATACCATTGAATCCAGTGTCGGCTGGGTTGCCAAAGAGATACCGGTGTGAAACGTAAAGAGCCTTTTCCTGGATTTCTGAAAAGTCGAAAGTCGAAATCTCCACCACATAATCCATTCCTTCCATCGGACCTTCAGGAATTCTACGTGTGATGGCCAATGGGTGCAAAAACCAGCACAGGTACCAGAAAACAGAGAGAGCAAGCTTTGTGGACTTTAGGAGAACGCATTGGAGCGTCACGAGCGGCGTCACGGCCACAGCGCCAAGTTCCACTAACATTTTTTAAAAAAAAAGTCAAGAAGAAGAACAAGTAGTGATAAGATTTCCCCAGCATGGTCACCTATCAAAGTGGAGGCTTGGAGTGCGCACGGTGGCACACCCGTGCACCACGGACGGTTAGTGACTTTTTCCCCTTTCCCAGTCGGCATTATACCTCAGCACCAACAAAGCTCCAATCTTCATAAACACTAAACCATGTCGTTCAAAGGCATCAAGAAGTCGGTGTTGCGTGCGCCGCAGAACTTCCGGCAAAAGCTCAATATGGGTGAAATCACCCTGGACCCTGTTTACGCCGATGCCGAAAGACGATTCAAAGAGTTGGAGTTGGAAACCAAGAAACTCAGTGAGGAGTCCAAGCGTTACTTTGCCGCCGTCAACGGCATGTTGGAATACCAGATTGACTTTTCCAAGGCCATTGAGGAGATCTACAAGCCCATCAGTGGGCGTTTATCGGACCCCAGTGCTACCATACCCGAGGATAACCCAGAAGGTATCGAGGCGGCGGAGTCGTACCGAGAGGTGGTGAAGGAGTTGAAGGAGCTGTTGCAGCCGGATCTTGAGCTTATCCAGAAGCGTGTTGTTGACCCAGCACAGGAGCTCTTGAAGGTGATTCAGCTGATCAGAAAGATGGCCACCAAAAGAGAGCACAAGCAGGTCGACTTGGACAGACACAAGCGTACGCACAAGAAGTACGAGGAGAAGAAGGAGCGTACGGCCAAGGACGAGGAGAAGATGTACAGTGCCGAGGCCGAGGTTGCCGTTGCTCAGGAGGAGTTTGACTACTACAACAACATGTTGAAGGACGAGTTGCCCACCTTGTTTGCCATGCAGCTGGACTTCATCAAACCTTTGTTCGTGTCGTTCTACTACATGCAGCTAAACATCTTTTACACGTTGTACAGCAGGATGGAAGAGCTCAAGATCCCGTACTTTGACTTGAACCTGGACATTGTCGAGGCTTACACTGCAAAGAAGGGTGACATCGAAGAGCAGACTGACAACATTGGCATCACCCACTTCAAGGTGGGCCACGCCAAGAACAAGTTGGAGGCCACCAAGAGAAGGCACCAGATGATGAGCGGCAACAACACCGGCTCGTCTGGTCTGCCAGTGTCGACTGCGCCAGGCACTGCTGGTGCTCCAGGAGCCGCTGGACAGACCCTTCCTCAGTACACTCCGGGCCAAACAGGCAACAACTACGGCTACGGCAACGAGAAAGCACAGTACCAGCCTCAGCAGTACGGCCAAGCAGCCGCCCAGCAGCCTCAACAATATGGCCAACCTCAGTACGGCCAACCTCAAGAGGCGGCGCCACCTCAGTACGGTGCTCCAGCTGCTGCTCCAGCTGCTACTGGCAGTCCAACTTGCACAGCCTTGTATGACTACACTGCCCAGGCCCAGGGAGACTTGACGTTCACGGCTGGCGCTGTGATTGAGATTGTGGAACAGGGAGACGCTAATGGATGGTGGACTGGACGCTATAATGGCCAGACGGGAGCCTTCCCAGGCAACTATGTCCAGTTGAACTGAGAGTAGATTAGAATATACGCATAATGGGGGATGTGTAGCGGGGCCAGCTACAAGATAAATCTTAGTGGGCTTCCCATAGACAAAAGGACTATGTCGAAAACCACGCTTTTGTCCACTTTCTGGTCAAGCAATGACCAGTCTTGACAGCCATTGTTTTCTCAGCTGCTGAGAAAGTACACCACGACCCCGTGGATCAAACTGACAACAATGGAATCCTCAAAACGAACAATACAGCAGGACAGCCGGATTACAGCCGTTGTGCAGGGTTATGAACTCAGTGGAACATGACCAAAGCTTAATCGTGGAACATTGACTTAAGCAAGCTACGCACGTCAATCCAGCTACGTCAAAAGAAAAGCACTTCAGCCTTGTCTCCATGGTCATTTCGCAGCCAACCCATCTAAGCCAATCATCGATTCCTGAAGTCGCATGTAAAGAAGACAGCACAATAGCAATTGGTAAAGCCACCTTCTCCTCAGTGGGGAACGATTCCCATCGTAAATGGCGGTTTTTCCAGATCTGTGCTTTTGTTCCAGATCTGACCTTCTTTTTCCAGATTAGCACAGATCTCCCGCGGTTCTCAAATGGGTCCAGATGGACACTCCGTGTTGCATTTACGTGGAAGATCGACTCCAGCATTTTAGCGAACACGCCGGATGCAGCCGAAGGCAGTGTCCCTGAAACGCTGAAGCTCACAAAGCAAGAAGTTTAACCACAATGCACAAAGTTCCCTTCATTGTGCACAAAGTTCCCTTCATTGTGCACAAAGTTCAGTTCATGGTGCACAAAGTTCACTTCGCTGCTGCACAAAGTTTACTTCATGGTGCACAAAGTTTAACCACACGAATGCACAAAGTCCTTTATTGCTGTTTCAGAGGTGCCACCGCAAAAGCTTAATTGTGCGTTTGTGCAAGTGCCACTATTTTTGAGTAACCGCCACTTTGCTTTCGTAATCGCCTGGGTGGTCCGTTTCAGTGGTGATAAAATAAGCTGAAAATAATGGGCGATCGCTACGGTCGCTGAAAATAATGGGCGGTCGCTACGGTCGCTGAAAATTCGCCGGATACAGCTTCGCCGGATACAGTTTCGCCGGAAGCTGGGTACAGACTCTCTGGATGTGGTAAATGCGGCTGCGGTCACGACGAGGCTCCGACCCAGCGGACCCATAAATCGTTGGGCAAAGACAAAAAATACATGTATGCTTTTTGGCAAAACGGCTTCAATGAAATAATTCACTCAACTGCTTATTCATTTTGCTTTTTTCGTTCATGTCCCTTCAAGCTCTGCTTATCTGTGGAAGGCGGCGGCCTGTCTCCCGCGGGCGAGGATCTCCACTGCACAGTCTGCCTGCACTAGCAGAATTGAGTCACTGGACTTGTTTGGCCTCGTTTGCCAGGCGAAGGCTTGGTAGGTTTAAAAGTGTCTGCGTTTCCCTGACGGCCATGTTTTTGTGAAACTTTGTGATTCTTGTCTTTTTTTTTTGTTGTGCTTTGTCAAAACTTTGTCGTCTTCCTCGTCTTCCTCGTCTTCGTCCTCCTCATGTGCATGTGCCTCATGTGCTGGGCCCAAAACTCCAAGCAGACTGGAGCATATGGCGGTGTTTATTATTTGGCATCCCTCATTAATAGAACTGTCGTGCGGCCAGCATTGCGTCCGTAGGGTGCATGGAAAGGGTGACCCACGTCATGTGATCAGGCACATGGCAGCTCCCAAAAAAAAGAGGCTTACGAAGTCCGGTGGTTTTTTCCCTAAAAATTTTGCAACTTTTGTACTAAGCCGTGAAAAGCGGCTCATTTTCCTACGGTTTCTGGCCCTGTGCCCGCGGTACGGGTCTCGCTTTATGGTCAAATGCTCTGGTTAGAGTCCCCCAACCCTGATTGACTCACGACACGCATGGTGCATTTTGGGCTCTGCAGGAGACCCACTGCAGGAAGCCCGTGCATCTGCACCATGCAATGCACTGTTAAGGCCCACTACAGGAAGCCCTCAATCCCTCCATGCCAGGCGAAAACCGCGTGTGCAGCATGCAGCGTGCAGCTTCTTCTGCGCCGCCCAGGTCTCTCAAACCTCTCTTTACTAATTCCCATCTACAAAAAAAAAAAAAAAAAAACCGCCTCCTCGAATGTCGGTATATCTATAGCGAAGTCCGCCAGGGGTCCCGCCGCATTTTCAGCATTTTTTAGGAACAAGACAAACCGTAACTTTCCAATCCCTATCCCCAACATTCCAAGCCATAGTTCGTCCAAACACATTCATCAGATATTCTCCTTCCCTCGATCAGCCTTAATTGACATAAGAGGCTCCCCCAATTTGATGCTACCGGCGTTCGTCCAACATTAAAAGTATGTATAACCGTTGAACATTTCAGAGTTTTCGCCGAAAGCGTGGTTTGAAGATCACGTAGATCACGTCTATCCCAAGGCGATAAGAAACCCGTGGGGCACCGTCAGATCACGATTCAGCAAAGATCTGGAGCCCACCGCCCGAGTTTTCCTTCAATCCGTATCCATCCCGATCCTCACCAACCGACGTTGAATTTTCACCAAATGATCCCACACCACCTATCCATCGAACCCTAGCCAATTCACACCGCCGTCGTTGCTCGTTGCACGATTGTTCCACGCTATCCCATGCTCGAGTAATCCCCAACTCGCCTGCTCCACCACATTTCCATTACACCACCGCCTAACGAAATTGAGCCACACCCAACGGCCCATTGACGTCTCCCCAGGAAATCCAAGCCCCCGCTTCAACCTTAAACACAAAAACAACGTCCCGGGCCCGGCCGTGATTGGCTGCAAGACGTGGTTCACAACCGGACGGCGATTCGCAGTCGCTGGCTACTGACCCAGGCGGGCTGAGCTGCCGTGAGGGAGGATTGGGAAAAAAACGATTTGATACTTTTCGTTCTTTCTTGATTTTCATCCCGGCGGCTGGATCGGCGGAGGTTTTGCAATTGAACACGAGCGGGCACAGTGGAGCAGTATTTACCACTGGAGGAGTCAGAAAGCGAAGTTGGTGATTTCGGTGAATTTCCATTCAACCAGCTGCAATTGATTTGAGGATTTCAAAGCATTTGCAAACAATTTCGTTTTCCAAGATCCCCGAAACCCCATCCCAAGATCCCCTAATCTCAGTCCCACCCCAGATCAATTCTCTCGGCAAACTCAATTTCCAACAAAACTAACCCCAGTGAGCCTGTGGCAACCGTCGTGGTCGTCGTCCTACCCAAAAAATAACCTGTCCCAGGACCCCCTCTACACCTATGGCATGCCTGGAAAACTCTCCAGGCCGTCCTTCTCCAACGAGGAGAACCCCACGCCTACTCGCCAGCCCCTCTACCTGCCAAACCCGCTTTCCCAGCCCAATTCGGCCCAGCCTTTGGAAAACCAGCAGGAGGGCCTCTCGTCCTCGCCGTACCAGTACATGCAATATCCGTTGCAGCAGCCTCCTGTGATAGGCCCGGCTTTCCAGAATAACCTGAACCCCAACTTCAACAATAACCAGGAGTTCCACGGCGAGTGGGACCCCTCCATCAGCAGCGCTGACAGAAACGGCCTGGTTGCTTCGAGAGATTCCAAGGAATCCACCCACTCCCGCTCCTCTGTAGACCAGAGCAGCTCAGAAACGTCCCGTTCGCTGAGCGATCAGGCCAAACCCCGTTCTGCTTCTGGCGGTGTCACGAAAAGATCCCGGATGGGCTGCCTTACGTGCCGTCAAAGGAAGAAGCGGTGCTGTGAAACGAGGCCCAAGTGTTCCGAGTGTCTGAGGCTTCGATTGAACTGTGTGTGGCCCAAGCCTGGAACGGAGCACAAGAACAAGAGCAAGGAGGTGAAGAGCCAGGAGAACACCATTGATCACGATGTGTATGGCAAGATCAAGGTGTTGCGGGGCATTGTGGAGTACCGATCCTCTTGATGAAGAAGCAATTGAGAAGCCAATTCAGAAGAAGCCAATTGAGCTAGGTCTTGACGGATTGTCTTACTACTCGAGTATTGACGCCATGACCTTGATCTGTTCACCAGAAGTCTGGAACTCCCTCACTTAATCCAGATAGCGGGCGAAACAAGGCAGCGTTTCACATTTGGTGAAGCTGTTTCAGGATGTTTTCCCACTGGTGTTCAGGAATCCTCATGCTGACAGTGTTTCGACAGATTCTACAATGTCGATCCACAACGCTATAAGCTGCTAGGCTGCTTCCCCAGCCTAACACCCTTTCTGGTCCGCCAGACGCCCTAGGGCATTTTTAGATGACAATACACATGCACCGGATGTGCAAAGATAGATTTCAAAACTCGGCTGTAGGCACAAAACGTAGGAAAGATTTTGATGTCCAAGTTAGTTCAACGAGCGTTTTATGTCAATTGAACAGAACCTGTCACTTAAACCAAGTGACAGAATAAACTTCCATTCAAAACCCGTTCCTGACGGCTGCCCGGCTATCTCTACAAACCCAAACAGCCGTCCAGTGCAACCTGAGTAAACCGAGGAATGTTCAGAAGGATCTTAGCCAACAAACAGAAACTTTAGACGACGAGAAATATTCCCACAAAAGTCATGCCTGAGCTTATTGGACTAGGGGATTTCGCTTTTCCCCAGAGGAGCCACACTGGCGCAATTGGCCATGCTACGTCTGACTGGACTAGCGGGTCGTTTCCATTCCAAGGCAGCTCGAAACGATGCACAGTAATGCCCGTAATTGAGGAGAATTCCAGCGTGATGCAGAGAACTGACGATACGGAAGAATGGCGTTTCTAGAACCGTCACAACCCGTAGTTCCAGAAACAAGCTGAAACGACGACTCCGCATCAGAATCTCGTTTAGCAACCCTGCTTTGTGGAGAAGGCCTAAAGTTAGTTTCACAAAGGTCTTGACAAAAAGCAAAATCTCGCCAACCTCCCACGCAGCCTTCACCAACCAAAAGAGAACCACAAAAACAACACCGCAAGCCAGCCCGCTGTCGACAGAAGCCTCAGTAGCAAAAACAAGGCGAAGGGCCCCGCCCGGTCCGTGCCTAGAGCCCCAGAAACACCTTATCATGGCCTTTTCACTGTAGAAAGGGTAATCCAAGCCGCCAGGTAGGCAAACGCCCGAGTGTAGACGCCATGCCGCCTTTCGGAAGCCCTGAAAACCATAAGAAAACCCACATGCCGACGCCGAAGACCGCCAGGTTCGGGTTCAGGGTCGGTACTCCGATGCACGTAAGGGTTTTGGCGAGCTAAGAATAAGCGGCATACAGCCCTTTTTACAGAATGCCGGGGGTAAGCAAACTGTACGGCTGGTAAAAATGTCTCAAGTTTTCTTGTTTGCTGGGCCCTCCACCCGTGGGAGCAATGTGCTGGTGGTTGGGTGGAAAGGGTCCAAATTGGTACCGTCCAGTCAATTCTCTCCAATCTCTCCTCCCTCCGGAATTGCCCAGAAACCGGACCTCCAGGCCGTTGGAGGCGGTTATCGTGCTGAACAATAGCTCCGTTTGTCGACCCCAGTACCCTGGAAAACCGAAATTTAACCGACACACCTCGCTTCTATCCAGAGGGTGCAGCAAACAAGGCCATGCTGGATGGGCTAAATTAGGCGGAGCCGCCTGGAGCCAAGGGATTCTCGAAAAGGGAAATCACGATATCTGGGGCGCCCTGCTGCCAGGTGGGAGACATTTCTGGGTGTTTTTTTTTATTTCGGTTAAGGGTTCAGGCATGGCGTTAATCAGCAAGTAGCCGAGGAGGTCCTGTTTTGTTATGGGGGCGTGTGTGCCGGACCAGCTGGTGGCTGGCGGCAGGCCGCTCAGGCCGTCTACGAGGTTTTAAGAACCGGTGTGGTTTTTTAGAAAGAAAAGTGGTGTGTTTTGGTGGAGATTCGAATTTCTGGAATCCTGCTGGATAGGCCCGCCCAAACACCCGTACACCTTATGATGCACGGGTGTACACTCTCACTCACCCAAAACCTCATACATTTTTCTAAAGTGCACACCCGTGCACCATCAACACTCTGTTCCTACCGCACCAACCTCAACACCACCTCAACCCCAAAAACCCTAGTTTGCCTGCACAGCACCGCCAATGTCCGCCGAACAACACACCTTGCGGGAAAGGCAAATATGTATGTTTCTATTAGGCCTTGGCCACGTGACTCAATTCCCCTCAATCCGCTAACAACCCAGCCGCCCTTGAGCGAATGCTCCACCTCAACAAAGACGGCACTGCCGATCTCACGTTGGCCTCGAAATCGGAGGAAATCGTGTGGAAGGTGCTTGTGATGGATAAGAAGTCGCAGGCGGTGATTTCGTCTGTTTTGCGTGTCAATGATCTATTACGTTGTGGAATCACCGTCCATGCTTTGCTTTCAGGCTCCAGATCGCCTTTGCCTGACGTGCCTGCTATTTACTTTGTGGAGCCTTCCGTGGAGAACGTGACCCAGATTATCCACGATTTGCAGAACGACACGTACGAGTCGTTTTACGTGAATTTTACCCTGACCATCAACAGAGAGCTTTTGGAGGAGTTTGCCAAGAAGGTCTCGCTCTGCGGCAAGGGCAACAAGATCAAGCAGGTCTACGACCAGTACCTTGACTTTATCGTGACGGAGCCCAACTTGTTTTCGCTCGATACGGCCAAAACCTTCACAAAATTCAATTCTCCTTCGACCTCAGAAGACAACATCCACAGACTCGCCAACACCATCGCCGACGGCCTTCTCGCCACCTTGGTGACCATGAACTGCGTGCCTATCATCAGATGTCCGAAAAACGGACCAGCGGAGCTTGTGGCAACCCAGTTGGACATGAAGTTGCGTGACTACAACTCCAATTCTCGTGGCTCTGGATCCCAGCTGCTCCAGCAGCGCCCCGTGTTGATAATTTTAGACAGAAACGTCGATTTGGCGTCAATGTTCTCCCACTCGTGGATCTACCAGTGCATGGTGAGCGACGTTTTTGAATTGCGCAGAAACACCATCAAGGTGGTCAAGTACGACGATAAGGACAACTCGCACGTGAAGAGTTATGATGTGGACCCTAAAGACTTCTTCTGGAACAAAAACTCGCAATTGCCTTTCCCCGATGTCGTTGAAAATGCTGACGTCGAGTTGAACTTATACAAGAAAGACGCCCAGGAATTGACGAATAGAACAGGCATTTCTAGCATTAACGACATCAATCCAGACGCAAATGCCGACACATCGCTTATTCAGCAAGCCGTCGAAGCCTTGCCCGAGCTCACCGCTAGAAAAACAACATTGGACATGCACATGGACGTCTTGGGTTCGCTTTTGAAGGAATTAGAGGCCCGTACGTTGGACAAGTTCTTTGAAATTGAGCAAGGGTTCCTGGACCCCAAGGTGCAGAGCGAGTTCCTCGAGCTTTTGAAGTCAGACTCCAAGAGAGACAACTCCCTCGATAAGTTGAGAACGTTCCTTATCTTGAGCCTCTTGGCAGACTTGCCAGAATCTTACTCAAAGCAGTGCGAGCAGACCTTGGCACAGAAGTATCCTCAGCTCGACATGAGCGCCATAAAGTACGTTCGCAAGTTCAAGCAGATGACTAAGATGTCGCAGAACGTCTCCTTGAACGAGCAGCTGAGCTTGAAACACAGCGTTGGCGACACCAACAACTCTGCTTTGTTCAACGGTCTTTCTTCCAAATTGTACGGCTTTACGGAAGGTAAGCTTTCCGGCGGTATTTCCTCGTTGGCTAGTGGTTTGAAGAAGCTCTTGCCAGAAAAGAAAAACTTGCCCATCACCAACATCGCAGAGGCCATCATGGATCCAGCCAACGCCTCGAACAACTCCATGCATATCACAGACGAATACTTGTACCTCGATCCCAAGTCACGAGGTGGCCACCTGAAGCCGCCAAAGAGGCAGCTGTACGAAGAAGGCATTGTTTTTGTCGTTGGCGGTGGAAACTACTTGGAATACCAGAACTTGTCTGAGTGGGCCAACGTGCCCGGCAGACCACACAAGGGCGTTGTCTACGGCAGCACGGATATCGTCACGGCCAAGGACTTTGTACAAGAGATACTGGAGCTTGGGCAATTGGATTAAGTCGGGGAAAATGGGTGTTGCAAGAACTACCTGAGCATATATTAGGCGCTCTAATATAACGAAGTGCACGTAACCCTACATCAGCGTAGTAACGGTGTGTATTGTATCTGTCTTCGAAGGCACTGGGGCCGACTCATATCTGCGTATATTACATTTTTTAGAGGTAGCCCTTGGTGGAGCCCAACACTTGCATGGAGCGGCGGGAGTCCAAGAACAAAAGCTCACACTCCTCGACGTCGGCGGCGATGATCTCGGAACGGTTAGCCGTTTTAGCCAAAATACCGGCAGGAGCCAACAATTGCAAGGCGTATCTCAAGGAGCTGGCAGCGCCGTGCTCCGCCAACTTGGTCAAGGCGTCCGGAGCAAGCACGAGGTTTTCAAGCTGGGCACGTTTCGAAACAATGGTCTTGATTTCCTCCTGGTTGTAAGGAAGCGTCTTGACGATCAAAAGACGGTCGATCAAGTCGGGAGGACAGCCGTGCGGGTACTTGACGTCGTCGTCGGTGCCTCTGATGGTGGTCATGCCTCTGTTGGAGGCCAAGATGACCACGGGCGCAATCGAGCTCTCAAGCGCTCTGTTCAAGTATGTGAAGATTTCAATGTCCAACATGTTCACCTCGTCAATGAACAACACACCGGGGATGAGCTCGGCCACGCCCTGGTCGATGTACTTCAGCACGACCTTGTTGACCTCGGCCCGCAACTTGTCGGTGATTTCCGTCTTCTTGGGCTTCAACAACTGGCCCATCATGGAAAGCACATCCTGGCCGCCCTGCGGACGGGCGTTGGCCACGTCCAAATCGTGGAGCGTCACGTCCTGGACGATTTCTTTCTTTTTGTGCACCTCCCCCTTGGGCAAAGGCACGTACTCCTCGGCCTCAAGGTCGAATTCGGTGGCATAGGCGTCGGAACGACCCACACGCTTAACGGCTCCGGTGTTGGCCTCCACGTAAATAACATCACCCACAACAACCCGCTCTTTCTGGATGCTCTCGTAAATCAGCGGGTCCAAACGCAAGTTCTTGGTACCCTTGGCCGTTTTCAAGCCCACGATAACGTGAGAGATGGTCTTTCCATACCCGCCCAACGGGTTCTCGGCCTCCTCGGGCGTCAACTCAATCACCTCTCCTTCGTACACCTCCTTGGTCTCCTTGATCCGGAGGCCAATGGCCTTTCTGAAGTTCTCCATAAGCGCTGCTGTTTTCTTGACTTCAGCCGAGTACAACTCCGATCCGACAATCGGACAAAACGGCACTTTTGGCCCGAGTTCCTGGGAAACCGCCAACGCCAAAGCGGTCTTTCCGCTGCCCGGCGCACCCGCCAACAAAATGGCCTTTCCGCTCATCCGTTTCGTTTTGATCAAGTCAACCACAACTCCACACGCCTCTCTGGCCTGTGCTTGTCCGACAAAACCGCCATCGACGGGTTTCGCCACTCCATGCTCGTCAAGGCCTAGACCCTTGATGTGCGTGTGCGTTGCCGTGCGCAGCGGCCCGGCCGCGTACTCCTTGACTTCGTTGATTTCAACCATGTTGATTGAAGAAATGGACTGCGATGGAGATGTAGTAGGTGGAGCGCACCCGTACACCAGGACTTTGGGGCGTGGTTTGGGCAGTGGTTTGGGCAATATATATAGAAGGGTGCTTTTTATAACTTTTATTTGAACATGGGAATGAAAGAGGTTGAGAGGATTTTTGGGGGCTTGTGTGGTGGGGGATCGGCTGGTGGATATGGAGGACTGAGGATGAGAATGTGTGGTTGCGAAAAAGGGCTTCCATTGATTTAGCCTAGTCTTCTGACTTTTTTCAAATATCAATTTTGTTCTCCATTCCAGCCTAGTAGACCAAGCTGAAGAAGAATGAAATGTTTGCACGAAACCTCTAGGACGGCGGCATGTATCATGTCACAATCGTATTCAATCGTTGAAACAGTCCGTGCAGCTTCGTTATTTTTACTTCAAAATGTAAAAACACAAGTACCAAAGCGAATGTGGTTGCGAAAATGGGCTATCTACATTGAACTTTCTACTTTCTTCCTTTTGCTTTTCAAATTTCGAAGTATTTCTCAATTATCAGCTCTGGCGACCAAGTTGAATAGATGTCAAATATTGAAGTCGTATATCAAATGGTTGTTGTTTGCAATGCTTAATAAGAAGGTGGGATTCATTTCGTTTTTTTTTCTACTTTCTTCTCTCGAACTATTTCCAACTCGTGTATCAGCACTGCTGACCAAGTTAAACAAACCTCAAATATTGAAGTCGTATATAAAATGGCTGTTGTTTGCAATGCTCACTAAGAAGGTAGCATGTACCCTCAATCCCATCCCGTGATATAGTTTTAAACATCGAAGCATTCAATTGAACAAAGCATAATTAAGGGGAAGCCTTTTACAGTGTGAGATGTGCTGGTGGAATTTGGGTGGGTATGTACCCGGTAACCGATGCAATCACTGCATCTATAGAACTTCTTCAAGTGGGGGCTCCGTACGTTAATGGAGAGTTTAGATTGTGAGCTTCATGACTTCTGGCAGTGCAGTTTTCTTGTAATGAACATGGATGAAGTCACGAAGCAGATCACCTGTGTGTTTCGACATTGAGAGGATGCATCATGGAATAGAATTCAGAGGCTTAAATCCCAACAGCTTAAGATTCACTGATAAGGGTAAAGCATATGACGCCATCTTTGTACATAAATTGTGGGTTTGCTTGATTGCAGCCAAAATGGGAGGCTACATCTTTGAATTTTTGACGCTCTTCAAAATTCTGATTTCGGTTCTCCGGCAAAGAATCACATTCAAGAGAAATTTTTAAATTTTTCAAAAGCCTGCTCATGCTTCTTATTGTTATTAACCTTGGGTGTGGTTATATTCACAGCGGTTAACTCAAAGCTTCAAAATCTTACCCTGCGTCTATTTTTTTTCCTAGAAAAAATAAGCTTTTGCTTTCTGAAAAATTACCTACCAACTCTATTCCCGATCGAAATTACTTTAGACATCTGAAAATGCAACTGATGCAAAATCTAGATCGGCCGACGCTCTAATTAAGGAAGCCGTGGTGCCTCAATCCTGCCTGGGTCAAAAACAGGAAACACCAGCGGGATTTTTTAAAGTCGTGAAACTTAGAAAAACATTTCCTTGAAATGAAACAGCCCAGAATCCCAAAGTTACACGAGTCCCCAATGCCATAAACAGAGAATCCAAAAAATCAAATATATGACGGAAAAGGGACAATCAGAAGTCGATTTCGTGAACAGGTGAAGAGGGGTTGTTGAGAGCATAAATGGCTTGTTTTCTCCGAAACGTACTAAAGGCTTCGGGGCTCCTTATAGTATGACAACGGTAACCCTTCAATGTCATTGATAGGGCTGCACTTCCAGAGGTCAAAGGGTGATTCCAATAGATCCCCTAGATCCCTGAATATCCACAAATTCCGGAGAAAGTAGGACCCAAAGGAGCCCAAGAAAGCTCAGGAGGTCTACAGAACCCTACTATCCCTCTTTCACCGGGTTTTCGGACCGAGGCTTCCGAAGCTACAGATTCAAAATACGGCAACAAAAGTATCATCAGCCACACAATTCGGGACCAATGTTTCTCTACAATCGTTCCGACGGGCACATTGGCAGAAGTTGTGACTTGATTGAAAGAGGAGACATCCAGAGACTTCGAATAAGACGAGTGATTTTGCGGATTGCATTGGAGGGATTTCACACGGAGAAATTGAATTCGAAAGGAGCTGCTATTGCAGTTTGGGCATTGACGAGTTATGTCTTGTTCGCTTGAGGGAGGTGGATTAGGGTCAGAGATATTTGGAATATAGTTTCTGGAGGGTAGCAAAGTAGGATCTTTAATTGACCGGAGCAAAATCAAGATGACCGAAAAATAAACATTGAAGACAAATCATCTCCTTCGTCGACATTGTAGCACCGGTTACGGATGAAAACTCACCAATCAAAGCAATCCTGCTCAAGACAAAAAAAAAAGAAAAAAGGCCACAAAGACGGCGAACAGCTCGGTTAAGCATACACGAAACGCTTCTAAGTCAAAGTATAACATTTTCACCTCCCGAACGAACTTGCAGATCCTAATTCAAAAAGAGCTTTTCTGCATCGATGCATCTGCTCCAAAGATGATGAGACAGACATGCCATCAACATCGCTACTTTTGCGTTCAACCGCCCAAAAATGTCCAATTCTGTGTCATAACATTCCCATCAACTCGTCCTTGAAATCTCTCAATTCCAGTAACAAAAGCTCCCACCAAACCTCTTTGAAACCCTCTGCGAGTACTACCGAGCTGCTTAACTAAAACATCAGATTAGCCAGGATACAGAGGGACAAACTCCAACGAAGTTTCTTTAGGTACCGAGGCATCCTGTCTCATCACCAAACGACTTTGCCGTCTTGCTGGACCCTGCTTAATCGAAGCTGTCAACTATTCCTCTCTACATATTGACGAAAGCCTCGGCTTTTTTGGAGAAGAAGAAGACTCTCCAAAGTTGGCTAGAACTATCGTGACGTTCCAACCTAGCTTGAATCCATCACTCTACCCGCATGTAGGCGCAAGGATGAAAAAAAAAAAAAAAAAAAAAAAGCTTCGGAAGCGTTATCCGTGGCTCTTGCAATACGGACGCAATTTCGAGATCCCAGATTTGGGGCTTTGAACACTTTTTTTTATTTTGATGCTTGTTTATTCTTTTTGGCAAACCGCTACCAACTCGGTTCGTCTTACGCGTTTAAACGATATGAACCTCGTGCTCGAGGCGAACCCTTGCATTACTCGACAAGTGCATAATAATATTCGGACTCCCGTTACACGAAATCCGGGTCAAGCGGCACCAGAATTGAAACCAAGGTTTGTAGAACAAGAACGCTTATCCATCAATTTGTTTTTTTTTTTTTTTTCTTGAGGAGGTGTGGCTCTTTTGCCGTCTTCGTAACTTTGCTGATCTACCAGACGGATAAGCGACTCGGGTGACGCTTAAGCAGACGCAAAGGCCCATCGTCACCCGCTAAAACGCACCATTTGAGGTATTTGTCGAAATATTAACAAGGCAGAAAGCCCCAAAATCCTCCAGGATGAGCGGAAGTCCGCAATGTGTATCTTAAATAGAAGCTGCGGTATACCGGTTTTGTCTTTATCTAGAAGCGAAGCCTCTTGGACTTGCCTCGCTCACATGTACGATGCATAGTAGGAGCTTTTGCTGGTCCAAATAAAAAAACGCACGTCCGTATCAATGCATGAGAATCCCCAGGGCCCTCGGCGGCAGACTGGGGCATTTTTCTGACTGGGTTTTAAGAAGGTGGTTTTTTTTTGGAGGCATTTTTAAATTGGTTTTGACAGATTCCTGAGCGGCTTAATCAATGGGATTGTTCTTTAGCAGCGGCGACTAGGAGTCCTGCAGGACTTGTTCAATGCGCTGGTCGGAGATTGGAGAGCATGTGTATTCGAGAAGAGAGAGCCATTCGACGCACCATGCGCGACAAGACAATTACACATGACGCACTCTGCATTATCAGAGACGCACTTTGCAAAGCCGGTGACGCAGAGCGTCAAACGCTGCAGAAGGTCGCTTTGAGGGCGCGACATTAAGGCGTGCACATAACTCCCACAGCCTTTTCTCGTACTGCAGGCAGCTATCAGGCCGCTCGCCTTCCACTATCCGAGTCCAAGCTCCAAACCAGTAACAATTGCAATTTTTTTTTTTCAAGTAGAGAGCCCGGGTGAATTAGGAAACGGTTAGTTGCTGCGGGAAGACCCACGCTACAAATTTTATCCTCGATACAGAATCCGCCTCGTATTGTTTCATGTCGCTGGTCAATAGAGCACATAGCAGAAAACGCAAAACCTCATATCCTCTCCAGAATAAACGCTGACCGGGTAGTTTCATCCCTTGTCACTTCAACCTTATATCATTGTTTCCCATGGGGCTGAAGATGAACCCATACATAGCACTGCACACTTGTACCTTCGCTAACTCTCGTCGGTTCTTTTGAGACATTGATCCTCCACCGATTTCATTCCCTTTGCCTCGATGCGGTCATAACCGGCAGAGTCGTTTCTTTTGATCCTGGCAACATGCATGGACTTTAGCTTCGAAGCTCCTTTTTGAATTTGAGCCATGGGACGTGGTAGGAGCATTGGGAAGAGGGGATTGCACTTTAATGATACATGGGGGCTTGCATCCTTAATTTCCTGACTCCGGAAATGTGATATTTTGGGGATTGTCTGGAATGGTCTGTATATCTCCAAGTACAATTGCAACGATTGCAATTTGACATTTTCTGTGGACTGTCTGGGATTTGTCTGAATATCTCCGAGCAGTAACAATTTCAACGATTGCAAAATGCCCATCAATGCATCAAACCTCAAAATGCGAATACGAGGACCCTGAGTCCAATTGCCATTTGCGGTCAATGCAACTCCTCTCCGAGAGTATCTGCAAAATTCCTTCTGGGGTAACTGTATCCCTTAAAATGTGTCATGACGGGGAGACCGCTTTTTTTGTGGAACTTACTCTGCCTGTCTAGACCAATTCGTGGTACCTGTATTTGTCTGGAGCTCTGACAGTGTCAGTAGCCCGTGATCTCCCTAAATAACAGTCGGAGCTCGGCCTATTGACTATTCCGTAGAGGTCATGCAACGAACATAGCCACGGACTTGGACCCAGGGGTATATGCAAAAAAATTTAGTCATCCTCGGGAAGCTCAAACTCGTCGTTTGGTTCCTTGGGCTCTTGATTCTCGGACCATTGCGTGACATCGTCAATGTAGCTGAGAATGGTGGCCACAGACGTGGTGTCTTTTGAACATGTAAGGGGAAGGAACTGTACCATGCCAAAATCGTCCACTAGCTGTGCAATGCTCTTGTTGAGGCGAGCGAACCGAGGATTAAGCTGCTTGTCCGCGTCCTTCTCCAAAACAAGCGGGTCTGGGTTCAAAAATTGTTTAAGCTGTTTCTTTGAAACTTCATCTTTGATGAGGTCGATCTTTGACAAGATGTTGATGTGTGGTAATTCGAGCAAGATCATCGCCGACATTGCACTTAGAGCGCCACTGAAGAACTTGGATCTGTCAATGACAAATGGCGCTTCCAATAAATATGTGGCACACAAATTGAAGTTCAATGTTGTCTGTAAATGACGCACAATCGTCGGCAAGACAGGCACATGCGTATAGAGCTCGATCTGACCGGGACAGTCAAAGATCAAGTACTCGTCGTTGTAATCTCCAATTTCCTCATCGAGCCAGTCCAAGTTATTTAAAAGGTACTCAAAGCAAAACACCAACGCACCGTTAGGACCCATGCCCATTTCTTCCATGGCATCATCCACGGAAATAAGGTCTCTGATATCCACCGTAAACTCGTATTCCGTTGGTTCTGCCGCAGGATCCAAATTCACTATGTGGGCTCTTCTGCCAATTGATTGCATGTGGTAAATGATGGAATTGCAAAATGTCGATTTTCCGGCGCCCGCAGGGCCAAGTGCAAGAACTCCGATTCGGGACATGGTGAAGTTGTGGATAAATCTGTAGTTTTGTGGGGAATTGGAGATCTCAATGATGTATTATGTGATGGCTTGATGAGGTCGTGCGCAGTTCATAAGTGCACTAGCGACACCAGCACAGGTCGTAGTCGTTTTCCATCTGTAAGCCAACGTCAATCTTGTATTTGGCAAAAACTTCCTGACACTGCTTTTTAAGCAGAGTTTTGCTTTCTCCCCTGTAGACCTGTATGTGGATATAACCTTTGATCTGTTTTGAGTGGGATGGCCAGAAACGAACAGAAGTGAACGACTTTATGCCCTTGATGGTGGTGATGTCGTTCAAAGCATTTCTGACTGTTTGTTCCTTCTTTTCGCCAAGCTGAAGTAAGAGTGATGAGCCTGTGGATTTGATGAGTGGCACAGCTGTTGAAAAGATCAATACAGCAATGATGATCGACGCCACAGGGTCGAAACCTTGCCATTTAAAGAGTGTAGTGAGAATTGTCGAAATCACCACTCCAACGGATCCCAAGGTATCGGCAAGAATGTGAAGAAAAATTCCTCTCATGTTGTCATTGACCTCCTGTTCGTCGTCTGCTTCTGCATGGCTGTGGCCGTGACTATGGGAATGTGAATGAGAGTGTCCATGAGAATGTCCGTGATCATGGGAATGTCCTCCATGACTGTGACCGTGGTTGAAGGCAAAAATACCCACGATGTTCACCAAAAGGCCAAGAATAGAGACGATGATAAGTTCTGTGGTTTGCTGGAGCGCCACAGGGTGGAAGAGTCTGCCAATGGCTTCGAAGATGATACTTCCACTGATTCCCATGAGTAAAACGCCGTTGGTGAAACCGGCCAAAATCTCGAAATTTTGAAGTCCAAATGGATAAAGGCCGTTGGCGTTCACGGGGTTCTTTGAGAGCACTCCGGCTATCAAGCCCAAGGCCAAAGAAGCACAATCAAGCGCCATATGGAGAGAGTCACTCAAAAGACCCAACGACTTCGATCTGAACGAGTACAAAAGCTGCACAAACATGAAGGCCGTGTTGAGGAGGAGGAAGTTGAAAATGGCACGGGTGTCTGAGTGGCTGAGAATCTCCGTGACAATGTGTGGTTGAGCTGTAGGAGTATCTGAAGGAAGAGCGGTGAATTCCTCCAGAAGATCGACTTTAATACCCAATGGAAGCACCACCGACACGATGGCGTCAAGAACACCAAAAGGGCTCGTTCTAAGTACAAATGTCTCCAAGGAGTAGGTGAAAACGGACACAACCACCATATTAGTAGGAGAACGCAACTTGGCCTCTGGAAGCAGCACCAAAAGCAAGCCGCCGGCGGCCAAGTTCATCAATAAAAACAAGTAGTTAAGCTGGGTGCCGTAGAGCACCAAAACGGACACTCCAGTGGCCGCAGCAGCACCGAAAAGTACCGCATAGTGCTTCGCAAAAGGATTAAAGTGTCTGAGCAAAGACTTGCGGAGAAGCACAAAAGAACCAATCAAAATGGCGTAGCCCACAACTGTCGACACGGCAGTACCGCTCCACGCGTCGTAAACGAACGCCAACGCCGTGTATGGCGTGTAAAACGAAAAGTACAACCCCAAGTACAAAGTGGCCGTTCTGGATGCTGGAAGCACCGCTGACGCGGCGAAAAACGACGCAATTGCCGCCAAAGCAACCCAAAGCGTTTTGGAAGACCGGCTCTTATGGGCAGACAGCGCCTCCAGATTGACCAAAAGGCCTCCACAAGCCAGAAAGAAAAGCGCCTGGAAAATCAGCACCAAAACACGTAGAAACCAGCAAGAAGTCGTATGTGGCGCCTCGTGGGCCACCACAAGCCGGCCCGTGATAATAAGCACCGGGAACGCCGCCAAAACAGGCAATGTGCTTTGGAAAGCTTCTGTTCTCGACTGGAAAGGTCTTTCTGTGGACTTTGACGGGCTTGGCGTGGACGGATTTTGCTCAAATTTCGCCGGAAGCCCCAGCGGGATCGTGCCGAGCGGCGGACGTGTTTCGGGGTCCCCCACGCCGGCGTTTGTGTGTTCATTCAAAGAAGGTGTAGTTGAGTTGGTGATATTTGGCTGGGGCTTATGGGCAGGACGTGTCTCGTGGGTGTATTATACATTGACGAGGGGGTGGGGGAGTTGTTGATTTTTGGTTGGATTATTTTTCTTTGTTTGAATTGAGAAGGGTTGTATTGTGAGTACGTTTTTATTGAATTTGGGTTGGGGTTGGGTGTTAGGAAATGGCTGCAAAATATCACGCTCACTGGAATGTAGCGATACAAAGTGGTGGATTAGTTGAGGTGGAAGAAAGGAGACCTTATTGTATGTAGAAAGAATTGAAAAATCAGTACGTAAAGGACTTGTTTAGTGGATGTTGTGACAGAAGAGGTAGTATCATATAGTGCTGGGTGCATGTGTAGCTTTCAGCCTCGCATCTATAATAAGAAGCCGAATAACAAAGCTTTTATCGGATTGAGAATTATAGAATAGATAACACGTATTAGTCATAATTGAAATTTTGTTTGAAAAATTGATTCTGTGAATGGCGAATGGTATGTGAAAGCCTCGTTGTGGGTAACACTGTCATGCTAATCTGAAGATGAGTGGAAGTTGAAAGACTGTCAGAAGTTATGACTCAAGGAAAGAGAAATCAATAAATACCTTGACAATTTGCTTTTTTCCACATTTCGCCTAGATCAAAATTCAGATTCGGACTGACCATCCTTCTTTTTCCACTTTTCAAAACTGATTGGTGAATCAAGCTTTAAAAAGGACCTTATAATGTTCAGTTGATGTGACGCATCCAGCGCTATATGATAAGAAGTTGGCGAATCCCATATTATCTGAAAATTTAGCAAGAGGGATGAGGGGGGATAATGAATTGAAAGTAAGCTTGTCCCCGAGGATTTAATAGTGTACGGTTTGCTGTGTCTATGTGAGACACTAGGGCAGTACTGTAAGGATGCTCGGATGCATCCATGGTAATTACGACTAACACTTGGATATAACTTCCTTGACTTCTAAACTAAGACGAAGCACTTATACCTGAACATAGATAGAATTTGTTGTGATCTGTTTTTACGTTAACGGGAATTGCCTAAAGTGGTTCTCTTGTCTGATATCTGAAACCGTGAATTTCCTGTTATTCCGTGTATCACCTGGTGTCCTTCTTCGAGTCAGGAAAGTAGCTCCTCCTTTATGTTTGATATCCGCTTGGTGCTAAATGTGTATCAATCGTTCCTAGCGTGTTCCTCACAAGTACCATGACGATCTGGAGTGCAACTAGATGAAGTTGAAAATGCCGTAGTAATGAAATTTTTATTCTAAAGATCAAAAGGGCACGCCTTCCAATTTTGCCTTTTACGAGGTCTCGCCCACTTCGAAGTATGGCCTGTCAAAGTAGCAACCGACTTCTCTTGTCCAGTATTCAGAACGGACTGGAGACACCAATTGTTAACTCAACCTTCGAAAACAGAGAATTCAATAAATCTTTTTCTCGAATTTTAGACGAAAGAGAGAAAATGAAAAGAATGGCCCATTTGGAAAATACTTACACTGTCTAGCTGCCTAGATCCACAGAACGGACCACTGGAGCTCGTAAGATTCCAAAGACAGCACGTTTAAATCCTTTTGTCGAGTACGTTTTTTAAGCAAACGGACACAAATAATGCAATTTAATGCAAACTGAGTCAAAAGTCGATTATGGCTATCGGATGGTAATAGCCTTTGCCTTCTATAGTAGACCTGATTTCGCAGCCACCTGATGTGATCTCATACCGACGATTCTCCCACACACCGATTTTGAAAAGCCATAGAGCTGTAATTCTTTAATTTATTCAATCACATTTTACCATAAAGCCCTCAAAATTTTGAAATCATCCCTTCCCCACCTTACCTACTACCCACCCATTCGCAGCCATTTCACCATACTGTCAAACAACCCCGCCAATTTCCACGAAAAACACAGAATTCCAAAATTCCAAAAACACAATCCCCAAAAATCACCCAAAACTTCCCCGTCCACGCCTTTTCCTCCCCAAAACCCCCTCCAGCCCAGGTCGTGTGCGCACCAGTGGCAACCACAGATCGCTCACCTCCACCTTAAACCTCCAACAACTAACCTACTATAGAAACATGGCCACACTTGAGGAATTGGAGCAGGACGAGCTCATCGATCAAGAGATCGCGCTGTCGCTGACGCAAGACATTGCCAACAGAACAAAACTTCTTCATAACGACATTTCAGTGATGTTCTCTGAAAGCCAGAGACTCAGTCACGAAAAGGCCGTCATGGCCGAACGCATCAAGGACAACCAGGAGAAAATCAACAACAACAAACAGCTTCCGTACTTGGTGGGCAACGTGGTGGAGCTCTTGGATCTTAATGCCGAGAAGGAGGCGCTAGAACAGGGTGGTAACTTGGATGTGGATGCTGCCAGACTGGGCAAATCGGCTGTGATCAAGACCAGTACGCGGCAGACGATCTTTTTGCCGCTCATCGGGTTGGTGGATCCGGCAGATTTGAAGCCCAACGACTTGATTGGCGTCAACAAGGACTCGTACCTCATTTTGGACCTTTTACCTTCGGAGTACGACTCGAGAGTCAAGGCCATGGAGGTCGACGAGAAGCCCACGGAGGATTATTCTGATATCGGTGGCTTGGACAAGCAGATTGAGGAGTTGATTGAGGCCGTGGTGTTGCCCATGAAGCAGGCTGAGAAGTTCAAGGCCTTGGGGTGAAACCACCTAAAGGTGCCTTGATGTACGGTCCTCCCGGTACCGGTAAGACGCTTCTTGCGCGTGCCTGTGCTGCCCAGTCGGGTGCTACGTTCTTGAAATTGGCCGCCCTCAATTAGTGCAAATGTTCATTGGTGACGGTGCCAAGTTGGTGAGAGATGCGTTCGCCTTGGCCAAGGAGAAGGCGCCTACGATTATCTTTATCGACGAATTGGATGCCATTGGAACCAAGCGTTTCGATTCAGACAAGTCCGGTGACCGTGAGGTGCAGCGTACCATGTTGGAGCTTTTGAACCAGTTGGACGGTTTCGGCTCCGACGACAGAGTCAAGGTGCTTGCCGCCACCAACAGAGTCGACACGTTGGACCCTGCGTTGTTGCGTTCCGGTCGTTTGGACCGTAAGATCGAGTTCCCCTTGCCCTCCGAGGAGGCTCGTGAGTCTGTGCTCAAGATCCACGCCAGAAAGCTCAACTGCGACCACAACCTGATCAACTGGCGTGAATTGGCCCGTTCGACCGACGAGTTCAACGGAGCTCAGCTCAAGGCCGTCACCGTCGAGGCCGGCATGATCGCCTTGAGAAACGGCAAGTCTGTCATCAAGCACGAGGACTTTGTCGAGGCCATTGGCGAGGTCCAGGCCCGTAAATCCAAGCTGGTCAACTTCTACGCATAAAACAAGGTTTCGTTCGTCATCCATACATTACTATTTGGGGACCTTCTTAAGCTCCTCACGGAGTTTGTCGGTGAAGTCGTCCTTGGCGTCGTCGTCGTCCCAGTCCTCCTCCCAGAGGTTGGCTGAGTTGAGCTGAGGGTTGGGATCCGAGCTCCACTGCGAGTCTTCGGGGAAGTCCTCAAACTCGTCGTCCTCCTCGAGTGTTTTGATGATCTTTCCTTCTTCTGTGGTGGACATGCTGGTGGTGCTACCGCGCTGACAAGCGTTTAGCTCTTGCCACCTGGTGCGCGCACGACCGGGGTAGAGCCATTGAGGTACACCAGCAGGAAGCTTTGGAAGGACATGAAAATTGCCAATTGCTGAGGGGATGTTGCCAAATGATGGAGTCTTTTCACTTGTGGCGATATTGCAGAAGTTGTCGTTGCTTGCTGTGTGAGTAGCGGTGGCTAAAAATGGCTGCGAAATGAGTTTGAGAGATGGTCCGTTGCCCTAAATAGAGCAAAAACATCATTCATGGTGAATGTGTAGTTGTAGTAGGTCCAACTTTGGTGCAGATCTCAATTGTTCTGGTTCTTTTGTGGTACGATGAATGCTAGCTATACTTCAATGAGTCAGATATTGAGTACATGGTTTACATGAAAATCTGGAAAGTTCACCAACTCTAATTCTTGCAATTCCTAGCTATATATGGGAATTGAGTTAAAAGAGGTGATTTTAATGACTATGAGCTTCATGGTAGCTCCAAGGCTTTTCACCATATTTCAACCATTCCCCACCATATAGAAGAGTAGGGCAAGTTTCCACGAGTTTTATGATTTTCGTGATTTTCATGCTTACAAAGAAAGTGATTTTACAATGAAGTTGTGAATTTAAAATATGAGTCAGAATTTCAAATGTCACTTAGATGTGCTCCACTTCAGAGGGTCCATCTCAGCGTATCAGCAGATCTTCCAAACAACAACAAATTGAACTTCCCCAAATGAACTCAATCCCAAAAAAACATTCCTTTTCTGAAATATTTCAAAAATTAACATACCACCTCTCTTTTTTTTTTTGCCTCCTGGTCCACCCCACAGAAATGACTAAACGTGCATGCGAACCCTAATTCATTCCCAAGACACACCCGCCACCGAACCCCCTAACTTTAAAAAAATAACCAATCGAAAAAAAAAAAAAAATCATCTCCCAAAAAACACAAAAAAATCCTTCAAAAATCCAATTCTTCCCATCAAAAACTACATCCCACTAGGTGCCCCCTCCTGCACTTCCTCATCATCATCATCGCAAAATTTCCAGATCAACTCCCACCATGAAAGACGTTGTCGTGGATGTGGCGCCCAAATGCATCAAGGGCCTCGAATTCAGTGCTCTTTCGGCGTCGGAGATCGTGGCCCAGTCCGAGTCCGAGGTCACCACCCGGGATCTCTACGACCTAGAGAAGGGCAGACAGGTGAAGGAAAACGGTGCTTTGGACACCAGGATGGGGACTTCGCTGAACGCCGTGGAGTGTGCCACGTGTCACGGGAACTTGGCGTCTTGCCACGGCCACTTTGGCCATGTGCGTTTGGCGCTTCCCGTTTTCCACGTTGGTTTTTTCAAGCAGATCATCAGAGTGCTCCAGTGCATCTGTAAGCTGTGTGGGCTGATTTTGTTGGACGAACACACGAAAAGGCGGTTTTTGGGCGAGTTGCGGAGACCCAACATCGACAATCTCCGCCGGATGAAGATCTTGGCGAAAGTGGTGGAGCAGTGCAAGAAACAGAGACGTTGTTTGGCGTGTAACCACGTGAACGGTGTGGTGAAGAAAGCAGCCAGTGGAGCCGGACCAGCGGCTCTCAAAATCGTCCATGACACGTTTCGCTTCATCGGCAAGAAGCCCACGCCCGAGAAGGAGTTCTGGGAAAAGGAGTTTGACGAGGTGTTCATGAGAAACCCGGAACTCGAGAAGTTCGCCAAAAGGGTCCATGAAGACTTGAATCCGCTCAAAGTTTTGAACCTTTTCAAGCAGATCTCGCCGCTTGACTGTGAGCTTTTCGGCATCGACGCCTCCAGAGGCGGCCGTCCGGAAACCTACATCTGGAGGTACCTCCCGGCTCCTCCTGTTTGCATACGACCTTCTGTGATGATGGACGCCCAGCTGAACGAGGACGACTTGACGGTGAAATTGACCGAGATCGTGTGGACGTCGTCGCTCATCAAGGCCGGTATCGAAAAGGGCATTTCCATCAACAACATGATGGAGCAGTGGGATTATCTCCAGCTTTCTGTGGCCATGTACATCAACTCGGATGCTGCCAATCCGGCGCTTCTTCCGGGCAACATGGGCCTGGGGTCCAAGAGCTCGAAGCCGATCCGTGGTTTTTGCCAGAGATTGAAGGGTAAGCAGGGCCGGTTCCGTGGTAATCTTTCCGGTAAAAGAGTGGACTTTTCAGGCCGTACGGTCATTTCGCCCGATCCCAATTTGAAAATCGACGAGGTGGCCGTGCCCGACAGAGTGGCCAAGATCTTGACGTACCCGGAAAAATGTACCCGCTACAACCGCCAGAAGCTCCAGAAATTGATCTTGAACGGTCCCAACGTGCATCCTGGTGCCAACTACGTTTTGAAGCAGAACGAGGCGGCCAAGCGTAATTTGAAATTCGGTGATCGTGTGAAACTCGCCAAAAACTTGAGAATCGGCGATGTCGTCGAACGTCACATTGAGGACGGCGATGTGGTGCTTTTCAACAGACAGCCATCTTTGCACAGACTCTCCATTTTGTCCCACTACGCCAAAATCAGGCCCTGGAGAACCTTCAGACTCAACGAGTGTGTGTGTACTCCTTACAATGCCGATTTCGACGGTGACGAGATGAACTTGCATGTTCCTCAGACCGAGGAGGCCCGAGCCGAGGCCATCAACCTTATGGGTGTGAAAAACAATCTTTTGACGCCTAAATCCGGTGAACCAATCATTGCTGCTACCCAGGATTTCATCACTGGTTCGTACCTTATCTCCCACAAGGACTCTTTCTTTGATAGAGCCTCATTGGTGCAGCTTTTGTCGATGATGTCCGATGCCGATTTGCAGTTTGACCTTCCTCCACCTGCCATTTTCAAGCCAGTGGCTCTTTGGACAGGAAAACAGGTGTTTTCGCTTTTGATCAAGCCCAACAGAAAGTCCAAGGTGGTGATCAACGTGGACGCCAAAAACAAGACCTTCCATCCACCCGCCAAGGGCTTGCCCAGTGAAATGTCGCCCAACGATGGTTTTGTCGTCATCAGAGGATCCCAGATTTTGAGTGGTGTCATGGACAAATCCACCTTGGGTGACGGTAAGAAGCACTCGGTCTTCTACACAATTCTCCGTGACTACGGTCCCGATGAAGCTGCTGATGCCATGAACAGAATGGCCAAGCTTTGTGCCAGATTCTTGGGAAACCACGGTTTCTCCATCGGTATCAACGACGTTACACCGGGATACGAATTGAAGACCAAGAAGGAAGACATGGTTGAATCCGCATACGCCAAGTGTGACGAGCTCATTGATCTCTACAACAGAGGCAAGTTGGAGACCCAGCCGGGCTGTAACGAAGAACAAACGCTTGAGGCGAAAATCTCCGGTTTGCTTTCCAAGGTTCGTGAAGAGGTTGGTGATGTTTGCATTCGAGAACTTGACTCGCTCAACTCTCCGTTGATTATGGCCACCTGTGGTTCCAAGGGTTCTACCTTGAACGTTTCCCAGATGGTGGCTGTTGTTGGTCAGCAGATTATTTCCGGTAATCGTGTGCCCGATGGGTTCCAGGACAGATCGTTGCCTCATTTCACGAAAATGTCGAAAACACCACAGTCCAAGGGTTTTGTGAGAAACTCGTTTTTTAGCGGCTTGAGTCCTCCAGAGTTTTTGTTCCACGCCATTTCCGGAAGAGAAGGTTTGGTTGATACAGCCGTGAAAACCGCCGAGACGGGTTACATGTCCAGACGTCTCATGAAGTCGCTCGAAGATTTGTCGGCTTCCTACGATAACACCGTCCGTAACTCGTCCAATGGTATTGTTCAATTCACTTATGGTGGAGACGGCTTGGATCCTTTGGATATGGAAGGTGATGCTCAGCCTGTCAACTTCAACAGACAGTGGGATCACGCTTTCAACGTGACGTTCCAGATCGCCGACAAGAGCTTGAAGCCTTACGAGATCATGGACGTTGTGGAAAAGGTGCTCCAGCCTTTGGAGCAGAAACTCGTCAGATACGACAATTTGGGCAAATTGGTGGAAATAGACATCGGCGACCGTGTGGAGTACATTGACCAGAAAGATGCCGAAAGGTCTTTTTACAGATCGCTCCGTGAGTATGTCTTCAAGAAGGCCTCTCAGCTTGCTCAGTTCAGAGAAAACAGACACCTCCGTCCATACCTCACCAAACGGTCCGAGGACGACGAAATGGAGCTTGAGGAGGACGCCTCGTCCACCAATGCCGTGAACCAGTTGCTCAAAATCTCCGAAAAGTGTGTGGTGGAGTTTTTGAACCAGTGCTTCTACAAGTACAAGAGAGCCAAGGTGGAGCCTGGTACGGCTGTGGGAGCCATTGGAGCGCATTCTATTGGTGAACCAGGTACTCAGATGACGTTGAAGACTTTCCATTTCGCCGGTGTGGCGTCCATGAACGTCACGTTGGGTGTGCCTCGTATCAAGGAGATTATCAACGCCGCCAAGGTGATTTCCACGCCGATTATTAACTCTGTCTTGGTCAATGATGACGACGAGGTTGCAGCTCGTGTGGTGAAGGGCAGAATTGAAAAAACCTTGCTTCGTGACATTGCCTTCTACATCGAGGACGTGTACAAGAACGATATGGCGTTTTTGTCGATCAAGATCGACTTGCGTACGATCGAGAAGCTCCAGTTGGAATTGACCTTGGAGAACATCCGCCAGGCCATTGCCGCCGCTCCAAGACTCAAGATTCTCAACAACGAGGTGTCGATCTACGGAAAGGACAGAATCAACGTTTTGGTGACCCACAAGGAACTGAAGCTGGAGAATTTGGCCAACACGGCTCTGCTGGACTACAAGGCCTCCGACACCAACACATTGCTTTTCTTCAGAATGCAGCACCTCAAGCGTGCGCTTCCTGACGTTGTCATCAAGGGTCTCCCCAACATTTCCCGTGCCGTTATCAACATCCGTGACGATAGCAAGAAGGAGTTGTTGGTGGAAGGTTACGGTCTCAAACAGGTGATGTCGACGGACGGTGTCGTTGGAACGAAAACAACCACCAACCATATTTTGGAAGTCTACGAGACTCTTGGTATCGAGGCCGCCAGATCCTCCATCATCGGCGAAATCGACTACACCATGTCCAAGCACGGTATGAGTGTCGATCCTAGACATATCCAGCTTTTGGGAGATGTGATGACCTACAAGGGCGAGGTTTTGGGTATCACCAGATTCGGCTTGTCAAAGATGAGAGACTCGGTGTTGCAGCTTGCGTCGTTTGAAAAAACCACCGACCACTTGTTCGACGCTGCGTTTTTCATGAAGAACGACAAGATCGAGGGTGTTTCGGAGTGCATTATTTTGGGCCAGACCATGGGCATTGGTACTGGTGCGTTCAAGATGGTGAAGACGTCGAACTACGACGAATCCCGCATGAAGCGCAAGGAGACGCTCTTTGAGTCTCTTTGTGAGGTGTCTGCCGAAGCGTAGGCATCTTGTAATATAGTATGGAAAAGGAGCAGAGCGGCAGCTCTGCAATATAGGATAGCTTAAGAGTTTTAGACAGGCGACTCACTTGGATGAGAATGAATTCAGTTTGGAAAGTGTTATTGGATACCTTGCCATTACAACAATTCTACCTTGATCGAAATATGGTAGAATATGTGGTCTATATAGGTGATTGAGAATGACTATATCACTATTGACGGATAAAAGAAACGCCATGGTTAGAAAAGACACTATTTAAGTTGAAGTGGTTTTCTCGTTTAGCTATTCTCTTTTTTTAATTTCCTTAGTGCTTACCTATACTTATGTTGCCTAAATGCGCTATGGAATTGAGGATATATAACGACTTGATACTTTAGACCAAATGATAGACCCGATGAAAATGAACTTTATGAAAATTGAATTAATGTAATCTGACTCACTAGCTCTGTACCTGTTATGCCTTCTCCTCCTATTAGGAATCTTCTCTGTCAAGTCTGTAAAATTTGCAAGGGCTCATTACTATTGACCAAAATGAGAGATACAATAACCGAAAATAGCTCAACTCTTGATTGTCTTATCGGCCTTTTTGAACTTCACTTTGCTAATTAACCTTCTCATTCTCCCCAAGATTCATCCATATGAGGTGAATACATCCCATGGCATTGAGTATACACAGAGATACGAACTTCCTAAAAAATGACAGACAAGCAGAATTTCTCTCTTATCCTTTACAATTTCCTTGGTCCTTATATGTATGTTGTCTAAATGCGTTATGGAGTTGTGGATATATAGTGACTTGATGCTCTAGACCATAAGGATAGAAAAATAAGAAATTCACCTCTCCTTTGGTTTACTGAGTGTAATACGACTCACTAGCATTTGTCCTTTTATACCTCCTTCGAGCTCTTAAGAATCACCTCTGTGGTCTATGTGTATGAAGATTAACGAGGACTCTCATTATCATTGACCAGAAAAAAAGATACAGTCATAGCTCAACTGTTGATTGTCTTGTCGCTGTGTTCGAAAATGCTCTCATCAATTTAATGTAACCTTCATTCTCCCCAAGACTCATATGAGGTATATGTGTGCATTGAGTATACACAAGGAACGATACCAATGTCTAAAAGAAAGACCAAAGGCACTTTTTAGCAAAACTCTTTTTCTTTTCAGATATCAATTTTTCCCACTCCGTTTAATTTCATGCCTTCTACGTCTCTCTTCATCACAGCACCAACTCCTCCTTTGCAGCCATTCTGCACACTGCCACAAAAACATCAACACTCAACTACACCTTTTCATGTCCAAAGACCTGGTGTACCTGAGCGTGCACTTTTCCCACCCGGACCAGGTGGAATTCATGGAAGACTGGAGAAACTACCACGTGCCTTTTGACGATATCGACACATCCCAGCTTTTTCAGGCTCTGGCGAACATCTTTCCTCAGTTTCTATTGGAAGAAGAAGAAGACGGAGCCATTCCGCTCAGCCTGGCTACTTTCAGCTCAAAAGTTAACAAAAACAAAAACATGCTTCGCCAGCCGATCTGGACGGATTTGGGCACAGACCACTTGAGAAGCGACTCCAAAACGTCAAAACTACCGGATCAAACGATCCTCAAACCACTACATAGTGCTGTAGGAGACGACAGTTTGACAGACTTCCTTTCCAACGGCTACAACGCTGAGTTTTCCGTCTTGTCCCAGGACAACTACAACGTCTCTGACAGCTGGCTGAACGTGACGTCTGACTTCCCAGTAAACCACACCTTCAGCAACGTCAGGATGCGTTCTACAAGCGGGCCTCATCGCCAACCAAGCGACTACCCGGCATTGCACACGCCGCAGGTCGGCAGAACCCGCCAGATGTCGCTGGACAAGTACCAGACTCCCATTGGGCGCATAGTGCGGTAGGCATCAAAAGCATCAATTAGGCATTAAATAGGGCCTATTCGGCCATCAACGTGATACGATCTTTCTCAATCTCCTCACGTAGCTGTAGGAGCTGCTGCTTGCGTGCCACAGCTCTCTCGTGTCTCTTCCTTAATCTCACGGCAGCCAACACAAACTGGGCAACAACTTTGAAAGTGGGCTTCTTGTGGGGGCTCTTTTCAACGTCGGGATGCACACCAAGAAGAGCCGTTTTGGCAAGCTCATTGCGGAACTCGGCGTCGGCATTACGTAAGGAAGACATCACCATCGAATGCACCAGCGCTAGGTCTTTCGCCTTGGTTTGAAGCTCGTAAAGCTTGGCTTTGTAGAAAAGGAGCTCATTCAGTTGAAGTCTCAGTTCGGTGCCGCTGCGACGGCTATCACCAGAGGATCTGAATGGATTGGAAATGGAGGCCTGGGCAAGCTTGTTGTTGAGAGAGTCAATGTGGGCTTGAAGTTGGGCGTTGGCTTTCTTTGCCCTCAAGACATCTTCGGCGTTTTTACTGGAACTCTTGAACTCGGCAGTGTCAAGATCATTGACCTTTCTTGCAAGCCTGTTGCAATGGCGAGTAGTCTTTGTCAACTCCAGGTCCAAGTTCCTCGCTCGAACTTCCAACTGTGTTTTCTCCGAGGCCAAGATCTTCATCTCCGTCTCCAACGTGTCAATGACTTCCTTTAGCTTTGACTTGTCCTTTTGCGAGTTTGCATTTCTGCTCTCCAATTCAGCAATTCTCTCTCTGTAGTCATCTAAAGCTGCCGAGACATCATTCCTTCTCAGTTCATTCTGCTTCTGCTCCAAGAGCTTGATCTCCCTCTTGGCTTCCTCAAGCTGGTTCTCTAAAAGTGCAACCATTGCAGAGTCATCAGGAATAGCATCAAGTCTGGCCCTCTCTTTAAACACATCGAGCTTGTTCTCGTAGTAACGTTGCTGGTCATTAAGCTCCTTCTGAAGTCTTTCAAGTTCACGCTCCAGGCGCTCCTTTTCACGCTCCAGACGTTCCTTCTCGCGCTGGATAGCCTGAAGCTCGTATGTCATTTCAGCCCTGGCACCATACGATTCTTCAACATAACTCTTGCCTCTGTAATCTCTATTCATGGAACGGAGACGAGATTCCAATGCATCTATTATCTCATCCTTATCTCTGACAGTGGTTTCGAGCTTGCTCTGTGAAAGCTTGTTGTCCCTCATGCGAGTCTCCAATTCAACAACCTCCTTAGTGAGACGTTCCTTATCTTTGGCAACGGTATCAGACTTTCTTCTAAACTCTTCAGCATCCCGTTCGAGCTGTCTGTTTTGCGTGCTCAAAGCTTCGATTTGATGCTCAAGACGATAAACTTTTTCTTCGGCACGCTTCTTCTCCATTTCATAGTACATCGAGTCATTCCTCAGCAGCTCACGTTGAGCCAGCCTCAAGTCAGCCTTAAGTTGCTCAAGCTGCAACTCCTTCGCTTCGAGATCATCTCTCAACGAATTGAATCTAATGGTGTTTCTTTCGCTCTCCTCCACAAGACTGCTGTACTCCTTCTCGTAGAAGTCCACTCTCTCGTTGAGCTCGTCAATAACATATTGCTGGTCGTTCTTCAGGTGAGAGCGCTTGGACAAGCGGTCCTCCAAGTCTGCAATGACATCTTCGAGATCACGCTTCTCGGCTTTCAAATGCTGTGCGTTCCTTCGTAACTCGTCGATTTGCTCTTCAAGCAACTTGGATGTTTTGTCGTTGTTTTCAAAAACACGGAACCTGTCTTGCGAACTGTTTGAGGCAAGCTCCTTTTCTAAATGTGCGTTCTTGCGAGCGAGTCGATCCGCCTCGTGCTGTTTCTCAAGGATATCATCTTCCAAGCTGCGCAAGCGATTTCTGAGATCTCTGGCCTCAGTGGTGGCCTCTTTGAGCTGGGCCTCGCGCCGACTGGCACTGGCAGTAAGCTTGCTCATTTCGGCATGCAATTCATCAATTTTTTGCTCTTTGCCTGGCGCCTGGGATCGTATCAGTCTCATGACGGCTTCCAAGGAGTCCTTCTCGTCCTGTAGTGTCTTTTTCTCGTGAGCCAACGTATCCACGCGCTGCTCAAGGGCTTCCCTCTCGGCTTTGGTGCCTCTTTGTCTCTCTTCAAGTGCCTCCTTTTGGCCTTCTACCAGTCTCAAGTCGTCAACAGCCTCTCGAAGCTTTCTTTGAAGTGCTTTACACTCATTTTCTAGACTTGATATCTGATCATTGGCGTCCAGTGGCACTTTCCGTTGCTGGAGCTCAAGCTGGTGGATCTGAGCCTTCAATTCGTTGTTCTCCTCTTGGAGTTCATTATGACTGTAGTCACGTTTGCTGGCTGAGTCCGAAAGCTGTCTTCGAAGCAGCTGGTTGTCGTTCTGCAACGACTCGAGTCGGGCGTAGAATTCATCGGGGATGTGACTTTTGCTCAGCTCCAGGCGTAGTTGTGCAAGCTGTGCCTTCAAATCGCTTATGAGATCGTCTTTATCAGCAATTGCCTCCTTATACAGCAGCTTCATCGCCTCCATGGCAGTGCCGTCCTCTCTCGTGTCTGTGCCCAGTCTCTCGAGCTCTTCCAAAGCGCGAGCCAACTTCTGCTTGAGCTCCATGTTCTCGTAAACCATGTTCCTCTGCTCCTCGGGCGTTTTACGCATGTACTTCGTCAACGTGGCCACTTCAAACTTCAAATTATAGTTCTCCTGTTGAAGCGTCTCGAGTCTCAGGGTGATTTCCTGAACCAGGCCGCCATTGTCACCGACGATTTTGTCCTTTTGCTTAAAGAAACCGTCAAAAAGCCCTCCGGAACGTGTGGATTTAGGCAAACTTACCGACGAAACACCCGCTGTCGGCAGCCTCATCAGGTGGTGGGTTTCTGTATCGTCTGTGTTTTCAAAAGTCGTATCGATCTGGGAGTTGGAGATTTTGTCACTGTTTATGGCCATTCTGGGCTCTGGAGGCGAGGATCGCTCTTGTGGCCGCCTTTTCCCTATTGGTGTGAATTCCCATTTTGTAGACCTCTCTGGCGGTACCAAAGAAGAGGCAAACATGGAGGTTTAATTTGTGATTTGATTTGTTTGTGTTTTGGTTACGCGGTTCGCGATGTGGTTGTATGTGGAGTCACGTGCATGGTCACGTGAGCAATATTGATAAGCCTGTGTATAAGTGGCCCAGTAGATGGGTGCAATTATATGGGAATTCACATCAGCCAAGATAAATGAAATTGATGAAAAATCTGATTTCAGGTTAAGAATTGAAAACTTCAAAAATTGCGTTTAATCAAATTGTAGAATTGAAGATGTGAGATCGCAACATAGTATGTTCAGAGGAGCTCATCAGGGATCAATTTATGGCAGATAGGATTCCTCGATTGTATAATAAGTAAAGTTCGATTTGGTAAAATTGAAAAATGTGAAAGGCTCCTCGGGTTATAAGAATAAATCTAGTGCCATTTTTTGAAAAAAGAAAATGAGACGATCATTCGACTCCCTGTTTTTGCATGGTATTGGACAGCATCTTATCCTCTAATAATTAGGTCATCCCATTATAAGTCTGATTTTCAACAGAAATCCGAAAATTTTACGATAAAAGCTCTAGTTCGAAATTGATCTAATTTTGAAAATATCAATCAGACCTTTTTCACAAAAAAAAAAAAAAGTCACTTCTCCTTCGTTACTGAAAAGTTTCATCTTCAAGCCATCTTGAACTTTTGTCCCACCTACACCGCCACCCCTGTGCATACGTCTATTATTCTCTATTTTATCACGTCCTCAGAATTACCCGGCTCTCACTGCTGCACCTCGCCAAGAGCAGCCTTGAAGTCCTCCAAAGCACGTGCAGCCTTACCCAGAACCAAACTGTCCACAGCCAACTTGACACCTTCCTCCCAGGAGTCTGTGAGTCCTGCAACCACGGCGACGGCAGCCGCGTTCATCAAAATGTAGTCCACCAACGGGTGGTTTATGGTTTTGCAGGTGTACTCGGGCGTATCCTGCCTCAAGATGTGTAAAAGAATGTCTGCGTTTTCCTGGGGAGTTCCGCTGCGGACAGCCAGCAAGGGGTGCTCCGGGAGCTTGAAGTTTTTGGGCGAAATGACTGTTCTTGTGATGTTGCCGTTTTCATCAATAATCCAGCACTTGGTGAGTCCCGTAGGGCTGATTTCGTCAAGACCGACTTCTCCCCAGACCACCATGGTTCTTTCATGCGAGGGGGTCTTTTGGGCGAGTTTAGCAGCCGCCAAGGCGTACAGCTCACCGAGTTTCTCAGAGTAAACACCCAAAATCCTGGCTCGAAGCGGGATCGGGTTCATGAGCGGACCCAAAATGTTGAATATCGTGGGGATGCCCATCTGGGCACGAATAGGCGCCACCTTGCCCATGGCCGGGTGGAAGGAAGGAGCGAAAAGGTAGCAGAAGGAGCTTTTCTGGACAATAGATGGGGTGGTTTTGCTGTTCACCACGCTCAAATCGACACCCAAGCACTTCAAAAGATCGCCTGACCCAGAGGCCGACGTCAGCGCCTTGCCGCCGTGTTTGCACACCTTGAGGCCCATTCCAGCAGCCACAATAGCAGCAGAAGTGGAAACATTAAAGGTGTTCTGTCCATCGCCTCCAGTGCCCACGATATCGATGTAGCCCTCTTTTTCTACCAGCGAAGGTTCAATGTAATCCAGAAATTCAAGAATCGTCAGCACGGCAGCAGCAATAAAATCAGGCTCGTGGTCAAGGCCTCTCATTCTCAAGGCAGTAAGAAAAGCAGACAGCTGGATATCCAGCGGGATGCCCCTGAACATGGATCTGAGCACGGTGCTCAAGTCATCTGGAGTGAGGTTCGGGGGCTCGAGGAAAAGCAGCTTTATGTACGGCGTAAGCACCTGTTTTGTGGACATGATGTTGTTGATGTAGTACTCAATTTTCAGCAAAAGTGTTGATACCGGCACGTGATGAGAGGGTCCGTGGTTTTGACAATGCCGGGAGAAAATTATGGAAGCAGGGTGGGGAGTCGATAGAGGAGGACTCTGTTTTTGGATTCTGGAAAAAGTTTGAGGCTTCTTGGGGGATTCAGGGAAATGGGATGGGTATGGTGGTGTTGTGCTCCTGCACTGTGGAAAGGTAGCTGTATTTTGCAGCCATTCTTAGAGGGCCGTGGAAGCAAAATTTTGAAAAAGTAAATAGATTTTTGGAATGCTCGAGTTTTGCGCTATCTATTTCTTTAGCTTTTGTTTGGTTTTGGCTTTTTTGCGATGGTTTGATTGGGCCATCTTGGACCCTCGTTGACTCATTCTCACAGGCACATGTGGGAGGGTGTAGTTTGTGAAAATTTTTCAACGAAGACCAAGTGTGGTCGCCCTTTTGTCAGTTTGTTTTTGGAGTTCGTTTGTATTGATTTCCTGGATTTTTAGAATTTACTCCCAAGTGACATCTCAGATCCATGTGGTGTTGCATTTGTGATGAGAAATAGAACCAAGTAGCAGGAGATAGACCATGATTCTAACAAGCGAATTCACTTCGAATGCAGTAAAAAGGGGTCATCGTTACTCCGCCCTACTGAGGTGACTTGAACTAAAATTTAGCTTTAATACTTCTACAACACCACTTCATTGCATTTCTGCATCTATACCTATATTGATACTTTTTGAAGCAATTTCTTAGGCAAAAGCACTTGGTTACTTTATAAGCCGAAAAAGTTGATGTCCTACTTTAGGGAAGTCTTCGCTCCTAAATTCGATCAGCAAAGATCTCCTCAGTAGGTGAATCTATCAACGTTCTGTTCCAGCACTTCGTCAGTTCCTTTTTGCACTAGCTCGGTAGCTCGTAGCAGCAAAGCTGCCTCGCTGCCTCGTTAATCTTCTGGGGCAACCTCCACCTCAAACGTCATCTCCTTATCCACATCCAAGTACGAATCACACATACACCAAACACTCAACTTATGGTGACCTGCAACGGGCACTGTGAAATCCATCTTGACCTCCTGTGTCTCTAAAGCCACAATCGTCTTCTTGATACCGTAAAGCTGCCTGGATTGAGCGTCACCAATAACAACCCACCAGCCTTCACGCTTCTGACTAGGGAAACGTGGAGCAACAACATCGAGATCCTCCAACTCTTCATCTCTCTCAATGGTAACAGAAATCAGCTTGGGTTCACCGGCAACAACTCCCTCTTCAACATCAAGCTCATACGACACATCCACGTTTGGATACTTATTCACAAAGTCAGCCACATCCTGAAGCTGCTGGTCTTCAAGCTGAAGCACATCGTCTCTTTCATCATCCTCCAACGACATGATATCAAAAACCGTTTCGACCTTGTACTTCTTGCACCTCTCAAGTATACCGCTGTTGATATGAGGAATCTGCTTCAAAGGCAGCTCTCTGTTCCACATACCCTGAACAAGCATTTGTGAAAGATCCATCGCTTGAAGAGCATTGAGGTGGCCTTCAGACGACAAAGAGTCAACACAGGCGAACACGAGATTCATGATCGACTTTAAAATGAGTTTCTGGTCTTCAGCTAGATCGGCAGGTAAAGATATTCTCGACAAATGAGCCTGAACAAGCAAGAAAGCCTTGGTTTGAGGCGATTCCAAGACAACGTCAGAACCAATTTTAAATGGAACCACTGCAGCCAACTGGCTCAAGGTCTTCTCGTCACCAGGCCTGTAAAGAAGCAGCTCAAACTCTGTAGCCGAAGTGACGACCTCCACAATATCACGAAGTCTGGATTTGGCGGTAAGTTCGCTAAAAAGCTTCATGGTGAAGAAACTGACGTTGTAGTGGGAGGCGATCATGGCGCCATTGAGTGGAGACATCTCTTCTTCCTCTTCTTCGTCTTCGTCTTCTTCCTCTTCATCTTCCATTTCGATCAATCCGGCATCCGTCAATTCCTTCAAGGTGTTTTCAACAAGATCAGATAAATACTCCGAAACCTCAACATGACCCACATTTTTGAGCCCGTAGAAGCTGGGATTCTGCACCAAACGGCGGTAGAAGAATGTGTATGTGAGCCAGTCCACGCAGTCTTGTCTGGAGTGGAAAGTTCTGGCCGAGATTTCGTGAAGAAAAGCATCGTAAAGATCCGAGTACAAGTAACTCTCCAACGGCATCCTGACACTGAGGAATTTTGAATAGTAGGTAACTCGAGGAGCGTGCACTAGCGCTAAGACCTTGCCTTCTGAGCTTGAGCCCACCATCTCAAGAATATCATTCAAGTAGTAGTCTGTATTCTGGTGAATCTCTTCGTCTTGGGAGCCGAAAATCACGATGTTTTGAGCCTGAGGAGCGTATCTAGCGAATGATTTCGTTGCAATACCGATACTGAGTAGCTCTCCAGAAAATAGACGACTCATCACAAGCTGGTCTCTTGGCGATAAGACCTGGTGGAAGATACCAACGCCCTTTTCAGCGAGATTTCTTGCTGTCTTGTCGCTTATTTTCAGCAAGTACGACGAAATCTCTGCATTCTGTGTGGTGAGCTCAGCGACCTTTTGGGAAATCTCCAAGGCAATTTTCTGGTTGGGCACAAAAATAAGTGTGGAGCCCACTGCTTTCTCCAAAAAGCTTGCAACCTTCGGCCAGTTCAGAACAGTATAATTAGGTCCATTGTAACCGTCAACCTTGATCTCCTTGATAGGCTTGAAACGCTCGTACGCTTCAAAGTTGAAGATGTCCTGCTTGATACAGCCCAACCATTCTCCAAAGTCTCTACCGTAGAGAAGTGGATGTGACAAAGCGGCAATTCGAAGATCCAGCTTTAAATGGGCACTCATCAAACGCATCCTTGAAAGCACAGTTTCATAAGCCGCTCCGCCATTTTCACCACTCGAAACCAAATGAGCGTCATCTGCAACCACCAATCCAATTTGAGTAACTGCTTTTCTTTGGCGCCAGCGCCTGGTAAGAGCATCAAATTGGGTGGGTGTTCCAAGCACCAAATGGGAAGTAGCCTGGATTTTGATGTCTGAAGTGAGGTCTCCAGTGAGTTTGGCAATCTGCTTTGGAGGATCTGTCAAATTGGCAAATTTCTTCTGCCACACCTTGAGATTGACATCCACAAGTTCCTGGGATGGCTGCAAATACACAGCACGCTGCTTGTTTTGTCTCCAGTGGTTGAGTATAGCCAATTCGGCACAGGTTGTTTTTCCACTTCCTTTGGCCATACCCAAGAAGACATTTCTTTCAGAGTTCCAGAGGGCATGGAATACCTGCGATTGAAACTTATTGAAATGGGAAAAGTCAAAGCAGTCCGTGAACTTCTCGTCTTTCAAGGCAGTCGTAGGAATGCTCTGAACATCTAGCAACTCTGTTGCAGACAGTGGCTTTTTAGGAAGCTGGGTGTGGAACATCTCTATGGGTTGTCTCCACAGACAATTGAGCCACTTTTCGCTGACAGCAGTCAAATATAAATTAGGTGGAAGCGGATCGGCAATTGGAACAAAAATGTCAAGTGCAATGGTACGGTGAATATTCTTCTGGTTGATCTGCAAAACATCGTTGTGCAAAATTACCTCACCATTGACGTCTTCGACGATAATCAAGAAGTTCTCCTTGGAGCCATGGAGCGTCCTGTTCCATTCCCAATTTGGATTGATGTCTGCCAGAATACGCAAGGTATCTTGGGAAATTGGCTGAGCATTGCACTTGATGTCCAATTTGGGGAAATTCTGAAGCAAGCTGTATGCCAATTGGCTCTGTCCTTTGAAATTGAAGGCCTCGGCGAGTTCAGCGGCGTTCAAATTGAGGTAACTGATAAATGGCAAATGAGACGCTTCAGTGGCCTTGATAAGCTCAAATGGTGCCAAACTGCCGTACTGTCTGAAAGGAGAGCTAGTGTTCCAAGTTCGTTTTTCAACAATTTTGCAGAGCTCCAAGGTCACAAGCGAAGCTGAGGCCCACATTTTCTTCAAGCAAATCTCGTGGATAGCTCTAAGCAAACGGCCTGCCGATTGGGTGATGTAGATCATGTCAGCCATCAAGGCAAATCCCTCAAGCAGCAAATGGGCAATGTAGGCTTGCAACAAAACGTTGATTTTCGCCAATGGCTCGTTGGGTGCCTCTTTAATAGCAATTGGGCACTTTTCAGCAAGTTTGGCAATCTCAAGCTTTTCCTCTTGTCTCACAGGAACATACCTGAACTCTTCAGACGATGCAAAAACTCGAAGAACGTCGATCTCGGACATCCACGGTTTGAGCTTGTTGTTGTACATGAAGATCGTGGAGTGGCCAATGTAGAATCCAGCAGCAATCTTTCCCAATTCAGTTGGAACCACCGCACCCGTCTCCTCATTGTAATTTAACAATTTGTGGTTGTTCAAAATGGTGAAAGCCGAGTGCACCAAATCGGCTCTTTTCCAATACAAGACCTTATCATCAGCATAGTCTGCTCCGACCTGGTAGAGCTTTGGGGATCTGAGCATTCGAATGTACAAGTACGTCTGACCAAGCCAGTTCACCGCATCTTCCAAAGACTTGACCTGACCCAAGACTATCTCAGCATTCAAATTATCTGCCAATTTGCTCATAAGCTGGGATTCAATAGGAAGCTGCTGGTTCAAAACTGCCATGTAGTACTGGAGCTGGTCGTGAGCTGTAATGATCACACCTTCACCAGATTTATCGTAACGAGGTCTACCAGCACGGCCCAACATTTGTAAAATATCCTGAGGCAGAAGCTGAACCCAAGCACCTTTTTCAGGATTATACGTATCTGTGCCTTTAATGACAACCGTGTGAGCTGGTAAATTGACACCCCAGGCCAAAGTTGCTGTGGATACAAGAACTCTTATATGGCCTTGAGCGAAAAGATCTTCCACAGTTCCTCTATCTTCCTTCTTGAGACCAGCATGATGGATGCCAAAGCCTGAAGAGAGGACCTGACTTAAGTTTTTGTTATTTGCGTTTTCAGCCTCTTGTTTGAGAATCTCCTGAGTTCCAGCACTTGAGCTAGCGATTTTGATGTCCTCCTCCTCGGCCTTTTCAGCCAACCACTTGGCGGTTTTGAAGGTATCCTTTCTTGAGTGCACGAATATGATAAGCTGGTGGTTGTTCTTGATGCTCTCCTTCAATTTATCAAAACAGGCCTCGTTCATGGCAGCCACCTTTTTGATAGCCTTCTTCTCCTTGATACCCACATACTGCTGCTCCAAGGGACAAGGACGGTACAGGGCGTCAAAGTAAAAAAGGCCCTTTTTCAAATCAACATCGATAAAACGTGCAACATCCTCGTAATTAGGCAAGGTGGCAGAAAGTCCAACAATTCTGATATCGGGGTTTCTCTTAGCCCTGACAATGATACTCTCCAACACTGGACCTCTATCGTCGTGCAACAAATGGATTTCATCAATGATCAAGAGCTTCACCATAGATGCATACAGCGATTCAGTAGCTTTTCGAGTCACGACATCCCACTTTTCTGGCGTTGTGAAAAGAATCTGTGTTTCGGCGATTTCTCTCTGGCTAAGGCTAGAATCACCGGTGAATTCGTTCACAACCACGCCAAATTGGGAGGTGAGTCTTCTTTGAAACTCTCTAGTTTGTTCAGCAACCAAAGCCTTCAATGGTGCAACATACACCGCTTTGAAAGACTTCAACGCTATACGACCGCTTTCACTATCACGGTAATTCAGCAAAAGCCGTAGGAAGGTGAGCATGGCAACGTTGGTTTTACCAGCACCTGTAGGGGCACAAAGAAGCAAATTTTCATCGCTTTGGAATGCTTGAGGGTAGATTTTCGACTGGATTCTGTTTAACGACTGTGTTTCTGCAGAGGGAAAGGCAGCCTGAGCCCATTCGGGAAGCTCAGAAATTTGCACAAGTTGTTCATTGGAGGATTCAAGAGATGGCGGTCCTTCTGGAGCAGGAACAGAAATCACATCGTAGAGCTTCTTGTTTTGTTGGTACGAGCCCTTAGGAAGACTGACCTTGGAAGTCGCCATGAGGTGAGCACCTTGCTCGAAAACAAGACCTTCAAGATCCACGATTTTTGGTTTTCTCGTCTCCTGCTTTGTTCTCTTGGCAGGTTCTTCCTGGTCCAGAGCTCTTCTCTTTTTAGGCTGCTCTACCGCCACGCCAAACTCCGATAGAAGCAGATCGAGCCCCATTTCCTTCATTTCCTGTATGGCCTTGGCTTTCTCCTTATCGCCTCCGAGAGCTTGTAGCTGAAACATGATCTTCCAGCGGTTGTCTATGCATACTTTGACCAAATCGAGGTGCTTGTAGTCTGTGGCCTCCATAAGGGCTTTTTCGAGATCGGATCCTGGAATGCTCTTGTCAAAAAGCACTTTCGTTATTTTCTTGCATTGTTCACGAACAGCCTCGGGTTCCCATTCTGGTTCCAGTGCAAAAACTCGACTGTAGAAGAAATCACGCTTGATGTCCTCCAACGGTAAAACGGCAGATTTCGGCGTTTCGCCACCCTGAATCGTCACATTCAGCGAATCCTGAATAACAAGCTCGGTTTCCTTTTCTTCAGAAACCTCTTCCTCCACCACAACATTGGTATGGGTCTCCTGGTCGTTTTCCTCCTCAAACTCAATTGCCAAGGCCTGGTCTCCTCCTTCTTCGGCTGTCTCCTCTTTCTGGTCGTAATCCGTAATGCCATGTGCTATTTTGATCAAAGCATGTAGTTCATCGTCTGAAAGCTTGGTTGATAGAAGATCACCAATCTCATTCCTCCTAGCCAGAAGGTCCCGGTCTTCATCTTTCAACAACTCAAGCACCGTGTCTGCAGCCGACAATATCACGCTGTGAGGCTCGTCAGGAATATGTTGTCGTATTTCAGCCGTGAAAGCTTCAAAAGCCAATGCGTTTCCCTCGGTCGTGGGCTTGTACGCTATATCTTCAAAATTGAGGTCTCTTTGGACGAAGTTCCCATTATTTTGGCTTCTCTCTTCACTTCCCTCGCCATTGGCGGGCCTGGGCCGTGTTTCTGGCTCGGTTCTGGCTCTAGAGCCCATTTCTTTCATGGAGATATGGCCAGCCATAGAAGCCGGCGCCGAGTCTGGTTCGTTCAGGTTCAGCGTCCTGCGGCCTCGGAGAGCAACGCCTGCTAGCTCTTTCTGCAGGTAGCCTCCTTTTTTTCCGTTTTCAGACATGGCCTTGGAAGAGTAGTTGGTGTTGATGATGGTGATGAGCGCACGTGATGAGAAGACCATCTCGGTGGATACAAGTCTGGAATTATGGAAAGTGGGGATTTGAGGATTTAGTGAAGGCTTTTGAGGAATTGAATTTAGCAAGAATTTAAATTTATTCCAGTTGTATGTAGATTTGGCCGTTTGATTCATTCCATGATGGCTGCGAAATATGCAATGCTATAGACCCAAGATGCCAAAATCCGACATCAGAATTCCTTTATGCTTCATTGTCAATTGGCATCCTTAGCTCTTCAAAACTACTGGGTTCTCCAAAACTACACTACACTCGGTCCGCTCATCTATGGTTCATTGAATTAGCGCCTTAGTAGACGTGGTTGGTGAAGTCGTCCTTCTCAAAGTTCCAGGTGTCGTCGGAGATTCTGCCTCTCAATTCGGGAATCTCAGAGCCACGCACGTACACGTCCTCGAACAAGATGGACATCTTGGCCTCTGGTGGAGCGTCAGCCTCGGCAGCAGCAACCTGCTCGTCAACGTACTTTCTGGCAGCCTTGTCGTAAGACTTGATCTCGGCCTCGTCGGCAAGGTTCAAGTCCAAAAGCACGGCCTTCAAGCCGGCAATGGGGTCGTTTCTGGATCTCATGTGCTGCACCTCCTCTCTGGTTCTGTAGGTGGTACCAGGGTCGGACATGGAGTGACCACCGTATCTGTAGGTCTCGAACTCCATCACCAAAGGACCGTTACCGTTGGCACACCAGTCCTTGGCGAACTTGGAGGCCTGGTAGCAGGCCAAGATGTCCATACCGTTGACCTTCAAACCAGGAATGTACTGGCCTCTCTTGTGGTATTCGACCATGGCGGAAGAACGGGCAGCAGAGGTACCCATACCGTACTTGTTGTTCTCGCATGCAAAGATACATGGCAAGTCCCAGAGCTTGGCCATGTTGTAGGCCTCGAACACCTGACCCTGGTTGGCGGCACCGTCACCGTACAAGGTGAAAGTGGCGTTCTTGTCGCCTCTGTACTTGTGGGCAAAAGCCAAACCGGCACCGAGAGGCACCTGGGCACCGACAATACCGTTACCACCGTAGAAGCCAGGAGCAAACATGTGCATCGAACCACCTTTACCGTACGACACACCGGAACGCTTACCCATCAATTCACCCAAAACCTCCTTGACAGACGCGCCTCTGGTGAAGGCAAAACCGTGACATCTGTACGACGTGATCACGGTGTCCTGGGGAGTAATGGCATTCTCAATACCCACAGCAACGGCCTCCTGACCCACAGACAAGTGGCAGAACCCTCTGATCTTCTTGGCCTTGTACAAGGCGTCAGCAGCCATCTCCATTCTTCTGATGATGATCATGTCCTTGTACATCTTCAAAAGAGTTTCCTTCTCCGTCTCAAACGTCAAGGAAGGAGCATCGTCGAGTTTGTAAGTTTCAAACGACGATTCAGGAAGCTGGATTTGCGCGAGGTCCAGGGCCTGGGAGGCCAAGGATCTGGAAGCAGCTACCGCCCTAATTGGGCCCGCTTTGGAGCAAATGGCGCTTCTAAGCATTGGAAGGAAAGTGGTTTTGGTGGTTTTTGGCTCGGGATGGCCTTTTCCGCGCTGCCCGGAGTTGCACTTCCGGTCACGTGACCGCCAGCGGGATCAACCTGTTTTTGGCACTGAGCGGCCCCAGCGGTTTCACGAGAAATAATCGTAAATTCCATGCTCTAAGCCGAGCAAATGCGTGCAAAAATCATTGAAACCTCCCCGAAATCCACCGTTTTAACGACCCCTCGAGCCCAAAAACAGGCTCCGGGCCCGGTCCTGCACGGCGCCGTCAATGGCTGCGAAAAGCGAACCGGACTTTCTCGCTCCGAAGGTTTCAGAATACGGGGATTTTTTGCAAAAAGAGATTTTCAATAACTGGTTTGTTTATGATGTTGAGGCTTTTTGGTGGTTTTTGAAAGCTTGATTTGAAAATTTGGCTTTTGCTGTTCGGAGAAAATCGCCTTGTTGGGCACTGATAAGAGTCGCGAAGCCGCCCCAACGTTTCCGTCTTTTCAGGGCAAGATGGGTTATGGAGAATGGGGATTTCTTTGATTTTTTAAGGTCTATTTTTAAGTTTTCTTGTTTTTGGATCTCCCTTTTCTAAAAAAAAAGGATTTGGCAATTTGCATTGAAAGTGTTGTTTTGGTTTTGTGGTTCACTGCTGGGTTGCTGGTTAACGCATGATGGTGTAGCAAAGCATTGGAGGGTAGGTCCACTTTTTCTGAAATGATGATGAATGGTAATTTCCAGATATAAGATATGATCCCATCAGGAAACCCTTTTATAATTCATCCATAAAATCTCGGCCTTCTCCGTAGCCAGTGCTATGTGATTTTAGAAAGGTAGAAGCAGAGGCTGAACACTTCCGTTTGCAAAAACATTATGTAGCTTTCCTTTTGATAGAGGAGGGACGTCACGATTTTATTGTGTCTGCATAGACACAAATGGGCCAATTTGTATTGACCGTTTAGTATGAACCAGTTGATATAATATGCCTTGTTTTCTCCATGGGGCATCCCACACACGACATTGAGTCCAGTCCTTAATTGATGGCTTTTTTCGTTTTTCTAACCCAATCAAAAATCTCAAAAATTAACTATTGCGTTGAAATATCGTGCTTTTGATCCTTCTCGAATGTGACAAGAGACCACCGGTAAGGCAGATGACATCCACTCAGGAGTTTCATAGGCTGAAGTTGCATGGGCTGAAGCTGCATGGGCTGAAGCTGCATGGGCTGAAGCTGCATGGGCTGAAGCTCCATAGGCTAGAATTTAGAAGTTGATGAAAATACGATTAAACGAAGTTAAAGCTGAAATGTATCAGTTACAAGTGCATTTACCTTCCTGTCTTCACCATGATGCCTGGTAGCACTACGGAAATGATGAACCGGAAGTGTCGAATTGCCTGAGCCAAAAAGTAGGAAATTACTCCAGTAGTATGGAGTCTTCAGAGTCACATATAAAGCATCTTTAGTGATCTAGAAACTACGGAGGAAGACAGGTCATGATCCAGACACCCTCCACACAAATCTGTTCACCACCCAAATTCTATTAAATCAAGGAAAACGAAAAAAAATCGCATTTTCAAAACCCTCCTTTTAAAACCTCTTTTCTCTGCCTCCTTCCACCTCTCTGATAGCAGCACCTCACCACTTATCAGCACTGCCTTTTCGCAGCCAACCAGAACACATATATCCCATCACCACCACCAAAAAAGCACCACCAAAACTATAAATACCCCAACCTCCCCAACCTGATAACTTTCTTACTGATTTTTCAAAAAGCTTTTTCAAAACTCTTTTCCAGCTTCCCCGGTCTTCACGTGACTCCTCTCTGCCATATCGTCCCATCTTCACCTACACCTTCTTCCCACAATGCATCCCCAGTTGGACAGAAACCGTTTCGACAGCTGTGAAAAACTCATGGACGCCTTGGAGGAGTGCCACAAGGCCGAGTTTCTCAAAAAAGCCATGGGCATGTGCAACTTTGAAAAAGATGAGTTGACCAAGTGCCTCCATGTTCAGAGAACCGAGGATGCCAAGCAGAGAATCATCCAGAGCAGAGAGAAGCAAAAGGCTTTTCACGAGCAGCAGCGTAAGCGTGAAGAGGAGTTGTACGGAAAGAACGGCTACTTGAAAAAGGTCATCGAGATGGAGGCTCTGAAGAGACACTAGTCTTGGAGTTGCATGGCTGATTTGGTGAAGTTTAGTCTTCGTTGGTAAACTCAAGCCTTTGTTACATTCATGGAGCTTAAGCTTCTTCTGAGTTAAGTGCTTCTTGTTTATTTTTGCATACTCTGTCTGTTTGCTTTTCAGTGAGGTCTGGTAGGTCCAGGCACCTCAGGTTTACTTCTTGTACATACATAATTAGAATAACATATTGTTAAATTTGATAGCTTTTGTGCCCTTTTGTTCACGGTCAGAGTCAGTGGTCATTCTTGCTTACACCCCATATCTTCAGTAATAAGACGTCCCAGCTGTTTCAGAATGCAAACGATCATTTCACGGCTTTATTCATTTTATTCCTCAAAAGAACCGATTTCGATGGAACAGACGTCGATGGAACAGAGGTCGATGTAAACCGATTTCGATGGAACATAGGGAATACTTTCGTTGCACTTACCCACCCTCCATCTATCCTTCCATTCGATTATCTCCACAACAGCACCTACACGCCTTTGGCCTACACTTCTTTCCCATCTAATTCATTACCTGGCTAGTCCTGGCGGGTCCTGAGCACACGCTTGGTGACCTTATCCTTCGTGACAATGTAAACGACAGCACCCCAACCGGACAAGGCGTCTCTGTCGACGGCGTTCAAAAGCGCCTGCGAAATGGTCTCAAACAAGTCCTCAGGCTCCAAGTCCGGCTCGTAGAGCGACTCACACATACCGTAGAGCTGGTCACTGGCAGTACCAGAAACAATAAAGTCTTTGGCAGCGTCGATACAGCCAATCAAGTCAAAGCCGCAAATGAACGGCTTGTTGGTTTTCAGCTCCAATCCAGCAACAATGGGGCCCACGAAGAAAGGACCGAAACGCTTCTCGTACAACGACAGCGAAACCAAGTTGGCCAATGTCGTGGGCTCAATTTCCCTTTCTTCCCTCAACTTGTACAAGTTGTTCTTGAGACGGAAATCCTCTTTAAGCGTGAGCACGTCTGTGGCAAGACCAGTGAGACCAAGGAAGGTTTTGTCGCCAAACTGGAACACCTTTTCGAAGTTATTGGACAATCCGAGCGACTGGTTTCCTAGTCTGAGATCGGACGCAATTGCTATACATTCTTTGCCGACCATGGCGACGGCGGAGCCACCTGGGGTTAGTGATTGTTTGGAATTTGATTTGGTTTAGTAGTACGTACCGTTGATGGAACTGGGGTCAGACATGGTTAAGTAGTAGTATATAATCGCCGCCACCTTTGATGTTGCCTGTTTGGTCACGTGCGCGATCACGTGCTTTGAAGTGTTCGTGTTACGTAAGCACTTATGTAATCAGCTTGGTGTGATTTACTCTGATGGTGGAATAAGTGGATAATAATTAAAAATGATAAAGGGGCTTCGATCTTTGAAGATTTTGAAGAATGAGTTTCTTCTTGGAATGTCATATACTCTGTGTGTCAAAAGTGAGTTCACATATCTATTCAACTGCTTCTCAGTACACTATGTATCCGATACACGAATGCTCAATATACATTAATATTCTGAGGACGTCGATTTAAACTTTTTTTTTGAAAGTCAGTATAATACCTCACCTTTCTTCTAATTCATTCAAGTTGGGCCATTCTTAACATCAAACCATTTAGAAGTAACATTCTTCCCTGTTCTACTCCACCATCTTCATCATAGATTCACATGTCCTTCTAAAGCTGCTTCTTGAATGATTCCCTACTCCCCGATTCCAAATTGTTCACTTACCCTATCATAATATACTCATACACTAAATAACCGTCTCGTCCTCGTCCTCCTCCTTGATGGTGTTGGTGCTGAAGCTCATAATAAGCTCCCGCTTGGCCTGGTTCAACTCTCCCTCGTTTGGTGCTCCACTGTTCACATCCGCCGAGAGCAACTGATTAATAGGACTGCTCTCCAGATCCTTGATGTCGGCAAGACTGAAGTTCTTGGGCAGCTTCACCAATGTGCCAGAGGTATCCTCCAAACCGGTGGAGACGTCGTACTCGGCATCTTTCTCGTCTCGAGACTCAGGCAAAGCGTCCTTGCGCCTGAACATCATATAAAGCTCGGGTGTGAGCATACTGAGCTTTTCAAGCTCCTTTTTGGCCACCTTGACCACCTCCAGCTCAGCCTTCTGGTGCTCATGAAGGCGCTTTGCAACCTCTGCGCCCACTTCAACGTCATTCTCCTTGTTAATCTTGAGCTTTTCATCGTCCATAATGTCCTGTTTGAGCTTCTCGTAGACATCGTCTTCGACAGCATCAAACCTGAGCTTGAGTCCGTGTCCAAGAGTGATCATGTAGCTCTTGTACTTGATGAGTTCGGTTTTGTATTCGTTGGCACGGTTCTCGAAGTTCAGCGAGATCATTCTGTAGTTGGATGTGCCTTGAAACTTTCTGAACTGCTTCAAGAAGGTCGTTCTCGTCTGGCTGAAGCTGTTGTAATAGCCCTTCAAGCTATTGTAGTACTTGAGCGTCAGCAAGAACTGCTTCAGGAAGCCGTCATGCAGAGCATCATCGCCGTCATCAGCAGTGGACAAGTTGCTGATGTACACACCCTTCGGAAGTTGTTCCCATTTCTGTACGTTCTTGGTTTTCTTGAAACCATCGCCCAAGGCCACGAGCCCGTCGATGTTGGTCCAGCCGTACTCGATCGATGAGACACTCTCCTCCAAAGGTGGAACAGCCGTAATCTTTGAAGCCCAGAAATTACATGTGTTGACGTACTCAGTGGCAACCTCCACCGTACCAGCCTCAAAGATGAACTTCTTGGCGGCCTTCTTGCTCGTCTTGGGGAACGACAAGGACCACTGGATCTTCTCTGAAGATTGTGAAAGCGACAGACGTTCAAGCTGGGCAATGGTGGCGCACAAGTTGTAATTACCCATGTTAGCAGCGTTCTTGAGCCAGTTTCCGTCACCAATATCTTCCTCATCGTCTTCAACGTCAACACCAAACGCAATGCTGTGTTTACGCAACTTCTTCAACTTCTGCTGCTGCTTCTTGATCTGCTTGGGATCGAAAGAATAAAGCCTGAGCTCACCTTTGGACACCACGACAAAGTACTCGCTGAACTTGGTGGTGAAGGCATGGTGGTTGTGACTGGTACCCACTGTTGTAGACACAGCAGCAGGTTCCTTTGGTGTGCTTTTAAAGAATGAAAAGAAGCTCAGCTTGCGAGAAGCGATGGAGGAAGCACTCAGAAGGAACCCGCTTGAGGCTTGTTGGACATCCCCGTTTCCAGTGGAATCCAGCTGGTCATTGTTGATGATTTTGAGCCGCAAAATACCCTCCTTCAAGTATGGTGCACCTTGCAACTCCAACTTCAAGTCGTAAGAGTCCTGGAAGTTGGCCACATCAAAGTCCTCCAACTCCTGCTTTTCATTGTGAGAGGCTTCCAATGTGGGGAGATCGGCGGTCAGGAGCGAGAACTGGTCATCGTTGTTGGACTGCCTGCTGATTATCGACGTTCTGGAGCTCTTGTGGCCCAAACTTGCGTGGCCATAGTGGCGCAAGTGGTCTAAGGAAGTCCTTTTCTTGAGATGAGAACGGGGGGTATTGTTGGAGTGCAACACACGCGTAAAACCCACGCGGGCGCTGTTTTGACCAAATCCGGCGTTGGTGGAAGTAGCTGTAACGTGAGAAACGGTCGAACCACCAGAACGCACTTTCAGAAGTGCCAAGGATTGTCTGCGTTCTGGGTCGGTGGAGTAGTTAGACACGTTGGAGTACTGTCTGCTGAGGTCGTTCTGAACCGCAGAATCGTCTCCGTTGATCTGGGGCAGCTCACCCGAGTTTGCAGAGAAGGTCAGGCGGATAGTGTCGGCCACAGAAAAACGGTTTTGGTTGACAGGGCGTCTAGGCGACGACTGGGGCGCCAAGTCATTGTTCTTCTTCAAGTAGAGCTCGGCTCTAGCCAATTCGTCATAGTACAGGTGGAGCTCTCTCTCGATCAGGATCTTCTGTCTCACGGAGAGCTTGCCAGAGGCCTTCTTGTTCAGCTGAAGGAAAGTGGAGAAGGTGTTTCTGACGTAGTCGGACTGGGAGATGGCGTTCTTCTTGCTGATCTCGGTGTTGTGCAAGGCGGTGTTGAGCAAGATCAAGCTGTACAAGATGATGTAGATTTTCTCAAAGTCCTGGGTGCAAAACACGTTGACCGGGTTCTGGCGGATGTACAGCCTCGTGAAGGCCAGGAGAATACGGTCGATCTCCTGGGACTCGCCCTTGAGGTACAACTTGGAGCATAAGGTTCTTGTGGATCTCACCAAGCTGGGGCTCCACGTGAACAAGTCCATGTAGAGCTCCCTGATGGAGGCGGAGTCCTTGTCGTCGGCGGCCAAGAACTGGGTGTACTCTTCCGGTTTAATCAGCACGAACTCCTCGTTATAGAGCTTTTTGGCGATTTCCTTGAGCTCGTCCTCGGCCTCCTTGTCGGGGTCCTCTGAAGCTGAGCTTTCGGAAATGGCCTCCTCGGGGTTAAGCACCACCACCAACGCGTCCTTCTTTTCAGCAGAAGAGCCGTTTTCCACCGTTTCCACTGTTGTTTCCCTGGGCAGGTCGGTCTTTGTGGTTTCCCCTTCCTCCTCCTCGGGGCAGGGTGCAGGATTTTCGACTTTTTCGATCCGGTCTGTCCCGTGGAGCGTCTCCAGCAGGTCAGTTTTAGTGAGTGACATGGAAAAGTGCAGAAAAAGAAGTGGTAGTTTTTGGTATCAGTGAAGATTCGAGGTACAGGTAGACGACACAGGATGGTGTCAGTGCGGCGCGCGTGTGGGAAAAGGCGTGTGTGGTGTACGGGTGCGGGTCCGATTTCGGGGTACCGGGCCTTTTTTACGAGATTCCACTATATAAGAGGCCGAGATCCGGGTCGGTTTTGGGAGTAGATTTTTTTTGTAGCTTGCCAAGGCTCGTGTGTGGCGAGAAACGTCGGGCTGGTGGTCGGCCAAACCGCGCGGCGTAGCCAGCTCAGGAACCTCCAACCACCCGAAAGGCTGAAGTTTTTGGAGGAGTAAGGGGATTTTGTGGAATGGCTGATTTTCGAAAATTCAGCCTTTAAACAAACGCTTCGTTTCTTTTCTCCCCGTATCTGACGCCTCCGGGGTCGTTGTGGCTTTGACGGTTATCAGACGGTAGCGCAGACGACTGGTCTGGCGCGGCGCGGCTAAACCTTGCACCAGACGAGATCGGAAACACGGCGTGTTGCGTTGAGTTCTTTTATGTTTTTGGTTTTTTTTTTTCTTATGTTTTTGGTTTTGTCTTTTTGTTGATTTCCACAAATTCAGATCGCAACGCCTCCTTTGCCCCGTTTCATGTCTGCCGAATTCTCGTTTGCCCAGATCCGGAATGGCCCGCGCATTGTCTCGTGGAATGCGCTTGATCAGGTATGCTAATGGCAAGAAGCGGGCTTTTTCAGCGGGGCGGATTTTTAGACGAAACGTCCCGATGCAGACGTCAAGCTGATAAGATTTTGGAGATTTTGGAGGAAACTTCGAGAACTGTGGAAGTGGAGAATTTCGAGAAAAGTGTATTTTTTTATGGCGGCACGTCGGAATGCTGCTGGTACGGGGCCACAATGGAAAATGGTAGTAGGCCCTTGTGCACTATCACATTATGGACGGCGGGGTGAATGTGCGTTTCTTCAATAAGGCCAATGGGAGATTTAGCCTTTTCGTCTAGGGCGTGGGCTGAATAAAGGAGGGACAAGGTGGGTTTACACTTTAATTTGGATTTTGATTTGGAAAAAAACTAGAGTATAGCGCTTTTTGACATGTCCTGGCTAGATTGCATGGTTGGGGGTTCTTTGTTACAAGCCTCGGGTGGATCAGGAGCCACATTGTGGAAAAGCGTTCTAGTGGAAATGATCGGTCTAATTCGAGATTCTGGACGATCGCCCTTCTGGGGTTGACCAATCAACTGGGACATTTCACATTTTGGTAATTGGGCTTTTTGATGGAAATTGCGGTGATTAGGTCTCTAGAGCCATCTCTATCAACCATTCATCACCGCTATCATTGGTATTACCACAACGACGGTCACATCGACTGTCTCGAGAAAATCTGCAACGTTTCATCTCTCTAAAATCTCCTCAAACTCAATATTCCCACTTACTTTTTCACCTCGACAAGCAATCAACTGCCTGGACCTGCTGTCGCAAAGTTTGAAGCGCCATTGTTCGAATCTTTATCCGCTTTGGGCAGCGCTTGGTCCTCTCCTATTCGGTACTTCCGAGCTCCGTAGCCGTAGACGAAAAGCCGCCAAGCGTCGTGAATCTAGCCTATTTTGATCAGTGGATGGAATAGAATGGTACGAGTTTTCAAAAATAAGGAGAAAGAGCCAGAAGTGGACATTGAAACAGATTCTGGAAGAGCTGGAGCTCTTTCTTTTCATGGCGTAATAATCTGCTCAGTTGCAGTTGACGGAGATCTAAATTTGAGAAACTTTGATACTACCTCTTGGTGCTGCTATCAGGGTAGATTATGCCGCTTTGTTTGAAGTGACTACTGTACAATGCAGCTTTTGGTTGTCTTTTAGGACCTGAACCGACAAATCAGGCGGTAATGGATGATCTATACTAAAGCATCATTTTGAGTTAGAAAGATTTCCAATGTCCAGAAGAATTATCAAGTAAAAGGTGATGCTCAAAAGTGGCATCTGTGAGCATTCAAGAGCTTCGTCCTTCTGGAAAATTTCCACATACTTGTTCCAGCTATAACATTTAGCTGACCGATGCCATATATGGCAAGATATATCAATCGGTGAGTCCATTTGAACCATTTGAACCATTTGAACCATTTGAACCATTTGAAACTTAGAAAAAAATCTAATTTTTCAATACTATAAGTTCCTAGACGCCGTATGGCAAGGGACAAGATTAAAGTTGGCTTTTTATAGCAATCACTGCAGAATATTTCCAAATCTTCCCAAAATACTATCGATGAAAATAATGTGTATGCTGACAGCATTTCGGTTCAGGGCCTACTGATATTATTTACTCTTCACGTTTGCGTCCCGGTACATCATCACACAGCATGCTTTCAAACCATAACAGACAAAAAAGCCGATTCTCTTTTCTTCCTCTATTTCCAAATGCCCTTTCTTTCAATGTACAAAACAGGTGACCGAGAAGAAATTGATGACCTCATCGACTTCCTCGACGCCTTCTTAAAAGAAGAACATATCGATGACCTTGAAAACTACCTTTTGAACGAGCTCCAATTTGCAAATATCGAGGCTCCGGTGGAAGTCCTTAAGCATGATTCTTACCACATTGCAAGTCTCTTATTTTGGGAGGTGTTTGGGCTGGATCGCTTCAAAGTAGTGTCTTCAGTTGCCAGAGAAGAGATTGTAGCCCTTTGGGGAAGGTTTATAAAAACCATACAAGTGAGAGCCGTGCTTGACTTTCTTCCTTTAAAACGTTTTGTTCTGATAATGGAAGATACGGGCTCTTTGGAAGTTCTAACAACAGCGGTGAATATTCTCGTGTGGTTGATATCTGAGGATGATAGTGAAGAATCATCGGACTTTCTTGACTATACTCAGTTCCTCGGGGAAGTGCTTAAATGGTACTTGACTGAAAGTTCAGCTGGTGAGTGTGTGGATTCCTTGTATGAATTGCTTCACGAATGTATCGATGACTCTTTAGATATTGCAATTGAATTCATAGACAAGTCTATTGATCAGCTACCTCTGGTATATGATTTTGCCATGATGGAGAGGTACCGGGAAGTATTTGAGATTGTGCTAAGTCGAGAACTTGAGATTCCAGAATCTCTTCTCCTCAAGGTGGTTTACGTGGCTGAGTTGGAGATATTCAGCAAGCAAGTTAAGGATCTAGAGACGCTTATGGAATTCTACACTGCCTTGTGGGAGCTTCTGGAAAAATCACCAAGTATTTTACCCCATGCTTGAGTCTAGGATTCGAGCCGTATTGGGTTTACTAGAGAGAGGTTTGGATGACTTATCTGTTGAGCCGAGTGTAGCACATTTTTCTGAAAAGCTCACAAGTTGTACTTGCCATTATATCAATCAATGGGCAAAGGCAGAGAATTCTGTGGAACGAATAATTCAAAAGCTCAGTTTCAAAGAGCCCGAGCACCTCAAGGTTTTGGAGATTTTCGATTACAGCTTCATCGAGGAGAAGTGTACATTCTTCAATGAGAAGCTCCAACTGTTAAAGCTATCAAAAGACATGTACGCAAAAAAGGCAATTTGGAGAACAATGAAAAATCCAGAATTTTTTGCCATGTTTGCTAAAAACGGGCAGTTGTCCATGGATGAGTTTGGGCAAATGGAGGAGCCTCTACTCTACGAGTACCTAAATAACCTATCTCAACACACCCATTCCCATGAGTACCTTCTTGAAAATACGACAGGAGTGATAAGGGTGTTTTGGATGATAATGAAAGATGATCCTTTGGACGAGGGAGCTTGAGGGGGTGCAATGACTATGACAAGGTTTTCGCTGCCTTACTTATGAAGGTGCATTTTTAAGCGTCTGGAAATGTTGTACCTATGTAAATGCATTGACGAACTTTTGAAGGAGGATATCAAGTCACTTCACGAGAATAACTCTTGAGTAGATGCCTGAATTTTTATTCAGGTAAAGAAACCATAATATGTGAGAGAGAATTATACAAAGTCGAGATCGAAACCTTATGGTAGTCCTGCTTAGTAAGGTCCACTTTTGACTGCTTGCCGGTCAACAAGGCATAAAATTTGAATATATAGTTTGTTTGTTTTTTTAGTAAGCAGAAAATAAATTTATTGAGTTGTCTTCTTAGCTGCTTCTGCCGACTATTGCAAATATGTGGTTTGAATGCCAACAAGATTAAATAAGGTTCACAGAAGTTTCGTTACTAGATCTTCAAAATTTTGCCAACTTTTGAAAATCAGCTTTCTGTCCTGGTTCAAAATGAAGATTGATATTTGATGAAAATTTGAGGCCCAGCTGCAATCAAAAAAATATATAGTACCCTCTCGTATCTCACCTCACCTACAGTGCTCATACACCTCCATTCACACTCATCACCATCAACAGCTAAATACACCAATTACATATTTTAACATTGCATTATAATTCAAAAGAAAAGTAATGCCTTTTATTTTATTTTTTCTTTTTTGTTTTTTGGTTATTCATACCCTACCCTCTGGATTGTGTGGCTCAGGTACCCTCCTGGTACTAGCTGTACCGCGCCTGATTATCAACATCCACCTACTCCATGCTTCCTTCACCCCAGCTTGATCCAGACACACAGAAGTTTGCAGATCACCTCAATGCTTACCTAAGCGGCGAAACCGACGACACCTATGCTGCGGCAAATTACTACGACTACATCTCACTCCACAAACACCTTCTCCAATCGGATGATCCATTATGTAATCCTGTTTTGACCACCATCATGCCGTTGCTTTCGAGGATCTTGAACCTGGACCGCTACCACACCGACTACGTCAAGTTCTTGAGTGATTTCTTGATGCTTGTGCCAATTAAGACAACATGGGTGTACTTTCCAAAAGACGAAATGGTAAAGACATTGGAGTACCCCAGTCCGGTGGACTTGTACACTGCCACGGTGGATATGGTGGCGTGGCGGATCTCTGCTGGTGATCCGGACGCGTTGGATTTTGTGGACAAGTCGCTGTTTTTGACTAAAGCGCTCCAGAGATGCTTATCAGACCACTCCATTCCAGCGAGGTTCTGGACGGTGGAGCCTTTGGTGCAGAGCTGTGACGAGAAGCTCTTGGATGAGCTTGTGGCGGATCTCGTGCATGCGGTGGAGCTCGTGTCCTTGGGATCGGATTGCAACTTGAGCACGAGGTACATGGCCATCACTGAGAGAATCATTGCACGGCGCCTCGATTTGACCAAAAAGACCTACGATAAGATCACCGAGGTGGTTGAGTTGGATTACTTGGCGGACAGCGACCCGTCCGACCCGTTGATGTACGATCTTACGGTTGATTTCTACACATCCTTGGTGGGCCTTATAGACAAGCTGCATGAGCTCTTCCTACTGCTTCAGCCGGTGTTGCAGACCACGTTGGCTGCCCTAGCGGAGAAATTGAAGAGCAAGGAGTCGTATTTGAGTACCAGTCTTGGGGCTCTATTCGGCAAGCTCACATACTGCAAGAATGAAGAAATCGTGACTTGGGCCCAGGAGGAGAAGTCCGTCAACGCCATCCTAGATAGCCTTATTTTGGAGAGCCCCACCCATCGCCAGATTCTCGACTTGATGAACTTTGGGTTCATTCCTGACAAACACAAATTCTTCAACGACCACTTTGCTAATCGGGAATTGTCAAGAAGCTCGGATGTATTGCCAATCATTGCTCACGCTATAGAGGACCCTGAGTTCTTCCGCTTATTTGCAGACTACGACAAACTCTCCAACAGCGCTTTGTCGCAAATGCAAAAGAACCAGCTCTACGAGTTGCTTGAAGTAATCACCCGTTATGACCATTCCGCTAACTACCTTTTGAGCGAAATGCCCACGGTGGTGCTGACATACTTGGTGGAAGTTCCTGGTGATATTTCCCACCCATTGATTACAAAGCACCTCCGCTCCGCTCTTGAAAACCTTATATCAAACAAGGATCTCGATCTTGGAGTATGGGAACAGGGACTCAAGAGCCTGCTACATAGTTTGGTCAATGGTCGCCCTAAAGGGCCCCAGGTTGATGTCCAGGACAAAGCATTTTGATTTATAGGCAATTTACCCAGGCGTTTCCGCATATACACGTTCTTTGAAACACCATGGTCCAGATACCAAAGCCGCCCGGTCCATCAAAGATAGATGGATCAGCGACCAACGATACTGCTCTGCATCTTGTACACTTTCTGATTTTATTCTTCAGTGAATATCCCTTGCTCATAGCCGAGGCGCCGCCTGATTTGACCGTAGGTCCAGCGTTAATGACAATCTTCCGGAGAGTGTCAACCACCTCGTTATCTGAGTATCGGAGTCGGGGGATCATTGGTTTGAAATGCTCTTCCAACGGCACATATGGCTTACCAAATTCTTTTCGGGAAATACCAACGTCGATCCAGTCATTTTGATAGAAATACAAATCTGCGAGCTTCAAGTCTCTGCTTATCGTAGCTGAGTGACGCTCTATTAAGACATTGGCCATATACTTGACCTCGTCAGGAACAAATCCCCGACAGAATAGCTGCTGTTCCAATTTGAGCAGTTGAGCACGATCATTTGAAACAATGTTGTTGAGCTCCTTGTTAACATAAACCTCGCATTCACGGAGGAAGTTCTCAAAAAGGCCAAGGTTAAGTGGCAGTGAGTTGCACGCTGTGAAGAAACGATTGAGTGCCTCTTTCATAGGTGTGTAAAGCTTGTTACTCTCCGTGAGCTCTTTGTAAAGCTTCTTTAAAATCTCGTGGGTCTTTCCAATGGAAGAAAGCGAGTACATGAGGAATAGGCGTGGTACCTTGCCTAGTATCACTGGGAGTACCACGGAATTATCCACAGTAACTTTAGACTGTTCTGGATTATTTTTGGAAAATGCAAGTTGAAGAAGCTCCTGGTTGAAGTAAACGATCAAGTCAATAAGCCAGCGAATGTTTCCCACCAACAGCATTATACATTCAGCACGACTCACGGAATCTTGCAAGAGGTCCTCGGCAGGCTTCTTTTTCGACATTTGCCTGTAGATGCTGGAAAGCGAGAACATGATGCCAAAACTGGTCGACCTCAAATTAAGTACAATCCACGCCATATCTTTGATAGCTTTATTTTTTGTGTGAAGCTCGCCAAGCACAAGCTGAAGTGAAAGAAGTCTCTGGAGAGGTGGGTTCGAAAGAAGCTTGTCAACAGACTCCTTCCCAAACGAATTGAGCTGAAAGTTGATCGCCTTGTGTGACTCCGTCATTGCCAAATCGACGAGATGACCAGCGAGCTCTGGCTGCTCGAGTTCGGTCTTGAAAAGCTCATTTCGAAGCATCACCAAAAGATCGTCGGAGGATGTGGTGGAGTAGCAGGCACACGCATGCATGTAGGCAAAGCCAATGCCACAGAGCAGAACGCTTTTGGTACTGCTGCGCTCAAGAGGCCTGAATTGAAGTTGTCCGTTTTCGTAGTGAACGAAAGCAGCCATATTGGGAGAAACAGCTAGCAATGCTGGAGAAGGCCCTAGTTCAGGAAACAGGAATCCACAGTCTAGAAGTGAAGTTATGGTGCTAGGGTATGTTGTCTGTTCCTGACCTTCAATCTTGAGATCCAGCAGTGGCACAATCTCCCATGTCTCCCTGTTGACGGCATCGATGGTGCCGTCTGTATAAATAAAAAGAAGCAAGCTCTCTGAGATGGCCGTTTCTATCTGCTGAACCTGCTTCGATAGACTGATATGGCCCTGTAGCACAAGCCTCAAAAGACCTTCTCGAGAATCACCGGCATTGGCGTCTCCCATGCTATCAAACAAATCGCCCACGCTATCCATGGCGTTCTCCAAATTATACCTGTACGCCAGCGTGTAGGGCTGGCTGCCCACGGGGTTCATGCACTCATAAGTTATGAGGATCTCCAAATTGGAGCCCTGTTGGAAGTACGGGGAAAATAGCTCGATCAGCTTGAGTGTCTGCTGAACCACCTCGGGCTTTCCAAAGGCCTTTTCCTCGCCAAAATCACACGATGCCGTGGGCTCGGGCCTCATTTCGTGCACCAACGCACACAGTAGCAGCGGCGGGATCTGGCTGTCCTTTGGTGTGTGGTAATGAGGATCTGAGCGCTGTCTCTGGGCAGATTCAACAAGAAAGCCCCAGTCGATGCTGATGACGTAGGTCAAAACGAGGTCCGAGCGGGCATCGTAGGCCACCACAACAATCTTCTTGTCGCTGTTGAAGCCAATGGCTGCCTTGGTGAAAGTGCAGCTGCCTTCCCTGCCGTCAGGAGCCAAATTGTACGCCAACTTGTGGTACTCCACCTTGTGCTCGCCCTGGTAGTACAAGCTGAAAAGACCATCCTGGCGTACAGCCACACAGGCTTGTTTTGTCGGAATCGGGTGGCTGGTTCCTGGAGGATGGTGCTGGGTCACTCCATAGACATAGTTAGCCACGCCGTTCTCCTCGCCCATGAGCGTCGCCGGCTTGTTCACAATCTGCGGCTTCTCGATGTTCAACCACTCAAACGCCACACACTTGGTGTGGGCCTGCGGCGGTGCAATGTCTCTGTAGATCATCTCGGTATGATTATAACTAGTAAGTTCGTAGGAAGGCCCGTCGCCCCGGGGCAGCCCATTAGGGTTCAAGTCCTTGGCTCCGTTGGACGTCTTTGATCCGTTCGCCCGGTGCCCGTTGGCCTCCTCCGTCTTCTTATCGTTGATCAAGCCCACTCCAGCGAGCAAAATGAAGAAGTTGCCCTTCACGTCCCACACGGCCAAATCGGTCAGAAGATTGCTCCAGCGGAGCCTCTCAATCTCCGACACCACGCCGTCGTCCAGCGGCTTGAGCGTGAGCGGGGTGGTTTTCGCCAATTGCCAGTCCTTCCCGTTGGTGTTCTCCAAGTACGTGAGACACATGTTGTGGCCCGAGCTCGGCTCCGGATGTGCGTATGTGATGAAGCCGTACTTTGACCATGAGATGGCGGAGGACTGCGGTTTGGACGGTGTGGGCGGGGATCTCGTGATACTGGCATGGTGGAGAGGAGTTGTAGATTAATGAGTAGTTGATGCGCGATAGATCTGACGGGTGGGTCGTGAGGGTGGTGTACGTTGTTTGGTGGTTTTGGGGATTTTTGGGACTTTTTTGGGGGATATCGGAAAAGGTGGTGAAATATTGGGCTTGAATGGCTCCTTTTTTTTTCTTTTTTGGGTGTTTAGGTGGATTTTGGTATGGCCGTTGGATACCGTTACGGACTATGACAGGCATTTCGCAGCCATATGCGATTACGGACCGGAGTTGAGGGTGGACATGGATTTGGGCGATGTATAAGAGAACGAGGGATTCCAATTATGCTTTTTGAAATGCTGCTAAATTTTTTGTTGATTTTTTTGAATTTGAGGGAAGAGATGTTCGGTGTGGTGTGAAATGGTCGGTTTATCTGGTAGGGTTCAGCACTGATCTGCACCGTACTCATTGACAGGTGATGGAGGTGAAAGATTTAAAGGTAGAGAGGTTTTTAAATTTTGACTTTGTCGAGTTTAAAATATCCTTTTTCTTTGTGGAAGTGAACTAGAGTGCTTTTCGATGGCTGGCATTGTAGTATGTCAACCTGAAGGCTTACAGGGCGATGAGAGATGCCTAACTCTACATATATGACTATTCTGACGTCATTCTTATGATTCCTTGCTTGACCGGTTTTTTATTTTTTTTGAAACTAAGAATCATTCCTTCGTATTCCTTGAATATGAATGGGGGTTGAAATCAGACTCATCAATTCAAGGCAAAAGACAAGTACAATGATAAAGTGAGGTTCATCAGATTTTGAAGATTGAAATTTTTATCGCCAACGGAAATCATTCCTCTAAATCTACCCATTTCTTTAAATCCTGAAGTTCAATTCTTCACTTCTTCTCTTCGCCAGAAGCCGATTCGCCCACACATCGGACTCATCGATTCAAGGCAAAGAATAAATGCAATGGTTAAATGAAAATGATATGACCTGAAAAGATAATTTAAATCAAAATATTCATCGCCAACCACAAAATCATTGACCTTCATACTCCTCTCTACCATCTCTCAAATACCACCTCCACTCTCCAACTACCACCTCCACTCACAATCCCCTCCATCTACACCCTGCTGTACTAATCATTCATTCAATACCTACAAGTCACCAGGAACAGGGAACTGGGCAGCCCAGGCCTGCACCTCGGCGTCCAACGCCTTCACCTCCTCCGACTGCTCTACAATCTGCTTGAAGCTGGCCATCAACTCCTTGGCCACACTGCCCTGCTCCTGCGCCTTCAACTTGATGGCAATGTCCACGGCCTTCTGGAAGTACTCGGCAACCTTGGCAAACTCCTCGGGACCAAAACCTCTGGTGGTCATGGCTGGAGTACCCACTCTCAAACCACTGGGGAAAAGAGCAGACTTGTCGCCGGGAACGGTGTTCTTGTTGGCGGCAATGTTCACGTGCTCCAAGACTTTTTCAACACGGGCACCGTCGATCTTCTTGGAACGGAGGTCCACGAGAATCAAGTGGGTGTCGGTACCGTTGGAAACCAAGTCGAAGCCCTTGTCCTCCAAAGCAGCAGCAAAGGCCTTGGCATTGTCCACAACCTCCTGCTGGTACTGCTTGTACTCAGGGTACTGGCACTGCTTCAAGGCGACAGCCAAGGCAGAGATGGTGTGGTTGTGAGGACCACCCTGGTGGGCAGGGAAGACGGAAAAGTTGATCTTTCTCTCGAGGTCGTATGGGATCTCCTTGCCCTTCTTGGTGACCTTTCTGATGCCCTTTCTGAAGAAAATCATGGCACCACGAGGACCTCTCAAGGACTTGTGGGTGGTGGTGGTGACAATGTCGGAGTATGGGAATGGAGAGGCAGTGACACCAGCCAGCACCAAACCGGAAATGTGGGCCATGTCGGACAAAATGTAGGCTCCGACCTTGTCGGCGATTTCACGCATGCGCTTGTAGTCAATGACTCTGGAGTAGGCAGAGGCACCAGCCACAATGACCTTGGGTCTGAACAAGAGAGCGTTCTTCTCCAAGGTGTCGTAGTCAATGAGCCCGGTCTCCTCGTCCAAACGGTAAGGCATCGTCTGGAAGTACTTGGAGATGTAGGAGATTTTGGCATTGGGGGTCTGGTATCCGTGGGAAAGATGGCCTCCGTGAGGCAAGTCCAAACCCATGATTCTGTCGCCAACCTCCAAAACGGCACTGTAGGCGTACAAGTTGGCTGGGGCTCCAGACAATGGCTGGACATTGACACCCCACTGCTCGGGGTCCAAGTCAAAAGCCTCCAAAGCACGCTGTCTACACAAGGATTCAGCCTTGTCGATGATCTCGTTACCACCGTAGTATCTCTCGCCAGGGTAACCCTCGGAGTACTTGTTCTGCATCTCCGAGCCCAACAAGTCCATGACGGCCTTGGAGGTGAAGTTTTCCGATGGGATCAAGGTGATGGAGTTTCTCTGTCTGTCTCTCTCTTGCTGCAAAATCGACGCCATCTCAGGGTCGACTTCCTGGACCAGCTTGGAGATGAGGCCCTGGGCCTTGGCCAGAAGGGCGTAGGTGCGGACGCTGAGCGTCTGGCGCTGGATGGCACGGAACGAACGGGAGAGCATGCCGGGTGGTTGGGGAAAGGTGGGAAAGGCTTGTTCTTATAGTTTTGGGGGATGAAAAAATTCCTGACTCACGACCGGGCTGTGCACGTGATATCGGCGTGACTCGGCCGATAGTGAAACGGCGAGTTCCGAGGGCAGCGCCGGTCGCGGGCCGACTCCGAAACCTGGGGTGGTCAGAGTCAGCAGCGAGTCAATGTGGGGCAGGCCTTTCTGACTGCCCCAGGGTGTATTCCGTTCTCGTGGGTCAGAGTGGTTTGACTCTGGAAGGTTCAGGTTGGCGCCGGTCCGCCTTATTAAGATTTGCCAGTGGATGGGGCTGGTCCATAGTGGGCTGGTCCACAATTTTTTTTTTTTCTTTTTTGTTGATTTATTTGGTTTAGAATTGAGAGTTGTGTTGTTTTAGTTCTTGCTGAAACTATGGCACATGGTAAGTAGATGTGTTTTTTGCGGTGGGCAATGGGCCATGTGGATTGGGAAATGCTTGCGAAGGCTGGATGGTGGGTTTTCGGCAAAATCCGCCAATCCGGATGCAAAACCTCTTTTTAGGGTCTTGTGACTTGGGATTGTGTTCTTGTAAGCCATTGAGCTGTTTTCATGCTTTTTGGTGCCATGCTATGTTGGTGAAGTTTGGCTGGTGTAGGCTAATGTGGAGGTATTCAGGTGTGAGCGATTCCTGGTGAACAAGGGTCTATGAGACTTGGAGGCAAAGTCAAGCGGGAGATTTTTGATAAATATAGTATGTGGAGGCACTTGGGCGAAATCTGCTGTGTTTCTGATTTTTGGGATGTTCGTGAAGATTTACTGCTTTGTCCTTTTCGCAGCCATCTAGTGAATACTCAGATCCTCTGTGAAGTTCTCAGAGGAAGTCGAACATAATAACATATGTGACTAAAATAATAACAAAAACCATCCATGTGAATGGACAGCCGGTGATACCATCATCAAAATATTTTAACTCTGCGCTCTACTGTCCTCGTCTACTTTTCTATTCTCTCCAATGCGTCCATTACATGTCTATATCCTACCACCGATATTCTATATCGTCAATATCCCAGTTCCACGAGCAACCGATGCTCAGTTCCACAACTTTCCCCTCCATGACACCACGGGAGCTTGCTATAAATTGCCTGCTCTTGCAAGGCCTCTATGGAAAATCGTTCCAGCGGATCCACAGCCAAAAGACTCGAAACAAAGTCCTTCAAACGACCCGGAAGCACCAGAAAAACGTCCTCACTACCATCAAGCCACGCCTTGTACCGCTCATCACTCAAATGGGCCGTTTTCCATACAAACCGTTTGGTTGCAAAATACACCAATACCACCCCTAGCGACCAAATATCCGCTTTCATACCGTCGTACTTAATCAGTGACACCATTTCAGGCGCCATATACTTTGGCGAGCCCACAATTCCAATAGCGGAATCGCTTTCCGTAACCGTAGCCATGTCAACGACCTTCAACCGCCCGGTTTCCAGCAAAACCATGTTTTCAAGTTTTATATCACGATGAGCCAATCCCCGGCTGTGAAGGTACGCAATGGCAGAGACAAGCTGTTTCCAGTAGCACAAGTTTTCAGCCACGGAAAAGTCTCCCTGCTTTTGGTGTCGTAGAAGCCTAGCCATATCCATCAGCCCAGCTTCCATGTACATGCTGACGGTCAGGCCGGTCCAGGAGATCGTATGTTTTTGCGGGACATAAAAGCCCTCATGATCAAGCAGCTTCAAAAGCTCATACTCGTACAAGACCCTAGTGTGGTACTCTTTCCGCAGTTCATGAGGCTCTTTTTCATGGTATGTCTTGACTGCGTACTTGACGCCATGGGAGGTTTTCCAGATTTCCACTGATCCGCTGACGCCTGCTGCAGGTCGATAGACAAGCGTATCTCGAGAGAACATGAAGTATTTATATGGATTCGGGTGGATTTGGCATGTTCTGGAGGAACAGTAGGTAGTTGATGGAGGCTAGGTACAGGTCGGGCTCATGGGGTGGATGGATGATGAAAATAAGGGTGGTGGAAGAAGAGAAATGATTATTGAGATGTAGCGCATTGAATGGACTGGAAATTTGAAGTGGGCTGGAGAATGCTGGAGATGTGGGTGTATGGTGGAAAATAATGGTGCTGAAAGATCGTTTAGATAGGGCCATAGGCCACTGCGATCGGATACCAATGGTGATGGACACTGGGTCTATGGCCGACCAAGTCTTTATATTTCTGAAAAGCTGTTCATGTTTATTCAACAGAAAGTATGTCTCAATTTGATACAACCACAAACGAATTGGAAGGAAATTGCTGGAACTTATCTAATGAGTAGCCGTAGAGTATGGAGAATGCCACCAGCCATGTCGATCAACGCCCACAGCTAAGATCCATAAAAGTCACCATATTCAAAAAAAAAAAAAAAAAATGCCCAGTTCCAAAAATCACCATTCCCTCCCCACCCTGCAAAGCCCTGGATTGTTCGACATTCTGGTATCTACCATCAGCCCACCGTAGAACGACTTTCGCAGCCAACTACAGACACATTTCACATGAGACACCGAGCCATAAACCACCAATGCAAGCGTTATACAAACGGAAACAGAATATAAAGAATCAGTTGAAGACCACCCCGGCTTATCACCGAATACTCCGAGCTGGTTGCCACTGCCTTCCACAAATGACGTCTCCACATGGCGCAACTCGACTTATCTGGCGCCTTGGCACCGATAGCCTTAGTAACCAGCTTCAATCACAATTTCTCCCAAACATCAAAAACCAATTCAAATAATGCCACCTCAATATTCTACAATTGAGCAACCAAGAATAAAAGCCGTTGGGTCTGGACCATATAGCCGCACAGCCATGGCACTGCGGTACTTTGCCACACACGCACGCAATGTAAGCCGTTTTCGAACACCACCTTCACCAGCCTGATATGACAACAATAATCATCAAAATATAATAAATTGACCTTTCTTTTTTACAGGCTTTGGGACAAATTGGCCTCCCCTGGCTCCCGGAGGTACGGGTGTGCCGCACCCCCAAAGCAGCTGGCTTTGGCCCTTATCAGGACGTCACCATACCGGTTAGCGTTCTGCACACTGGCACCACAATCCCCAGGCAATCTCGGGCTCGGCCCCGGCTATATAAAGAGAGCAATTTCTCGCTTTTTGTGCCCCACTGTTTCTGGCTCATTTTCCCGGCACACCACCCCAGGAAAACGAAATCGTCATGAAATTAACCACCCTCGTTGCCGCCGCATGCGCCGCCCTGTCGGCGTCGGCCATTTCCATCCCAATGGACCGCCTCCAGAACGTCCAGCAAGTCTTGTCTGATAAGGCCTCCTCGCTCTCTTCCCAGTACTCGGACCTCAGAGGCGCCTTGGAGAACTCCAAGGGCGACATGTTGCTGAAGATTGCGCAGTACGTAAAACAGCCCGTGGAGGCGATTCCCAAGGACGCGGCCGCTTTGTGGCTGGAGATGATGCTCAAGTTCCCAGAGAGCGTGAGCTCGCTCAAGTTCAAGAACCCAGCCTCCTCCGCCAAGAAGCTCGCCCGTAAGTTTGACTTCCACGTTACCGACGCCAAGTTGCCCAACCACCAGTTGCGTATCAAGTCCACCCCTGAGGACTTGGGCATTGACTCGGTCAAGCAGTACTCTGGTTACTTGGATGTCGCCGACGAGGACAAGCACTTTTTCTTCTGGGCCTTTGAGTCCAGAAACGACCCCAAGAACGACCCTGTCATTTTGTGGTTGAACGGTGGCCCCGGCTGCTCCTCCTTGACTGGTTTGTTCTTTGAGTTGGGTCCTGCTCGTATTGGCGAGGACTTGAAGCCCGTGAACAACCCTTCTTCGTGGAACAACAACGCCACCGTGATTTTCTTGGACCAGCCCGCCAACGTCGGCTACTCGTACTCTTCCGAGTCCGTCTCCAACACCGTGGCTGCCGGCCAGGACGTGTACGCCTTCTTGGAGTTGTTCTTCCAGCAGTTCCCTGAGTACGCCAAGAGAGACTTCCACATTGCCGGTGAGTCTTACGGCGGCCACTACATCCCCGTTTTCGCCTCTGAGATCTTGAGCCACGACGACCGTCACTTCAACTTGACCTCTGTCTTGATTGGTAACGGTTTGACCGACCCATTGACCCAGTACGAGTACTACCAGCCAATGGCCTGCGGTAAGGGCGGCGAAGAGGCTGTCTTGGATCCCGAGGAGTGTGACAACATGGCCTCGTCGATTCCTCAGTGCTTGTCTTTGATTGAGTCGTGCTACAACTCTGGCTCTGTGTGGTCTTGTGTTCCAGCCACCATCTACTGTAACAACGCCCAGATGGGTCCATACCAGAAGACCGGCAAGAACGTGTACGACATCAGAACCGAGTGCAAGGGCGGCAGCTTGTGCTACGAGGAGTTGGGCTACATTGACGACTACTTGAACTTGCCCGAGGTGAAGGAGAAGTTGGGTGTCGAGGTCGAGGAGTACCAGGGATGCAACTTTGACATCAACAGAAACTTTTTGTTTGCCGGCGACTGGATGAAGCCATACCACAAGAACGTGATTGACCTCTTGGAGAGCAAGTTGCCTGTGCTTGTGTATGCCGGAGACAAGGACTTTATCTGCAACTGGTTGGGTAACCGCGCATGGACGGACCGTTTGCCATGGTCCGGACAGAAGCAGTTTGAGTCGCAGAAGATCCGTACCTGGACCGTCGGCAAGGAGGCCGCCGGAGAGGTGAAGAACTACAAGCACTTTACCTTTTTGAGAGTGTACGGCGGCGGCCACATGGTGCCATTTGACCAGCCTGAGAATGCGTTGGACATGGTGAACCGGTGGATCGCCGGCGACTACACGTACAACTAGTGGCCCCAGCTGAGTAGAAAAGAGCTTTGTGATTCGTTTCTTGCAAAGCGATTATTGTGACTTTTTGTAGCACGGCAGCGGCTATTGTAGCTTATAGGCCCTTGCGCGGAAACAACAAACAGCCTCATTTTGCAACCAGACTACCCGATTCGGCCACTTCCCAAACAGCCATCCAAGCAAGCCCTGAAGCCATGGAAAACGCTCCACACGCCAAACCTTAGCATCAACAAACTTTCTGCTAGAACCTACTACACAAACGTTATATCTAATTATCAGCCATGTGGCTCCATCGCAGCATTCGCCTGGTGCTTATGCTTGTGTGTATTGCCCTGGGGGTGATGGCCTCACTAGCCTACGAACCACGGTTTCGGCTGATGCTTCCGTTTATGGTTTCGAGTTTTGTTGTGGCGGTTGTGCAGCCGGTGACGATGGTGAAAAACAGCCTCTGGTGGCTAGAAACCACAGTTTACTTGTTCCACTTGGGTGCTTCGGTGACGCTCATATGCCAGTTCAACGGGGTGCCATTGCGGTACCACGGGGTGGAGGTGGTGGTTCTGTTGGCGATGGCGGGGTGTTTTTTGCTGGGGCTAGCTCTAGGGAAACCGGGGAAATTGGAAAAATCGTCCGATGTGGAAAGCACGCTGACTGCTTGTCTGGAGCAGCTTTCGCTCAACAAGGCCCATGAAAAACCCGATGTCGCCAACAAGGCGAGCCAGAAAACGCTCGTCCAGAGAGAAGCTTCCGGAAGCACGCTTCGAAGCGACAGCAGCGAGCCGGAAATGGTGTCCAAGGCCATGGCACTGAACTCGCTCGAAGACTACTGTGAGCACAACTGGATGAGCCCATCGTTGGAGTATTCGCTGGTGCCGGCGCTCAATGGCTCGGAAAACGACGTCCACCGGCTGAAGCTGGTGAGCCAGCTCCATGTGAACAAACGGCTGCCGAAAAAACGCAAGTGGCAGCTGATCCACGACGAGAAGGTGTTTTTGCTGAGCGTGAGTGAAAACCTACTTCCGTCGGTGCTCAAGCTGAGCGAGTCCCCGATCCAGGCCAGCAAGCGGAGCATGGAGAATTTCCGTGCTTCTGGCGAGTTCGACGGCAGCCCCGTCCGGACCCAGTACCACACTCCCCGAGCCTCGCCGAGCCGAGAATCGTTCGAGAAAGCAAAATCCTCCTTCGACCGCCACAGCGCTATTTTGGAAGGCCCCGACCGCCACAGCGCCATCATGGAGGGCCTAGAGGAGATCCCCACGGCGCAGGCGCCGCCATGGACCACGCAGGGCCCGGGGCTCAGGCTGATTCTGCTTCAGGACTGGGAGCGCAACAAGCACTGGCTTGGGAGCCCCGAGGTGGATTTGGAAGATTTGGGGAACAATCGAAGCGAGGTGGATTTTGAAACCCTCGACAAGCCCAGTGAGGTGGATTTTGAAACCCCCGACAGGGATAGGCGAAGCTTCAATCTGAGACTGGCGCCCTCGCTCCACACATACAGAAGAAACTCCGAAGGATCCAACCGCCGCCTGGTGTACGTTCAGGAGCTGCTGGAAAACGCCCTCACCCACTGCGTCACTCCGACTGCCAGGGTGCCTGAACTCCCGTGTATCCAATCCACAAACTCGTCGCCAATTAAAAAAGTAATGGGCATGTTCCGCCGGCGGGGGCTGGAGGCCGAATTTGCCGGCCCAAACTACAGTTTCGGCTACCACAAGCACAACGACCTGGTTGCAAATTCCACAATCTCCCACCCGATCCTGGTGGCCTCGGGCAAGTCGTCGTCCGGGCTGCCCCGGAAAGCCATCAAGTCCTTTTTAAAAGGCCTGCTGCTGCACAAATCCGGAAGCAGCTTCACGTATACCCCCCACAACCCTCCACCGGTTCCTCCAGCACCTCCGCCAATTCCCATTTTGTTCAACATGCCCAAAGACCCGCTTTTCCGCCACAGCACCGAGCTAATGCAGCCGTTCCGGGTCCCCTCTGACGAGTGGGACATGGGCGAGGCCACTGCTCTGGACCAGCTGCGGGTGAGCAGTTTGCCTAGTGCCATAATTGGCGAGTACGATAAGGAGAAGTGGCGCAAGTTGAAGGAGTTGGAGGCGACGCAGGAGGCCGTGGGGGCCGAGCGGGCTGAAGTGGAAGTTTGACTTTGAGGTGTTCTTGAGGAGGCACTATTCAGGTTAATGAGACTCGAAGAATGGGAATCGCCAAATCCAGGGAATTGTCCTGAATGAGAATCCAGTTAATGAAGAGTTGCCTGAATTTTTCCTATTGCCCGACTTCTTTAAATCTGCCTCCCATGACATATGACGCTATGAATCCACACTGTGTGATGCTAGCCACGTCAGATACCACGATACATGCCCTCCTTATACCCATATCCAACCAAGCCATCCAACCAAGCCCTCCAACCAAGCCATCCACCCTCCCCCACATTCACTTACTAGACCTTGGTCTCAGCATCAGCCTTATGGCAGCACATAGCATATTAATGAAATCGCATGCAAAGTAGGTTTGTAGGCATCTGCGGCAATGTGTCAAAATGGCTGCGAAACGCAAGTCGCGGATCCATGGAAGCTAATACCCTCGAGCTAAAGCGAAGAGCTAAAGTGAAGGGGATCTGGCGTAGTTAAAAGTTTGAAGAATTAAGAGGGGACGGAAGGGTGGTTTTTTGGGGATTGCGTTGAGGTGGTGGTTCGGGAAATGCTAGTCATGGTGTCTCAGAAGCGATACACCTATAGGACCCGGGTGCAAATTAACGGTACACTGGAAGGAAAGAAAGAAAAGAAAGGAAGAGTTTTGAGAATTAGCAAGAGTTTCAAAAGTGGATCAAACATCAAAGCAGAGATGAACCTTCTGTTGTGAAGTAAGCCTTCAGGATTACAGTTATCACCATGGATGTCGCCTGACTGATACCCATTTCCAGCTTCAGCTGGCTGCTTCCAGAAATCCAAGGCATAATCGTCTTTTCCTTCGATCATGAAAACACCTTTGTTTTGAACGAAAAGAAGTCTTGTTTTCCATCATTTAGTGACTGAAGCACCTCATTCTTCTAGACTGTCTCGATGGATGCGCTCACTTCACCATCGGCTCATTTTCACTCAAAAGTCTCCACATCTAAATCAAGATAAGAAATTCTTACTTCACGCCAGATGACCTCAGAACATACAGTTTCTCACTTTCTACCTCATTCCACCTCTGGCTTAACTTCACACTACATGTCACACTAGATTATATCAACTTGCAGCCATCAGTGCGCCATATCATCTCCACAACACCAACAAACATTTCGAGCTTTTAACCCAAGAAACATAAATCTCCAAACAAATCCGCTCCTTCACTTACTTTACTAAATTTCCATTTTATCTCACTCCAGCCTATTTGAATACCTCTTCACTGAGGTGTCTGGGGACCATCGCTGGTGTACAGGTGCACACCCAGATGAGCATCTCAGAAAGCCAGAAAGCTAGAAAGCCAGAAAGGCAAGCTCCACCTTCTATTTCTCCATGGATGACGATCTTTTCGGCGTCTTTTCGGAGACGCCAGCCAACTTGCCGGTGAAAAAGAGCAACGACAAGCCCACAGAGCAAAAACAGCCGAAAAAAAGGCCCGCTCCATCGCAAAATAACGACAAGAAAGACAAGAAGCAGGATAAGCTGGAGAAGAATGAAAAGAAGAAAAACCCCGTCGTCAGTGACGCCGTGGAGATCGAGGCTTCGAGAGAAGTGGCTCCATCGGCTGGTCTTATGGCTGCTAAAGAGGAAGAGTCCAAGTTAAAGTTGAAGCATCAGGTCAGACACCAGGTCGCCATTCCTCCTGATTTCCCGTATGTTCCTATCGGAGAACACGTCAGAACCAACGAGGCAAGAACGTATCCGTTCACGTTGGATCCTTTCCAGGATACGGCTATTTCGTGTATTGACAGGAACGAGTCTGTGCTTGTTTCTGCGCATACTTCTGCTGGTAAGACCGTGGTGGCTGAATACGCCATTGCCCAGTCTCTCAGAGAGAAACAGCGTGTTATTTACACTTCTCCCATCAAGGCGTTGAGTAACCAGAAGTACAGAGAGCTTTTGGCCGAGTTTGGCGATGTGGGTCTTATGACTGGTGATGTGACCATCAACCCAGACGCGGGCTGTTTGGTCATGACCACCGAGATTTTGAGAAGTATGTTGTACCGAGGCTCCGAGGTCATGCGTGAAGTCGCCTGGGTCATCTTTGACGAGGTCCACTACATGAGAGACAAAAACAGAGGTGTGGTGTGGGAAGAGACCATCATTTTGCTTCCCGATAAGGTGCACCATGTTTTCCTTTCGGCCACCATTCCAAACGCCATGGAGTTTGCCGAGTGGGTCGTGAAAACCCACAACCAGCCCTGTCACGTTGTGTACACGGACTTCAGACCTACTCCTTTGCAGCATTACTTGTTCCCGCCGCTGGCGATGGTATTCATTTGGTGGTGGACGAAAAGGGAACTTTTAGAGAAGAGAATTTCCAAAAAGCCATGTCGTCCATTTCCAACAACATTGGTGACGATCCAGCATCTGCAGAGGCCTCCAAGAGCAAAAAGAAGGGTGAAACTTACAAGGGAGGCGTCAAGGACGGAAAGAGCGATATCTACAAGATTGTCAAGATGATCTACATGAAGAGATATAACCCAGTGATTGTTTTCTCCTTCTCCAAGCGTGACTGTGAGTCTTTGGCCCTCAAAATGTCCAAGTTGGACTTCAACACGGACGAGGAGCGTTCTGCATTGACAAAGGTGTTTGAGAATGCCATCGATATCTTGCCTGAGGCCGATAGAGAATTGCCACAGATCAAAAATATCTTGCCCTTACTCAGAAGAGGTATCGGTATCCACCATTCCGGTCTTTTGCCTATCTTGAAGGAGGTCATTGAGCTTTTGTTCCAGGAAGGTTTGCTTAAGGTGCTTTTCGCCACAGAGACCTTTTCCATTGGTCTTAATATGCCTGCCAAGACCGTCGTTTTCACATCTGTCAGAAAGTGGGACGGTCTGGGCTTCAGATGGGTCTCTGGTGGTGAGTACATCCAGATGTCTGGAAGAGCCGGTCGTCGTGGTTTGGATGACAGAGGTATTGTTATTATGATGATTGACGAGAAAATGGAGCCTCAGGTCGCCAAAGGTATGGTGAAAGGTCAGGCAGACAGGTTGGATTCTGCGTTCCACTTGGGCTACAACATGATCTTGAACTTGATGCGTGTGGAGGGCATTTCGCCGCAGTTTATGTTGCAGAACTCTTTCTACCAGTTCCAGAACGCCGCTTCCGTGCCTAAGCTTGAACAGCATCTTCAGCAGTTGACGTTGGACTACAATGATGTCAAGGTGGACGACGAGTTCCACGTCAAGGAGTACTACGACTTGAAGAAACAGCTCGAGGGATACCAGGAGAATGTTCGTCAAGTTGTCACCCATCCAGGCCACATCCTTCCGTTCTTGCAGCCCGGAAGAGTCATCAAGATCAAGATTGGTGAATTCGACTACGGCTGGGGTATGGTGGCTTCCTTCACCAAAAGATCGAACAAGAGAGATCCTTCCCAGGCCTACACTGACCACGAGCTGTACCTCGTCAGCGTGTTTGTGTGCACCATGTTTGTGGATGCCCCAGTTAATTTGATCAAATCTTTCAACCCTGTATTCCCCGAGGGTATCCGTCCTTCCAACGAGGGCGAAAAACTGAGAGCAGAGTATATCCCCATCACTTTGGACTCGATCCAGGCAATTTCCAGTGTCCGTTTGAAGGTTCCAGACGACTTCAAGAGCTCTACTGCAAAGAGGAACTTGGTGAGAACCTTGAAAGACTTGCCCAAGAAGTTGCCAGACGGAATCCCCACAATGGACCCTGTGGAGAGCATGAAGATCGACGACCCCGAGTTCAAGATGTTGTTGCGTAAAATTGATGTTTTGGAGAGCAAGTTGGCCACCAATCCTTTGCATGAGTCCGACCGGATCAACGACTTGTACGCCAAATACAGCCACAAGGTCGACATTGAGAAGAAGATTGCCGAGACCAAGGACAAGATCTTGCAAACACAGGCTGTCATTCAGCTTGACGACTTGAAGCACAGAAGAAGAGTGCTCAGAAAGCTTGGATTCGTGACGCCAGACGAAATCATCGAACTCAAGGGTAGAGTGGCATGCGAGATCTCCACTGGTGACGAACTTCTCTTAACAGAGCTTATATTCAACGGTACGTTCAATGACTTGCTGCCTGAGCAGTGTGCTGCGCTTTTGTCTTGCTTTGTTTTCCAGGAGCGTGCTAAGGAGGTTCCTAGATTGAAGCCTGAGTTGGCGGAGCCTTTGAAGGCAATGCAAGACATGGCGGGCAAGATCGCCAAGGTGTTCAAGGAAAGCAAGATTGAAATCGCCGAGAAGGAGTATGTGGAGCTGTTCCGTCCCGAGCTCATGGAGGTGACGTACGCCTGGTGTAAAGGCGCCAAGTTCGCCCAGATCTGTAAGATGACCGATGTTTACGAAGGTTCATTGATCAGAACGTTCAAGAGATTGGAGGAGATGATCAGGCAGATGATCCAGGCGGCCAAGACCATCGGTAACCTTGAGTTGGAGGACAAGATGGAGAAGGCCACGGAAATGGTGCACAGGGACATTGTTTCGGCAGCGTCGTTGTACTTGTAATATAGATTAGATAGACCCAACGGGAGAGCATGTCAGAAAGTGGAAGCACTGAAAGGAAGTTTAAGGTGTAGATTTTGGAGCGAGATGTGATTATATTGCTCCAACTTCATTCAATTTGGGGTTTATTCGTATATTTATTTCCATTTTATTGGAATCATTCGTCGTTCGATTTTTCCAGTCATTTGAGAATGTGCATCCATTAATGGATTCTGATATTATAACAACTGAAACCATACTTTTTGGGAAACACCAGGTATAAGGGTCACAGAGGCCTAAATTCAATTCTTTTGGTCTCTTTAATCTTCTTCAAAGGTTGCATTCTCTGGTAAGTAAATGCACTAGTACACTAATGAGTCCTACAGTAATCCACAAGGGTACATCTTCAACTAGCAATTTTACACAATTTGCAAAATAATGAATATAAATTAAAGCTCACTCGGAAAGAAGCAATCAAAAAAGTCCAATCTCCTCATTTTTTGCCATTCTTAAAATAATTGTTCTTGACTTCCACATTAATTATCCAAGCAGCATCCTGCCGCACATAAGCATATCCCTCAAACCAGACACGGCAAAAACTTTAAAAAGCCAATTTAACCAAGCCTTCTCAAAACCCAACTCTTCCTTTTTCCACAAAAACACCACTTTTTAAAAATTCCCTATTTATGTTGAAAGTGGCGGATCGGCCCGATTTGCCGTCGAAATGCACCCTTTCCAACCTCCGTCATCTTTTCGCAGCCACCCAAGGCTCCCTGTCTTGCATCGCCACCTCCAAAAAGTGACCTTCTTTGAGACACAAAGCAGAACATCTATAAATATCGAGGGCTCGGCGAGGAAAATTTGAAAATTGTTATTTTTTTTTTTGATTTTCGGCAAAATCAGAAAATCTCATAGTCTACCCCGGACCGGGATATAACCCTTGCTGCGATCTCGATAATCCAACTACAGGTACTACCAGGGGTTTCTAGGATACACCGAAACTGCATCTCCATCGATCACTAGAGGTTGAACTTTTCGAGTTATTGTCTCTGTTGGTCTAATACACAATTTATATATCCATTGAACCGAATTTCAGCTTCCCAGCCGATCACACTCAGGGTCATCTAAACCGTCTGATAACGTATCACCCCCACAAATCAGCCGATTCCTTCTACTAGAACCGCCTTTTCGGTAATTGACAAAAAGCTACAGATACCCTACCCAACTTCATCAAAGAGATTTCTCAAATCTTCTCCAAATCACCCCATGTCTGTGGAACTCTTGTACGCCAAAAGCAAGGTGTACCTTCACCCGTCCTCGTCCAATAAGGACAACGTGGCCGGCTTTTTGACCCTAGCCAAACCCTCCGGCCCCTCCACCAAAAAGGACATTTTGCTCAGCTACACCCCTGAAAACATGCTCTCGGAAGAGGAGCTCAGGGTCTACAAGGAGGTGGACATGGCCGAGGTGGGCACAGAGTCCATGGGCCTGTTGCTGCTTGAAAACAAGCCCAAAAGGAACATCAACAGATCCACAAAGAAACCGCCGCAGAGCTCGGGCCTGGGCTACTGCTTCTCCTTGCCGTTGCTGCTTATCTACCTGGTCCACGTGAGATTGCCTTCTTTGGGATGGTGGTACGGCTCGGTGGTGTTGCATTCGAAGACGGGCGAGAAAATGCCCGTTGTCTTCTTTCACGACGACGAGTCGCCTCTGACGATCCAGCGCCAGAAGAACATGAACAAGCTGTTTGACCCTTTTGGCGAGGACGGACAGATGTTCTGGGGCGGCCAGGACTTGATCCTGACGCTCAGGCGGTACATCAAGGTGGAGAAGCTGACGGTAGAGCCGCTGGTTTACTTGGTGGATCCGCTGAGTGCCGATTTGGCGAACTTTGCGCCGCTTAAGGATACGAAGAAGGAAAAACAGGAGAGTTTCAAGATGCCCGACGTTAACAAATTTTTGAGCACCGCCAAGTGGCGTGTTTTGGAAACGGTGGCCTCGTTTGGCCAGAAAACAAAGAATCTGGTTGTGGATATCGTCGACGAACATGTGCCTCAAGGCGTGGTCAAGCAGGTTTTGAGCAAGCCCGAGGTGAAGAAAATCAGCAATGAGTTCGACAGTGCCAGGGTTTATTTGGCCAAGTGGGCTGCTCAGGTCAAGGAGGAAGCCGAGCAGCTGCAGAGAAAATTCATGATTGAGGATGCCGTTTACAATCGAATCAACAAGGAGCTTCGTGATGGACTGGAAATCTTGACTCCCGAGGAGATCAGCAATGCATCCAGAAGGACTCCCGTTAATAAGGTTGAATGGGATGGCTTTTTCGACCACAAAGGCAGACTCACGCTAACCGTCGACGAGGTCAAGTTCCGGATCTTCCATGGTGGCTTGGAAGAGGACGTCAGGAAAGAGGCTTGGTTGTTTCTACTCAATGTGTACCCTTGGGAATCCTCGGCAGAAGAGCGTAAAACACTCAGAGACAGCCTTGAAAGCGGGTACCATGATTACAAAAAGCGCTGGGTTGAAGACGATGTGAAGCGTCAGGATCCATTCTGGAGAGACCAAAAGATGCGTATTGAGAAAGATATCCACCGAAACGACCGCCACTTGCCACTTTTCCAGCGCAAAAAGCCTTCTGTTCCAAACGTGGCTGAGCAGATTGATGAGGCATTTGAGCAAGGAGATCCACAGCCAGAACCTTCCGAGGAAGAAGAAGAAGAAGATGGAGAGTGGGATATTTCAAACATCGAGAATCCTCATCTTTTTGCTATGAGAGAGATTCTTTTGACCTTCAATGAGTACAACGTCAATTTGGGCTATGTCCAAGGCATGACCGACTTGCTCTCGCCAATTTATGTCATTCTACAAGATGAGGTTTTGTCGTTCTGGGCGTTTGCAGGGTTCATGGAGAGAATGGAAAGAAACTTTGTCAGAGACCAGAGCGGCATGAAACATCAAATGGATGTGCTCAATGGCCTTTTGCAGTTTATGCTTCCTGATCTCTACAAGCACTTGGAGAAATGCGAGTCGACGGACTTATTCTTTTTCTTCCGCATGCTTCTCGTTTGGTACAAGAGAGAGTTCGACTGGAATGATGTTCTCACCTTATGGGAGGTACTCTTTACAGACTACTACTCGAGCCAGTTTCACTTGTTTTTTGCCTTATCGGTGCTCTCCGATAACAAGCGGATAATCATGCAGAACTTGCGTCGTTTTGATGAGGTTTTGAAGTACATGAATGAGCTCTCTGGTAAAATGAAACTCAATGACTTGTTGACACGGTCTGAATTGCTATTCCTTCGTTTTAAGAGAATGATAGCGCTAATCGATAGAGAAAACCTGCAGCGGAGCGAGAGCGGGGAAGTATATGAAGTCCACGTGAATCCAGACCTTCGTGAGCTTCTTAGTCGCAAGCTTGTGATTCAAAAAGAAGTTGAGAGGCCTGAAGGTGTGGGAGGTGGTTAATGGTTACACATTACAGACATCTTCTGTTCTGCAGATGCTGCATGACAGCAAGATATAATCTGAGCACGCACGTGCGTGTATCCTGCAGATAGAACAGATGAGACCCTCTGCTTGACATGCAATCTTAAGACATCAACACATAACTCCCCAAAGTCACGCTTTGCATGGGCACGCTGTTAAAGAACGGAAAGCATAGGAGCTATAGTTCCACCAGGGATAGTGATGAAGAGTTGTTAGAAAGTCAGAGCTGGGAATTTTCTAGCCGGACCAAAAAATGGCTCATTACGATTGGAACCCTTGTGGCTGTCTGCCTTCTTTACGTTTTCTGCTATTTATTGCCCAAAATGTTCATTCCTGAGACCAGAGAGCTAGTTGGTATTCGCAAAGTTGAGCCAGTCAGCTTTATTTTGCTGCCTGTGCTGAGTGAAACTGCCAACCTGTGGAACCTTCGGAGCACGGAGTATGTCACCGAGGTCATGAAAGAGAGCGAAGTGGAGGAATCCAGCGAATTGTCTGTGCTCAATGGTGACAAGGTGAAAAAAGAAAGGCTTATTCTTATTGGCGACATCCATGGGCAGTACAAGGAGTTCAAGAAGTTGCTCAGAAAGGTGAAGTACAACAAGAAGAGAGACCAACTACTCGTCTTGGGCGACTTCATCACGAAGGGCCCTCACTCACTCAAGGTGCTCCAGTACCTCATTGACAACGACATTTCTTGTATCATGGGAAACCACGAGTACTACGTTCTTCAAAATTACGCCAAGTATCACGGCCTACCCCAACCACACTTTGTCAATGGCACGAGCCTTCCGTTCAACGCTTTTGGTAGCTTCAATGATGACCCTGAGTTCTTGCTTGCCAAGAAACTACGCCCCAAGCATGTGGAGTACATCAACAATTGCCCAGTGATGAGGGAGCTCGGGAACGTGCCATTGCATTCCAAGAAAAACCTGGGTAAGACTGGCCATGCAGAAGGCGTCGCTGTTCATGCTGGTCTCAAGTGGGATGCTCTTGAGGATCTTAATGAACAGGATCCTGAAGACTGTCTCGAAATGCGTTCCTACCTCGCGCCGTTCTACAACGAAACCACCGATAACCCAGATGACAAGAACGCAGTGTCTTGGTCCAAGATATGGAATCAGAAACAGAAGGACGGAGAGTTAGACCGCTCAATAGTAGTATACTATGGGCATGATGCTGGTAGAGGGCTCAAGCTCAAGAAGTATTCCAAAGGCCTTGACTCTGGGTGCTACAAAGGCGACAAGTTGAGTGCCATGGTCATTTGGCAGGAGCAGGTGAAGCACAAGGTGATGTACAAGGAGGCTCTCGTGCAGCAAAGGTGTTGATGCATTTGCATACCATGGACTCCTGAGTCTCATGGCCCGTTATCAGCGAGTCAGGTGCACTTCGAATGCCTTGAGTCGTTGGTGGTGTTTGTTTGTCTTTTACGTTAAATAGGTTTATGAATCGAGTCATTAGTCATTGCACTAGCTGAGTGAAGTGTAGGAGTGCCTGGTGTATCTACCCCGAAATGGTCATTCAATTCTTTCATAAAAGGGAAAATGCCGTATCTAGGGCTTTTCACGTCCTCTTTTTCTGGATTTTCCTCAAAGTCAGGAAATAAAAGAGTCGTTAAACTTACAATCGAATCCATAGTTTGACGATGCGTTTGCAAGGATGCGTTGATTTTCCTTTGGTTCTCAAATGAGTGATATCTACCAAATCAAAAGAAATCTGAATGATGTTTTAAAAAATATACTCAAGTAATCCTCAAAAATATCCATGATGATGTCAAAATAAGTGGTTGCAAAATATATAACCGCCCTGCTTTGGTAGTGCATACTGACCGATTGAACCTGGACTTCTGCGATTCTTATTGTGAGGTACATCAAATAACATGAACCACATGTTCTTTTTGAATATTATGCAGAGATTCCCCTTGGAGGTGTCATAATATTGCGTGACTCCAAGCTTGCTTTACTGCATGACAGGACTGTATCAAAAACGGCCATCAAGCATTGCGGCGTTTTGGGAATTGGACTGATCACCATTTCCACCATAGGATAGTCTGGCATTCCGCATAATCGTCACCAAAGCATGACCATAAGGATATCGGACGGATTTACTTATAATTGCGTGTGAACCTCGACTCCCAGAGTCTTCACTAGCATGACGCGTGAGTTTCTCCACTTTATTCAGAAGAACCTGAACGAGGCCGTCGAAGGCGCCATAGAAGAGGTGCTCTGCAGCTACCCTTCCAAATACGTTTCACATACTGTTGACACTTTCAATGTTGACCTGACTTTGTGGCATGTAACAGCGCTAGAGCTTCAAAATATCCCGTTGGTAGAAGGCACCAACTACATTCAAATGGCCAGAGAGATGGAAGGGATACTGGTGTTGGGCTCGGGACCAGACATGAATGATGGCAACTGCAGACTCGTATGTACAGCTAGCATTGAGTCTCAGCTTTCTACGGAACTCTTTGATCAAGTCATCTCCATTACTTGTGAGAAGCTAAAAAAAAGGCGGCATAACATGTCAGGAATACGTTGCCTAAGTGTTGGGGATATACGGATGCCGCATAACTCAAGTATGCAATTTCTACTGTCACATTGTTATGGGAAAGAAGTAGTGGCCAAAGACTTGACCATCACCGATCCCACCAACAATCAAGTGCCACGCATTCATGGCAAACTAGAGATTGAATACATACCACCAACAGTGAATTTACCATTTTACCCACAACCTTTTTTTTCCTTCTCGTTCTTAACGAGTCACTTCCGAGTTCTGATATGTCAAACCGAGCCATCCTTCTGCTCATGCTGTCTGGACGTTGAGATAACTAGAGTGTCAGTGGAGCTCAAAGAAATCTCGAGTTGCAAGGTGCCTCTTAAAAGCGGTTTCGGTCACCAGAAAGATGTGCGGAGTCAAGTCTTGCAAGACAAGACGTTCGAGGGACTTCTAGATTGCTCAGGATTTCAAGAGACCAACGGTAAACTTGTTTACGATCTTCAAAAGAGATTTATCAACTGTCGTCTTCCAGAGTTAGGACCCACATTCTACTCTGATAGCATGAGTCGGACCTATGAGCTTCACTTTGCAGTCACTGTCGGGTGTGCGGCCCAAGAATGTTCCACGACCTTAAAGGCCTCGATTGAGATCAATATTGCCATAAAGGACGACATCAACAAAATTGTCTCGACCAAGAAACCAAAACAGAGAACAGGTGATATTTTTCATGTTGTGTCTTTACCTAAAAGTTCCTCTACCATGCATGATCTCAAGAGAATTGTGGAGCAAAGGCTTGGCCATGTAGGTGTTGACTTCTCGGCCTATCACACATATTCATGCGCATTGAATGGTGCTATCTTTACATTGTTGGTTGTTAATCTTTCGGGAAAGAACAAGAGCGCTTTGTTTAAATCGGACTTGAAGGAGAAGAAAGATGAAGTCGAAGAGAATGGGAGCGTCATGGTATACTCGAACGGTGCTTTCACAATATGCTCCTCTGGTACGACGTTGCAAGCCCTTAGAATGCTACATTTGACGCCTGACAACGACTCGATTCCTCTTGGACGTTACCGACACGGAGCCGGAGGATTTATTTCCTTTTTCTCGCTTAGCAAAACACCTGTTGCGAACGAGAAATTTAGTCTCGAAATCTGCCTATCTTGTCCCGCACGAAGCAAAGCACGTCTTGTCAAGTGCTCGATAGAGGTTGTAGAAAAATCAATGACGCAGAAGGATGATTCTTTCGAAGAGCATGAAAGAGTTTTGCCCGTATTGACTCAGCATCTCGAGGGATTGGGGTGTGACAAAATGGAGAACATTGATGGGACAGATATCTTCAAGATTCCCAGAAAGTTGACAGAATTCATAATGCCGAATCTAGAGCCCTCGATCATTACGCGGACTTATTATAGAGAATATTTTGTGGTGGTGAAGCTAAAGATATCCGTATCTTTACTTCGATGCCACCGGGTTGCGTCTGTGCAAAGCATGCTCATGCCTGCTGACGATCTTGAGAGGTACTTATGCCCTCCATCGTATGAAGCTGCAAACGGGAATAGAGACTTCCTGTGAGCTGTAACGTGGCCCTCAAAGAATGGTGGTTTACTGGAAGTAGCTATGGGTGAAGCTGTTTACAAATTCATCCATAACTTTATATTGCCACTTTGGACTCGATGCTATTCGAAGACCAGATGGGTGTGTGATGACATCTCGGGTATGGACTCAGGCTTGAGTGATGCGACTGCTCTAGATACACCATTTGCATTCTAATGGAAGTTGATAACAACATGATGCTGCATTAATGGCGCGAGCTCATTAAGGACTTACCCTTTGCGTTGATTTTCGATGCGAGGATCAATAACTTTTGAAACGCGTCTGTCACAGATGTGAGCGGGCAAACGTGACTATAGAAGGGCGCTCTTTAGGTGACGGGCCAGTTCCGCTAATTAAGGATATGCGATGCTAAGGATACTGACCCTGAGTAATGCCAGGGATTGGCCACAAGATACAAGTCGAGGCATCGGTTGGTCATATGTCGCGTTATGGTAACGGCAGACCTTTCTGATTTTGAGAATCTGATGTCTTGCCTCCGAAGTTCAGCATTTCAATCCATTCCTCAGATGGAACTTCCTCGGGCAGATTCTTCTTTGAACGGCGACTTACGCTGCTTTGGGACACCTTGGTACCGCTGCTTTCGCAACTTTCAGTACTCTTTTCGCCTTCATCCGGGTCACCGTTGTTGGCATCGTGCTGACCACTGGAGTCGTGCTGGCCACTGGAGTCGTGCTGGCCACTGGAGTTGTGCCCGCCATCAGGGCCAGCTCCCAGGCCGCCAGCTCGTTCAATTTGCCGAATTTCTTCCTTCTTCTTGAGACCAACGAACTCAAGGCACTTTCCACCGAGCTTAAGGCATTTTCTACCGAGAGTGACACCCAAGTCATGGCAGTCCTGAATCAATGCGTTGAATCCATACCTGCTCAAGAGGAACATATCGAACAAAACCCAAGCGAGTTGATGCACTGTCGTAAAGAAGAGGCTCCAATTCTGACAGTCATACTTTACTTCGTAGTAAACGGATAATGCGAAGCAGACGGCACATGTGGCGAACTTGAGGAAGGCATCGAAGAGAAACATGTATCTGTATGAGTTTCTGTTGAAGTAGAAAACGAATAAGGCGAGACCCGACGAAAAGAAAAAAACATTGGGGACTAATGTTTGGCCGATCAATTTGAGGCTGATGTCGATATTCTCCTGGCAACAAATATTGGTTCCACTTACGGAACCTTTCATCTGCCAATACCACGTCAAGCATACACCTATGGCCGTCAAACCGGAGGCTGCAAAAAGCCCCCCCCCCCCCCCCCCCCCCATAACCCCCGCCGTAGTTCTTACGCGTAAATCTCTCTGGCCCATGAGGTGGAGCCTGATATTTTCGTTTTCTCTGAAACAAAATGAAAGGGAAGATGTCAACATAATCAAGAGAAAAGGAGGAAGATCTTGTGAGGACCAAGCTGTAAATAAAGCAGGGTCTTTTATAGCCGCCCCGCGTGGTACTGCACAATGCCTCCCAGATCGAATCTTCCTTTGATCTGATCCATTGTCCGCTAACAAAAACAAAGTTTACTTGACGTGAACTTACGATACTCGGTCCGGAAAGACTCAATGTTCATCAGGAGAGATAGTGAATGAAGCGTGCACTAAAGATCGACCTGTAAAATAGGAGTCAGCTCGGAAGTTTTTTGAATATCGATGCTTGCAGTGCTTCACCATAAGCTTTTTGGCCAGGTACCACATTCCAGTGATTGTCGACTAGTACGTTTGAGGAAACCCCGACAATCTCGGTGGCTCGGTCATTAAGGAACTTCATATGGCAGCTGGTTCTGAAATCACGGGTGATATGTCTGGACATGAGGACACGTCTCTTATCGATGTTTGCGGCTCGATGGCTGCACACAACAGGGTATCCAGTCTGCCTTGACTGCCCTATGCTTTTGAGCATACGTGAGTGTGACATCACGTCGTCTAAGGACACGTCTGCTTCTACGAGACGTGTAGTCCAGCTTCGGTTCTCTTAGTCGAGACGTTTGGTTCAGCTTCCGTTTTCCTTACCGGATCATGCAGCACGCTACCGTACATAATAAATGCAGCGAAATCCGATGATTGGACAGTGATGGCAACTTCTGAGAAATACGTCGTTTTGCGTGACGTGACCAAATGTCTGTCTGTCCGTCCCAGGAAGGTCCAACAAGTCATAGCAAGATGAGCTCAGGGAATGCATGACCAGAGAAATTCTACATGCATTTGGACAGACATAAAAGCCTTCGCTTCTAGATGAGAATGAGGCATCATGCTGACGTTTCTTCATTTTATACAGAAGGACCTGAACGAGGCTGCCGAAGGCGCCATAGAAGAGGTGCTCCGCAGCGATCCTTCCAAATACGTTTCACATACTGCTAGCTCCTTCAATGTGGACCTGACTTTGTGGCATGTAACAGCGCTAGAGCTTCAAAATATCCCGTTGGTTGAAGGCACCAACTACCTCCAGGTGGCCAGAGAGAAGGAAGGGATGTTGGTGTTGGGCTCGGGGCCAGACATGAATGATGGAAGCTGCAGACTTGTCTACTCCATCATCAAACCCTCCCAGCTTTCAGTCGAGCCATTTGGTGCTTTTGATACTTCTTCTTTATGCAAGAACTATGAAGCGCTAGGAAGTTACCATGGTCTACGCTGTCTTAGCTTAGGGGAAAAGCGGATTCCACATATCCCTGATGTCACTTTTCGCTCGTCACATTGTTACGGGCCTCAGAGCAATGCGACAGATACCATTGCGCCAGGCGGAGCCAACAACCTATGGTTTAGCGTATACGGTAAAATGAAAGTGAAAGTTCATTCTGATGACGATACAATACCGCTGAATGAGGTGAAAGTCTTCAGACCTCTATGCCGATTGGGCGACAAACTTCTGATTCTGTTTCACCAACTCAAGCCATCTTTTTGCTCTTGCTCCGAAGATGTATGGGTTCATCGAGTGACTGTGGTCCTTAAAGAAATAACAACTTGCAAGGTACCTATCCACGACAGTTTTGGCTATCAGCAAGATGTAAGAGAGTTCACTCTCAGGAAAGAAAAGTGTAACCAAAGGATCGTGTCCTGCGCAACTGAAGGGACCGACGACCAACTAATTGCCTATCTTGAGAAGAGCTGTTATGATTGTTGTCTTCCGAATCTAGGTCCCACTTTCTTTTCTGATACCATGAGTAGGACATATGAGCTCCATTTCACAGTCATATTAGGATGTTCGGCTGTGAAGTGCTTCTCGATCTTTGAGCCCTCAATTGGAATCAATGTTGCAGTTGTGGACCACGAGAACAATGATATCTCGCCTGGACAACAAACGAAGAGAGAAGGCGACGTCTTTCATATTGTATCTTTGCCTTACAGCAGCACTACTGTACAAGACTTCAAGAGAAGCGTGAAGGAAAGGCTCCAAGGTTTGGGTCTTGACTTTTCCGCTTATCACACGTTTTCCCACTCAACAACTGCCGGTGTCGTTACGCTTATGACGGTCAACCTCTCGTCAATGTCTAGCCTCCTGTTAATTGAATCATCACTGGAATCGAGGGAAGAAGGACCATATGACTGCAAAGACACTATCGTGTACAGCGATGGATGCTATCGCATGTGCTCATCAGGTGTGATTTCCAAACTTTTCGAGACATTTCAATTGACATTTCCAACCTCATCCAGGTTGATCTCGCTCGCTAAGTACCAACCTAATGTCGGTGACATTGGCGCTACATTTTTGTGTGAAAATCGTGTGGCTCCAAACAAATTTTGTACTTACAAGCTCCTATTGTCATGCCCAGAAAGATGCAACTTGTACCTTCACAAGCTCTCGGTAGAACTTGTTGAAAAAACACTCACGATGGAGGGCTTAGCCTATAAAGATCAGGAGAGGAGTATCCCTTTAGTATGTCGACAATTCCGCTCACTAAAATGCAAAAGTCTGGATTATTGTGGTCAGCATAAGGAGGGATTCTTCTATGATGTACCGAAAGAGTTCACACATTACACTCTCCCCATGCTAGAGCCAACTGTCATTACGCCGACTTTTTATAGGGAATACTTCCTTGTTGTGAAGGTTAAGGTCTCAAAGTCCTTCTTTCGGTGCTTTCGGATTGCCGTCGTTAGAAGCGTGCCAATCTCTGCGGATAATCTCCTGGCGTATTTGCGTCCACCACCCTATGAGATGGGGAAAGAGAAGAGCGAGTCGCAAAGAGCCCTACAGAAAGAAATGAGAACCCCGTCAGTTTGAACCTTTGAAGACTGTGATGGGTGTAAAAGTCGGGCAAGATTGTTGGGCTACCTGTGTCGGAAGCATAGACATCTGGAGAACCTTTCCTCGCTACGGTTGAGGGTGGTTACTACGAGGCCTCTCCTGTTATGCAGCCGATAGGGTGATGTTTGAAGTTTCGATGCATTAACAACATGAATCTAGGGCACATTCCCTATGCGAAGACCCACTGGGTATCAACCTGGAAGATAGCCTCGTGATGGTGGGTTTCAACCATTCGACTCGCTTAAATCCCGACTGGTAGACTCAAGCCGTGCATCCCGGTTCCTCTGCTGCCGTGCATCCCGGATCCTCTGCTGCCGTTGTTGACGCCGAATTACCCACTCAAGACGTAAATTAAGCAAGGTTTGTCCCGGCTCAAACTTCGTGCTGTGCCCTAACTGACCTCGAGTATGGCTTTCGACGCCGGGAATGGGCTTTTTGGGTAACCTCCCCTCGAGTGAATGGACACGTTGGGGAGACCAAAGCGGAGGATTATTGAATCCATACTGCTGAAGTCTGCCACGTTCTATTGCGGGGCTGCGCACTGTAGGATCCAGTGCTGTAGGATCCAGTGGAACGGGCCATAAACATTCTGTCACGGGGATATCGTGAGCTCCCTGCCCGAGGGGTCTAGCTTGGTTTCCAGCTTGGTTTCCAGCTTGGTTTCCAGCTTGGTTTCCAGCTTGGTTTCCAGCTTGGTTTCCAGCTTGTTCTCCAGCTTGGTTTCCAGCTTGGTTTCCAGCTTGGTTTCCAGCTTGGTTTCCAGCTTGGTTTCCAGCTTGGTCTCCAGCTTGGTTTCCAGCTTGGTTTCCAGCTTGGTTTCCAGCTTGGTTTCCAGCTTGGTTTCCAGCTTGGTCTCCAGCTTGGTTTGGTGGGCCGCGCACCAGATACCAGGACAGCATGACAGCCATGAGCCAGAGAGCCAGATGTACCGCGGTGACCACGAGGCCATTGATGATGCGATCGTCTTCAACACTGTGAGAGACAAAGAAACCGACGCAGAAGAGAAGAGCGGTCGCCTTTAACAACGCCGCATAAAGCATCATCCGCCTGTAATGCCACCTATTGAAGTAGAGCCCCATGAGCGTCGTACCCGAGAGAAATAAAAAAAGGTTGGGTACAATAGCCTTGAAGCAAAGTAAAAAAAATTCAAAGGAACCCTTGGGCTTTCTTCGACCGTCCTGATCTGTAAAGCCCAGGTGAGGCCAAGGCAAGCGGCTGTCAATGCACCTGTCACAGTCATACTGACGAGGATATAGAACCATGATCTTTCTAATTCATCTACTTCGCGATTGATGAAGGCCTGTATTCGTCGGGTTCGATAGTTATCGAACCACATGATCAAGAGAAAAAGAGGAGGAGGTGGTAAGGAACTAGCTGCAAATACAAACAGGGTCTTTTATAGCCGCTCTGCGTGGTACTGCACAATGCGTCCCAGATCGATTCTTCGTTCGATCTGGTCTATTGTCCGATAAGATAAGGTTTGGTTGCACGTACAGCTGTCTGGACTGAAGAATTGGGGACCTAATTGGATAGGTGTTGTTTCATAAGGGATAGACAGGACAGGGGAAGTGAGGATCGCCCAAGGGACTCTAGAATGTCGAGTATCTGTTGATTCTGGGTGCACCTATAAAGTGAAGGGTCCAGATATGCTTGGACTGGGCTTCTCTTGGAACTAAGTATTCACTCAACGAGAGAGAAGGGTGCCTTTTCGTTGGAGCGTGGACAATCCGAAGTGAATCGGACTGAGGCTGGTATGCACGCTTATGTAATACTTGAATAAGCAGGGTCGGAGAGGATGAGCTATTCAGGCAAGGCGTTTGTCCAGTGGTACATGGAACAACTTGAGTCAGGATATTTGCACATGTTGTGGCCATCTTTTACCTGAAAGCGTTTTAGTTGAAGATTCTTTCAAAATGTGAAGCAAACCGATGTCCAAGAAGAGGTCAGTGCGTACTTTACGGTAAAATGCCCTAGTGTGCTGGGCTGGTTGACCTAAGATTCACTCTCGAGTTATAGATTTACGTCAGTTTTCAGGTTGTCTTCAGTCATTGATGTACCTTCAAGGCTACAGCTTGAGTCCTGGTGTTTTGCACAGCCATGGCTTCCAACAACACCTGTTTAAAATAAAAAGCCTTAAATACAGAAGATGAAGAAAACCCGATAATCAGCTCTTTGTACGATAAGTATCACTATTCTCCCCAGGCTGTCGAGGTGAACCCTCTGAAGCCTATCTGCAGTATCATACTACAGTCGATACACCTACTTGAGGGATGAGGAACTTTTGCTTGTATGCAGTACCGCTTATTGGAGTGTCCAAAGCCCTCATCAAAGGGCGCCCATTTCCAATAAATTCAGATTATGAAGCGATTCTAGAGGTCTTATAGTGGCGAGGCAGCTCCTACCGCTGCCCTTGAAGCCCTTTTTCCGCACAGCCGAATATATAGCCAACCACCTTCGATCCCGCACCCGTACACCTCGGTGGCGGCACGCCCACCCTCAAGATTCAAAACAACCAAACCCACACACCCAACACCCAGACACCGTTTTGCAGCCACACATGTCGGACATGATAGTGCCCAATTTGCTTACCGATGAAAGCGGGTCGCCCATGGCGTTCTACATCCACGCCCAGGACCCGCTCAGAGAGAAATACCTGAAAATCATCCGGGACAACGGAGGCTACATTGAGCCCTCGGAGGTCAACGCAGACAAGAACCAGTATGTCCAGCTTTCGTCGTATCCTGTTCCACGGAGAACGACGTTTTCGTTTCAGTTCATCGACGACTATTTGGATAAGGGCGGCCTGGTTTACTTGGAGCCGTACCAGTTGAATCCTGTCAAGAGGTCAGCTGACGAGTTGGATGAACAGGATGTCAGAACCGCCAAGGCCATGGCACAGGCCATGAACAAAAAGGCCAAGGGCCCGCCAAAAAGCACCACCAAGTTCACCGTGGAAGCAGACAACTACATCCTCGAGCAGGTGCGGTTGAAGCCTCGGTTCAGAACATCGCACAAGTTCTTTGAGGAATTGGCCCAGCACGATTTGTTGAAGGGCCACACGGGCAATTCGGTCCGGTCGAGGTACAGGGCCCATTTGGAGCACAAGTTGCTGTATGTGTACAAGACGGACGACTACGACCGGTTGATTTTGGACGCCAGTGGTAACAGAATCGCCGTTCCTGTGGGACACGCCAAAACCATCAAGAACCGCTACACCGCCGACGAAGACTACACCCTCTGTGAGAGCATCATCAACCACGTGCTCAACACCCAGGACAGGGAGACGTTGCAGACGGCCGACGACAAGCTGACCAGGCTTCCAGACGGGGTTCTCAACGAGGCCAATTTCCTGGTTTCCATTTCGTTTTTCGACGAATTCGCCCGCCAGAACACCGCCCACTCCTCGCTGAGCTGGAGGGACCGCTACAGAAAGTTTGCCCGTGTGTACGGCCTTCAGCGTTACAGAGACGACTACCGCAAAGCCATGAGCACCAAGGAAGGCCCCAGCCCATGAAAAACTTGACTTCCCGCGAGTCCAAGAGCGAGAAGAAGGCCCAGATCACCGCCAAAAAATTGAAGGCCAACCAGGTCCGCATGGATATGAGTGCCCACGACCAGGCGCTTTTGGCGGACGAATTGGCCAGAAACCACCACAGCCAGCTCCACCACAACCACCACTTGACGCACCAGCTTGACTCTGCAGGCGTGGCGGCCGTGGCCAATATGGCTGTGGGCCAGGGAGCTCTAGATGAGGAGATTGGAGAAGTGAAAAATTCGAATATCGACGATGCGCTTCGCCAGGTCGGTGTGGGTGCTGGAAGGGTCCAGATCGAGGACGATTTGGTCAATCCCGATGTCCGTGCTTTGGGAATCCACCAGACCGACCACAGTGCCATTCATCCCAATCTCGGAGGTGCTTCCGTCGATGGACACGATTTCGAGGGTCTTGAATTGAAGGTGGACGCCGATTCGCAGGACCCCTGGGCCAAATACATGGTCTACTTGCCCCGTGACGTGCTGCTGACGGCGTTGTTCTCGGACAAGTTCATCCAGTTTGAGCCGAATGTGATTGACAGAGCCAGAGAGCTTTTGACGACTTTGGAGCCCGACGATGTGGGTGTTCTCTTTGACGAGTTTGAGAAATTGGGCTTCACCAGAGCCTTTGTGGGTCATATTCTCAAGGTCACCAGCAGTTCGGTTCGCTACATCAACGACTACTTGTATACGCTTCGGGATGCTCTTCACGATGACCGCATCGATTTGGTTGAGGTTTTGTTCCCTAGAGGCCACAATGGCTTGTGGACTCCAGAACAGGACTTTGACTTGAAGGAGGGAAACATGCAAAAATTGGGTTTCCACGATTCCGAGAGCATCGGAGCGAGAAGACAGTTTCTCGGTCTCTAGAGGAGCCTAGGCATTGAAGTTGAAGGAGAAGTTGTTCTGTTGAATTCCCTGTTTCAGCCTCAAACACCCCTTCTCAGGCTGAAACCCGGGTTCTGCGTGACTGATTACGTCAAAACCAAGGGCTTATCTAAATTTTCCCAAAACACGTCTGTTTCGAGGCTTTGACGTTTCGACTGTTTATCAACGTGCTCCCTTAGTCACATTCGGAATTGAGGCTTTGTCAAATGACGGGCAAAAGCGAGATACGCCTAATTGGGGAAATATCTCATTGTACGCTGACTCCTGATATCTTGTGACAGCCTAATTTAGGCAAAAGCTTGAATGGGTTCCTTTAAGCCTACTACCGTGTTCTACTCTTTCTAACTTAGCACCCAGTGCATCGACTACTGTGCTTGTTTTTTTGTAAATTAGCAAGCTGGGCATCCAGCGCCATGTTCAATATTATTTTTTGTTTGAAGAATGCCGTAGGATTGGGGTAAAATGGGGTGATATACCTTATGGCTTGGAAAAGTATTGTGGCACGTGCACTTCACGTGATTTCCGAGGGTGCACGGGTACATACGACTCCTGTTGCGGCTCGCTACGACTCGACAACAACGCGCGCCTCCTAATTGGGCAATGGTAAACACTACATGAAAGGTAAGCAATGTAAACAATAAAGGTATTCAAAAGATCTCAAACGAGACTATTTTGGGAAGAAAAAAAACACTTGACAAAACGAAGGTAGTTCATTCGGCAACATGTGCCGATTCAAATGCTTCCACGCGCTACGCAACGAGTCGCTTAGGAGGAGTAGACACCCCAGTACTGCTCGGCATTGTAAGAACCGGGCTTCTTCCACATGTCGTTGTAGGCGTTGAAAAAGGTAACGTCGTTACCGCACTTGTCAGAGATGGACTGGAGGGCAGCCTTCTGGTTGTCAGAAGATGGCACGGCGACCTTGTTAGAGTCACCCTTGGTTGGCCAGCCGGTCTCGGTGATGAACACCTTCTTCTTGTCCTTGCAAGCGTTAGAGACTCTCTGGAGCTGCAACAAGACCCAGTCACCGGCCTCCTTGGCGGAAACGTGACCGTCAAAGAAAGCGTGGGCGTTCACAGCCATGTAGTCAGAGTGCTCACACAAGTCAGGGTTGTTAATAACAGCAATGAAGGTGTCGACGTTAACGACTGGGCCGGTGTAGCCCTGGGCCTTCAAAGCAGATTTGCCCTCAGAAACGTACTTGCCGACCTGGGCAGGGGTGGCGGAGCCGGCGTTGACCAACTCGTTACCGATGGAGACGGTGTGCACAACGTCCCAGCCGCCGTGGTTCTTGACAGCCTTGGCAAGGGTCTCAACGTCGGACTTGATGTTGTCAACTTCGAAAATACCGGCGAAAATCTTCTGGCCCTTGGAGAGACCGGAAAGGGTAGCCTCGACCTGGTTACAGTCGACACCGTAGAGTCTGATGGTCTCGTAATCGGACAACTTCTGGATATCAGACTTGATCTGAGAAGAAGACTTACAGCCACCGTCGTCAGAGTATGGCGAGTAGGTGATACCCTTGGCTGGGCCGCTGAAAGAGCCGGAGGAAGATGGCAAGGACACGGAGTCGGAGGAGGAAGCGGAAGGCTTCGAAGGAGCGGAGGCGCTCGAGGAAGAAGCGGAAGCAGAAGACTTACCGCCGCCAATGATGTCGCCGATGATACCGGCGGCCTGGGCCTCGGCGGTGGTCTGAGGCTCCTCATCAGCGGCCTCGGTGGCCTGTGGAGCACCAGCGGTCTGAGTCACGAAGACGGTGTTCCAGTTGGTGACAACCGCCTTTTTCTCGTGCTGGTGGTGCTGGTGGAGGGGTTGGGCGATAGCGGAGGCGACGATAGCGGCCTGGACGATGCTCTTGAACAACATTTTGAAAAGAGTGGCTAGGGGTGTGAGGTCGTTCTAGGGAAGCGAAGGAGTGACTATAGATGGACCTTGACGAGGAACAAAAAAGTGGGAATGCGCGGTTTATATAGTGCGGCAGCGGTTTGTTTGGGTTAAAATTTTCCTGTTAGGATTTCGCGGCATGTATGGTTAGGAGCCCGCTGGGGTCTAGGCCGCAACGCTTCCGAGGGTGCGTCTTGTGCTACAGGAGGTAATTCCGGGGGCCTCCATTCCGGGGGCCACCGAAGGAACGTAGCGATCGACTCCCGGATGGACCACAGGCCACAGGCCACGACATTCGGCGTTAGAGGCAAGGCAAGACAACGAGCTGACTATTTTGCAGCCATCCTGATACAATCAAGTTCAATATCAGTTTCACCATTTTGTGTGCTTGGGGTGCCTTCGTGCCTGGCGCACCACGACCTAACGCTAATTACCTCCTACCTCCTGGCCCGTTGCCTCTACATGTCTCCTGGCCCGTTACCTCTACATGTCTCCTGGCCTGTTGACATGGCTCCTGGCTTCTCCTTCAGGCCTAGTGTTTACCGTACAACTCTACCCTACTCTCTCCTATCGAAGCACTCATCTCGTGTTTTGCCTTGGCAAGTCAACAACAGCCAAGGAAGCACGGTGGAGGTGGGGAGGGCCGTTTGGGAAAGTCAATTATCTACGTGGTGACGTCGGCGTGGAACAATGAGCCTTGGACCAAAAGCTGTACAGTCACTGGGGCTGCAGTGGGTGGTGAGGTTGACGAGTGCTGTATTTTACGAATTCAATGGCAACTTGTGAACAAGTGACTTGTTCGTTGACAAACGTCAATGATTTTTTGAGAATTCGTCATTTCCTTTTCTTCAGTCAATTGTTTTTCTGGTTATCTCTGCCATTTGGCTTTTCCCTGGCCTGCTTGGCTAGTGCCTAGGGTGCCTACGTCGCGCTACGGTTGCAAATGCCAGGCACCCAGTGGACCACAAAGCCAGACGGGCCAAAAACGTCATTTCATCTTTTTCAATCGATTCGACATTTTCTCTCAATCATTCTCACTCTATCATTCATTTACTCACTCATTCATTTACTCACTCATTCATTCACTCACTCATTCACTCATTCACTCATTCATTCAGGCATTCAGGCATCGCCTGAAAATTCCACCCTCGCAGTCGCCCGTGGTGGCTTGACCTCGTCTAATCCTCGGGTCACTGGCCGAAATGCCTTTTTCGTTTTTTTTTTTTTTTGTTTTCTGACGTCAGCGATCTGGCGATTTTTGCCTTTTTCGCTGTGGCCACCTTCCGCCGTTGCTGAGATTTTCACGATCTGTGCCTCGGCGCCAGGAGCATAGTTTCACCGTGCAATGCCCAGGGAGGCCCCAGCGTTTGACGAGAAGGCTCTAGTGATTTGATGGGAAGAATAAAAAGAAAATTATTTCTGAAAACCTAAATCGAATCGTACAGCAATTTCGAATCGTACAGCAATTTCGAATCGTACAGCAAGTTCACAGACCATATCTCCATCCACACCCCATCAGACTCGCCTGAAGCACATCTGAAAAATTCACCTTCTCTGGCCCCCACCTCCAATGCCTCCTCCACTGCACCACTACAGCCTACTTCTTCAACTTAGTCCCTCCTTTAGCTCCCCCACCGGACCGTATCTGTGGTTTCGCCTGTCCTCCCAGGCTTAAACCGCGAAACGTCTATCGACGTTTTAAGCCCACCTGGGCTGAGCACCACCCAACTACACTGGAACCCTACCCACCTGGGTGATTCTGACCCAGGGAGACATTCTGCTAGATCGACTGGCCGTATCTTCGGCCGGATCTGGCAGCCCACAGGCACCCTCGGAAGTCACACACAATCCGGCAACAAGAGTTTTTCTTGACTGTATGTCACGTGACGCGGGTCACGTGCGTTGATCGTCAAACGAGCCGCTTTCGTCTGTTTTGATTTCGAGCGCCGCAGAACCGCAACCCACCACAAAACGAGCCAGCGGGACAAACCGCAATGTAGAAGTAGCCAATTCGATCATAAATTCCTCGAGCAATGTTCCGGCCGAGGACGACATGGGTGGCCCCGGGTCGGTTTGCAAAAAGCAGGTGGCCGGTTGGGACCCCCGGTCGTGCGGCGCTGCCAATTCCGGTTTATGACTTGCATCAGCGGCTCTGTGCAATTCGTCCTCTTCTTGTTTCGCCTTGCCAATACAGGTCTAGAACCAACGGGAATGAGCAGAAAACGGGATTGCATTGTTGTGATTTCTTTCGGGCGCCATGGTTATACAATTCTACTGAGAATGCCGTTTTTTCCAACCCACAATTACCACCAGGCACTACAAAAACCAGTTTGCGACCTGTCTGAAAAACCTGCCGGACCAATGAGCTTCAGACGCTACACATCTAGCATACGGCTCCTGAAACGCCGTCCTGTAAATTTCTCACCGTTTGCCTTTGTCTTGTATATCTGAAGAGGCCGAGTCCAGAACAGCCTACTTTCCCGAACCCTTTGTGGAATTTTTATTGTAATTCGTTGAACCCCCGGCGTCGATTTTTCAGCGTACTTTTTTTCTTCGCACCGGGCCAGACCAGGCCACTTTCGCCCTGCCATCTGGCATAATGGCAGAAATTAGTGCCTCACTCGCTCTAATTCGCTCTAATTCGCTCTAGTGCCATTAAACATGCGAATTATTTTACGCACTCGGTGGTCGACTTTTTTCACGCCAGAGCTTGGCTTCCGCCAATACTCATTTTTTGAAGGTATTTTTTGAAGATGATTTTTTGAAGATGATTTTCTGAAGATGGTATTTTTGAAGATGGTATTTTTGAAGATGATTTTTTGAAGAAGGTGAAATTGCCCCTGCGGCCTCGAAATATCAGCACATGCCTTGGGCTGTTTATTGCCATTCGCTGTGCTGTCGTTTTCTGTTTCCTCTTTTGTAGCCGGATGTCCCAAATCAGTTAGCACCGTCTGCGCCGTTTTGGTTGCTCCCTAGCACAAATTGAATATTGGATCATGGCCGGTTTGGGACTTCACAATTGTGAATCAGGAAATTGCCATTGACCGGTTTGAGTTTCGGCCGTGGGTTTTAGCTCTAGACTTCAATCCGAGGTGCCCCATTGTGTGGCATAATGGCTGTCTTTGTGCAGCGGTTTCCTCTGATTTTGCACCCACCACAATGGCATTCTACCGGTTAGATTGGATCTTGCTGGGGAGTCTGAAAAATTACAGATCGGTGCAATATCGGTGCAATATCGGTGCAATTGGTGCAATATCGTGCAATCGAATGAAGCTTTTCACTGAAGTTTTAAGGAGATTGTTGAATCCACAGGCTTCGGTGTGGCACTGTACTTCATTGTAAAATAGACCCTCTTCCCTCTTTGCTGCCCCTGAGCTTCCTAGCAACTCTATCGTGCCGGTTATGAACTCGTTATTGAACAATGGATCATATCCAGATCAAGGTTCCCGGCCATCTTCTACAATTGATCAAAAGTATTTAATTTCAATACAAGACAACAAATAAAAAAATCTCTATTTATCGTTTTCTTGCCAAAGCATTCGTTAAACCCCTTGCCCACCCACCACTCCATAGATGGTATCGCTGATCGTACGGAGTCAGAGCCTCACGACGGGCAGGCCTTCTTTGGACATTATTGGATCACAAAACCGCCCGAGCCCATCGCCTCTAGTGTATAAACACAGTCTAGACGCAGATAATGCGTCAAGCAGAGTGGCCTAAATGAAGTGAGCATCGTTCGGGCTCCCAATCAGCCTGAGTTTTCCTTCCGGTCGGGTCGGTTCAGTTTCGAGGGTTGGTCCGAATGTGGGACTTCTGTACTGTGATCCAGGTTCTGTTCGGACCGGTATACCCGGGGTGGGAAGGTTTAAAGATGATAGCTAGTCATTATAGGAAGAAATCGCTCAAAGAAGGTAGTGTATTTGGTTTGAGGGCGGATATTTCTAAACTTCTTTCAGAATCTTTAACATTCGTTCAGAATCTTTAACATCCAGACTTTGGGAGGACCAGGCAATGACATCTCGGGCTTGAAATATTCAGGCCGGATGTGTGTAATTAGCCAAATCGGTATATCCGCCTTGGCACCTCCCGGGCGGCTATATCAGAACTTTAAAAATTGAATCGACGCCGACCACGGAGATTTATAGGGGTAGGCGGCAGCGAAGAGTATGAAAATCGCTATGGTTTAGTAGCTGACTGTGAGGCTTTCGTGATAGCAGTTTCGACAAATCCATGATGAATTCACCTATTATACTACGGCTCGGTAACCTTTCTTTGAAGGGCTCCTGCGTTATCTTACCTTTTCAAAAAATAGAAATTATGTTCGATGTATTTTCACAGTTGTCACATCGGTTCATGGTTTAGCACTTTCTTACTGGAGCACCACACTTTTGCGAAATGTTCCACAACACCCCAAAAATCGAAATCTCGATAGAAAGCAAAAAGAGCTTCCAAAAACGGAATTTCTAAGCGCCAGAAAGTTACTGTCCAGTTTCTTCCTCGTTATTTCGACGCCACGCCGAGTGGGTATTTCCTGATATCTCCACACAGTGAGGCCATCTCATGGTATTAGGAGAGCTAAACGAGAAATTTGAGAGCCGAATCCTGATCGACTGAGCACTATAGATGAACTCTTTGAAAGCTCAGAACCTTATAATTCAATCTCTATAGATATTGTATTAGTTTAGTTTGGCCTAATGGCAGTTCGTTGCATGTACAGCTTCTACATAGCCTCCGCCTAGTCCAGCTATTCTAGCCATTTTCGTCAAAAAGCTTTTGCAATCTCTCTGTCACCGTCTTCTCCAAATCTCTGATTTCGATTATCTGAACTTACCACCACTTAGATCATCATCTCTCACCACAGCATTTCGCAGCCATTCCTGCCTGATCAAACTCCGAGGATCTCCACCGAATCCAGGAACCACATTTAAAAAAATCAGTCGGCCATTTCAGTTCTGCCCAACTCAATCAACAAACAATACAATTAGTTTTCTGACTAACTGCAAAAACCACATTGCCTGCGCCAGTCACCTTCGCTGGATCACCTCTGGCTAGATCAGGCAGTCGCATTTGCACCCATACCAGTAAACCACCCCATCCCAGCTTCTAGCGTGAATTCACGATTTTAAACAATTTCCCCCACGTCAGTCCCCCACATTGCCCCCACAAATCACGATATCCCCCACTTTTTCGCCAATTGCCCGAATCCACACCCAACCGTACCTCCACCACCGCATCGGTCTACTAAACCCGCCGGTTGCTTTCGCACCTTCAAGTACAAAGCCACGCCATGGCCAAAAACACAAATTGATAAATTATTAAAAAATAAAAGAATATCAATCCAAAGCAACGCAAATCCATCCAGTAACGGCTGCCCCTGGGAAACAATCCTCGGAGGCACCGTTTTGGTCACGTGACCAGATCACTCCCTCCCTATCCATTGCTCCAAACTACACCACAACCACCTCGACCCAATTGACACCTTCTGCCTGAATTGGCCCCATTTTCCTCCTTTCCAAACTGAGGCTTTACAAGAAAACTACCAAAGCGAAAAAGCACATCATCGGCACCGATTCGGTTCTGCCTGAAGCTACCCAAACTGCCATGATTAGCAAACAGGGAAGTGGAAACAACGGAGCAGATGCGCCTCGTGATGTGGTGGAGCTTGATTCCAGTGACTACGAGATGTTGGACAAGTCGGGCTTGCCGATCGACGGCCTGGATGCTGAAAACATGTCTGAGGTTCTGGAAGACGTGACTTCCCCAGAAAGGCCACCTGCTGATACTAAAACCCGCCCTTTGGCGTCGGATTTTGACACGTTATCGAAAACGCTAATGAAGCCCGTGCCCGATTACCCTGTGAAAGACGAGGCCTACGTGGTCTGGGAGATCAAGGACTGGAGCTCTTTGAAGAGAGAGGAGAAGGCGAGAAGTCCGGTTGTGGAGTGTGGCGGCTACAACTGGACCGTGCTTATGTTCCCGTCCAAGGCCAACAATGACCTGATTTCCTTGTATATGGAGCCCCATCCACCCAAGGATGCCGATGGCAACGTGGACCCCAATTGGTACGTGTGTGCTCAGTTTGCATTTGACTTGTGGAATCCGCTGCATCCAGAGGTGCACCTTGCCAACGTGCTGAGCCACCGTTTCAACAAAGGCGAGACCGACTGGGGGTTCCTGACGTTCATTTCCGCTCGTGATTTGTCCAACACAGCCAGATATGGCCATCCTTTGATGGAGAAGAACCAGTTCAACATCACAGGTTATGTGCGTGTGATTGATGACTCCTCCACGGGTGTCTTGTGGCACAATTGGCTCGATTACGACTCCAAAGCACAGACAGGCTACGTCGGCTTGAATAACCAAGGTGCCACCTGTTACCTTAACTCCCTCCTCCAATCCTACTACACTACAAGAATATTTAGAGATTTGGTCAACCAGATTCCTACAGACCCACAGAGCGAGACAAAGAGCAAAGCTGTGCCATTGGCATTGCAGCGTATTTTCTATCTGTTGCAGCTGTCAAATGAGCCAGTAGGCACTATGGAGCTTACCAAATCCTTTGGCTGGGACTCCTCTGATGCATTCACCCAACACGACATCCAAGAGCTCAACCGTGTTTTGATGGATAAGCTTGAAATGGCAATGAAGGGAACAAAAATCGAGAATAAGCTCAACGATCTTTTCGTTGGTAAGATGAAATCCTACATCAAGTGTGTGGACGTGCCTTACGAGTCTTCCAGAGAGGAGGACTTCTGGGACATCCAGCTTAACGTGCGTGGTTTCAAAAACCTCACAGAATCGTTCAAGAACTACATCGAGATCGAGATGCTTGACGGCGAAAACAAATATCAGGCTGGCGATGAACACGGCTACCAGGACGCCAAAAAGGGTGTTGTGTTCCGCTCTTTCCCCCCTATTCTTCATCTCCAATTGAAGCGGTTCGAGTACGATTTTATGGTTGATGACCTTGTGAAGATTGATGACTATTACGAATTCCCCGACAAAGTTGACCTAAGACCTTTCCTTGACGATGACGTACCTGAAGAAGTGAAGAACGAGAATTGGAACTATAAGCTCCATGGTGTTCTTGTACATCAGGGTAGCATCTCGAATGGTCATTATTACGGTTTAATCAAGCCTGAAGCACATGATGACAAGTGGTTGCGCTTTGATGACGACAAGGTGTGGAAGGCCACGCCAAACCAGGTGTTCTATGAGAACTATGGTGCCTCCGAGATCTCTACTCAGCAACTCAGACTCCTTACACGCAATGAGCAGAATGAATACTTGATTCGGAGAGCCACATCTGCTTATATGTTGGTGTACTTGCGTGAGTCTGAATTGGATAACGTCTTGCTTCCACAACAGTCGTTGGCACCTACACCAAAGCATGTTGCCGAGCAGATAGAGAGAGAGCAAGAGGAGTTTGCAAGAGCTGAAACTGCCAGGAAAGAGGCCCTCTTTTACATGTATGTGAAGGTCATCACTGTCAAGAACTTTGCACACTACAATGGCTTCGACACCTACCCCGATCCAACTGAGCCTCGCCTTTATGACGAAAAGATTTTCAACAAGGACGCCTACCCTGTCACCATCAAAGTGAAGAAGGACGCTCCTCTTTCCAATCTCTATGAGCAGGTTGCCGAGCACTTGGGTTATTCTGTACCTTCGGAGACTGGAAACACCACTGAAAGCGCCATTTCTGTCGACAGTGAACTTTCCTCAAGCTGGCCATTCAAACTTCTTTGCGTTAGTCACCGCAACAACCGGACAAACAGACCGGATGCTCCAATCCCGGAGCTGCTCCTCAGTGCTACAGTGAGCCAAGTTTACACTCAATGCTTTAAGCGCCGTTATGAAGAGATGGTATTTTTCGTGGATGAACCATCAAAGCAACTCCAGAGCATAGAGAAGTCAACTCAATTGATCAGCCCCGAGAAGTTCGATTTTGAGGCAGCCACACAGAGAATCCTCTCCAACACAACAACTCACTCCTTACCAGCCGAGTCCTCAAACTCCATCAGAATATTCATCAAGTACTTTGACCCTGTTAGTGATGAAGTTCGTGGACTTACTTATGTGACAGTTCCATTAGATTCGCAGGTTGCGCTGTTGACTCCAGTGATCAATAATGTGCTTCAATTCGACCCAAACACACCTTTGACGTACTTTGAGGAAGTCACTCACACAAGTGTGGAGCCCATCGATGATACGACAACATTTGAAAAGAATGAGTTGGGCACAGGAGATATCTTGACAGTGCAGCTCGCTGACATAGAGAGCGCTACATTTGACAGACTTTTCGTGAATGCAAAGGAATACTATGAGTTCTTGCTCACAAGGCTTCATATTCACGTGAAACCATTCAAGGCAAATGAGGAGGAAGAAGACAGTGACTTTGTCGCTGATGACGACAAGAATGGTGATGAGAAGAATGGCGAGAAGGCGTCACAAGCGGAAACGGCTGACATTGAGCTTGCGAAGGAGATGAGCAAGTCTACTGACATGTGGATTCTGACCCAATTCTCTTACACTCAGCTTGCCGATGCCGTTGCAAAGAAGCTTGGTGAGACTGTTGATCCTGCAAAGTTACGTTTATTTGTGGTGAACAATCATGGAACAAGATTCCCATTGCTGTCGACACAATCTCTCTCGCAGGTCTTCACGAGACAGGTGTCCGTATCCTCCATCACGAATTTCGAGTATGAAATTCTCAATATAACGTTGAAGGAGTACGAGAATCTCAGGTCGATCAAGATCTACTGGATGAATACAATTCAGCAGTTCCATTTATTTGACTTGTTGGTTCCTAAGACTAGTACGGTTGCCGATTTGGTGAAGAAGTTGATCCACAAGCTTGATATTTCGCCAAAGCTTTGGAGTAACTTGCTCGTATGGGCCGGCCAGGACAGCAAGTACAGTGACCTTGTGAAGTTCGACCGTCAAATCAGCGATCTTCCCAACGCTTCAGAAATCTACTGCGGTTACTTCCCTGCAGAGGTGGAGATTCTTGTCAGCAATGACTTGTTCAAGCGTTTTGATGAGAAGCATGTTTCGAAGGATGACATTGAAGACGAGCTTCTCCGGGTTGAGTTCGAGCAGGCACAGAAGTTATCACAGAGGCTGAACCTTATCCCAGTTTTCCACTTCCACAAGAATCCTTCGTACAGCCACAGCAAGCCATTCATTTTTGTCGTTTTCCCAGGGGAGCCGTTCGAAGAGACAAAGATGCGGTTGCGTAAGAAACTCGGCCTCGGTGGACTGGCTTTCGAGAAGGTCCGCATTGCGCTCACGGATGCCAATGACAAGGGCCGGTACCTTGATAGCGACAACCCCAACCTTGAGCTTTTCGAGGAGCTCAAGAAGTTCGATGCCGACACTTTCCTTGCGCTTGATCATCCCGACAGGAATCCTCGCCGCCAGAATCCGTTCGAGAAGGGTATCTCGATCAGATGATGTTTGCCGCAAAGTTGATCTTTGTAACAATACACGGTTGTCTTTCGCCTAGTGAAGGCGCTGTTTCTTGACTCTCTTGAGTTCCTCTTCACGCAAGTCGGTAGAGCTGATTTTGCCCTGCCAATTCTCATCCTCCTTGCCTGTTGCACCGAGGACATCGACAGAGACCACTTCCAACTCGGGAAATCCTTGCTTTTCTCTGTAGTCATTCACGAAATCGGCGCCTTTTCTCGTTTCCTCACTTATCACCAAGGCATCAATGTCCTTGATGAACCCAGTAGGACCACAAACATCGTCAATCTGGTAAATAGCAAAACTGACCGAGGCAGGCAAAATCTCCTGCAAAAACCTCGTCACCGCTTTTATTCTCTGTTCAATCGTTTCCATAGCATCGGCGTATTTCTTCTTCAAAAGCATCTGAGGACCCGTCACACCAACGATAAGGTGCTTTTTCGTCAAAAAAGCCGCCATCTGCAACAAGATCTTGTGACCATCGTGAAGGTGGTCAAAAGTTCCACCCACTGCACTAACGGCAAATTGCTGGTAAGCAAAAGACGCAAAATCTGGTGTCTCCAATGTGTTGATATCTGCATCCACAGTGAGAACCCGATCTGATAAGCCAAATTCAGCCGACTCGCCCTTAGGCACAAAAGCTAGCTCCCAGTCGGATCCCTCTGTTTGGAAAATCACGTTGATGCCGAATTTGAAGGAGAAATTGCCTTTGTTGGCATGACCTCTCACCTGGTTGTATAACTGGGCAAGCACGAAGTTGAGCTCTTTTGTTTGTTTTGGCGGCTGTGCCACAAGAATATCAACGCCTGGGTGAGACGAAGGCAATTGAGCGAAAACGGCCTCGAAAAAGCGCCCGTAGTCCTTTGAAACCGGTGTTTTCACCACCAATACAGTAGAGAAACCCATGATAGTTGAGATTTTCGCACAATCTGGGGAAGTTGAGGGTGGGGTTTGATGAAAGTTTCCTGAATTGGAGGAAGTTTTATAAAACTTTTTTTTTTTTTTAAAGAGGTTATCTGTTGGAAGCAGGATTTTGCTAATTCTGGAATACTGGTGGTAGCGGTATAGCTATCAATGGAGGACCATGCTTATGCTGTTGCACTATCAGTGGACCGAGTATACGCAATTATACAGAATAACCTGGTATTGTTACTCTAAACTCACCAAATGTCTTTTGCCCATCCAACCTTTTCTTTTGCTATTTACAAGTAATGCCGACCGTGAACTTCGGTCCACGCCTATTTACAGGCATTGTAGACCCTCCACTGGAGAGCCTTGAGTTTATGCTCCACATCGACCAGCTTCGACTCCAACTGAACGAACGACTTGAGCGCCAACATCAACCGCTTCAGCTTTTCGTCAAGATCCTCCCTGTCCTTCAACTTTCCGTACACAAAACGCACGGAGTTGCCCACCACCGTGGCATTGGCAATGTTTCTCCGAGGATCGAAGATCTCCCTTGGTGTGTAAAACAAGATGCCCGATCCAAGAATCTTCTTGTGCACCTCCAAAGCGTTGTCGTGGTTTTCAGGTGCATCTGTCCAGGTGGTGCTGGTGATATGCTGGACTAGCGAGTTGTAAGAATCCACAAAACTGTTCAGCATAAGCGCCTGTCTGTTTTTGCCCAAACCGTAGGTTCTCGATTCGGCCACCATGACACACTTCATGAGAACTGCCAAAGGATCAAGCAAATCGTTGAGCTGCTCCATTGTGAGACTCTTTTTGGGGTGTTATTAGCAAGCTTCTTTTTGCGGTTGGCCACAAGGCCTTTGTGAAGATTCTTCTCGTTGTAGTGGTAGATGTCCCGTTTGAGGATAGAAAAGACAACGTCGAATGTCTTGTCTCTAGGCTTGAGGGTTTTGCCAATATTGGATGCTGGAGATACAATGGCAGCGAGGAGCTCTGTGATGAACTTGATGGGGACATACCGTTTAGGAAAGTTCTCTTCGATTTTGTAGATGAAGTTCTCCACGAGCATGGGGTCAATGACTGTAGGTTCATGAGGCGCCGTCAAGTCCTGCTTCTCGCTCTTCGAAAGCTTTGTAAATTCGCCTTCGTCTTTGGCAGGTGCCTCATCTCCCACAAGACACTCCTTTATGTCAAACTTGCCTTTTTCGTTCTTCACTCTTGTCAAGTCGGGATACTGCGATCTAGGCAATGCTCCACAGCTCAAACCTTCAGAGACCGCCTTTCTCAAGTCAGTACGGCTGACGTAGATACCGCCCCATTTCGTCAAGGCGTACCACATAGCCAAGTAGAATTCCTTCACAGCGCCAATCTTCAAAAGAGAGTCGGTGGCATGTCCCAACAAGAAGTTGTTGATACCCAAACCCTTTTCCAACGAAATGTGAACCAGCAGGGGAGTTTCTTACCAAATTTGCCCTGAGAAGAAACGTACGTTTGGTGTTGAGCGAGTCTCTTCACATCAGCAAACCGGGGACGAGAAAAGTCAACCAAACGCTTCTTCTTATCAGAGAAAATGGCCCTGGTCTTGTTTGTGGAAAACAAAGGAGGAGGGAAAACCACCAAAGGGTTCACTTCCTCCTTCACAAGCGGCTTGACGTGGGTTTCTGGAAGATCCTTATTTTCCACAGAAGCTTCCTCGATTCTCTCGTCAGTCCGCCTTTTAACGTCAGCTGAAGGCTCAAGAGCTCTGGTCTCGTCGTTCTCCTTTGCAAAATGCAACATCAGTTCCACTTCTGGGCACCACAAGCGGAGATACTCAAGACCCTGGAGCATATACTGATAATGGGATCCCGAATTAGGCGTCACCGAAGTGCCTGCAAAGTTGTTAACGTAGCACAGCACGAAGGTGGAGGCGAAAACGGGGTCAATGTCCATGAGAATGCCCTGGATGTCCTCCCTATACTTTTTGAGCACCTCAGGATCAGCCTCAGCTTCAGCCTTGGTAGGAGGCACTGGAGGAATCGCCAGTTCCATGACTTTTTTGTACACGTTTTCGGCAGTCTCCACGAGCTCCGCCTGAAACGCAAAAAGCTTTTTGGTACGCTCTGTAGCAGAAATATTAGAAGCTGTTTTGACCTGAGACACCTGTTCTTGAATGTAGTGCTTGCGTCCGTTGAGGAAAATAGTAAACGTCTGGCAGTCTGGCTTGAACGACTTTGCATCCTCGGCAAGCTCAAAAAGCTCCATGGCGTGCTGCTGGTTGTTGGAGAAGCTCTTCAGGAGAACCAGCAAACAGGCATTGAATACACTCACCGTAGGCCTCTTGACTCTCTGGAACTGATTGAACAAATCGTCTGCCATGGTCTTGGTCACGCTGCCCCAGCCAAAGTGACGCGCCAAGCCGTCAAAGTACAACACGTAAGTTTGTTCGTTGGTAGGTATCATCCATTTTTTCCGATCGTGCAACGCTTTCATGCCCATTTGCACCTTGCCGTGTTCGAAGCACCACTGGATACACGCGTTCAGTGCCACCACGGCGTTCCCGCGTGCCATATGACAAAGCTCCATAGCCCTGGCGGTGGACCTATCGGCTTCTAGAAGCTTGAGAACAGCTTCGGTGACTTTAAACGGATCTAGAAGCGCCTCGGGCCCTACGCCACACAAGAAAAGCATGAGTTTTGGCGGGATCTTCTTCTTGCTGATTCGCTTCATCTCCATGAGGTTCTCGAAAACCGCAAGCAGCTTCTCCAGACTGACCTCAAGATCACCCGGACGGAGTTTCTCCAAATCCACCGGCTGGGACCGCAGCCCGCGTCGGAGAAGCGCCGCGTCGAACTTCGATCTGATCAAAAGAAGCGCTTTCTGTGCACTGAGCAGGTTTTTCGCCGCATTGAGCGCCACCCTGCGGTTCTTATGTTGAATATGAGCAGCAGCCTGAGCAGGCAGAAGCGGCTGAATCTCGCCGTTTTCCACAAAGCGCTGGAGCTTCGCCTTTATATGCGAAAAAGAAGGCCTGGACGGCGCCTCCTGTGCGGCTCGGGACAAAAACCGCCTCGAAATCATGGACCTCCAAAAAGTGTTGATGGTGTATGTGATGCTCTTCGCAGCCATATTATCACCAACATATACACTCCGATTCGCAGCCATTAGACTACTTTTCCTTGCTATGGACCAAAGAAAGCTGTGGCTCCAGCTCCGGAGAACCATTGGAAAACACGTGGCCCGTGCCAACAAAAGCAACGTCAAGCACGTTTCCATCAAGCTTTTTGAAACAAACGTCGTCCGAGGCCGTGGCATCTTGGCTCGAGCAATCCTAGCAAATGTGCTTACTGAGCCTGACAAACACGCTGTTTTCGCCCTGTTGGTGGCGGTCTTGAACCTGAAGGTTCCGCAGATTGGCGAGCTTGTTGCTGCCAGGACGGTGGCGCTCTGGAAGTACTTGTACATGAAAAACGACTGTACGAGGATCTTCAGGGTGTTGCTTTTCCTCTGCGAATTGATAAAGCAGAAGGTCGTGGAGGACGTGGTGTTGTTGCAGATCTTGCAGCTTTTGGTGGAGGAGTCTGTGACTGACGATTCTGTGCACTTGGCGTCGTTTGCTTTGGAGAACATCCTGGCGTATCTAGACAAGAATGCCAAAACTTCAGCTAACCTGATCTACGACCAGCTAAGAAACATGCTCCAGGAAGGAGGTCTTCTGGAAAAACGTCGCAACGATATCCAGTATCTCCTCGAACACCGCCGCAATCGCCCCAAATACCTTATAGACCCTGAACTCGATCTTGTGGAAGGTACCGATAATGCCACGCACTATGTGGACCTCACAGACCTCCAGGAGCCCGGAACGGACCTCAATTACTTCCAGGAGGATCCGGAATTCGAGGTGGCAGAGGCCACTTACAGCCAATTGCAGAGACAGATTCTAGCAGAAGAGGTCAGGCAAGAAAGACCCAGTGAAAAGGTCGAACATCCACAGAAAACCACCGATATGACCGACAAGACGCTTCTCCAGCACCAGAAAACAATCTACTTGACGGTGATGTCGTCAATGTCCGCAGACGAAGCCGTACACAAGCTTCTCCGAGTCAGGCAAAAGCAGAAGCTCGAGCAGGCGGTTCTAGTCGACATGATCGTGAAGTGCTGTGCCCAGGAAAAAACGTACTCCAAGTACTTTGGCGTCATTGGAGAGAAAATGAGTGGAATGAGCCAGGAGTGGAACAATACCTTCACCAACGAGTTCCAGCAAAAGTACGACACGTGCTACCAGTACGAAGGCTCACAGCTCCGAAACATGGGCAAGTTTTTCGGCCACTTGATTGCATCAGATAATTTACGGCCCCAGGAGACCCTAGGTCATGTAGAGTTGACGGAAACCGGAACCAACAGTGCGAGCCGAGTCTTCATAAAATTCCTCTTTCAAGAGCTTGTGGAGGAGATGGGCGTCAATGAGGTGAAGCGGCTCATTCAGGATCCCGAAGTGAAGCCCACGCTTCGTGGCATGTTTCCTGTTGTTCTGGTGGACGAGCTGGATCAGGCCCATATCATGTTTTCCATCAACTACTTCACGGCCATCGGCTTGGGTGTTTTGACAGAGGAAATGAGACAGGTGCTCAAGAATCTTCCAGAGCCTCGTGGTCGTCGCAGCTCGTCTTCTGGTTCGTATTCAGATCTGGCTTCCTACAGCAGGTCTGAGTCGTACTCCAGGAGTCCATCCCGAAGCCGCAGTGGATCGAGATCCCGAAGCTGGTCGAGAAGCCCCTCCAGAACGCCGTCCAGGGAGGTCGAAAGCAAGGAGTAGATGGGGGTTACGTGAGGGATGGAAACGGGTGGTTGAGCCTTTACGAATGCATAAATACAGTCACATAATCGAATTGATATGGGATCGTGACTTACGCTATTGTCACAGCTGTAGGAGTGTTACTATACTTGCTTGATCTTGATTTTGCAGCCAGTACCTACATTCCCTGATACAGTACGATGTAGGTACATGTTGGCAGAAGGCAAAGTCACAAAAGCTAGTTTTTCAGTACTTGATCGCTCTTCGTAATTTTTTTCTTTTGAGTTTGACAACTTCAATAGTAGTAGCCACCTAATAGCAATTGACTTCACTGAAAGGTAGACCGTCTTATCGGTGATGTGAGTTAAAGAACATTGGCAGGTTTCGGAGTCTACGGAGAGAAGGTTCCTATTACAGTGAAAACACCAATTGTAGCTTTGCCAGAGCAAACAATATCTGGACCCCACAGGCCCGTTTTTTCCTTCAGGTCTGGATCTTCTCCACAAAGCTTTCATACACTGATGCACCTGCTTTTCAGATTGATGGCAAGTTTCCAGATTGATGGCAACCTTCCAGATTGATGGCATTTAAATCACTTTTGCAACTTTCAAACAGTGAAAACTCACGACTTAATCCAAAATTAGTAGCTGCTTGCATTTCCCCAAAACAAGCGGACGCCGCATGGCTCCATCAGCAACCTTGTGAGTTGCTCGTTTTGCAGCCATTTAGAGCGCTGGCAGTATAGCAATTACAAACCAGGCGAAGCAAGTGAAGCTTATCTGAGCGTCAGGGAACCCAGAAATGCACGAAACGGAGAATTCTGGTAAAAAATAAAAATTGTGGAAAGGTGCAATCGATCGATTCTCCACAAAGATAAGATTAAAATTCACGCGGGTAGCAAACAGCCGATCTCAGGCACATATACATTGGGAAGTGGTTTGGAGTTTTGAATAAATGTATAAATGTCGAGGTGATCGTTTTTGGAGATCCCCTTCAAAAAAATTTTTTTTTACCCTTTTCTAAAAACCTCTTCTTCACTTCCCTAGGTGAGACATGCCGCGGCTTTAATCCACCTGCTGCACAAAGCACGGTACCGTTTCGCGTCACCTGACCAGAAAGGTGGTCATTATATGGCTTCCGCAGGACCGTTCCGGTTTCTTCCGTGCCGGACAGTCTGGCTCGCGTAGCCAATGGCCTAGCGGGTATAAAAAAACAGGCGCCATGCAGGACGATTCTTGCTGGAAAATTGGCACGGGACGGTGAAGCAGCTTCAGTAGAAGCAGCTGTGGGCATCGGACGGGCGGACAGACCGGCTGCCGGAAGAATATAGCCGTTTGTGTGTCCAGCGGGTCACGTGCCTGCAAGCGAAGAGCAGTTTTTCCGGCCAATGGCAGCGCGCGGAAAATCAGCTTCCTGCTTATTGGCCTTTTGTTACATGGCAAGAAAGAAAAACCACCTCTTCCCTATATATAGTGGTAAACGCTCACTCGCCTCCATCGTCTGTTTTTTTTTTCATCTCCACATCCAAATTTAAAAAATGCCAGCTAAGTTCGAAAAGGGTTCCGAGAAGAAGGGTGCCAACCTCTTCAAGACCAGATGTCTTCAGTGCCACACCACCGAGAAGGGTGGCCCAAACAAGATTGGTCCTAACTTGCACGGTGTTTTCGGCAGACAGTCCGGTCAGGCCGAGGGCTTCTCCTACACTGACGCCAACAAGAAGAAGGGTGTCACCTGGACCGAGCAGACCATGTCTGACTACCTTGAAAACCCCAAGAAGTACATTCCAGGCACCAAGATGGCCTTTGGTGGTTTGAAGAAGCCAAAGGACAGAAACGACTTGATCACCTACTTGGCCAAGGCCTGCAAAGACTAGGCCTCTCGCATTGCCTAGATGATGGCGCCGTTCCTTCACTGTAAATATAATTATTGCATTTGTTTTGATTTGACGGGCGATGTAGCATCACTGATGAGAAAGCAGGGTAGATTTGAGAGATTTGACGACAACTGGTTCGATACGAATTGGCCCACTTTTGTGGGGTCACGATAAGGTGGATTTTTCACGCAGAGGTTGCATATGCATATGTTGCAGTCGTTGATTATGATTGTGAGGCTTCCCCACATTATAAACGTTTTCTTTTGATATATGGCCGCTTCACGGTTGGTCGCTGTACTGTTAATGGCAGCTTTACTGTCAACGGCAGCTTTACTGTCAACAGTCTTATGGATTGCTGCAGCTGTCATATCAACTGACGTCTGCTCCATGAACGCTTATCTCCTGTTTGGTCCTTCCTTTCGAGAAAAAACCTCGTTCATCTGCCACCGCAATCATCCTAGATCACCCCCATCCATCTTAATCTGTAGCAGCTAGGTCATTGGCCTTTCCCAGCTGCATGCACCCACCTCAAACCCCATCACGAAGCTTTTCTGGGTGGCCACATAGATGAAATGCAAATTGAACACTTTCGCTTTCTCCCTCACGCACGCTGGATGTCAAACTCCACCTCGGTGATGCTCACCTCCTCACCCTGCTTATCGTCGTAGTCATACCACTCCTTGTCCTCCAAATCAACCTCCTCGAACTTTGTGCCCAGCTCTTCGCCTTTACACTGCCACCTGCCTTCAGGAATGAACTCCACGAAATCAACACCTCTGGCATCGATTTCAAGCAATTTAGCCCATCCGCTGTTTCCAGCTTCCAATGTCTCTTTGGTACGTTCAATCAGAGCCAGGTGCTCGTGCTTGCATCCTTTGCACCGAAAGACAAAACTGGCCTCGCCACGGGACCCAGAAATGTCGTGTTTCTCGAATCTGTTGATGTTCACTGGCTTGTCGTGGACTTCTCTGCACTTTGTGCACTCAATTCTGAAAGTGTATTCGTGGTGAGCTTCGGGAGTGTCCACAGGTTCAAGACCAGTGACACCGGCAAGTTCGGCTTTAATTTTGAGGTTGAATTTCACCATTTTTGAGGAGAAATGTGGTTCAAGATCGTAATGGATCGATGGAGTGATGATAAAGGCGCGGTGTACGGGTGCGATATCATCACCAGTGCAGTGGGTTTCACTAAAGTGGACAAATGACTCATGGGCAGTCATGCTTTGTTAAATTTTGATGATTTTGGATTGATAGTTTTGGGGAAATGCTTCCATGGCTGAAAGAGTACAAGAACAGGTCATGGTGGACTGCATTTGGAAAAAGTCAGGAAACGTTCAAGATAGACTGGCTTGATCTGCCGAGGCATAACCTTCAATCTTTTGAAAATAATATCTTCAAATGGCAGATAAGCCCCTAATCTCGACTGATACAGCAAAGTTCAGTCGAAAGATCCATGAAAAGCCAAACCACGTGACCATACACGTGACCGAGATCAACTGAACATCGGAGTTTGAACACTTCATCAACCACCATGAGTTTAAACGACATTCAAGTACCCGTGGAGGTCGATCCCAATGAGGATACAGAATGGAACGACATTCTCCGTGCCAAGGGTATTATTCCAGAGCGCCCCAAGTCTCCAACCGAGGAACTAGAAGAAGCTTTGGAACAAGCCGTCAAGGCTCAACACGAAAACCGTCTTGAAACCAAGAATTTGGGTGAACTTGAAGAGCTTGAAGATGAAGAAGATGAGGAGTTTTTGGAAGTTTATAAGCACAAGCGTTTCCAGGAACTTCAGGAGCTCCAGAAGAAACTGAAGTTTGGATCTGTTCAGCATGTTACCAAGCCTGAATATGCAGACGAAGTTACCAAAGCTTCTGACGACTGTTTTGTGATTCTTCACATGCTGGCGCAGCTGGCGGTCCAGTCTCGTCTTCTTGGGCTGCTTACGGTCGAGTTAGCCAGAAAGTTCCCGGAGATCAAGTTTTGTGAAATTCCCGCTAACAGATGTGTTGAAAACTACCCCGAGGCAAACTGCCCCACGTTAATCATATACCACAAGCAGCAGATTGCCAAGCAGTACGTCACGTTGACGCAGTTGGGTGGCAGCGACTGCAAATTGAAGGATTTGGAGAAGGTGCTTGTCGAGATTGGTGCAGTGAAGGATGCCGACGAGCGGTTGGAGATTAATCAGAATGACGAGGACTTGGAGGAGAGTAGGAGAACGCGGTTCGTGCAGAAGGGCATCAGGGGTCCTGCTCTCCATGCCGATGCTGAAGATGACGATGACTTTTACGACTAACGGCACCGCCAGTACATAGACAGTCGATGGGTGATAATGATGTTTTGTAGAAGATTGTGGGGCAGGTTTGGCAGGATGTGTTATCAAGATTCAGAGGAGGTCTTCAGATTTGGAGAAGCGAGTTCTTCGGTGCATATCGTATCTGATTTTTAGGAAACCGTAACAGATTATTGAGTAAAGCCGTGACTATGGTTTCGGCGAGCAATAAATTATGAGATTTTGTTAAAGAGATTTGCTACGTTAAAGAGCGGCAATAAACTCATCTGAGACATATGAGGAATCTGGCGGAGACTATCGTATAAGATAAGTAGATAACAGGGAACAAAAACTCATTCTCCCAATCAGGGTGGTTTTAAGAATCAAATTCATCATTTCAAAGGCCTTTGAGAATAGTAGTTGAGCTAAATGGAGTAGAATTGGAGAGATGAAGATCTGAGACATTGCACTTAGGTTGGACAATTAAAGCAAGCATCAAAGAAACTAAAGAAATTGAACGCATACGGAAGTCATAATATTAGAAAGTTTATAGAAAAGGAAGAATTTTTTTATAGAAAAGGAAAACAATGCATCACAATAGATGCCTTGATCTCAAAACTTTCCTATGAACGATTAGTCAAAATCTACAGTGATCTGAAACAAGCACTTCCCTTGCATCCAAATTCCCAAATTCTACGACTCAAAATCTCAAAATACTTTTAAAACAAAACCGCCAAATCCACAACCTCCAAATCTCCGCAAATCCCAGATCCTTCTCCATTCCGCAGCACTCTGATCATCCAAGCCCTAATCGTCAAAACCCTCCTTTGAACCCAATACCAAAAGTCCGAATATCACGAAGCTCAATTTTCCAAAATTAAAGCACCCTTTTAAAATTCCAAAACAGTAAAACCACAAATTCCTTAACCTCCCCAAAACCTCTTTTTACCCAACCCACCTCAGCTCACACCCGCATCGTTCATCTTCACACATGCCAGGCTGACCCTGAAAGCACCACATCCACCAAAAACGTCCAGAGAAAGCAAAATCTACAAATTTACCAAATCCACAAAACTTCGATAAAGGTGCCCCCCCAAATCCCCCAAACCCGCCCCCACGCTCCCCTTTCTCCCCTCCACATCGGCGTGATCCGTACCTAGCTCCCGATTCGCAGCGCATTTTGCACCCACCTCAGCAACAGAAGAAGTGATCCGTCACCAGCGCCGCTCACACGCTGAAATCGCCAAAAACAGCCAAAAGTTCAGAAAAAGGGCACCCCGTTTCCCCTAAAACCGCCCCTTTCAAACCCCATTCTCCCGCGTCTGGCCCGCTAGCTCAACACTTCCTACAAACCTCCTCCAGAACACCTCCGTTGATTTCGGCCACATCGCCCTGAAACCACCAATTAGCCATGCCAGCGTCGCCGCAGAACGGCAAGGTCGGCCGTAAGGCCAGTTTGGGCGAGCTGCCGGGCCACAAACACCAAAACGGCAACGGCTCTTCCTTGACCCTCCAACAACGAACTCCTCCGCCCGATAACTGGCGCCATATCCAGCCGTGCTCCCATTTAACCAAGGTTTTGGCCACCTCGGCCCACGATACCGTCATGGCCACGTATAAGCAGGCCGTGGGCATTCTGGTGGCTGTAAACCCGCTGCTCAAGGAAAGACTAGTGTTTCGGAAAAAGGACGGTCTGGCGGTGCCTCAGAACACGTTTAACGATCTCAAACACAAGGTGCTCCGCTGTAGCGACTGCAACCTTGCCAACTTCCACCAGGTGTTCTTTTGTCTCCAGTGTCCTCATGTGGGGTGTTATCAGGAACACGCTCGAGCTCATGCTGCTAAACAAAACCACATGTTTGCCATCGATGCCCAAAACGGCCTTCTTTTTTGCTTCTCGTGCAAGGACTACATCAACCACTCGGCGCTCAACGATATCAGACTCGCCGTGGCTTCCATGGACGATATCCAGCCTTCCAGTGATAAGCAGGCTGCTTTGAGCGAATACTACGATAAGCCTGCCGCCGTGGCGATCCACGGACTCAAGGGAATCGTCAATTTGGGCGCCACGTGTTTCATGAGCTGTGTGCTTCAAACGCTTCTCCATAACCCGTTGGTGAGAAACCATTTTTTCAACAACGACCTACATTTCTTCAACTGCCCGCTGGCGCAGCGGTACCTCGACGAAGGCAACATCGACAGCTCTACAGCGTGCATTACGTGCCTGGTTGACGCCGTTTTCAAACAGGTCTACTGCGCTTCCTCCAATGAGGGTTTTGGCATCACCACGCTTCTCCAGACAGCATGGTACAAGAACCTGCTGCTTGCGGGTTTTTCCGAACAGGACGCCCACGAATTCTGGCAATTTCTCCTAAACGAATTCCATGCCGACCACGAGAAGGTGTTGCAAGAGGCACATCTAGATATCCCCTCTCCAGAACGCTGTCTGTGCATCACCCACAGCGTCTTCCTGGGCGAGCTAGAAAGTTTGGTCGAATGCAGCAGCTGTGGATTTGTCAGAAGCACCGTGGACCCCTTGGTTGATCTTTCCCTCGAGGTGAACGATCTCAACAACAAAACCAACACTCTCTACGAATGTCTCGACTTGTTCACCCAAACCGAGGCTCTAGACGCCAAGTCCAGTTGTCAGTCCTGTGGCACCGAATCCAAGCCGTTCAGATCGCTCCGGATCCGCAAACTTCCCCCAGTTCTCAGTATTCAGCTCAAGCGGTTCAAGCACAACCATGCCAACGACACCGCATCCAAAATCGAAACCAAGGTCGACACGCCCCTCTACCTCAACCTCACAAAATATGTTTCAGACTACAACAACGAGGGCAACGATGACGTGGATTCGGGCAAGGTGTACGAGCTCTTTGGTGTGGTTACACACATTGGTTCTGTCAACACCGGCCATTACGTGGCCTTCATCAAAAACAGCATTGGGCAATGGTTCAAGTTTGACGACAGCGTGGTCTCGCATGCCTCCCACCACGATGTCCAGAACACCAACGCCTATCTTCTCTTTTACATTGCGCATTTCTCTTAGCATGGCCGTGTTTCGGCCTACCTTAGTTTGCCTAGGGTGACAGATTATACATATAGCAGGGCAATGGCCCTGGTTCAATAAACAACATATTACGATGTGGTTTTGGGTGTTTTAATGGAGTGTTGAGTGGTATAAAATGATTGATTATTCAAATATGAATTCATTGTATCAAAGCAACAGAAGGACATCTTTTTTCAAGAATTCTGAAATTAATTGTAGAAAAAAAACATATGGGAAATGTTGAAGCCACTTGAAATGTGAAATTAAGAAAAAAGAGAGCGAGGATCAAGGAATGTGTTTGAGGAGAGAGAGTATAGGAACACAGGATATATTACGAAACATATAACCACTGGTAATGAAGTCAAGGATAGTTTCGGTTGTCACTTTTTATTTTATGTGAAAAGAAAGAAATGAAAAAAAACCCCTCTTCCCCACTATGATGATAGTACCAAACTTATTCGCTTATGTACATTTTTTGATCCATCACCACTTTAAAGCACTTCTAGAGTAGTCTATTTTTAAAGCATCATCACACGACATTACCAGCCTACAATAATTTTCCTAAAGTGTAAAAATCAATTCTATCACAAAATTTTGAGGGGGTATCTTCGTCTAATATAAATACATAGAGTATACAGCAGGCGTCTCAAACGACGGGTCTGCGGAAATCCTCAGCGACAATGTGAGCCTTATCACACATCAGCTTGAAGAGTCCGTTTTGGCGGAACAAAGTCCAAGGGGTACCCTTTTCAACAACACGTCCCTGGTCCATCACCAAGATACGGTCGTACGTCAAGATCGTCTTCAAACGGTGAGCAATACACAAAATGGTGCACTTGTCAAACTCACGAATAATGGTGTCCTGGATCTTGGCGTCGGTCTCGTAGTCGACAGAGGAGGTGGCCTCGTCCAAGATCAAAATCTTGGAGTCACGCACCAACGAACGGGCCAATGCAATGAGCTGTTTCTCTCCCAAGGAGAAGTTCAGGCCGTCGTCCTCAACATTCTGGTCCAAGTGGAACTTGTGGAGCTGGTCATAGTTGTTGTCCACAAGCTGAGTGCGTCTGACTCTCTCTAACTGGTCGCCAGTGATGAGGCCAGATCTTCTCAACGAGTCCCACAAGGTGCAATCTGGGAATTGGTTGAAAGGGTCCAAGTTTTTACGGATCGAGCCTTGGAAAAGGACAGGATCCTGGGGGATGATCAGCAACTTCGATCTCAAGTCACGCAAGCCGAGCTGGCTGATGTCCAAACCATCAATGGTGATGTTACCAGACTCAAGCTCGCTCAAACGGTACAAACCGGTCATGATGGAGGATTTACCAGCACCAGTACGACCGCAAATACCAACCTTCTCGCCGGGGTAAATGCCAAAGTTCAAGTCCTTCAACACCAAAGGCAAGTTTTGTCTGTAACGCAAGTTAACGTTCTTGAACTGGATGTAACCAGTCATTGGCCACTCTGGAGGAGGCTTGAACTCGCTCTTCTCGTAAGCAGCCTCCTGCGGCAAGTCAAAAGCGTAAGAATGCAATCTCTCGACAGAGTTCATTTCGTTCTCCACCTGGGTCATGGCACGAACGGTCAAAGACAACAAGCCAACAATCTGAATCACGTAGTTCAAAAGCAAACCAGTGGATTGAGGCGAAATGTCAAATTGATCAGTGATACACAACATTGAGATGATGAGGGCAAAAAGAGAAGCAATAATGTCCAAGTGGACACAGAGCCATCTCTGGTTGGCAACGGACAAGTAGTAGGCTTCGTTCATGCGGTTAAGCAAATTGTCATTCTTCTTGATGAAAGAAACCTCCTCCTTGAAAGCCTTGATGGTATGCATACCGGTCAAAATCTCGTTGAAGTTGTTGTAAACCACAGATCTCTGGACAGCCTCCAATCTCTTGATCTCACGGGATGAGCCCGAGTAGATTTCAGACAAGAAAAGAAAAGCACCGCCCAAGAATGGAACAGCAATGGCGAACCAAGGCAAGTAACAAATGCACAAAATGATAATACCAATGATCATAGCAAGAGGGAAAATGAACAAACGCAACTGCTCACCGATCTCGTTATCCAAAGAGTCAGTGTCCTTAGTGAATCTGTTGAGCACTCTTCCCAAGGGGTTGGTGTCCATGAAGCTCATTGGGCAGTGCAACACCTTCTCCACAGCCTTGACGTTCAAGAGCTCAGCCGATCTGTTGTTCATGTAAGCCAACATGGTGAACTGGACACCAGTGAAGAAAACAGTCAAGAAAGCGAAAGCAACGTAAAAGCCAACGTAAAAGTTCTCGCTCAACTGACGGAAACGCTTCTCCATCCAGAAAGACAACCAGGTGTTGGTGAACAACTGGCAGAAGGTAGCAATGGCCACAAGGAAAAGGAACACTGGTGCTGCGGTCCAGCCGAAAATACCAGCACCCAAGTTGATGTAGTTCTTGTAAACCTGCCACGAGATGGCATTGACAGCCTTGTCCTCGTCTTCAATGGTGCGGCCAATGATATCACCAGCAGCACCACTCTGAGGAAGCACAGATTGAGACACAGCCAACTTGACCTCCTCCTCGTTCTCGCCAACTCCACTTGGCAAGAGGCACACATCTGGGGTGGGCTCTTCTTGCTGTGGTTCAGGACGGGGAGCAGCTTCGTCGTGGCTGAAGTCCACCAACTTCTTGAAACCTGGGTTTCTTGCGGCAAGCTCTGCAGCAGTTCCAACATCAATGGTACCGTCACCGTTCAAAAAGACAATCTTGTCGGCAGTAGCCACCAAGGAAAGCTGGTGGGTAGCCAAGATTCTCGTCTGGTGCTTGAGGAAACCAAAGAACAATTCGTTGGTGATCTGCTTACCGACACGGGCATCAACGGCAGACAAGACATCGTCGAAAAGCATAGTGCTTCCACCACGGTAAACGGCACGAGCCAAGTTGATTCTAGCTTTCTGGCCACCGGAAAGTGTAACACCCTTTTCACCAATTTCGGTCTGGTCACCGTGCAGCAATTCCCTGATATCGTCCTCCAAGCAACAAGCCTTTATAACGGCTCTGTAACGGCTTGGATCCATAGGACGGTTGAACAAGATGTTCTGGCGAACAGTGGCGTTCTGAATCCATGGAACAGAACAGAGCAACAACTCCTTGTTGACATCAATGGAACCCTGGCCAGGGTTGGTCAACTTCATGAAACCAGCCATGGCATTAAGAAGAGACGTCTTACCGGAACCAATGACACCTGTAATCACCACAAAGTCACCGTCGTTGACAGTCAAATTAATGTTGAGAAGACCAGGGAACGACAGCTTCATGTCCAGAGTACACAGCTCCACAGAAACACGGGTTTCACTCTTGCTCTTCTCGGAACTTTTACGAGGAGACTTAGAAGAAGCAGCCTCCCAAAGCGAGCTATCGTCATTGTCGTCATTATGGAACAGCTCCCACATGAAGTCGGCGTTTTTGATGTCAATCACCACGTTGGAGTCCTTCTTCTCCTCCATGCCGTAGTAAGTGTCGCTGTTAAAGGAGTCCTGGTCGCCCTTGAAGTCAAAGCCAGTGACGGACTCGTCAGAACCAACCAAGTACTGCTCCTCAGCACGCAACTTGTCGTCCAAGGAGGAGTCGTACTCGGAAGCCGAAAGGAAATCCTTGCATCTTCTGAAACCAATCATAGCATCAGCACCAGTAGCGAGAGCAATAGGCAAAAGCATGATAGCCTGGGCCAAAATGGAAAAAAGCGAAAGTGAAGAAAACACACGGCCAGCATCTCTCATGTCACCAACCTTCCACATAGTAACGAACGAGATCATGGAAGTGAGGGTAGGCAAAGTGACGGCGTAGGCAGTGATAAAGTTTCTCAACACCTTGATGGTGAAAAGATACCTCATCTCGGTGTTTCTGACCTTGGTGATGCTAGCCTTGTAGGCCAACTCCCAGGCGTAGAACTTGATGATCTTGAGGTTGTTGAGCACCTCTCTCATGAGCGAAATACGCTTGTCAGTGTACTTGACGACGGTTTCTCTGGTGAAAAACAACTTCGACGTGAGAAGCACACAAACCACAAGAGAGACAATGAAAAGACCAATACCCACAAGAGAGGTGACACCGATGTTGGTCAAAAGCAAAACCACGGCGATAATCACGGGGATAGGGAAACAAACCACAAGGGGCTGGAACCCAATGGCCAAGTCGATTCTCGACAAATCCGTACTCATGAGCGAGGTGATTCTCCCCGTAGAGAACCGGTGCTTGGCCTTCAGAGACAACTTGAATGATTTTATGAGCACGTCTTTCGTCAAGATCGACTTGCAGGCGGCACCGGCCACCATGGCGTTGTGGAAAAAGTGGTTCAAAAGCAAACCATTGATGAAAATTAAAATGACGGCGCCAATGGTGTAGCCGATACCCTTGTTGTAGGTTGTCTCGATACCGAGGAAACGGTTCTCGACGAAATCAATCAAGCGTCTGGTGATCAAGGGCGAGAGGGCCTGGCAAGTGAAAGAAAGAGCCAAGAAGATGCATGAGAGGGAGTACTGGATCTTGAAGGTTTTGAAAAGCGCCAAAGGCACCGCAAGGAAAGGCCATTCCCACAGGTCCATGTCCTTGCCCTCCTTTTCGTGTCTATCTCTCAGGGACTTCAAGTGGGCTTCCAAGTGGGCCCTGAACTCCTTGTGCATCTGTTCGACGGTCAAGTCATTCGTCAAGTACCAAAGGTCATCAGGCTGCAATGTGCGCTTGTAACCCTTGATCAAGATGGGCCAAATCCAGTAAAAAACGGCCTTGTTGAAGATGTTGGTGGTTTTCCATGGGTATGGCTTTCTCTCCTCTGGGAGAGGAACAGGATCCACCGATTTGCCAAACATAAAGCTGAGCAAACGTTTCTCGTTGGTTTCCTGAGGCACAGCCTCGAGGTCGCCGTTGCCAGCGCCGGCGCTGGACTTCTTCTTGGATTTGGGCATCTTTGGCTTCTTGGCCTTCTTCTTCTTCTTCTTCGGTATTTCCTCCGGAGGATCCGCCATCAGATCGTCCAGGTTGTTCTCCACATACGTGGTTGTTGTGTCCGAGTGTTCTGAGGAGATAGGATGCAAATGAGGGGTGCCAGCTGGGACGCCCTGGTGTCTTCGTTGTTGTTGAACGTAGTAGTGGTAGGATGGGGTTGATACAAAGTTGTCCGACTCCTGGGCTGGAGAGTCGTAAGGGTTCCTTGTGTCGCTGCGTCCGTACACGTTTCTGTAGTAGTCGTGGTTGGACATTTTATAGGGGTGGGGTTGCTGGCGAGAGCGGTCAAAAAAAAAAGAATAGGATACGAGGTGTTCGGGGGAAATGTGAGATACTATATAGGGCTGACTACTTCTGGGGCTGTAAGATGGAGATGTGTCTTGCCTAAAAGGGGAGGGCACAACAGGTAAAGGCGAGACGATCTGTGGGCGCATGCACAGTATATACCTAATGTGGGAGTTTTCCCGACGCGCGGACGGCACACAGACCGGCATCCTGCCGTGGTCACCGATCTGTGTAGCGGACGGCGCAGTGGACGGGGTCTGTATGCAGTACAGGGTGAGGCGACTGCAAAGCTTTCTCCGCACTGCGAGAAAGCTCATGAAAAAGGGCCCTTCATTCTGCGATGGAGCGTCTCGAAGCCGGCCGGTTTATACATATTGAAAAAAAAGGAATAACCCGGATCGGACGTTAAGGGCTACCGGCCGAACAGACTATTTAGTGCTTTTTTGGAAAACGTCAAGTCGTCTTTTTCCTCTATTTTCATGTCTTCCTCTTTGGGGCCTTGCAAAGCGATTCGGGCGAAACACCGAACAGGAAATGTCCGTTTTGCGGAGGATGTGGTCTGCTTGGGAAATAAGTGGGTTTGTGCCACGCCGCAGCCGGCTCTGTCAGATAGCCTTTTCTGCGGCTCTGGAAGGCTGAACCTAAGGAGGACAAAGCTGGATTTTACATTTTTTACATTTTCTACGTTTCCACACTTATTACGTTTTTTTAATTTTAACACTTACAATTTTTATTTCTCCTTCTACATCTTCTTTTGCCGGTCGTCTCAGGGAGGAAGGAGGATGGCCGGATCAGTCGGTTGGGGTTGTTCAGGCTCATTCAGGCATCATCGCAGGTGAAAAGAATGGCTTCCCCGTCCTTTGTTCGCACCTCTTCTTAACCCATAATGGCCGTGGTTGCCAGGCGATTCTTGCCATTTTGCTTGGTTTCCCCGTGGCCTGGGCGATTTGGCGTGTTGAACGAGGAAAATATTGAAAAATATTTGGAAAAAGTTGTAAAGTTTTTGTTCCTCTTCGTCCCTCAGTTTCACCCCCAACGGTGCTCGTGTGACAGGATCGCCGAAAACGGCAATAGTGGACTTTGCCTACTCGGTTCGGCCCATTGTGTTTCTATCCGGAATCAGGGTGGAGCGGAAGCGAGATCGTCGTGAATGTCGTGATTTGGCTGATATCGGTAAATTTTCTAGATTTTCTCGTGAGACGACCTTTGTTGGTGGGGGCCACTTTCCATAAGTGAAAAACTACACTTCATCGTTCTTTGACTTTCCTGCTTTTGTCTGCCTTTTTGTCAAAGGCTTTTGGGATAAGCCCTTAAAGTAGCCGTTTGAACCTTCTTTTTTTTTCGTTTTTGCTTTTTTCGTCGTTGCTCCTGGCAACATGCCTGTCAATCCACCTCACTTGCGCTTCACATTCCAGCATTGTGGTAACTGGCTTAGCGCATACCTACTTACTACTGAAATTGCTCATACTCGTCCACAGCCTCGTACGACTGCCTACATCTAGAGCCTGCTGGAAACTCTTCATGCTATTTCATATCTGGCACATGACACACCCCCTGCGCTGTCGCCCCTAGCTGCTGGGCTCGGGAATACTGAGAAACTTGTACTTCTTCTTGGTGATATCATAGCAGTCCTTCAATGCATCGTCGTCCACGAACCAGGTGACCCTGCCGGCAGCTCCCTCGTTCACAATCGAGCTCGGCAACCCCTTCTCCGGTCTCTCCATGATGGTCCGCATAATGGGTGCTTTTGTCAAGCCCTCCACGACAAATGTGACTCGGTGGGCGTGGCAGATGACAGGAATCGACAAGGTGATTCTGTTTTCGGGACCCAGTGGCGCCTTCTCCACAGACATGCACCACGCCAACTTCTCTCGCAACTGCTCGCCAAAATTGGGGAACAACGATGCAATGTGGCCGTCGGGAGCACACCCGAGGAGCAAAAGGTCAAACATGGGCAACTTGACCGAGTCCTTCTTGGCAAAGTTGTCAATGAGCAACTTCTCGTAGGCGTCCGCACACTCTTGCGGGTCCAGAATCAACAGCTCGTCAATGTGGAACACGTTGGGCTTCTTTTCGCTCTTGATCAAGTCGAAAATCTCCCGCTTGGCCAGCCCGTAGTTCGAGTCCAGGCTGTCGAAGGGCACCAACCGCTCGTCGGCAAAGTAGATATCCCACTTGTCCCATTCGATTTCGTCTTCCCTCGGCAACAAGCCAAGGTGCATGATCTTGATGAGCGATCCGCCGGAAATGGCAATCTTGAACCGTTGTTCGGCCTTCTTCTTGATCTCCTTCTTTCTTCTCGACGACACTCGTTCGTCGCCGTTGGCTGCAGCAGTGGCATTCTGCGCCAGCCCGTTCCGACTGAAGGATGGTCTGGGCGAAGCGACACCCAGAATCAGCGCCAGCGAAACCTCACTCGTCAAAGAAGGCCTTGAAGCCGCCGCCTCCTTTAGTTTGGCAATCGCCTCCTTATCTAAGGTGTTGTACAAGGTCATGTTCTGGGCCAGGATCACGTGGTCGGCCACGGCGTCGGCAACGCCTTCGTAGCCGGCAAACGAGTAGATCAATGGTACGGTGGTTGTCATGTTGAAAGTACCTGGGGGCCAGGAAAACAGGGGCCAGGTTGCTAGTTATATGTGGCTGGTGGCGGTTTGGAAAAAAGGGGTTCACGTGACTAGGTGGTAACCGGTACACGGTGTTCTGTGGCTTTAGGCAGCTGGAAATATTGGTCACTGTTTGTTGCAGTAGTTGCAGTAGGTTCGAGAAAGGGTGTTCCGTTGTGAGTAACAACAGCGGGGTCACGTGACACAAAAGCGTTTGGACCTGCCACCTTTGGCGGCTCCACCGGCACATGTGTGGTTTTCGGGAAGTTTTGAGGTCACCACCTGATTATGATTATTTTGGGGAAATCACGCTGCATCAACGAAAGTGTGCTGGTTTGGAGAAAGTCAAGGAGGCCGAGGTGGGCGTTTGTGCAGTACGACGATCCCGAGTGCCTGGGTTGCCTGTCATACTAGCCAGGATAGAAGTAAGGTTTTTTTTGTGCTTGACAACGAAAATGACCAATGACCGAGATTTTTGAATTTTGGGTATTTGGTGATTTTGGGTCGGGAAGAGCATTTTGGACTTTTCCAGATTTTCAGATTTTTGGTTTGCTGTAGACGAGGCAAGTGGGACGAGAAAGTGACGCATTGAGGTGGTCTAGGTGGATTTGATGAGGAAAGTTTTGAGATTGAAAAATATCGACTGTGCATTACTTTTGGATAACTTTTTGATTATTTTCCGATTTGAACTTTTTCGTGAGTGCAGGGTTCGGTTCTGATCGATGACAGGATGGTCAGTAAGAGCAAAGAGGAGAGTTGTAGAGGCAAGTTGAAATAATTGCAAAGCTTTTAGGAAGCTTTTTGCAAAGGTCATGGTTAGTCATCTTTGGTCATGGCAAAGGAAAGTGGAGGTCGAAGGTCGGCACTCGGAGTAGGTTTTGTGATATCGAATGATGGCCCAGCCTCGCCTGGTTCCTGGCTTTCTGAAACAGGCCAAATAAGGTTTCAACCTTCTTTGCGTGAGGTCCGAGGTTTAAGATCAGTCGATAGGACAGAATTGGCCGAATTGCAGAAAATGGGTAATGGTGGATTTGTGTGAGTCAGAAGATTGTCAGATGCCCAGATCATAGATATGAGAAGTCGACTCACTGATGGTGCTCAGCAAGTAATACTCGTCCAACAACTAACAAACCGCTATGTTTACTTTAAAAGGCTAGTTATAATCTGTGACTTGAAATACTAGATTTTATGATATCTGATGTGGAAGCCTTAGGTTGTTGAGAGAAGAGTGCTACTACCTCGGTCCGTGATGTGACTAAGTAACCAGAGACAATACCCCTACTTGATATTGCATTGAATACCTATTTAGCATAAGTGTGTAGCTCAAAGGTAAACTGTACTTGTCTTCTTTGAATTTTCGATCAATCCCGGTTTTGAACTCGGGGACACTTTTCAAATCATCCTCAGTGTAAGCCCAGCGAAACCGGGACTTTTTGGATGTCGATCACGGAATGAATTCCACCAGCGTTTTTCTTTATACCGTATCTCCTTCAATTCGTCCATGACAATTTAGGGTTTGAACCTCGAGGAGCTTCTGCGAGATAAGAACCCACACATTGACGTTTTGCAGCAATCAAATCGAAGGATACACATTAGTGTGCAACGTCACCGCTTGAGCTGTTACAATAATTTTGATCAATTAGATTGCACGTGGTGAACTCGTTTATTTGTCATTCTGGCGAAATCTCTTTAGCTCTATAGAAGCGCTGTTTTCACGCAGACTTGAGTAGTCGTCTACATTTGTACTGTCCTCTGGTTGATCTTGAGGACCAAGCGACTAGGACAGAATGTCATAATCTGCTTGTCAAGGTATTTTGGGTTGCTATGGTATTTTCATCGAACCCTACATGAGAACTTCTTTTCTTCATCTACTTATGGAAGCTCTTCCATTTTATAACACTTGTAATAGTCCAACATTTGACAGTTTTTATAATTTAAAAAAGCAATATCTGTCATTAATTAAATCCTCCGGCCTGAGCAAGAGGAATGTTTGATTCTATGTCCTATCTCATGTTTCTAGAATTGTGTTCCCACCTGATGGCTGATTCACCGCATTCAAGATTACACCTTTTCTAGATGAAATATTCTGGAAAACAGAGAAGAAGGGTGAAGTGCATTTTCGTATCTCTTGTTTATTGACTGCCTGAAACACACTAATGTCGTAGTGCGATATATGCCTTAGTGGGATGGCCAACACTTAAAACCACTTTTTAACATCTATAGGAGCTATGATACTTTATAGCATTATATTAATACCTGTAATGCAAACTTCCAATCCCTAGTTGCCATCAAAAATTGGCAAAATTTCTGTCATACTTGATTTATCAGCAGGTTTACACATGAATATGCCTCCCAGCTAGCCAAATTGTATCATAATCAATATAGCAAAATTATTTAAGCTCACTTTATAGATTTCACTGGCAATAAAAGCCTTCTGTGCCCTAAAATCTAAGAATCTACCTTAATGAACTACCCGATTACACGATGATGTTACAAAGCGGCACCCGTACACCACATAGTTAAACGAATCTGGGGTAGATTAAGGGTTCGCCTTCAGCGCATTCTATTGCTTTTCCACCAATCCAAGCCCAAAATGTCCGATACATACTATAAGCTAACACTAGAGCTTCTTAAAAGTTATATCACCGAGCGTTATGAATCTCAAGTTTCTGTGAAGGTGGATACACCGGAATTCAACAAATGGGAGGCTGGTCCTTTCATAGTGACAGTATCTGAGATCTCCCCTAATACAACCCTTATAAACTTCGTGAGAGGAAGCGATAGCAAGTCCGTCTCTATTGAGTGGGATAAATGGAATTTGGAGCTACCTGTGAAGGAGATTTCTCCTGAATTGACGGATCAGTTCTTTATCTACCTAGATATGAGACTTGATCCTCCTACGCTCAAACGTGACGAAGAGCACAAGGAGAAGGAGAGTTTTACGGGACCGCCACCTCCTACATCAGAACTGGGCCTTTCGAAATCATCAGAGCCTAGTTTAAACAGGGAGTCGAGGAAACCAGCTGATATGCCAGATTTCGAAGACGAGTATGAGGTGCTTGCATCTTCTAATAGAACAGGGGAGCTGTCATCTTTTACACCAATTGGTGACCGTGACTTGAACCCACCGGGGCTTCCTCGTGACCCCCTTATGAAACCCTACATTGACCCATTGGCTGCTCCTGAAGGAGGTATGCATCCAACCATGAATCATCCGCTTTTCGGAAGAAACCAAGGCAACTCTTCAAGACGAGGCGTTCCTCCTGGAGCAAGATTTGATGATCCTATGGGCGAGGACAATTTGGACGATATGGGCATGGGACTTCCTGGCAACCTACGCAGAGGAGGAGGTCCTGGTTTCGGGCCTGGCGGACCAGGATTTGGACCAGGAGGCTCGAGCGGTTTTGGCGGTGGAGGGTTCGGCTTTTAAACTATAGCATGCATTTATTATAATCCTTATACCACCCTATCGTAATTCTCGTAATCAACGGTCAGACCACGCATGGCCAGACGGACGTTGCGGGCAAACGTGGCCGTATTTTTTGCCAAAACGTTTGCAGCAGCCTTGTTCAATGGGTCATTTGGGTTGGGTTCCAAAAAGAGGAAGTTGAGCCCCAGAATCACCGAATTGAGCGAAAGCACAGGCAGCCAATCCTCTCGCAAGATGTTGAGACACACATTGCCCTCCAAATCTATGTTGGGGTGGTAAATTTTTTGAGTACACTTGATTTTGGGTGGATCGATGGGGAAGTTGTCTCCGATCTCCACAGTGAAGGAGAAGACACCACCATTGTAGTAGCCCTCAGCTGGGCGGATGAAGATTCTGAAGTTGAAAAGATCACGGGGATCAGGAAACTCGACCTTCACAGTGGAGGGCAATTCGAGCTCAGTGACATCTTTTTGTAGTCTGATCTGAGCAGCGCTTACTTTACCCAGTGGGTTAGCAGCTGTGGATTCAGCCGCCTCAGGACTTTGACGAGCCTGTTCCTGCCTTTGTTTCTGAAGTTGGCGGATTTTAAGCTTTTGTTAGTAAACTGTGAATTGTTTGGTTTGCACGAGCACTTACCATCTGATATCGTAGCAAGATTGGTAATGCGACCACCATGTAGATATGGTAAGATGGAGGTGCACGGGTGCAAGTTGCAACACCATCAACAGAGAATGGATTGTCGTTCGTTATGGCCATTTCTGGGGTTACTCTGCGACATCCTTTAATTCGTCGTTTAGGTCTCCATGGTATTTTGAAAATGTTGTGTAGATTTTGTGCAACCTCTTCATTGCAAACAAAGTGCGCTCAGTGCTAGTGTCATGTCTAGCATCGGATATATCCACTTCAGGCTTCATGAGGAGATAAATGCGGTGACGAAAAGCATCTTTGTCATTCGTTGCTTTGTAAAGACTCTCGTAGGGCGACATGTAGGCACACTGGACCTTCACTAGCCAATCCAAGTCTTCCAACACCACATCATCTGCTCTTGACACCTGCGGACCACACTGCAATTCTTTCACGGATTTCGAATGCTTGTTCCAGTGTAGAGCATCCCTGTTGAACAGATCCACTGTGAATGTGTCTGAATCTGCAGTTAGCCACACTGAGTATGTTTCCCAAATGGTGATATCGCTGAGATGGCTTCTGCAAATTTCCCTGATTTGTAGGCCCGCATATTCAAAAAGCTCTCGTTTCTGACTAGCGTGAAGAAGTCGAATCAACCACTGGAAGGTATACCCAGCACAGTAATTGGCAAAATGCACCTCCAAGGATCGAAGTAAGCGCTGTATGAGAATCTTTATAACCTCCAGATCTTCAAAGAGAGGTACCATCAAAAACCTTATCCAGTGAAATAGCGTGGAGCTCTTGTTGACTCGTTTGAGTTTGGATGTTGCAAGGAAAGTGACATAGTCAAAGTCTTTCTTGAGAATTTCTTCACCCCTCTCATGAAGCTCAAAAATAACTTCTCGATGTAGTCTCCATATAGTCGAGTGCTCGTTTGTTGTCAACATTATGGAAGTTGTGGCGTAGTAAAGTGCCCATAGCTCGGTACCTGGAAGCAGCTGCAATTCGAACTTGTAGCCTGATTTCTCGTAAACAGCATGTGCTTCGGCAAATATCATTAGGTATGTTTTCTTAGACATTGCAATGTCTAGAGTATCGGTTTCAGTCGACTCATGAAAGAGGATCTCTCCGTCTGGGGCATCATGTATTATTTGTAGTGAGCTGATAGTGCACTTTGTGGAAACAACCTGGCTATGTAAGCCTCGCATAAGCTTGAATGCATCGTCTGTAAGCCATTGAGACATTTTATAGCTTGATTCTGACTTTTGATTCTAGTAGATCACACATCTATCTGTTAGTTGGAAGTGTTGATATCTGTAGATGTACGGGTGCAACTACGTATCTGAGGCCATCACCTACTACGATATAGTACTTGAAATAAGAGCAGATGCACTCCTCAAAGCTCATATCCCCAGATGAGCTGCTTCTAGCGTCAGACGTGCTTCTGGAGGCCGTTTACGCCAATACAAAGCTCGATTTTCTTCTTCGAAATACCCAAAAGAAGATAGACCCAAAGCCTCAAGTGAAGCAATCCACTGATCTTGTCAAGGTTGACAATTCCATGGAGATCGAACAAAAACAGCAAATCCAACCTTGCAATACTCTACGAAAAGTGCTATTGGGTGCACACGACGGCTGGGTCCGTTCCTTAGCTATAGATCCAGTCACCAATGCATGGTTCGTTTCTGGAGGAGGAGATAGCAAAATCAAGATATGGAACTTGGCTTCGGGAACGCTAAAAGCGACTCTTCCAGGGCACATTATGTCTGTGAGAGCACTTCAGGTGTCGAAAAGGTACCCATACCTCTTTTCAGGTGCAGAGGATAAAACAGTCAGATGCTGGGATCTCGAAAGAACTAATTCACCCGCAGGATGCCAAATCAGAAACTACCATGGCCACGTTGGAGGTGTTTACGCTATGGATCTACATCCAGAACTCGATCTTCTTTTTACTGGTGGAAGAGATGCTGCTATCAGGGTCTGGGATATTCGAAGCCGAACTCAGATTATGGTTCTTACGGGACATAGAGGAGATGTTTCGAGCATTGTCTCGCAGATTGGTGATCCTCAAATATGCTCTTCGTCCATGGATGGAACTGTCAGATTATGGGATATCCGGAAACAGAAAACTCACTTGACTCTAACACAGCACCGCAAGTCGGTTCGTCTGTTGATAATGCACCCTCACGAAATGACCATGGCATCTTGCGACTCCACCGGAAGCATCAAACAATGGCTCCTTCCAGGTGGAGAGCTCCTCAATGAATTTGGTGAAACAGGCACCGAAACCATGTCTCCAGTCATCAACACACTCGCTTTGAACCCTGCCTCTAATGAACTTTTTGCAGGTCACGGTGACGGCAGAATGGCGTTTTACGATTACGAAACCGGACAGAACTTGTCCACTATTCCTCCAAAGCCTGCCACAGCAGACGAAACTTGTACTATATATACTGCTGCCTACGACATGCTGGGATTGCGTCTTATTACTGGCCTGAGTGACAAGAGCATTAAAATCTGGGGAACCGAGGAGCGGCCTACCAGCCAAAGCGAAGCTGATTGGCCGTGAATGAAGGCGGCGTCCATTGAAGCTTCTCTGGATCGAGCTCGTGCTTCTTCTTTTCCTTCACCTTCTTGACCAATTTATCGTACAATGCCATGATTTGGTCCGTGATGACAATGATATGCTGACCCTTGTGGTATTTGATGATTTGAAGCGTCGATAGCGTGTGAAGAACGTCTGTTGTCGTCATGCAAGTGATGGCTGAGATTTCCTCGATGGTGATTTCCGAAGCTCCATGACCAGCGGTAGCAGCAGCTCCGTTGGCTCTTGGTGGAGGCAGCGCCGAGTCTTCCCGCAGACTCAGTTCTCGCTGGTTATTCTTTTTGTATAAATGGGGATTGCACTTCTCCACAAGGAGCTTAACAAGAACATCCGTCCAGAATGCTCTGTACGATAATAGACCCAAGTCGGAAAGCGGCTTCTCAGGCGATCCTGCCTTATTCTCGACATTCGACAACATATACGAAAATTGGATGAGCAACTTACCGTAACCCTTTTTCTGATAACACGGTAGCGTCAAAATACAAGCCACATTGTATCCATCTGCGGATTCTTTTTCCTTGGAAAAGTAGCCCACCACATGGTGGCCCTGGGGTGATCTGATGGTCATGATGTAGAACAAAAACGGATCCACATCGTAGTAGAGCGTTTTGTGATCAAGGAAAAGCTTCGAAAGAAGACACAAGTTTCTGCACCACGTTCTCTGCTTACGCCCGTCAATCTCCCAAAAGCTCACTTTTTCGTCTCTGTATATCTCGTTTCCAGGAGGGTGCTTCATGGAGCATTTTGCCCTGTGTCTCTCAAACTGCTTCTTTGAGCCAAAGTATGAAAGCGTGAAATCACAAATGAATATCTCGTCCTCTTCCGTAAGCTCGATAGGATACGGTGAGAAGTACCAAGGCTCTATTATATGCTCACCCAAGATAACACTTGAAAGGTTTCTCACTCTGGCCACCTCTGAGTGATTCTGGATCATGGACCCGCTCGTCCGGAGCTTCTTGATTTCATCTTCTCGGCTCACTTCCTCGCCGGGGCGCTTGAGACCCTGAACATTAAGGTTGTCCAAGTCCATTTCATCATTTTCAAGCGGAGTGGCGCTCTCCTCTTTATCAGACGCTCGGGCTGTGGAGTTGACTTTGTGGACGACTTCTTACTGGTTTTGCCCGTCTTTGTCCCCGTCTTCAGCTTCAGCTTCTCGGGTTTCTTCTCCTCCTTCTCCACCGGAGGAATCATCAGCTTCAGGAAATCAATTTTGTCCGGCAGAATCCACTCATCCAAACGCTTGTTGTAATCCTGATAATGAACATAAAACACCTTTTTCCCCTTCTTGGTGTTCTGCTGGAGAATCTCTGCTAGTCTCTTTCCATCCTCCTTGTTGACAAATACCTTGCACCCTGAGATGATTTCATCAACGGTAAATTTAGGATCTGGACCTTCGTCTTCCTCGGCTTTGATCTGGATGGATGCTCCAGAGTCCACCACAGGCAGCCGTGTCTTCTCCTTTTCGGTCATGGGTTGGTGATGGTGTTGATCTTTTTACTACGCACTTTCGCACCTACTACAGTACCAGTTGGTCTAGATAAATAACTATGTACTAGGTGGGCAGAGTCTCACTCTTCTCTCCACGTGATGGCCTCCTCGCTGGGCTGCTCGACTTTTTGCAGCAAAAGAAGATAGCCGATGTTGTATTTTTCAAAGTTCATGATGAACTGCGTGAGCTGTAGCCTCAAGATGTTCAACTCGTGCTTGACGAGCTCGTCCTTGTTTGGCGCATGCGACTCTTCCAAGTCTGCGTATTTCTTAACGTCCCTGATCAAATTACGCTCAAGACAAGCGTACAAAAGCTCCTGTTTCGTCAAATCCCACACATTACCGTTTCCATTGAGTCCACTGAGGTAGTAGTTATCCACCGTGAGGAAATTGTAGTGTGCCTGTAAACGGTTGCGCAAAACCAGCTCTGGGAAAAGCTGTGTAGGAATGTATTTTGTCTTGAGACGAAGAGCATCAGCTAATGATGCAACCTGCTCCAGCGTCAAGTTGTAAGCTGTTTTCGCAGCCAATTCTTCCAAGTCAGTATTCTCAGGTACAGATTTTGCAACCTTGTCGCTGTTTTTGGCAGACCAGAGACGAGGAAGAAGTGAGGGGAGAATACACGTCAGCGGGGTGATTTCGGGGAAAGCATAGCAAAGCAATGGCGTCATCTCCATGAAAATGAGGAAGATCACCGAAAAGCTGGGTATTTTGATGAAATCGCTAGGGGTACGCTTGAACAACAAAAAGTCCGATCTCAGCAAATTGAACATTTCTGGTGTGTACGCCTTGAGAGCCGAGCCTTTGTTGTGGTCCACAGCATCTCCAGCTGTGTTTTCGATATTGGTCCTGTTTTCCACACGCTTCTGGTACAATCCCTGGGCCATTTCTTGCGTCAATGTGGCAAACGATGGAACCTGAATATCCACAGTTTTACCCTCGTTGTTGATCTGGTTCGTCACTTTGAAATCGGACTTTCTGAGTGCCCTGAGTGTCTTGTGGTTATTCCAGACCAGCTTCACTCCGTGTTTGTAGAATTTGACAAGCTCTTTGGCGTATCCAAAGGATTGAGCGGCTTTCAATGACCATCCCTCTTTTCCACTTTCTTTTGCAATGTCTCTGTGTAGATCAACCTTGGGTCTTATCGCCAACGGAAGGGTTTTCATATTGTTCACTTCGGATTTCGAGGCTGGCTTCCAAAGAGCCTGGAGGAGCTGAGAACGCTGGAGCTGCGTGTCAAAAACATGCTTCAGTTTGCCAATAGAATAAATGCCATTTTCAACGGCTTTCAAGTTCATTCCTTGTGGCTGCAAGACTAAGAAACCGTTGCTTTAAGCGAAATAGCGCACGTCTACACCCGTACACCTCACCTTAACCACTATGTATGGGATGCAAGAATTACTCCACGATTAAGCTCTTTTTCCATAATCATGCTGTATTTCGAGCCGAGAAAGAGAATAGTGACAAAAGACGATCTTGCAATTTGGGAGAAGTCGCAAACGCACGAGGATTTGTTAAATTTCATTGTGGATCTCCAGAACCTGGTTGAAGGTCTCACTAATCAAGCCAAGGTTCACGAAAGCGATGCTATCAAGGAGCTTGTGGCTCAACTAGACGTTGTTTTGGAGTTGGTGGAAAAGCACCCAGTTTTGAAAGAGAGGGACATTTCCAGATTCGGCAAAAGCGAGTTCTGTGACTTTTATGATGATATCCAGAAACAAGCACCTTCCATGTTCTCGGGTCTAGTCCAAGATAAAGAGGCTGTGGTGGAGCTTGCACGCTACTTTGGAGAGTCTTGGGGTGACAGAACACGTATAGACTACGGATCGGGTCACGAGTTGAACTTTTTGTGCTTTCTCTATTGTCTACACAAGTTGAACGTTATCACCAAGGACGACTACCCAGCACTCGTTCTCAGAGTGTTTTGTAAATACATCAGCATCATGAGACAGCTTCAAAAGACTTACTGGCTTGAGCCTGCTGGATCGCATGGTGTGTGGGGTCTAGACGACTACCACTTTTTGCCATTCTTGTTCGGAGCTTCCCAGCTAGCTTCCCACCCACATATGAAGCCCAAGTCAATCCACAACAAGGAGATGGTTGAGAATTTTTGGGAACAGTACATGTACTTCGAGTGCATTCATTTCATCAATTCGATCAAAACCGTTCCTGGTTATGATGGCAACACGCAAGCCAGTCTCAGATGGCACTCGCCCATGTTGGATGATATCCTGTCGGCTAAGTCATGGGCCAAAATCAAGGAGGGCATGATCAAAATGTACAATGCCGAAGTTTTTGGCAAATTGCCCATCATTCAGCATTTCATGTTTGGCCACATTATCCAGTGTCCTGAGGACGTTCCAGAACACTCAGATGATGAAGCCAGCGACTGCGGTCATGTCCACAACCATCTAGATACAAGAAATACCTGGGGCGACTGCTGCGGTATCAAGATCCCTAGTGCCATTGCTGCATCGCAGATGATCGAGAGAAACCAGAAATCCAAGCCGGTCCCATTTGACTGATTACTCAGTGTAACCAATACCAGTGGCAATGATGATATTGTGTGGAATCTGGCCAGGGAATGGCAACAAAAGCGACATACGCTTCTTGGTGTCGTCCACTCTCGAGACATGTGCATACCCAAGTATACTACAGTTGAGCAAATCACGAGGCGAAAGCTTTCCTGAAGCAGATGGTATAGGCACGTTGGTTATAGCGACAACGGAGTTTTCCAAGTTGGAACTCAGAGGCTCATCGAGCTTGACGTAGTATTTGTCTAGGGAGCTCTCCTCTTTCTTCACATCGGGCTCGCCAGACTCCTCGGGAGCATAGTCGTCACCAGAGGGCAAAAATGCCATTTGAGAGTTGAACTCAGCAATTTTGACAACTTTGTATACCTGGAAAGTAGTGAGGTCAACGTCTGTCTTGTAGGGCGACAATCTCGTCTTGTAATTACCGTTGAAGTACTCTTTGATGGTTTCTTCCTGTACTTTTCTGATGAACGAATCGTTGACTTCAGCAACACCACCAGAGAGGGGCATCTTGATGATATTTAGCAGGTTCTTTTCGATTCTATGCTGGAACTTCCTCTTCAAATCCACAGTGAGTCTCTCGTTACCCACGACCACGACAAGATCCACCTCAAAATCAGAGAGAATGTTTTCAATAACAACAACGTCCTTGATGTTCAAAGCAGGCGTGTCGATGACGAAACCACTGGATCTCACCTTGGGGTCTTCCTCCATTCTGGAAAGAGCAGCCACACCGAGCTGTGAGACCTGGTACTTGAACAATTCCAAATTCTCCTCAATGTTGTCATATCCGTAGTTTTTCACAAGCGGCTGCTTTGGATTATGGAAAGTAGCTCCCAGTGTAGTCGATCCACCCCAACCACCGGCGCTCTCTAGGTCGAGATTATCAGAAATAGCAGCGGCCGTAAGTGATCCTGGAACCGAAAAAACACCATCCTGAGGATTCAAATTAATTAAAAGCGGCATGTGGTCCATTTTCACCGCATAGGATACGAGAGTCTTTGCCAATGCAGTCTTTCCACTCTGCTTGTTACCCAAAATGAGCACCTTGGGCCCCCTTTTCAGCGATGCTGCTGCTTCCTGACGTAAAAGTTCAAGAGCAAAATGGAAGTTCTGGTGGTTTGGCATGACCAGCTCATCAGAGGTGTATTCACTGATGGAGGCATCTTCATTGGAGATGTTGATGTTTTCCTTGTTGATAGACAAGGTGTATTCGAGGGAGCATCCACTTGTAGGAGCATAAACGGCAACCTTGACACCTGTAAGCCTGACGTCAACGCCAGACGGGAGTTCTGTGCCAAAAATCTCTGCTATACCTTCAGTGACTTTGAGTTTCATGATACATTTGAAGGGGACCTCAAAACGCCATTCTGAAAGAGCGGGGACTTTAACTTCGGTGACCTTAAGCTCTGAACCGGGCTCATTGGGGTCTAGATTTCCAGCAAACCCTGGAATTGACATGATCTAGTGGAGAAAGGTGTAGTGGTTGGTGATGGTGTATGAGGGAGTTATGCAGTACATGTCTATATAGTGGTTCATGGGGCCAGCCTACAAACCAGAAAAGCTCAATTTTTTCGGCTTGAACTTTTTCTGTGACTCTGTGAGCGGCACTACTTTGCGTTCACCCGTTTTCGGGTTGACAAACTCGTTGTGTGTGGAGAAGTCAACCTTGGAGGCCGTGGGAATGGCGTTTTTCACCGGCGTAGCGTCCGTAAACGGATTGACCAAGGGCTTGCCGGATTCAAACTCTTCGTCGGAGGAGAAGTCGTCCTTGCCCAGTTTCCCGTGCCACTGCTCCACCAACAGGTCCGTGATCATCTGGCCACCCGGAGTTGCAGCCACCTTGCTCTGCTTCCTGCGAGGCGGTCTCGTGGGGCTCTCTGGCGGCGTATCACTGTCTTCTTCAAACGCCAAATTCTCGTTGATCTTGGAGAGCTCCATGGGGTCTAGACTGATGGGAGCATGTAGTTTCTGTGGCTGCATCGATCTTCTGCCACTTCCGGCGACCAGGTGATTTGGGAGAAGCATCCCGAGCAGCTCCAGCAGGGAAAAAAGGTCAGCCACAGGCCGTTTTCTTCTGCTTCTAGGCGACTTCTGTGGAGTGAAGCCCGGAGTAGGAAGTAGGAGTTCTGAAGGCGCCAAACTTTTAGGAGTTTTCGTCTGAGACTTGTGAGGCGTCTTGGGCTTGTGAGGCGTCTTTCTCGGCGTTTGCAAGTCGACTGGCGACAAAGTGGGTTTACCCTTTGCTGGGGTGGTTGGGGTGGTTTCTGCGATGGAGACCTGGGGGGTCTTCTTTTTCGCCGATCTGGGCGGCGTCAGCGGCATTGCAAAAGACATGATGGAGATTGATCAAAAAAATAGCTTTTGAAGTAAGAAGAAACGTAGTTGTTGTGGTTGGTGGATCAGTTTGGATGAAAACGGCAGAGGTGATCTAGGTGGCTGGCTACGCGCGAACCAGCATTATTTCGGTGCGTTTCGCGTCGTTTCACGGTCTGGGTGCAAATGCGCCGGAGTTTTAAAAATGGAGTGCCGTTCATTGATTTTGGAAGATTTGGTGTTTTATTATTAGGGGCATTTTGTAAAATGGACTTGGTTACATCAACAAAAAACGGGAGGTTAAGTGGATTGCTGGAGCTGGGTGGACGTGTCTGGCTGCGAATAATGGCTGGTAGGCGTACGGTAATACAGTGAATGGAACAATGGAGCTGATGATAAAAAAGTGTGTTTTGTTTATTGCGTTCGTTTTCGATTTGCTGGCAGAGGAAGCTTCTCTGTAGTTAAGCTGTTTTGAAATTAATTAGGATGTTCTGGTTGGCCTGGTTGTAGGATGCTTATAGACCCAGCTGATGCTACATACTAAAGAAAGCCAAAGCCGAAGTATGAATTTGTGACATAGTATGACATAGATATAAATCTAAACAAATTGACAAAGTGTGCGTCTCATGGTTCACCCGCTTTCCGTGAGTTGCAAGCCACTATTTTGAATTTGTCAACAGATATGTCGCTATCATTGTCATCATTATTCGATATGTCGGTCATTTTGATTTGCACGTTTTTTATAATAAATGTCCAGACATCATCACAAAACCGATAAGTGTGCAAGTCGCCTTTGAAGGTTAGTTTTGATTTGCAGAACCCCTTCTCAGCTTTAAGATTTTCGGATATAACTCGATCAAAGTTGTTTAATATTCCAAGTGCGAGCTGAGGCTCAATCTTACCATCACTGATCAAGGTGTCTAAAGCATCAACAAGAGCATTTCCGATAGTGCTTTTTCTGTAAAGCTCGTAGTATGCTGGAGCACTCATCCTTACTATAGTGTTTTCCTGCATCAATAACCAATTTGCATTTTCACATATTTCAGGTATTCCTGCATATACACATAAACTCTGGTAAAATGTTACTGTATAGTGTGCCAAAATTGTTCACTTTCGGTTGCGGCCACCGGGGGTGGAGAATACTGTTTCCCGTCCGATCAACGAGCGTCAAGCCGCCCACCGCCACAGTGAGTAATACAGTGGGAGACCATGTGTGAAATTGTGGTGCTACAATCTTTTTGCCTCTTTTTTTTTTTTTTTTTTAATTCTTCATTGAATGGTAAATTCTGGAGTTCTTCGGACGAATGGGATTTGAATAACAAATGAAGACTTAAGCGTGTGATCGTCATAATGGAAAGGTTATTAAATCCCAGACATTCATCACACACTGGGCTGGACCATTTGGCTGCGAAATCTGCCCAGATCCCCACGACCACCCCGCCTTCAAACAATCCCAAACCACAGCACCAAACTCAAATCAGAAAATCATCCACTTTCACCCAAATTACCAATTTATCCAATAATAATCCCCAACCAGATCCCCCATTTCTACAATAGCCAACCACACCGTCCAACCGCAGTCGCACATCCACACCCTGTGCACTTCTGCTGACAAAACCACTATGTTTGCTCCGGCAAAGCAATTATCAACACCTTCCTCAGTTTCACGCCTCCTTTCCCTCAATAGACATCTCACCATGGCCCCCACGTCCGTGACAAAACACTACGACTACCTCGTGATTGGCGGTGGTTCTGGAGGTACCGCTTCTGCTAGAAGAGCGGCCTCCTATGGAGCCAAGGTTTTGCTTGTTGAAGCTAACTACAGAAAATTAGGCGGTACCTGTGTCAATGTGGGCTGTGTGCCCAAGAAAGTCATGTGGTACGCTGCCGATATGGCCCACAAGAAGGAACAATTGAAGGCGTACGGCTTGTCTGATCTGGACGCTAAGATCAAGTACGGCGACTTTGACTGGCCTGTGATCAAGAAAAAGAGAGACGCGTACGTGCAGCGCTTGAACGGCATCTACGAGAGAAACTTGGAGAAGGAGAACGTGGAGTACGTGTACGGATTTGCTCAGTTTGTCGATGACCTGGGTAACATCGAGGTGACCTTGTCTGAGGACCAGGAGGTCAAGTTTTTGTCGAAGGAGTACAAGAAGCACGACAAGTTGCTTTTCTCTGCTGACAAGGTGCTTGTGGCCACGGGTGGCCAGCCAATTATTCCTAGTGTTGAGGGTGCAGAACATGGTATCAGTTCGGACGGTTTCTTTGAATTGGAACAACAGCCTAAATCCGTTGCCGTCGTCGGCGCTGGCTACATTGGTGTGGAATTGGCCGGTGTGTTCCAGTCGTTGGGCTCCGACACCACCATGGTCATCAGAGGCGACACTGTGTTGCGTTCTTTCGACGAGATCATCCAGAACACCATCACCAACCACTACTCCGACCACTTGGGCATCAACGTCATCAAGCAGTCTGGCAGCGTATCCAAGGTTGAATTGGTTGACGGCAAGAAGCGTGTGCATTTGGGCAACGGCGAGGTGCTCAACGTCGACGAGCTTATCTGGACCGTGGGCAGAAAGTCCTTGGCCAAGTTGGGCTTGGACAAGGTCAATGTGGAGCTTAATGAGCGTGGCCAGATTACCGTGGACGAGTACCAGCAGTCGAGCAACCCTAACATTCTTTCGCTTGGAGATGTCACTGGAGGCATTGAATTGACCCCAGTTGCCATTGCTGCAGGCAGAAAATTGTCCAACAGATTGTTCTCCGGCCAGGAGAAGTTCGCCAAGGACAAGTTGGACTACAACAACATCCCCTCGGTGGTGTTTGCCCACCCTGAGGTTGGCTCCATTGGTTTGAGCACCAAGAAGGCCATTGAGCAGTACGGCGAGAAGAACATCAAGATCTACAACTCCAAGTTCAACCCAATGCAGTATGCCATGATGGACTCGGACGACCAGAAGGTGCCTTCTGTCTACAGAATTGTGTGTGCTGGACCAGAGGAGAAGGTGGTTGGCTTGCACATTGTGGGCGACTCTTCTGCCGAGATGTTGCAAGGTTTCGGAGTTGCCGTGAAGATGGGAGCTACCAAGGCCGATTTCGACAACTGTGTGGCCATCCACCCAACCTCTGCCGAGGAGTTGGTCACTATGCGTTAGAATAGAAGATACATATGAAGCAGCCCAGCTGCAATGAATTGTGCCCTGGAAAAAGTAACGTTGGGGTTATAGAAAGCGAGCATTTTTAGTAGAGGCTGGAGTTGCCTGTTATGGTGGTGTGCTTGTTGCCATTCTCGGTTTGCATTTGACCGGTCGGCCGTTACCCCAATGAGTCATCTGAGTCAGAACACCATCATACGATTCCCGGAATTTCACAGTGGCCTTACTTTGGACTGTAGAGAATTGAGGGTTGGATTATGGAAGTTCCATTTCAGAGAAAGTGGTGGTTTGGGTGTATTTAGTAGACCATTCGCAGCCATTGAGATGCCGCAAGGTGATATCCAAAGATGCTCCAATGGGTATTCCCATATTCAGAATATAGCTTCTTTTATAATTCAAAGTAAAAAGAACGCCAAATTTCGCCATACCTGGCTTCCATGGTCCGACCCATTCCCCACCAATTGTAGCGTTTGTTCACAACCTCGAACAATAGGCAGCCACCTTCGACAACCAGGCTTAGAAGGCACTCATCTGTGGGGCAGAGGAAGTGAGTTTTGTTTTGTGGAAGTCATGAAATTGTGGATTTTGCTTCGTTTTGCTCAAATGGGAAGTTCTCATTGGACATTGCCGTTTTTCCACTTTCTCTATATGGCACTTCCACATGCATCGGCCATACACTGAACAGCAATCAAACGTCAAAGACGCTGTGTTTGAAAGTAAGCAGTATCTTTCATTTCTTTCAATATTGTAAAACCGCCCTACAAAACACAACCTTGCAAAATATGCCCTCTCACCTCCACATGGCCCATGTGCTCGTATGCTGGTCCACAACCCAAAACCAACAGATCCAACGTATCTCCACCATGTAGCTTTCTCTATTTCTTACATATCTCACAAATTTGAAGCTAATCTTCTTATGTTGGTACTATCTCGCCAGGTCCCCCGTTACCCACTCATGCCGTGCTCGTATCCATAGTACAACCAGCCACACAGCAACCGGAAAGCCAAAACACCTACAAAAACAAAAATCTCCGTATCTTCACCTCAAACCGACATCCTCCCAAAAACACCAAAATACCCGACATTTCCGAACCCGGGCCCGGATTGCTGAACCGTCCAGTGAAGTTTATAGTATATCGCCTGGCTGCGAATACCAACCAGCACCCCCCACAAATCCAGTGATACCACAAAAAATTTTCAATTCCACTATGAAAATCCAAAATCTCCAGCAAAAATAACCCTTTCTCCATTCTTCCTCTCCCCCTCCATCCACCCTACTTTCTCCCAACCTGGACCCTCGTGAAACTCCCTTATTTACACCTCTGTGCACTGCTTTTTTTCTCAACTCAACTACAACACTCCCGGAACAAACCTGGAGATTTAGCCCCACCCCTCGGCCCTGTTTATGCCCACGCCTCCCGGGCCCATCCACTGAGTCTTTTCCTCGACTCCTTTGAAAACCCAGCCATGGGCCTGACCACCTCGTTGCTCTGCTGCAATCTGGACGCAAACGACCTGGACGACAAGGTCCACAAGAGCAGCCCTCGAAGCGCTCTGCCCACGCAGAAACCCACCCCACCGAAGCCACTGCAGCTGCAGCAGAACTTGGCGAAAAAGAGAGAACCGAAAAAGGAAAACCGCAAAGACGTCGACGACGACCAGCTGGTCAACGAAACAGACACCATCACCAACACCAACGAGGAGCTGAACCAGACGCCCACGCTAAATAACAACAATAACAACAGCAATAGCGGCGGCGGCGCTGAAGGCGCCCCAGTTCCGGCTGGCAGCGAAAACCCCGTGCTGAACGTGCAGAACGAAGACCAGGTCCGTTCCGAGGCCCAGGCCGCTGCCGAAGCGCAGGACCAGCTTAGTGAAATGGAGCTGGAGCTCGACTTGACCAAGTTGCAGGAGGGACAGGCTTACCACCCGGACACGGGCTTCCTCCTAGGGCACAAGAACACCAAGAAGTTTGGCAAGAAAAAGTGTCTTATCTTGGACCTCGACGAGACCTTGGTGCATTCGTCCTTCAAGTACTTGCGCACGGCGGACTTTGTCATCCCAGTGGAGATCGACAACCAGGTGCACCACGTGTACGTGATTAAGCGTCCTGGCGTGGACGAGTTTTTGGAGAAGGTTGGCCGTTGGTTCGAAGTGGTGGTGTTCACCGCCTCTGTGTCCAAGTACGGCGACCCGTTGCTCAACAAGCTCGACATCCACCGTGCAGTGCACCACCGCTTGTTCCGTGACTCGTGCTACAACTACCAGGGCAACTTCATCAAGAACTTATCGCAGATTGGCCGTCCTTTGAGCGAGTGCATCATCATCGACAACTCCCCGGCGTCCTACATCTTCCACCCGGAGCACTCCATCCCCATCTCATCGTGGTTCAGCGACACTCACGACAATGAGTTGTTGGACTTGCTCCCGTTCTTGGAGGACATCTCCAAGCCCAACGTCGACGACGTGGGCAAGGTGCTCGACATCGGCTTGTAGCGGTGCTCCCCGCCGGTAAGCAGGACTTACCACTCGTGAGGCCCTCTCCCTCGTAATCAGGGCCCGGTCCATGCAAAACTGAATGGTTTAATAGATTCTTGCCTTAGACAGGGCCTGTCGTCTGCACTGGCAGCGCTCCCTTTCCGGTGCTCAATACATAATAATTTAATATTTCCTTCAGTAGTCTGGTGATGAGTAGTGGATTTAGTTATGTTGGTCCACGGTCAACTTCTGACAATTTCCTAGAAAGGTTTGACTAGTAGAATAGAGAAGTGTCACAAACCCAGGCCCCGTGGGCAAGATAGAAGCAACTCACACAAAAGTTTAGTAGGAGAATTTACTATAAAGAAAAAAAAAAGATTATAAACAAAAAACACCAGTTTTTAGACTGGGTAAAAGATGAATGAAGTGATTGACATGAATGGCCGTCATGTAGCACTCGCATAGCAGGAATACCCCGATACTGAAGACTCTATCAAAGTGACAAACACAACCAAATATACAAAATTTTCAACTTCACACCACTTTAATCACAAATAATTTCCAAAACAAAAAGAAAAATCTAAAAATGTCCAATCCATTTCCACTCTCCACCACCCATACATCCAGGTCTTGATCCTCATCGCGATACTTACTGCGCAGGCTCATCTCAACCTCCTACTACATCACCACAATGAAAATCAAAACACTCAGCAGGCTGGCCGACAGCTATGTGCCTGCACGCAACACGCAGGAGCTGGCGATGCCCCGTAACTTGAATCCAGCCCTTCATCCGTTCGAGCGGGCCAGAGAATACACTAGAGCAGTCACTGCCACCAAACTAGAGAGAATGTTTGCCCAGCCGTTTGTGGGCCAGTTGGGCGACGGCCACAGAGACGGAGTGTACTGTCTTGCGAGAAACTACAAAACCACCAACCAGGTTGCCAGTGGTTCTGGCGACGGTGTGGTGAAATACTGGAACATGACACTGAGAGAAGAGCTGGTGAGCTTCAAAGCCCACGAGGGCATGGTCACGGGTTTGAGCGTGACGCCACGGAGGGGTTTGCTTTCGTGTGGTGACGACACGTTCATCAAGTTGTGGTCGCTTGAAAGCAGCGACTTCCCGAGGAAACGGGAGACCTTGAGGTGTTCAAGCCTGAAGGCTACAAACAGCTGAACAACGCCTTGGTCAAGACTTTTGCGGGTGATCACGCATTCAAGGGCCTCGACCACCACGCTGAGGAGGACATCTTCGTAACCGGTGGCGCTAGCATCAACCTCTGGGACATGAACAGAACCCGCCCTACTCTGAACCTCACGTGGGGTGCTGACAACGTCAACAGCGTCAAGTTCAACCGCACGGAGACGAATGTGTTGGCGTCAGCAGGCCTGGACAACTCCATCGTGCTCTACGACGTCAGAAGCAACACCGCTGTGCAGAAAGTCGTCACCAACATGAGAGCCAATGCGCTTTCGTGGAACCCCATGGAGGCCTTCCACTTTGCCTCTGCCCACGACGACCACAACTGTTACTTGTGGGACATGAGACGCATGGACTCGTCGCTCAACGTGTACAAGGACCACGTCAGTGCTGTGATGGACCTTGATTTTTCACCTACGGGCCAGGATCTCGTCACAGGCTCGTATGACAAAACGATTCGTATATACCGCCCACGGGACGGCCACTCGCGTGAAATCTACCACACCAAGCGTATGCAGCGTATTTTCAGCGTGTGTTTCACCACAGACCTGCGGTACATTTTGAGTGGGTCGGACGATACCAACATCCGTTTGTGGAGAGCCAACGCCTCGGACCGTCTGGACGTCAAGTCGCTGAAGGAGCGTTCCAAGAGAAACTACGACGAGAAGTTGAAGGAGAGATACAAGTACATGCCCGAGGTGCGCCGTATTGCTCGTCACAGACACTTGCCCAAGGTTGTGAAGAAGGCGCAGGAGATCAAGCGTGTGGAGGTGGAGTCCTTGAAGCGCAGGGAGGACAATGACCGCAGACACTCCAAGGAGGGTTCGAAGCCCCGTGTGCCTGAGAGAAAGAAGCACATCCGAGGCACTGCCATCAAGGAGTAGGTGCGCTGATTTGGTAGATGAAGCAGTTGGTTGCAAAGGGATTGCAAGTTGCGGGCGAGGAATTATATCTCGCTGTTCAGCAGTATAGGTGGACTACAAAATGAGTGGACTTGGTAGTCGTGAAGACGATAATGCCTTGGACGAGGCCGGTTTTGCCAAAAACCGTGCATTCATCCCTACTCGTTCGGAGAAACCACCAATTCATCACTTAGCAGTCACACGGCTATTCTCCCCGTCCCTTCAATGCTCCACCGCAGATCGGGCCCACGGTGACGGACCAATCAAATCCCTCCAGCACATTCAAAACACCAAAATACCTCCGGCGGAGGTGCCGTTGCTAGGGTAGCGTGGCTCGGAACTCCGGTGTTTGTCTCGGAAGATCTTATACATGGGGGTGCATCTGGCGATTTCGCAGCCATTTTGACAGCCTCTCAGCCTCGCCGCAGCCACGCTATCTGCTGCCCAGTTCATCCTGAATCAAAACTTTAGAGTCTGTCGCCCCTTTGCATAGAAACCGTCCATTCAGCCGACATTGCTAAGCAACGATCGTGCTGTTGGTGGTTGGTGGTCCTGCAGGCAGTCGGAGTGGCTCCATCAGGCGAATTGTCTCACGAGCCTTGGTGGCTGCCCGTGCCACCCTCAAAATTTCAAATATTTCCACGGAATCGCAATCTTTCCATTGCAGCGTTGCCCCGTAGCACCTCTCTGGTCCAATCCGGAAATGCCAATCCCGCCATGACCCAATGCCAAGTCGCACCGCAACTGGTGAGACACCGAGAGTTGCACATCCGTGCACCAGGACGAATCACCAATCCTACTTTCCCAAAATGCCTCTCGCTTGATATCTCAGAGCTCTGCTGCCCCCCCATATCAGACAAAACTGCCCTTTTTCCGTGCGCCCGACGTCTCTAGCATACAAGGAGTCGCCGAAGCCGTGCCCCCGTTTTTAGAAAATTCCGCCTTCCCGGCATCCCAGCAAACCATTCCAGGTTGCACGCATAATCCTCACTTTCATCACTAGCACTTCCCTGATTTAGCGGCCTACGCCCCCTGTGGCAGCCCAGTTGCATTTTTCCTATAGCATATCCGCGATGCCAGATCGTCACAGACTCAAGCTTTTTTCTCATTTCAAGCATCAGCTGCCCCAGGAGGAGCCCTTGAACAGGCAACCGTCCAATTCGTCACAGGGTCGCCGCTTTCTTGGTTTCCACATTGGCAAGCACGATTCGCAGGACTCGTTGGCCACGCCGACAATGACGAATTCCTCAGAAAAGGAGCATCTGCACCCACAGGGTCCTCAGCAGAGAGACCCTCTCCACAGCACCAGAGACCAGTCCAAGTCGCCGTCAATCATAGTCCAGCACGCCTCACAGAACCCGACCCAGGCGGCTCGCCACCACAGCATGGAGGACACGCTGTCGCCCAAGGGCCACGGCATGGCTGACTTGAAGCGTTTGTTCAAGAACAAAAAGTCCAACCAAAGCATCAACAGTCCCAGCAGCAATTCGCCGATCCAGCAGGCCACGGTGGCGCAAGCGGCGAATGGCAATTCCGAGGCCAACGGGAGCAACCTCAGCCCGTCGGTGCAAGGACTGACCCAGCATAGCAGGGCGCCTCTGCTGACTTCCTTGGCAGCTCTCATCAATCAGACGTCTTCGCAGCTTCTCAACTCGTCACAGGCTACAAAACGTACAGATGGCCCTGTTCACGAACCATTCACACAAGACGGTTCTGCGTTGGTGAAGAAGTACGGTAAAGTCGAGAAGGAGCTTGGTTCTGGTGCTGGTGGGTCCGTCCGCTTGATCATGAGGCCGCTGGACCACAAGACCTTTGCCGTGAAGGAGTTCAGGCCCCGCAGAAACACAGAGTCCTTCAAAGACTACACGCGAAAATGCACGGCTGAGTATTGCATTGGCTCCACCTTGAAGCACCCCAACATCATCAAGACAATCGACATCATTCACGAGAACAACAGGTATTACGAGATCATGGAGTACGCGCCCATCGACTTCTTTGCTGTTGTGATGAGTGGCGAAATGTCCCGTCAGGAGATCAATTGCTGCCTAAAGCAGATCCTCGAAGGTGTCTCCTACTTGCATTCGCTTGGCCTCGCCCATCGCGACTTGAAACTAGACAATTGCGTTTTGACCACTGACGGCATTCTCAAGATCATTGACTTTGGGTCCGCGGTCATTTTCAAGTACCCTTATGACCAGCATAGCTCCAACTCCACGGAAACTATACATTACTGTCATGGTGTGGTGGGCTCGGACCCTTACCTTGCTCCAGAAGTTTTGACAAGCTCTAATTCATACAACCCACAACCTGTGGACCTCTGGTCGGTTGCCATCATATACTGTTGTATGACACTCAAGAGATTCCCATGGAAAATCCCAAATGCCGAGAAGGACAACTCTTTCAAGTTGTACGCCATGGAGGACGACAATTGGCACGATTACTACTTGTCTAACGAGTGCCACAAACTTTTGTTACGTCAGAGACAGTTGAAGAATACCATAATCAAGCTGAACAAGAAGAAGAAGCTCCTACAGAGACAGCGGGATCAAGAAAATTGCGAGCCCGAGGAGCGTGATGATGCTGAGACAGCCGAGGCTGTGGAGGAGAAGTTGCAGTCTTTGGAGGCCGTGCAGATTCTTGACGAGGAGAGCACTCAGGAAGTGTTGGCCGAGTTGAAGAAGATTGACGCGAAGCTTGAAGAATACGAGAAGACCAAGACAGAACAAAAAGCATTGTTCCAGGAGCGCCGCGAAGAACTGACTGCCGATCCCGAGCCTGGTGCCGAAAAGGCAGACGAGTCGCCCAAGTCTGGGGAAAAGAGGACTAAATCCCATAAGCTGATTCACGGGCCATATAGATTGATGAGATTGCTCCCACATGCTTCAAGGCCAATAATCCACAAGATGCTACAGATCGATCCACACAAACGAGCCAGCATTGAGGACATTCTCTCTGACGAGTGGATCAAGGAGATTGAATGCTGCACTTTGAAGACTGTCGAAGGCGGCAGTGGCGATGATGAAGAGGAGACAACCCTTATTCGAGGGTCGCCCGAGCACGAACACACCATTGTTATGGATGACGGTAAAGAGGATACAGCTTGAGGATCGCTTGGGTGACTGTCTCAGAACTCTGGTATAATCGATCAGAAATACACGAACTCAATTCATGTATCATTTAAGTAGTAAGCCCAAAGATACAGCCATTGCTGGTATAATTGGGTCGCCTCACTATGGGTGAGTGGGTAGGTGAATAGTGTTAACTTGTCTCAAAAACCTGGAGCAGACTACTAGGGACCTTTGATGTGGAGGAGCGGCTTTGGCGTTTGAAGTGAAGAATGCAAGAACAGCATATTCTCATTTAAAGTTCCTCGAACTCACAATGGCCATTGTACACCACTCTTGAGGAAAATATCCAGACGGTTGTGCTGATACATGTTACCACACCAGTTGGTGTCGGCTCAATCGATGATCGTGAGTTGAATTTGCAGCTTGAGTGTAACAACTCCAGAGAGTTTTTCCCACGAGAATGAAAAAAGCTCGTCAATTTCAATAACATACAGCTGATGTACATAAAGAATGCCGAACTTATCACACCACTTCAGTCTATCTCAATGAGCGGCTCGTGGCTTGGATCTGGTCCGCGTCAAATCCTGTATATACCTATAGAGGGTCTCCGATATGACTTGTAATCTGTGACCAATTAAGTGGATCCTGGTAGCATAAAATGGCCGAAACCAATGCTATACAGTCTAAGTATGTGGTTTTCATGCTTTGAACGAGTTTTGCTGTCTCACACAATCATTTTGTGAGGACAAAGAGGTCGTAGCATACTCCGAACCATGCGCATCTGAAGGCATACAAAAGGTTCTACAATAGCACTTGACACATTCGAGCTTGACAGCTCTTTGTTCACCTAGAACGTCTATGAATATACAAATGTGGTCGATGACCAGAAAAGAATGTAGAGACGGCTATTGCTGGATAGAATACGCCCTACTCCTTGCAGTTGAGAGGGGCTTTTTGCTGTACATCTAAGGATGCCACCACCTCTCGACGAATACCCAAACTCAACAGCTTCAACCATTGAGTTTATAGCTGGCTTCTGTGAAATTAGCGTTGTCCTATCTCCCATAAACGGCTTCTCTCGACTCCTTGTCGCTCGAACAGTTCGACCCACAAGAATGAGCACCTAGTAGAGCTATAGTTGCAGCACTCAGCGGCTAGATCTGCAATTTTGACCTCTTGTTAATCAACCGAGTGCTAAAGAAAAGCATTCGGGAGCCTTAATAAAGCTCAATCATCATAGGTCACTACCCAAAGCGCTCAATACCCTGTGAGGGCCTCCAGAGAGAATCGCGATATGGCTGCAAAACCGACTTCTCTAAACTCACTACCACCACAAAGTCGTCTTTCGACCTCAGAAACTTTAAGACTTGGTTTTATCTAGTCTTGCAGCAATTGAGGATTGGCGGATAACAACGAGCGAATAAAATACCCCCACCCAATTCGAATCAAGCCCTTGGTGATCTTTCCTCTGTGAAGCCGACCAGACCAGAACATGGGTTCATCAAGGTCTTCAAAATCCGATGAAGACTTTGCAAACGAATCTTGAGCTGAGTCAACTCCTTTGCAAAACCTCTCTCGCCTTCCCCAACCCCAAAATACTCTCTCGACTCTGAAGACTGACGTACAAAGGTGCAACTCAAAGTCACTGGACAAGCTCGTCGGTACTCCTTCACCTCTCGACCTGCCAAAGCTGGTGGATCATTGCCCTCAGAATGAGCCCCTTGGTCAAATGATCAATGACCCTTCTCAGGAGAGTCTCGTCGGATGTGCCGACCATGCTGAAGCGGGACTCACAGAAGATAAGTCCCATGACCCCAGGGAGTTTGACTTAGGGAAGCAGATTACAACCAACGAGCTGAAAGCTGAAAACGCAGGGCTCCAGGTTTCCACCTCCTTCAACGATAAATGTACCTCAGAGCCGAGGTTTGAAGGGTTGGACCTGCAAATTGAAGGGTTGGACCAGCAAATTGAAGCTTCAGAACTGCAATTGAACGCCAGTGAATCGACCCTGGAGTTCTCAAAGCTGACCATTAATGCCTTTCAGCGACAAACTGAAGCCTTAAACACCAAGTTCGAAAGTTTCACATTCACAAACGACAGGGAAGTGAAGGCTTTAGCACTGCAACATGAAGCCTTAGCGCTAAAGCTTGAGGCAATAGAAGTGGAGAATGAAAGAAATAAGGCCTTAGCAGAGGAGAATAAGAACGGAATTAAAGCCTTAGAGCAGCGATCTGATGCTTTGGAGCAAAACTATGAAGCCTATCAATTGTTTGACCTGGATGATGGCGAACAGCGTACAAGGCCAAAACCTCTCGACAACTCAAACTTGGAGGAACAGAGCACACCAGAGAAAGACTGGCTGTACTTTAATAGCTGGCCCCTCGTTTTAGCCGCTTTATTTTCAATTCTGAGTATTATTTGTCTAATCATCCTACTTTGTTTGAAGAAAGAAATGGATAAGGTCAACCCTTTTGCGACGTGCCTCATGGGCCATGCATTTCTTTTGATGCAAGTCATCATTTTATTATACAACTACAAAAAGAAGTGTCTTGGCTCACCGATTGATTGGAATTTGTGGATGGGTGCTCTATTATTTCTTTATTTCGCAACGTCATTAACTGGTATTCTCCTCAGATTTCTCCACAATAAGGATGCAATGGAGAAAGCTGCTATAGTCATGGAGCTCGGCACAATATTTTTCATTACTTTCCTCGCTGTGTCCTTGCAGACTGCGTCAAATGCGAGGAGAGAACGTACCAGAGGCTAGCCATTTATAGAAATTACGATAGGTTTCAAGTTCAATTGATCTGAAGTTGCTACACATCAAGTACTTCTTGAATGCATCAGCGAGAAGTTCGGTCCCAGTTTTCCCTCAGAGGCCCTCAGTTACCTCTCGAGTCGAATCTTATCTCACATACAGAATCGTGGAATTCAGCTCTCACTTTACGCAGCCCAAAAAGGCTGTTATATGTAAAACGCTGGCATAAAAGGACTTCATCAATATTGGGATAGTCACGGACTAATTCATTTAAGATATTCTTTGTCACGGCGTCAACGAAATTTGAATGGTCGCAACACCACCCCTGATCCATGCCCACAAACCGCATGGTTGGCAATAGTTCCTTGTGATCTCTTAATCTGGCGTACATAAACCTGCGATCTCGGGTCCTTGGCTTCGGCTCTTATACCCATCGAAGGATATCATAGGTTGATAACCTTTGGGTCATGGTCGGGAGGGCGATATATATGTTTTGGTGCCAGTACGCTGTGTGTGTACAGCCTTGTGACGAGAACAGCAATCGGCCTCGTAATCTATACACTCGTGTATGCTCTGGAGTGACACGAGTGGGTTGAACATCAAGAGGAATCTCGCTGTTTCCAAATAGATGTTGCGGGAATTTAAAAGCATTGGCGGGAGCATAAAAGAGGGATTCATCAAAGCAACTCAAGGCAACGACTGGGAGGCATTTAGAATCAAGCAAAAGCGTCTCTTTGGTTGTTTGCTCCATATTTCTGTAATTCGTCTCTTCGAAAACTACTTCGAGGCTCTCAAATTGAACTTCAGCCTGGACATTTTCTTGAATCCTATAATTGGAGCTTTTGGCAACTATGGCGCGGATTTGAAGGATCCTAGCAAGCTTTGTACCCGGCCTCACTTTAACAACGGAGCCAATTTTGTCCAAAGGTGAACTGTATTTATTGTAATTGATTGTAACATCAATAAGTAGAGGCACTTTCTCGACACCCACACAAAACGTTTGTATTGGGTACAGTTTGCGGAGATCTGAAGTCGGCCGCAAAGAGGTCTCTCTTTCAACCCGCTCAGCAGAAACAATACACTGTAATATTGAGGCTTCTGACTCCACATCACCTGAAGCCGAGCACAAAATCGGAGAGCCTCTCGAAGAAGCTCTGTCAAAGCATTTCGACGAACTCGTCAGAGGTTTCTGACGAGCTAAACAGTTCCGAATCTTTGAAGCTACTCGTTTGAACATACTAAGATGAGAGCTTGTCTCTTCATCCAGACTGTAGGTAATCTCTTTTTCCAATACATTGCAAGTCTTATCGAAGCCCTTCGGGGTTTTCTTCCCAGAGAGGCATGAGACATCATCGAAGGAACCCTTGCTCTCTTTCGCATAGACATTGCAAGTCACATCTTCTTTGCTTTCGTACAGAATGATGTATCGCTGGAAGCTATCTTGCGAACTTTTTCGGGGTCTCTCAGCGTGAGCCAAACTGAGAGCTGACGAGTCTTCAAGGAAAAGATCGAAGGTCCCTTGTTTAAGAATACACCCAGGGAAGCTTTGAGACGCAAAAGGCTTGTCCATTTCTTTTATAGATTCCTCCACTTTCGATGCAATGTTGAACTCAATGAATGCAGATACGGTCGTGTCCGGAAACTCCTTATGTGCTATTGTCAAAGAAACCTTCAAAGCGTAGCTTCTGATGTAATCATGAGTGTAAAATGTCGGGCCAAGATCTGGTAAGTTACAGCCCCAAACTTCACCAAGGATGACAGATGGTTGTGTTGATAGACACATTGCCCTGTACGCCTTTTTCTCTAAGAGAACAACGGAGCGAACGTCACTTATAACAGAGTCTAAACTTGGTACGATACTGAATTCTTGTAGCTCGACTCGTACCTTTGTGATGATGAAGATGTTGTCGGAGGTGCTTTCAAAGCCATCGTGATCCAGAAAACTCAAATCTAAGCGGATACTGGTGGGGATACACTGGCCCGAATACATAAATGGATAAGGGTGATCGTCTGCAGAAAATCGACCGTTTCGAAACTTCGCTCTCAACAAGATTGAATGTTTGTCGTTGAGGTGATAGACCGAGTCCGTGTTCAAGCCTGGGTTGAATCCATTAATGAGATAGGTAACGGGGGAACAGGAAACGGGAAATGATACCTTCTCCTCACCAACATTAAGGAAACATTTTTCTTCTATTTGTAAGGGCATCTTAAGGTCAGTCCAGTCGTATGTGAGCATTGTTGTTCGGCGTTCAAAAGCAAGCATTGTGTTACCAGGACTTGGCCCCTCCCCCAATGATGTAACGCCGTACCGTGATCTCGCTTTTTCAATACGAGGCTTCGTATCAGGATCGCTGACCAACCGAGAAGCTTTAAGAAGAAGCTCAGTGATTTGGTGGTGCTCTCCCAGAATCCACACTCCTACCGTACGAAACGAGAAAAGCCTTTCACCTAAAGCCTCAACCTCTTCAGGAATCAGACGCTGGAGATTTGTGCCCAAATTTCGGAATAGAAAAATCGTACTCACCTTCTCAGGGGACATCTTGTTCAGAGTCTCGGGCTTTCGTTTGCATGCTCTCATCAATGTATCTTTTAAAATTCACTATTCAGAGAACAGGATGGTTTAGAGAGCGGGAATGACATTTATGTGGCTTGTCATATATTTCACGGCAATAGTGAAGGACCAGCAAAAACGGAGAGTTGTCCTTTTGCCGCATTTGTTCATGAATTCATCCATCATGACGGTAGATAATTATGTGCCCAAAAAATGCAGACACTTACTTTTGGATGCAGATGGAATACGCTGATATTATCATGCACCATACCCGTCGAAGCTTGGGCACATTGACACCAATCAAAACCCTACCATAACTTTAGGAGAGCTCAAATTGAGGTGGTAAGCATGTGTGTTGACAGTCAAAGGCATAGTCCTGAGCGATGGTGATTCAACGAAACTCGATGGTAAGTTCACAAGCCGTCCTCAACATATGGAAAATCAACGATCCAAAGAGTTTGTACTAGGCGTCACAGTACATGACAAAGGATAATTCTTCATGAAGGCGAAATGGCAAATGGTGCTTCTCGAATGTTAGTAGCACAGGTTGCGCTTCCACACCCTGTGCACCAGACTTGATTATAAGTATCCAGTTCTCACCTAGTACAGAGAAACCTTGGTTACTTCCAGAAGTACTTACTGTATTCTTTAAGCTGCATTATTTATTGTTTCAACTCAATGGCACTTTTCTAGATATGGTTGCAGGAATAAGGCCGGGTCACCTTCCCGCTATCAACCCCGTCTACGTTTTCGGACCTCAAGCCTTGACAACAAGGCAGAGGGCAAGTTGAACACGTCTCACGATATGATCCGTTGATTGTTCCTCTTGAAGGAGGGCTTCTATTGGTCAAACAACACTGGCGGGTTTATTGACATGAGAGACGTTGCCGGGGCCCATTAGCTTGCGTTCCAGAAATACGAAACTCCAGGAGAGAGGCCCCACATGACCAACGGCAACTCCAGCACCCAGATGATGTGTGATGCTATACACAAGTACTTTCCTGGGTTGGCGATTCCAAGGGTCAAACCAGGCAATGGTCCGCAGCATGTTGCACCCATGGCCGAAAAGAGAAAGGGCAGGAGCCGTGATTTGCTTCCATTCGTCTTTTTGCCTTTTGAAAGGTCTTTGTGGACTCTGTGAAACAATTCCAGGAGCATTCAAGGATCCAGGAGCTTTGCAAGATATAGGCTCCCGGTTAGGCGTAGGATATGGTGAACGTAAAAGTCCGCAGAGCTATTGGGTAGCACCAAAGACCAGGCTCTTCGTCTGATAGCTAGATGTTCTTCTGTTCTAATTAGTTGATAGCAGGCTTTTGAAGACCCGCAGTATCGGACTCCCATAGTGTGTCTCTCACGGACAGACCCAATGGGAAACCTAAAGCTGCTAAAGACGCCTGGGCATTCAGCAAATGTAATACTTGCCATATTGAGCCAAAGAAGAGTCACTTTTTTCTGTCTATTATCTGAGGCGACTCCTCAATGCCACCGAGGTAGTCGGTGAAACTGGCTATAGAACCACCATACTAGCAGAGCTGAACCTGGATGTACGAGCTAGCGTTTCATTTTGATAATCAAGGTTCCTTTGCTTTTGAAGCAATGGCCTAACGTAGCCACGGACGACATTTACGAGCTAGACATTGGTGGTGGTCGAGGAGACATAACGCGATTTCAGTGTTTTTTGCAGCCAACCCCAGAGGCATTCCCCCCTTACTACTCTCTTCTTCCACAACAATCATGGAGTATAGATATTCCAAAATGATGCCGTCCCGAAAGCCAAAAAAATCGACCACCAATGGATGGTCAGACTTCACTTGTACTCCCTATGTCTTCCTTAGGTTGGTAATCCTTGGCTGTCTCTGTTGGGCACTCTTCTCAACCTCAACTCTGTTTCAGATAGTGGATGATCTGGACTCCCAAAAACCGTCTACCACCACCAACGTAATTACTCACTCTAGCACAATCTCGAGCCCACAAACTGCGACCAGCGGCTCCACTGCCGTTCAAAGCGTCACTGCCTTTCAAAGCGTCACTACCTTTCAAGGCGTCACTACGCTGGCGGCGGAGGAGCTGAACAGTGTCCAAGAATCGAAACCCCAATTTGCGGATCATGATTTGGGGCTATTCATCCAAGGTATTCGGGGTTGTTTTTCCTCACCACAAAGGATCGTGCTCTTTTTCTCCCCACCATCATGTCTATTTTTACCCACTACGTGGCTGCTTCCATCGTGTTTGACGTCTGTTACAACAGAAGCGCACACGCTAAGTATCTCTACTGGGGATGTTACGCTACCTGGGCGGAGATGTTGGTCATCTCGCTTATGATGGGAATTGGTTATTTCCGTTACTTCGAATGGGAAATCCTTGTACTGTGGTTTGTTCTCATGATGTACTTGGCACTCATGAGCTTTTACTACTTCAAAGCTGCAGTTGACACAGAAGAGGGTGACCTTGGTGTTGAAGGGATGGCTGGCAACAATCCTGATCCTCGCGCCGAGTCCACTCAAAGCAACAAACCTGACCCAACTGGCATGCCCCATCGGGAGAACGTGAGACTTTACGGTTCCCGGCATTACAATTTGGAGACGGATTTCCATTTCCAATGCAGTTCACAGCGCTCGGAGATATACACCATCGAGCCAGGGCTCGTCTCAAAGATATACACCATCTAGCCAGGGCTCGTCTCAAAGACATGCTCTCACTGCGACCGTCGGATCGGTTAGAGAGGCTGTAATTCCTAATTCCAATGTGCGAGGCCGAGGAAGAGTCATGCCACCCAACTCAGCGTGAATCAACACGAAAGAGATCCTCGAGACACAAAAAGCCCCATTGTCATTCTGAGGTGTCAAGTTTATGGTCCGAAATCTCCTCATCTTGAAGCTTCGCAGGTTTTCAAAACTCACCGACTGTCTCTCATAGGAAGTCAACGCCCCGGCACACTTTCATCAGCATCTGAGTTAAAAGTTCACACCTACGAGTATTTAATGTCGACACAAAACTAGAATTTATTTGAGCGAATATCAGCGCTTGTCCAGGCGAAGGACCGGAGGCCACCCAAAAAACCCTTTGATCTCTTCAGTGAAGTTTGCGAAGGTTACTGAAGCTTCTGTTATTTAAGAAATATAGGTTTTTACGTGTCCTTCTTTTGTCATTAGACGGTAACACTCGTTGATGTCCATAAGGATATCAATGCTCTCCGAGAGTTTACAATCAATCCTCTCCAAATAACCACCCGAGCCCACTGCAACTCCATGTGCCTCAATGCTAAGATTGAGTTTATAGCCCTTGTGATAACAGTCGGAAAGGGTGGAGGGCATGACATTCGGGATCTCGCAGCCTTCAAGTAATCCTTCAAAAATGAAGTCCTTCTGCCCGTTATCCTCAACTTCTCGGAAACTAAGGCGTTTGCCATTCTTGCTATGCAACTCGTACTCTTTGTGGAAAGCTTCCCTGCAAGTCTTGTTGAACCCCACAGTTTGCTGACCAAGAATAACTTCAAGATTATCAAAGTATATCATAACGGGATGGTAACTTGAAGTGAATCTAAACGCGATACTTGGATCGAGAGTCATTCCAGGTCCAGCCATAAGTGCTTTTCGATAATCACACAGGAAGGAAAAACGATCATCTTTGGAACCATAGTCGTTTGAGAATGAAAATTCATCAAAAACATTCACAAATCTTGAAACTTCGAACATCCGTCCTGGAATGCCAGCGTTTGAAGTAGTCAACAAGGCTTCATTGACTGTCCACAGCCCATTTTTTGGAAATAAGGCTAGACCTTCGTTTGACTCTATCTCATTTACCTTCTGTTCTTCTTGAAAGTCATAGAAGTTCGTTGTATGTAAGGTGGCTATCACCAAAGCCTTTTCGTCTTCAACAACAGAGGAGAGATGATAGCTAATACAGTCCAATTCCATCTCTTCTTGCCTCTGCAGGCAATACTGTATGGCATTCTGAGCAAGATAAGAGTCTAATTCAAATGTTTCAAGCAACATCACGTCTTGCTTCTTCTGAACTTGGAAAACGGGCTGTGCCAGATGAACCTGTGTGGCAACTGCAATATCCATGACTGTAGAAATATGCTTCGAACACTTCCCCAATCCACATTCTAGATCGATATTGAATCGAAGGGCATAACTCCGAGTGCATTTGTTCGAACTGTAGGTGGGCCCAATATTTGGGAGGCTGCAATCGTACAATGACACATTTGGGGAATGCAAAAACCCAGTTCCGAATTCTTTGAAGTCAGAATGGGAGATGAAGTTGTTGATGCTTGAGTCTTTCAACACCACCGTCCGAACTTCCTCGGATACACAACCCTCCTTCAGCGCTATGTGTTGATATCTAAGATGCTCCTCTAGAACAATAGTAATGTGGTTCATGGAGATGTCACCTTGACAGGTACAAAAAAATGTCTCGGTCTGCTTGAGGTCAAGTTTAACGAAATCCTTCAAAGATGAACCGCTTTTCACCATATTTCCAGACAGTATTAGCTCATACTGTTTAGGCGGCTTGTATGTTGCCAAAAGCTCCACCTCAATTGTATCCTCTTCCTTAACGTCAACGAAATCCTCTGGAATCCTCGGCTTATCCAGCGTATCCACCGTGTCCAGGGAGCTTTTGGCTTTCAAAGGAGTCACACCAGCATCAAGGGGAACAATATGGTTTCTGACCTGAAGGCAACGTATGCCTACAAGAGAATCCTTTCGTAAACCTTTCGAAGGAAGAAGGTGATTGATTAGAAGTTGGTTCATCCTGGTGAAACAGTATACAATCCGTCCTCTGTCATCAGTCAAATCTGGCGACTTACCGAAGCTCAGCATGCCTTCTTTCCTCTTCATATCATCTAGAATGTCTGGAGGCACTACTGAAAGCTCACCACGAAGATTGAGAGAGCTAACCGCCCATAACTCTCCGTCTACTTTACACGCAAAAGTCTCGTGTGAGATGTAATTCGAGGGACGATTTTCCATTTCATAGGAGACTGAAAGGATGATGCCTTCGAAGAGCCTATCTCTTTGAATGATGTGTAAGCTTGTCGAGTTCATTGGTGCAAAATTTAGAGAAGTAGAAAGCCCGAGGCAACTTTGGTCAGCTTTATAATACGAATGAGCACCGTAGTCATGCAACCAACAGCATAAATATTATTTTCTTGCGACTTTCACGTAATCCTAAGACATTCTGCAATGTGTAAATATACTCCTCTAGCAGCATTTCTCACGGTACGCTCATTTCATGGGGTCAACAAAAATGTAGTAGCCCGCTAGGAAGTATACCAAACATTGCTCGAAGTATCTATGAAGAGATTCACAAGAGACCGGAAATTATGGAATCATGTTTTTCTGTGACTTTCTTCCACAAGAGTTGCACTATGCTAACAGGACAAAGCAAGACATCTTCGGGTTGAGAGAACACAGCTGCATGGAAGAGTGACGTTGCGTGGAGAGTAACTAGCAAATCTGCCATTGTTTCCGGTTTCTATTGGGTTAATGATGTCGCTTTTTTCACGACTCTGCACTTTCCTCGACATTTTGCACCCAATAGTCATTGCTTCAAACTTGGAAAGAGCAAATACAATCATGACAATAAAAGCAACTTGAATGGGCAATAAATACTAATGTCAAGAGCAAAGACCTCAACGCTTTCAGAATTGCTTATACATGCATTTCACAGAATGATAACATGCGATATGAGAAGGATGGATCCCAAGCCTCACCATCATACATGCCCATCCTCATTCGGTCGTTCAAATTCATCAGATTTGCCTCCACACCAACTCTTTGGACATGATCCCAAAATTACTGTACATATCTCTGTAGAACCAAAATTCACCCCATGCTGATTTTACTACATGCAGCCAGCCATATACCCACATAGGTTCGAAGAGTCCATGGAGCTTATTGACGAATGCATTATATTAAGAGATGGCGAAAAATCCTCGAAAGCTACCGGTATTCAGTATTAACCCGCTCATCTCAACCTTTAAACTTCACTGAGTGTGAGGACCACAGATTCATCTCTACAAAGTGTACTACGGATCAGATTCTAGTAAACGATAATTCTCCTCAACCAACCACCTTGATACCCTCCAATCAGCGAAATCCTGTTTCTTCGACGGAATCCTTAGCTCAACAGAGACTGATTTCCGCCAATCCGAATGTTAGGATCGCGCAAATCAGTGTTTGACACACTCAACTAGGGCAAGACTAGGTACTAGCGGATTCTCCGAGCAATCCTTCACAGTGCGGTGTCACAGTATCGATCAACTAGATAACGACCGAGCACTAGTTAAATCGGGAAGAAAAAATCACAACAAAACAGAGATGGTCAATTCTCCCAGGGTCAAGCTCCTTAATGCAGACTATGCCCGCAGGCTCATCCAATCTCCTGGTCCTAGAGTTGTCCCAATTGATGCAACTTGGTACATGCCAAACTCACCTAACAATGCCAAAAAGCAGTTTGCTGAGGACGACCGGATCAAGAACTCGGTATTCTTTGATTTAGACTCGGTCTGCTGCCGTACCAGCAAGTACCCCCATATGCTTCCTCCCCACAGATTGTTCGACAAGGAAGTCGGCAAGTTGGGTATCCGCAATGACGATCTCCTCCTCGTCTACGATAGACAAGGGATCTTTTCCGGCCCCAGAGCTGCTTGGACCTTCGCTCTCTATGGACATCACAATGTGTATTTGTTGGACCATTATCCTCAGTACAAGCTGAAATACCCAGTTGAGAACGGAGTGGTCGAGACCAGCGAAGCAACTGACAACCTGCCTTACGAAGGGATTGACAACACTCAATTTGGCAAAAACTATCGTGAGCAGGTTATCGAGTTTGACGAGTTGGCTGACCTCGTGGTGCTGAGAGATTTGGATGATTACTATGTCTTCGATGCCAGAAGCGCAGACAGATTCCATGGCAAGGCCCCTGAGCCACGGAAAGGATTGCTGTCCGGGCACATTCCGGGGGCCCTCAATTTGCCCTTCACCAAAGTTTTGAATGAAGCTGGCCAGTATAAAACCGTCGAAGAATTGGTGGAACTTTTCAAAAAAGACTTTGGGCTCGACTGGAACGAGCCCTTGGACAGGAAAGGCGTGATTGTCATGTGTGGAACAGGCGTTACGGCCGTCATTCTTCGCCTTGCAATTGAGAAGATCAACTCGGATATCCCCATCCGTGTCTATGACGGATCATGGACCGAGTGGGCCCAGCGGGCACCGGACCTCATCGCTGAAGGTAATTTGTAGTCGCTAGCTCCATATTCTGACGGTCTTATCGACTCCACCCGTCACGAAAATACATCTCATATCGTGCTCAATCCTTTTCAATAGAGCTTCCTCTGTTTTCTCTGAATCTTTGGTGCCTGAGATTTCAAACGAGGCCATATGAACAGAACTGACAAATCCCTCGTGCGCCGTTAGAGTTTTGATGCAGCGAACCAGCCCCTTATCCATCAAAGTAGAGAAGTCCCATACTCTAACCGCCTTGTCGTCTCCTCCACTGAATAAATAGCGACCCAGAGGGTGCACACTGAGGCTTTTAACCCACGATTGATGGCCTATAAGGTCTGCCAAGTGCCAACCTTGGGAGTTGTTGAGCTCTGACGGAGCAGGTGGGCGATTCGGACGTAGAGTAGGCGGTGGCAAGAGCCATAGTTTTATCAAAGAGTCCCTTCCAGCAGAAACACAATACTTGTAACCCAAGTTTTCCTCATAGGCAGGGTTTTTCACAATGTCCTCTGACAACGACGAGAACTTGTCGAGATTCAGGAGCACAAAGCCGTCTAGATATTTATTTGAGAGAAGCGGCAAGAACTTGACGCTCTCAATGACATGCGTGTGGCCCAATAGAAGTGCAAGACCAATGCCGGAGCTTGCATGCGATAATCTTATGGACTGGTCGTTGGAACATGTTAGGAGGAAGTCACCTAGAAAACCCGATGTTCCGGCATCGACAAGATGTTGCTCCACGGATGCTGCGTCCACATCCCTGGCCCATTCGCTGTGGCCGACAAACTTCCGAGTGCAAGTACCATTGGCAACGTCCCATACCCGGACAGAAAGATCACGAGAAACCGAGTACAAAACGAGCGGATTCGTCGGCAGAAACGCCACAGACGACACGGTGTGCTCGTGGCCAGAAAGCGTACGTACGTGCTTCAACGAGTCACCTTCCCAGATCTTCACAGAGAGGTCCAGAGAGCAGGACGCCAATATCCATTCCTGAGGCCCATTTGGGACCAATGCTGCCGGCGAAGGCAGCCACCGTAGCCCTGTAACACTCCGAGTGTGAGCAGGCACGATTTTCTGTGGAATTGCCAGGGAATCGTGAACCATGTTCCATGCGATAATGCTACCATCAGAGGCTCCCGCCACAACCAAGGGAAGAACAGGATGCACCGCCACGCAATTGATGAGTTGCGTAGACAGTGTTTTGTAAGTGGTGGTGTTGACATTTGGGATCCAATCTAGTTTATCTCGAGGAAGCACCAAGGCGGAACCGTTGGATCCACTTTGAGCCAGGGTCTCTAGTAACAGCTTGTAGGAGGCCACCTCGTTTTCCAAATCTAGGATTCTTTTCTGAAGGCGGACCACCGTGGTCCACTTTTTCTCCAAGTAGTTGGGAACAATCTCATCGTTGGGCGTTTTGATCTCTAGAAGCTCTGCTAGCATCGGTAGAAGTTGATCGTTAGCATCGTCAGCTGCGGCTATTTTCGCCTGGGTATATTGAAATATGGCTTTGTTGAGCTCAGCTCGCTGCTTGGTAGTTAGAAGCGACATGGGCCGTGTGTATAAGATAGGTTGATCTGGAGGATCTTTGATGTTGTTGGATCAATTGTAGGTAAATAAAGGCGCGATGTAATCTGGGGCGCATCTGGGTTGTATTGCATTACTTCTATATTATCTATGGGGATTATATCGCTGGCATTAGAATAGCTCTGTATCTGAGTTTTTGATCTTGTACTTGGAATGGCTTGCGTCTAACTTTTTGTTCTTGCACTTGATCGGTATGCTTCCTCAATTCACTTTCAGAAAGTATCTCACAATGCGTTCTTCAGTAGAGGTACCCGGCAACACTTTTCGCTGGTTTTTGACGCTAATTCAAAGAATTGAAACCTCTTCAAAACCTCTTTTTTACATATGGAAGCGCCGGCTCTACGGCACTGAGCAGGTAGGTTCGCTCCGTTTGAGGAACTACTTCTTCAAAGCAGCGAAACGGGCCTTCAAATCATCAAACTCCAGCTGAGGCTTTGGCGGGGCTGTCTGCTTAGCAACACTGGGTCTTTGCTCGAAATCAGCCGCTATAGGCTCCTCGGGTAACCCTCCCTCGCTTCCGGAATCATTATCGTCGTCATCTTTGGAAAGTTCTAGCTTCGGAGGTTCATCTTTGAGCCCCAGATATGGCACACTGTAGGTCCGGGCAATTTCTCCCAAGTACAAATCCACAAGCGTCTCTGAAGGTGGATCAACTGCACATCTCTTGACGATCTTCTCTGGAACGTACTCACTGTTTGAGTTCGTCTGGACGGCAGCGGCGAATTCAGGTCCGTATCTATGCTTGAAAAGTTCACCCAAAGTGATCAACTCCTTGACTTCCGTATGATGGCAAGAGTATATCACCAGCAGAATCGCTTCTTTCAAGTTAGGGTCCACCTCATGCCTCAGCGTATCCAAAATGATCGAAATTCGGGCAAGCAAAAGCTCGCAGTAGAGTTCAAGAAACTCCAAAAGCTCGATGTAAATGTCGTCTCTTATAATGTTCTCCACTCGGATTTTGGCACTAGATTCCTTTCCAGCACCAAGTAAGTCAGCCAATTGCCTCCTCTGCTGCTTGGTAAGTGCTGTCTTCTTTTCTTGCAAGAATTTGAGTTTTGAAATCGCCATTTTGAGGCTTGTTTTGTATTTCACGGAATTGACTTGTAACGGCGGCATAACTGGAAATAGTAGATGTGCTTATCGATGTGGTAGCTTGTATTGTGCTATCGCACCTGTACCTCTCTGGGGTTGGGCTATAAGGTGACTTTCTACAATTGAAAAATCGTGCTGTCAGGAATATTTTTTCTATTTCAAAGAATTATGCTAGAGTCTTTTGATTGGTTTCAGGATCTTACGAGTAGATACTAGGCCAGGCCATATGCTAGCAACATAAGGCTCTGGGTGCTAGCCACACGACGTACGATATTAAACCAATCACAGTAATCTTTACTTGTTCGTCTTCACGTCAAAATTGGCACTGAATCGGCTCGTGTCGGCCTTCATGAACTCACGAAGCGCCATAGTAGCATAGCAGCTCACACCCAAGCGCATTTGCAATACTATGCCAGTTTGAGTGGCATCTTCTGATCCAGAGTAGTCGATGATCTTATCTAAGGATTCGTCATTCTCTTTTTTAGCGTGCAAGATTTCCAAATCGGTACGCAAGATCGGATCGTTCGTGTCTTTGTGCTTGACTAGCTTGTAGGAGAGTTCTGTGGCTCTTCCCATAAGTGGTCTGTAGGACCCAGCTAGCGAGAACTCTTGCACTCTTCGGCGCATATTGTGGGGATCAAGGCCATCCTTGGCCATGACGTCTTCGTAAACCGACATAAGTTCAGGACTTGTTGGGTAAACAACATCGTAGCCTGGAGAAGGAAGGACAACGTCGTAAATGGAGTACTTCCCAGATTCGATATCCTCCTTGGTCAAAGCTCTCACTTTGTCTGAAAGCGTTCCAGCAACGTCTTCTTCAAACTCCTCTCCATCTTCATCAATCGAGGTGATCTTTCTGCTCTCTGCATTCTTCTCCTCCACCATGATCAAGTCTCCTTCACGGACCTGGAGACCAAAAAGTTCGATCCTTTTTGATGCCACCATGTTCCACACGTAGGATTGGTAGGCATGAACGTATATGAGACGCAAATTTCTAGGAATTTGCATTATGGCACGGAAGTAGGCCTGCTTGTGGTAATCCTCAATCTCTGCCTCATTTACCTTCTTCTCCTTGGCTAAAGATGAAAGCACATTGTGTTCAGCAAAACATCTTTTGGGCATAAGCTTGGAGGCCTCTACGGCGTCTCTGCTCTCAGCCCAGACTCTACGAGCATTGACCGACTCGGCAACGACTCTGTCTTGTTCAGCTAATAGAAGGTCAACGGCGTTCTTCCAATTTTCCTTCAAAAGCTCAATGCCCAAGACATGGGTGGAAATCGAGAAGGTGCCAAACCTCTGTAAACCGTAGTAGTTGATGAAGCCTTTCTCCTTGAGAGAGTTGAAAGCACGTTCAACGACTTCCTCCAAGTTGGCCTCGTCGGTTTTGACGTCACGGATGGCAATCAAGAACTCGTTACCTTGGAGATCACCAAGGTCAAGCGACTTGCTTTCGTAAGAAAATCCGCCGAGAATGGAGCCGTTCAAGCCCTTGTTGAGAGCTGACACTCTCTGGACCTTACCCTTGTGGATACTGAGCCTTTGACAGGTCACACCACGACGGTCCTTCGTACCAGCGTATTTAACTGCCTTGTGAGGCACCCTGAGAAATTTCGAGATCATGGAGGCCACTTCCATAGTTTCCCTGTTCTCCTTGTAAAGAGTAAAGTGCAAGTAGTTCTTGAACGGGCCCAAGCCGTAGTTGATCACGCCCAGGTCGTCGACATGGTTGACGTTACGGCCCCTGTTGTTGTTTGTGCCCTTGGACAATGCCACTTTGAATGTGTTTTGCGGAGACGTCATGGTCTCGAGCTTGCCCTGGAAGGCTTGTCTGAGAAGCTGGTGCAATTGCGTTCTTAAGGCCTTGTCGCCAAACTGTGTCTTTGTCTCCATGTTGCCTCCATTGGTGAAAAGCGCTTCGATTTCACCTAGCTCTTCAGGAGTAACGAGCTCCAAGAGACGGGTCTTGTGGTCCTCACTGAGCTCATACTTGGGTCCTTCGTTTTCCTTCTCGGCATCCTTGGCCTTCTCTGCCTTCTCTGCCTTCTCTGCTTTCTCAGCCTTAATGGCCTCCACCTCCTCGGGTGTCTTATCCTGAAGATCTGCACGGTCATTGAGTCTTCTCTCCTGCTTTTTCTCCTTCTTGGTCTTCCCCAAGTCGATACCTTCGTCTGTCAAGTGCACCACGGTGCCGTCCAACAGGATCTCGTTGACCTGGAAATCAGCATACCGTTGCTTGATAGAGCCAAAGAAACCCGGCCCGGTTTTGTACGCTTCGTTGATGTACTGTGTCACTCCAACGTCAGCTTCCAGAACCACCTTGCCTGGAGCGGCATATGTCTTTGGTTTTTTCACCTGCTGAGCGGAAGGCGAGACACTTCTTTTGGCAGAATTCTCCATGACGTAGTTTAAATACAGACTGACCCTTGGAATTCTTCGAAAGAGGCTGGATAGTCACGTTCTGGACATGTAGGGTGGGTCTGGTTTTTTGAGATGGGCCTGATGAGCCTGGGTGTACTGCAGACGAGACTAGCAGACTGGACCGGTAGAAGCCAGCCTAGACATTTTTATTGTGATTGGGGTATATTTTGGTGAAAAGGAGCTTTCTTGATGACTGCTCTCAGCTCAATTCGCTCATCGTTGTGCTGTAGCTCAATTTGTGTTTCGGATCTTAGGTGTATTGCCTCAGTGGGTGGTCTCTCAGCGTCAGACAAGAAAAATCTTCAAAGACTATAAAACATCCCGTTCTGATGTTCTTCATCTGTAAAAAAGCACCTTTTTTACGAATCTCTACAGAAATACTCGGTAGCTCCACTTCATGGCTCAGCAGCACACCCCCACTACCGCACTATAAATGGCTGCAAAACACAAGGCCAACCACACTGCTTTCTACCACCACTTTTTTTGCTAACTCTGCTACATGTATCCTCGCTATTCTTCTAAAATCAAGTCGCTGATTCATGGTGATTCGGTCCGTAAACCCGCCACCGGCTCTTTGCCTCCGTTGTATCGGAACTTCTCCAAGCTGCCCAAGTCCTTCAACAGCTTCACAGTGAGCAGATCCAGTCTTGTGAGGGATTTCATCTCGGACCAGTTCGAGCGTTTCCGCTACAAAGAGGAACATCCACGGGACAACGGCCAGGATGTCCTGCTTGAATGGTTTGCCAAACTCCAGTTTGAGGCTGACTTTGCGGATGATTTGAGCACCGTTCGAAAGCAAAAGATCAGGCCTTCTTGCTGGGTCAACGAGCAGCGTTACGTTGTAATGAGCGACTTTCCTGCTGACGCCAGTTTGGCAGATTTGCTCTCCAGGGTTCGTGGAGGTAAGCTTGAGCGTGTGGTTTTGGGAAAGCATCCCGAGCCGTATCTTGAGCTCTACTTCTTGGACTACAAGTCAGCGAATGCCTTTTCTCGGTTTGCAGCGTCTGGGCTTTTTATCATCAACGGTAAGAAGCCGCTTATTGGTAGGAAAGTCCCAGAAAAAAGAGTCGAACCCGTGCAAGATTTGGTGAGGGTGGCTGCTGAGAGGATGAATGCATCGAGAGTTCTCAGACTTCAGAGCCCTGTGGAAGTGCCTGCAATTAGCTCCAAGGCTCAGGAACGGTTTCCTAGACCCCGTCAGTGGTTCGTGAAGACCTTTGATATGGAGGATATCCGGAAAGACTTGAGTCAGTATGGAACGATTGTCGAGATCAAGCCGGTCATTTCCCAGGGAATCGCAGTATCAGTTCACTTTACGTCTATTTCAGAGCTGCTTTTGGCTTTGCGGTCACTTGGGATTTATGATAGTCTCCACTGGCACAAGTACAAGGAATGGAGCATCAGTTTTTCGCCGGATCCAGCCGACACCCCTTGCTTCAGCGTTTAGGTATTGCTAGGTGATAATTTAAATAAACGAAAAAAAAAAAAAAAAAAAAAAAGAAAGAAGATTACGAATTGTAGTGTTTAGGTTGCTGAAATCGCAGCCGGATTTTTCAGGACCCTGGACTTTTTCGCAGCCAAACTCGCGGCTTAATTTTAGACTATGGCCTAGTCAAAGCAGTACAGCACTCACCATTTTCAATTATCAAGAAAAAAAAAAAAAAAAAAAAACTTCAGTTAAGTCTAGCTTTTTTTCAAGTGAAATAATTGTCCCGGCGGCGTGCCGCTGGTCGCCCTATCCTCCCCATGACAACCCCCGTCAAATACCCTAATCTGCTTTCCTAATGCGGCGTTGATGTAAACAAAGCTATCTGTCTCACTTCCCATACAAAGTTTCCATCTTTCATATCGCTCTTCAAACGCAATAACCACACCATGTACCGTTCAGGAAGAGCAACTCCGACCTCAAGACCCAGCTTCCCAGACCTCAAACGACCGGCATCCGCCAGAGGATATAGACCTCAGCTGCCTATGATCTCGTCTTCGAGACCATCCTCCAGTATGGGCTCCAGGCCTTCCACTCCCACTTTCAGACCAGAACCATATACGGGCTCGATTTCCGTCAGCATTAGGCCAAATCCACATACCAGCAGCGCCGGCCTGAACCAGGTTTGGCAAATTGAAGAATACTCCAACACCATCACCAATGCCCAGGACAATTCCTCCTACACCTTCGATAACGTGTTCGGGCCTTCGCTAGACGTCTCCAACAGGACGGTCTACAATCGTTCATGTGCACATCTTGTGAACAAATTTCTTCATGAGGGCTACAACTCCACGCTTTTCGCCTATGGTATGACAGGTTCAGGCAAGACCTACTCGATGCGTGGTGACGACCATGACCCGGGCTTTGTTCGTTTGGCTATCGACGACATTTTCACCAAAATCGACTCTCCCAACCTGGGCTGCTCCTATGCTCTCTCGGTGACCTACCTTGAGATTTACAACGAGAAGATCGTGGACCTTTTAGCCAACGGTGGTACGGCAATGGGCTCTCACGCTGAGCTCAAAATCAGAGACGATCCTGACTATGGCGTGAAGATCATGGGTGTCTGCAGCCCGACCGTATCGTCCAAACAGTCCTTGCTTCAGCTTATAAAAGCTGGTGACATGAAACGTAAGACATCTGCCACAGACTACAACGCTAGACTGTCTCGGTCCCACGCTATTTTGCAATTGCGTCTCCACACGGTAGACATGGCTATGAACACTGAGCACAAGGCAACCCTTTCACTCTGTGACTTGGCTGGTTCCGAAAGGGCCACTCTGTGTGCTGAGAGAAGAAAAGAGGGTTCTTTCATCAACAAGTCACTTCTTGCGCTTTCAACTGTCATCAACAAATTGTCGCTAGCATCCACCTCCGGCAGCATGGACCACATCCCTTATAGAGACTCGAAGCTCACAAGGCTTCTCCAGCCTTCCCTCTCTGGGCTGGCACTAATTCTGATTCTATGTAATGTCCATTTGGGCCTGGGGCAGTCTGCTCTCACTCAGCAGTTTGTCACGGAAACAACCAACACTCTTAGATTTGCAGCCAGAGCTAAGGATATCGTGTTGCTGGTGAAAGCAAGTCACAAGCTGTCGATTGGTGATGCCGAGGCCCAGAGATTGATAGATGATTTAAGAAGGCAGGTGGAATCGCAGAAGAACGAACTCACCCTTCTCAAGTTGCACTCGAACATGCAACCTGTGGGACTGGAACCATCTAGCGACTCCTCTGTGGCTCAACTCCAGGGAGAAATCAAGGTTCTCAATGAACGAATCGAGCATCTCAACCGCCTTTCGGACTTGAACAAAACGGAGGTGGTCCTTCTACGAAACGATGCCTTGAACGACATTCTCGGCATGGATATTGACAAGACCTCTCAACAAATGATGATGGCGAACCTTGAGGATTTCTACAAGCGCTTGACGCATGAAATGGAGCAGTACAAGCAATATAATGCCACATTAGAAAATCAGCTCCGCGCTGCTCATCAACAGCTAGCGGCTGTTGCAATGTCAGAGAATAATAAAGCTGAAAGACTATCCGATAAACGTTATGATTCAATTGTTAGACTGCAAGAGGAAGAGATACAACTGCTCAAAGAGACGCTTCGTGATAAGGATCACATAATTCAAGGACTTACAAAAACCACTAAACTTCGCCGTCTTGTGGACTCGTCGAACTCAAACGCTGTTCCCTCGGTTGACTACATCAAAAGACCCACCGTTCCTCAAGCGGTTGAAAGTCCAGACAAAGAGAATGTGGTGAGTGAGATCCGTCAGTTTAGATTGAGCCCGAAGAAGCCAACACTTCCTCGCTTTAATTAGGTGTAACTATGCTATGTACGAATTATGATAATCAATGAAGAGCTTAAGCCCATGCATTAGGAGGACGTTCTTGGCCACTTTGTAGGCTCGCTCTTTTCGACTGGCTTTGTTTTGGCTGCGCTTTGGTACTATCATGCATACGTCTTTGCAAACGAAGCAGAGAATTAAAAGATCCACCATTTCCTCCAGATATCCCTCCACCAAGTTCCTGACTTGGTAGTGACGGTTTACGGCCATCGTTATTCGGAGTTCCAGGTGGATTGGCAACTGACACCACCGGAGGTCTGAGTTTGACGTCGTTACTATCAAACTGAAGAACGTTAACAAATTTGTCCTCCGACTTTTCACCTCCATTGAAAAGGCCAGTGGTATCGTCAATTTGGACCTCAAACCCCATCAGCTGGTTCACGGTGTCATCCACGAAGAAGTCAACGCGATCTTTGTTAAATAATTGAACCTTCTTCCCCTTACCAAGTCTAACACCATTCACAAAACACGAGTTTGTACTGAAATCCAAGAGCCAGATGTCTTCAAGGCAGTGTGCTGGACTCTCATAGATCGACATTTGCCTTACTGGGTGGCGTCTCTTGTGAATGAGACAGTGGATCTTGGACATCCTGTCATCATTAATGAAAGTATCGCAAGTCTCGTTTCGACCAATAGCATATGGATTCACACCCTGGCGAATGTAGATTGGCTTTTTCGTTACCGAGTCGGCCTTGGGCTTCAACGTAATGAAATTATCTTGAGGAGGCCCGTCAGGGTCATTGGGACTCGATAAGCTGAGCCTCCTAACAGCGTTTTCGTCAACTTTAATTCTCTTCGAAGTTTCTTCGTCCTCTAGTATCTGCGGTGGGCGCTTCCTTCCCAGCTCATCGCTCTTTTGCTTCAACGGCAGTAATTGATTCGCAACATTTACTTTTTGCGAGTTTGGATGAAGGGGCTGGGATTGTGGTAGTGGAACAACCCTTCTTGGTACCTTAAATTGCGAGTTATTGTCCTTAGGCTTTTTGTTCTTTTCGCCCTCCAAGGGCCTGAACATCACATCATCGTCCAATTTGCTCATAGATGCATTCACATGTAGACCATTCTCAATCTTCCTCGACTTTTGTGAAGTTGATTGTGATAGACTTACCTTCTGTGATTCCTCAGACTCTTGCGAATATGGCTCTACTCCTTCAAGCCATGGGTGATTAAGCGCATCGTCGGCGATGATACGTTTCTTTGGATCGACCTGTAAACAGCACTTCAAGAAATCCCTGCCCTCGTCTGAAATCTCATATGAATTGAGAGGGGACTCGTGGTATTCACCACTTTTGATCTTTTGAAACATTTGACTCTGAGTCTTTCCATTGAATGGCAAGTGGGAAGTCAATAGAACATATACCAAACAGCCTAAGGACCATATGTCAACCAAGTTACTGTAGTTTATGTGGGGTGAGTCCTGAGATGCTTGTTGCAGGTCGTATTTGCCAGTAATAACCTCTGGAGCAACATACGCCAATGTTCCGCAAAACGTCTTCATGAAAGTTGCATTGTCACTTATCTTTGCAAGACCAAAGTCCGTGATCTTCACCAATATAGGATCATCTTGCATGATGAGGATATTGTCGGGCTTCAAGTCTCTGTGAGAGATGCCTAGGCGATGAACGTAAGCAATTCCGTCCAAAATTTGTCGCGTGATAACTTGAGTGGCATCTTCGCCGATGGCACCGTTGGCGGCCACAAAGTCCATAAGGTCGCCTCCTGGCACGAACTCCATGACAAGGTAGTAGTTCTCGATGTCCTCGTAAAAGGACTTGAGCTTGACGATGTTTTTATGATCTAGCTTTCGAAGAATCTCCAACTCTCTATTAACGCCCATCATCGCTCCTTTCCCTCCAGCGTGGATAGCTCTTCGACGGTTAATCATCTTCACAGCATATGAGTCACCTGTGCTTCTTTCAACAGCTTTTTTCACAATCGCAAAGGCACCCTGGCCAATGGTTTCGTTCTTTATTATAAAATCCTTGTAAATGCCCTCGTCTTTGATGACAAGGTTGTTGGAGGAGTTCAGAGGATTGTAAACGTCTGAAAAAAGCACCACAAATCGTATGACATCTTTAGGCACACCAACACCGACGGCAATTTCGTCGCCCTGGTTGACAATGTAGTTTGAACCTTTCACAACACGATTTCCATTGAGATGCGTGCCGTTGGTGGACGTGTCTTGTATCCACAACGTCTTGTCGCTTAGATTGAGCCATAGCTTAAAGTGTTTGTTCAGAAGACGAGTGCAGACGCTCAACACAAAGTCACATTCAGCGTTGCGGCCAAAAATCCACGTCTTTTTCAGCAGCTGAGCCGGCGTTCGCGTGGGAACACTCTTGTTCAAGTCAAAGTGTCTGTATTGACCCGTTGTGCAAATAAGCCTGCAAACGTGATTCTCGTCAAAGGTGACATCCTCCTTCTGCGTTGGCGCCGACTGCTGTGTCGGCTGTGTTTGTGTGGGTTGCGTAGCATCCATTAATAGCAGAATGGGAAGGGACCCTGGCAATATTATGCTTTTTAGACTCGGTGATGATTTTATCCTGAGGTAGGCGCGTCGCCCTGCAGGCCCCTTGAAGGTGTTGGATTCATCGTCAGGAAGGATTGAAGAATAATTGGGTATATGTGAGAAATCCTAATTATTCTTGGATATTTATGATTTCGTGGACTAGTTTCTCTCAACTCTTTGATAGTTATCGATACCCGAGGGGAAGACGATACATACTACCTTCGTGCTCGCCTCAAACCTCTTATTATAGGCAATGTATAGCCAAGACGATTCTGATGAAATATTTCAAAGTGTAATGGGAATCGGAACAGCTGATTGTGATGATTTTGTTATTGTTGCGGGTTCCATGATACCGTCCATGAGAATTAAACGCTCGAGTAAAGGAGAGGCATAATTAGCAATTCGACTGACTCCAAAGAACTCCCAAAACAAGGTTTCTGTTATATCAAAACGATTTGTGGCAAAATGTTTCGTGGATTAAAATTCTAGGGAAGAATTATGTCTTTTGCAACTTAGAGTAAATGGCTGCGAAATTATGCAAAGTGTCTATCTCGCACCAGATTCGATCAAAAACAAGAAGCGTTCGAAATCAAACAATAAGAAACAAAGCTAAAAGAGCAGTTGGAAGATACTAGCTTTGAGTCTACCTTTCGAATAAATGGAATTACAGTTAAAAGAGTACCAAAGCACACCGCATCGGGTTCAAAGCCCACTGACAAGACTGATACTTTTGCAAGCATTTGCCTTCAAAAACTAGCTTTAATAATTTATTCACGGATTTCGAGTTCGTTCCTGAGATCGTAAATATTCTTAGCACGGCGTCGACTGCCGTTTACGTTTGATCTGACGCTCAATAAGCCTCTCTGGAAGGCGCTGCAACTAATTAGCAAGATGAAGGAATTGCTGTACTGAGGGGTTGGACGGCCATTGTACCCCACGTACCCCACGGTAGCATTTTCTGCCGATGCGGCTTCCGGAGATTTGAAAATGTAACATCGGGTAAAAATCTCCATCTACTGTATCGCTAGGCCGTAATTCCATTACATTAAATATCGTACATCTATTTACCCTCAACGCAATTGCTTAAAGGAACGCGTGAGTGAGACCACAGGCTCCAATTCAGGATCACTGGTCTCATTTTGAGTATAGTCCAAGCTGTTCCACTCATCCTCTCTGTAGTTGTAGTGCTTGAACAAGAACCAGAAGATCCAGCCGGCAATGAAACAAGAAACACCCAAACCACAGAAGGTCCACACCATTTTGGGGTCCTCGGACACTGGGGAAAGCGCAATACCAAGGGCAGAACCAAAAGCGTTCATAAGAAGGAAAATGGACATGATGAAAGACTTCATGTTCACAGGAGCCTTGGTGTAGGCGTACTCCAAACCGGTGATGGAAGCGAAAATCTCCGACATACCAATCAAGAAGTAACAAGGAGTCTGAAGGGCAATGTGGATGTGGTTTGGAATCTTCTTGAATTCTGGGTCACAGGCCTTTGGGAAGTTGTAACAAGGACCAGCTTTGTAGATGAAGTGCTGCAAGATACCAGCGTAGATCATGGCAGCGGCGCCGAACATGAAGCCCCAGAAAATCTTGGTGACAGCTCTGAATGGAGTGAATCTTCTGATGAATGGGTAGACAAATCTCTCACAGATTGGAATAAACACGATAAGGGTGATGGAGTTGATGGCCTGCAAGATATCGTTGGGCAAACCGTGGAGCTCCATCTGACCTGCCTGGGAAACAAAGTTGTTGTTCATCTGACCGTAGACCAACCAGTAGATAGGGTAGAAGGCAAACACTTTGCAGGCGTACAAGGATCTCTGGACCTCATCGACAAACTTGTCGTCCCATGGGAAAGCCTTGTCAGGGTGAAGAGAGGGTCTGGCAGCATCGTAGTTGAGACTCTTCAAAGCAACAAGAGAGCACTTGAACGAACGAGAAATGACCTTGTCACCGACAGGCACCTTGACGTAGTTGTTCTTGCCCAAGATAAGAGCGGCTATAGCGATGGTGAAGAAGCAGAGCGGCAAAAGGAAGGCAGCCCAGAAATCGACATTGTGCTCCAACTCGGTGGTGGCGATAACGGAAAGAGAGCCGACGTTGATCATGAGGTAGAAGAACATGAAAACGTTCTGGATGGTGATGTTGGGGTCCTCAATGACTCTCTCGCCGCTCTTCAAAACCTTAATGGAAGGCTTGGACTTGGGCACCTGGTCGGCAATCAAAGGAGAGACGTTAGACTTGACACCACCGGTACCGATACCAATGACGATAATGGCGACAATGAAACCCGCCAAGGAGGTGTCCTTGGAAGCGACGGAGGGAAGCGAGGTGATGAACAAGATGAAAATACCAGCCATCATGATCACACAGAACACGCAGATGGTGAGGTACTTTCCGAGGAAAGTGTCGGCGACCCAGGCACCGAAAATAGGCGTCACGTAACACCAAAACTGCCAAAAGTACGACAAGGCGGTGGCACCGGATTGGTTCAAGCCGAGAATACCACGGGGATGGTCCTCTGGGGTATTTTGCATGTAGTTCTGGAACGGCGTCGACAAGCCGTAGTAGGAGAAACGCTCCGACAATTCGACAAGGGCCACAAGCCAACAGGAGAGAGGGATCTTTCTGGAGACTCTGCGGAGAGTCTTCATTTCCTCGTCGGTAGGTTCAGCGCCTTCCACAGTAGGAGGCACGGACTCAAGGTCCTGGGAGCGTTCAAGCGACTTTTCATCGGCGTTGATGAACTTCTCGTCAACGAGCTTGTCGTCGTGTTTTTCGATTTTATCAGACATGGCGAGGCACAGAGAGCGATTTTGTGGAGGTAGGAAAGCGTATTTATACGATGGAGCGGAGATGCACGATAAGTGGGCGAGGGCAGTTTTTCATGCGGAGAGCGTTATCGAGAACGGCACTGGGGAATTAGTCTCCTGGTTGCAAACCTAGAGACAAAACGCCTACCGTGCGGATGCGGCGTTTGCAGCCACCAGGCCCAACAGCGGCAGCACAATGGGCGGCGGAGAGGAAGCCACAGCCCGGCCGATGGATTTCTGATTCTTGGGAGTTTTTCTTTTTTAGATCCTTTTTAGAAAATTTTCTCAAGTGTTACTGGCTATTGGGGGTGCCTCCGGAAGTGGCGCGAGGATGCTTCCGCTGCATCCAGTGCATCGCAGCGATGGGGATTTCTTGCACTCGCAGCCGTCTGGCCATGTTGTGTGAAGGGTCCAAAAGCGCCGTACTTAGGCCCCATACGGCACGGTGCCTGGTTCTGCCGTGCGGTGGGAGAGGCCCAAATTTAGATCCCGTACCTGAGCGTGGATTAGTCCAACCTGTCACTTTCGCCTTGGCGGCCGTTTTGACGTTTTTCTGACAGTATTTTCTTCGTCTGGTTTGCTGGGCGCTGTGGTTTTTTTTTTTCGGCTGGGTCCGTGGTCTTGGCACGGCGCCGCAGAAGACCTCATTGGGTGCGAAACAGATAGCTGATAGGAAAAAAACTCCAGTCCAGTGAGATAGGCAGACCGCTGCAAAGCTCATAAAAAAGGCACAAAAGGCTAAAAAGCACCCAGAGGGGATTTCTTGATAATCGCTCGATTTGGCAAAAAGCGGCCGTCCGCTGGCCACGCTGTGGCGCTGGAACATCCAGAGGGCTCATTGGAGGCTTGGGAGGCTCAGCGTGCGATATCGTATTCCGCCGGCTTGTTCTGCCGGTTTACTTAGAACCACACGGTCGCGTGGCAGCCGCTTAGTTCTGGCGCCGTTTCCACGGGCAGCTCACTGACATTGCCGGGGAAGCACTCCGGCTGGTTGGGGGTGTACCGACTGGAGGCACAAAAGTATTTGGCTTTTTGTCTTTTTTTTTGTATTTTTTTTTTTTTTTTTGTCTTTTTTTTCTTGTGACTACTTTGTGTTTTCCTCTTCTGGATTGCACTAGGCATCAGGTGGGCCGGAATTGGGTACTAGTCAGGCGCTGGGGGACATGACCGGGGTATAGAGTTAAGGTTGCGAAACCAAAGCTTGTCTCCATGCGGTGGAAAGTTGCCCCGCGGGGTGGAAAATCCGACATGCCGCTGATACCCGCAACCGAGTTAATTGCACCGTTTTGTTATTGTGATCGAGGGCGACTCGGTTGAGTCTGGACTGGGGAGAATTGCCCTATGAGCTTGTAGAGGCTTTGGGTTTTGTGGGTATGAAAATGGTACTAAGCGATTGCGGGGTCCGGGACTAAAAGCCAATCCAGGCAGTCATATTTTGATCGACGGAAATCTTATTTTGATCGACAGGGAAATTTAAGTGAATGGTTGTGGGTGTTGGACTGGTGGATTCAGACCTGTACGGCGGTGCACCGGTAGGAGTGTACCGGTGCTATCGCTAGCGGATGATCGTACTGCTATTTCCATCGAACCACGCACCAGCGGAATTTACCTCCGCCATCTAAAGTCATCTAAAAAAAATGCTCTGGAGGTGACCTGGTCAAAAAAAGAAGCTCCGATACGGGAGTCGAACCCCGGTCTGCTCGGTGAAAGCGAACCGTGATAGCCGTTACACTATATCGGACTTGTAGGGTTGAATGGCGTGCAGGTGTCTTATGTTGTGGAAACATTGTGTTGGTGCAAAAATTAGGATTTCGGCAATTTTGAGGACGCCGTTAGTATTTGTTGTCTTTAGTGTCTATGGGGACCAAAAATGAGCAGCTCTGGAGCACTGTACACACTTTTATAGCCATATTTCAAAGATACGGTGAAAAGTCCACTTGTCAGAGACCGAAGCGAGGTGAAGCCGTTGCAATTGTGCTGATTGGGGTGGCACAATTTACGACTACCCATAGGAGCTTCATTGTAGCATTGCAGTTGTACCCGGCAGACCAAAGACGATATGAATACGAGAACTATAATAACTGAAAGGGTCTCCAAATGGCCCGAACTAAGTCCTCACAACATTCAAAACTTCAAGAAGAAATTCATATCACCCGGTGAGTCAAGACTGAAGGAAGTGTAGGTTTCAGATATGAGATTGAGTACACTTCTACCTCAATGGGCTGATAAAGGTTAGTACTCAATCTACTCTGTTTGGAATGTTATACTTAGTGTTCTGACAAAAATATTCACTGACAGATCCGATAACCAGAAAAATCTCCGTATTTTTAGCGCTTGATTTCAGTGTAGTTCAGCTCTAGGGTCGCAACACCCCCCATGTAAATCAATCACCACGGCTGCAAACATAGCTCAGAAACCAAATACTTCACATATTTGCAAACAACATTAGTTTTTTAGCCAGTAAGCAGCTAATAAAATTCGCAATTGTATAGCAGCCATCATAGGGAATCCATACAAGATTGTCACAATTCATCAAATGTTGTTACCAGATGTACCTGCCCTGGATGCCCCGTCAATTGCCTGTCAAACGAGCCACTCACGGATCCCGGATACTAACTTACTACCCAGATTGCCTTCGTGTGGATAATGAGTGGCTGACACTCCGTGGCAATACCAAGCCTCATGGTGTTGAGCCTTGGTCAAATTACGAGCCATTGTTCAAGGAACACAAAGCGTCACAAACGACGTTGACGCCGTGATGGCAAATTTCTTGGAGAGATTACGATCTTCTCAGAATAACAACTAATTCAAGAACTCTCAATTTGCAGCAATCGCAATAATTTGTAGCAAGTCTTGGAAGCGAACAAACTTCCGCCATGAAGCGCGACCATGACCTCAGATTGGGGACTTTTCCGTCGTGGTTTTTTAGCCCTGCTGCTTCAACTAGACCACACTTTTGCGCTACAGCGTTTTTACACATCCGCTCCACGAGCTTGCCACACATTGTAGCATTTGGCAAAAACAAACATTGGAAGTTTCGGACAAGCATGCACTTTTCGAAATAGCCATGACGCTCTCTCCAAGCATCAAAGAACTCCCAAAACACCGAGCAACGATTCTTGAAAGGTGCTCCGCCTTCATGTCTTAGCCGTCTTAGGCACCGTGCATACGAGGATTTGTCCCTGAAGAAGCATCCGATTCGGGCTTGTCGAAAAACACACGGCACCACGATGGCGTTCAAAGAGTTATTGAACTAAGTAAAGACTCCCTGGCCGTGACGCGTCTTGCCTTCGACATGACCAGGTTTCCTTTTTGCCACAAGATGGAAACAACGCGTTAGGGGTGACCCCCGCCACCTGGTTCCTGACCAATCGGAGATTTCCCATGATTACTACAAGGTTCCATTGTGTCCCAGGTAAACCGAAAGCTTGGAGCGTCCGATTTGGGGCATATCGGCCCTGGCATACCATCTCTGGCATACCCATTCACATATTCCATTGTTCGCCTTTCCGGCGCAGGGTTCATAAAAATGAGCCATAGTGAGCCATGGCAGCCAAGGGAACCCACAGACGCCTTCAGCTAGATCATGCACGGTGGCTCGTTTAGGCTGCTGGAGTGGCTTTTCTTAGTCTGCAATGTTCTTATGTCGCGGAGGTGCGGACGGCGACGGAAACCGGACGGATACAGTGTATCTATCCGTCCCGGGTTAACTACTAGCCGCTGCCTGAAAACGTTTTCTACGTAACTGTAAACGTTCCCTACGTGTTGCAGCTACTGCGCCGTCTGTCATTATTTTTCAGAGATTGCAGAAACAGCCACAACGGATGCACTCTCTTTCGCAGCCGTGTACACCAAAGTTCCCCAGAACACTTTGGTAATTTTCATTCTACCCTGCATTGATTCGGCTGAGAACGGCCGTTCCAAAAATGTATTTGCCACTCAATTAGAGTTTCTGCTCGTGCCACTGCTATCGCTTATGTTCTCCCGATTGTGTTGCTGCATGAAGCCGTTCCGCCAGTGCTTCTGTGCATCGCATCTTATCAGACCTCGCAGCATAAAAGCAGCTCACCTCGCACCTTCTGTTTCGCCATATCACCCAGCCAAATGGTCGAATTGGAGAAAGGCAGCGAGCCCGAGCTCCAGCATCGACTCCTTACTCCATTCCTCCTGAAGAAAGTCCCTCCGGTTCCTCACGATGAAGACAGACCGTACCACCCCAAGTGGCGAAATCCATTCAGTTTCCTCTTCTTCACCTGGTTGACCCCGGTTTTGCTTGTGGGGTACAAGCGGACGTTGCTTCCGGAGGATATGTTCAAGCTTCACGAAGGCATTACCGCTGAGCATCTAGCGGAGAAGTTCCAGAGAATCTTTGACCGCCGGTTGGCTCAAGACAAGCAGAGACACTTGAAGGAGAAGGCTAAGGCCAGGGGAGAGACGTTGGAAACGTCCTCTGTTGAATCCGTTGACGACATGGCTGACTACGAGTTGTCTAAGTCGCTCTGCTTCCTCACACTTTACGAGACGTTTGCTCGCCAATACTCCTTGGCGTTGGTGTTTGCTACGCTAGGCATGTCATGCTCCACGTGTATTCCGCTTTTGTCCAGAAAATTGATCAATTTCGTTCTGGAGAAGGCCTACGGCTTCAATTTGAACATGGGCACCGGTGTCGGCTACGCCATCGGTGTTGCCATTTTGATTTTTACCGGTGACGTCCTCATCAACCAGGGTGTTTACCTCTCCATGATCACGGGTGCCCAAATTAGGGCCGTCTTCACGAAACTTTTGTTGGACAAGTCCTTCAAACTCAATGCAAAGTCGAGAAAGCAATTTCCTGCTTCCAAGATTACCGCCATCATGAGTACTGACGTCTCTCGTGTTGACTTGGGTACGGGCTTCTCCATCTATGGCTTTGTGTTTGTGTTCCCCGTGGGTATTTCTATCGGCATTCTTGTTTATAATATCAAGGCCCCCGCCATGGTCGGTGTGGGTCTCATGATTGCATTCTTATTCGTGGCAGGTATCTTGGGTGCCATGCTTTTCAGCTTCAGAAAGACCGCTCAGAAGTCCACCGACGCCAGAGTCAGCTACATGAAGGAGGTCTTGAACAACTTGAAGATGATCAAATTTTATTCCTGGGAGAAACCATACTTTAGCCTCATCTCGAAAATCAGACGCAGAGAGATGGCTTACCTTCTTAGAATGGAGATCACCAGAATGATTATCATTACCTTGGCCTCATCGTTGACCTTGATCAGTTCCTTGGCTTCTTTCCTCACCCTTTACGCAATTGCTTCCCCCAGCTCAAGGAATCCTGCTGACATTTTCTCGTCCGTTGCACTTTTCAACATGTTGGCTGGCCAATTTGTGGTTCTTCCGCTTTCTATTGCCGGAAGTACCGACGCCTTCCTCGGTATGAATAGAGTGGCTGCTGTCTTAGCCGCCGACGAAATTGATCCCAAAGACTCTGTTCGCCTTATCACTGATGATGAGAGAACCGCCATGCAAGAAAATAAGCTTGCTGTTTCTGTTCGTGACTGTGACTTTGAATGGGAAATCTTCGATCTCAAAGAGGAGAAGACTGAGGACCAGACCAAAGACAACAAAGAGTTGAAGAAGGAGAAGAAAGAGATGAAGAAAAAGAAGAAGGAAGAAAAGAAGGCTCAGAAGGCATCCAAGTCCAATTCTCCTTCGCCCGAGGTAGATGAAAAGACTGGCGAGGTTTCCTCTTTCAAGCTCAACAACATCAACCTTGACGTGAAGGATGGCGAGTTTGTTGTTATCACTGGCTCCATTGGTTCTGGTAAATCCTCCTTGCTACATGCCCTTGACGGTACAATGAAGAAAAACTCCGGAAAGTTGCTTCTCAATGGGTCCCTTTTGATGTGCGGAGTCCCCTGGATTCAAAACAACACTTTGCGGGAAAACATCTTGTTTGGCTCGCCATACGATGAAGCCTGGTACAATAAAGTAGTTGAAGCTTGCTCCTTGAACAGTGATTTTGATCTACTTCCTGCTGGTGACCGTACTGAAATTGGAGAGCGTGGTATTACACTTTCAGGTGGTCAAAAGGCTCGTGTTTGTTTGGCAAGAACTGTTTACGAGGACAGCTCGATTATTCTTCTCGATGATGTCTTGAGTGCCGTCGATGCTAAAGTCGGTAAGCACATCATGAATGAATGTCTTTTGGGTCTCTTGAAAAACAAAACCAGAATTTTGGCTACGCATCAGCTCTCGCTCATCAGTGAGGCCGAATCAGTTGTGTTCTTGAATGGTGATGGAAGTATATCTCGTGGATCATTTGAAGAGCTCAAGCGTTCCAACCCTGCTTTCAATACGCTTATGGAACACAGTCGCAAAAATGAAGATAGTGATGACGAAGAAGAGGATTTGAAGGGAGCTCCCGATGAAAAGGAACTCATCAACAGGCAGCTCACAAGACAAACCACCACTCAGATCAGTGACGATAGCAATGAAAGCGGACTTCCCGAAGGTGACGGAAAATTGATTGGCGAGGAAGAAAGATCCATTAATGCAATTGGCTGGGACGTTTACGGAAGATATGTCTTGACTGGTGTCGATGGGTTCAAGCTTAACTGGCCAGTTTATTTAGTTTTTGGCGCCACTGTTTTCACCACGTTCCTTACTTTATTCACCAATAACTGGTTGTCCTTCTGGATCCAGATGAAGTGGGACTACTCTGACGGTTACTACATCGGCTTGTACGCCATGTTCACTGCGCTTGCTGTGATGTTCATGATCACTCAGTTCTGTGGTGTGATTTACATCTTGAACAGAGCCTCGAGAATCTTAAATATCAAAGCTTTGGAAAGAATTCTTCATGTACCAATGGCTTTTATGGATACAACGCCTATGGGAAGAGTGATCAACAGATTCACGAAAGATACGGATACCTTGGATAACGAGATTGGTGACCGTGTGTCCATGGTTGTCTACTTCCTTTCTGATATTGTCGGTATCATCATCTTGTGTATCATCTACATGCCTTGGTTCGCCATCGCAGTGCCTTTCATTATCGGGTTTTTCATTATCTTGGCTACATTCTACCAGGCTTCAGGTAGAGAGGTGAAGAGACTTGAAGCTATTCAGAGATCGCACGTCTACAACAATTTCAACGAGTCCTTGACAGGTATGCCTACAATCAAGGCATTCAAGCTGATTGGAAGATTCTTGGAAAAAAATGTGAAAACCATCAACAAGATGAATGAGGCTTACTATATCACCGTGGCTAATCAGAGATGGCTTGATGTCCACTTGTCCATGTTGGCTTCGCTGTTTGCCTTTTTGATTGCAATGCTTTGTGTATTCCGTGTGTTTAACATCAATCCTGCCTCGGTCGGTTTGTTGTTGTCTTACGTTCTCCAGATTTCGTCTACAGTTTCCATGTTGGTTGTTGTGTTCACTCAAGTCGAGCAGGATATGAACTCAGCAGAGAGAGTTATCGAATACGTCTACAAAATTCCTCAGGAAAAAGCTTATGAGATATCAGAGACGAAGCCTGCTCCTGAATGGCCAGCTCATGGTGAGATCAAGTTCATCAATGTTGGCTTTGCTTACAGGGAAGGTTTGCCGCTCACATTGAAGAACTTCAACGTTGATATCAAGCCTCACGAAAAGATCGGTATTTGTGGCAGAACGGGTGCTGGTAAGTCTTCCATCATGGTTGCCCTTTTCAGAATTGCTGAGTTGAGCGCAGGCTCCATTGTGATAGATGGTGTTGACATCAGCACTCTTGGATTGCACGACTTGAGATCTAGGCTCTCGATTATTCCACAAGATCCTGTTTTGTTCAAAGGAACCATCAGAAAGAACTTGGATCCATTCGGAACAAAGACAGACGAGGAGTTGTGGGACACGTTGAGAAGAGCCGATATCATCTCTGCAGAGACTCTAGAAGAAGTCAAGGCACAGAAGCCAGGCGATGATGATTTCAACAAGTTCCACCTAGATGGCGAAGTTGACGACGAGGGTGAGAACTTCTCGCTCGGTGAGAGACAATTGGTCGCTTTTGCAAGAGCTTTGGTCAGAAACACCAAGATTCTTGTCCTAGACGAGGCCACCTCGAGTGTTGACTACGCTACCGACAGCAAGTTGCAAAAGGCTATCGCAAGAGAGTTCAGCGGGTGCACCATTCTCTGTATTGCGCACCGTCTTAAGACGATTTTGAACTACGACCGTATCATGGTCATGGACCAGGGTTCGATCAGCGAGTTTGACACTCCAACCAATCTTTTTAACTCGACCAGCTCGCTTTTCAGGCAGATGTGTGACAAGTCCGGCATCTCCCAGTTTGACTTCGAAGAGTAACGAAGTCTCCTTGTACATAATAATTTGGTATTAGGAAGGTTCTTATAGATCAAAAAAGAAAAAAGAAAAAAAAGAAAAAAAAAAATTGTATAATCCTTTAAGGCCAGCTCAATTGTAGGACCAGGTGGGTCGCGCATGTGCGACCCCAGATCTCAAGTAACAACATCAACAACAGTACATGAGCTGGTTTTTACCGCTTACCCAGGTTTTCGGAGGCTGCTGTTGCAATGTGTATCTGTTTGAAGAGCTTACACGTGATAAACGGCTTTTCCTGCTAGCGCCCAATTTGGGAACCACGGTGACTCTATGCCAGTTTATATTGGTTCTGATAGTGAGTCTCCCGAGTCAACTAGATGGGTTTTCGTTCAAAAAGACGCACATCCCGCTTCCAAAACTTCTATTCCTCGTGGCATTGTACTTTATTGTTTCTGTGCTAAACAACCTGGCTTGGCGCTTTGGGATCTCGGTTCCTTTACACATTGTGTTCAGATCAAGCAGTACTGTTTGTTCCATGATCGTGGGCTACATAGTGGGCGATAAGAGGTACCTGAAACACCAGGTGGTGCTGTGCATACTTATGACGTTGGGGACTTTTCTTGTGATTTCCCAGGGGCTGCAGAGTAGCGATTCGGTGTCCTTCAATTACCTCTTTCTATGCGGTATAGTGGTGCTAACTTTCGCGTCTTTGCTAGGTGCATACATGGGCATCTACACTGAGGGGTTGTACAAAATGTACGGCGCCCATTGGCAGGAAACGCTTTTTTACACTCACTTTTTGGCCTTGCCGATGTTTTTGGTTTTCAGCCCTGCCCTAGTTGCTGATCTCAAGGTCCTTTGGAACTCTGAGGTCTACTATGGAGTGCCGCGCAGTTTGGCCTTCTTGGGGCTCAATGCCGTGACCCAGGTAGTCTGTGCGCTGGGAGTGAACCGCCTTGCTGGCGTAGCGTCGTCATTGACGGTCGCTGTGATTTTGCTCACGAGGAAATTTGCCAGTTTAGCCATCAGTGCTTATATTTACGGGCTGTCTTTCTCAAGGCAAGGCATGGTCGGCTCGCTTTTGATTGTATTGTCTACCGTTTACTACACCGTGGCCTCGATGAAAGCAAAACCGCAAAGCAAGCAAAAATCGGACTAATTATAGCAGGTTGTCTAACCTCCAGAATGGTTGCAAAATGGACCCTGCGAATGCAGTACGTGAGGTCTCGCACCTCCACAAATCAATTGCAACTCCGATCATGTGACCACTCTTCGACTAGTCTTCTCCTTCAATGCCTGGTCGAATGCTAGAAGGCGTGTTTCGCCAGCTAGCAGGGGCCACACGTCTGATACATGCATCCTGTGTGAGGGCAGAGCCCAAACTCAATGCTGTTCCGCCCGTGAAAACTAGAAACATCGGCATCATTGCTCACATCGATGCCGGCAAAACGACGACGACCGAAAGAATGCTATTCTACAGTGGCAAGACGCTGAGAATTGGCAATGTTGATGAAGGTGACACGGTCACTGACTACTTGCCTTCGGAAAGACTGAGAGGTATCACCATCCAGCTGGCGGCCATCTCGATCCCATGGAACGCACATAAGATCAATATCATTGATACGCCTGGCCATGCGGACTTTACTTTTGAGGTCACTCGGTCACTTCGAGTATTGGATGGTGCTGTCACCATTTTGGATGCCGTGGCTGGTGTCGAGGCTCAAACAGAGAAGGTCTGGCACCAGGCAGCTGCTCTTAACATCCCCGCATTGCCTACATCAACAAGATGGATAGGCCCGGTGCAGGGTTCAGTCGGACCGTCAAGGAGATCGTCTCGAAGTTGCAAACCCGTGTTGTTTGCGTCAACTTGCCATATTTTGAGAATGTTGATTCTGAACCAGTCTTCAAAGGTGTGATTGATGTCATTCACAAGAAGTTGCTTCTCTGGGACTCCAGTGTCGATTTGGATGGAACAAAAATAACCGCAGTTGACATCAATGAAGCCACAGTGGGCGAGCTTTACAAGATGGTTGCCGGTAGCAGGGAGTCAATGGTGGAGACGTTAGGTGAGTTCGACGATAGCATCATCGAGTCTTTCTTTGAGCACGATGAAGACTACATGGCCATTCCTGCTAGTGTTTTGCAAACCGCCATCAACAAAGCGACGCTTCAAAACAACATAACGCCTGTATTTTGCGGTCTGAGCTTCAGGAACATTGGTGTCCAGCCCTTGATGGATGGTGTGGTGAGATACTTGCCATCTCCATTGCAAATCGAGCTTCCCGAAGTCACGTCGTCGTCCAGTAAAATCACGAAGAAAAAGAGGAAGGCTCAGAAGAAGACGGGCTCAGAGACTTCGGATGCCATTCCCTTGAAGATGGATCCTACCAAGGGTCTCATAATCAACAATAATAACAACTTGACGGTCGCCCTTGCATTCAAAGTTATTACCCACCCTGCTCGTGGTGTGATGACTTTCTTTAGAGTCTACAGTGGTCAACTTGCCTCGAACAGTACGGTGGTGAACACTAGAACGGGCAAGAAGTTGAACCTCCGTAAAATCATGCTCATGCACGGCGACACTCCTGAAGAAGTGAGTCGTATTGCTGCTGGTAATATTGGCGTTGTTGCAGGAACCGAAGACGATATCATCACCGGTGATACCTTGGTGTCACACGGCGTGACGAAAGGAAAGCACTTTTCAGACATCGAGGCTAACTTGAAGCTTCACCCGATTGACATTCCACCACCACTCTTCAACTCGTCTATCGAACCAGCTACTGCTGGCGATGCACGTTACATGAATGACTGCATCAGAATGCTTTTGAGGGAGGATCCTTCGTTGCATGTTTCTGAGGATGAGGACATGGGCCAAACGGTGCTCAGTGGAATGGGTGAATTACATCTAGAAATTATCAAAGACCGTTTGGTTAACGACATGAAGGCCAATGTTAGGTTGAGAGATGTTGCTGTGTCCTACAAAGAGACAGTCGCTCGCCCTGACGGTACAAGTGCCACTTGTGACCATTTTGACAATGCAGAAATCAACGCTGAAGTCCAATTCGACTCGTTCGAAGGGGAGGCTGCAGAATCCTACTTTGCAGACGAAGATGGTGCAATTCTTCTCGAGCATGATAACAACATTCTAATCTTGGAGCCAGGAGCAACTCCGCAGTACATGATCGAAGCTGTGAAGGAGCGCAGATGGAAGCTTGACCACACATTGCAGGAGCTCCAGGATAGCTTGATCCAGGGTTGCATCACAGGACTTCAAATGGCAGGTCCAAGGTTTGGTCTTCCCTTGCACTCCTGCGTGCTTCGAATCAAGAACTGGAACTTCCCAATTGATGTTAAGGGACCTCATTCGTCGGCCCTTCTTGATGTTGGACGTCGCTCGGTGACCAAGGCTGTCAAGGAGCTCAACGATAAGTCCGAAAACAACTTTGGTGTGTTGGAGCCCATCATGAACACCAAGGTGTACGTCGACTCGACCCTGTTGGGAGACGTGATGCATGACTTGAACAATAGGTGCCTGGCCACTGTACTTGCTGTTGAGGATCTGGGCGAAAGCTTGGACAAGCAAAACTGGGCTTTGGAAGAGGCGGAGAAAATCTACTTGCCGCCAGACTACACGATGAAACAAGCGCATCAGGATTTGACCGAACGGAAAGTGATTGTTGCCGAAACTCCTTTGAGGGAAATGGTGGGCTATCTTCTGAAACTTCGCTCCATGACCCAGGGTCGTGGTGTCTTTGACATGTCTTACATTGGCATGAGAAGGGTGCTGCCACAGCGACTCGAATCAATTCGCAGCCAGTTCTCGTTCATCTAGGTCATCCTAACAAAAAACAAAAAAAAAAAAGAATAATAATTTTCATGAAAATAGACACCGGCAGAGTAGTTGCCCAAACTCGTAAAAATCATTCAAGCAAAGTAGGCCATGTGACAGGATGCGCACTCAACCCCACGTATTTCTTTATCAACTACACTTCTTTGATCCAGGGCAAGCATGTCTCATATTCCCGAAACAACCGCTGCCGAGCCGGCTGAAACTCTTGAAAATGCTCATATCGAGCTGACCGAGGCCACAGACAAAAACTCAAGATCATCCCTGAGTTCGTCGTTTGTTCCCGTGGACAATATCCAAGATGCTATCCAGGTTATTGATGAGAACAAGCAGTTCAACAGAGCCATCCTAGACTACATCAGCAGCTCTCCTGACCGCCTGGGTCTGGGTGACTACCGTATCATATCCGTTTTTGGCTCGCAATCGACCGGTAAGTCTACATTGCTCAACCACCTCTTCAACACCAATTTCGATGTCATGGACGAAGTGAACAGACAGCAAACTACAAAAGGTATTTGGTTGGCTCATAGTCCTGGTGTGACGCATTCGGCCAAATCAAATGCCTCCGACAATGTCTTGGTGATGGATGTTGAAGGTACCGACGGTAGAGAACGAGGTGAGGACCAGGACTTTGAAAGAAAAGCTGCTCTTTTTGCCATGTCTACTAGTGAAGTGCTTATTGTGAACCTCTGGGAGACCCAGGTCGGTCTCTACCAGGGCGCCAACATGGGCTTGCTCAAGACGGTGTTCGAGGTGAACTTGTCGCTTTTCGGCAAGGCCAAATTGCGGAACAACGACCACAAAGTGCTTCTTTTGTTTGTTATCAGAGACCATCTTGGTGTTACACCTGTGGAGTCGCTTGCAAGAACAATTGAGCAGGACTTGTTGAAGATCTGGGACAACTTGAATAAGCCAGCAGATGTGGCCCACCTTGAGTTTACTGACTTCTTCGACTTAGCATTTCACACACTCAGCCACAAGGTTTTGCAGCTCGATAAATTTAAGAGCGACATCAAACTCTTGGGTAACAGATTTGTGGACAAGAGCGACCCAGGCTTCTTATTCAAGCCATTTTACCACCACGATATCCCTATTGAGGGCTGGACTATGTATGCACAGAGCTGCTGGGACCAAATTGACAATAACAAGGACTTGGACCTTCCGACACAACAGATTTTGGTCGCCAAGTTCAAGTGTGACGAAATTGCATCTCTGTGCTTGGAGGAGTTTGAAGAGAAATTCAAGGCTTTTGAAACTGACGCTCACGAGGCTGTGGCAAGTGGCTCCGCTATCAGCTACGACGACATTGGCAAGGTCATGAAGGATATTAATGAGGACATTTTAGAGGAGTACGACTCCCAGGCATCCAAGTACAACAAGCTGGTGTTCGAACAAAAGAGAGTCGCATTGACTAACAAGGTCAATGACAGACTTGGCGAGGTCTTTGGTGTTTACGCAGACCACCTCAGCAACAGCACAATCAAGGACTTGGGCTCGTCTTTGAAGAAAAAATCATCCAAGTTCAGTTCATTCGAAGAGAAGGTTGCAACTCTCACCGCTGCATCAATCGCAAGTTTTGTCACAAGCCTCACGCTTCTTTCTCTTGGCGGGTCTTTGCCAATCGACAGCCAGGTGAAGTCACTTAAGGAAAATGTCAACACACTTGTTGCCAAGCAGCAGGTTGTCGAATTGAACAACATCATTAGCAAGTCCTTGAAGAAAATCAACAATGGCTTGTCTACAACGATTCTTGATGAGATAGCCAAGCCAGACAAGAACACGTGGAATCGCATCTTAGATAGTTTCACGGAGTTGAAGAACAATTCCTTGAGCAAATACCAGGCTGCTGAGGGCTACAACTTTGGCCTCGGTACCGAGGCTCATGTCAACGACAAGGCTTTATCTACTTTGGAGTTCAAGGCCTGGGAGCTTTTCGACCAGTTGATCCAGAAGTACATTTCCAAGGACAACTTATTGAACATTCTCAAGGATAGATTCGACGAAAAGTTCAGGTACGACGAGAATGGTGTGCCAAAGTTGTATCAAAATGCCATGGAGTTGGAGAGCAGCTTCGCGGATTCCAAGGATTACGCCTTGGAGGCGCTTCCAATTCTCTCCTTTGCTCGGTTGTCCAATGGAGCTGAGGTGAGACCAAAGTACGATATTCGCAACAAGAGTTTGCAAAAGAAGTATGCTACTGTCCAGTTGGTTGCTGACGAAGAAGACGAAGACGACGAAGAGCTCGACAGCGATGCCGAGGAAGAGGATGGCCAGTGTTTCGCGCAGATTGTCACCGAGAAGGAGAAGAGCGATGTGTTGATCAAGTTCAGAAAAGAGACGGATGCCAAATTCGTGGAGACCAAGCGCTCCATCATGCAGCTGGTGACCCAGATCCCGTTGTGGGTGTACGTTGTGATTGTTGTCCTCGGATGGAACGAGTTCATGGCTGTTCTCCGCAACCCCTTCTTCTTCACGCTTCTCGTGATGTTTGGTGCCGGAGGCTACATTTTGTGGCATATGGGGTTGCTCGGCCCATCGATGATGGTGGCCCAACGGGCGTTTGACGAGGCTGTTGCAGTGGGCAAGACCAAGTTGCGGGAGATTTTGATTGACGAGCCTGAGCAGCACGGACATAACCTCGGTACGATCAGCGGAAACAGCAATCGCCGTCTGGCGCCATTGGATAGGGAGACAGACGAGCCGGAAGTAATTGCGTCTGGAGACACCGAGGAAGACTAGATTGACTTATTACGGGATGCATAATCGGTCGATGGACAGTTGCATGGTACGTAGATGACAGGGCAATGCATTGGCCCATGGCAACCCCAGTGGGCTGAAACACCTTGGCCCGCCCGGAGTGGCCGGGGTGACAGCTGGGGTGATGGAGAAAAAAGATCGCCCAATGTTTCCTTTTTCTTTTGCTGTGGCCATTTCGCAGCCACCATTTCGCAGCCATCAGTTGATGCTCGGAAAAACCCACCCAGGCAACGACGCACAGTGACACCATGGTTTCTCCGAAAAAAAAAAACACCCTGTGTTGTCCGGACAACCGCACCCCGGCGCGGCGTCCGTCCCGCTACCACGTCCCGCTTGTGCACCCGCCGCGTTCATAGCACCCAAATTCCACGTTTCACCGCCCCACGCCTGCCCTGCCCTTCTCCACGAAAAAGTCTCGGTTGCATACGGCTCAGGGATAATCGTGTACTGCACACAGGCGGCAAACGCAGCGCACATCCTAGCGTTCCGCTGCAACCTCGTCCTGCAAAAGGAAAATGGAACTGCAACGTCCCAGCAGCTGTTTCTTGTCACTGCTACAACAAGCACTGCTCACTTCTGCCGTGGCCTATTTTATATCTCGCGGCAGCCCCAGCCCACTCGTTTTTTTCCCCAGATATATAATTACCCTCCACATCCGCCTCACCCCAAACACAATCCCTCATTTTACCCCAGACACTTCTTCAACCTGACTTTTGATTTTCCCCAATGCTCGCACATCCTCTGAGCAAACACTCCGAATCAGACCTTTCCTTGGGTCTGAGCCCCAACACCTCGCTTACCGACGAGTCCCGTCTGTGTATGGCAAAAGCGCTCTACGACTTTAGTAGAGGCGTGGACTCGGCTTCTTTGGGCCCCCATGCTGACGGAATGGTGGCTTCTTTTGATGAAGCTTTGGCTTCCAAAGATGCGCTTACAATGCTTCCGAACTACAGCATCAACCCTACTGGAGAGGAGCACGGCTGCTACCTTGTGATCGACTTGGGCGGCTCTACTCTCCGTGTGGCTGTGGTGTCCGTGGCACCCAACGACGGTGTTGATGATCGTTCCCACAGAATCAACATTGTCACCTCCAACAAGTGGATTGTCGACAACTCGGCCAAAACCATAGACCTCAACTTCTTCAAGTGGATCGGCTCCAAGATAGCCGAGACCATCGACAGCCAGAACGTCATGAAGCGTGACCAGACCATCTACACTGGTATCACCTGGTCCTTTGCCTTGGAGCTGACCTCCTACAATAGAGCCAATGTCTGCCACGTTGGTAAAGGCTACGTTGTCAGTGACGACGTCAAGGGCAAGGACTTGAAGCACTTGTTGGAACACAGTCTTCTCGACAACTACAACATTCGCCTTGACGTCAAGTCCATCTTGAACGACTCTCTCGCTGTCTACGCTGCTGGCACCTTTATTGACAGAAAGACCAAGTTGGCACTTGTCTTGGGCACGGGGCTCAACATGTGCTGTGCTCTCAACTCGTCCAACAAGATTGTGGAGCTGAAGCACCTTGGCGGCGAGAAGACCATCTTGTTCAACACGGAATTGTCGCTCTTTGGCCACAATATCATTGATGACATCTTCACCGCCTACGACACCCAGATCGACCCTCGTTTCAAGCATAATTTGCATTTCGCTCCCCACATGGAGTTGGACCCTGAAACCAGCACAATTTTCCAGCCCACAGAGCTCTTGACCTCTGGAAGGTACTTGCCTGAGTTGGTGAGGTTGGCGCTTGTTGACAGCATCAACAACGATGAAATGTTCACCAACCAGAAGCAAAAGTTGCAGCAGCTCTCTACTCCTTACGATGGCTTCACCGGCGAGTTAATGTGCCATATCGCCGAGGCCGACGACAATAAGGAAATCGCCAGAGCTCTTGCCAAGCACTACGGCTGGGACGAGTCCAAGATCTTGATGAACGACGTGGTGACGTTGAAGCTTCTTGTGGATGCTGTCATCAGAAGAGCCGCTTTCGTGGTGGCCACATGCATTGTTTCGCTCATCAAGTTGTTGGTTGAGCACAACGGCAAGCTCGAGACTGACGTTGTGAAGATCGGCTTTGTCGGCTCCGTTTTGGAGTACTTCAATCGCTACAGAGAGTTGATCAAGAACTACGCCAATGAGTGCCAGGACATGCTCGACATGAATGTCAGCATTGAGCTTCGTTCTGTCGAGGAGAGCTCCATCGTCGGAGCCGCCATTGGTGCCGCATACCATAGAGACCACTAGACCGTGGGATCCAGAAAAGTTACATAGTCGCATAGTTACGAGACACATGATTTTCCAGATATGTAGAATCAGCTGAGATGACTGACGTCACCTTCCAACGGTGCCGACAAATTTTTCCGAGGATACTCTACCACTGAAACGTTTGCAGCCGCAGAGAAGCAAATGAAACCAAAAGAAACGAAAGATCTGAGGCTTGGTAGCAATTGGTCTCAGGTGAGGGATACTAACCACCGAAAAAAATAAAAAAAAAAAAAAAGAAAGGAGCATACGGATGTTCCAGCTGCACGATTCTGGGGCTACCCGGACTGTGGGGTCATCTGATGGACCCTGAAATTTCCATATAGTTTTTTGTGAAACTCTGGTGAAATTTAGCCCGAATGAGGCAGCCTTGTGTAGCATCATACGATGCAGATCGACACTTGCGAATTTTGCAGCCATTGTTTACAGATGTCGGTGTATCGTCTATGCCATTAAATTATATTCTAACCAAAAAAGGAATCGGATGCATCGTTGCATTACAACTTGGAGCCCAAGCCGGCAGCAGGGTGGTCACACACAATCAAAACGTTGTTGTGGTCTCTGAGGTAGGAGGATGGGAACTGAGGGTCGTTAGGCTTACCGTTCATGGTCTTCTCCAAAGCGTACTGCTTGTTGGCGCCCAAGACAATAATGGCAATCTCGTCGGAGTTGTCCAAAACCGTAGAAATACCAACCGAAAGGGCGTGGGATGGCACCTTGTTGGGGTCGTTGTCGAAGAATCTGGAGTTGGCCTTTTTCGTGGATTCCACAAGAGCGACCTTCCGCGTCGTGGAGTCTCTGGAGGAGCCAGCCTCGTTGAATGCCAAGTGGCCCTCGGGACCCAAACCGCCCAAGAACAAGTTCACACGGCCGTACTTCTTGATCTTGGCCTCGTAGGCAGCACACTCCTTTTCAGGGTCGGCAGCAAGACCGTTCAAGATGTTGATGTTCTCCTTGGGGATGTCCACGTGGTTGAACAACTTGTCGTACATGAAGTAGTGGTACAGCTGTGGGTGGGAAGGTTCAAGGCCAAGGTACTCGTCCATGTTGAACGTGACGACATTGGCGAAAGAGACCTTGCCGGCTTTGTAGGCCTTGACAAGACGGGCGTAAACACCCTCTGGGGAAGAGCCAGTAGGAAGACCAAGCACGAAAGGTTTGGACTCTGTGGGCTGGAAATCGTTGATTCTGTCAATGACGTAGCCGGCAAGGTAGGCAGAAGCGTCGTCGCTGGAGGAGAAAATAGCTTGTCTCATGATGGGTATGTGAAGGATAAGTGATTGGGTGAGCAGATACTGGGGGATTCCCCGGGTCTTATAGCTGCTGGGTCCACAGCAGGGTGGGAAGCCAGGCGATGGGGACTTCGTCACGAGACATGGGTGGGTGAGTGCAACGTTGCAAAATGCAACCTGCCTTGGCGACACTGGCACCGTGGGAGCCGTGCTTGTGTGCAGTCCGCCCATGCCGGTTGCAATTGCAACCTCCACATCTGGTGCGGCTCGCTGCACGTTGCTGAGTGATTGTTCCGAAGAGCCCAAGAGTATATATACCACCTGGGCCGTGGTCAAGGACGGCCACCAAAAAAAAAACAAACACAAATCTCCAATCAACAATGTTACTACAATTCACAAACTGCCACCTCTGCGACAACGGCACCATCACCCACAACACCGATCTCTTTGTCGATAGTGAGACAGGCAAGATTGTTTCACCTCCAAAGAGCAAGAAGGTGCTGGTCAAGAAGGTCGACCTCCAGGGCCACATCTTGGCTCCCGGCTACATCGACATCCAGAACAACGGTATCTACGGCTTGAACTTCTCCAACTTGAAGGAGGACTCCACTGCAGAGGACGTTGCTCGTTTCAAGGCCTTCTACAGAGATGCCATGTCCAAGTACATGAAAACCGGTGTCACCTCCATGTGCCCCACGGTGACTTCCAACTTCCCCGCCACCTACGAGAAGGTTTTGCCCGTCTACAAGAAAACCAGATCGCAGAGCATGTGTGACTCTCTTGGAGCCCACTGTGAGGGTCCTTTCATCAGCCGTGAAAAGAAGGGCTGCCACCCAGTGGAGACCTTCACCGACGCCACCAAGGAGGGTGGCTTGGCCAGAGTGTACGGCCAGGAGAACTTGCTAGAAAACGTCGCCATTGTCACCGCTGCTCCCGAGATCCCAGGTGTGTTGGACTCCATCGCCGAGCTCACGGAAAACGATGTCATCTTCTCCGTCGGCCACACCTCCTCCGACTACAAAACCAGCTTGGAGGCCGTCCACAGAGGCGCCTCGATGATCACACACTTGTACAACGCCATGCCCCAGCCCCACCACAGAGACGTGGGTGTGGTTGGTCTTGTGACTTCCCCATCCACCGGCATGGACAGCCCTTACTTTGGCATCATCTGTGACGGTGTCCACGTGGCGCCTTCCATGTGTGTTTTGGCCTACAGAGCCAACCCAGACAAGTGTGTGCTTACAACCGACGCCATGCACTTGATTGGCTTGCCAGACGGAACCTACAAGTGGGACCAGCAGAAGATCGTCAAGAAGGGCCCCAGGCTCTACTTGGAAGGAACCTCCACCTTGGCCGGTGCCGCCACGACGCTTGCCGAGTGTGTTAGAAACTTGGTCCAGTGGGCCAATGTGTCCTTGGCGCAGGCAGTCAAGACCGTTACCAACAACGCTGCTGACTCGCTTAATGTGTCTCACGAGAAGGGCTACTTGAGAGTTGGCTGCGACGCCGACTTGGTCGTTTTGGACAACGACGGCTACATCCAGACCGTCTACAAGTGTGGCCAGCCTGTGCCATCCATTGATGAGCGTGTTTCCGCTTCTCTTTGATTGTTATATAATTGTTGCATCTACCTAGCATATACATGAGTACCCGGCGACGCTGTAGGCATTACTGGTCAATTTTTTTGGAAAAAGTTTGAACTTGACCTGAATTGACCGGCTGTTTGGTGCTTTGGACCCTGCTCACCTGAGAATCTGGGGTGCATGAGTGGGCTGATACACGATCGACGGGTGGAAAGATACGAATTTGGGTGAAACGGGCATCAGATGTGTCAAGCGGAATGAAATTCGAAAGCTGGTCCGTTGGTCCGTGGTGTCTCGTGGTTATCCTAGTCGTAAATGAGTCTTTCTAACTGGAGTGACTACATCCTTTTTTTACTAGAACTGATGTGATTTTTACATAATATGGGCTATTCTTTAGGGACTATTTCAATCAAATCTTCTTGACGGCCCGGAAAAATCAAGGCAATTGTCTACAGCTCATAAAATTCCCGATTCTGTTCTGTCTACGAAATATCAAATTCTCAACGTCTTTGTAGATTTGGTTGCGAAAAGTCTACATCAACGGAACAATCCAAGTCAAGAAAAGCCTTGCTGAGAAGTCACTTACACATTAAACGTTCATCAAAAGAATGAAAAAGCAATAGCAAGAATGCAAATTTGACTTTAAGCTTTCTCCGTATTACCCGCCTGTGGTACACCATCGGTCTATCCCTGAACTAATGCACAACCGCCTATATCTCCAGAACCTTGATAGCACCAAGGTGCCAAGATCCCACATACCCAACTTTCAACAGCATCCAATAAAAACTACGTCTCTCAATAGAAAATACCTTTCCGAAATTTTCAAAATCAGCTTATGGCCCCAAATCCAACTACCCAACGGTCAAGGTGTACTGGCCCTGTCTAAAGGCGTCTCGCAGTGATAGCCTTCCTTATCCGGTATCGGCAAATAGCTCATACTGCCACACCTATTCATACAAAAAAGAACACGAAAACTCTCCGTGGCCATGCTTCTTGGTTTAAGAAGATATGCAACCGAGGCTGGGCGGCGTCAGGTCAACCACACTCACTTTGATCTCCACGCCTGGCCAAAATCCAAACGGCCTTCTCCACACGACATATTCGATATGGATCCTTCCGAGGCTCAGTACAAGACGAGACAGGAGTTTGACAATAAGTTGAAATCCACTTACAAGAAATTGGTCAAGATGTACCATCCTGATCTCTCTGTCTCGCATGACATTGTGGAAGGTTCCAATACCTTGCTGGCAGGCAAAAAGAGAGCCCGCTTTGACGAAATCCAGAAAGCATACGAGTTGTTGAAGGACCCTCGAAAGAGAATCGCCTACAAGAAATACGATCAGACCACGTGGGCAGACTACAAGCCAGGCAAGACGTCCTCGTTCGAGGCATACCGTATGGCCAATGCTCACAGAAGGCAGTATTCGTACGACAATGATCCAAAGTTCTGGCACGCCGCCACTTGGGAAGACTACTACCACATGAAGTGGGGCAGGGCCCCTCCAACGACCGAGGAGCTTGAGAAGAATAAGTGGAAGATCTTGTACAGGGTGCTAGCAGTGGCCTCGGTCGCTGTGGTACTTCAGATCATGCTAGCGTTGGAGCGGACAGAAGAGTTCAATCGTCGAACGCGGCTCATGAATCTCCGTGCTGACGCTGACTTGAGAGATAGTTACAACAATTACGACGAAGGGCGGTCTCAGTTTCAGCGTTTGCGTCGTTTCTTGCTATATAGGCGTTCGGGCCTAGCAGGACGAGACGATGAGACCAGCAAGCAGGAGGAGAATGAGATCTTGACCCGCTATGCACAGCAGAAGGTCGACCAGTTCAAGTGAGAACATGGCATTGTACAATAGACAAGGAATAGCACGAATGCATGAGAACGATTGAGCATGGGTTGGTGGGAGCGTTACTGTAGTTTCCCTTCTAGCGTCAACTCACTTTTTACGTATGAGGAAACTCTAGCAGATGAAACTTCCCATTTTGCTTAAGAAACTGTGACCCAACCGTTTAGAACGACATAGCATGTTTGGCAAGTCTATGAGGTACTTTAACCTTCTGGCTGCCTCGTTAATTTCCCCCAAACATTATCATGATTGGACGCTCAGCAGCCGAGTTTCAAAGAGCTACAGAACTTGCCCAGCAGGAAGGTGTGCCGTGCAATAATATAAAGCTAGGTCAAAAGTTTGGGAAATTTTTCCAGCGTTATTGTGCCCATCGTGGTGCTAAGATAGACTATAAGAAACCCCAGAATCCAACTCTTCCAAAGTCATTCTCGCTCACAAGCTCGGGAGACGAGGGCTCTACAAAAACTTTCCTGTCTCGTGAAGCTGAACAAGGCAGTTTTGCAGATATGTCCAGCGGATTCATGGATCAAGATAGTAAACCTGATGAAGCTATGTCCTCGGATGAGCCCAGTGAGGCTTTAAATGAGAATCAAGCAGAGAGCAACAAGGCTGATGAAGAGGCAGATGACGATGAAGAGCTCATGGACAGCGTGCTACTTGAGTATTTCAAAAATCTGCTGCTTCTTGGAACGCCATAGGAGGATTATGAATAGATGAATGAAATGCCTAGTGCGTGCTTGTAGTTTTCGCAGCCAAAGGTAGAAAGTGTAGTTGACGAAGTGGTGGCTGACGAAGTAGAGAAAACCGCATCAGCAAACAAATTCAGAAGTATTTATCGATTTGAAGAAGAATAGAATCAATTGCCTTGAAAATCGTAGGGTCGGGTCGCCGCTTGACTCATCCGGTTCACGTGATTTCAACGTCGGTAAGTCCTCATCAAAATCGTCCATCCGTTCTATCTACAATAATGGACTTCCAAAAGGAGGAATCGGTTTTAGACCTCAACAACATCCGTGCCGCCCTAGTGCGGATGGAAGACACGATTGTGTTTGACCTCATTGAACGGCTGCAATTTTTTGAGCTGCCCAGCGTGTATGAGATCAACAAATATCTGATTGAGGATTTCCTGGGCCTGTTTATGGAATGGCTTCTTTTGCAGACAGAGAAGATGCACTCCCAGGTCAGGCGTTACGAGGCGCCAGACGAAACGCCTTTTTTTGCTGACAAGCTTCTCAAGCCAATTCTTCCCTCCATCAAGTATCCCCAGATTCTCGCACACTACGGTGATGAGGTGAATGTGAATGCCGAAATCCTCAAGTTTTACGTTGAGGAAATCGTGCCTCGTGTTTCCTGTGGCAAAGGCGACCAAAGCGAAAATTCCGGATCTGTCGCCGTGTGTGATGTGGAGTGTTTGCAAGCCATTTCTCGCAGAATCCACTTTGGCAAGTTCGTCGCAGAAGCCAAGTTCAGACTGGACAGAGAGCTTTACACCAAGCTAATTAAGGAGCGCGACGTGGAAGGCATCGAGGCCAGCATCACGAATAGTGCTGTGGAGCAGAAAATTTTGGACCGGTTGAAGGAGAAATGTGAGGCATATGGCACAGACCCAGGACTCCGGTGGTCGCAGCTAGTCCAGCTGAAAGTAAAGCCGGAGGTGATTGTGGACTTATACAAGCGCTATGTGATTCCGCTCACAAAGAAAGTGGAAGTTGACTACTTACTCCGAAGATTGGAGGATCCTTTGTAAGGGCAATGCATGATATACGTAGAAGCGTTTTCTGTAGTGGCAGAGATTCGTTAGACAAATGTGCGTCCTGCAGAATGCGGCGTCTTTTTCGTATCAGGGAGCACATGGGCACCGGACATTTGAGATAAAAAAAAGTATACGCGAGCCAAAACTTTGACACACTCAGGGCTGTGTGTGTACGGGTCGGGTTTCCAAATTGTGCCTGTGACAGGAGTCCATATTCCATTCGTCCCCTCGGTTATAGATCACTATCTGGTATCTGCAAGAGGCTGTCGCACGTAGCTGTCACGGAAAAATCCCTCTAATGGCCGATATTCGGTATGGTCCCAAGATGGAGAAATTAAATTGCACAAGATGTTACACGTACGCGTCCTTTGTGAAGCCGAAAAAGCTGAAAATCGCTCCAGACGCCATTATCCCATTTTCGTGGACTCCCTTTATTACCCTTGTGAACCCATATCTGCACGATACCCCATGTGGCTGCACACGTTGTCGCGCTATCTGCAGACTATACGCCTGGGACTGTTTTGCACCCAAACCGCTTCCAGTATATATAGTGTACCTCAAATGGGCATACCCAGTTTTTTGTAGCATATAGCTTCTTTTTTCTTCCACTATGCTGCAGCTTCTTTTAGACATCGAGCCTCTCAAGGTTTTCTTCGGTGGCTCCATCACCCTTGTTGCAGTCTTCTTGTTCTCCACCAAGTTGAACCAGTTTGTCAGATCGGTGGCTGTTTTTGCCTGGGCGTGTTTTGTCAAGCCTTTTATCAACAAAGTTCATAACAAGCCTACCGAGCAGCAGCAGGCTCTTGAGTTGTTTTACAGCAACCAGGCCCATGTCTATGACAAGACTCGTGGCATTTTGTTGAAAGGAAGAGAGGACTGTCTCCTGTTGGCTGCTGCCCATATTCCTAACAAAAACGGTGAGCTTGTCTGGGTTGACATTGGCGGCGGTACCGGAAAAAACATCGAAATGATGGACCTGGTCTTGCCCATTACCGAGAACTTCCAGGCCATCTACTTGGTTGATTTGCTGCCTTCCCTCTGTGAAATCGCTCGTCAACGGTTTGCTGGCAAGCCGTACGAGCACATTGTGCACGTTCTTTTATCTGATGCCGCTGATTTCACCATCCCCCACGAAAAAGCTGATTTGATCACTTTTTCCTACTCTTTGCTGATGATCCCTACCTTCAACTCTGTGATTGACCATGCTGTTGAGCTCTTGGATAGCGCCAACGGTGTCATTGCCAGTGTTGATTTTGGTGTTCAGAGCGCTGACACTTACATGGGCAGAATCAACACTGTGGGTGGTCTCGTGAACAGAAACATCCCATGGTTGTTGAGAAACTTCTGGCGCATCTGGTTTGAAGCAGACAAGATTTTCTTGGATTCGGCCAGACGTAACTACTTGGAGTACAAGTTCGGAACCCTCAAGTCCTTGAACTCTTACAACAACATGTTGGGCCGTATTCCATACTATGTGTGGGTTGGCTGCGACAAGTCCAGATCGTCTGCTTTGCTTCACAGAATCAATTGTCTTGCAACTGAGTCGCCTTATCTTGCCCCATCGGAGGAGACACAGGCTCAAGAATACGACATTCCTGTCAGCAAGGGTCATGAAGCTGCTTTGTCCAACTTGGCCAAGAAGTTGCCATTCCCTTCAACATACTACCAGCGTCAGCCTTGGAGAGTGTACTTTGACGAGATCAACCCTCAGTACCACCAGTTCAGAAACCAGTACATTTACGGTTTCACCTGGGAGGATCCTCGTGAAGACCACAACATCTTGAAGTTCTCTAGTAACGACACTGTTTTGGCCATCACTTCCGCTGGTGACAATATCTTGGACTATGCTGCCCTTCCTGACCCACCAAGAAAGATTCACGCTGTGGACTTGAACCCTTGCCAAAATCACCTTTTGGAGTTGAAATTGGCCTCCTTCAAGTCTCTTGACCAGGAGCATGTTTGGAAGATTTTTGGCGATGGTCGTATCAACAACTTCAGGAACATCTTGCTCTCCAAGCTTAGTGCCAATATGTCTTCCAACGCTTTCCAGTTCTGGATCGACAATGGTGACACAGCCTTCAACCCAGCCGGAAAGGGTTTGTACGACACTGGTTCCACCAGATGGGCTTTGAGACTCGCCAAAGCTGTTTTCACTATTTTCGGTGCCAACAAGCATATTGAGGAGCTCTGTTCATGTACTACTCTCAAGCAGCAGGCTCGTGTCTGGAAAGAAAAGGTGAGACCCACTCTCTTGAACCCAATGGTGGCTACCATCTTGATCGGTAACCCTATTTTCTTGTGGAAAGCTCTTGGTGTGCCAGCTAACCAGGCTGAGATGATGGGTCCTTCTGTCTTCAAGTATGTTGTCGACACCTTGGACCCTGTGATCAACCGTACCTTGATTTCCACCGACAACTACTTTTATTATTTGTGTTTGAAGGGACGCTATGCCCGCAACAACTGCCCTACCTATTTGACAGAGAAAGGATTCAACAATCTCACGACGGTGCGTAAAGACGGTACTGCCCCAATCGACAACATCCGTCTCCACACTGACACTTTGAATGATGTGTTTGCCCGTCTCAGCAAGAAGTCTATCACGATTGCCATCATCATGGACCACATGGACTGGTTCAACCCAGACGGTGACGATGCCCGCAAGGAGATCGAGGCTGTCAAGGAATGTTTGGTTCCAGGTGGCCGTGTGATGCTTCGTTCCGCCGCTCAGTACCCTTGGTACATCAAGACTTTCGAGTCCTGTGGCTTCACTTGTAAGCCTGCGGCTATCAGACACTCTGGTGAGCTGATCGACAGAATCAACATGTACTCATCCACATGGGTGTGTACAAAGGCTGCTGACAAGAAGCCCCAAGGATTCCGCCGCCGGATGAGTAGTCTTCAAATTTAGTTCGAAATCTGAACATTGTGATATAGTCAAAAATGTACTCCATTATCTGAATAGTTTACCATCACCTTCACCCTGTGTGCTCCATTGTGACAGGTATGCACCACTGCTCTCGAGCTTGTATAATCTCCAGGCCTCTCTGACATGTTCTGGTTGAAGAGGGCCCTTGCTGTCGCCTAAGTATTCAAGTTTTCTTTCCGGTGGATCGTTTGAAACATCCTCTCCATTTTCCATCCTTTTGAGAGTCTCCCTTTTGCGCTTCTTCTTCGCATCAATATCGAGTATTAGCTGTGCTTTGTATTCCCTCTCTTGAATCTCGAATGCCTTTGTTATTATGTCACCAAGAAACAGCTTGGAGATACCAGCCAACACAATGGCCATGTTTTGTGGAATTGATTGATTCAACACACCGTTGCAGATCTTTCTGACACCAGGCTTATTAACGGCCATTCTCCTGTAGGCTTCAAACTTGTCCATTTGATCATTTGTGAATGAGGTGATGAGGAGTTTCTTTTTGTCATCCTCCAGAAGAGGTTTTGATTCCTGCTCCTTAAGCTCTTTGTATCTTTGCACTAGCTGCTCGTCCTCTATGTCGCTGAGGTCTGATAGTTCTTCCTCATCTATATCTAGGTCTGCTCCTTCGTTGGATTTGTCCTCTTTTGACGAATAAAAAACACGCCATATCAACTCCTCGTCATCTTCATCTAGACTGACATCACTGGCATAGCCGTCTTCTCCTGCATTACTCATTATGGTGTGAAGTGGTTGAATAGTAGGAAGTAAGCAGAGTGTTGATAGTAACTTTCTGCAGGAAATTCTCGTCCCACTACTTTTACAAATGTCCCTACCGTGTACTTCGTCGATTATCTATACATTTGATGATATGCTCTTATAAATTTTAGAAACATGCTTTAGGTGATCAGCCCAATCGTGTTTTTCTTCGGTCAAAATGGTGTCAACGAGCTGACAAATGGTAATGAAATGCTGAAGGTTTTCTGCGGTTTTGTTCTCTGCTATGGCGTCCAAAGCAAGATAAAGTCCTCTTATGGTGAATGCCTTGGCAGTAAAGTATACTTCGAGGTGTTTGTTTGAACAGTTTTCTGTAAGTCCGACCCGCGTCTCGACCACATTGAACATTGAGGAAAGAAAGTCTGTGATATTTATGCGAGGATTTTCATTAAGCTTCTGAGCCTCGAGGTACTCTGTCCCGTAGGTGTCCCCAACAATTTCTTTGGGTTTGTCCCGTGCAAGGTGGTATACATGTGCACCTCCAATTTGCAGCAAGAACCCTTCAAGTGTTGTCAGATAAATAAATGTGAGCTGCTCAGTATTATTCTTCATAATGCTGTTGGGAATTTTGTTTTTTGTAACGTCGATCGGGTGTATTTTTGCTGTGATGTTCACGAGCGGGCGTATGGCGTCTAGATGTTTGGTAATCAGCTCCATTAATGCATCCTCGAGCACGGTGGAATCCTTCTCAACTCTGTCTTCTGCAGCAACAATATTAAGTGTTATTTCTGGAGTATACAGCTCAAAGTCGAAATGCAGAAGCCTGCTGTGTGCGTTGAAGTCAATCTCACAGAGATGGTCCAGGATAGTCTGAGCCAAGTAAAATGGTAAATCGTTCGCATGGATAGCTTCCAAATCATATGTCATCATGGCTCTGAATTTGTACAGATCGAGCCAAACTCCAACATTTCCGCCCAAGGCAATATCCAAGGTGAATTCCGGGTCTGGAGGTTTTGAAACGTCAATTGGGTCTGTACTAGCAGCAGGTTGCGCCAGCATGGTCTCGATCGATCCGTCATCATCCGTCAATACAAAAATCTCTGCTGTTTTAGTCACCGTCTTGTTGCCAGTGAATCTGGGTATACTTTTCGGAAGCTCGTCGACCAACGGATATTTGTATGGAATACCACGAGACTTCAAGTGGTGATCGAGCTGGCGCTGCGTAGCCTCCACTAGGTCGGGAAAACGGAAGCCAGTGTCGTAAAATTTGACCGTAACCGGCTGAGCTATGGCAAAGTCGTTGGCCACATAATCTCGAAGAGCCCGTATTTGAGTAACAGAGGGTTCGTCAATCAACGCCGTGGGTACTAGGCGTAGGTAGGCAGTGATCGCTGCTACTAGAGCAACAAATATCGGAACAAACATATCCTAGTTTGGATATTTCTTCAAAGCTGCTTATCAAAAGGTGTACTTCTCAATGCGCATCAGAAATAGCCTGGAGATGGATATCATCGCGAGCATCTCCATACCTCCAACTGATAATGAGCGTTCCCTCCATACCGCTAGAAACGCAAGAAGTGCCGGAGGAGCAAGAACAACAATACGTGCATGAGGTTTATAACGAAATCGCCTCTCATTTTTCCCTGACCCGGTACAAGCCCTGGCCCATAGTTGAAAAGTTTCTACTGGAACAGCCTGACTACAGTCTTGGTTTAGACGTTGGGTGTGGTAATGGAAAGTACCTAGGGGTCAACAAAAGTCTATTTTGCATTGGCCTGGACCGCTCGGATGGCTTGGTCGAGTGTGCCAGGGTGAATAGTGAGAACAAGTTCAACCTAGCTGTCGCTGATGGCTTGCATTTACCGCATCAGAATGACCGTTTTGACTTTGCTATTCTGATAGCAGTCATTCATCACTTTGCCAACGAGAAGAGAAGAATCGAAGCCATTGAACATATTCTTTCCAAACTCCGAGTTGGTGGAAAGCTTTTGGTCTACTGCTGGGCCCTCGAACAGGAAAAGTCGAGGAGAGGGTACAAGGAGGGCGACGACCAGGATATTTTAATACCTTGGGTTTTGCAAAAGAAGACTCCAAAGAAGTCCAAGAAGGAAAAAAGACAGAATAATGACGATGAGGAACAGGTGGAGGAGCAGCAGCCTGAGACCAAATATCGTTACTACCATCTTTACAGAAAAGGAGAGCTCGTGGAAAATGCTGAAAAGGCTGGTGGTAAAGTGGTTGATCATGGGTACGAAAAGGATAACTGGTGGGTAATCATGGAGCGTATTTGATCTGATGTAAATAGTTACAGCGCTTTTGTCATATTGCTGGAAATTGACTCATAGTTTCAATCTCTTGTTTAATAGCGCCATTTGGAATCCGCTAGCTGATGGTAGACTAACATACTTGAGCATTAAATGGTGGTATCACTGGCTGCAAATCATTGTTCTAAAGCACTCAACCAATCATGACAACGTCGTGCGTCAACATAAAGTAGTCTTATCTAGAAAATAACAAACAGCTTCAAACAAGACCGTAAATAATTATCCTGAATTCTTTTTTTCAATCGCTGCGTCGCTATAGCATCACCCCAGATAATGCTATTATCAACCACGACATCTATGCGCGACAGCTCTACTACTAGTGTACTTTTCACTTTAACATCGCAACTGAAAGTTCCACGTTGGTATGCTATCACCACAGGAAAAGAAAGATAAAAGCATACGGGCAACCGACTTGGATGCTTTGAGCTGCCGCCATTGTGCCAATGCCAAGGGTTATTTCGTTCCACCTGACTTGTATATTCAAGATCTACTTCGATCTTATGAGCAAAATCTCCAACACTGCCGTGGATACACTGCTCTATCTGCTGGAAGAACGCTAAGAACACTTTTTAAAGACCCCAAATACCCATTGATCAACAGAGGTACATTCTTCAGGACTCAACTGATCAATACCATTGTGGAGAGATTCATTAGCTCGCATGACGAGTGTCAAATCATCTCTCTAGGAGGAGGTTCCGACACTAGAGGATTTCGTGTTTTGCAAGAGCACCTGAAAGGTGTGAGATATGCAGAAATTGACTTCATAGAACTGGCTAAGATCAAAAAGGCTGCTATCCTTCTGAATCGTACGATTCAGAGTATAGTGGGTGTTGAATCAGACAGTGTCAGTATAAAAGATAGAGCCTCTTTTGAATCACTAGATCCAGAAATCCACACCTCAAAGTACGACCTCATAGCACTTGACCTCAGAAAAATTGAGGAGCATGGAAGCGAGAGTGTCTTAAAGTATGTGGATCAAGAACGACCTACATTGGTGATAAGTGAATGCGTGCTATGTTATTTAACCCCTGAAGATAACGAAAAAGTCTTGGGGTTTTGCAAATCTAAGTTCCGGAATTTGGCCGTATTGATGTACGAGCCAATGGGTTTGGGAGATGCTTTTGGCCAAACTATGGAGCAAAACCTCATCAGTCGTGGCATTGACCTCCATACGTTCAAAAAGTACCCTGATTTGAAATCAAGAGAAACGTTTTTTAACCAAACACTAGGTTTTGAGACTGTCAAGTCCACAGATTTGGCTGAAGTTGGCGGCTATACCTCAAACAATCTATCATGGTTGCTGAAGGATGAGGTGGCTCGAGCAACCAGAATAGAAATGATCGATGAGGTCGAAGAGATTAGCCTCTTGCTTCAGCACTATTGTCTCATTTTTGCTCAAACGGGCAAGGTGCCAGAGAAGATTCTCGACCTTAAATGGCTTTATTGAAAACTGCGACCTATTTCTTCAAGTATTCAATCTGATCACGTATGCTGTCACAAGCCTTTTTTCTTCCTGAGCTATCTGGAGCAGACAAGCCATGAAGATTGATAAAGCCCTTGCAGAACCATGCATCCGCATGCTTCATGATCTCTAACTCGAAATCATATCCTTTGGTCTCCTTTTTCAAGTAGTCAGTGTATAATCTACGCCTGTTTCCATTGTCGTCCTTGGGACCTCTTCCATTGGAATTCAGGCCTCCGAACATTTCATCAATGTAATACTTGGGCCAGTTTGCATGAACGAACATCAAAGACGAGGTCTTGTAGTAATGGAAATCGTAATTCAGTTTCGCGGGGTCCTCATTATCATTGGCGAGGTTTTCAAGATTTGCCTTATTGGTGAGGTCAAATTGTCTGTTGAAATAATCGACAATTGGATCATACTGGCCCATGCCGAAGTATTCGTGCTTCTTGTTTGGTTTTTCGGGTCCAAATTCACGGTTGAATTCCATGACCTGATAGTAAGGGAGGTTGAGTTTATGAGCTGCTGCAATAAAAGTGTCCTTGTCGCCTTCTCCAGCGGCACCTTGACTGAGAAGTGGGTAATAAAAGTCGGGTCCGTAGTAGTTGTAATACAACGACAAAATAAGGGTACCAAAGTGTACTTCCTTATTAATCATGAACTGGCCTGTCTCACTGGAAGCCTCTGGAATTGTTCCCTTTGTGTCGTGGAGGGAGACTTCGTCCTTTGTGGAGCCTCGTTTATCACCAGTAAAGTAACTGTTTCTCATTTGCCAATTTGGATCGACTTCAATATCGGCGATTTCGTAAAAGCTAGGGGAGGTTGAACGACGCCACAAGTCGGGCCAGATGATCATGTGCAGCTCAGTGAATGGCTTGTTGGCGAATAAGTAGTCGGGATTCTTAATAGGAAGATTGTCCGCGTCTAAGTACAACACATTCTTGAAAGAAGAAATCAACAAGGCCATACTTTTGAGTTGGAAACTTTTCAAACCGCCGACGAGCTTGCTCGGAAGGAAATCTGACATAATTTTGCATCTTCCATTGAAAGACGGAAGGATGTTGTTACAGAGGTCAAGATCGTAGTCGTCTCTGCTGGGAAGAATAACTTCGATGGGAAGCTTGCAGCCTGTGTCTCTCAATAAAGAGATGGACAAAAGCACCAATTGGTTGTACTTGCCACCGCCCAAGTATACGATACCGTCACCCTCCATGAAACCAAATTTTCTTCCTGCTTTGAGCAATTGGCCAGGAAAATCCTTGGGTCTTGTATTCATGAAGGAAGTGTGGGAGTTCTGAAGGGCGTTCTTTTCCTGGGTAGTGATACGCAAGAAGTGCAGCAAATATTCTTTTGTACGAACGGGCTCGGCCAAATACGATTCTCTCCAATGGCCACCGTACACAGGGATCTTGCCGTTGTTGTTGTCATATTTGTTTGAAGCCTTGGCTTGCGAGTAGTGAGCGGGGTTGTTGATTCCACCGACCGTCGGCCTGGCTGCTTCAATCAAACCCCAAGTCCCCTCGAGGAACTCAATGAACAATTTGCGGAACTCTAGAAACTGCAAAGAGTCGCCAATGCCGCCGTTGCTTTGAGAAAGCAGAACTTGTTGCTGTAATGAGTTGTAGTCGTAGCCCTTAACTTCGGCAACGTCAAACTTCTTCTTTTTCTTGTTGGTCTTGAGAAGCAGCTTGATGTCGTGAGTCTCGTACTCAGGAACGTTGGGGTCGCCCAACTCCAGCAGAACAATGAACAAGCCGTTGTCACGGTCGTCAAGGTATTTACGAAGCTGCTGCTCGAGGACCGGTGGCTTGGCCTTATTGATGGGAGGTTCATCAGCCTCTGGTTCAGAAGGCTGTTTGTCCTGTTGTGCCTCTTTGGGTTGGTCTTCCGCCTCGCCATTTCCACCTGAATTGGCGCCTATCTTGAGGAGATCCTTGGTGCCATCGGCGTGGTAGTAGTTCAGCTTTGGCTTGCCCACTACAGACGTATCGAAGTTGGATGATTTGCTGCTGAAGGCGGAGGATAGGAAGTTCAACACGGTGAGGAAGATGCAGACGGCAATAAGTATCCTCGTCCACCTCGCTGGTATGGAAATCATTGCAAAAGGATGATCTGAGCTTGAGGCGACGATTTCAGGAAAAACCCCCGAGTGTTTATGAAATATTCACCTTGAGGGGGCTGCCAAAAAAAAAAAAGTGAGCACCAACAATAGATAGCAGACGCGAGTTTTATTGAGGACACTTAGGAACCGCAATAAGGGTACACCTTGACGTGGCTTACGTGTTCTATGATCTCTACAAAATGCAGCTTTTTGGGATTTACCGAGTTCTGGATTTTTTTGTTCACTTTAAAAGAGGCGATGTTTTCATCGAATTATGTCAAGTCCATGCGTGTCGTAAATTGTGGAGCCGAAGCGCGCCGTGGATATGGGGTCCAGGCAGAAAGTCTAATTTGAATTTCAGCAGATGTGAAGGAATTTCCCGGTACTTTTTTTTTTTTTTTTTTTTTTTTTTTTTTGGATTTTCGAGGTCGAAAGTTTCTTTGATTAGACTTCGTATACTTGTTTACTTGTCTTGTGGCACAGAAGGTTAATGCAGCTGAATGTGGAATTCCAGTTTCGCAGCCATAAGCACCCTGAGCTATCGGCCACTCTGGGAAGTTTTATATGAGATTGGCAGTGGAGGTGTTTTGGCAATTCGGATAAATCTTATGAAAGGAAGTGCTTTCCAGCACGAACGCTGCTTATGGAAGTCTTCTCTTGGCAGTACGGCCGTTGCTTTGTATGAAGTTCGTCTTGTCGAGACGAGCTTGCCCTGTCATCACGAAATCCATGCAATCAGCTGTTCATGGCCAACTCATACTATGTCTTTACCTGCTCTATCATGGTTGGAAACTCATACAAAAACTGGTTCGTTGAAATCATCGCTTCGGGTTAGGTACCCTGGCGTGGACCGTTCCTGTAACTCATCGAGCAAACCACAGCTCAAGCCATAAATTCAACACCATTTTACCCAATTCCTCGTCTTCTCTTTCCCTAATCAATTTAAAATACCAATATTCGACTCCACCGCCTAGATCACCTCGAACTGCTTATCTGGTGCTCCGTAATCACCTGCAGGCGATGCTGTAGCGACCCTCAAGATCCCCAAACCCGTTAGACCTCGCTCAAAATAACCAAGCATTTAATACACCATGGATGACGACGGGCTTTTTGGTGACATAGAGCAGGACAATAACCCTTCTTTGTACCAAACCATCGAGCCAGAAAACGACAAATCGTCAAATGGCAACAAGGAGCAACATCAGAAACTCACCCTGACCTCTCCTGAACCACACAAGACGGGTGCATCGATAGACTTCAACAACAACAATGTTGACAACGTTGTGGGTAACAATTTGATTAATAGCTCTATCGGGCTTTCCCAGAGAATCCGCAAAATGCTTAACAACCCCAAACTAACTGTTGATGTCATTCTGAGTGAGCGTGTTATGAACTCAATCGTCGTGTACCTCATCCAGTTGAAGGTGAAAGGAGCCAAAGATAGCGATGCTATTATTGTGAAGAGAAGGTACAGCGAGTTTAAATCTCTTCGAGACAACATGGTCAAGTTGTTCCCCACCCTAGTCATACCGCCCATTCCAGAGAAACACACGCTTCTCACCTACTTGATAAACGCCATCGATAGCGCCAGAGAAACCAGCGTTATTGAGCTTCGAAAGCGCTACTTTCGTAACTTTCTCCAGGATGTCATCTTCGATTCAAATGTGAAGTTACGAAACTGTCCGTTGCTCCACAAGTTCTTGGACCCAAACTACGAGTCGTGTTGGGAAAGCGCAATCAACGAGCCACCAGTCAGCTTAATTCCTTCCAATCTTTTACTTGCTAATCCCAACGATACTACTGATCAGAATGGGCTTTATTTACTTCTCCCATCCGTTACAGGGTTCGACACAGATAGCCCCGATAATCTTTCAGGTCTCAAGAAACTCAACGACGACATACACAAATTGCATGCTGATATTCAGATATACGACCTCAAGGAGAATAATCGGCACGAAATCGCAGAAAATGATTCTGTGTTCTCAGACATTCCAATTGATTTGATAAATTTCGAGATCAATTTCCACCAGAACATCAAGGTGCTTCATGATATCCAAAAGCTAAATACCCGCTCTGTGAAGAACTTCAAGACCTTGATCAGCTCCCTCATAGAATTGGGAGGCAATTTGAATAACTTCTCCTTACAAATCCACGATGCCTCGACCAAGAGAAACAAGTCATTGTCTTCCGTTGTCGAGAAGTTTGGGTCTGCAGTAGACTCAACTTTTCTCAATTACGAACATTTCCTTCTTGATAGGGTCATCCCAGAGTGGGACGATCCCGTCAATCGGTTCGTTCAGTATTACTTCTCAGCTTTGCAGCTCGTGAAGTACTACAAATACAAATTGATTCAGTTCAAGCTTATTTATAAGTTGAAGTTCAACAAGGTTCAGGAAATGAATACTTTTCACGACAGTGTCAATTCAGTCAAACATCTCAAAGATCTTGATATCAACAGCCCGTCGATTAAGAAATCCATCAAACGCATTGAGAACAGACAGCATCGTGGAAGGCAACTTCAATCGAAGAAGTCATGGTATGGTCTTTTTGGAGGTACCAAGACCACATTTACTTTGCCCGAGCAGGGTCTTCAGCAGCCAAATGAGCAACCGCATGGTGAACCGCATGGTGAAGAGCATTCTGAGTCTCCTAAAGACATTACTCCCAATCCAAGAGATCTCAAAACTCAATATCAACATAAGATGCAGCATATTGATAAGGAGCTCACGAAGCTCGATCAGCTTATCGACTTGGTGAACGGTGATATGATTACGCTCACTCAGAACCTACAAGTGAACTTCCAAGAGTTCCTTGACAAGATGGAACGCAAATGGCTCACTATAATGCTTGAATTTGTGAGAGCAGGAAAACAACTTTTTGAAGAGAATTTGAACACCTGGAGTGATTTCAAGACCTCAGTCGGTGAAGTCGATGATTAAATTGCATATATACCCTTTACCTTAGTTGTAGCGATTTAGCGAGCCAACTTTTGATTTTCGCACACCTTAGCTCTGATCGCCGCCACTTTAAACCAAAGTGAGATCTCATATTATAACGAAATACAAATCGAAGATGTCTGCTATGGATGTGGACAATGATGTCTCGACTGTTCTTGCACAGTTGAGACTGGAAATCGAGTCCTCCGAATTAATTCAAGTGATCTACCAACTAGAGGATTACTATGAAAGAAAGTTGTGGAACCAGTTGACCTTGGCTCTCGAGGAGCTTTATCAGAACCCAGAGAGTCAAGTGGGTACTTTTAGACAACAAATTTTCAGTCTGTTCTTGTCACAATTCCAGACCAAGCTTAATCAAATCAAACTTATTGACTTCTTGTTGCAATCTTTTGACGACAACCAGGTTTGCTTCGATAAGTTGAACGAATTAAAGGAATCGTTGGTCAATGAATTGACTAAAAAGTATGGCACAAGAAAGCCTGATAACTTGGACGAACTCATTAACAATGATGAGTCAGTCATTTACATCAATTTGCAAATCGCAAGATATGCCTTGCTCTTGAACAATGCTAACCTGGCAGATGAGATTTTGGAATCTGTTGGAGATAAATTTGAGAACACCTTGCAAAATGAGTTTAGCTCGAAGATCAATGCTGCTTTCTATCTCACCAAATGCCAATACTACAAGATCCATGACAACTATAACCTATTCTATACCAATGGATTGTTGTACCTTTCATCCTTGGACACTCCACTTCCTGAAAACCAGCAAGTCCAATTCTGTTATGACCTTTGCATCGCCGCTTTGCTTGGAAGCAAGATCTACAACTTCGGTGAGTTGATTCTTCACGATATATTAAAGGTTATCAGCGACCCCAATGGGCAATACTTTTGGTTGTTCAGTTTAATTCAACATCTCAACTCTGGTAACTTGGCCGAGTTCAATAAATGGCTCAAGCCATCTTTGGAGAAGAGTCCTCTTCTCGCCCACCATGATAAGTTCTTGCACCAAAAGATTGTCATAATGTCATTGTTGGAGTTGATTTCCACAGAGCTGACCACAAACAAGAAGTTGCTGTTCCAGTCTATAAGTGAGGTGACAGGTACACCAATCGATGAGGTCGAGCTTCTCATTATCAAGTGTTTCTCGCTCAATTTGATCAAGGGTTATATCAATCAGATTCAACAAATTTTGATTGTCACTTGGTTGCAACCACGTATCTTGAACTTAGATCAGGTCAAAAATCTTTACAATCATTTGGTCGATTGGGACTCGCGGGTGGAAAGTCTAGCCAAAGACGTGCATTCTCGTGGAGGAACCTTGTGGGCGACTGGCTAGATGCTTATATAAATGCTGATGTAAATGATTCACCTTTTTGTAGTATTGTGGATACGCCGTTCTATTTTTTCAAGCGATCATCAGACTCGTCGTCGTCATCAAGAGGCTCGTATTCCTCGCGACCGGTGCTACTACCGTGCTGGCGGTCGTCGTCATCATCTCCCAACTCGAAGAGGGTATTGCTTGACTTACCAGCTTCGCCATGAAGCAGGTCTCTTTTGTGAACAGCGTCGTCTTCCTCGTAGTTTGGAGGTGCTTCACTAGGAATATTCAGGTTTTGCAACTCAAAACTATCTCTTCCGAGGTTGTTCTCGTCATCGCTATGGCTCATCAACGAGATGTCATCCAATTCGAACTCATGACCTTGAGCCCCAGTGTGCTCGCCTTCCTCGCCACCATCGGTGGCAAGCTGTTGAGAAGCGGCCAACATGTAACTCGTCTCAGTTGGCCTCCAGAGCCACGAGACTCCGAGGAATACCAAGAAGAACACGATACTTGGCCAGAAGTCGAACAAAAAGTATGATCCCTTCCAGTGCTCCTCAATTACATCTGTCGTGGACAAACTCAAAATGATGAAACTAGAAAGTACCAATCCACCCATGGAAAGGAACACGGAGAGGAAAATGATACGGAACAAGTTCTCGTAAAGCTGTAACTTGATCACCTGGCGCTGTTTATGGAGGTTTGCCGTAGTACCACGAATAGAAGTCAAGATGCTCACGTAGAATGCGGTCATAGTCACTGCCACTGGAATCATTGGGATAATGTCCCAGATGCTGGCACCATAGTTGTCTGAGGAAACGCTGTTGTTGGAAGACAACGAGTTTTCAGAGGATCTCACGTATGTCATGACAAGGTAGAACATGGAAGCAGCAAAATGGAAAGCCGCAAGAAGCTTACAACGGAACATAATCTTCTTGGGCAACTTCAACTTGACAACACCGTATCCGAGACCAATACACAAAAGCAAGAAGAAAAAGAAAGTCATCTTGCCCGCATTCAAGAACGACAAGAAAACCGTGTAAAAGATGACAAACCCATTCTTCTGGTTGGCGGTTCTATTTTTCAAGTCGTAGTAAGACCATACAACCAAAGTGTCGAAAGTCAAGAATCCAAGCATTGCCAACAAGTACCTCTGCAATGGCAAGATCTGGTTCTGGTTTCTCTTTTTGAAGAACTGGAATCCGAACAAAGCTAACACGACGGCGTACATAAGGGTAAGAATACCATAAGCCGGCAACTTCGGAATCTCGGAGGCACTCAAATGGCCGAAAGCGTTCTGGAAATTGACCACACCCTTATATTTGGAGTTCGTATCACTGTATGTTGCCACACAGTAGTAGCCGGTCCGGTCAACAGAGTAGTTGATCTTTCCTGGTCCCAAATGCGTCAATTGAGCAGTCTGGACCGTGGTGTTGGTGATATCACTGTTCACGATAAATTTGCCCTCTGACTTATCTTCACACAAGCCTTCGGCGATGGCGCTAGTGTCACAGATGTACTTTCTACGACCAGCCTTGTTGGTCTTTCCTAGGTGGACGATATCCTTGTACTCAAAAACGACATAACTGACACGGGTATCACCATCCTGATTTGCCTCGGGATTCTTCTTATCATACTTATGGCTTCCAAACTTTTCAAGCTTCAATTGAATCTGAGGATGGATACTGCCACCCCAGTCTTTCTTGGAATACATTCCCTCACAGACTTGGGCATTGTCGTTTTCGTCAAATGGAACTCGATTGGCCACGGTTACAGCGGATAATGTGAGGAGACCCACAATAGCTCCGGTGAGTTTGGGAAGCATTATGTGACGAAAATGGGATGTTCCGGAATATTGCCAAACTCTTTACCTGGCAAACCAGACGTAGCCAAGAGAATCATGCATGTGACCCAAAGTCACGCGCAACGCTCAGGCTTTTCGAAGCTCTACGCCTGCCTAAGCGAATTTTCGTGTATTGCGTTACCTTAATTAGGAGAGCTCTTCAAGCCTATCGATAAGCTTACTCTCGACGTCGCCCCAATTATCCACCAATTTCTTATAGAAGTCAATCTCTTGGTCGCACAAATCAACCATGGATTTTTTCAACAGCCTTTTGTTGAACCTGTCCCAGTTAGGGTATTCTTCGTTGATGATTCTACTGGTGAGATGGTTGACGAGCTGGGTCTGTGACTTGATCTCGCTCTCAAGCTGATTGACTCTCTGCTGTAGCTTTTGCTTTTTGCTATCGGAGTGCGTTGAGCCAATATGAGGCGTGGCTGATGTGGAAATGGTATCCTTTATGAGCTGAGTGGTGTTATTCACAATGCCTCTCTGCTGACTTACCATCACCGGAGTTGGCCCTGGACCATGATTGCCACCTGTGTGCCCACCCAAACTTGCCAAATCTGCTCTAGCTTTCGCTAAGTAATCTTCAAGCACTTGAAGATCGATCTTCTTGTTGTGCTGAAGCTCAATGAGCTCTGTAAAACGTATGATGTACTTTGCACAGTCTTTCAAAGAAACCAAAAACGACTCGTCGACGTATTGATGAAGTGAAGACCAATGTTCAGAGAAGAATAATAGGGAGTCTGAAAACACTTTGAAATTGTTCTGAAACACGGGGTTCTCGCTTGGAATTGAATTTAGAGACAGGTTAGGATCAACCTTCAGGTTCTCATTCGCTTGTGTCGTGACGTTTTGGATAGTAGCCAATTTGTTAATCTGCAAGGAAAACTGCTCGTAGTCTAGCTTCAAGTCGCTATGTTTGCGGTTGAGCTTGCTAAAGATCTTGTCCAACTTGATGAGGTTCTCGTAGAGCTTCTTTAGCTTGTCACTTATCTCGAGTATATCCTTGTTGGTTTCTCGCTTATGCTTTGAGGAGGTGAAGTAGTTCATGACGGTCTCGGTGAGCAAATCCTCGTTGACCACCTTGCCCAAGAATCCGCCCGACTCGGCATCTTCTGGTGCAGAGTTCTTCGAGACAGAGAGATTTTTGGTGAAAGTTGACCATTCGGTGGAGTCACTTATGAAGTAATGAAAAACAGACAGCTGAGAAAGGTACCGATGTTGGCAGATAAACCTGATGAACGTATCAAGGGAGTGGAGTCTCTTGTGCACAAAAGCTGTGCTGAACGTATCGCCAGTAAGGTATTTGAAGTTCAGCTTTGGCGGGAGTGGAGGAACTAATGACTGTGGGAAATCGTTTACCAAACAATTATGCAAGAACCTGAAGTCTCCGTAACGCCTCCTTATCTTCACGGTCACAGACAGGTCGTCCTTCTCTGGCTTCACACTAGAAAGCTTCGTCACCAGCGGATGGTTTGTTGTCGTTGTGATGAGGTATGATATGTACTGCTTTGCATTAGCGTCTCTGTCACTGATAGGGTGGCTCACTCGCAGGTCAATGGTATACTTTTCGAAATTCTCACTAAATTCCTGTTGCCTGAGTTCATCCTGCTTCAATTCGTCTTCCGTAGGAATTGCAGAAGTTATGTTTGCCTGCGGAGTGGCCTCAGGCACATCTGTGGTATTCAAAGGGGAGGATGGCCCGGAGGCGGTATCCAATGCAAGCGCCTCGGCGGTACTGTCTCGAGGAGCAGGGTCCTCGGAATCTTTGGGTTCTTCTTCTGAAGCCTTTGGTTCGCTCAGAGCTATAGTGGAAGTCTCAACTGGGTGATCCTGTTCGAGGGCCAACTTGCTGGGATCCTCATTGTCTGAACCGTCATGGCCCTCTTCCGGAATGTCTTGGTCCCGCAGGTCCTGTCTGTGCTTACTTTCCTCTTCTCTATCCCATTTTATCGATGTGAATGGGTCTTCTGATGCCATTTTGCTGATATGTTGATAAGGCGTTGTATGTAGATTGGTTAAGGCTATCGAGCGCCTGTCCACACTTATCAGTCTAGCCGCGCACGACCATTAACACCTAACTCTGGGGTAGACGAAATCACACCAAGGGTCCATTATGCGGGAAATTGCAGAAATTTATTTTATAGTCACATCAGATTATAGTACACAATTTTTTATCCTTATATCACCAACCAGGTGGCCGTGCCAATAATGGCAACTCCAACTATCGCAGTGATAATACTGGCACCTGCCTTATCCTTAGCATGAAGGTCAAGTGGCTCAGCGTCCGTTTTGGCAACAGCATAGCCCGCAGCCGGGTTACCGATCGAGGTACCTCCGGTGTCAGCAGTCAATGGCGGAGCTCTATCACGCACAAGAAGGTTTTGCATAACCTCCAAAGCGTTCATTTGTTCACCAAGACCGTAGGTACCATCCCAAGAGCCATTGGTCCACGAAAGACCGCACGTGTGTCCATCCGAACCACCGCTACAAGAGTAGGCAGCTGCATTGGCGGAGTCAACGAGCCATCTTCTGATATGATCGTAGGTTTCGGGCACAAGAATAGATGTAAGCCCCAAGAACCGCGAAAAGTATGCCTTGAAGGAACGCTGATCCTGATTACACGAGTAAGAATCACTCGTGGGACTTTGACATGCAGCCTCGTACATGATATTGGCATCCTCGGATTTCTTGTAGAAGAAGACCCTGGCGGAGTGCAAAAAGTTCAAGGTACGGTTGTGCCACTTTTCATCCTCGGTGTAGTTCCACAAGTAGGCACAGCCGGCCAACATAAGACCCTGGTTATAGGTCCACTGCCATTTGGTAACATTCGAGCAGTTATCAGGCGCGTGGGTACCGTCGTAGACAAACCACTCCTCACCTTCGGTCAAGAGGTTCACGCCGTACATCCAGTCAAAGACCTTCTCGGCCCAGTCAACGTACGAGTCGTTACCCGTGTATCTGGCCAAACGTGCACTCATGTGGAAAAGAGCACCGTTGGACACGGAGTTTTTGTAATCGTAACCCGAGTTCCACTGGAAAATCTGCCACCGCAAACCACCGTTGCAATGATCCATGTCCCATCTAGAGCTCATGGTGTTGAAGACAGCCTGTGCAAGTGCAAGCCAGGCCAACTTTGGGTCTTTTGGATTGGTAAAGTTATGTTCAGCAGCAGATATCACTGCAAAGCCCCAAAAGGCCTGATCATCATTACCTTCAGTAGTACTCTGATTCAATGGAACATAGTTGTAGTGCTCACCGACCTGGTAGGTGAGAGCCAGCTCGATGAGGTCGTCGTATTGGTGGTCGTCCGTGTAATAGGAGTAGTCTAGGAGGGATCCGAAAGCACCGCCAGCGTGCCACCAGTAGTAAGGCCAGGAGAACATGCCGATGGTTCCGCCATATGTATTTCCCTGGTAGTAGTTAAGCAAACCTTTAGCAATTTGGGCAGTTGCTTCCAAGATTGTGGTTTCATTATTGGTATCCAACCAAACGGCTGAAGCGACTGAAGCGTACGAAGCCCACGCTACGGCCAACAGTAGAAGTCTCATGAGTAGCGATAGTAAGCGAGCGGAAAAATTCAAATGAAAGTTGTTCCTTGGATTGGTCCCTACTAGCTTTTAATATTTGTCTTGAAAACCCGCAGATCAATCGAATGTAGTCCCTGGTGACACTTCTTGTTCTTTTTTCTTGTCCTTATGCGGTCCTTTTTTTTTACGTCTCTCCACGCTCTCTTTTTTTTTCCTGTTCTCTCATCCGCGATCGCTCTGCCCCTTCGATCCCTTAGAAGCGCGCTTATATTTAACCGCTGTATTGAGGAACAGGGTTTTTTACGGATCAGAAGCTAAAATTAAGTTCGTAGATTGTAAAAGCTATAGTACATTCCGTGGCCTAGCGCCAATATTTGTGAACTAAATACCTGAACTAACATTTGGCTTGTATCTTCTTTTCTTATTTCTGTACACGGCAGGCTCTCAGGTAATCAGGCTCCAAACGCTGGATCAACCTCCTTGGGGTCGGCGTTGTCGGCCAGCTCCTCCTGCCCATTCGCTTCACTCTTTGCACCATCATCGAGGTGGTCTTTGCCCAAGTCAGCGGACTCTGAATCTTGCGCTTGGTCACTCTCGTTGGCTTCTCTATCGCTTTGATCACTTTCGCTGGCCTTCTTGTCGTTGACGCCATTCTGAGAAGGTGTGGTTTCCTTAACTGATCCGGTGCCACGAAGTTGATTGATCAGTTTCTCGAAAGACTTGAAATTTTTGGCAAACTGGTCTGCGTCAACAGTGAGTCCAAGGTCAGAGTACACCTTGGAGGCGTCATCTTCAAATGACAAACCTCTGCTGCGCATTTTGTGGTCGAGGCTTTTGAGGAAGTTTTCGCTGAATTCACTTTGTGCCTTCTTCGCTATCTTTTTGATGATGATTAAATTGGTCTCGGTGACAAACAAAAGCTCTACGCTAGTGCTGCTGTCAGCCGTGGCAAATGTCTGCTTGAGGGGAGGCGTTAATAAGTAGTGGTTTTGTTGACTTACCTTTGACACGATGGGAACAGTGTTGTTTAACTCCGAGATGTTATTGCTTGTTTGCGTGAGCTTTGCAGGTGACAAGGAAGCGAATAGTGGATCCAAATAAATCAGGCGGAAACTGTCCAACATGGTTTTTCGGAACTGTTGCTCGGAAGTGATTGGCTTGTTTGAATTAAGTGACTCGACCAAGTAAGAGGCTAGTTCAGATATGTATGTGAACGAACCCTCTGCACTGTCATTACTCATCGCTAGAAGAAAGTCATTGAAGTCACTGTAGACGTGAGGGCGGCTGTATGGGTTGGAGTAACAGTCGTTACACAATCGGTAGACAGTGCTTACGCTATCCTCCAAGTCCAATGGGGAAGAACATAGTTCGCAAGACGTGGGTGCGGCTATTCTGCTTCGGTCTCCTTGCTTCTGTTGGTAGTGCCTGTAGTACTGCTGCTGCAGTTTGAACCCAGGTTGACCGATCTGTGCATCAGGGCGATTGATGGCTGCAGCTGCGATTTGAGCCGCTGTTGCCGTAGAGGTTGCCCCAAGCTGTTGTAGGTTCCTCCCATTGTTGGACATTCCAGATGCATTTGGGCCCACGGATGATAAGACACCACCAGTAGCGGCGTTGGCGATAGCCACCGGATTGTTGATGTAGGGTGACGCGTTACCCATCAGCGGCAGCTGGTAAGCTGACAGACCAACAGAAGCGCCAGGGTAGCCCGGACTCATGCCCAGCTGACCCCCGTTGTAGGAGTAATTCTGTGCATAGTTATAGCTTGGGGAGGCTGCGCCCATGCCCTGATTGAGCCCTTGTTGGCCATACTGCTGTTGACTGTAACCCTGGCCGGCGGAATTTGGCTGCTTATAAACGGAGAACTGGGCGTTGTACAGCTGCTTCGAAGGGTTCACCAAACCAGCATCCCTATTAGCCTGAATATCTGACAAAAGTTGATCGGCGGTAAAAACATCGTCATGAATGAAGTTGGCATTCTGGTTTTGTTCTTGGAACTGGCGCATACCATATCTCATAGTTTCCTCAGCCAAAGGCTTTCTCAGCTTCTTTTTGGTGCGCTCGATAATTCTACATTTGGCACAGGTCTTGTATTGCTGAACTTCGGGAGGCTCATCGTCCATTCTCTTCCTCTTGCAACGACGACATCTTCTCAGGTCACCCTCGTACATCATCATGATGATTGGCGCGTTTTTGTATGGATTGTGTTGATACCGATTAGGATCGAATGTTGGTTTTTTTTTTTACGTTGTATTGGATGTAGGTGACACCGGAATTATTGGTGCGCGCACGTCTTTTTTAGGTCAGGTGGCTTGCATTACTAGTTGGATGGCGTTTGCTTAGTCAGCAGTAAACTTCACCCTCTACAACACCAAATGTCGAATACTCCAGAAAGTTTGTGATAGATTTTGAAACCACTATCGCTTGATACTGAATTCGCGGTGCAGGAGAGACGTTTTTTTATGTTTTGAAGCGCATTCGCACCCACGCACTAATGATAGATAGCGTGGAGAAGAACCCTGATATCAGATAGCCTCAATTTAGGTCAACCGGAAGATTCGGGTGTCATCTATTTTTCGGGATCTGGTACGTTCGCTTGCGTCATAGACGTGAACTGATTTTTCTTACAAAATGAGGTGTTTTGAATTTTTAAGATCTTCTTTAGATTTTTAGACCAAATGACGATTACGCTGCACTATTGCGAAACGACATGGTCCACGAAGGATACAAACTACCCTAGGCAGTTATGAAGTTTACCAATAAATTGTTGTATATACAGAATTAGACATTTTTATAAGGTTTTATGAATCCTTGCAAGACCACATTTTCATTCACAGTCGAATTAAATTCGGCCAAGAAACCTGTGGCTCACTACACTAGCTTCACTGAAATTCGTCAGTTGATAAACTTGCTTGATCAAGAGATAGCTCAATTTTGAGTCAGCTGAATCTCTCCGAATATACATTCGACTTAACTCTTTGAAAAACTACTATCACCAAAAACAATCTCAATAACTAGAGTTCAGCTTGATCAAGATGCTGACCTAAAGTTGCTGTCGTAGCAAAGAAAGGCCACTGAAGTAGCTTTGATCACATGTAAGTCTAATAAGACGCCAGTTCATGAAGTTCCAACATGCTGACTAATGCACCTAGTCGAAAATTAAATCTAACTACTAAGGTTCATTACGTGATGATCTCTTCGATAACTGCATTTGAAGAATCCATAAGATGTGCGATTTCGGTAAGCAACATTCGGCCCGATGCGCAGTGGCTGCAACTTGTCAATTTCCCCGACAAAGCATCTCGATACCTATCAATACACAAAACTCTGGCAAACAAGAATTACCCGAAGTATATGACCCAAGCCACACACAGCCCATTTTCTTCCTCGATTTTTTTCTCAGCCGACAATTCTATGACAAGCTTTCGCCTGTTTCTTTTTTTCAACCACCCATTGGTGTACGGATCTTGTTGGCTGCTCAACCACCTTCCGCCCCTAGCAAGGCGATTAACGCTTCTAATACTCTTAAGCCTTTGAACAGAACTCAATTCTTTTCATCAGATCATGTCTAAGATTGTTCGAACTATCAAAAATAAGACAAATGGCTATCTGTCTGCCCAAGTTTTAGTGCGTAATGCCACTTCGAATGACCCGTCCGGTCCTACCACGTATGAGATGGAGGAGATCGCTGCCGCAACCTATAACAACCAGACTGAGTTCTTAGAGATCATGGATATGCTTGATCGTCGTCTCAATGATAAAGGTAAGAATTGGCGTCATGTGGCTAAGTCATTAACCGTCTTGGACTACTTGGTACGCTTTGGATCTACAAAGTGTGTGCTTTGGTCGAAAGACAATTTATACATTGTGAAAACTTTACGTGAGTTCGTGCACTTTGATGATGCCAGCAACGATCAGGGAGCTATCATCAGAGTCAAGGCTAAGGAGTTAGTTGCGCTTTTGCGTGATGACGAAAGGCTCACGAGGGAAAGACAAAACGCCAAGTCAAACGGTCGCAGAAGAGACGAGGAGAGAAGAAGACCAGAGAGACCTGCAAACGAGGACCCTTATGATTCCGATTTGCAACGAGCTTTGGAACTCTCTCGTGAGACCGCTGAAGAAGAGAGAGGTAGAAACACAAGAAACACTGAAGCTGACGACCCAGAGCTTCAGGCGGCATTGAAACTTTCGCTTGAGGAGGAAGAGATGAGAAAGCTCAAGAATCAACAAAACGATAATTTGTTGGATCTCAACGACAATTATGGCTTCCCTCAGCAACAGCAGCAGCCCCAGTACTACTATCAAACTGGGCAGTTTCAGCCTCAATATAATCAGCAATTCTCATACTTCCCACAGCAGCAGTCTCAACAGCAACAGCAGTTTGACATGTTCGGGAACCCAATCCAAGCCTCGAACACGGGGTTCTACCCTCAGCAACAACAACCACAGCAGTTTTCTCAACCTCAGATTCCCCAGTTCACCGGGTTTGCCAATCCCTCTGCGGCCAATAACACTGAAGAGTTGAAACCTCTAAAAACAGGATCCAACAATCCTTTTGCTTTGCAAGATTCTCTGTCACAGCAGCAATCTCAGCCACAACTGCAGCAGCAGCAGTCATTAAATCAGATGTCTCAGAATCAGCCATCATTCTTTACACAGCCACAATCTCTGGCTCCAGCCCAGCAACCCGCTCCCCAGCTCAAGCAGCAGGCCACATCCTCGTCCAGGTTTAATGATTCTCACGAACTCAACAATCTTTTGGCTACTGGTACAGGTGTTGACACTTTCGGTAACACTGGAGCCACCAGAATACCACACCAGCATACAAAGACTGGTACTTTCATCAATTCTAGTGGCACGGGCTACAAGCAAGCACAGAATGACATGCGGTTGAGCTCGAATGCGACAGGAAATCCGTTCCTCAACACCGGTATTGGTGCAACCGGACAAAATGGCCCTCAAATGCAAAACCAGAATGGACTGCAAGCACCTCGTAGAATTGACCCAGCTCCTACTGGATTTGGATTTGGAAATTCGAAAGAAGGTGAGCCAAGCTTGATTGACATATAGAGATATCAGGCGCCAATCGAAGCGCAATCTACGTGCTCCCCTTGTTGCATATGATAGGCGTTAGTCTATGTATTATTAGATTTTTTAAGAATGTTGACTCAATCGAAGGATAATGCGTAGTCAGGGTATTCATCCAATTTCAGTTTGAAAATAGACTTGACACACCAATCCCACTCAACGATGATGACTCCCTCAGCGTTGAGCGTCCTTGAAGATCTCTTATCCTTTTCTTTATGTGCAATCAAAATGACTTTGCCATTGGCGTTTGCTAGCAAACTGCTTTTCTTGACATTCATGGAGACCTTTACTTTCTTAGTCTGCTGAACTCCATGTTCCTTTAAGATGCTCGCTATCAAATCTGGACCACCATTCAAATTGGCAGATAGATTCAACTTCAAACCTTGAAAGACAGAGCCCTTGTTTGAAGAGTTGAGTAAACGCGTGAGACCACTCTCTTTTGCGCTTACACCCAAGTCTTCATTAATCTGTTTCACAGGTACGACGGCGTCCAAATAATACTTCTCGATCAGATGCAAGGCTAGAATCTCCTCTGGTGATTTATCAGGGTTCATTTGAATTGAACTCAATAAATCTGAAAGATAATGTGGATGAACGATCTTGTTACACTGTGATAGACTTTTAAGAAATTTTTCCGTTCTTAAAACTTTTGGGGCGACCAATAGGTCAACCTTTCTTTGGCTCTCGTAGTCGTTGACAATTTTCAAGCCTATTCTCACGAGCTTCACAACGTCTGCCCGATTCAACGTAAGCTCAGCTTCACACCCAGTCATAATCGCGATTTGCTCAAGCGCTTCCGATTTCTTCCTCTTTTTCGCCAACGGCGTCCCACTTCGGGAACTATCTTGACCAATATCATTTTGTTCAATCTCCGAGTTATTATCAGGGGAGCTCGCTGACCTTTTCTTTTTAGCCTCCATACTTGACTCCAAGTCTTTCATATAGCTGTTCATTTTTCTCGTTGACTTCAATATTGAAGTATAGTTGTTGAGATCCTCCATATCGCTGTGTAACTTTGAGGTTGCTTTTTGCTTTGCTGATCGACTGGAACGAGACCCAAAAGATTTATTTGGCTGTTCACCTCTTTGGGAAACAGATTCAGCAGTTGAGTACTGAGCACCTGTGACTTCAACGCCTTCAGAGGGTATCATTGAATGCTCGCCTCCTTCAGAGGGTGCATTTTGTTCATCTGACAAAAGTGCTATGTTATCTTGCTTCTCACCTGTCTCAGATCTTGCATCGAGAACATCAGTGGTGCTATCATCAATATTGAGCGATAGCTCCTTGCTCGAGGAAAGTCCGAGCAGGGAGCCATCGATGATCGCCGTGCCAAGTTTTGGGGTCTCTTCATTTACTTTTTGGTAAATATTTTTCGTCGGATCGATGTATTTCCATTTCGCAAAACAATGTTCGATCCATAGATGGTTCACAATTTTAACATCAGGCCATCTGCTTCTTACTGCCATGTACTTCTCACCTCTATGCTTTTCGGCAACCAAGTAATTATTCTGTGAATCAAGAGTTTTGGTAAACAGAGCACCCATGATGGAGATTAGCTGTGATAAGTAGTGTCTTGCATCACCGCTATATCCCGTGACGCTGATTCTTGCCCCTGACAACTCTGGGACATGGGTCCTGGGAATTGGAAAGTTTAGTAGGTTCGAGTTTAAAGGTGTGATGTATTGTCTTCGAACGACCACTTGATATAGCCATCTTAAGCTTGCGACCTCCACATGCCCAGCGTCGACGCATTGTTGATAGTCAGAACCCTCACGAAATTTCCCGATGTAAATATCTAATTGTGAAGGATCAAACTCTTTGATGACAACACCACCATGCAGCTGTATCAATTCGTGAATGGACTCTCGAAAATGTTCACTAAATGAGTGATCGGGGGCAAGATACACGCGTTTACCTTGAAGCACATCCGAGGCATCATTCAGTTGAGAGGCGGAAGACACTTCGTCATCAAAAATTGAATCAGCAACAGTTCCCCTTATTTCAAAATTAGGTTTACCCGTTCGAAGAGTGACAGGGTCCGAAAGAAGATAAGGCTTTTCATCGAGACATTTCTGTTCTCTGAAACAATCGTCGAGCCAGTGAGGTAGGACGATTTGAATTTTGAGGTTCTCACGTTGTTTTATGTTGGCAGCGAGGACGCTCTTATTGTTTGAAAGATCGTTAGCTATTAAGTGTGTGGTGTATCGGGATAGGGAGTCGAGATATTGGCCTCCAAAAGCTCGCACGCCAGCATACATCATCTCCTTGTCCCCTTCAGGTAGATTATCAGCAATGCAAACCACGACTTTGTCCATAAACGGTAGTGGGCGAGGAGAGTAAAGTCTGTAGTTTTTTCTTTGCGACGCCAGCTCAGAATCCTGAAGCCATTGTGGTGAAGTAATTGGCAACATAAGATCTTGAGCTCGTGAAAGGCCATTAAAGTCGTAATCCCAAGCTATTATGTGGGAAATATTGTTCTTGCTCATGTTATCTAATGACGACTCTGGGGTCAGAGGAACGGACTCTCCACCGTTCCTTGAAATGATCTCCTTGATTGTAGAGAGCGAGATCTCATTGTCTTTGGAATGGGAGTCTATAATAAGGAAGTTTGTTTCTTCAAAAAGCGCACTCATGGCTGTGAGGGCTATTTATTAAATCCTGTGAGCATACGCGTCAATACTTTATGTGTATATCAAGTTTTCATACTCGCGCTTGCCAATGCAGTCTATCAACAACTTCACTACTGTGTCAAAATGGAGTGATGTATGCTTGAGAAAATTTATATAGCTATTAAATCAATTTGATACCAGCTTCTAATCTTTTTGTCAAATTCTCAAAATGGTCGGCTCAACAATATTATGAAATGAGGGAAGTGCTGTTATATGAATGAGTGTCGTGAGGTATGAATCGGAAAAAAGCGATGTGGCTTATCAAAATCCTTGAGGCGAAATCATCTTTGGCGTTGCCAACTCTGATGTTGCCATGACAGAAATGAAAATGCAGGGAAAGATCTCATCGATCTCTTTTGAGGGTGAAAGGTGTGGTTCATGAACTTCTTGAGGGTGAGTAAAGACTTGGATCACTTAGAAATCTTCTCGGTTAAAAGCAGCTCGTCGAATAAATCCTTCTTTTCTGCCATGAACTTCTTCGCCCAGCTGCGGCAAACAATGCTTGCTTTCATAAATTTCCGTGTAGCGTATTTCTTGAAGAATTCATCGTGTTCCACAGGGGAAACAAGGTACTGAACTAGGAGTTCAATGCATTCCCTCATATCGCTAACGCGGTATCCACCAGAGTAATGGATCAAGTTTCCATTCCAGACAGGATCTTTACCGAGTATGAGTCTTGAAATGTACATAGCAGCTGCGGAGCAGAGCGACGGAAGCATACCGATGAAGCGATAGTCAATAATTGAAATCTCAAGGAGGTATTTGCCGAGAGTCCTCAGTTGTACGTCATAATCATCAGCCTTTGAGATTCGACGCAAGAAGTTCATCGGATTAGGGTAGTTGAGATCGAAATTGAGGATGGTGAGAATGTATTTCTCTGCTTGAAGGATCTGGTCTTCAGTATAAGATTCGTCAGTAAAATAAGCGTAATTCTTCACTGATGGTGAAAAGACTTCTTCGTACTTTGCAGCAATGAAAAGTGAGCCCGTGGCCAAGAGCTGAAGCTTGTCTATCTGAACAACTTCAACGGACATGAATCTATCCATGATGTTTATTGCCAAGAAGAGAGTTTCTGGCAAAAGTCGGAACTTCTGATGCATCTCTACGAGCCAATCAACGAGAATCGAGCGCATCTTAGGTTTGAGTTGGGTCTGCTCGAAGAGGTAGTTTGGATCGGGAAGTGTTTTTTGTTCGAGCTCGTGCAAGTATGGGAAAATCTCGTTGACGTATTCGCTCACCATCAATGGATCGTCATGGTCTTCCTCGTCAAGATCCTGCCATTCATAATCAATACGCTTAGACTTCTTGAACTTGGCCACACTTGTCTCACTTGATATATGGAGTTTCTCGACCAAGTTGGTGCTCGACTCTGTGGCTTGTCTTTTCCTCGGGAGACCACGAGTTTCTTCTGCCAACGGCGCCAGTACCAGCCCAGCGGTCACAGCCAGAGATTTTCTATCTTTTGAAGCTTGAGCAACTTTTATATCTTTTGATAAATTGTGGGCACCCAATTCAATTGTTTGCTGGCGCAAGGGTGCTCCTTCTCCTCCTCCAAGAGGCTTTCTTCTGGCGGTTGGACGAGTTTCTGAACGGGACGCCCCGTACTGTGACGACACGTCACCCAAATACTGACGTTCTTGGGTGGCCTTGTGGTTGGGTTTGGCACCGTTTCTATGGGTTAACTCCTTCAGCCGATGAATTGTATCTTGGTTCTTAGCCTTCGCACGGGAGACCCAAGCGTCGAGACCATCCCGCTCATTTTCATTTTCATTAGTCGCAGATGACATGATGGATGCCTGTGCTGCAGACCTCTTTTCAAAAGCTGTTTTGACCAGTTCTTGCCAAAAGTAAGTGTGGGAAGGAGGTTCTCACTTTTGGCGCGTACAAAAAATGTAACTGACTAGGGCTCAAAGCGAAGGTGCACCAATACAGAAACAACCTTTGCTATATTGACAAGCTGATGCTTTAGTTTAAGTTCGTGGCTTGCACAACTCACTTGAATTGATGTTAAAAAGTGTTAAAAAATGTTGTTATAGGAACAAGCAAGTGTCGGTGGGTGTATGGCACACTGACAAGGAAGGCAGATTGGGAAGAGATCGATTAATTCGGAAAGGTAAATACAGCGAGCAAGAACAATTCGCTCCTTTACATAACAGACCAGCAAGGAAAACAACAAAAAAAAAAAAAAAAATGATTCGGAGGAAGGCTGGCGTCTTTGTGCTTCGCGTTTTAGGACAAATCGAAGGAATTTCGGCGTGAGAAATGCGAGGGAACGAGGCAACAGTTCGATTCACCTTCCTAATTGAGGCGTTTGATCAACAAAAATTGTGATTCGCTCTACAACTTTGCTAGCGTCGAAAATGATGCACCCCAGCGTGGATCGGAGACGGAATGAACTTATTACTTAAAAAGTTTACATTCCTATGAAAGTCTGTTTTGGTAGGGTTCGGCTGCTTTTTGATTATCACTCATCCTCGCGAAGCCGTTTTTACAACTCCTTTTTAAGTACGCAATGTCCGTAGAGTCGTGACGCAGATGATGTGTAATTTAGCGACGTAAAATTGAGCCCTGCTGTACCAAGGAACGTTGTTGCATTCTCAACAGCGGTTAGCCGAGAATCGTAGTTCCCAAGAATTGTCTTAATTCTACGACAGAGAACGGAGGGACTTCGCGACATGCTTTTGAATATTATTTCATTGTTAGCGTACCCCAAATACCAGTTTCTCACAGTATATTTGCCTTGCTGCCGTAATACCAGTTCTCAAAATAAACAAGCAGCGCGCTTAACCTCAGCGCGTCGCTCCAATGATTGCATAACGCTGGGCCTCACCGCAACGCTAAATGCAGTTGGCTAATGTGGATAACGTTCTGATTATTCGTGATTGACAAACTAGTGCTGTTGTATTGCGGAACAATGCTTGGGTTGTACCATCCAACGTACGAATCGGTAAAGGCATCTGTCAAAAAACGGAACCCCTCCGCAAGCCACAAAAGAAGCGTGGAGCTTCTTCCATGAGAACCTTAAATTCCCCTCTTTATCGCATCTAAAGTGTCTTGTTCCAATTATATTTACCCATCAAGTTCCTCGTAGCGTCATTACCTTCATTCTCAACATGTGGAGTGGATGATGAATTGGGTCTCGTCGATAGTCGACTGGCTGCATTTGAGCAGGCGCTGCAAGAGCTTTTATCACTCGAGGGCCGTTTGTCATTTCGAAAATGGCTGGCGCTTTTGATGGGCTGATGATCCTGTAGTGTGGCATTAATTTTGCTTATTTCGCAACACACTTGATCTATTACATCAGCCACATGCTGCATTTGATTCGTAAAATTGGCCTTTGCATCGTGCAGTGTTTCATCAGCCGGCGACAAACCATAGCACGTATGACGAATATAATCTTTATCTTCGCTTGTACCTTGCTCATTGATCTTTCCTTTATTGGACTCAAATTCATCGTCATTCTCGTCACGATGGCTGGCCTGAGCTTGAGACGCTGCGGCATGCTTTGTATTTGCTTCCTCTAATTTTCGTGTGAAAGATGATAACCCTTCTAGTAAAACCTTCAACTCTTTCAGGTTTATTTTTTCGTCACCCTTAACTGCAAGACCTTCTTTGAAGACCTTGTCAACCTTGGCTTGTGCCGGCACACCTTCAGCCTTTAGATGACGCTTATCATCAGCATGCTCCTTGAGACAGCTCTCATACAAGGTTTTGTACTTCACGAGCTTCAGTCGTAGCAAGACATTTTCCTGCGAGAGAGACGAATCCCGTAGTTTCAGATCCTTCCCTCGAAGTTCCATTTCAAGTTCTTCATTACGATCTTGGAGCCCGCGTACTTGCAGAATGAGTCTATCATGACTTGTACGCATTTCATGAGCCTCTGACAATTGAATTTCAAGTTCCCGATTTGTTTGTTCGAGGATTTTGTTCTTCTCTTGTTCAGCTTGTAGTGCTTTCCGAAGCTTCATTGCAGAATTGGATATGAACAGTGAGTACTTGGTATCAGGAAGAAAAGTATATGCTTCATGTTTATTGGCGTGAAATTGATCATTTGAAATGCTCTCGAGATCATCGAGGAACGAAAGATCAAAGTCTTGTTGCACTGTGCTTCGACTTTTATCCTGAAATCGTCCCGAGGGCTGCTTTGAGGGACTTCCTCTGAGACGTTGTAATTGCTTTGTTGGACTATCGTAGGATTTAGCGGGTGATGTGAACCTGGACTGAGGAGCCTTTTTACCGGCCATTGAGTAATTGGAAAGATCCATCAATGGGTCCGACTCATAGCCTTCTTCGATATAGGGTTTGCATTCTTCCGCAGAAGACTGCGTCTCTAGGTATTTGTTGAGAATATCCTGAGTAGCTTCACGATCCATGATATAATGGACGACAGCTCAGTTCTTACGCGTGTAAGTGATAGTGAGATCCTTCTGAGCTAACGCGACTAATTGTTGATATCACGGCGCCCCAGTGCAGGATCGAGGTTATCTACAGTAGCTACATACTGATAATTGATGCAGTTTTTTGGTGTATGTATTCTTATTGTCTTCACTGAAATTTTCAGACATCATCATTCACGTTAACATGAACCAAGTAGTCCAAACTTTTCCCAATGGCATTGATGTGCCACGGGGTCATGCTGCGGAGTTTCGTTTTATGAGCAGAACTTCCAGTTTCGTCTTTATTTGTGAGTGGGCAGATTCCGATGATGTAGTTAAGATGAATAAGTTTCTTGAATTGATTGAGCAAAATTTTCATGATGGTATTGAGATTCCATTGGGATGAGCAGCTCAAGAGTGAGACTTCGAAGGTCATGAAGTTAGTGGATTCCTCGTCTGCAATTTCTTTGATCAAATATCCTGTTTTCATTCCTAGCCTCGTCGGAGAGTTAGAGCAAGGTAGTGAAGTTTGAGGAACAAAGCCCATCACATCAAGATTCTTGTCACGAAGATAAAGATTGTGCTCATCAATGATATTAGATTCTCCATTATGACTTTGCACGCTGCTGTCTTGTGGACTCAAGAAGTTTCCGGGTGCATTCACAAACTGATGCGGGGAATGAACATGTAAAGTACCTGAATTGATTGGTGAGGTAATATTGTTGATCTCACTAGTACCCGGAGAACTTGTGTACGGTATCGGAAATGCCTTAATTAGATCAGCGCCACCAAGCCCACACATGTTGTAACTTTTATTGACAGCCATTTGATCAGGGTTTGCGGGACTTCGCTCACCCACGGGAGCATTCGTTGCATGTTTACCCTGAAATCCGAATGTGATCTTGGGCAATCGGTTTGCCGAAAGCACAATGAGAGAAATCTCCTTGTACTTCGAGGTGAGTCGTTTCCAGAATACTAACTCGTCATCGGGCAAAATACTATTCACACGAGTTAAAACAAGGAACCTTTTTCCACTAGTACCACACGCGCTGCGAGATTCTTCGTCACCAAGGTATTTGAGCAAGGAGCTAGAGGTATCCCACAATTCGCTGATTATTTGGCCGATATCTTGTCCGTTAGTATTATCACCTCGTTTTGATGCACAATACCATGACTTTGTGTAAGTCACCACGCCATGGGGGTCAGACCAAGCAGCAGATACCCATTTTCGATCTATGGACCGCTCATAAGCGACATGAAGGAAAAGATCCTCAGCAAGTGTTGCACCATCATCATTGTAGAGCCGGCGATTGGAAACCTTGAAGTTCAAGCTTTGTGGTCTCTCTTTGAGCAACCTTGTGAAAAGGCCTGCAGTCCCTCTAGTCGTTTGGGTCGAACATCTCACTCTGCTATTCGGACACTTGTTGTAGAGCATCATCGATAAATTAGTAAGCTCAGCGCTCGATAAATATTTAAGTCTCCTTCGGTTGTTCGCTTGCTTGAGGATGCTCTGCCAGGGAATCACATGAGATAAAACTTCGACAAGTGAGAGTTGATGGATATTGAGAGACGCCTGAAAGTCTCTGCATATCTTTGAAAGCTGTGAGATCGAGCCTATGCTGTCATCAAAGTTGATGAACAAAAGAAGCAAAGGCCTGTCAAAATCGAATCTGTTGTTCTTGTTAATAAGATCCAACTTGATCAACTCTGCTAAAGCACGAAGTCTTTTCCCCAACCGATGATAATACTTTGTGTAACCGCATTCAGCTTCAGATTGCTCCATCAAGATAGTTCCGTTCGAAACACCTTCAAGGTCTGCTCTATTTTCGGGAGCCAGCAAGGATAGCTTCTTTATATCCCCAAAGTGATTATTCTTGTAATTGTTCTTCAAGAGGCTAAGAAATGAAAGGTTTCCCCGTTCAAAAACATCAATATCGAATGCTCCAGTCGTCGTTGGAGAGATAAGAAGAACCTGAAATGTTCGTTCGTGGTTGATAGGCTTGAGATCGAGATAGCGCCAGAATCTCAAACCCACGAAATCAATGTTGATAATTTCCGAATTTGGCTTCAAAATCTTTACCTTTGCGTCAGAGGTAGGTAGGGTAGCGTGATCTTCATTCTTACGTGAACTCCATCTCTGTTCAGCTTCAGTTAAATGCTTGGTGTATAGCTCTGCATTCCTTTCATTTCCAGGGCTTTCATGGTAGATGCTATCCCAAAAAATAGATTTAAAATCGGGCAGATCATTCTCGTTGCTATCATTCAACTGGCCCAAGAACCCTAGATGGTTATCGACCGTATTCTCATCGATCTTCTTTGATGACTCAATGTTGCTCTCGGAATATCCAAATCGCAATTCGTCAAGGCTCACACGAAGACTAAGAGGAAACACACTTTTGAATATCTTCAACATCAGCTCGGATGGTTCTGTCTCAACACATGGCCCGTCGTGATAAAAATGATCTTCCTCGGATATCTTTGAGCGAGTCGTATGTCGTGCTTCAAAGTTTCCAAAATCAAAAATAAGATTTGAAGTTATCCATTTAAGAAATTCTGCTAGATCCTTACCTTTGACCGTGAGTGCGTGGTACCTCTCAACATCGAGGCTTTCATAGTCTTCAACAATGTCCATATCAAATCCGGACAGCATGGTAACAGCATCCCAGCTTTCTTGCTCTTTTATCAAAAAGAAGACCGGGGGAATTGTGAGAACATTAATACTCCTCAAAATGAGCGGAAGACAGTTAGAGGACTCCCCAACAGTGCTTGAGGTGCTTGTAACCGGGCTTCCTGCGCTTGTTGCAGGAATTGATGTGTCGATGTCTTTTGAGTCAGTACTGATAATTGCAAGCTCCTCTTTGGTATCATTTGGATAAATGGGTAATGGTGATAATGACTGCGCGACCGGATCATTTATGAGGACCGGACCAGCCGGCCCAGGAGGGATCTCGTCTTTGCTGCTCCACTGTCTGTGCCCTGATGGGTATGGAGATAAGTCTTGTTGTGCCATGTCAATATTGGAGTTTGCTGAGGGGAAGGGACGAGCTGTATCATTTAACGAATTATGACCGACAATGGTAGGGTCTTGGTTGAGAGTATTAAGCCTGAGAGGAGACGTATCCAAATCCTCATTTCCATATTCCTCATCCTCATCACTCTCTTCCTCGTCTTCCTCTTCGTCCTCTTCATTCATGCTATCTTCCATGGCTTCATCATCATCTTCATCAAGATCGTCATCGTCATCTCTCTCATGTGTAAGACGGTAAGGATGAGAATCAATACTGGCAGACCTGTCCTGGGGGTATTCATTTTCGACGCGGCGTCCAACTTCATGGTCAGGCATCCCAGACTGTGCAGCTTCCTGAACCTCAAAATCAATGTCTTGATCCTTGATTAGAGCCGAGGGTTCTTTGCTCGTGAAACTCGAGCCCGCTTCAGGGTTACCTTCGTTAGATTGCTTCATAGCCTTCCTTTCAGATGTTTTACTCACATCATTTTGCCTGGCTGCTAGTTCATTAGAAAATTGGAGTGGAGACCCATGACTGACACTGGTTTCACGAAAGCGCCGGTTTCGATATTCAGGATCGGATGCTTCATCATGTTCGACGTAAAACTTTCCACCTTTTCCGTATTTTGTATCAATACTACTTTTGATGACAGGATTGAATCTGATAGGTGAAAAGACGTATCCTGTACCATCCTTGACAGAAGCATTTTCTGGTGGTCGATCATTCGTAAGTCTTTTTTCCCTTTTGAAAAAGGTTTTTTCCGATGCAGATATTGAAGGTGTGAAGACTGCACTAGCCGGGACAACAGGCGTTGGAATTATCGGTAAAGGGGCACCAGGGTCTTTGTAGGAGCCGATATCCTTGTCAGATATCATCTGGTCTCGAGGTATATTCACAAATGTTGATGGGGAGTCTAATCCTGACGTTGCAACACGGTTGTAGGACGAATCAGCGCCTTCTTTTGCAACATGATTAGCTGACAAAACTTCTTCATCGCTAAGCTTAGGTGCTATTGGATTACTATCAGCATCGGTCACAGGAAGGTCACTCTTTGCATTTGATTTGGCAACATTGTCATCGTTGACCTCTGACCCAGAGCTCTCACCGAAAAGATCATCATCATCGTCATCATCAGCAACGTCTTCACCCATTTTTTCGTTGTCACTCAAAATCTTTACTTTTGGCAACTCTGAGTGAAACTTATCGTTTGCGGCTGCTTCATGAGTCTCCAGTCTTTCCTCATTCCATTTGGGTACGTCCGAGAACTCGGGTTTAACAGAGTTTGTGGATGGAGTCTGATGAAAGTCCTGGTAGGAAAAGTCATCAGTCATCGACATGACTGGTGTTTCAAGTTTCACAGAAGTGTCGTCCATGAATGCAGCATTTCCAGAACTTTTACCAGTCGAAATAGGGCTGACTCCATTAGCAGACGAGTTTTGAGAAAATTGTGGGGCAGTAGATATCGGTACATCAGGCAGGAATGATTCGCCTTTTGAATGCAAATGTCTCTCTTTGGTTGCAATATTAAAATCCATGAAGCGATTCAAAAGATCCATAGGATCGGTGTTATACGAGGGGGAAGCTAGGGCCGTATCGCTTGAACTCTCGTCTCCAAACTGTAGAAGACAAAGTTCCCAGGGCCACAAGATGAATTTCTTGTTATCCACCTCATGGATAAAGTGTGAGATATTCGAGGTTTGATTGTTCAAGTGTTGTAGATTAGGGATCAATTTGGCCCAGAGTATTTCTTTTCTCCTTGATAGGTCGATTCCAGTGCTTAGCTTCAAAAGACGAAGAAGATTGCTGCTTGATTTCGGAGGACTGAGAGTGAATGTCAGATGATAATCGGAAGTGTCATACAAATGGCAACGTAGGCCAGATGGTATCACATAGATGACAAAATTTTTTGTCAAACTCATTGACGAAGCACTTAGCTGTATAACACTTGAGAACCAGAGATTCAATCGATTTGTTTGGAAAAGAGACACAATTAAATCTCCATTCTCCAAAACGACAGGATCAATCTGTACAATTGTAAGTCGACTGCTATCACCTTGTATCTGGCTTGCTAAGTAGTTGCCAAACAAGTAGTTATTTGAATTTTGACATAAGTTGAAAACAATCATCTTCTTTACTGCCTTGAAGAAAGTGAGGCTGACAAAAGCCAATTGATCATCTAGTGGTTCTGAATCCTTCTTATTTGAACCCTGACTTGACAGACCCTTGGAAGGTTTTGCAAGTGAGGCTGCATTTACCGTAAACTCTCTTTTGAAAGTGAGCTTCGGGTATAGTTCATCAAGTCGGCCATGATTAACACTAGAGGTGTCCCCTGGCTTGAGCAAATCCACCCCTGTCTCGATATGCCCTAGCTTGAATTGATATAAACATTTGTTGTAGTATGTCAACAAAATTCGAGGATGCTGGTCTCTTATCTGAAGCTCGAGCTCTAATAAGAGTTGATCTTGAGTTGGATCTGTTGCAGTGTATATATGGACCTCTAGCAGTTGAAGATGAGCAATCTTGTAAAAATGTGTCACTATACCAGATACCGATGGCAAATCAGGCATTTTGGCATAATCTTTTCTCCAGCTTGAGGCCAACTGAGCGATGAGTTCTTGGTGATTGACAGTATGCGCACTGATTGATTCTACATGAGTAACTTAGGTGCGTGCAACACACCCATTAAATGATAACTCAGAACATGATCTACAGAATTCGTAAAAGTCGAAATATAGAACTTTAAATACTACACCTTGTGAATTAGTATTGAAGATGTATTGATGAATTGACTATTCAATCCTTGTTAACTCGTGCGCTTACTGGGTGTATTGAACAGGATTGGCGAGAATCGCCTCGCTGAAATCAGGAACTCCAAGCTTGCTTGTATGGCCCCATGGCTTCTTGGCATTTTCGTTATCTGTCGAGGCAGCAAAACACGCTAACCAACCCTCGCGACTGTACTTTTTGTTGGCATAATTCAACGTTTCAGGGTGGATGTATTGAGTATGCTTGCCCACATTATCCAAGATGGTGGCTATCTGAAGAATTAAACCTAAGGTTGTGATGTTTCCACTATCGCCAATGTCTTGGTGACGAATGACGGCTTCACACACTGCTTCCGCAAATGTCTTATCCTTGGCTTCTTCCTCGATGAATTCTTTTGCTATAAAGCCACCGTAAAACTCGAAGGACATCTTTGTAGCTGCCATATTTTTTTCTGTAGTTCCAATATCATGGAGCAAGCAAGTCGCAAAGAGAACTGTCTTGTCCAAATTCCACTCGCGAAAATAATCATTGATTATTGCAACTGAGTAAAGATAGACCCTAAGCGAGTGGTAAAGAACCTTTTCGGGAAGCTCCTTGGAGGCATACGCCAAAACTTTCCGGTCCAAGGGAGAATCTGGAAGTTCTGGTTTTTGCGGGTTGGTCCATTCCGGCTAGTTATGGCCTTCGTGGGGTCTCTTGTGATACTATCGAAGCCGTATTTGTTCATTTCGGGTTATTATATGAAACGTAGTTGAATGGCAAGCTATTTAAAGGCGGAAATTGTACGTCTTTATATTCCGTTATAAAGTGGGGTTCCAGCCTCAGTTGCTTACAAAGGGGTGCTGTAAGTTCCGCTTACTACTCGCCCTCCTTTTGCCGTGCATTGTGAATGAGGCTGCCGAGAACTTTCTCCTAACTCATGAAGATCAGTAATAAAATGCAGCAATTGCCCATCATAGTTGTAAGATGATTCTGTGTGCTTGTGTATTGTGCGCTTACCAGTTCGCAGCTTCAACCTAAGACTTGGCTTGAGTAATTCAAACAACACTCACTCAAAAATGGAACAACTACCTCCATCGGATCTTACTCGTATGTTATATTAAAGTTGTGTTACAATCTGCTTTCACATCGCTGAATGATGGTGACATGGAATTATCTTTGAATGTACTAATGCAAGCTATCTTGAAAGCCTCGGATCTCGCTGATGAAGTTCAAACCAAGGTTTTTGAGCTTTCGATGGATGCAACAAGAACTTACAAAGTGGAAAAAGATATCGCAACGTATTTGAAGAAAGAGCTTGATCTACTTTATGGAGCTTCATGGCATGTTATTGTTGGCAAGTCCTTTGGATCGAACGTGACTCATGAACAAGGGTACTTTGCTTACTTTTACATCAACGATCTTGCGTTTTTGATTTTCAAGAATTAACCTAAATTCTTCTATAACAATTACATCGCTTGCAAAATCGGATCTGTCTAACAAGAAGTGGTGTGCCATCGCAGTTAGAGTCATCTACTTCTTCTGTCCTGACAACAAAGTGAAGGAGGGGCTCTTCAAAATGTCGCGTCCCTTTAAGAACTCTAATTCCATGACAAAAAGATATTCGAGAACATCTGCGCCTGCTTTGCTGACAAGTTCTCCTGCGGCACTTGCGCTTCCACCAGTGGCTAATATATCGTCGACAATGACAACCTTGGAACCTTTTGGAAGCACCCCTTCTTGGATTTCGAAAGAATCTTTTCCATATTCCTTCTGGAATTCTGCTCTCAAGGTTGGCCCGGAAGCTTTCCAGGCTTTCTCACGGGAACGAATCCTGCGTTAACTGCCAATGCCAATGCTGGCCCAAATAAAAACCCTCTACTCTCTAATCCCACAATGTAGTCGATTTTGGTGTCTCCAAGATGGATCTGAAATGCTTGAACTAGTTTTCTGAAAAGATCGGGCTTCGCAAAAATTGGTAAAAAGTCCTCAAATAAAATGCCTTCTTGAGGAAAATTTTCAAATTGCTTAAGGGAAGATTTCAACTCTTGCGCAATGGTTTCGATTTCAGTCATATTTAATGGTTATAGTTAGGTAACTTCCCAACATCTAAAAAATTACGTTTTTGAGGTACTGATAAACCCGTACCTCACCCACCCACGATGCCACATTTAATAGTAGGTTTGCTACGCGCAGGCGCATGCTATCCTAGAGCAGCTTGCCACATTGGAGTAACTTTGGATCGGATACACATCTCACAACCGGTGAAGAGACCAAACCTTTTAAGCGAGACATGATGTTCCAGGGCCCGCGAGATATTGTTACAAACTTGATGTGAGGCTTTAGCTCCAATCGTCTCCAGCGGCTTTCCCTAAATACGTGAAACTTGCGGGTTAGTTGAATTTGGACAGTCTCTTCTGGACTACCGATGCAGACGTACTCTGCAGTCATAGTTGTGCTTCCTCCAATTGTGCTCTCAATTCCATGAGAGAGTTTAGCCATGAGGACATTCAACAACGCGATTTTGAAATTTGTTGACGCGCTTATTCCATAGGTGTGTGAGATAGTCGCTTGAAGACTACCTTTTGCACCGTCTTCTAAACTAAGGCACCCTGTGTAAGGTACTCCACTTAACTCCTCTGTCTCCTCGTGATCTCCTACCTCGATTTCAATCCAGTCATGTGGTGAATCAGCGGTCCCTGATTGCAAAAATCCTGCGAATCCACTAACTTCAAATCTCAGAGAGTGAACCAACAAACCCAGGGTACCTTGACATAGGTATGTGATGTTTGTCCTCGCGAGACTCTTAACTGTTAACCCGTTTTCACAATCTATAGTTTCAAATGCTGGGTCAAAGACCTCTCGCGCGACAGCGTTACCAAGTAGAACTAGAAACACCCCCAAAAGTAACATAACTGGTATCAATTATGAGAAATCCACATGAAGAATAAATAGAATTCATCTGCTCCATACCTGTATCATTACTTATTATCAGTCACGCATTTCAGGACTCACTACAGTGTCCTAAATAATCATCTTACAGATCCTTCCTAACTGGCCCCTCGTGATCGCTCGGTGTGCGCACGATTTGAGCTGACAGAAAATTCAGCACTTACATACAACCGACAGATCATTCAGACACAACCACAAAATGTCGGAGGAAAAGGCCACCACTATGAGAAGTGGATCCTCTTCTCCAGTTGGAGCTGCCCAAAGCGGTGAAAAACGTGCTCGTGAATCTCATGACAAAAACTCACAGCACGAAGAGTCTTCTCGGCCTCACGATAGTGAAGCAGACGCCCAGCAAAGCGATGATAATGATGAGGACGAGTCGAACGAGCGTGAGGATAATCTGATTGATGATGAAGATGCTGAGGACGATGAAGATGATCTGCCAAAAAAGAAGAAGAGAAGAAGAGCAAACCAGTTCCTTGATATCGAAGCTGAAGTTGATGATGAGGAGGAAGATGAACTTGATGAAGATGATGAGGAGGCTGAGCTCTTACGTGAACAATTTATCTCTGATGACCATGTTGAAAAGTCAGAAGGTGAGCCAACCCGCCCTGACGATGATCGTCTTCATAGGCAATATGATCAACGCCGCCAACAAGCTGAAGACCAAGATGCAGAAGAACTTGCCGAGACTTTAAAGCAACGTTATAGAAAATCTCATACCGCTTACCGTGGAGACACTACTGCAAGTGGAACTGTTTCGCAAAAGTTATTGATGCCATCCATCAACGACCCTGCCATTTTCGCAATCCGTTGTTCCCCAGGGCGTGAAAAGGATCTCGTGAGAAAACTTTACGAGAAGAAGCGGACATTGGCACGTTCGGGCCGGCCTCTCGATATCCTCACAGTTTTTCAAAGAGACGCTTTCAAGGGTTACATTTACATCGAAGCGAAAAAACCGGAAGCAATTGAACGTGCATTGACTGGTATGGTTAACATATATGCGAAGCAAAGGATCATAGTTCCAGTCAGCGAGTATCCTGATTTGCTCAAACAAGTGAAATCTTCCGATGTCGAGATTGTTCCGGGAATTTACGTTCGTATTTCGAGAGGAAAGTACAAAGGAGACCTAGCAATTGTTGATAACTTATCGGAGAATGGACTTGAGGTTCGTTGTAAGTTGGTGCCTCGGCTCGATTACGGCAAGAATGACGAATTCGATTCCAATGGAAGAAGGGTGAAACTGAAAAGCAGGCCAATGCAACGCCTTTTCAATGAGCAAGAAGCCCGTATGTACGATGCTGAGCATTTACAGCCGGGCAGAGGGGTAAGAAGTTTCATCTACCGCGGCGAAGAATACGTCGAGGGCTTCTTAATGAAAGATTTCAAGTTACAGTTCATTCAAACAAAGGATGTGCAGCCCAAGTTGGAGGATTTGGATAGATTTCAAACAGGTAACACGGATGAGGATGGACTTGATCTTGCAGCTGTCGCAGCTTCCCTAAAAGGAAAATCTCTGGATGGAGATTCCTCCAATGCTTTCCAACCGGGTGACAAGGTCGAGGTCAGAAGAGGCGAGCAAGCCAAAACAGTGGGTAAGGTTCTTAACGTTTCCCTCAATGAAGTCCAAATTATAGTGCTTGATAGCGGTGATCGCCAATTTGTAAATCAAGAATTGACTGTTCCCGCCACAGACCTCAGGAAGGTTTTTGCATCAGGTGACCATGTAAAAGTCATTGATGGTGTCCATACCGATGAGACTGGTCTTGTCATCAAAATTGATGGAGATTCAGTGGTGTTTTTGAGTGACCAGACTAAGCAAGATGTTCGAGTATTCGCTAATTACTTGATAAAGGCCACAGACTCCTCATCAACAACCGATTCCGTCAACAGCAAATATGATATCAAGGATTTGGTTCAACTTAATGCTTCCACAGTTGGTGTGATTGTGAAGTCAGAGAAAGGCTTGTTCGAAATATTGACAGCCGATTCACGTTCTGTCACGGTAAAACTGACAGGTATCGCATCAAAGTTGAATTTGACGAGACGTGAGCAAGTCGCTACAGACAGAAACGGTCTGACAATCAAGGTTGGCGACACAGTGAAGGAGCTTGGAGGCGACAAAAGAAAAGAGGGAGTTGTTTTGCACATCTACAAGAATTCTATTTTTGTTGAATCTCATGAGATTCAAGAAAACCTAGGTATTTTTGTCACCAATGCTTTGAATGTCGGGACAATCTCCACCAAAAACTCAATGATTTCCAAATCTCTTGGACCTGATTTGACTAGCATGAATCCAAATGCCAAATTACAGACCCCATTGATTGCTCCAGGTATTAAAGGAAAGGTTGGTGGCAGAGACAAGCTACTTTACATGGATGTTATCATCAACAATGGAAACCATAAGGGCCTCATGGGAAAAGTCGTTGAGACTGATGACATGGACGCTCGTATCGAGTTGCACACCAAAGCAAAAAAAGTGAAGGTTAACAAGACAAAATTAAGCGTAATTGTTCGTGGGGAATACATCCCTTACCTTCGCTTTATCGGAGCTTCCGACAGTGCGCGTGCCCCTACTCAAGCGTCTGGGCCCGCGTTTTCATCAGGCGCAAAAACAGCATGGGGAGGGGCAACTCCTTCCGTTGCACCCGGCTCTGCTTCAACATGGGGAGGTAAGACGCCTTCTGTCAACAATGGGGGAGTCTCAGCATGGGGTACAGCAGCAGGCGGAGCATCAACATGGGGAGCACCTTCTAGTTCTGGAGGTGCATCGTCTTGGAAAGGTGGAAAGAGTGGCGGAGCATCCACTTGGGGCAATAATAACCCAGGGGAAATTCGGCCTGGGGTAACGGAGGCACCTCTAGTTGGGGCTCAGGTGGTAATAGCTCAGCCTGGGGAGGCCAAACCGGAATGAACTCGTCGTGGGGTCAACAAAAAGGGGGGTCAGCGTCAACCTGGGGTTCCAAAGGTGGTTCGTCAACCTGGGGAGGCAATGGTGGCAACGGAGCATCATCTGCTTGGGGCTCCAAGGGTAATTCATCCACCTGGGGCCAAAAGGATGGAAGCAATTCAAATTGGGGTTCCGGTCAGGGAAGTTCTTCAACGTGGGGCAACTCCAACAACCAGCAGGCTTCCGGATGGAAGAATAGCTAATCCATGTATACAAATCCAGACAGGGATGCGTGAAAGAGACCGTGAATTATTTTATTGAGCAAGGCTATCGCAACCAGGACAATTATGTAGACTTTCATGTACAAAGACGTCACAATCTATGCAAAAATCATTACGGCATCTGCCGCATCTATAGCGAGAACTTGTCTGAGTCAACTCCGCCAGACTAGCTAATCCTTCTGGAAACTTGAGTAGACATCCATAACAAAATCGGTTTTGGTATTCATTGGAGACTGGAACCTCTTCAAAGGCAGCAAGAGGTACAAGATGGTGGTAAGATCGTGCCAAATGCGTGGAAAGAATGAGCATAAGTCCACAAACGGGACAAGTTGTTGGAAGATGGCACACTTTGCTGTTACATTGTGGGCATTTGTAACCAGCTGAACTTGACGTACCTTGAAGATCTGTGGCTTGGTTTTGCTGTACTTGATCTGTCGAATCATCTTGTGTTTGCGAAAGATGGCATGCGCAAAGTTGAGGAAAATTTGAATTTATGGTTTGATTTGATGTGAAAGAGTGAGATTGAAGCTTCAGTGGAAATCCCATCTTGATGAGAGGGATTCCGTTTGATTGGCCATTACTAGCATCAACGGAATTTGTAGTAAGGGCAAGAGGTTCCACACAGTTCATGAGAAGCTCTTTGAAATGTGCCTCATTCATGATAACTCCATAGAAATTTCCGGTCTCAGCTACCAACTTACCTCTTGGTGAAGTGGCAAAATTGGTTCGCCTGACAATCTCTTGGCAGATTGCAACTTGTGCCGATAAACCTATAACTTTGACTTTGATGCTCTCTTTCACAAGTGCGTCTATTGTTTTGTGTATATCACCTGGATCGGATGTAAAGAGAGCACCAAATATAATGAGAATCTCCTTCGAGTTCTTATTTGAGGTTGAAGTTATACCTTGGAAGTTTGAGGTGAGAAGTGACCGGGATAACTCCAAGGCGTTTTGGAGAGAGGGATCACCTTTCGGCTCAAAACGATTGTGTTGCCGTGATCGAAGATTTTTGAGTTTATCAAGATGATACAGAGGCAGCCCACTAACCTCGCTAACGAGATGTGCCATACCGTTACGCATCATGACAATTCCGAGCTGTGAAATGGGATTTTGATCAAAAAACTCATTAATGAATTCCAGTAAGTAAGAAAGCATTGCAGAAAACCTCGTAGGCCTTAAATCCTTCTCTAGCATCGCCAAGGAGCCATCAATGACAACTATTAGAGTTCTGATGATTCCTCTTTGAAAAGGTGTTGCAGGATTTCTCATGATCTTTTTCTTCCTCGATTCGATCATCTGCTGGACCAAGTTTTCGAGGGACTGTTCACCATCTTCATCATTTTTGACAATATCCCATGTTCGTTGGTACTCATCTTCCCAAGCATATCCACCGGATGCTCCCTGTTTGCCATTATTGACCTTCTTCAATCTAGTTCTTTTAGCCATGCCTTCGGTGTCAGGCAGCAAAGATTCGTCTCCCAAATCCACCCCGGAATCATGGTCACTGAAATCATCGTCCGAACTATTCATGAGGGTCCACTGGAGTATATGTACCTTTAAGGTCGCATCTTGATATGTCAAGCAATGCTATGTGAAGGATACCAGCTACTCATGCTACAACGCCAATTTATAACTTAGTAAATTCCAAATAAACAACAAAAGGGTATACTATTTAAAAGTGAATTAATTCGCCCACTCCCAGGTAAGGTTTATTCTTCCTAGATCTTTGTCAGCGATCTTTTCAAACGCTGCTGGGGACAAGTCCAAATCGTCATGGGCGCAACCAACGCATCTGTCCACAATACTGACTTCGACAGACTTTCCTTCGTAAGAAGCCTTGATTTTCTTACCGCAAAGGGAATTCTTGTTTGGGTTTCCATTTGGTGTATGCTTGTCGTACAATTCATGAGAGATAGCCACGATCATCTCGTCCGCAGAATTGACCTTACCGCAAGAACCCATCTCAGGGTCGTAATAGGTGCCCTCACCAGAGAAAGTAGCACCTGATGGTTCACTTGAATCACTTGTGGTTGAAGCACGTTCAGTCGAAGTTGGAGTTTGTGATTTGACGCTGGAAACAATACTCAGGGTTGATGGTTTTTCAGTGATTTGAGGAGTGGTGGATGTTTGTGGGAGCTCAGAAGTTTGTGCCTCTGTGACCTGAAGCTTTGGAGCTTCCGTATTCTCGGATTCCGCAGTGGACTTTTCAGTTACAGCCGTAGGACCCGCTACCTCCTCATTCTTGGAAGCCGAGGCAAGATGCGCAGTGTACGCATCATAACCAACAGTAACCGTGGTATATTCAAATTCAGTTACCCACTTGACATCTGGAACTGGAGATGCGGTCATTTTGGAAACAAAGGAAAGACAGACAGCCAAGGAGAGTAATCTCATATTGAGGACAGTGTAATAAGGGAATGACTGGGGTGAAAAAAAAATATTTGAAGGAACGGCGTGAGTGAGATCTCTCCCGAGCTTTTAAAGGAATGTGTTTAGTTAGTGGAAAGAAGGAATCTGGGAGGAATATTTGATAGATTTATATAGTGCCGCAATTTTTTCTTTCTTCGCGAATCAAGGGTGCCTGGTACAGCAGAAAAATTATATACAATACCAACAAAGCCTTTCATGGCTCCTATTCGCGCCAGGGAAAATGTATGCATCAGTTGCGTTAATTACATGCATTTATCAGGTACGTCGCCTTGTCTAGACCACTCTGTCACAGCGCAAGTAGCATTTTCAAATAGTGGGTCAACGATGAAAGGGCAAACTTTGGGCGCTTAAATCGCTTTATATATTCATGTTCTAATTGAAAGCCTGCCTTTTGTAAACTCTGTGATCTAAGTGATCGCCCACTCGTGTGTCAGTTCCCTATGTGACTCGTTATACATCAATATCGCGCTCAAGAGGCCGCATCACGGTTTGAAGGCACTTCTCGAAGTCTCGATTTTACAAGCCACATTTTATTCCAAGGCCCAAAACTGTACCTTAATTCTTACTTTTCTTGCGATGAATGTTGGCGATCATGATGCCATCCCACTACCCCAGTATCTTCGATAAAAGGTAGCATATCGCTAAGCTTCTGAATATCATCCTTAATTGTAAGCTCACCCTTAGGATATAGAGACTTGACGCCAGGAATCCCCTCGACATCGCTTACGTCAATAAGATCTCTAAAAATATATCCGTGCTCGAAGACAGGGGTAATTTCGATACCATCTCGAGGACCAGGATAAAACTCTGCTGCTCTGGCAGTTCCGTAAAATGAACTGAATTCGCTCTCAGAAAGGAATCGGTCAAAAGGGAGATTCGGGGGAAACTCTTTTCCTTCAATTGCTTTGTTCTTCTTGATTTTTGGAGTAGGCGCCGTTTCATTCTCTTGCACATAAAAGCATCGTAGTAAATGAATTGCCTCCACCCTCATAAGACCGCCAAAGCTCTTGTAGGATGATCCGCAGGAGGCGGCTTGTACTTTGATGACAGAACCGTTCCCACCGAAGCGGTCATTTGCAGCACCAAAATATACTTCCTTGATCCCCATTTGCTGTAACGCCAGAGCACACATAACACAGGGCTCCACGGTGACGTATAAGACAAGACGGCTGAAAAATCTCTCGACCTGATCTTGAGAGACATTGCAAAGCTGAAATTTTTTCATAATTTGATCTATAGCAACAAATTCTGCATGACGAGTCCCATTGAGAGATGCATTAGTGTCGTTACAGCCGAATCCCAAAACCTCGCCGGTCTCCTCATGAACAATGATACACGCCACCGGTGTTTCTAGGTTACATAAAGCACGATACGCAACGAATGTAGCAAGAGCTAGATTTTTGAAATGAACAGTGAGATCATTCATGAAGTTGTATTGACTATTAAAGTGTGAAGATTCGTGTGGCTCATCTCTGCTTCGCACATGAGGATACACGTGAGTATTGGGTGACACGCTGCGATCATCCAAGGAATGAAGTAAGCCAATTACTTCTAATTTGAATGAGTTTCCGCGAGTTTTATGAGTGAATTGCGCAAGAAGCTTTTCGAGGGACGAAAGCCAGAAAGTTATGCTCGTGTTCTGGAGAATGATTCCACGCCGGAAGTGGGTGTAGGCTCAGAACGTGATATTACAAATCGCCAATTCAAAGAGAACTTTTACAAACGAAGAGATGCACTTCTACCCATAAGAGATAGATACTATTTGGATAATTACCATTATGTTCAAACATATTATCTTCCTCCAAGCCTGGCAACATCACCAATTTTGATATGTCACCATGGTGCTGGTTCGTCAGGACTGACTTTCCTTGCATTTGTATCTGAGTTACTAAAGGTATGCCCTTCAGATCATCCAGGTGTATTCCTCTTTGACATGTTTGGTCACGGAATATCGACGGAAAGAAAGTCTCATGAGTATGGATTGGAGGAGTTGACTGCTGATTTCTCGTTTGTCCTTGACAAATTCGTACAGCAATACAGACCTCGTCAGCTCTTTTTCATAGGTCATTCTTTAGGTGGTGCAATTATGTCCAACTTCCTCGTCAAGCACGAGTATAAATGTCAAGTGACAGGTTTGGTTTTAATCGACATTGTGGAGGAGACTGCCATCCGCTCGCTTAATGCCATGCCATCTTTCTTGAAACTGAGGCCCAAAACATTCCAACTCTACGATGATGCTCTCAATTGGCACTTGAAAACTAGAATCTTGAGAAATGAGGATTCAGCGAAGCTTAGTATTCACGACATGCTACAAGGTGATGATATGGGGGACCTCCACTGGCGCACCGATCTTGAACGAATGGCCCCATTTTGGAAGGATTGGTTCACAGGAATGTCAGATCACTATCTTCTCTGCGATTCGTTCTCCGACAAACATATCGCTAAGCTCCTTATTCTAGCAGGAAATGAGAATCTAGACAAGAGCTTAATCGTCGGGCAAATGCAAGGGAAATATCAATTGATTGTATTTAACAATTCGGACGAAATTGGTCACTTTGTGCAAGAAGATTCGCCATCTAAGCTTTGCATAAGCATCATGGAGTTTATACGAAGGCATGACGTGAGCAGTAAAGAGCGCAAACACTCGTCAATTAGGACACTATGGGGAGGAGAAATTCATTAACAACATTCTGATTTAATCAATTACCTTCAAATTTCTCAATATTCTTGACGAGCTGATCAATATTCTTGCTCGCCAATGGGAACCTTGGATTTATCAAAAACGGTCTCAAGTCAAATCTGTTATCATCTGGTGAGTACTGCTCAGCGTGATACGAGGGTGTCATAGTGGTCATCTTGTGTCTGTTAACTGCGTAAAAAAACCAAAATCGCTTGACCTTATCTGCAATTGTGGCAGCTGAGTAGTTAAAAGGAGGTTGCGACCACTCATGATACAACTTAACAAACATCGACTCGGGCCCACAGTTTTCAACTTTCCGTAACTTACCGAAGCGTGAAAGCTCCAAATAACTCATTCCCATATCTATCTCGTCAGACTGAACATAATCCTCAGTGATTGGCTCAAGCTCAGCCGTTGGAGTAGCCTCTAAAAACTTGTGAAGTATAGGCAATGAAAATTTAGCACTTGCCCAACTTATGAACTTCTTGAGATCAGTTTTTGAGATCCCGCCAATAGGATTTATATCAGCGCTTGAACAATCATATTTTGTAAGATAGCCTCTCAAACACTCGTCAACATTTGCGCTGCCGAGTACAAGTAGTCCACCTACTCTGTTCTTTGTCCATGGCAAAAGCTGAGCGAATAAGTAGCTTAAAACCATACGTAATCGCGCTTGAATGTTCTGCAATGCTAGATTTTCCGTTTGGCTTCCGCCAAAAACCTTGAAGATTGGACGACGACCGGTGGCAACCTCAAATACCTTGATGACTGCTGAGACGAGGCTATCCATATTCAAATCTACATGATTTGATCCAATTTCATGTGCCAAATCTCTTGCTCGTTCACGGGTCTCTAGCGATGAATTAGATGTTCCCATGAACGAGGTATAAAATAGTTTAGCAGCCACCTCTTGGGGCGTCACAGAGTTCAAGCCCTCATCATGAATTAGCGCTCTGAGGTCATCGAGGACCTGCTCATTTCCATCATCTATTTCTGATGATACTAAACGGCACATTGAGTGCACAATGACAGCAGTAGCACATGAGTCTATTCCACCACTAAGAGGAAGGAAAAATCCACCAGTTCTTGAACGTCGTAAATAATCCCAGAGCCAACACGCTGGACCTAAGGCGATCTCTTCCTCAGGAGCATGATACTTAATACCTAGCTGTCCGGAAGCTCTCACTTCACTGTTTAGGACGTCGGTATTCGAAGCTATCTTGAAATGAGTTGGTATGGAGTGGTATGCTGTTGACAGTGCCACAGATTGTAATGCAGCAGATTTTTGGTTCCTATAGGCCTTGACATCATCTAGGTCGATTGTAGCAGTGACAACCTCAACATCTTTGAGAGAGAACTGGCTTCCTTGGGCAACCATTTTTCCGTTGACAATAATGCAAGCGCAGCCATCATAGTAAAGACGATCACCATCACAACCCCTCTGGTTGGCATACAAGTAGACTCCCCCACACTTTTTCGTTGCCTCGGAAATCAACTCCAATCTCGTGTCTAGTTTTCTGAGTTCGTGGTGCGATCCAGACGAATTCGTGAAAATTTCGACTCCATCCAAAGCCATACTTATGTGAGGAGATTGTGGGGTAAAGAGCTCCTCACAAGTTTCTGCTCCAATTCTGGTATCATCTGTTTGAATTACGCAATCACCGATAGGAACCTCAGATTGACCAGTGATACACTTGATGCACTCAGGCAATTGAAAAACCTCATGATGCCTTGGACGAAGCCAAGGTGAAAAGTACCTCATCTCCCTATAGTTTCCGTTGTTTGCGAGGTACAACTTCGGTCTAATCAAGAGTATTTGGCCGTTGTAACTGATCATTCTACAGTTATAACGGTTGGACTTGTGAAGAACGGGCATTCCAATATCGAGAATAATATTAGAAGTAGATGGATGCTTCAAAATTTCTCCATAAATATGCCACGAATTATTGAATACATCGTTCTCGTCAAAATGATCCAAGCAACCATAACCTGTTATCTCTAATTCTGGTCCCACTCGAAGTTTTGCATGGCGTTCTTTGGCAATTTCAATGCTCCTAATAATCCTATCACGATTACCTTCAAAATCAAGGGCCCATTGATTTAAATTACAGGTCGCCAATGTCGTGAACTGACCCATCCTTTGGGTTCTCGGTCTTTCCAAATCTCTGAGATTTATACGTACACCAGTACATCCTACGGTTTTTTGGATTAGGCAGTAGAACAGCTTCATAAAGTAACTATAAACTGGTCACAGGATGGCCAACGAATGAACTGGCCTTTCAAAAAACTGTGACAGGATCTATAGAACTAGCAATATTGCATTGATGCATAAGGCGTTTTTCATCTTGACCTTGATTTACACCCTTGAACTCTCCTGTCACAGAATGCCAAACTCCCCTGTTGTAAAACATCACAAGGTCTCCTTGCGCCCATGAATGGGCTAGAATATTTGGCGGAGAGATTGCCGGCCTCATCATCGAGTGGACCTTCTTACGTGCATCCTCCAATCCCAAGGACACCACACGTCCATTCTGCTTTGTATGGATCTTATAAAGACAGCAACCATGTACTTGTAAGTGATGCTTCTTCGTAATGGGATTAGTCCATACCATTGGTAATTTTTTCACTTTAGCTTCTTCCCATTCAGGCAACTCTGCAAGCGGTGTTTCTTTTCCCTCAGAAACCATTGTTAAACCGTCCTTAGTTGCTTTTGCCGGAGAGATAAAGATATATGGATGAGGCGCATATTCAACGACTGAGTTAAGAGCGAACTCCTTCTCTGATTCCGAGAGCCTCTCGAATGCCTCATTCCCACTAACGAAGCATGTTGCTCCTTGCAGAATTTCCAATCTGTCACCAGAACCATCGTCATAATCAATAGTTTGCGTTTGTGTTGCAGGTGGCACCTTGATTCCTAGTAAAGTAGTAACCTTGGGTGGGGAGAGGCCGTATAAGGCTGAATCAATATGCCATCTATAGAAACGAGTCCGTTTCTCAATTTGAATCTGTTCTGGGGTAAGCGGGTCGCTGTGAAAAGTGGTATGCGACGGGTGAGTTAAGACGATGTCTTCTCCATTTTCGTTTCCTGGCTCGTCAGCTGCAAAGGTTCCCTGCCCAAGGATTTGAACTTGTGGCTGAGACTTAACCGAGCACCCGTCTTTTTTCAACACTGAGTTGTCATGGCGAAACTCTTTCCCATGTCCGTATCCCGCGTTACCATTTTCAGGGTTTGAAATCAGCTCATCAAACCTTTGAGTAAGTCTGTACTGGCTCTGGGGCTCAAGGTTTCTTGGTTAGGAATGACTGCTACAAGATAAGTGAGCACAGCGTCATGAAGAAGCTTGAAGTCTTCCTCGTTCAACAAGCTAGGGTCATTTTGAGCATAGGATGGTAATTTCAAAGAACAACCAAAATTGGTTGCCGAGGGTGTGATCGTTAATTTTGACATTGCTTCTGAAGTATTAATTGTGCATTCATTGGCAGCAGCTTATATAAACTATGGTTAGATAAGCTCCCGCGGCTCCGCCGCGGAACTCTCCTTCCTCTGGACAACATCGGTGCACCGTACATGGTGCCGCGGTATTTCCGGGGACTGTTTGCATTAGATTTGACTCTCGTCTCGGAATCATACAATTTTGTAACAAACAGGTACTCGGCATGCATTAGCGGAACTTTTATGGTTTTTTCTACTAATGATTTATAAAATGGTCCTTGCAAAAATTTCCACCTTTCGCTGACTCAACTGTATGATCGTATAAAAATGGCCATCACCAAAGTCGCCATTTTATTGGATGTGAAAATGAGCTAACTAACTATCCCACTATCCGCTTTAAAAGTTACACTATCATTGCACTAACTTAACAATTACTCTGTGTAAGTGAAGTAGTTATGATCCATTGTCGTACCTGAACTAGTGGCGGAAGGATCTCCTGTCATTGGCGGGAAGAAAGAGCTGGACTGGCCATCATTTCCAGGCATTATGGCCTGAGCAGCAGCAGCGCCGACGGTAGCGACGAGCGGTGTCCTCACAGGCGCCGACAGATTGCCGTAATGTGCTAAATTTGTATGCGAATTGTTCCAAGCGACAGACGTAGCCTGATTGGCATCTGAGAAGCTACTATAGGAGGATGCTTCAAGAAGAATGGTTAGCTCTTTCGTAGCTCTCGTGAGATTTGCCATCGATTGACGCACCTCGTTCAATATCGGAGCATCTTTCATGATGAGTTTGACCGATGAGAATGTCTGGATGATTGCTTTTAAAAAGGCATTAATATCGTCCCAAAAAGACTTTTTACTTTGTAGGGCGTGTGTGCTCCTGACGCTTGGAAGCTTCGCAGAAAGTCGTTTTGTAATCTCCATCAATAGCATGCATGTGTTAGTTAAATCCTTGAATTTCGATGCAACTGTGGTATTCATTACTTGCGGACCATTATTGGTGGAGGCCACAGCGCTTTTGTTTATGGCTTTAGTTAACTCATTGAAAACAACTTGGGCACTAGCCACAGCTACTTGGATTGAGTCATAAAGCCTGTCATCAGCTTCATCAATTGATAGACCACTTTCAGCCATATGAAGGTGCGAGTGGTTCATCTGACTTTCTTTAGCTCCTTCACCATGAAATTCTGGAATCTGACTTGCAACCAGAAGCTTGGCCCTGATGTCAGCGGTAATGCCTTGCGATTTATGACTCTGATGTTTAACACTCGGGTTCAAGAGTTTATGTGCGTTTTGTAATTCATTAAATGCACCGAATATGGTCAAATAGACCATCCTTACAAAGCAAACATCGATCCGAGCCACGAAAAACGCAAAATTTTCAATCAAAAACAGTAAAATATGTTTAAATGATTGCACACAGCCTGCCACAGCTCCGAAAAGATCACTGTTCTCTTCCTTTCGTTCTTCGGCATTTTCCATATTCTCGACTAAAGTATCAATGTCACTTTTTGAATTGTGAAGCAAGGAGATGGTCTTCGCTGCAACTTTTCGATCGATGCAAAAGCCTGTCAATCTTTTAATCGACGAATGGAATTCACTGAAAGCGAACAAAATCTTTCGTGCTATCTTCAAAATACACGTCAACTCCAAGGTGCTCGGCTCTGTCCCAGCAAGATTTCCAGTCCCTTGGGTCTCGTTCGCGATGGAGCTTGAGCCTGTAGTTGTGAGATTACGATTTAACCCTGGCAACTTCGGTGAAGAATTTGTCAGAAGCTCGGGAGCCTTCGTGATTTCAGAGAGTCGATCGACCTTGGCTAGATCTTTGCCAGCATCCCCGTATGGTATTTCCTGCAAAGTGGAAAGACGTCTGAAATATGCCCCGGATTTATACTCCGTGTCGCTTAACTCGGGCTGCTGAAGCATGTCGTTGATTTCGATCATCGTATTCTGTCGCAGTCTAGTTCTAGATGGAGAAGATACTTTCATCGGCAGTTGGGCCTCTTGACCATCCAGGTGACTTTTTGCATGATTGTAATCTGATGTATCGTTGGGCTCATCGCTCTTGTGCAACATGTCTTTGGAATTTGGGTTCTTAGCTTTATTTATAATTAATCCCATTCGCCTCGATGCCTTGGAGCTTTTGGATCTAGTATCCGATACAGATCTGGATCTCATCGCTGAAAGAGACGTTGGCTTCAGTTTATTGACTTGTTGGTTAATGTTCTGTTCTAAAATAACAGAATTAGAAAGTAAATACGCTTTCAAGCGGTTCGTATCTTTTTCAAGAGACTGGAAGGTCTGTTGCGAGGGAATAACTAGAGGATTTCCTGAGACTGTCAATCGCTCTAAGGATATAAGCTCTCCTAAGGTAGGCGGGAGATACGAGAAGTTATTGTTGGATAGATGTAATACACGCAAGTCTGCTAACAAGGACACTTGAGGCGGAAGTCCTTTGAGCCTATTGCTAGATACATCGAGGAACTCGAGCCTTGGAAAACAAGTGCAAATCATGACTGGAAACTCTTGTAAATCATTACAATGGAGATCTAGAACCTTCAAGCGATCGTCGCAAACATTGAGAAGCTCATCAGGAAGCTGTTCCATCTTGTTATCGGCCAACAGAAGACGCTCAATGTATGAGTTAAGCTCGAGAAGAACCTCTTGAAGCACTAGAAAAACCGAGCTTAGGGTAGTGCTATTCGGAAAACTCGAGATCTTGATCAGAAGAGACCGCCTCGATGTCAACGATTCCTTCTGTTCAAGGAGCACGCGACGGATTTCAAGAAGATGAGAATCCTTTTTCGTGAGAGGCGTGTCTCCGTGGGGAAGGTAGTTCATGGCCAGTGGACTGTGTATCGCAGTTGAAAGAGAGCAGGGGTTGTGGATAATTAGGTGATATCGCGGTGTTGAAATCGATTTTTAACTGTATACACGGACGATGTATTCAGAAAAGGTACTCAGCTCAGTATGCCTTGTCTGATAGCATCTTGCCTCTCTTGCCAGAGATCCTTTCCAGAACAGCTACATACGACCTTTTCATTCTCCCAAGCCCCTGCGCTGCGTGCAATCACTCCGCAAATATCGTGCTTGTTTACCTGATCTTCGTTTGTTGATAGAACCATACTTCTACCTATCAAGTCCTTTACGCTCAAATTTGCACTAATGAATGTGTGACCAGCAAACATTTCGGCTGAATCCCGGTGTTCAGACTTCATTTCGGTCTTATCAAACTCGCATGCTTCGAACTGCGCGAGCTTTTGAAGTACAGAGCCAGTGGATAGTGGGCCACGACTAAGATCACCAGTACTTCTAATCAGAGGAAAATAAAAACCTCGTTTGACACCATTGACTGTTAAATCCACGACGACTTGGTCGCGGGCTACTTCAACAATCCTAGCAAGACCTTTTACCGGCTTATCCAGGTCTTGCGGTTGAAAAGACTCCAAGATACAAACTGCCGCAGAATCAGGCTTTCCACTGCCTCTTATTATTGCATCTTTACCAATATTGCTCAACGCTTTCACAATTGCTGAAGGAGGAGCACTGCCCTTAATTGCGATTCTCTGCGCTTGTAAATCCACATCAACGTTCTTGACGCCACTTACTTCTTTGAGTGCATCATCAACGGTTTCAATGCAAGTCTTGCAATGTAACGGTGTTTGAAAGATTGTAACGAAGTCAGTATCGGACATGGCAGCTAAAGTAGTCTAGTCGCGATTTGGTGTATCGGTCATATATAAGAAAATACCGTATATGCAAGTTTTACTCCTCGATGCAAAGTTCACTCCGTCCCTAGCGAAATTTTATTTTAGCTTACTTCATAAAAGCATTTCGTCCGACTACTTACAGGTATAGAGTCTAATGATGAAAGACCCTCTTCTCACCTCTTCTTATGCAAAGAACTTCGGCCAATAGAATTCTTCATATATCCCAAAGGGGGGTATTATAAAGTGATTAATGCAAGACAGCGTTTTCAACGGCTCAACCCCATCATAGCTACGGGGGGGGGGTCTGAATTGGCGTTTGCACTACCTACTGCATCGTTCCTCACTCCAACTTCTTCACGCAACCTCACCGACGCGCATTGAAGACACTTCAACATGTCGAAGGTTCAGGTTCACTCATCTCTGCCACCAAGTGATGGCTCAAGATCCAAGGCCCTTAATGACAAACACATCTACCAATGGATCACTGAGCTTGTGACCGGTACGAATCGTGAGAGGGCTCTATTGGAGTTGGGAAAGAAGAGAGAGCAGTACGATGATCTAGCGTTGGTGTTATGGAACTCCTTCGGTGTTATGACGGCGTTGTTGGAGGAGATTATCTCAGTCTACCCCTTTCTCAATCCTCCGGTATTAACAGCCTCAGTTTCCAACAGAGTTTGCAACGCTCTTGCATTGTTGCAATGTGTTGCGTCAAATGCTCAGACAAGAGGTGCATTCCTTAATGCTAACATGCCGCTTTATCTATACCCATTTCTTTCGACCAACGCTCGCCAAAGATCGTTTGAATATTTACGACTCACGAGTTTAGGTGTGATAGGGGCATTAGTAAAAAATGACACACCGGAGGTAATCAACTTTTTATTGACGACTGAAATTGTTCCTCTCTGCTTGAATATTATGGAAATATCTTCGGAGCTCTCCAAAACGGTGGCTATTTTCATATTACAAAAGATCCTTCTTGACGATCAAGGGCTTTCTTATATTTGCACGACGTATGAAAGATTCCATACTGTTGCATCGGTCTTGTCCAAGATGATAGACCAATTAAGCGTGTCAGCGGGAAACTCGACTCACATCGGACAGCCAGAACAGCACCTGAATACTGTGAGCAGTTTAGGAACTAATCAGGCACCTTCAGGGAGCTCCGGCCGCTTGCTAAAGCATGTGGTCCGTTGTTACATGCGACTTTCAGACAACCTTGAAGCACGGAAAGCGTTATCGTCAATTTTACCAGAACCTTTAAGGGATGGCACCTTTTCCACAATATTACAAGACGATGTTGCCACAAAGAGATGTCTTGGCCAACTTCTTTTGAATATTAACGATCAGCAATGATTACACGGAATATTTGTCTTGTACTGCATACGGGTGAAGGCTTCTTGCAACAAGTTCAGTCATTTAAAATTCCTAACCTCATGTCGTCACCAGAATGGACACATCAGTTGACCCATTCCAATACTAAGCGGCGCGCCTCTACGGTGTTTGGCTCTGTTGGTAAACAAGGTCTTTTTGTTCCCTCTGACTTTTTGCACCAATCTGACGACAAATCGTTGGCAATCAACGACGAAGATCTACGTCAACCTCTTTTGCCACCATTTCCTCATGAATCAAATCGTAGAGGATCTAGCTATTCAGCGATAGCTATAGATGAGGAAAGAGAGATTTTGAGATCACATCATATTAAGGTGGATAATCGCAATGATGAGTACATAGCGTCGACATTCGAGGACGCTGTGCAGAATGGTAAGCTAAAGACGACAAGCAGATCACTTGAATTGGCTTCATTAATAAGATCTTCCATCCCGCTTGTGTGTACCTTTCTTTTGCAGAACTCCCTATCTACCGTCTCCGTTTTCAGTGTTGGCCACCTAGGCGCGGTTGAGTTAGCAGCTGTCTCCATGGGCTCTATGACAGCCAATATAACCGGTTATGCGACCATACAGGGGATAGCAACTGCTTTAGATACACTATGCCCGCAAGCATTTGGTGCTGGAAGATATCAACTAGTTGGCGATTACATGCAGAAATGCATTGCTTTGATATTCACCTTGATTATTCCACTTCTCATTGTATGGATTTTCTTTGGTTACCAATTGATTACCCTCCTCCTTCCAGATAGATCAACAGCGTACCTCGCAGCTATGTATCTCAAGTATATCAGTTTTGGTATACCTGCCTACGTTCTTTTCGAATGTGGCAAGCGCTTCCTACAAGCTCAGGGAATTTACCATGTTGCCACCTATGTCTTGCTTTTTGCGGCACCCTTAAATCTTGCGATGAACATCGTATTTGTGAGGCTTTACGGCTACTTAGGGGCTCCGGTAGCTGTAGCAATCAATTACTGGTTGATGGCCATAGGACTATTTATTGGAACAATGCTTCTAGATGAAAGATCCACCAACACAGGTATTCATCCATCAATGTGCTGGAATGGCTTTCAGTTTCGCAAATCTTTTCAAGGTTGGCGCAAGTTGGTGAGTCTTGCCGTCCCAGGATGGGTGATGTTAGAGGCCGAGTTCCTTGCCTTCGAGATTTTGACACTTATGGCGTCCTACCTCGGGACCTACGAATTAGCTGCGCAATCGATAGGCTCTACAATGGCTTCTCTCACTTACCAGGTACCCTTCGCAATGGGTATAGCGGCATCAACGAGGATTGCGAATTACCTTGGTGCTGGCCTCGCTCATTGTGCCCAGGTAACGGGCGAAGTTGCATTGCTCTTCGGGTTTGCAGTTTCGCTCATTAATTTCTTAGCGTTGTACACCTTGCAAAGGCCGATCGCCATCCTTTTCACAAATGATGAAAGAGTGATTTCTTTGTTACATGAAATCATGTGGCTTGTGGCTTTGATGCAAGTTTCCGATGCGATGAACGCTAATTCTGCTGGATGTTTAAGAGGTCAAGGATTGACTAAAATTGGTGGAATAGTCAACTTGATTTCATACTATCTTGTGGGAATCCCAATGTCAATCTACTTATCCTTCTTTTCCCCTTGGAAAGGATCCTTGCATGGACTCTGGATTGGAACTACGGTCGCTTTAACTCTTATTGGAGGTATTCAAACGTATGTGGTGTTGAGCGCTGACTATGATAAACTTTGCGATGACGCAAAGGCTCGTACATCTGAACCGTCCCAATAGGTTTATTTAGTGATTTAAAATGCGTCTTCCATTGCACCAGCTTGTTTCACGCTATTGTCGTCTCGTCCAGAGCCGGAAAGCAACTCCCGCCTAATTTCAGGACCAATTGCATGATGAAATCTTTGTCTTAATGTCTCAAGTAGAAAATCTTTTTGATCTTCTGTGATGTCATTTTTGTATCTCTGAGCAAAAGCCAAAAATGCCTTGTGCCAGACAACGGGTAAGTTTGTTTCGTGAGAAGATTCTTCTTGAGAACTCACTCTAAATTTCATGAAGTAAAACACAAGGTCGTCTAGTGTTTGATATGGTAGCGCATAGCGCTTTTCGATCAAAACCCTTACGAATACAGTTCTTGCAGGAGTGTAACTTCTTTGAGTTAACTGCGTGAGTGCAACTGAGGAATGTAAGGCGGGAATTGAGACTTTAGATAAAACAGACGCGACGATCATAGCCTCGCGGAGTGTGCATTGATCATCAACTAGCGGCAATAGGAAGCCTTTGAAGAAAGCTGCTGGTTTGTAAAGAGATTTCTTCAATGCTCGATATAGATGATAATCAAGAGTGTGTGTCTCGCTGTCTTCGATTGAATGTCTGAATTTTGGAAGCAAAACAGTTTCCACAAAAATCTGCGCCTGATTAGATGGAAGATTGGAGACAAAAAGTTTGGTAGCTTCACAAACAGCATGTGGGGTCCAAGAACTTGGGTTCGTCACAAAAAGTACGTCTTCCCAATTCTTTAGGGTAGGTAATACTTTGAAAAGCTTCGGGAGCTTTCCATGCTTGTAAGTCGAGAGAATGCGTCCAATTTTCTCGTAGGCAGCGATGACTTTTGGGGAAGGAGAACTCCCTGGCTCTCTGGCACTTCGCTTTCGAGTGCCTCTTTCTTCAATTCTCTTTCGTGGATTTTTGCCATAATCTTATCTGCTAAAGTAATGGTCTCAGTCTGAGCAAAATAAGCATCAATTAAGCCCTTATCTGTCTCATTTGAAAACTCGATATCACTGACTTCCAGGCCATGTTCGAGATCTTGATCGTCCACATCGTCCAAAAAAGCTTCATACTTGTCTCTCTCTGAAGATGCACTAACGCTTTCTTCTTCACTAGAAACATCATCATTCTCTTCGGCATCTAATTCCTCTTGTTGGCTCTTCGCCAAAGATAAAATCTTTCTAGATATCGAGGCGTCATGATAGCCGTCAGCGTGTTGTTGATTATCCTTCAGCTGCTCATGACTGCTAGATTTTAAGTTACCATTTACAGAGGCGATGTCTCTGTGTAGTGGATTATGACGTTGTCTTGTGTTGAGCGATGTATCAATTTTGCCCATATTGGAGAGAGTAAGTGAAGTTCGCAGTCAACCTCATCGCATTCCTCACTAAGTATATCTTTTTCACTACTTATTTTTTTTTTTTTTTTTTTCCTTTGCCCTTTGCGCTAATGAATACTGCATGTTGATTGCACACACTATCAATTACATGGGGTCAATCAATATCGATTTTAACAAGAACAGATGAGTAAAGTAATTGTTCTCCACTAAGATCCTTAAGCATTAAATAGCGATAACCGCATTTGAGGTCACAGATTTTGTGCATGATGAAACCAACTTCCTTACAATCAGCGTAATTATTTGGCGCGGATGCTGATGCGACACTTAACTTGAGAAACACGAGTTCAATCTCGTCAAATTCAAATTCTCCCACGAAAGTTTCATTCCAAATAGGATTGAATCCATTGCCTGGTATGATTTTAGTGACGGGTTTAGACGGGAACCAATTTACAGATCTCGCTCCAAAAATGTCCAAACTGAGAAAAGGTTGTATGTCACCTAGCCAGTCAATCGGCTTGGGTAACTGATGTGCACTGATGATTCTGATGGAAACTTTTCGCCTCAAAGAATTCACCACTTGTGTATGCCACTTTTTACCCTTGAGGGTGCTACTCTCAACGAAGAAGGTTTCAAGACGTACCCGTCGCCAAACGGAGTATTGAACATAGCTTCGTTTAGTTGCTGGCCCAAGTCATGAGTCTGCCAATTTGTTGCCACCATCTGGACTCCATGACTCCAGTACATTATTGGATTAAAATTCGTAGATTTGAGCCGAAACTTGGAAGGATAAATGCGCATGAGATATCCTCGGTTGTGTTTAAGAACGGCAACTTTTTTGTTGTCGTCCTTTATCATTCTATCAATTGATTTTTCGCTCAATGAAAAACAGTGGTTGAAAGTTTTTGACTCAGGGAGAGAGAAGTTTCTAAATTTCACCCCTTGGACGTAAAGTGCCATATCACTTAGAGTCTTTATAACTGATCTCGTCGAACTCTTCTTTCGAAGTTTTAGCTTCAAGTTTGTATTGGCAGTATCATTCCCGTCACTGAACAGTGTTGTTGTCGTTGTTGTTGACGTACCAGTACTAAAAGAAGAATCACAACCTCTGTCACTGCCAGCAACGGTTCTTTTGACTTTCAAAAGGATTCTATTTTTCAAATCCTCTGGGCTAGGGAGGGTCATCAGTTCATTCAACGGCTCAGTAAGCAAGGTTTTCCCAAAGGTCTCTCTAAAAATCGTGATAGCTTTTCTTTGAAAATCAGGCGTGCAGTGATTCTCAATGCTAAGTATTAGTGGGTAGGGGGTAACTTGAAAGGCATAATCTTTGATAGTCTTGGCGACGTTTTTTAACAAGATCCCTTGCGTAAACGTTCTTCCATGGTTGACAATTGGCTCGTCATTATCGATACCGCTATTCCAAATGTCAATCTCTAGACAGCGACAACCCCTTTGTAACGCTTTTATGTAACCTTCAATGGATGACTCCCCAATAATTTGACGACCTAGTAGATAGGTGTTGTGGGAAGAGAGTATAAAGTACTCGTTCAAGGGCCTACAATAAGGCCCCTCCTCCTCCTTAAACTCGCGAACGGGAAAAGAGAACTTTGAAAGCAAAAAAGAGTTGAGGTCTTGCTCAGACCAAAAGCCTTTGGAGTTATAATCAAACTTACTGAAATGCTTTCGAAGCGAGGCTTCACTGTGAGATTCTTGCTGTAGTTGCACCATGAAGGATTTGAAATTTTCAAAACTCATTGTAGGTCGATTTGCGTTAGCTTCCTGCCAAATCTCTGTGACGTCGGGTCTGTCATTGAGTTTGGAGACAAAGTTTTTGAATTCATCAAAAGTTAAGATTTTCGTTGAGTCAGTAGCGACTTTCTTCGATTCCTGGAAAATTCGACTTATTATGCTCTCGCTCAAATTGATATTCATTCTTCGTGTGAACTTGACGACATCATGTAATGAAAGACTGCTACGTTTAATGTTTTCAGTGCAATCAGCTTTTTCAATCACCATTGTTTTTGTTGAATCATTAAGCTCATTCAAATTTACTAGAAAATTTTGAGCTATGTCATCTTTCAAAGTTTTGAAGCCAACAAAAATCGCCTTGACTCTGCGGAAATCATAGATGGTATCTGCGATTAAATGTAGCGTTTTAAGCTTCTTTTTGGATTGATTGAAGAAGGTGACTGAAAGCCACTGCTTCTCGAACTCTTTAGAGATGCCGAATTCTTCTCTAAAATTCAGTGCCAAATTTCCAAAAAAAAGACCTTTTATATCATCAACCAAGAACTCATAAGACTTTCCTTTAGGCAACTCATAAACGAATTTGAAATTTGAAGGCTCAACCTTAAGCTTGACACGTTTGCGAGACTTGTGAGATATCTTCAATAACAGAAGCCCATTCTGTATAAATATAGAGGGGATCTTGAAGGAGTTGATATCATCAATGGATTCGATTAAATTTTTCTCTTCATAGCCCAAGGGATAGGGGAGAGTGTGATCACGTTTCTCATCCTCAGCCATCGAAAAATAGCTCAAGCAGCTCACACTAAACAGGTAACAGGGTGCGAGAAATTTGTTTCAAACCACTTCTGAAGCAGTGTTGGGGTCACCTTAGATGCGCTGCATAGGAAGTAGTAAAAGCTATAGGCGGAAAGTAAGAAAAAAAAGTATGTATTTCCGGTATGCAATTAACTGCGAAAATCATCATATTGACATATCCATTTCTGACCTAACGTCCATTCCCTGACTGAGTAGGTACTTTTTTACATCCGCAACCTTGTAGTCCCCACGATGAAACATTCCAGCACCTAAAGCTGCGTCAATTCCACAGTCCATCTCGAATACCTCCGCAAAATGGCTTGGACAACCTGCACCCGAACTGGCAATTACTGGAATAGACACGTTCTCCTTCACCTGTCTCAAAAGCTCTAAGTTGAATCCTTTGTTAGATCCATCATGATCTATCGAATTCAACAAAATTTCACCAGCACCAAGATCCTCGCATGCTAAACAAACTTCAAGAGCTCCAATTTCATGAAGTTTCCGACCACCTTGAGAAGTCACTTGATAGTAGCAATACTTTTCCCCGTTGGGACCAAATTTGCTTGGGTCACTTATCTCAATACATTGCATGGAAGTTTCCGTTAGAGAGCCGACGAATTTTCGCTTCGGATCAATCGATATGACAACAGCTTGGTTTCCAAAGCAGTGTGAAATTTGCTCTATAGCAGTTGATCCGGATTTAATTTTATCCGCCTGATAGTACTGTTCAGCAATTGTCACTGCTTCGGATCCAAGGCTCACTTTGTCAGCACCTGAAGCGAAATATAATTCTGCGACTTTTAATGCGGGCACCATTTCTTGACTCACGGGGTCCTTCATATCTTTGATGCCACCACCCACAGTTAATGGAACAAATATGTTCTTTGCTGCTTGCCTGAGAACTTCCAACATGGGGAGATCGGTTAAGGGAGAATCTCTAAAGGAGGTAATGTTCAAGAATGTGATCTCATCAGCCCCCTGCTCATAGTACTTGAGGGCAAGTTCCACTGGCTTACCGAGATTTCTCACGGACCCATCCGAAGAACCACTTTTTTCGCGTACATCGTACTGGTCACCTTTCGTGACCACAAGGTCACCCTGATCGTTTGTTCTGACATCAAGACATGCAATAATCCTCCGAGATGGGAGTCCAGAGGGAGTGCTTGAAGTGGTGTTTATTATTTCATCAGCACTATCCTCCAAAAAAGCTTTTATAACTCTAAGGCCAGCAACGCCAGACTTTTCGGGGTGAAATTGTGTAGCAAAAAAGCTACCTTTTGAAATAGCTGCTACGAACGTTTCGGACCCATATTTTGAGAGTCCAAATCTCCACCCACTATCTTCCGCTTTAGAAATCAAATTCTGTATCCTCGGCGTATCAACTTTAGCAGCGTAAGAATGAACAAAGTAGTATTTGTCCTGCGTATTCATTCCATAGAGGCATCTATCGGACTTTGAAGGTGTCAAACTGTGGACAGTGTTCCATCCTATGTGTGGAACTGATTTGAGTAAACCTCTAGTTTTGAAGGTAGGATCACTGGTGTCGAACTTCGTTAATTTCACGTCCAAGAGGCTCATTCCACATATTCCCTCACTTTCTTCTGATTCAGAGAATAGTGATTGCAAGCCAACACATATTCCCATAAGCTTCCGACCTTCGTTGACATATCTTTTAACTGGCTCCATAAGATCCCGTTTAATGAGCTCTCTCACGAAGTGACCGAAGTTTCCAACTCCGGGGAAAATCAAATGAGTGATCTCTTTGTCCAATGTGCTGAAATCATCGCGATTACGAATATAAACCACTTCATAGTCACCAATGTACTCAATGGAATTATTCAAACTTCTCAAATTTCCACTCTCAACATCAATGATGTGAACCTTAGTCATTTGTCCTTTTGCTTCTATTAAGTGAAATATGTGAACTTTACAAACGCGCTCGATGAGTCAGTGGTGTATGGATCCTATCAGCTTATATCTTCTCGGAGCGAAGATAAAAAAAATATGTCCCGTTCTTGGCATGATTTAATTCCTGCTCTCTATAGCGGACAACAAATGAATCGAGATCACCGTAGATGTCGTGAAGTCGAAGGAGGATATGATTCGAAACAAAAGCATTCATCTTACTGTCACCGGAAATCAAGGAGGTACCAATCATCACATTCTTTGAACCGAAAACTAGGCTCAACTCCTGAATGAGTACATTTAAAAAGTCGTCAATAAGGTGATCATCCCTTTTGTATGTTGCCCCACAAGGGCTTTCAGGGTATCGCTCAGTCAATGTGTCACACGTAGGCGTATACCTCGGTATGTGTAGCGGTAATTCAAGTATTCCACCTTTCTTCAAAATGCGGTGAAATTCACGAATGATTTCTTTGTAATTAGAAACATTCAATTGCAAATAAAGGTCTCGCGACTGTATGACATGAAATGTTTCCGTCTTTATTCTGAAAATGCTTTGCTGTAGATATTCAAAGTTATCTGGTTTGTGCCGAGGGTTTGAAGGTTCGGAGGTTTTTGAAGCGGCATCTGTAGCACGATCTCCTTCGAGAGACCTCCTGAGTTTCATGAGATCACCTTTTGTCAAGCTGTCAAACTCATCGAAGGATTCAAATTCAAGCTTCTTGAAAAAGTTCTTGTGAAGCTCTAAATCCAGTCTTCGTATCGCGTCTTCATGTTCCATGGAATCCTTGGTCTCGTTGGCAAACACGTTAGATTCGAACACTCGCACAAACGGAACAGTAAGAGCGAGGTACCAGGAGTATTGAGCGCTGAAGAAAACATTAAAGTTCAAGATCTTCATCGCCTCGGGATTGTCGAGCTTCATATTCAAGCTGAAAAGATTGAAAAGTAGCTTGATGATACGGCGATCCACAAGTGCATTTTTCCCTAATTTCGCTAATACGTCAATGTGATACTGCTCCAAAAGCATATACTCGTACAGAACTTTAGTGATCGCCTGCACTATGACATCGGCCCCAGGAAGGACTAATGCTTCGTTTCCAAATCCGTCTTGTGCTATCGTGTTAAGTCTATCCTTTAGCTCCTGTAATGATGACTTGAATCTGTAGTGGGAAGCAGTGATGGGATCAAGGTTCTCGCAGAAGTCAGGAAGTGTGAGCGGAAGCTGTAATAGATACCTTACATAATTAGTAAAGTTCGCTTGTATAAGCTCCTCGGGTAGATATTGAACAGCATTTCCGCTCGACGAATAATCGAATGAAAGAAGCCTTCTCAAGAACTGTCTGCATCTGAAAAGTTCACAGGCCAAGATTCCTTCATGACGATATAGATCGGCATCGTTCTCCCTGCCATGTACATCGCCTTGATCTGTTGATATCTTATTAACAAATTTTCCAAACGATTGATTTCTAACCTCTGCGTATGTGACAGCGTCCGCCTCATGCTGACTTTCAATCAACTCCAAGTAATTTTTATACTTTAGAATTTGAAACATAGGTGTCAAAAAATTTCTTCTAACGTAGGTCTCAGAATTGAGTCCAGATAATGAAGAAAAGAGTTTAAAATCAGGTATGATATGGTCATCGTTGGTGTCATGACCGTCGATAGAGTGGCTTCGTTCGATGATTTCATGATTCGAAGGCTTTATCTCTATACCACCACATGTCGGTGACAATATCAGAGATGCGCTTGGTACTTGCAGATACTTCTGTTTCGGGAGTGAACTTAAATCATCAGCTGCCTTTTGGTGGTCTCTAGTGGGAGATCTCATCATCTTTTGAGTGTCAACAGTTCCAACATGACAACATTCTCGATAGTTCTCACTAATACCTTGCGGTATGGGAATTGTCCCGTCCATAGTATTATCATCTGTACCACTAACATGATTCTCGTGCTCTGCCATCAATGACAAATGTTTCGACAGTTCCAGCAGATGCCGCAGTTCCACAGATTCAGACAAGGAGGATTTAGCATCGGAAGATTTTCTGCTATTATGTGATCTTCGCCGAGTACGAGACTTCGTAGAACCTTTCATCTTCTGCTGAGTTTGATACAGCCCAGAAGGTACAATGTAGAAGTTCATTGCTCTGCTACTGAGCGGGCTTTAAAGCTTTGTGGAGTGAATAAACGGGGTCCTTATTCTTATGCAGTCTAAAATACTTCGAGAGGTGGAGATATGTCTACTTCGCATTTCTGCAGCATGCAATATTCTCATTTGGTGAAAGCAGCAGATTTTCCCTGAAACTGGCGTTTCTTCCTTGGGGCGCCATATTGCGCCTTTTTACCATTGTGAGTATGGGGATCAAATTGCTGAACACTTCTTTTTCTTTTCTTGGTTTCTTCTGTGTTTTGTGCTTGTAACGCTTCCTCATAGTTCAAGATGTTGGTAGAGCTCGCTCCTTCACGCTTTTTGTTTGAATATTCTTGCGTGCCCACTTTTGAGCCTCGTATATTTTGAGCTTCCGGAACAGTTTTCTCTCTCTGCAACGCTTCTTTCTCAGGTAAAAGTTCTCGATCTCCCTGTTGCTCCCTGTCAGACATTGCAGGTAGATTGTTGGTTGCGGAAGTAAATGAAGACCAAAGGAGTGGTAGCAGTTGAAGCAACCTGGTGTCCTTTTTTTTCAATCGTGGATGTAAAATCTCGAAGCCAAGAAGGCCCTCTGTGAATAGAGACGAGGTTCCACATACTCGTGTTGCGACTTGAGGCAAAAGCTGTCTCTGGTTTTGCAATACGACATCGAGAGAGTCTGCGCTTAAATCTTTGGTCTGTTGTGAAATCTTGAAGTTAATGTTCGTGGACTCAGTAGAACTATTTTCAAAGTTTTCATTCATGAAGTTCACCAAAGATTCCAATTGAAAGCCTGACACGTTGACTGCACGGATTGCAGCTATTGACGAATGGTCGGTTGGTACATCGCTTGCAGCAAGCTGCACCAAAGTGCTATTTGGCATGATGTACCTTGTGGATTCGTCCATTAACCTAGCGGTCTTATCCCGCCAGCCAACGAGAAGGCGCAAACGGTTTTCGAGATGGATTGGGACGTTATAATTACTCATGATGGTGCTACTTTCGTCAACCTTGCCCAGCTCTTCACTGAATTTGATGAACTCGAATTTGCGTAACGCCACCTTTCTTGATGCGAACAAAACTTGCTGAAGTTTGTCTTCCTTCTCATCTATCAATGAATTTCGAAGATGATCAAAAATATTGAGAAGAAAGTGAGTATCAGCTCGAGCATAATGAGACATTGCATCAGGGAGTGGCCGTAATCTCCAGTCTGCTAATTGGTATTTCTTTGATGCCTTGAATCCAGCGAATTTTTCTAATAAAAATGCCAAAGAACGTTTAGGATAACCTAACACCTTCGCGGCATGATAAGTATCAAATAGCGATACGACGTAAAGACCAAGATCTCTCTGAAGCCAAATGATGTCCATGAATGCGCCATGAAACACTTTCACAATATTAGGATTAGCGAAGATCTCATTCAACATAACCATATCTGATCTAAGGGCCAATACATCAATCAACCAATCTTGCTCACGATCAGAGATTTGCATAAGACAGGTGAGCCCATAAAAAGTTCTTAAATCATGATGTTCTAAATCAACTGCAATAGACTTTGAGGACTTCAATTTCTTGACCATATCGTTCAATTGCGTAACTGTTGAAACAAAAATTGCTGGCTGGCTATCCCACTCCTGAGGCTCTTCAGGCAAACATTTATCAAGTATCCAATCTGGATATGGTTGTGTCATGATTTCATGTTGATATGGATGTTCAAAACGGCCCTCAGTATCTGTCACCAACAGATCCTTTAACAGTCGAAGGCAGAAAGGTTTTGACTTCAACTTTGGTTTAAAAGGCTTAACATCTGAGTTATCTATATCTTCAGCGAAGTTCTCTTGAGGTTTTGCGAGAGGCTCCATGGATATAGAAGCAATCTTGGTATTTTTCTTATGAGTTCTATCGTACTTTTCCATAGCAACATCCACTTTTTCATAAATCGTATCGAGTTTTGATTCAAAATTATCCCAAAAAGCCTGCGAGTTGATCATTAAGTTTGAAGTATCCGATAAATCTTTCGAGGTAGTCAAATTTCGTAGCATTTCAAGTAGCATTTCAGAGGTCTCTGTGCCAATTGTATCGATCTCTTTATCCATGGTACGGTAGAAGGAAATGTCATGTGCTGCTATAGCAGATGCATAGCGTATAGAATCAATTATCGCTGGAATTACAGAGGCAAATTCCATAAGTTTCTCGGTCATGACAAAGAGAATACCTTGAGATGGGGTTTTTTCGCGTCAGTTCAGAAAATGTGTGCACAAGTGCATCAATACCAGAAAAATTCATTATTCGCAGATGCTCATCGCATCAAGCATCACTACTTTATTATGCTGTTCACATGTCTTAGTTGCGGTCTTAGTTTCGAAGAAGCAGCCTCACAGAGGACTCATATGAAAACGGACTGGCACAGATATAATCTCAAGAGGAGAGTAACTCAGCTTCCACCAGTTGACGAAGAAACGTTTAAAGGGAAGGTGGTTGCGACTGAAGCCAAGGATGCATCATCGACCGAAGAGAACAAAGGTATAGACAAATCTAGAAGAAAGAATGAAAGAGCTGCAAAGAAAGAGTTATTGAGACAACAACGTGAAGCGCTTTTGAAAGGCATCCCAGGGGAAATTGAAAACGAGAAGAACAAAAGCTTAGAGTCTTCATCTGAGGACGCTGAGCTCAATAATATGATGGAGGCAAAGATAAACCAACGCGTGGAGATTAAACCAACTACATGTTTATTCTGCTCAGATAAGAAACAGGCTCACTTTGACAGTGTCGAAGAAAATATCTCACATATGACCAAGATTCACGGGCTCTTTTTGCCTGAAAAAAAGTACCTCGTTGATGTTGAAGGATTGATAGTATATCTAGGGGAGAAGCTTGGTTTGGGAAATGTTTGCTTGTCATGTTCCTACCAGGGCAAAAGTTTAGCGGCCGTGAGGGAGCACATGCACAGTAAGCGCCACATCCGTATACCATATGAAAGTGATGAAGAAAAGTTAGAAATTTCCGACTTTTACGACTTCACATCGTCTTATAAGAATGACGCAAGTGAATTTCAGACCGAAAACGATGAAGAGGATTGGGAAGATGTTTCTGAAACAGATTTTGATGACAAGGAGTCCGATGATGAGGATAGTGAGAATGATCTCACAGCTTCTGGGGAAGACTTTATTATAAATCTTGGCGACGAGTTAATTCTTCCAAATGGTTTATCGCTAGGTCATAGACGACTCCGAAAACTTCGCAAACAAAAACAGGAACTCATTCTTTCGGAAGGTCAAGGAACTGTTGTGGCAGCCGAATGTAGGCAGTTGAGCTTCCAAAATCTGCAAGTCACAAAAGAGCAGCAGCAGGTTTGGAAGTCAGAGAAAAGAATGTACGACCTCAAGGACAGGCGGCTGTCTAAATACGTCAACAACCAGCCCCACTTTCGGGACCAGCTACTTCAGTGAGATGAGCATGCATTTTTTTATAAGTCTATGGCTTCACCTGCTGCTTTGAGATGGCCTGTTGAACACAACGAGACTCTGCCATATCGCGACATTGAATCCTAATTCAACTAGTGCAAACCAGGCTGCGAAATAAAGCACTTTTGGGCAGAAAACTGACCAAATAAATAGATGGTATCTTAAATTGATGCAAGAAGCCAACAAGCTTGCTTGAGATGTAACATAGAAGGTAAAGACGAGTAAATTTCTGGCACAAATGTTGCGGCGAATGTCACTTCCATTGCTTTCTGCCAATCGAAACCAAGCTAGGTACCAATGCAATGAAGGTGCAAAGTTTGAAATGAAAGTGAGAATGCCAACAAGGGAAATCTTGTATGAGCTGAGGCCGTTGTAAGCGTTTGAAAGGTCTATCGTCGCTATCAGATTGGTGTTCCCAATACCGAAAAACGAGAGGTTTTGGATGCAAAGAATTATGGCTGTAAGTAAAAACTCAGAGTTCTTGAGCGGGCCTGATCTCGATAGCAAAGACTCCAAAGCTCCGAAGACAAGAAATAAAGGAATTATTTCAAGCCTAGACTGATGCAAGAAGACATGCACTAGAAGAAGGCTAACTTTTGTGGACTTCAATGAGCTTCGCCAGCACAACTGCCAAAGACAAGAAGTCACGAACGCCAAGTAGAATAATTGTGACACCGAAGTCGCTGCTGCACGCATCTGCAATAAAGGGTCCATGCTATCTTCATAGTAAACGACCATCCAATTACAGATTGAGGGTAGAGACGTGCCGTCAATTTTCGTCTGCAAAACCTTGAGAAAAATGGTAAGTGAGCTCATCACGATTTCCAACATGAATCCGATAATGAAGTGAAAGCGGTTGTACGCGTCTTTTCTTTTGTTGATAATGGCGATACCGTACACAGTAACGAACACAAAAAGCCAAAGTACCAAAGGGGCCTCTGTCAAAACATCAGACAAGGTCATTGCCAGCCTAAATTTTTGACCCATCGTGCTCCAAGACCTTATGACTCTTAGTAAAAAGAGACAGCCTACCTCCACTCTCCAGCATGAACGACTATCTAATCCCATCAAAAAAACCGCCAATACAGTCGAGAACCACCAAAATTGATGCTCTTCCTCAATAAAAGAAGATGCATGTAAAAGGGCGCAGTATGAAATTATTAACCCGATGAAGAAGCAGCAATGGATCAAACTGCCCCTTTCATGCGTTGCTCTTTTTAGAAGTAAAATGCATAGAATAAATCCCGAAAGGAGTGTGATCCCAAACCCAGAGTACATCAATTCAAGGGAATAGTTTGTTGAATTTTGAACCATGATATCTTTGAGCGATCTGAGAAATTCCCAATAATCATTGATTCGGCTTCCCTCCAAATTTCTTAGTTGAATGATTTGATCGACAAATCTTGTAGCTCTGGAGGGATGCAGGGCCCGAAAAAGATGGAACATCTGCTCGCAGTTCTCCAAGAGCACTTTCTTCCTTTGTTGCTCACCTGACCAACATTGAAGAACCTGAGGGACCATCACTCCGACGTTATTTTTGGGAATTGGGATATTCAAAAGCGCCGAAAGTGTAGGCACGATGTCAATCTGATCAATTCTAGAATAGTAGGTGAAATCATCTGGTTTGTGCGAACCACGATACCCTACCGGACTTGCTTGCAATTTTTTGAACTTTGGGGATACGAGAACTAGACCGGGACTTGTCTCTCCTTCGGAAGAACCACCATGATTTCCAACTTCATTCATCCCATGGTCGCCCATAAGGACAATAAGGGTTTGCTCATCATCGATTGATTCATATAACTTCTTCAAAATCCCATCCATTTCTTGCTGCTTTGGTTTCATATGCACTGACATTGGCCCCCAGTGTGCCCAATATGATCGAGACCTAAGTAATGTAAGATGAGAGCGTCAAAAGGCTGTTTCAACTGGGCATCGAGATGTCTTGTAACATTTCTGTCGACTTCTGTAAAGTCATTAACAAAAAACAGACTCGTTCCCTCACTTTGATTAAAATACTGCTCAGCAGGGAACAATCTTAACCATGTGTCGTCCCCAAAGAAGTTGATTATCTTGTTCTTCGATTTCCTGCGAAGCTGGCTAATCCACGAGTCTGTTTGAGTGAGAGCTTGCGATCCATCGTTTCCATCTGCTATATTTAGGATTGCATCAACAAAGCTAGGAATCTGTCCTGTTGTTATGCCCTTTAGACGTGGCAATGTGACAGTAGGTGGGTGAGAATACGCCGTGAATGGAACAGCATCGCCACTATCAATGAGATCATGTAGGAAGGTCATTTGAGAATCTTGGGAGAACATAAAGTCTGATCTCATTGCATCAACCACCATAAGTATAAGCTTGTCAAACTGAGCACCGCGTTCACCAACGAAGGCATCTGGGTTTACTAACCCAGCTTGGCCGCCCAAAACACTTTTCGTCGGAAAGAAGCCTTTGGAGAAGATGAGAAAGCCCACCAAACTCAATGCTGCAATTAATGTGCCATTCAATTTACTCAATATCCTCATTAAACGACCAACATAATTTGAATACGTTCGCACTGCAACAACTCAAAAGCGCTCGGGTAAAAGTCACTATACAGGATTATCACCTCTTGAATACACCTAAAAAACGTGTACTGCCCACAAAACATGTCAGTCCCACAATAATGTCATTTCCTTATGCATCTAAAAGGACGCCGCAAAGAATATCTTCCTTCCAATAAAACCTATATAGTTTATGTCCTGCATAGTAAACCTCTCAATACTTCAACAGAAGCTGAGTGATCCCGGGGGACCGCGACTCTCCTCTAAGAGTACCGACTCAAGCCAGCAAATGTCAGTCATACGAACCATATAAAAAACCAATGTGCTCATTGATTACGAACAATGATGATGGTAACTCCATTTCGCACTAGAGCTACGACTAGAGCATGACATATTAAGATCAGCCCTCCTACAGACCCAAAATTAAGGCAAGATAATTCAGAGTTCCGTGCTTTAAACCTACTCAATTTGGAATATCTAAATTAACACGAAATCATCTCTGTCCTAAACGACCCTGTCAAACAAAAACACTAATAGCAAAAAACATAACCGTACATTGAAGTGAACATCCATAAAACAAAACAATTTAAAGTCCTCTCATGCTATCTTCACATCACTTAAATGCGATTTCATCAGACATAATCAAATGCACGTAAGGGAAAAATTTCTTCTTAATTTTCAAATCCCATCAATCCTCATAGTCTCGAGTAAACATTTCCAATATTCTTAGTATCAAAAGGAAAGTACTAACAGAATATATCGGTTGGATATCTTTCATCTCTCAAAAATGTATAACTAGGATGGTAACTTGAGAAGCATTTCATTCATTAGAATATGATAACAGTTTACTGTAGAAACCCGACTCAACAATCGAAATCGAAAAAGTATATAAAAAGCTGTATATCACCGTCAACGTGAGGAGCAGCCAGCTCTGCTGAAAATTTTGTGACCCTAGTTGATAACTTGGCAGTGTCAGTGTGAAGTGGATCACTAAATTTAATCATCCCTATGCTTGCTGTGAGCGCATTGTTTAAAAATTTATAACAAAATTTGGTGGTCAATTAATTTAGACACAATGTTTGTTCCTCTTGAAATATGGGAAGAGGTCACTTATACGAACACCAGGCGATAGATTTCCCTTGGAAATCACAAACTGTATACGGGTAATCCACTTTCAGGTAATAGCAGCTCGTGTAACTTACATGTTCATCGTGATTCTGCTGAAAGTTCTCCACATAATGTATCAAACTCTGACTTAAATCCGAACAGTAGCTGGATACAATGATACAGGTGTTGTTAGTGTCGCTAGATTCGTCGGACACATCCTTCCTTACGCAGATAACAGATATTGATTTATTGCATGGTCCATTCAATCGATTATAAGCTGTTGAACAAGTTTCAGGTTTATCTTAGTTTTATTTAACAACAGGGGTACTAGGCACTTTCAACCTGTGCGCAGTGGCACATGAAACGATAGCTAATATTGGTGTTGTGCTGAAACAGTAATGTAGCCGTCGTATCTATGACTTCTGGTGACTTCTATCAAATGTTTAGCATATAGCATGCCGCTGTTGGAGATGAGAGATTGTGAATTCAAATGTACTAAGATATATCATGTAGTTGGCGCATCAATTTTTGGGAGGTGTCAGTCTATCCAACCCCAATGCCAGTATATATTTGTTCTATCAATCCTGGCAATCTAGCTGTTTTCTTCATCAAATGAATATATTTATTCGCTTAAGTAACTATTATCTTTTGCGGCTTTATTGTCTACACAGCTATTCTGCTTACTGAATTGATTCGTGCTTCCATAGTAGGTATACACTGTAGGGTATGAATTCAAGCTCAACGAGGTATGTCCCAGAGTATTGGATACCCTTATCCTATCATTGGCGGGCTTTTTTTGACCGCATTCTAGAGATTAAAAGGAGCTTTTAAGCCCTATGTCAATTTCCTGTTTATCTATTAAACCGTATGGTTCTTTGAACAATGATGACCTCAACATGCTCTTTCCATGCGTATGGCATACGCTCTATCTAACTGGGCTATGTGACCATGTTCTACTTGTGTATGTAGAAGATCACATTCGAGGCTTTAATATTCAATGCTATTTGTATATATGTAAAATTTAATCAATCATCAACTGCTTGATATCTCTCGTTTCTTTTGATAGCAAGTTCCTCGGAAATTTGTATGCCACCGCTAACGGAAAATTGTCCGCCACCACTGATCATTCGAATGTCTATTGCTTTTGTCGCTGTGTTATAGATCCTGGAAGGTTCTTCAACATCTTCGTCAAGAGGACCAAGGCCAGGTGCATAGGTGTCGCCAAATCCCCAGGAAAATACTACGCCGTCATCCGTTACAGCAAATGAATGGTGCGATCCAGCTCCGATTGTTTTAATCTTGTGATGTTGCTTTTGACCAATAGAAACCTGAGTAGGTTGAGGCACAGAACGAGCTCTTCCGTGCGCATCTTTAAAGGTATAGGAGGGTAATTTATGAGATGGAATGCCGAGCTCTTGCATATCAAGTCTACCCCATGAAAGCACTTGTCCATCATCAGTCAACGCCATTGAATGATGTTCACCACCCACGAGGGACTTGATATTCAATTCAGAGAGTGTTTGCACTCTCGTGGGTTGCTTCAAAAGAGAGCCATCCTCCAATTCTCCCGATTCTGAGACCCCACATTGACCATATTGGTTGAGACCCCATGCGAATACCTCGCCGTGTGTATTTATCGCAAAAGAATGATAATCACCACAAGCGATGTACCTAATATTATACAATCCAAACTGGTGAGGTTTGAGAGCTGCCACTTTGTGCCTCTCTAAAATTCTTCGTCCTAGCTGGAATTGTTGACCATCTCCCCAAGCGTACACAATTCCCTTGGAGTCTAAAGCTAGGACATGATCTTTTCCACCGGCGAGTTGTACAATGTTCTTCAACGATTCCATACGTAATGGTTTTTCTTGTATGGCTTTGCTCTCGTCAAATCCCATAAGACCTTCATTACCTCTAAACGTACCCCATGTGTAGACTTCTCCATTTTCATAAAGTACACCACTGAGATTGTCGGTAGCAACCAATTGTACAATTTTTGAATCGAGATTGGGCAAATTCTGAACCAATGCAGGAGTAGACTCAGCTTCGTTTAAATCTCCATCTTCGTCGTCCGAATCTGCGGCATCAACCGATTTAAGATTTTCCTTCACTTTCGTCGTGTCACGCCCTAAAACTTTATTGTCATTATTTCCCCACGACCAGACCCGATTCTCTGCATCTAAAGCCAAAGCGTGCATTCCACCAACAGCAAAATCGACTATAGCGCAACCCAATCTTTCTTGTGTCAAGAAGGGGTTTAATCTGGGACGCTTGACTTCTTTAGTCAGTGCGGACGGGCCGAGGCCTAGCTCACACATGGACCCCGATCCCCAAACAAAAATCTGCAACGCTTCTGTCTTCCTCGATGGCGTTTCATTGATGTCTGGTAATGATTGGTATGACCTCAAAACGTTCGAGGACGTAGAGCGTTTCGCTTTCTTTGCATTGTTGGAAGCATCTGACGCATGTTTACGCTTGAGGCTTGCGTTTAAAGAAACCATTGAGCGTGTCTAGTAAGAATTTGTCGGAAAATGGTGGTGCTACTATTCAGTAATGTTTTACTTCTCATTGATTTTTTGATGATCGTCGTACAGTATCTCCGGTATATAATAGCGCACTAGTTGAGCGCATTAGCGTGGGTACTTTGATACCCGCCCCTCTTGTGAGACCACTTACTATGGGATTCAACAAGCCATCTAGCAAAATGCTGTAAAAGGTAAGCTGTCGATCCCAAGGCTCTGAAGAGAGCAAGTACTGCCACCATCCATAGAATAAAGACAAGATAGTAATTCCTTCCGGTATCCCCTGGTTCGTAGACCTGCAACATTGTCATTATGAAAACGAGATTCAACAAAAGCCACAGAAGAACAACCTTTGTTCGGACGTGCTTTGCGTAATCTTCACCATCTAATTCACTTGGAGTTTCCAGGAAAGGTCTCACCTTTTTGCTCGATCTCCGAGAACGAATGCTGTAAAGCGTTTCGAGATAGACCTCATCAATATTGTAGTCCTGAACGATAACCTCAAATTCACCTTGCTCATTCTGCTGGATAATGTATTGATTTGTTTTATCGTCTTTTGGATTATTGTCTCCTTTGGTGCCCCATGAAACATCGTGTGTGTTACAAAAAGCAAAAATTTGAAGAGTACATGTGTATGATGGAATCATCATAAAATATTGTATCAGACAGGTCAACATATGCCAAGGGTCCAAATAGAGTATGGACATCAAAGTGTATAGTCCATAGGTTGCCAACAATGAAACGACTATGCTCACGAAAACAAAAGTAGATGAATCTCCAACTCCGAATCGTTGTATTGTAGTGGCAACAAAATAGAAGCCGACAATCAATGCGTATAATGCACACACGGTGAGAAGTATGATCAATGTCTTGAAAATATTCTTAGAAGCGTGTGGCCGATTCCCGATTGACGCAACGAATAAAGAGGTTAGCGTACAAATGCAAAGATAATTGAAAATAGTGAAAACCCAAAACCCACCTCGGCCGACACTCTTCTCGGAGATGAGAGCTCCCGTGAGAAAGTAAAATGTCAAGTAGAAGTTGCTCAAAGAAAAGAAGGAAAACACAGTGCTCACAAATTGGTAGGCAAATTCGACGCAGAGCCATATTTTTCTTCCCATTGAGTGATCAGTCTTCCAGACTTTAGGGGTATGTCTTAACGCATATAATGCAGCGAAAAATGCGCCGTTTATCCATCTTCTTCTCTGTGATAAGAATTCTGGAATGGTGTCAGGTACATCAGTTTCTCCAGTCGCTTGTTTGACGAACTTGAGAACCCAATTCTCGTTCTTCTTAGCAATTAGTTCCCAGCACAAAATTCTGTCCTCCGCGAGATACATGTTTGCTTCAAAAAAATTAGTCTTGCTGTTCGAGAGATGGCGTGAATTTAGTAAGTCCTCGCCCTTAAAATATGATGCCAAAGGCCCTGACCCGTCTGAATGATTCTGAAGAGCAATATATCGATACGCTGAGAGGGCCCCAGGTAAAACAGTTATGTAACCAAGAACAGATTCCAAAGGTTTGTCCAAGATGTTAGACATCTTGTATTCAAAATTTTGTGAGGCAACCAAGGGATTCAATAAATTGACCCATCCCTTTCCTTTCATCGCAGTAATCTCGCCCGCAGCCCCTGCAACGTTCGAGTCTTTATCGAATGCCTTCCAAAGATTGTAAACTGCGTGATTGTCAGGTTTCGTACCCACATCTAATAATACAATCACGTTTGGATCGAGCACAGGGCAGAATGCATTGAAGAGCCATCGGTGCGAGTTGATCTTCTTTTGATTCTTTTCCTTAAGACAGAAGAGGACTTGAACAGGGGTAAGGCTTTTTTCATCTCCCTTAAACTTTAAGTTCTCATCAATTGAGATTTGAGTAGTGTACTCAAAGAGATGGGCATTCACCTTTTTGTTGTTGACGTATGGGCGAGCCAAATTATCCTGGTAGCAGCCCGTAGCCGTCAACAACTGAAGAACAGCTTCGTTTACCTTATTTCGGCCATCAGCAACAATCACGACTTGAACCTTTTTCCATGAATCCTTTCCCCAAGTAGACGATTTAGCTCGAGAGCATAAATGAGCCACGTTTTTCATGATACCATGCATCGTTCTGGCAAAAGCGAATTCGTCTTCGTTGTACATCGTGACACATATGACGAGTTCTGTTTCTCTTCCGAACTTGACAGGCCTTAAAGTGAAGCCATCTGCCACGAAGTTATCGGGCTCGGCTGTGCAAGCTGTGTATGTCATGTTGGTAAACTCGCCGAATGGTGAGTCAGTCCTAGTCAACACCTTTCTGAGCTCTTCTGGTATACGATTTTCAAGAACGAAGTTTCCTGAGTCACCCCCAATAAGACGAACTCTTCGCTTAGTCGTTGTTTTATCCTTCACCGGGACGTATGTGTCGGGAATATTGCGCATCATGTCTCGATCTATTGAAGCACCAAAGTAGTCACTCTCTTGGGCTCCCATTGAGTGATACCCAGAGCTGTAAGCTGTATTGGTGTCAGAGATGGACTCTTCTTCATAGACTTTCTGATAATCTGGATACCCGTAATCGAGCGATTGGTCGGATATTACTGTCCTTTGATCAGACTCATCGTCGGGATGTTGAAGATTGGCTTCGGCAAATGTTTCAGGTGTGAAGATTGGTTGGGGGGGCTCAAGAATCCTTTCGCTTCGTGTCGTGCTCCTTGACGAGCTTGCGTGGGACAGAAAAATATCATCACTTGGAACGGCACTTTGCTTTCCATCGGGAATAAAAAAGCCACCTTGTCTTTGCCTTTTTGGACTTTCGTCTGACGTGAATTTAGCTCTAGCTGTCTTGTTTTCGTTCAATTCCAAGTTAGGCGTTCTTGTTCCTTTGAGAGTAGATGATTTTCCATTAGATACTTGATAAGAACTCCTTGCAAATATATCCGGTGATCCATTCCTGTCAAGCTTGCTGTCAGGAGACCTCGGGATGTCAATCTCGTTGCTGTCGTCCAAAGGGATTCTGTATAGTTCACGACGTGGGTATCTTGTAAAAGCGGCATGTGGGTAAGCTGGCTCATCCGTGCCTTCTGTAGACTCTTCTTCAAATGGATTTTTCATTTTGAAAAGTTCAAATGGTCGTCACTAATGATGAGATTTGTTCATATGGTAAACTGTTTGTGCCCTCTTTAAACTACTGCACGAGCACTATTTTTGTTGACATAATACCGCTTTAGGCAATTTAAAAACACACATCTTTGAGAGCTGAAATGAAACTTCTTTCAGAACCACGCCAAAAATACTTGATAGATCTGATGTCTCTGAAGCGGCAGGTTCACCGATTTCTGAGATACCCAGCATTAATTCTTGAGTGTCCAGAAGATTCTTGAATTGTTACATCCCTAATTCTTTATCTTTTTCTTCCTCTTTATCTTCTTCCTTCCTTTGTCAAAAAAAAAAAAAAAAAAAAAAAAAAAAAAAAAAAAAAAAAAAAAGAAGTGATGCAATATTTCATGATTCCTTCCATGTGTTACAAGGATTTTTTTTTTTTTTTCTTTAAGTAATTGTAGTAGTTGGAAATGGGAGTTGGTGATTTCGCGATAAAATTGCGAACAGTGCACAGGTGGGTAAACACTATTAACAAAACCTCCTCACTAAGAGGAAAACCTGCACGATAGTGGCGAAGGCACAAGCCATCAAAAGTCATGGCTGGGTTTCCTCAGCTGCAAGATGACAGCGGAAGCAACTTTGCAAGATCTTATAGCACTGTTGAGAGTGGCCACAGTGAGGATATCTCTGAGCTAAGTCGTCAAGGCTCTTATGAATCGCAGACCCCAAGTTACGAGAGCAGTCATTCAAGAAATCCTCTTGCCAGACTTCTATCAAGAAGCAGAAGCTCAACTTTGGGAGGCGACAAAGAAAGGTTCAAAGCAGACGACCATCGTTTAGTGAGCGAACAACACGCTACGTCAAGGGGTCGGTTTACTTCAAAAAAGCTTAAATGGAAAGTTGGAAGTGAGAAACACAACGATGAAAGTTCCTATTTAACTGAAAATCAAAAGCAGTTTTTCATGAAATCTGCTGAACCCTCGGGTAAGCTCGCTTCCGCGCCATCGATTGCCCAATTCTTCAATCGCCCTCTTGCCAGCCACGGTGACAAAGATTTGCTTAAAAAAGAGCAATTTTCCAAAAAACAGCTGGGACGCACCAATGTCACACTCTCCTCCCAAAGCTCCAACTCTTTAATTCAGGATGTGAAACTTGCCTCGAGGTTCCGCTTCAACAGCCCAGAGTCATCAGTGGTCGCTGCGCCATCCAGCACACATTCCAACTCCTCCTCCTTACAAGGACTCCATAGAAAATACCTGATGTCAGCTGATCAATTTATCTTACAAAAGTGGAATAAAAGCATGGGGCTTGAAGTCAACGCGAACGTGAAGAGCTCTAAGCACCCAAGCTATCAAAAATTATCAGATGAATTCGAGGGTCTACTGGAGCATTTGGAAAGAATGTTTAAACCTCAAGAAAAAACACCTCGGACAACAATGCCTTTGGAATATACAGTTGAGGAGCTTGCCCGTGTCGTGTATCATCGGATAGTCGAGCCTACGTTTGATCAACCAAAACTCGTAAAATCTCCAAATACCTTGGAGGAGAACCCCACGTTTAACCCTGTTCTTGATGATTCTATTGACGAGGCTAAGGAGGTTCGACAGCATGAAGTGCTCCATGAACTTTTGCAATCTACTAAATCATGGCTAGCTACTTTGAAGAGAAGCTGGCTTGAATCTTTGAAATTATCTAAAGGCACTGATATAGACGCAAAGTTGAATTTGGTGGACCTTTGGAGAGCTTTGGCAGAAATCTGGACTTATTTCAACAAGTTTGTGCGCTTCACCCTTATGCAAATCCTAATCCCAGTACAAAGTTGTATTGATACTGCTTTCTTGAAGTTATGTGGCTGTACATCACCAAATCATGTTGTGGAAAGTGTGATATTAGTAGCGTATAAAGATGCCGTCGTCTTCCCAGTACTAGCCATGAGAAAAGCAATCTATGCCGCCTCTTCAAGGTCGTCGCCCAAGAGGCATTCACCAAATAAACTCAGTAATTCAGAGGTTCAATATATCAACGGAGATTCATCGGTTCATGAACGCTTGATAAGCTGCTTTGGGATCCTACTTTCTTACCTGGGAGCATATTTCGGCCTTCTGAAAGACGACTCAAGTGGACGCGATCCTGTATTACACGAAGCTATTCGCTGGTTGCAGGAGATCGCGGTTTAAAGTCTCAAACTTTTGTTTTATCCAGAAAGTACTACTATATGGTCGTACCTCAATCACAACAGGTGAGTTTGCTCCCCAAAGAGCTACAATATTTATGCGAAAACGAATTGGTGACAATCTTGCCGCGCTACTCAATGAAATCGACGCGGCTTGTAGGTGTATGTTCAAATACCCTCATTTCTGAGATATGCTAACAAAATAGAGAACAATCCCAGCACTAAAGGTTATGTCTCGTACGCAAGTACCCTTATGGGTAGCGATTATATTCAAGGAGCAGAATAAGTGCAACTTTGTACCGCCTCCGTGGTTGAATGTTGAAACTTTGAGAGAAAAATACGACGAAGAAGTTCATAACAAGAATCGCTTCTCGGAACTACCCTGGAATTGGCAAGAGCTAGCCAAAATTTATTTTCGTCATGCGCCAGATGACTTGTCAGACACTGTGTCAGCTTTATTCGGTATACTTCAAGACATAAAGGAGATTAGAAAGCTGAAAGCGCAGAGGGGTCTCAAAGAGCTTAACGAGTCCAATGTTCAGTTGAATGGACTTTCTGTTTTAGAGATAAATGAAATAAAACCTTTTGTTTTGAATGTGATGAATGAGCTACGATTGTTGCACGGAGCTGCTGGTGGTGAGGGAGACTCGCACCAATACGACGAAGATGTTCCAACACGTGATGAGTAGTGACAAGGATATTTGCGCATGAAGTCGTTAAGTTGTTATGAGAGCATTATCAAGTCGACAATTCATTGGGGACGTGAGAAGTGGAAGGACAAACGTGATCTCATCTTGTCAATTCTCAAATCAACTACAACGAAACGTGAAGCTAGAGAGTATTTAACCAGGTACAACACGATATCTGCGGATGGGTGTTCATCAAGATCTCTTGACGCAGACCCAAAGATTGATGAGAGGATCAATGGTATACTACGTCAATGCTCTCCGCCGGGATTACCAAAAGATAAAAGGATCAGCCTAGCACCTTTTTACAAACAAGTTGCTGTGTTCAGAATTCCACTTGCATTACTGACTCAAGCCTTACAAGAGATGTGCCGAAGCTTCACCACAATTCTAAGACTCGGCGTGTCTCCAATTTTGGTATTCGACGTTGAAGTAACTCAGAAGACCCTATCTTCCCTTCAAGAAAGGGCTTTGGAAGTTGCAAGTGTTATGTCTCGGGCAGAAGCTCATGAACCTAATTTCTTCACACCAATTACCACACCCTTTGATGACCACAGGAACAAAATAACTGTCCTGAGTGAGAGGCTGATCATACTTCCCATCATTCAAGGAAATATTCCAGTTTTGCTCCCTGTAGCATATGACGTTGTGAATGCCAGGCATAGCATAATCAGTTCCCAGGATGCATTGCTCGCGTTAGTGGAACAATTGAATCGCTCGCAAAGAGTCGTGATCGAAAAGGTTGTATTTGTGGACACTGTTGGCGGAATTCCGTCTATTGAACGTGATCGTACCAGTCACGTATTCATCAACAACTTACAAGAATATTCGGACATTGTGTCGGAATTGCACATTGGGTTTTTAGAACCTGAGGTTCGAGATCGACATTTGTCTAATCTTTCGCATATGCGAGAGCTTTTACTCGCAACCCAGTCAGAACTGAAGAGTGAGGCCACTGGAATAATTCTTCGACCAGAGGACCTCACTCCCCAAGCGGACATGCTAAATCCGGTTGCATATAATATTTTAACGGATCGACCTTTGATATCATCCTCCTTGCCACCAGGGCGCTTGAGAACTCCGCAAGTTACTACATCCATAATCAAGAGTGGTTTCGATGTCCAGCTATTCTACCCCACGGAGTCAGGGCAAAAAAGGTTCGATAGCCTTGTTAGTAACAGCGGTATCGATGGGAGTAAGTTATTGCTGATGATCGACGACTCATTCGGCAGGAAACTCGAACGGGAGGACTATGTGAAAAGACTCAATAGTTGTCTTGATTGCGTCATCATTATTGGAAACTATGATGGTGGAGCAATAATAACGAAAGAGGAAACATCTGATGGTCATAAAGTGCCTTACCTAGATAAGTTTGCCATTACCAAAAAAAACCAGGGCCTACCCAGTTTGGCAGATGTCATTTTCAAACTGATGTTGCAGGCGTATCCTGAAGAGTTAATTTGGAGATCTCGCAATACGAATCCGGTGAACAAGTGGTATTTTGAGAGGTGTAATGGAACTTATCATAAACCCGGCTCTGATTGGAAATTATTTTACGCTGGCGATTTCTTCAATCTTAAGTTTTCGAGATATTCTGGGAGAAGAATTTCTTCTTATTGGAGTTTAATTCAAAAAATCCCCAGTTCGTTCATGTAACGACCATATAATTAACGCACTTAACCAAGTTTCACTAATTCCACCAATTCCGGACCTGCGCGCGCGCCCGGTTAATTGATCTGAGATTCCTACAAGTTGCTGCGGTGACCGAGAAAATGCAAACATTGACTAATAGAAGACCGAAAGAAGATTCTGATAAAGGTGAATTTCAATCACTTGAACGATTGTACTTCTTTGATGAGCTAGCCGAGTGGCAGCAAGATAATCATTTCATTCGTTCGGGATATGTCAAAGAAACCAAGAGCTATATCAACTGCTTGAGATCGTTAACTTATTGGCATAACGAGTCCATCAATGTCTACTCCCATTTATTGCCCTCCTCAATATCATTGTGGCTCATTTCCTATCAAATCTTCTATATTCTTCCACAATATGAGAACTACTTAGGGGCTTGGGAAATCCTCAATTTCTATCAATTTGGCTTCGCTGTGACGTTTTGCCTCTTTCTGTCAGCGTCTTTTCATTGCTTCAAGTGTCATTCTCACAAAGTCTCGAAGCTTGGTAATCAGTGTGACTATTTCGGAATAATAGTTTTAATTACTTGTTCCCTTAACTCAATCGTTTTGTTCGCATTTTATGATGCCCCATACTTGAGAACCTTCTTCGTTTGCCTCTTCGTGTTGTTGGGGACAATTTGCACGAAACTTACATTCGATGTCAAGTTTTCGACGCCAGCATATCGCCCATTTCGGTCTCTCATGTTCATTTTGTTTGGCCTCTCGGGAATTTTACCCGTGTTGACAGCTATAGTTAAGTATGGCCTTCTCAATGCGAGAGACCGCGCAAGTGCGGAATGGCTAGTTGGGGAGGGCTTCTTCTACATATTCGGTGCCTGTATTTATGCGGCTAGAATTCCTGAAAGATTTGTTTACTCAGATCAAATTTCTGAGATCAAAAACAAAAAGCAGCACGGTGCGTTCGACATTATTGGACACGGGCATCAAATTTTTCACGTGATGGTAGTCATTGCAGCCTTTTGCCATTGGAATGCTCTCGTTGGCTGTTATACTTACTTACATGAAGTGACTCTCGCGTCGCATATTTAGCTTACTCACATAGAAAGTTTACTTCGCAAAATGTCACGCACACATTTAATCATCGTACCTTGTCATTCTATATGGACAGGCGGAGCCAAACTCGGAGAAGATTCTGGTGAATGGCTTTTGCAAACCTTTCAAGTGGAGGGGAACGATCACCTTGCTTTCATTGACCATCTTATGTTAGGACAAGAGTCACTTCTTGAGGATGAGAAGGCAATATTGGTCATCTCTGGGGGCAGAACGAAGTTAGAGGCAGGCTCTTTAAGCGAAGCGGAGAGTTATCATCGGTTGCTCGACCTCAAAAGACGACAGAGCGTTCACAAACAGATTGATGAGATCGAAAGTAGAACTTTCGTCGAACCATTTGCAAAGGACTCTTTTGAGAATATTCTCTATCTGATTTGCAGATTTTATGATGTATGTGGTCGGTATCCGAAGTGTATAACTATTTGTGGTTTCGAATTCAAAAAAGACCGATTTTTACAATTACACCTACAGCGAGCGTTGGGCTTTGATTTGAAATGCGTGAACTTCAAAGGAAATTCACCAAACCCAGTCTTTCAAGGACCAAAAAGAGACAAATATTTTGAAGAACTTGCAGCTAACGAGAGAAAAACATATAATATTTTCAAAAAGGACCTCTATGGTTTAGGTCCTGTTTTAATGGCAAAGCGAACGAGCCGAAACCCTTTCAAGGAGGCGCACAACTACAAATCGGAAAACCCTGACATTTCTTTATTGCTCAGTTTGATGAAAGATGTTGAAGCGAAAGCCTTGGAACTGTCAGCACACTTAAAACTCAACTTCCCATGGTAACGATGGGCTTCATGAATGGCGTTGACATCATTTGTTGTCTGAAACTGCTGTCAAGCGATATAAACTTTCACTGAGTCGCGCTTCTCCGTTTCTGCACTGCCTTGGACAAGTTTTTCAACATATCCACCGTTGTCTCCCATGAAACACAACTGTCTGTGATCGACACACCGTACTTGAGAGCGGCTTTTCCCTCATTCCCTGGTGGCATGTTCTGCTTTCCCTCATTTATGTGCGATTCAATCATTACACCCATCAATGCATGCTCTCCGTTCTCAATCTGCTCAACGACAGACTGCAAGACAGAGGGTTGATTCTTGTAGTCCTTTTTAGAATTGTCATGAGAACAGTCCACCATGATTTTTATGTTTGGATCCGTACTTTTTGCAATCGCTGCCTTCGCATTTTTCACGGACTCAGAGTCGTAGTTAGTGAGATTCTTGCCTCCCCTTAAAATAACAAAGCAGTGATCATTACCCTTCGTTGTGGTGATCGCAGCTAAGCCATTTTTAGTTACACCCATAAAGTGGTGACCCTTAGACGACGCTTGGACAGCATCCAAAGCAACACCCACGTTTCCATCTGTGCCATTTTTGAAGCCAATAGGAAAAGATAAACCTGAGGCCAATTCTCGATGGAGCTGGGATTCTGTCGTTCTAGCACCAACAGCCCCAAAGCTCAAGAGGTCAGAGAAGTACTGAGGAGAGATTGTGTCCAACATCTCGCTTCCAATAGGAATACCAACCTCTCCCGTTAAATCAGCATACAACTTTCTCGACACTCTTAAGCCTTCGTTTATATCAAAAGTGTTGTCCACATTAGGATCGTTAATAAGTCCTTTCCATCCGACAGTGGTTCTTGGCTTCTCCAAGTAGGCTCGCATAATGATGACAAGATCGTCAGATAGCTCTCCCGCTAACTTCTTTAATCGATTGGCGTACTCAATAGCAGCCTCTGGATCATGAATAGAACAGGGCCCAACGATGACGAGGCATCGATCGTCCTTTCCACTGATAATTCTGGAAGAGTCGATTCTTCCTTTTATAACGGTGTCTAGGGACTTTTTCGATGCTTTAATTTCCGTTTGGAGGAGAGCAGGAGGTATCAAAGGATCGTATCCCATAATTCTTGTGTCGTCGTACTCTTCAGGGATAGGCGTTTGGCTCATGGCAACTAATGATGTTGTTTCGACAATTTGGCAGTAAGTTCGCAGAGCTGCTTTATGTAATGCCTGATGACTCAACTGAAAATTTTGATATTCACGAGGTCATCAGAAATATACAGGAATATTTGAAATGCAACTATCTATAATAGAAGCAAGTGAGAAAAGGGTACAAAAAAATAATAATAAAAAAAAAAAAAAAAAAAAAAAAAAAAAAAACATAGGAAACATGGAAGATAGAAGAAAAGTTCGGAAAGTGAGCAGACGAACTTTACTCAGAATTATGTAGCGACTTTGTTGATTAGGGATTGTGGTTTCGAGCATTGATATTTCTGCAAGAAGATTGTGCTCTCCGAGCTATAGTTACGATTCATAAAACTAATAATTGCTGGACTGGCGGAATTCTTGAAGGCCTGATGTCCTTATTGTCCTTTATCTTACAAGTAAGATTTAGCACTGGACTCAAAGTCGCGATCAGGTGTGTCCGACCGTTTTGCACAGAAGTACCATAGGTCACTTTACACAATCATCGACAGATAGGTTTATTGATGTATTACGAGACATGACGCTACATTTGACTACAAAGCGACGAGTTTTTATTTCCTTTTTAGCCTTTGGGCTAGTAAACAACATTTTGTATGTTGTGATATTATCGGCTGCTATCGATTTGGTTGGTTCTGCGACTCCGAAGGGTGTGGTTCTATTGGCAGATATATTCCCTGCGTTGGTTGTCAAATTGTTGGCGCCTCTCGTCATACATCAGTTCGCATATAGCCACCGATTAATCGCATTGGTGGTGCTTTCAATACCTGGTATGCTTTTGATAAGTTTCACCTCGAGTAACACCTCAGCCATCATTTCAGGGATCTGTATGGCTTCTGCGTCATCTGGAATTGGCGAGGTATCGTTTCTCCTGCTTACTCATTATTATCCGAGAAATATGGCAATTGGAGGATTCTCCGCTGGTACCGGTGCAGCTGGGATTGCGGGAAGTTTCCTCTTCTTACTCTTTACAAACATCCTACACATCCCGGCTAAAAAAGCTCTAGTGATCTTTTCGATACTTCCATTTTGTCATCTAATCGCCTATTTCTATTTACTACCGCAATCAACGACCGAGTACGTGGCGATACCTTCTAATGATGACTCGATTGACATGAACGAGGATAGAACACCAAATTCGAATGGTGTCGATTCGACACCTTTCACTACAGACAGGGTCACAAGCCACATTGTTACAACATTTAGAAAAATGTTGCCCTTGGTTTTTCCATATATGGTTCCACTATGCTCCGTATACATATGTGAGTATGTCATCAACCAAGGAATCTCACCTACTCTTCTCTTCTCGTTAGATGATCTCCCTGAGTGGCTCTTCAAGGACTATCGTGATATTTATGTCTTCTATGGGTTTCTTTATCAAGTGGGGGTCTTCATCTCAAGGTCCTCCACCTTGTTTGGTTTCAGGTGTCGCCAGCTATACATGCTAACATTACTTCAATTTGTTAATGTTATTCTTACGATATTTCAAGCCCTATTCGATCGACCATTCTTCCGCCTATGGCAGATGTCGTTACTTTTTCTTTATGAGGGCTTACTTGGTGGTTTACTGTACGTTAACACATTTATGCTGGTGAGCGAGCAAGTTTCACAAAGCTCAAGAGAATTTGCGATGGGCTGCGTAGGAATAAGTGACTCATTTGGAATCATGGTTGCTGGTTGTGTAAGTTTATGGCTCGAGCCAGTGCTTTGCAAACATCAAGTGGGGAATGGTAGAGATTGGTGTCTTAAAGGGACGACCTCTATGCGCTAGAACAATTACAGATTCAAGGTGCATTATCAGTATCTCAAACTGAGTGTCCCGATCATGCGTCTAAATGCGGCTTGTGACACCCTCGACACATGTGATCGGGAAAGCCCAACAGTCAGAATATTCTGAAACCTTGATCAAGTACCATAGCTTGTACCTCAAATAAACTCATGAGCAAAACTTTTTTATTATATTTGGAAATACCTAATGTTGTAGCAGTCTTATTGCCAAAGCCAGATACTTAAACCCACAATGTGTGCGCATCATATTCAAATTTCTTGAACAGGCAAAAATGTCAGCTGTGGGGTCGCGAATGTTGGGCTTCGATTTTACCTTTAAATACTCGAGTAGCGCAACCTATATTGCCCGCGCTTAATACTTACAATCATGGCAGACGAAATCGCTAATTCGGACTTCGATGTAAACATTCTCGAGAATGCTTTAACAGAGCCAAACTTAGAGTTATCCTTCCCTTTACCCACAGATAAGGAGACTTACTTAGAATTGGAAACGAACGACAAAGTGAGCAACAGTTTCAGTATCTTGAAACATTTTATCAAATTCTTTAGCTCGGTCAATTATGACGACATTTACTCCAATGCCGAGTACAAGTATGCCGTGAGCAAGATTGGTGGTAAATTCAATCGGATGTCGAAGGAATTCATGACCGAGAGATTAGAGAATACCGACGAAAAATTGGATGAGATAGTTTACAAATTAGTCGATCTGGAACTCAAAATGAATCTTATCAAGGCAAAAGATTTTCTGAAAAGATTTGCCGAGGTGAAGAAGTTCATGATCAGATACTATTCAGCTGAAAACGATAAGAACCTTCCTAAGTTCGGCTCACCAACATTTTTGAAAATTTGCTATATAACTGTCATCAAAACGGTGAAAAAGATGTTTCCACAAGGCGTTTGGGTTAATCGAGAGCAGTTGAGTTCTCTTTATCAGAAGTACTTGGCTAACCCAATGTCCATCATTCTTCTTCCCAATCATCAATCGCATATTGATTATGTCATGTTGCACTTGATCTTGATTCGCTTTCAAATGTCTATTCCAACAGTTATTGCTGGAGAGAACTTAAATGTTGCAATCTTTGGCCGAATCATGAAAGGTTTGGGAGGAATATTCATCAAGAGATCATTCAACAATGAGCTATACACTGAACGAAACTTGACCAACTATGTTGAATTTGTTCTCTTGAATCGAATTCATTTTGAAGTTTTCATCGAGGGAACCCGTTCGAGAGACGGAAAATTACTTCTTCCAAAATACGGAATTCTCAAAACTCTTGTGTCCATTTATTTGAAACAGCGTCGACAAGAAAAGAATGAAAATTTTGACATGTTGATGCAACCAATATCCATAACCTACGAGCGTATTTACGAAGCTGATGGTTATCTTGACGAATTGATCGGTAGCGATAAAAAGCAAGAGAGTTTCGTAAACATTTTATCAAACGGACTTTCTAATTTAGTTCACGGGGTGGACAGAGATGATGAGAAGGTTACTGTTATGAAGGATGGGTTTGTCACCAACGCAAATCGTACATTGCATGGCAAGATCTTCGTCAAATTGGCAGATAGTTTTACACTCTCGTCGTATGTCGAGGACCCGAAGAATCGAGTTGACTATGATTTCGAAGATGATGTTTCGGTTTCCGAGCAAGATATCAACTTGAAGAAACTTGGATTCAAGATTCTTCACGCTATCAATGGTGCTTCTTATCTTCCCGAGTGTGCCATTATTGGTATGGTGATTCAAACGTTCCACTATATGTCAGGAAAAACAGAGTTCAACGCCAAGGAGCTTTTGCCCATGCTTGACTTCTTATTGAACGTTTATCAAGAGGAAGACATAAGTCCCACAAACTCGAAAATTTTAACAGCCATTCAACAATTGAATGAAGAGCAAAAGATAGCACTCATCAAATCCCAAATTATCTCCTTCTTCAAATTCACAAGAGTCAATCCTAAGACAAATGTCGTCAGAATCGAGAACTCGTTTGAATTACTTTACTACAAGAACCTTACCATCCATTTATTAATTTACAAGTGCTTGGTATCCTTAATTTTGCTCAAGACACTGGACCGCATGCAAATAAACAAGCTATTTTACATTTTCACAGGGTTTTTGAAGAATGAATTCTTGTTTGACTACAACTTCAATCCGAAGAACAATTTGTCTTTTATTTTGGAGAGATACGAGAAGCTCGGTGTTATCTCAGAGGATCTTCAAATAAAAGATAAACACTTTCATAATGTTCTCGCTACAATTATTTTGCCGTTCATTGAGTCCTTTATGATATGTGTGGATGAACTCAACAGTACTGTCGTGAAGTTCTATGCCAATTCCCAAAATAAGATCACGGAGCAGCAACTAATCAGTGACAACTTGATGCTGAAGGATTACCCGACTACCAAGTCTTTGCTTAAGATTATTCAAAAGGAGAACATGAGGATGTTTGAAAGAGGTAATCTGCATTTCCATATCGAAACTTACAACAAGCAATACTTGTTGTCGTTTTTATTTTACTTGAACAACTTGAAATTGATCAAGATTTTCAAAAATAAGTCGAAAACAAAGGCTTACGTCATCATTCGAAACCTGCGGGACTTAAAATTCATCTTAAGCTTCTTACAACGCTTTATCATGCGCAATGAAGTGGACAACATTTCACTCAATTACATGATTGACATTGTCGATAAGAACTTTGAAAGAGATGCCAACGAGTACAAGGCAAAACTTTAGATACTTAAAAGAAAATTTCGCTTGACTTGGCTCTTCGTTGAGGCCCACCGTTGAGTACATTTTCTAAGTAAATACTTTATTTTAGATCGAGAGAACTTAAGGCGGTAGAAACTCAGTGTTCACAAGACGGGCAGGGCGTTCCTAAATCGTGAGTTGCTGCGCCAAAGTGATGAAGAGTATGCTTCAACTTATGAAGCTATATAACATGGAAGACCACAACAGCCTTCAAAAATACCTGAATATAATAGTATTCAGCGGCATTAGAACTCAAAGCAAAAAAGGTCACTTCGAAGCTATGCTCAAATTTCCTGAATCATTGGTGCCTGCAACGCTGCAAGCTGTCTAATAGGGAACTTTTCCGCTTGTGCTGTGATGACGAATCAATCCTACCTATTATTCTCGCGTCATTCATCATCAAAACATTTTCAAAGGATCTTGTCTCCCGTTTTCGCCAGGTTCGTTTGCTTCAATAGGCGGATACGTGACACCCAATGAGGCTGTTGTGCGTAAGGCGTATAATTTTTTCCGCACTTCCCCTATTATTTTCCCTAGTCAACCATCCGAGGTAACATGATCGCGACCTAAACACCACATCTTCTTTCCCTTGCTTCGCCAGTTTAACGTCGAAACCGCGAAATCCCACTTATTCGTGTTCCAAACAAGCCCATACCATAGAACAACATCCAGGCAACGTGAAGCTTGACGAGATTAGGTTAGATGAGAAAAGAATTGAAATATATCCTATGGGGCCACGCTGCCGTGATAGCATTTCTAGTTTATTGCAGCTACGATTTGATAAGTTTACTATTTGATGACTCCTTTCAAGATGCTTTGCTTGACGTAGAGTTGAATCCAACAGAGAACCGTTTTGACAAACCAAACGTTATCCCTAAGATCATACACCAAACCTACAAGGATGAGCATATCCCCAAGCTATGGCAACCAGGTCAAAAGGCCTGCGTTGAAATGCATCCAGACTACCAATACATTTTGTGGACTGATGACACTGCAAGGCAATTTATCGCTCAAGAATTTCCTTGGTTTCTTCTGACGTGGGACTCATATCCTTACCCTATTCAGCGCGCAGATGCCATTCGCTATTTCGCTCTAGCTCATTACGGTGGAATTTATATCGATTTAGATGACGGTTGTGTGCGCAGATTGGACCCTTTATTGACGGTACCAGCTTTCGTCAGACAGACGGTGCCCACGGGAATTTCGAATGACGTTATGGGGGCTGTGCCAAAACACCCATTTTTCATAAAGGTTCTTGACAGCCTCCAAAAGTACAAGAGAAATTGGTTGGTGCCTTACATAACGATCATGTTCTCGACAGGACCATTATTCCTTTCCGTGATGCTTCAACAGTACAAAAGGTATGGCGTCCCAGAGGCAGCGAAGGTGAGGATCTTGCTACCCAAAGACTACAAGACCCATGTCTTTTCTTTCTTTGCAATTTCGCCAGGATCACTGTGGCATCTTGACGATGCAAAATTTGTGAAGTCGCTAGCGAATCATATCGGCTTAGCAGTTTTTGGAGGATTCGTCATTGCTAGTTTGTTCCTCCTTTTGGAATGGTGGTTTTATCAATGGTGTGTACACACTAACTTTACTAAAAGCTTCGAAAGGTTGCAAGCAAAGTTGAAATGGTCGAGTCGTGGCAAGAAGAGGTCAAGAAAAGACTCCAATCTTCCGCTTCTGATTTCCGTCAATAAAGGTGATACAGTGGTTTGAGCCACAAGTATATAATGACTTCTCAATTTCTTAGTTTAGAAATGATTCACGATACCAATACCACTATTTACAATGAACGTAAACTCTCGCTAAAAGGAGATATTTATGAAGACTTTTCCTTATTCTTGACAAGTGAGCCATATACTGACAAGCCTGAAGTGATCATACCGCTAAGATCGTTGATATTCGCAGGAAGAACCACGGTATTAGAGTCTTTCGCAATTTTTCCAAACTCTTTGATGTAGTCTTGTGCAACTTGAAGACTGGCCGCATCTTTGCCGCCCTGAGTACCACTGATGGAATTTGCTATACGCTCAATACTCATGGCAGTAGACTCCGCCTTCAATATAGCAGCTTGCTTTTCGCCTTCGGCAATGTTTATTCTTGCCTGTCTTGTTCCCTCTGATTCAAGGATTTCTGCCCGCTTGGCTCTATCTGCGCTAACCTGCCTATGCATTGCATCCAAAACGTTTTGAGGCGGATGAATGTCTCTTATCTCGTAACGTAAACATTCAACGCCCCAATGATCCCTTGCGGCCTCGTTAATAGTGAGGTTTATATTTGTGTTTAGCTTTTGTCTTTCTTTCAACACCGAATCAAGATTCATAGAGCCAATCTCAGATCTCATGGTGGTTTGAGCCAACTGGCTGATAGCGAATCTAAAATCCTCCACTCCGTAGGAGGCCTTGTAGGGATCGAGTACTTTAACATACAAAATTCCATCGAGTTCAAGGGATACATTATCAGCTGTAATGGCATTTTGAGAAGGAATTTCGATCGCTGTTTCCTTCAATGACTGAACATAGGTGATTTTGTCGATAAATGGAACAAGTATTGCCATTCCAGGCTTGAGCACCTTCAGAAATTTGCCCATTCTCTCAACAACGTAAGCTGTTTGCTGAGGAACGAATTTCACGATGGTATTAGCTGGCAATCTTGTCCGCTGAAAATAGTTTAAAGCAGGCGAGGTGCTCTTAAATCCATTGAGTGTACTATACCTTCTCCATACTGGGAGGCTTGGCTTGCGAGGAAGTAAAGAAAGCATTAACCTTGTTTGATACGTGCAATGCGTTCTATTTTGTTCGAAAGTCTTTAAATGCAGGATGATACACTTTCACATTGGAGAAGGAACTTTTGAGCAAATATGCTTTTGAAGGCTTGGCCTTGAAATTTATTCGCTACTCATTATCTTCCTACCCTTGACTTAAAATCGATAAGACGCTTTTACAATGACGCTACGTTCATTCGGAATTTTAAAATGCTATTGTTTGCATGATGTATCACGTGAGTGATTCTTTTAGCATTAGTTCATCGCAACGCCTGAGCTGAGCCCGTCGTCATGAAGAACTTTGATGTCATTGCTAATCAAAGGTCTGTCTTCGCGGAATGCCTAAAAAATAACTTTCGTCTTAATGGGAGGAAGCTCAAACAGATTCGGGAGCCAAAGTTGCATATTTCATCCTCCGAATATGGCTTTGTAGAAGTTGAATGGGGGTTTACACGGCTCGCCGTCAGGGTTAGCGCAGAGGTCTGCAAACCATATGAGGATCGGCCCTTTGAGGGACTCTTTTCGATAAATACTGAATTGAGTCTGATGCCATGTTTGTCGTTCGAAAACGGTAAGGCATCGGATGAAGAGGTGCTTGTCTCCAGACTCATCGAAAAGGCCGTCAGAAGATCAAATGCTTTAGATCTCGAGAGCTTGTGTATTGTGGCAGGTGAGAAGGTCTGGAACATTAGGGCGGATATCAACTTCATCGCAGATGATGGTGGTCTCATCGATGCATCCTGCTTAGGAGTTATGACAGCACTACAACATTTCAGGAAACCTGACATCTCCATTCGAGGAACTGAGGTGATCATTCACAGTACAGAAACACATCAGCCTACGCCATTGAGTATATTGCATATCCCGCTTTGTACGACCTATTCCTTTTTCAATCCCCTTGGTGACGCAGAAAACATCAAGGGTGACTCAACCAGCGAGATTGCCATTTTGGATGCTGATAAAGCCGAGGAATTGCTTAGAGATGGCTCTTTAGTTTTCACCATGAATATGAATCGTGAATTGATTCAAATATCGAAAAATGGCGGACTTCCAATTGATGGAAGAGTGCTATTAGAATTAGCAAGGGATGGTCTATCTTCTATCGATAAGCTCACAAAATTAATGAAAGATGCATTGAACAAAAATTTCGAGACCAGATATCGTTCCGAAGGACTTCAATTGTTGGAAGTCGGCGCAAAGCGTTAAGTACGACTTTTAAAGAATGAATCGAGCGCTCCTTTGCCCACAGCAACTTTTGATTCTTTTTTGCGAGGAGCTTTTGTTTTCGCTTTGATGCGGGGAGTGGTGACAGTTGTATCTTGAAGATTATCACTCTCATTTTGTGATTTCACTTTTTTCAAATAGCTCGCAAGTTCCTCAGATTCGTATCCTAAGGCACCTAGCATTTCATTTCTGTCTGAGGTATTAAAGTAGGAAACCATGATCATATCTGTAGCAAAGCGAAGAGTTTGCGCCTCTAGTATCCTTTGTGGTGGCTCCTCCTGTGAGATAAGAGACGATCGGATGGCCTTATATAAGCTCAAACTCTTCTTCGCAATAATATATGCCGCAAGCTTTTCGATTTTATCTTTCAAAAATAGACGTAATTGATCTTTGGAATACTTATAAAAAGTTTGGCCCCCTTCCTCAATAGCTTTACACAAGATGTCTAAAGAACGGTTGAATTCACTCTCGATTTTTTCATTCCAGCCGCTTATCACATCTAGATCTAAAAGTTGGTCTTTCAAATCTGACGCGTCTTGGAAACGAGATGAGAAAGTGTTTTGACTATTGAAGATGCCTGCAAAGAAATATGTCATGTTGAATCTTGTCACAACCAAAATTCGGGGGTCTTGTAAGACAGCTCCTTGGTGGTTGGCTATCTCAAGGAGAATAGATTTTACGGGTTCCGAAAAGGGCGTTTGAGGAGCTGCCACTGAATCATAAGGGCTGCTGCCAACAATATTCACCACTTCGAAAACTCCCTCATCAGCCGCTAAAATGCTTCTTGTTTTACCTCCAGATTTGATTGCAAATATGTTCGCCACACCTATATCTTGGGGCACAATTAAAATTTTGTTTTCTTCGTTATTCATTTACTGGCTGGCTGAAGGTATATTAAAATGTAACTAGTGACTACTGTGCGCGCTGAAGTGCGCGTGAAAACGCAATAGCTATAGGCCCACCCATGATCGTATTAGTTCACGAATTGCATTCACACTCGCGAGTATAATCATAATGGTTCCAAATATGCTAAAACTCAAAGAGCTCATCGATGCAGCACGCGGGTCAACATTCAAGAGGTGTGCCGTTGCAATTGCCCCGCAATTAATTCCCAAAGTGACGCCTCTCGTTAAGTAATCCTCCGGAGACACCTTTAACAAGCTGAAAAATGGGTCACCAATTAAGACCCCAAGAATCCCACTTAGTATGGTGCAAACAGCCATTAAGGAGATAGAGCCACCTAATGCGGTTATGAGTGGTGTTCCTAGTGCCAAAGTTACCAGTCGCCCGATGAAACCAATAGATCGTTCAGGATTTATCCCAATATGATAGCTAACGAGTGGATAACAGAAAAAAGTAAGGGCCATTGAGGCTAAAATTGTTGGCATTAAGATCCAAAAGTTGCGAATAAAGTCTCTCTTGTGTGTGAACATTGGCAAAGATAGAGAGACGATTGAGACATCCATCAACGATGATAATATATCCCCACATCCAGGCCAGAGAGGTACAGCTGTGAAGTTTTCTTCAAGGCTAGTATTATATTCGCCGTTATTGTACATTCTCTTACCGTTGAAAAGACGTAGATACGTCTTCCCGGTTTTGTAGTACTTGAGATCATCTAAAAATCCTTTGGGCGACCCCTTATGATATATGAGGGATCCGATGAAGCAGACGAACAATATTTCTGCCGTTGATATCAAGATGGGGTGTGCAAACTTCTTAAGCTGTGGTATTTTAACAGGTACTAGCAAAGCAAGGTAAAATGACAAGACGGTGATGCTTAGATGATAGAAGAGCATCACATGTAGACTCCTTGAGTAATAAAGTGGCAAGGATATTATGAAAAGGACAACAAATAAGAACCAGTCAATGTAATTAGTCACGAACAAAGTGACCTTCTTGGATAGATCCGAAAGGTGTGCGAGGGGATCTTCGCCAGAGGCTTCTGGTGGAGTTCCCGTGGCAGAGAAGATATTATCTCTGGACGTGATCTCAGAGGATGATTGTTTATCAGGAGAGAAGCTTTGAGGAGTAGTCAGACTTCTTTGTAGGTTGTTTGGTTCCGCAATCGTGTTCATGAAAGGATTGTCGGAAATATCAGAATTCTGAGGCTTGGATTCTGGTGCTGTTCTTGTAGATCTAAGGTTTGAGACATCAATTGTGGTGATATCAACTCTTGCTGATATATAGGACCTGGAATCCGAGAAAATATCTCTCTCATCGGAATCTTTTTCTTCATCAAGCTTTGTTGAATCGGGACTCTGAGAGTCGTTGTTTAAGACTTTCTCATTATCAAAATGTCCAAGATGACACGCGTTGAGAATCTTCTTCAACAAACAAATAGAATAGACATCGAACAACATAAGTGCAACACCGCCTACAAGAAATACTGCGGCAATCTTCAAACACTCTATGAAGGTAATATGGTCACTCAACGGAAGGATCACAAACGATGGAATGAAAAATACATTTATCCATTTGAGGGAGAAGTTCATGCTCGGCTGAATTATCATCAAGTACTTTTCCAATACCCAAGATGATACCTCCCCTACCAGGATCACCCAGCGCAGCTTCGAATTAGCATCTGCGTCCCGAAAAGATGCAAGATAGTCAAGGATACACAAAAAGATCAAGTTGATCAACATCCCCAAGACCGACGCCGGGAACTCAATTTTGAAGATATCAGAAAGAAGGACATTAAACCCGTAGAGGATTGTGAATAGGATGACGATACCAATGGGAATGATAATGTAGGAGTGAACTAGGTGATGATGCGAATATCGTAGCCCATATAAAATTCCTGAAAATATTTCTATGGTGTAACGCTTGATGGACGAACTCATATTAGGACTGTTGTAGGGAGTGAAACGTTCTGTCGTGCGGGAGGACTTTAAGGACGCCTTTTCCGCGGAACAAGGTGAAGCAAGGGTAAAACACCATATCACCACTATGAAAGGCCTGGAAAAACAATCTTTCCAGATCTTTGCTGAATCTTTTTGGGGATGATTGCTGCAGTCAAAGTTATGTAAAATAGAAGGAGAGAAAAAAAGGGAGTGGATTCACAGTAGGTATGATCCCAATGAAAATGAGCTGATGTATTGTTAAATACTGAGAAATGTGATGACTCTCACAATGTTGATCAATGGTTGGAATTATGTTTCTTTCCTCTCAATGATATCTCTATGTTCCTCCTTTGCATACCTCAAGCCGCAATAGCCACAGGTCGAAGCCTTAGGTTGGTCCAAGTTGATGAAAATTTTGGGATGACCTTGTAAAGTAGAGCCTTTATTGCCGTCGCATACAGCGATGTTATCATGAGCAATGTATCTGATAGGCTCTTGGGCTATCAAATCAATAGCAGCGTAAGGTTGAGGTTGTTCAGCTAAGTCTCTCTGAACAAACCTTACTGCGTTTTTTGAAATAGCTTCATCTCTTGGCTGCTGACTTGGAGTCCAGGGCTTTACTTCATTTGGTGCTTGAGCTGCATTAGGACTTCTTTGCAACTCTTCCTTGGAGAGGCCAGTGACGGTTTTTTTTGTAACTGGTGTGGCCAACGTCTGAAGCTTTGGGACAGATGTCGTAAATGCCCTCCTTGACAATCTAGTTAGCATGTTGTTTGTGTATGTCAAGCAAGTGAAGTACAAGAGTCGTCTCAGTAAGAAAAAATTGGTTAATATCATTGGTTATATGCAAATCCTGTACATAATACAACTTACAGAAGTCAAGATCGAACTATTCATTTATTCAAAACGACCAGAAAAACAATCGGATGGACCTAGCTTGGTTTAAAGTAATCTAAATGGCTAGAAACCTTCCTTACAATCAAAAATGCTTCATTGAAGATGTCGATGTGAAAGCGTGAGCTAAATGACTTACAAGACCACACACTTCTTCTTCTTCTCCTTCTTCTCTCTGGTCAGCAATGAGGCTCTGGTGGCAGTCTCAAAGACCTCCCTCACACCCTGACCAGTTCTTGCAGAACACTCCAAGTAGTATTGAGTGCCGATCTTTTGAGCCACTGCTTGACCCTCGGAGGTAGAGACAGGCTGTTGATTCTCTTGTGACAACTGCTTGATTGTGACGGGATCGTTCCTCAAATCAACCTTACATCCCACCAAAATGATGGGGACACCCTGGCAAAAGTGCAAAACCTCGGAGATCCATTTCTCCAAAACGTTGTCCAACGAGTCAGGTGAGTCAATAGAAAAGCAAATCAAGATAACATTCGAGTCAGGGTACGACAACGGTCTCAATCTGTCGTAATCTTCTTGGCCGGCGGTATCCCAGAGAGCCAACTCGACCTTTCTTCCATCCACTTCAACATCAGCAACATAGTTCTCGAAAACAGTAGGCACGTAAACCTCTGGGAAAGTTCCCTTGGAGAAAACGATCAAGAGACAGGTCTTACCACAGGCACCGTCACCGACAATGACTAGCTTTCTGCGAAATTCAGCTGGAGGTGGGACCATTCCTTTGGTTAGTAAAATGTTAGAAATACAATGTAGTGATTATTATAATAGAAATAATCAGCAAAAGAAAGAAAGACATTGGCTTGAAATCGTGGTATCATTGTCAAAGTGAAAGGGTACGTACTTGTTATGCTTCTTGGTAATTTGGAAAGTTAGCGTTGCCTTTTAATTCAGGTTAGTGAAAGATTGTGTAGGTGGCAAGGAGTAAGTCTAACGGAGCAATTAAATCTATCGTTTATGAAAGTGGACGATCAAATTTATGTTGCGTAGTCAGAGAGTTTCTGTTGATTCTTTTTTTTTTTTCCTGGATTTCCACTCAATCAAGGGAGGTGTCAAAAAGGCACGGGTGTAATCCGACGACCGTAAGGCCGCGTACCGTCAGGAGGTAGGGCGCTCAGCCTGGCAGCGCGAAGTGTGATTAAGAAACAATAACATTCTGTTACAACTGGTATATACCAAATCACTTGAACAAAATGAATACGGAATTTGGATGAATGGAGAACACGGTTAGTCCAAATCTAAGTATGTCGCAAGATTTTTAAGCTTATCGAGAAGAGTGCATTTGGAATTGTTTGTCGATTGATCACCATCTAGTCTACTGAAGAGTGCTTTTTCGATTTGTGCTTCTAAATTTTCATTTCCAACCCAGTGTTCTATGTTTTGCACGCCGTAAGTCTGGCTGCTAGTTTATCTTCATATCACGCGAGGGGGCTTGTTGCGCCCGCACATGAATTGCAAGAAACGGCCTTGTCCTTTTCATAAGCCTATGCGCCTTGAGCGTCGCTATCGGCTTCTATCGTCGCTTCATTCTGATTGTGAAGTTTTCGAGGAGGGAGAACAGAATTGAAAGCCTTTTCCCAGTCCTTCTGTTGCTCAAACCACATGCACATGATCTCATAAACATGCGATGTAGCCAAAACTTGTCTTCCGTTCATCTTGATGAACTTTCCGATGGGTAGTCTGGCAACTTTGAGACCAAGCTCTTTTGCCTTGTCTAAGCAAAGCCTCTTGTGGCGATTTTTATCTACGATACCACCAATAATGTAAGTTTCGCCAACCGTCAACTCCTCTAGCTCATTCTCTGTATCTGCTGTAAGGTATGTGACTTTTGAAGGTTCATAGCCTTTTTTTGAAATAAAATCACTTAAGGACGCATCCCCCTCGAACTTGATGTTCTTCCATTTCGAATGATCTGGTAGCGTATTCTCAAAACGTTCTCTCAAACGTTTGTTGAAAGAAGTGATTGTAAGAGGGACCTCGTGAGTTGAATGCCTCATGGCTGAGTAGCACCTTGTGATCTGGTTACTCAATGATACGATCTCTTTGTCGCTCATGAGATCATCAAAGTCACAGTCCATGACAACCTCGACATTCGTGGGTTCTTGGCTTTGTGGTAACGGTTTCTTTGTATGTGCTTGTTCATCGCTCTTCTCATCTCCAACAAACATTTTCTTTTCTGCTTTGCGTCGCCTGGCCGCTAGCTTTTTCTCCCTGCGTTTTACTTTCCAATCCTCCTTCAGATCCTCCCATCGCTTCCGCTTCTGCATCTTTTTCCATGCATTCTTCGATATTCCATCAGGTATCTCCGGTTTTAAGTGTTTGCATTGTGTTTCTGGGGAGGACATTCTGATTTCCGGGAATCCAGAGTGAAGTTCTTTTCACCCGCGAAACGAGATGCGATCAGCATAGCATAGCGCGAGGTCTTCAAAGATCTAACATATCCTCAAAAGGCATTTCACTAAAAATATCAAAACGGTTTGCCATTTCCATATCGTACCCAGTCCTGTCCACCTCATGCAAACTGTCACCAAGATTAGAGCCGTTTGTTTTGTGAGTCTGACTAGTCATATCATCCAAATCCCACGACAGTGGAAGTGGCGCCTTCGAGGTCAACGGGGTGTCTTGCAAATTTCCAGTCAAACTTGTATTGTGTTTGATGGAGAGAACTTGTAACCATATTTTGTCAATTTCTGCATTTGTAGAAGTCTTGTCAGGCGTATTAATTGGAGTACTTATGCTCGTAGATATACTGCCTGTTGGCATTTCATTGCACCGGTAAAGATCCTCCTTCATGTGTTTGGCAAATCCGTAGGTACAGAATTCGGTATGTGAAAAATCGGACAAGGTTTTTTCACAAATGCCTACCAACTCTCTGATCTGTTCTGGTTTATAACGCGTTGAATAGATTTGAGATGCCTTATGATAATTGTCCTCATAAAACTGCGTCAAAGTAATGGTCTTTAGGAGATAAGTTTGTCCTCGGGTAATTCTCCAGGCATAATAGTAACGGTTACTCAACTTACTAATTGCTGAGATCGTAAATTCGGCAGCCCTAGTAACTGCCGATGACAATTGACACAATAACTGAAAATAGGTAAAGTACGAGCTGTCAACTTTGCATAGTCTCTCATGGTCTTTGGATTGTTTAAGATGAAATATAAGAAAATTGACCCTCACAATAATCGAAAGATTGATCTGATTTGATTTGTGAATTGTCATTTCAAGCGTTGGATTAATAATCATGTCACTTATCACTTCACTTTCTCCCAAAAGTGTTACATAATGAGGCATGATATCTCCTATGGTTGTGAGGAGACTCTTTTTCAAATAGAAGAACGACACATCGAGATCATGTTCCTCATAATGAAGATAAAGATGAAAAAATATCGAAATCAAGAATGACTTGAGAGCAAGATAAACTTTGACTTTCATGTTTCTGTTGGCAACTTCTAGCTCATCCATCCCTGTGCATACAATAAAGTCATTAATGGAGCCAATATCACTGTGCAAGTTTAGCTCGAACTCTGAGATATCTTCGCAAAGTTTAGGTAATGCTGTCCTGCCTTTGATGTTAAGGGCACACTGAAGAATGTTTCGCAATTTCGGACTGAGTTTTAGGCACCAGTTCAATCGATTTGTGCTAGCCCAGTCCTTGGCTTTGTCACGGAGATTTTCACTGCCCGGGTCACAAGCTGGGGGATTTATATCATAGTGCATATCACCAATGGTAATCGGATTTCCAAATGAATAGCTTAGATGAAGGTCCGACGCCACCAAAAAGATCCAGATTTTTCTAATCAAATGATTCATTTTCGGATCGGTGTACTGCTCATCAGGTTCACGATTCATGCCAAGTGAAAACGCAGATTGTATAAGGACAGAATTGAGAACTTGTGAATCACCCCCATCAGCTCCGTCCCCATCCTCAGGAGCATATGTATGATAAAGTCTTAAAAATAATGCTAATTGAAGAACAGTAAAGTTGCTCCTTCTCAAAACCTGAAATTGATCAAGACAAAGACTGGCGACATCAATGGTATTGATGTTGATGGGATTTTTCATCAAATACTGGACGAGCATATTTTCCTTGTTCGGATGAGCATTATTGAGTATGAACTCGTTGAGTGAACTGTTGTTTGAAAACAAGGATAGGTATGCTAATCTTAATATTATAAGTAAGATACCCACAGTAGCCAAATCAAGTTTTTTCTCTATTTTGATGTGGGCGATCGAAACATCTTCGAATGATTGCGGCCCAATGATTCGCTCAAGATCTTGCCTGAAGTAATCCTCGTCAATAAATGGCATGTAAGTATACATTGACTGAAAGAACCTGTGTATCAATTTCCACAAAACCCTTTTCTTGGGTAAGACAACCTCGATCTTTTCAATCAATTGGAGTTCACGGTCCAAACGACCATCGTAAACAGTGAGGCCCAAAGGCAAGGCGTGCTTGTTGAGCAATGCCTTCTGTTTGTGGGCGTTTTGTCGAGCTTGAATAATCGTTTTGTAGGGCATCATATCATCCACTCCATCAGTTTGTAATGCACGCCTCTGGAATTGTTGTTCCAGCTGATCACTATCCTTACCAATGGAAAATAATGTCTCAGTATTTTCGTCCGAGACCTCACCAGTTGGTTGAGCAAACATCAAAGCAGCAGAGTGACCTCTGTTCAGAATCTTTTCCTTTTTAGATACAACGTAGTCCCATACCGTTCTTAAACCAACATCTCTCTTCATGAGTGATGACCAAGCGAAAGGTCCAAAATTGAGTCTTCTCAAATGGTCCTTATAATGAACAGAAGAGTAACCTTCATAAAAATTTATCGTGTCTGATTCTTGAGAGTACAAATTTGTACCAATCAAATATGGCAGATTCCCAATACTGCCTTGGGCTGGAGATTTAAGCTGTGAGGTCTTAACTTGGTTTCTTCCTTGATAGATATCATTACTTGCTAAACTTGGTCTGTTGCCTGTCTCTGGTCTCATGGCCCCTGAATACTCGTAGAACGGTGCTCCCTTTTCTGATCGCATCATCATGAACAGTGAAGTGATGACTTAAGGGCGGAAAGGTGGGGAACCCATTTATATGTTGACCGTCTAAAGAGTTGAACAGTCTAGGCGCAGTGGGTATTGTCAGTGGCGAGTTCTGCTCTTGTTTGGATGAAATCAATGATGGATTCGATGTGGTTGTGGAAGAAATTGTTGATACGAATTGAGTGGCAGGATCCAGAGTACTGCTTCGTTGATCATGATAAACTGAGCGGGCATTGGGGTGAAAAATTGGGTAATTCGGTCGGCCAGCTTGTAGCGACTGTTCTATTTGTTGGATCCGCTCTTTGAGAATTTCGATCTCAGATGGTTCAGAGCCTTGGATCCTTGAAGTGGGTTTACTCACCTCATCTAAGGGTTTTGTACTATATTCATTGATGCGATTGGAATCGGGGTATCGATCGACGTCTCCGTTTTGTATCTTGGAGCGTCTAAAACCGGGATTTTGAGGAACTGTCATTGGAAATTGAATTTCAAAAAAGCCTTCCTTTCTCTCGTCGTCACGTTGAGGTTCATAGGAGCAGGAAGATGCCTGATTAAAACGTGTGCAATTTGAGCATGGACGCTGCTTGTCACATTTGATCTTTCTCTTTCGACAATTCATGCAAACGATGACACCACGAGGACGCCTGCGTTTCACATTTTCTGAAGTATTCGAATCAGTCGGCAGGTTTCGTTTTTGTGTTCGACTGGTGTCAGCATTCATAGGCTTCATCTCTTTTGTAACCATTTCACTCAGTTTCTCGCAACCTCAGTATTTGTCATACATCGCGCGGCGCCTTATCGAGAGGCGCTTTCGGAGATCTCTCGGAATAAACCTCCATTCGTCTTTAGTCCGAGAAGGCGCATTCACTACATTAATACTAGCGAGAGTAAGATTGCGTTCTTTTAAATTGTCCTAGATCAAATCATCGAAGCCTTGCCACAAGACATCATCTACACCATTCTGCTTATGCATCCTTTGGTTTGACATATGAGACCATAGGTGATCGATCTCATCGTTATTGAAGACATCGAAATCATCGAGCATGAATAGATCGAGCTCAAACATGTTTTGGATGTCGGACGAAGTATCCTCCGAGATCGACGGTGCAACTTCCTCTTTAACTAATGCTGTCGATGAGGCAATTGAATTTGTTGATTGTCCGGTTGTTGGGCTCTGTAAATTCTCCTTTTCTGCTTGCTCTGTCCGTAAGACGGACGGAACTTCAACCCTTGAACTTTTTGTTAAAAATTGTTCGACACAAAACTCTTTCAGATTTTCTGCTATCTGCCTCTCCAAAAACTGCACATTCGTCTTCAATATATCAATCAACTCTTGCAACTGGAGTGAGTTCAAGTTGTGTGGACCTGCGGCAGCCCATGGTTTGGAGCTCGCGTATCGGTGGAAATTTGCATCACTCAGTGCATGCATGAGCTTTTGATGGCTTTTGAACACCCGCCAAGCGAAGTAATACCTATTACTCATGATTGATTCGGCAACAAGACAAATTTTTGATAGTTTCTCGAGAAGCACAACAAGCTTGCAAAGTTTTTGAAAATGGGTAAAATATTCAGGATCGGTAAGCTTTGCTTGGTGGTTAGGTAATTGTCTTTCTCTGAGTATGTAACTGCTGCTTGCTGTAATGGAGGAGATTATAACCTCATTCACGCGGTATAACGCATCAATGATGAGTGGATTCATCCATACTGACACACCCTCGCCAAAAATCTCTTCTAACTTTGTGACAAATGTAGGAATGACCGGTAGAATTTCGTTAATCGAGAAGAATATCATCTTCTTGTAGTAGTATGAAAACAAAGAAACATTATTTTTGTCTCTGTAATATGCAACCAAATGGCACAGATTTGTTAAAAAAAATGAGTTGAGTGATAGCAACAAAGCGCACTTCACTAGCTTTCCATAGGAATAAGAAGCTTTTTGAATCTCAAGTGGCCCTAAATAGTCTCTTAGATTTCCCAACACACTCCCAGAGCTTGTTTCAATCTGGTTCAATAAGGAAGTAAAGTGAGGTAAAGAAACTGGACTCTTCACATTAAGAGTGAGATCTATGAGGTTCCTCATGGCTCCCCCTGAAAGTATGTCACTGAAGTTTAGGACTCTTGTGACAGAACGATCCAATTCCTTGTCAAATATATTCTCGTTGTTCTCTTCAAGAAACGGTAGCTTTGTATCACCTAAAGATGGATTTGTGGAGATCGGATTTCCATAGCGATATCCTTGAAAGACATCGCTGACATTGAGGTGAGTCCAAATCTTCCGAATAAATTGGGCTTGCTTTGGATTAACTGATCCAGGGTACTGAGTGGGGTCCCTATTGATACCCAATATGTAAGCAATTTGCACCAGTAGACTATTGAAGATTTGGGAATTCGACCCGTTGCAGTCATCACCTTCCTCTGGTGCAAGATAGCTATATGTTCGAAGAAAAAGCGTGAGTTGTAACAATGGAATATTGGTTATTTTTTGAAATAGCATCTGATGAAGACATCGGTGACCGAACTCGATGCAATGGAGATTGACAGGATTTTTGAAAAGGAATCTTAGCTCTTCGAGCTTTGGATCATTTGAATTGAGGATCACCTCGTTCGCACTGACCCTATTCGAGAATAGGGATACGTAACTAAAGCGTATCATCACCAACAAAACACTGATGTTGATAATATCAACCTTGCTCTTTAAACAAAATTTAACTTCCAGATCTTCGAAGCATTCTTGACCTATGATTCTTGATATTACTTGACGGAAATCATGTTCGTCAACATAGGGTGCAAATGGATAAAGGTAAGAAAAGTAGCGTCGAACTAGAAGCCAAACAGTTCGCTTCTTTGGGATCATTTGACGCAACTGCTGGATTAGTCTGATGTTAAATTCGACATCATCCTCATATAACATCAATCCGAGGGCATTTGCATCTGTTGATTGAAGCCAAGATTGAGCCTGTGATTGCGGTGAATGAAATGTAGAAGGGATTCGTTTCGAGGGCAATTTTTGTTGTGCTTCTTCGTCGTAAAGACCTGCTCTATTCATGTTCGTTCGAGCTTTTACTTGGGCTGTATCACCAAAAGATGTTTTTTTGGTTTCTTCAGATACCGTCTCATCCCCCACAAACTCTAGCAAGCGCATGAGCCAAAAGTCCTTCTTTTGCAAATTCCTCCACGAGAATGCACCGTTATGGTCGATCCGTGTTGAATAACCGTGATATTCCAGGGTAAATAAATCAATTAGACAGAGACGTTCGCCATATTCCTGAAAAGGATTCACTCCAAGGAAATCATTCTTTACCAACTTCGTAACATGTGGCTCGAATCTCACCTGTTGAGCACCCTGGGTCTCATAGAAGATATTACCTGGTGTCAGGCCATCATGAAGTGGTGTTTGAACAAGTCCAACATTAGCATTGAATGCTTGGTGGCCCAGGTTTCCAACTGTGATGGGTGCTATCACTGCCTGAAAGTCGTCAATTGTGGCATCGTGTTCTTTAGCGTATGTGAGCTGATCATACTTTCTTTTCGGTAGTAGAATCATCTCTTCAGTCGATTGACTAAACGACAGCAGAATGTCTGCAAGCATATCTCCGGGCAAGCCGTCATTGGGCTCTTCCGGTTTGATTGCCTTCAAGAGTTTTTGTTTATCCGCCGTTTGAAAATTAAGAGATTCACTCGACTCGGAGAGTGACCGAGGACCTTGAAGTTCTGGTGCCCAAGTTGCTTCGTAAGCACAAGGATGGTCCACTTTCTTGCAGCTCGAGCATGGTTTCTTCTTGTCACATTTGATCTTGCGGCGCTTGCAGCGGTTACATACTAAACTTGCACGTTTTCTTCGTTTAACGGGCGCTGGTGCAGCCATTAGCTCGAATTCTTGCGTTGAGACGTTTTTTTCTGTTATTGGGTTTGGATTTTTTGCCTTTTAGGCTTCTCGGAAGCTGATGATCAATAAATGAAAATAGATGGCGCCTGAGTTATGCTTCTCGGCTAAATGGTTACTCGTTTTTTATGCAAGTTAGCCGTACGTCGACATATGGCCTTTTGATTAAATAGCCAAGCAGATCTGGCGGAAGAACTTTGAACAGTTTCTATCTATAACAATTAACGTTTCTTCGTCAATAACACTGGACTAGTATTGTGGGGGGGGGTTCAATACTGCAGGTACTCATTTGCCTCGTATAGGTCAGCAAGAAGTCTCACGAGCCGCAGCAATATACATCGATCCTAAGCTAGCTTGGTCATTGTTTCCCTAAATTTTACAATTCGAGAGTTTTTCTTCTTGTCTGACCGTTTTGTAAAAGTCGATTTTTTGTTGTCTGAGAATTTAGGGATAGAAGAATATAAGGACGCCTCCCCTCATTTGATCTCGATTGTGCACACTGGGTGGCTGGGGTAGCTCGAGGCTAATTTTTTTGGCATTGCTTTTTAAAGATTCAATTGAACTAAAAGCAGATTTCCAACTTTTGATTTTACAATTCTACTGTGGCAGTCTTCTGACAATTACTAACATGGTGACTTACCTATTTTTTCTGTACTTCATCCTCGCGATATCCCTTTGGGATCTTTCAAGGCAACAGGGATGTGAGATCTTTTTTTCTCGCTTATAGAGCGCGATATCGTTAGTACAGCCTCGATCCCTTCAAGAGAATATACTTTTGCGTAAAGGGGTCTTTTGCTCCTGAACCTGCATTAACCGATTATCAACAGTTATCGCAATTTCGTAGACTTGTCTGCTCGTATCTCATGAGTGGGATATTCATTTGAAGGGCGCATACTTGTGGCAGCCGAAACAGCAAGACATCTGCCATTTACATAGCAAAAAAGCTAGCATCATACTGCACCGTACTGCTCACGGCTATTCCCTAAAAGTGCCTCTGATCCACCAGAATTAGTGTTCTTCGACACGGTGCTTGCTTCGTCATAATCCTTGCTTTCGTTGTAAAGGAAAAATTGAATAAATATAGTGAAGTCGAGAGCCAACGTTCCAAGAGAACCAGCCAACCATGACAGATTGACCCACACATAATTCCACGAAGTATCTATAGCAAGAATGGAAATGACATAGGTCAAATTCCCCAAGCATGCGAATAAGAAAAACATGAACGAAATTCCTTCGCATGACTTACGCTCATAATTGAGCAAAATCTGAGGTATACGTGAACCAAGGTAGAAGACAGCACAAAGCCAACCGAAGAACTGAGCCAACGGATCGAACACAAGATCAACAGGGGTCTTATGCTTGCGTGAAGTATTGGCGTAAGAAATGTACCAGCCAGCAAGGCCAGCCATAAAGACAAGCAAGACCATCAAAAACTTGAAGAAGGCAGCCATGCGAGGACTCACGTTCAGGAAAGAAGAAATGTGATCCGTTTCGCTCGTGGACTGAATATCAGTTTCCTCAATATCTTGGGCTCTATCACCTGACAAGACAGTTTCAAGAACATCGTCATTTATGGGGTTAGCGGGCGATAAATGCACGTAATCGGGGTTCGACTTACCATCACCGTACATAATGCACTGAACCCATAAAACAATGTCCGCTAAAGTGTAATAGATAGCAAGAATGATCATTGTGGGAAGTACGCCTTGAAGCACAGCTCCAAGTACGTTAAAAATATCTCCAGCCAACCATAGGATGATGAACATCATGGAAAGACCTTCCGATGACTTCCTACGAAAATTTTCGTAAATTTGGGGAGCAAAAACGATGATCCAACATGCTATGGATATGGAGCCTGTAATTCCTGAGATGGCTTGAGCATCTATGACTATGGGCGGCGGAGGAGCCATGCTAAATGTATTCTAATTGCTGAGCGGAATAGAGTAGCTTGGTGTTGGAACAGGCATATAGAGGTGACTCTTTGAATGTCACGTGAGCCATATCACGCTGCACGGCATTTTTTGGGGTAGCGGCTTCTAGAAACTATTGATAGCGCGGTATATTATACTATTATAATTTACTTGCAGAATCAAGTGGACCTTCGTTGTAAAGGGATGTGATCACATCATCGAAAAACTTTGAGGCTAAAGCTCTCTTCAACTTCATTGTTGGTGTAACCACATTGCGCTCCACTGTTAACGGATTGATATCAAAGAAAACATTCCGTGCTCTTTCGATACCGTTGGTGAAGTTTGCAACATTTTTGTTCATCAAAGCCAAGAGCTTTTGTTTGTGTGTAGGCTTGTTTATCTCAGTTATCATTTCGAGAGCATTAAGTCCCGCACGCTGAACAAATTCGTGTCCAAATGGTTCGTTAATCCCCACTATAGCAATAGTGTAGTCCCTAGATGGGTGACCATGAACGTAAACTTGCGTGATGAAAGGATTCTTTGACAAATACAAATTCTCAATCTTTTCTGGTGAGATGTACTCGCCATGTGCAAGCTTGAAGAAGTTTTTGACTCTGTCAATCACATAGAGTCTTCCACTCCTCAACTCGACCACATCTCCAGTGGAGAACCAGCCCTTTCGATCGATGTCCTTGGCAGTTGCTTCAGGATTCTTGAAATATCGTTCGAAAACCTGAGGGCCACGAACTAGGAGCTCTCCTTTATTCTCTTTAACGTGATAGCCCATCTCAGTACGATCTTGAAGTTTATACTCCACAGAAAGACCTCCCACACCGCATGATCCAGGCTCTGCCTCATAGATCAAACTTTGCGTCATGGCTCCAAAAGTTTCCGTAAGGCCATACATCTGAGAGACACCAATGTCAAGGGAACCTTTCAAGTACTGAAGTGTGTACTTGTTTGTCGGTGCAGATGCCACTTGGATCCAAAGCAAGTTATCAAAACCAATGAGTTTTCGTAAATCCTTCCAGGCTTGCAAGCCAAAGTCTTCTCCCTTGGAGAAGTCTGCTGTGCTTTGTTGGGCAATCTTCTTACCGATGACCTCTTCCACTGCCTCCTTCGAAGGTAGCTTGGAGACATGAGATTTGATCAAAGACTCAATTCGAGTTGATATTCTTGGAACAAGCGATATGTAGTGAGGCTTGAAGAGCTTCAAATCTTCGAGCAAGGTTTCAAAGGCATTGTAAGGTGTTCCCTCATAGGCGATGTCTGGAAGACCAATGTGATACCCGCGTACCAATGCGTAGGCGCTTGTTTCCCTCTCGTAAAGATGAGTCAATGGTAAAAATGCAAAAGTTCTGCCTTCTTCAACAAGAGGTTGTCCGGCCATCAAGTAACACATTGCGCACACTGATGCCTTGTGATTCAACATAACACCTTTTGGCATCGCCCCAGTGGTACCTGAAGTGAAACTGATAGTGAAAAGAGTCTCAGGATGTGGGGGCATCGGTTGGTACTGAGCTCGGGAGCCAATTGCCTCCAATTCACTAAACTCGTAAACCTGAATGCCAGTTTCCATCAACTTGCTTCTCCTAGCAGGCGATACCGGATCGAAAGAAACCACGACTTTCACTGGGAAGTCTTTTGCCTTACTAAAATTGCCCAATTTCTCGACCTTATCGCCCAGACAGAAGATGATTGGGGAGCCAGTGATTGTCAAGATATGGGAAGTCACATCGTCACCAAGATTGTCGTAACAAGCAGTGTTGGTGAATGAGAAAGCGTGACATGCCAAGTCCGTTAACAACCATTCGTGCCTGTTGGCCAGGTATATTGAGATCATTGGGGAATAGTTGTCGATGTCGTACTTCATGTAGTTTCTGACATGTCTGTCAACTTCTTCTGGGACAGCCAATTTCAAGCAAGCCAAGATTCCAGAGCCAATTGCGAGTCTTTTTCTTTGTACCTCGGAATATGATAACGTTTTGAAGAATGGCTCTGATCTGGCACGCGCATAATTATAAGGTCGGTAACTGAGACATGGCTTTTGACCATGTAGTCTGACCGCTCTATTGAACATATCATCGTAGGTCTTAAGCGAAGGATGCAAACCTTCAATGAGCTTCCCAGGCAATGCACGGTTTCTGTAAACTATGTCATCTCCATCCTTACCCGCAGGCACCATCCTGGAGCCGAGCTCAAGGTCCAATGGAAGGTCTTCAATTTTGTCCTCGAAAAGGTAAGGCATGTTTCAAGAGGGTTGGTAGGGGAATTGAGGACCTGAGATCTATTAAATAGGCAAAGCCTGAAGTTTGGCGCAATGTGTCTAGATAGTGATGCATAATACCCCGCATATCGAGAGCGCAGAGCCCTCAGTATTAGCCTGCCCCACACTAATCCCATATAAATGATAAGGGGAACATGATTGAGGGGCGGTTCTCACCCTCATGATATCTTGGCTATCGGTGCCGCTTGACCCATTGGCTGAACTCCGACAAACCTTCTCTACACACAACGACAGTGTACAGGCACTCCGAAGACTCCTCATTCTCGAAGGAGTGTTATCCACGGTAAATCTCCACAATTCTTTTTCCTCGGAAAAGATTATGAAACCGTTGAAGTTATAGCGGGGGACTGAGAACGCATTGGGGTTAAACGTGAGCGGGTCATATCCGCGCTTCTTGTCTCCGCAAGTGTCCTTTGAAGATGGAAGTCTAAATTCCGAGTCTAAAGCCCCTATTGATTCGGCGATGCCCTTGAGCAGTTCAACTTTTGATTTCCGCATTCAGCGAAGTCGACTCCTCGTGATCGTTGGCATTTATTGTGCCCTAACACTTGTACATCTATCTCTTGCCCCTATCTAAACACTTATTGATATGCTGAGCAAAGCGTCCGCCTGCTATTTGGCGGCCGCAATTACCACAGTCAAAATATCTCGAAGTCTCTGAGTTCTTAAGTTTTGCTTTATCATTCCCGAATATGTCTTTATTTGCCGAAGCTTTGGCTTGAGGAAGAGGATCATTGTACTTTCCTTCCACAGACTGCTGCAAGGTTCTATATCGAGAAATGCTGTTTAGCGAAGCTTGTCTGATAAGGTTCGTGATCATGTCTTCGTATAGCAGTTCCGCCTGGAGTTAGAACGTTTGCCGCAATAGCACTACAATACGAGTACGTACCAAAGTATCAATAGTCAATGTGGACGACGTCATCTTAGCGTTTGTTCATTAGCTGGTTTGGTTAGGTAGGAGCAGAGAGTGGTTGAAGATCAGATGGTCGCGTTTTGTCAGATCAACTAATACTATGTCGCATTTCGCAACCACCTTACGGTCTCATCAGCCATGGATGAAGATGAAACCGCTCTAAGCCAAATGACTGAGGAGCTCGCCGAAGAACTTCCTGATTGGGGCGGATTGAATAAAAGATTCGCTGCGCTAAATCTAGCCGATGAGACAATTCCAAGGAGATCAGAGAAGGATTTCGACATCGATCATACGGGCGTTCAGAGCTCAGCTTTATCTGAGGCTCGTAAACAAATGTTCAGTGCTCTCGACCACATAAGAGGACACCATGAAAAGCAAAAATTGGTTGGTGTGTGGATGCATCCTAGAAAGCAGTGCTTGGTGCCTCATGCCAAAGGTAACTTCTTCAGAGACATGGGCAACCCCAGCCCTTCCTCAACAAACCCAGACTCCAAGGATATTGGCTTCTGGCAATCGAAACGGTATATTTGGTCGAGCGAGGCTCTCTTATTCTTTATTTACCTAGCAGTGAATTTGAAACATTTTTGGCCTCAGACGAGCAAGTCTACGACTATTCGACTCTTAAACAGATTTCATTGAGTCATTTGTATAGTCTAGCATTTGAAAATTCGCCAGATACACATGACAAATACCAGGTCTACGCCCTTTTGAAGCGATTGGGCTATCTAATACGACCATATCAGTCAAGCAAATGGCCTGATGTCGTCAACTGCCAGAATAACGAGCATTCTTTACTAGCATTTTTCCAAAGATCCATTACTTCTGTTGGGTATTGGTTCAGATCACAAACTTCACGTGAAAGCATTAGATCGCTGCACTTCCTAAGCTATACTGACATGTTCTCACAACTCCAATATATATCGGCTCGACTGGACTTTGACGACATTGATACTATCAAACAGAACCCTAAATATTCATTGCACTTCGACGTTTGGAAGCCGACTGGCAATTTCAGCAAGAAGACCGCAACGAGTCCAGATTATCAGGTATGTGTCGTGAATACCTTGGAAAAGGGTTTCCCTTCTCTCGTCGACATCACGAGTCTTTGGCAAACATCTCGCATGAAAGACTCTTCAGCTTTGCCCACGAAGAAAACAAAGCCTGCTAAGACCAACAAGGGTGTGTCAGTCTCGAAGAAAGAGATGAGGGCTGAAAAAGCAGCAGAGCGAAGGAGGAAGATGGACCCAAAGACTCTTGCTCAACAAGAGTACAACCGTATTCGCGATCAAAAACTCAAGAATGGCTCTAGTGGGCGGTCTATCATCATTGCCGCAATCGATGGTGGTATAATTAATTTCTCAAGTCTACGGGAAACGGATTTCCACCTACGTTCTGACATCTCTAATGGGGACCTCGCTAATTTGAGACCCCATGTCATGCATGGTATTATACATCAAGAAGATCTCAAAGTTTGAGGTCTAGCCTTCTTTGAATTCTTCTGCTGTTTGTGCTTTGTCAGGGTCCACGTTGTCAGAAGTTTTCTCAACGTAGCTTGCGATATCTGGTCCCTAAAACCATTAATGCTCTCTAGATAGAGCTCCTCAATTAATTGCATCTCGCTCGAGCTCTCGTTGTAGAAAGAAAGAAGCCGTTCAACCCACTCGTCGCAGCCTTTCGCATCGAGCCTATAGCATGCACCGAAGTAACGATCGAAAGAGCCCGCTAAAATCCTCACAATGTCCTCTGAGCTTCTTATTGAGTTTGAGTTGACTTCTGCCAAGCTGTCTTTATAAATGCCAAAAGATTCGAGGCGTGTTAGTAATTTGCTTTTGTGGGCGACAATAGCTTTGAGGACTGTCATCTCGCCCTCCAAGTCATCGACAGAGGCTTTGCCGAACGAGTCAATTGGATTCGTTTTGAAATGCTTGCTTTCTGGGCTTTTTAAATGCTTTACCAAAAGTATTTTGAAGGCTCGACTCCCCTCCAAAGACTGACACTTCATAACGTTCAATAGTAGGACAGGCAGAAGTGCGCTTCGAAGTTTACCGAAGAAGCTCTCGAGGAAGCCTTTGTTATCAATCAAGAAGCAAAGAAGGTTCAGAGGTCTTTTCTTAAGACTTAGCCCTTTGCGAATTATCATTGGATGATCTACTGATCCTCGAAAAGGATTAGGCAATCGTATCTCCGGAATGTCGTAGGTGAACTTGGGTTTTCGTTCAACTTTCTCGAAATCAACGAGCGACTGAGCTGCAATTTCTCTCAACTTGGGCCGTAGCTCGTTTGACATTCTCACAGGATCCTTCCTGAATGATTCTCCGAGTTTAGATAGAACTGAGGTATCGCTCAGCCAAAGTAGACTCTCTCGAAGTGTCTCTGCGTGATGATTGAGAATTACCTCACACGATTCAGGTGAGACGTTGATAAAAGATTTGTATTTTTCGACCACCTCTGCATCGTTGAGGATTCGAATCAAGTTGTAATCCAACACTTTGAGTCCTAGCATTGAGTGAAATTTCGTTTGTGAAAGAGATGTCTCTTCGGGCTGTGTGACTGATTCTTTATTCTCTGGCACCGCTGATTGCTCCTTGTTGTTTTCAGCATGTTGGAGGATGGTTAGAATCTTCTCCATGGTGGGTATAGATGTATCGAAAAGCTCCATCTGCTCCGCAAACTTCACATTATTCTTGCTATTCGTGAGCCTTTTAAAGTAAATGAAAGACTTTTTAGGATATCGTAGGGATCTCAGTCCTAGAGAGCGCATCATCATGAGCTACTCTTCTATAGGCGATAGCTGGATGAGTTGCACTACGAGTGCGCGCATGAGTACTAATCCACTGAAAGCCCTTTCTATTTAAATTAAGATGAAACTCGCGGTCAATTTTTAAATCTCATTATTCAGCTGCTCTTCTTAGCAGCTTTCGTGGATTTTGCGGTTTTTTTCTCTTCTGTTGTAGCCCGCTGAGTCGTATTGGTACCAGAGTTGTTGTTTTTTGAACCAACTTTCTTGGGTTTGTGGGGTTTGTTCTCTTTGCTTTTTGGCTTCTGAGGCTCAGTACCGGGTTTTTTCCCGTCGGTGGTCTTCTTAGGCTGAGCTTGAGGTTTCGTACCATTCGCGGAAGCGCTCTTTTTGGGAGCTATCGTTTCCTTCTTTTTCTGGTCGTTGATTTTGTCAGATTTTTTGGGTGGCTTCTTCTTGTCTTTCTTTCCTTCGATGCTGTGTCCCTGCTGCTTGTTGTCTGCTGGGGGATGTGGCTTTGGTTCGTTTATGGCAGGGGCAGTTTGAGTCTCGCTCTGTACGGTTTTGTCCTTCTCAACGTTGATGGCAGCAGATGCTGCTTTCTTCTTTTGTTCTTTTCTCGTCTTTTTCTATTCTCTTCTGAGTGAACAGCTCGTATCATTTTAATCAAATCCACTTCTGTTGAGGCAGCACGTAGAGCAGTGAATTTCTTGAATAATGGATCCTGTTCAATCTTCCCTGGGCCTGGCTTTTTAGAAGTTTCGATAACTTCACCAAAGATAGGTTTCATCATCTCACATTTAACTTGATCGCCTGAGTCAGAGTCCTCGATAACCACATGTTGCATCTTGGTTCTGAAGGCATTTGCTGCTTCCTTGTTTTGGAAAAGGAAGTAAGCTCGGGAGAAGGTGGGCTCTTCGAAAGGCTTCAAGGACGGGCTACCAGTTTGGTAAAAGAACCTTGAGAGGCCAGCTATCTCCAATGGCGATTTTTCATTACCAAATGGTATTTGGCGAAGGAAAGCTTCCTCAGTTAAGTTAGGAGGAAGAAGTCGAATGACCACCTTCAAATCTGGATCATCGTATTTGATTAAAGGCTGTGGGTCTTCCTTCACTTTCTTCTTCTTCTTGAATGCAAATTTTGGGGCTGGAGGCTTCGTGGCCGTCAGCATGGTTCAGTATGTAACTTTTGAAGAATTACAAGATATCTACGATATGATCGCACTTTCGCATTTATTCACTATGAGGTCCTTATCACAGATAAAATAAGAAATAATATTAAAAATCGAGGAACCTGAAAAAATTCCCAAAAACCTATTCACTACTTTTTTTTCTACATAACAGTTATATTCAAAGTAAAAAAAGAGAGGAAATTGCTCCGTCTTACATGTGGTGTAGCGTTTAGACATTCACCATGTTTAGAACGACAAGATATCCCGCCATTGAACTGAAAAGACAGCTTTATGAAAAGCTTTATACAAATCAGAGTGATTTGTGCTCCCCTTGAGACTTAGATTTTGCTTCTGTGAGCTCTACTCCATCCTCGCTATCGGTAAGCTTCCACAATATGAAAGGTCGCGAATGAAAATCACCATCATAAAACATATTGCAAAATGAACGTAACCAGTGATTTCCTACAACAGCTACAGGCGGCCACTAAGAAGCAATCCAAGCAACAAGCCCACGAACTACTTCATCTGTTACGCCTACATCCATCGCTTAATCCTTGGATAGTCAAGCTTTACAACATTGGTAGTATCGATGATGCACAATTGCAGGAGGAAGTTGAGAGAAGAAATTTCTACAACGACGAATGGATGGCTTTCCAAGAAATTGTCTCAAGCTTCATCAGGCTCTCCAATCAGCTCAATCCTTACTCAATGCTGGAATCCTTCGATCTTTACGCTGCATACATCAACGACTTATCAGTGGCCTTCACCAACAAGTCTCATGGCTACTTATTGACTCCACTCATTCAAGACACAATTGACTTTGTGATTCCGATGGCAACACAGCTAGACATGCAGCTCATACTCGTGGAGAGCAGCAGAAAACCACGTCTAGTGTATTTGGCGTCTATATTGTTGAAGATGTTCAACAATATAAGATCGCAATTGGGTGCTGGAGATCATATCGAGGCCGCCAAAAAGTCTATCATGTTATTGATAGGTGTTCGACTTTGTCTGATCTATTTCAAGTTGGAGAATCCTCTCCTTTGCCGCAACGTCTTTTCTAACATGAACAATGCCAACTTGAGGCTAAGCGACTTCCCGAAAAACCAACAAATCCAGTACAGGTACTACCTAGCACGTTTTTACATGGTGAAGTACCAATTCGTTGATGCTTACCAACACTTCCAGTGGTGCTTGCAGAACACTCCCGCCAACTACATCAAAGACAATGCCAACGTCACCAGAATCTTGCGCCAAATGATCCCGCTTGGAATCGTAATCGGCAAAAAGCCCAACTTCAACAACATCTACACAACATTTTATTCTTCACGGGAATCGTCACCGGCATTTTTGGAGACATTTGAAGATCTCGCACGAGCCATACAAGTGGGAGACTTTGACACTTTCTCAAGAGTACTCAACGACCCAAAGAACTACAAAATGCTCAAGGAGCATCAGCTTTTGCTTCTCTTTGCAGAAAAAGCACCCCTTCTTATTCTCCGCAATTTATTGAGGAAAGTATGGTCAATACAAGGAGGGCAGGCCAAGCTAGACTACGATAGCATCAGATGTGCCCTCGATGCTTCCCTCGCAGGAACGCCTCTCCATGCCATCAATTGCTTCGGCCAGCGAGTACTTGCAGAAAATCCCGCCGACGAGATAAATGACTTTGTGATTGAAAACTGCTTAGTCACATTGATAGACCAGAATTTGCTCAAGGGCAAGCTCTTTCCGCGACTCCGTGTGGTTTCGCTTAGCAAGACGGCAGTGTTTCCTGCGGTAGCCGCGATTTCTTTTGTAAAGTATGGCAACGGCTCAGAGGGACGCCTCAATTACGCGGACAAATGGATGAGTTAAGAACTGATCTAGGTCAATTGCCTAGGCCAAAACCACGAATTATTCGGAGCTTTAAGCTTCCAAAGAAATTAAAAAAGAGACAAGAAGAAAAAAAAAAAAAAAAAAAAAAAAAAAAAAAAAAAAAACACCATAAAACAAAAATGGCACGGCTCTCTAGCGCAGTCCCGCCCTATTTTTTGACAAAGTGCTCCCAGAAAGTTACAAGTTGGGTCCCTCCACGGCTGTTTGCATCTGAGCCAAAAGAGTACCAAGCCGGACTGACGGCATTAGCTTGGGTCTCCCAAAGCGCGGCAAATACCTACTTAACCGCCACACGCCGCCTTGCCCCTAGTCCGAAGATCCCTTAATGTGTGGCACATTCGAGAATTTCCATGCCTGTGGGTCGCCTTTTCCTGCTGCACAAGGTCGCAGCTTGTGCTCCTATAGCCCGAACCCCAGATTTCCGAGGTGCCGCGCTCAGGCGAGGCACAATTAATGACTTAACTGAGGAAGGTGGAGAAAAGCCAGCACCCGAGACCCGCCTTGAAGCTGCAGTTTTTTTTTATTTATTTTCCACAAAGAAATTCACCGGATTTTTGTCAGATCTACTTCGTTTGCAGCAAGTTGGGCCTCGCTTGCTCGTCTGGTTAGGGGCTAGCATATAAAGGAGGTGTACGTCCGAGGCCATCGCGCCGCAGTTTTGACTCAGTGTGGAGAGGAAGGCTCTTCTAGACACCGGCTGTGAGGCAATCTGTATTTGATACTGCACACAAGCAACCGGTGCATTGTTTTCTTAGCGCTCTAAGCTATATTGTGGTCACTGCAGAGGCCAGACTTGCGCTGCTGCAAAAAAGGGTTCAGGCAGTATTTAAGCGATCCCTGTCCCACAGTTTTTCGATCGAGTCTTTCCGCTTTTCAAACCCCCCCAACCCACGATGAGGTTAACCGATCTCCCCAATAACGTCCTAGACACCATCTTGGACTGCTGCGACCATGATCTGCGGCTCACCCTAGCACACATGGCCCCTTACTTTCGCTACCGGGTCTGTGGGTCCCTTTACAAGAACATTATGGTGGTTGAGTCCGATCGCAACTGGAGCTGTGGCAAGTACGACAACTCCAGCGAGTGGACTTTATTGTCCGCTGACAAGTTGCAGCAGTTTGCAAACTGTCTCACACCAACAACTTTCCGCTTTGTGCGCAAGTTCGTTGTGAACACTCATGGAAACGACAACGACAGCAGCTTGCTTTCTTTATATGATAGAATGGCCGCCTTTTGGAGCCAGCAACCACACACTATTTGCATGAACAACCACGACGTGTTAAGTTTGCGTTGTGTTCGTTCGTTCACCAACTTTTTGGCCTCAAACTCGGTGCAATTTATTGATGTCGAGGATGAGGACAGATGTGAGGTGACAAGAAAAGACCACAAGGTGCTTAATCTTCTGAACTGGTTTGTGTTCAAGACAAGTGAGTTCCTCGCCTTGCCCACGAATCCAAGGTTGGAGCAGCTTAACATGTACGTTGAGAGTAATGCATACCTTCAGAACAGCGAGAACGTCCAGAGTGTGTTCTACGGCTCATACGAAGCGCCAACTCAAAACTTGCGCAACTTGAGCAGACTCTATTTACATTCTCCATTGGCCTTCCTCCGTTTCACCGAAATGGCCGACCAACTCGGTGTGAATGACATGAAGTTGAAGGTTCTCTCTATTTCCACTTCCCACCGTGCTCGCAATGATTGCATGACGCATTTCCAGACCATGAGACACTATGTCGATCTTAATAACCTCGAGGAGCTCGAATTGAAGATGAATTGCACTCGTCTGCATGAGTGTTCCAACAGTTGTATTCTCAACTTTTTTGAAAGCTGGAGACAATACAACCAGTTCCATGGGTTGAGAACAAACTTGAAGAAGTTGGCCATTGTTCACTACAAGTGCTTGGCCGACACCACTCAATTCAAGCACGTTGTTGAAAACTACGTTTTCAGCGACTTGTTCTCATCGTTGGAGGAAGTTTACTTGAACCTTTCCGACTCAGTCAAGTCCACGAATGATGAGTACAGCATTGATTTGAAGAAGGTGGTTTCCAACCTCCACCACACTCCAAATCTTACGCACATCCACGTTTCCAGTTTTATGAACGAATGGGTCAGCCAGTTGCCAGCCTTGCTCGACATGCGTACTATTCCTTGTCAAGACGTCTTGGTGAATCAATGCAATTGCGACGAGTGCAACAATACGAGATCCTACTTTGTGGAGCTTGCTCGCTTGGACAAGTCTAATAACTACAGTCACAAGGGCAAGCCTTCGGATGTGCGGATCACACCATCAGAGGTTACTACGAGTGTTGACTTTACCGAAGTCGCAAACAGGAAGTTTTTGCAATTTGTTGCTGGCCAATTCAGAAGACAAGAACACTGCGTCGAGAGAAATCTTCACTCTGTGGGCTCCATGTTGAACATGAATGAAGTGCCTCTCGAAGAGAACGAAGAAACTAAGAAATTCTCGCCTTTGCTCGAACACTCTTGCCTTGCGCAGCTCTCCAAAATTATGGCACAGCGTGCCCCCAAGCTCCGTCTGCTTAACTTAGGCGGCGTGTGCATCGAGGTATGAACTCCCCAGCATATGTTAATGATTTTATGACACAGCTATCAAGGATAACTTTATAGATAATAGAAACTGACTAATGGCATAAATGTTAAGGAGTAGTTTGAAGTATACCCCACGCGATCCTGGTCGCACTTGCGCACTTGCGCACTTATCAACTAAAGTCCGATTCGCAACTCGAACTCAGTGAGCTATTTTTCGTTGGTTTGCCTTCCATATGAAACAAGTATGCCAAGGTCATCAGTGAGTACGGAACGCATGGAGCAGATTAACTCCCAGCTTCTCCAAGCGGGCTCAATTGGGCTACTTAAAGGAGTTCTTGTGGGACTTCTTTCGGGTTACTATTTCAGTTACAGGTATAACCACGGCCAAAACCAAAAATTCTTCAAGACGCCGTACAAGATCTGGTATCTTGTATCGTGGGGAGTCGTTGGAATCACATTCTCGGCCGAAATAGCCAAGCTGCACATTGCTCAGTCGTTAGCAGAAGAGGAGGATATTAAACGGAGTGAGTACTTCCAGGACCAGCTAGGGGCGAAAAGATGATCAGATTATACATTCGATGCACTATAAATAAGTCTTTTTACACATAGAAGGCTTCTTCGTGATACTTGAGGCCGTTTTCACTAGCCCAGAGCTTCACGTTCTTGACAAGCGATTTGGGACCAGCAGAAATCACCCACACTTTCTCGGCATCAGGAAGCTTGTGCTCTGCACCAATCTTATTTCTTCCCGGAATGTCCCTGCAGCAGACTAAGCCAGAACCGTCAAGCTGCTGGGGGCCAGAACATTGCGTGAATATATCATGCTGATTCACACACCAATTGTAGTAACGGTAGTTCAACTTTGGACGACCTTTGTAGATACGATTATCCAAGTTGAGTCGTTTGACGGTATTTTGGAACTGTCTGTGAGACTCATTACCTTTCTCCATATCGATGCTGAATCTCTCGTTGATGGAATGGGATCTGCTGGATCTTCTGGATAAAGTTGAAGTCATGTCATGGCCAATGGCTTCCTCCTCGTCGAATTCAATGCTGTCCTCGAAATTACTGTTGTACTCAGTCGTGGGGCTAAACAGCTGGACAGTGCAATCACGTTCCGTGCCATCATCGTCCAGAACATTTTCGTCCAGCAAGTCCACATCAACATTTTCCAGCTCTTGGTTCATGTGCTCATCCTCTTCGGCCGACATCAAAAGTCTTGATCTTTCATTAAAGTCCAGGTTAGCGAACGAGGACTTATTCGATAAAAATCTGAATGTGCCGTAGCTTGGAACAGCATTAACCGCGGCAAAGTCAAATTCTTCATTAGCAACAGCGTTACCAGTAACAAAGATTTCGAAATCGTCACCGTGGATGTAGCCATCGAAATAGCGGAGGATTGCGATATCTCTATAGTCACGTACAACCCAGATGATCTTCACAGGCACTCCGTGATAATTCAGTACTCTCAAAATGGGTATCGCAAACGAGATAGCAGATCCACCAACCACAATGAGCATCTTTTTGGCATTGATACCAAGTTTAGAGATTGAGAATTTCGATGCTTGATTATTCTTGGATTTCACAACGAGCAATTTGGGGTCAAACGACCCGCAAACCTTATACCTCGTATCACTGCTCCATTTAAAAGAGCCCTTGCGGACAATGAGTTTTTGCGACCGATCCAGCGGTAACGATACTAAGGTGTAGGGATGATAGTTGGGGATGAATTGCTTGTAGAGACGAGCAATAAAGTTCAGACTTCGGTTGGTTATGCGAACATGAGCACCTGGGTTGTTGGCACGCACCTTGACGAGGTGATTGGGGAAGTCAATGATCGCAAGATTGGGCGACACATCCGTCACTCTGAAGTCTGACACTTCGGATGTATGAGTATTGGCAACTCTGTAATAGATTTGATATGCAAGAATGCCCACATTCAAGATGTTGACATAAGTTGTTCTTACAGGGCGAACATGGAAGGGAAGGAGGAGAACGATTGCCCAACTCCAAAAGTAGTGATTGAAGAAGAACAACTTGTAGGTCCGATCACGAACTTTCAGGAGTGATGTGACAATTATCATGACAAACCCGAGCAAAGCTCCCCATCCATACAAGTTCTCTGTCTTCCATGCCTTACCCCAGGTTCCATTCTTGCTAAAGAAGCCCAAGTACAAGAATGTATGAAGAACCGCAAGTACAATGACGCCACGAGAAAGCCACTTATGAATTGGGAGCAAGCTCAAATAAAGCGTATTGGGCAAAGGAGAAGGTCTGATGGTCAAGAAAAACACGGTTGGCAATGACACCACTGATAAGCGGCCAAGGCGTTTGGCCAAGAAGATCAAGTCACCGTTATTGATATCCACGAGCGCCAAAACCGTAAACACTGTCGTCCAGAGCACGATCTGCGTGATGGCCTGGAGATTAAGATAGGAGATGTAGGCGGTATCTTTGAGAGCACGGGTAAAGCCTCTAAGCATTCGTCGAAAGAAGCCAGCACGGCCACCACGATTACTGATGCGGTCACAGAAGCTGCCGAGTGGTCCTAAGACATGCACTTTACTCAAATACCAGTGGCCCGTTGCCAATAAATAGTTTTGGAATGCTATGCTGAGAATGAAAGCCACAGAGACCCAGCCCATGATCTCACCAAACTTGTTGGTGGTGTTCTGGCGGCAATCCTTGTACTCCTTGGACTTGGAGTCCGGATAGTGGAAGTACTCCGAGAGATACGGAACATCCATGGTGGTTGTTTAAACCAAAATAGGTGGGGTATGGTTGACTGAAGTGCCTAGGAGAATGTAGCGCGAAATGGAGCTGATCTTATAGATAAAAAAAAATCACTAACGGCGCTCTCACGTTGAAGGATACGGCAGCTTGTACAGGAAGGTTCCACATTATAACTTTATTTCCTTCAGGTGCCGCGCTTTAGATGCAGCCGGTCATATTTTTCAATTTGATTCGGGTTGTTCTTCGGCTGCGGAATAGGTTCGGTTCGAGATTTCGACACGGGGTTCCGACGGAGAATCGGACTTAAGTACACATTAGGAAGTAGAGGTTGCAATGCTCTCTGAGCTGGCTATCCATTTAATGAGTGAAGGCATTTGAACTCAACATACATTTAAAAGGGAACACCTTCCTCGGAATAAAGTTAATGCTGGGGTTAGAAGCTTTATGGTTTGATTGCGCCACATGTGTTCCGGAGGATCTGTTCTCGAGCCATTCATGGAACACCAATTGTATGGCTAGTCTGGAGGGCGAAAAAAAAAAAAAAAAAAAAAAAAAAAAAAAAAAAAAAAAAATAGAGTTTGTTTTCAGAATTCTGAACATACAAGTCCAGATTAAAGCTACAATGTAAATGTCGATTATATCTTTCCTCTATATCCTGTGGAGTCCTTGACGTGTGCTATGTTGCTGTTCGGCTAGTAAAATGCCTGGAAGTTCTTGCGACTTCCATTGTTTTTGGGTAATATTCCCGATCTATTGGGCTTCACGCTGCTGTTTCTCGAGTTTTGCTTCTGTCCTTTTATTATACCCGAGCGGTTCACTTTAGTTGGAATGGGTGGTAAGCCATGCTTATTATTGTTGTGCTTGATGACTCCAGACCGCGTAGGCTGTGCAGAGCCGCCGTTAAAGTCTTTCTTAGATGACTTGAGTGGTTTTTGGTTCTTCTGGTTTTTGTTGTTATTCTTGTTGTTCTTGGTGCCGTTCAAATAGCTCTTATTGTTCTGTCTCGAGTCGTTTGCGACCCATGTGTATAACTTTCTAAGGTGCTTGGGTAGGTTGGTTCCGCTGAAGGCGCTTCCGTTGATGTTTGGGATACGAGATGACCTTTGTCTGAAACACTCGTCGCCGTAATGGGTATCGTCACCACAATTATAGCAGAAGACGACGGGAAGATCAGACACCTTCCACAGCAGATCGTCTTGATTTGGTTGAGGTTTGGTGATATACGACCGCCATATACTAGGGCAGTTGTGGTTGCCATGACTGAAGGTGTCACAGTTTCTGCAATACTCTCTCTTTTTGCTCTTATTCGTGCATGCCGACACCATATGGCCCCTCTGACCACATTTGGCACAAATCATCGTAGTAGGACACTGTGTCTCGTAGTGATCTCCGACAACACCACACTTGTGGCAAATGACTGTTTTACACTTCGACCGTATGTGCCCTCTTTTGTGACAGTTATCACATAGAGGGCCTAGAGACAGCTGGGCATTGATGGTGTTACCATTTTCCGGATCCGTAACACCAAAGTATCTGCCTTCTCCTCGAAGCTCTATTAGTTCATCAGCATTATCATTCACTTGGTCATATGAAAGGGAAGTCACTCCATTCTCGTTGTTCTGGCTCTTTTTCTCTGGCGCAGCCTTTTTTTCAATTTTCGTTTCTGATGGTTGGTTTTCGTTCCACCGGGAGCTTTCATCAACCTCAGAGGGCTTTGTATCCTCAACGAAGGATAGTATACCCATATTATTATCTAAAGATTGTGCTTTTCAATGTTAGTGCGATGGTTGATAAGATGCCTACTTACTTTTTTTTGATGCACGATCACGTGCCACATTACCTACAACACTTGGAGCTGGTCTAGCCACGGGGCCCTTTAATTTGCTAATAGAGCACGAATTTTTCTATGGAATTATTATTCATCAAAATCAAGCCCAGACACAAAGGCTTTTACATATAGTTGGATGGTCGTCACCGCATTTTGATACAAAACTTCATCAAGTCACCCTCTCTACAACACATTTCTCACGACATTGTGGGCAACTTGAGATTCTAAGTCGTCGTTGTTACCGCTGACGCTTATAGAAGTCTTGAGGTATTCTTGGTGCTTGACTGCTGCAAACAAGTAACAGGCAGAGGCCAATGTGAAGATGATGGCAACCACAAGCAAGGAGGTAGCTTGCGTGACCAAACTGAGGTATTGGATGGCAGCCATCAACAAGTAGAAGCCACAACGGGGCCAGTTCTCGTCGAAATTACGAACAAAATTCGTAAAGGTGTCCGTTAAAGGACAAATCTTCAACAAGAAGGGGATCTCGACAAAGACAACCACGAGTCCCTGGACGATACAAATGACGGCAAAGATCACCACCAAATTGAAGTGGAAGATGTTGGCAATACCCAAGGCAAGGCACAAAATGATATTGAGGATTCCAAGCCACTGGCCATAAAGGGAGAAGTTCTTTTTCTTAAAGTCAGCGGAGAATCCACTGAAGATATTCGAGAATATGTTTTTGAAATTGACCATATTGAAGTTTGCTGTTGTTCAGTCAATTGAGATTTGTAGGACCTAAACGAAAGTTGTTACAGTCCAGTAAACACCTGTTACTCCGAGCCCGTGTGTGCAGGTAAATTAGACCAACCAGTCATCCTGCTTGGCCAAGCCGATACATAGAGGCACAATTGCCGAAGCCGAGAGCGCCGAAAAACTGAATATTTTTTTTATTTTTTTTGTTTGGCCACAAATTTTTTATAAAACAGGTTAGACGGTGAAGATTAAATGCAGATGAAGTAGCTAACGAGATGTGTTTGGGGTAATTGGCTGCGAATTGGATTTAGGTCATATTAACGAGAACTGCAAAGCTGTACATGGCACTTTTTCAACGGCTGCAAAAAAGTGATCTTTGACGAAGAGAAGTTGAAAAGATAAGGGTCTGATTTTTGTACGGCCTTGTTAGGCCATGTATGAAGAGAAGAATAGTTAGACCGGCTCTCAACCGAGCTTACTCTGAAGGCGCAGTTTTCCAAGTAGCAAACCATTTGCATTTGAAGAAATAGGTATCTAGGAATGCTTCTTCAGTTACATCATTTCCTGAGCTCTTTCTGAAACACCCACTTTCGGTGCTACCTGCATGAGTTATCAGCACTATGTATGCTCAGTCAAACTGAAAAAAGAGAAGAGCTCATCTTGAGTACATGGCTATAGTATCATGGGCAAAGAAACGGTCATTGGTATAGTAGGCAAACCGTCGAGTGGCAAATCAACAACACTTAATGCGTTGACGGACGCTAACGCCAAAGTCGGTGCTTTTCCCTTTACAACCATCGATCCCAATAAAGCCACAGGCTACTTGGAGGTGGAATGTGCCTGTCTGAGGTTTGGAAAAACAGCCGATTGCAAACCTAACTACGGCTACTGCAGAGATGGCAAGAGAGGCGTGCCTGTGATGCTTCTTGATGTCGCTGGGTTGGTTCCAAACGCTCACTTGGGAAGGGGCCTTGGAAACAAGTTTCTCAGTGATTTGACCGAGGCAGACTGTCTTCTTCACATTGTTGATGTTAGCGGAACCACCGATGCTGAGGGTAAAGAGACAAGAGGTTACGATCCGCTTAAGGATATTGAATGGCTTCAGGACGAGATTTTCCGCTGGATCTTGGGTAACTTGACGGAGAAATGGGGTTCTGTGGTCAGACGCCATATTGCAACGAAATCAACGGCGCTAGAGACATTGAGACAGCAGCTTGGAGGCTACTACGCCAATAAGCAGTTAATCGGCAAAGCTTTGGACTCCATTCCTGGATTGCCTCCATTACAAGATTGGGATAACGAAATGGTGGAAAGAGTCGTCAAGGCGTTCATGTCGGTAAAATTCCCCACCGTGCTTGCATTAAACAAAATGGACCATCCCGACGCGGACAAGAATGTTTCCAAAATTATGCTCAAGCACCCTGAGCTGAAGTGTGTCTTGACCTCGTCTCTTACCGAGGTGCTTCTAAGAAAGTTGGCTGCACAAAATTTCATCAAATACGACCAGGGCACGGAATTCGTCGACACGGCCGAGGACTTGCCAGACGCTGGACTCCGTGAGCTCGACGAAAAACTCCAAAACAGAATAGAGAACATCCGAGACTTGGTGCTCTACCGGTTTGGGTCCACTGGAGTGGTGCAACTTCTTCAAGCAGCAGCAGACGTTTTGGACCTCGTGCCCGTTTTTCCCGTCAGAAACATCAATTCCTTCACAGGCACGTCCGGCTCTGCCGTTTTTAGAGACTGTGTTTTGGTGAAGCGTGGGCTGTCGGTCATATCGGTCGCAAGACGTATAATGGGCGATGTGACTATTGCAGCCATAGAAGGTGTAGGAGGCACCAGAGTGGGAGAGGAGGATACCGTGGATGTCGGCAAGAATGACATTCTTACATTCAAGTTGGTGCCCGGAGGACACTAGGGATAATTACAGGATAGTAGTTAGGGCATGATTATAAAGATAATGCCCTGAGTCGCATCTCATGGTGCAGCTGTAGGAGTGTCTACAAAGCCGATTCGGGAGCAGTACAGAAGTACATCAACACATCTACTTCACTTTTTTTTTTTCTGACTCTAGCGATGCCTTTGGTAAAATCGATTGAACTCACCGACGAGCAGGAGAAGAAGCTCGAGCAGCTTATCCAAGCGATCCCTAATTTGGTTTCCAAAACCGAGGATCCATCTTATGACGAGATATACGGCTACAGAATCGCCGCAGACGAGGAGGAGTACGTTGATGTCGAGAACAGAAACGAGATTTTGCTCAAGTTCTTGATTGCCAGAGAATATGACGTTGCCAAGGCACAGGAAATGTTGGTCAACACGCTCAATTGGAGAAGAAAGTTCCAGGTTCTCAGCGCCGCTTACAACGAGAAATTTGACGAGAGCTTGGAGAAGATGGGTGTGATTACCGACTACAAGGACAACAAGGACAACTTCTCCGTTGTCACCTGGAACTTGTACGCCAACTTGAAGAACCCCAAGAAGTTGTTTGCCAAGTTCGGCGTTGGTGTCGATAACCCCGATAAGACTGACCTTCCCGGCACCATGTTCTTGAGATGGAGGGTGGGCATTATGGAGAGATCTTTGGCTCTTTTGAACTTTGGCGATGTCGACAAGTGCAAGATTGCCCAGGTTCACGATTACAACAACGTTTCGATGTTCAGAATGGACCCTGGCATGAAGGCTGCCACCAAGGAGATCATTACGATTTTCAGCGACAACTACCCTGAACTTCTCTCGAAGAAGTACTTCATTAACGTGCCATACATTATGGGCTGGGTGTTCTCCTTCTTCAAGGCTACCGGTTTCATGAGTGCGGCTACTTTGAAGAAGTTCGAGATGCTCAACCACGGTAACTTGTCGCTGGCTTTTGGTAAGGAGAACTTGCCCAAGGACTACAATGGCGGTCAAGCCAACGACAAGATTCCTGACATTTTCGCTCTGCAAGTTGAGGATGCCTCGATCAAGATCCCCGAATACGGTGCGATCATTTTGGAGAGATTGAAGAAGAAGCAGGAGGAAGAGAGAGCCACGAAGGAGGGCGACAAGGAGGAGGAGGCAAAGGCAGAGGAGGAGACCTCCGCTGCTGATGCTGATGTTGATGCTGAGGCTGAGGCTGAGGGTGAGAACAAGGAAGCCACCACCAAAGAGACTACCTCCGCCTAAGGCTAGTGCTGAACAATTCAGGGGAACTATCCAAGACTAATTCCCTTTGTGACCTATCATTACTAATTTTTAATACACTTATACACTATGAATCAAGAAAACCACAACGAAGTCACGTGACAAAAACACCGTTGATGGCGGGTGCATTCGTGAAGCGTTATCAACTTGTAGGACTCCACCAACCTATGGCATCGACCTACTACTCCGTGCTAGGGGTAACTCCTTCCGCTAGTCCGGACGAAATCAAGCGGCAGTTCAAAAAACTTGCTGTCAAATACCATCCCGATAAAACAGACGATGCGAAGCACCATGAAATGTTTCTACAGATCAACAAGGCATACGAAACACTCAGGGACGACGAAAGCCGAAGAGCGTACGACGTGAAACATAACATTTCAGTTGCCTCGGCATCTCTGACGTCGTACAGTGATGCCTACAATAACAACTTTAGGTCTCACCATGGATTCTCCTACTACTCCCCAGGATCATCATATGGCGGTGGCGGAACTTCCTATTACAGCTTTTTCCAGCACAACTACCGTGCCTACACAGATGCAGCAAAAAATCATTTTGAGAGCCATGAGCGGCCTACTAAAGCAGATGATGCAGCCCTGGCAGCCGCCAAAATGGCTCAGAAGAAGATGAGAGAGGATTTGGAGAGAAGGCGGCAGGAACAGATGTACGAAGCACAAAGACAGAGACAGGAGCTCGAAAGAAGGGAGCGAGAAAGGCGCATGCGGGAAAAAGTGGAGGCACAACTACGAGAACAGAAGGAAAGAGTCAGAGAGCATCAGCGGATGCGTGAGGAAGAGGACTACCGTCGCAGCAAAACAGACGCCTATAGGCGGCAATGGGACAACATTTACGAGGTCAGTGAAAGCGACGAGGAGGTTTATGAGGATGGCCAGTATGGTGGACAAGACGAGCCTATCGTTGTGGAAGACGAAGAAGACTCCTCAGATAACTTTGAGGATTGCCAGGCATCGCCACCGAATGGGGCAGCCAACGACGACAGTACATTAAATGGCGAGTCCAAGGTGAAACAGGAACAAGGAATGCACACTCCGCTGACGGAGCCGGAGGTGGTTGAAATCGGATCAAACGAAGGTGAAGGCAATGGCGCACACAATGACGCTTACAGTAGAGGCCCAGAAAGCCCGAAGCGTCCCCTTTCGGACGAGCATTCGGGGAGCGAGGAAGCTGTTCACAAGAAGCAAGCCAAAAACATCGACATGTCTGACTTGCGACTGTCCTTGGGCACCTCCATCGACGACACAAACTTCAAGGACATGCTCGATTCACTTCCTCGTTCTTTTGGAACTTCCACAAGCAATGGGCCCCCAAGTCCTGGAAAGACAAGAAAGTCGAGCTCCACCATCCACAGAATGCCCAATAAGCGCACCAAGTTTGGAGGAAACACCCACAACGAAGGCTACAGCGATGGTACCACGCGGGCTGAGACACTCCATACGCCTGTTAACAAGGCGCCTAGTCGCCGAAACAACTCCATCACCGTGACCGACCTATCGCCTGATTTCGACGAAAGGAGGCTCATGTTCACCACTCAGCCACCCACAATCCGCGTAACTCCAGACCTCTCGACAGAGCAGTGGCTTCAATACACTAGAGGCATCCACGAGTACGAAAGAGGATTCGCAGCCTTCCGCAGTGCCGTTCTCGAGCATCAACAGCTAAGATTGCAGAAGGACGAGCGCCACCACGACACGATTTACGACGACACATCCTGTTTGGATGCATTTCTGAGCAGCTTGTTCAACGACATGCTTATACTTCAGAACTACGGCCGTGCTCTCCTGGAGTTCAGAGATGTGGTGAAGATGTTCCACAAGAACTGTGAACTCAAACGGGAAATCGAGGCCCGGGAGAACACACGTATATAGATTAATAAAGGGAGAAGGATAACAAACAAAAATGAATGCGGGCTGGCTGAATGGGGGGCATGAAACGTGTCCTCACATCCATAACCACCATCTCCAAATACGCGAACGCGAACAAGTAGTATCTATAACCACTTTTTCAGAAACCACGTCTCTTCTCCACAACAGCACAGTAGAATGGTTTCGATATCGCAACGCCAGATCTTCATTGTGGTCGGTGTGCTTTTCCATTTCTACTACCTATGGCTGATTTTCGACATCTATTTCGTGTCCCCGTTGGTGCATGGAATGGATCAGCACAAGTCAACATCTGAGCCTCCGGCCAAAAGATTGTTCTTGATTGTTGGCGATGGGTTGAGAGCAGACAAGACCTTCAAAAAGCTCTTGCATCCTGGAACCGGCGAGGAGAAGTATTTGGCTCCTTACTTGCGCTCTTTGGTGGAAAAAGAGGCTACCTGGGGTATTTCCAACACCAGAATGCCTACTGAATCACGTCCAGGCCACGTTGCCATGATTGCTGGTTTTTACGAGGATGTCAGTGCTGTGACGAAGGGGTGGAAGGAAAATCCAGTTGACTTTGACTCGTTTTTCAACCAGTCTACTCACACATATTCGTTCGGCTCGCCCGACATCTTGCCCATGTTTGCCTATGGTGATAATGTGGTGCCCGGCAGAATTGATGTGTGCATGTACGGCCATGAGTTTGAAGATTTCACACAGAGCTCGATTGAACTTGACTCGTTCGTGTTTAAGCATTTCGATGAGTTGATGGACCAGTCTGCCACAAACCAGACGCTACACGACGAGTTACATCAAGACGGTAACGTGTTCTTCTTGCACCTCTTGGGCCCTGACACTGCAGGCCACGCCTACAGACCATACTCTGCCGAATACTACGATAACATCGAGTATATCGACAAGCAGCTTGAAAAGTTGATTCCCCGGATTCACGAATTTTTCGGTGATGAAGAGTCCGCTTTCGTTTTCACTGCCGACCACGGTATGTCTGACTTCGGCTCTCACGGTGACGGCCATCCCGACAACACAAGAACTCCCTTGATTGCCTGGGGTGCTGGTGTCAATAAGCCTGTCCTCGCCGACGACGCTCAAAAAGCGAAACAAGACCCTGTTGTTAGCGGCTATGAGGCTGATTATTTCGATACTTGGGAATTCGACCATTTAGCCCGTCACGATGTCAACCAAGCTGACATTGCTTCCTTGATGGCCTACTTGATTGGTGCCAACTACCCTGCAAACTCCGTTGGCGAATTACCTTTGCCCTACATTGATGGTTCTGCAGTCAGTAAAGTCAAGGCCTTATACGAGAACGCATTAGCTGTGCTGGAACAATACCTTGTCAAGGAAAGTGAGGTTTACGACCACCAGTTCCAGTACAAACCATATGATCCCTTCGTGAAGAAGCCTATCGCTCAATACAAGGTCGAGATCCCTCTCCTTATTGATCAGCTCGAGGCTAATCCAACCGAAGCTATCGAGGCCGAGGCTATTGCCCTTACTGAAGAGCTCATGAAGGCATCCTTGGATGGCTTGAACTACTTGCAAACATACAACTGGCTTTTGTTGCGTTCCATCGTCACTCTTGGCTTCTTTGGCTGGATCGCTTACTCATTCAATGTGTTCTTGAAACTCTTCATTCTTAAAGATTTTGAACAGCCTCCCCCATCCACGAAGCTTCTCGTTGCATTCGGTGGCATTGCCTTGGGAATCAATTACTTATTGTTTTACCAGCACTCGCCATTCAACTACTACATGTACGCAGCGTTCCCAATCTACTTCTGGTACACGCTCTTCAATGAGAGTGGCCTCTTCTTCAAGGGCTTGCATAATTTCTTGTTTGGTATTTCAGGCCCAGTGAAACTCTTTACATTGGCCAGTTTCCTCGGAATGTACGAGGGCATTGTCTACGGCTTCTTCAACAGAATCATCTTTTCGGTGATTTTCGTCTTGATTGGACTCTATCCATTCATTGTCCTGCGGAAACTTGAACTCAAGGTCCTGTTGCCATGGCTTTTGAGTTGTTGCAGCATGTGCATCTTCACGAACTTGGACGCTGTCAAGGTAGAGAGCTTGTGGCAGATCAATGTCAGTGCTGTTGCAGCCCTTGTGGTTGGTGTCTTGGGCGCCAAGAAGGTATTCGAGCGTGGTGTTAGTCTGTACAACAAGAGACTCGTGGCTGCTCAAATAGTGACGGCCATTTTCACCTTGTATGCGACAAATGTGTCAGTGGTGTCCTTGCAGGCCAGGGAAGGTTTACCAGTGTACTCCCAGATTCTTGGCTGGATCACATTTTTGGTTTCACTTTTCGTGCTTCCAACGCTATACACCCTTCGCCCATCCACCGATTACCAGCTCAGACTTTTGATTATTTACTTGACCTTCGTGCCAACGTTTATCATCTTGACCATTTCGTTTGAGCTTTTCTTTTACGTTGGATTTTCGTTGGTTTTGTTGCAATGGTTGAACATCGAGACCCAATTGAAGATGACTCCTCAAGAGCTCGAAAAGTCCAAACGCAACAGTCTCAATTTGCCGGAAGGCTACTGGTTACAGACGATCCGTGTTTCCATTGTCGGTTTCTTTTTCTTACAATTTGCATTCTTCGGCACTGGTAACGTTGCATCCATCTCGTCCTTCTCCTTGGACTCCGTCTACAGATTGATTCCAATCTTCGACCCCTTCCCTATGGGAGCTCTTCTCATGCTCAAATTGGTCATTCCATACATTCTTTTGTCATCGTGCTTTGGCATCATGAACCACCAGCTTGAAATCAAGAAGTTCACCATTTCAACCCTCATCATCTCCACTTCAGACTTTTTGTCGTTGAACTTCTTCTACCTTGTCAAAACCGAGGGCTCATGGCTCGACATTGGCGTCACCATTTCCAATTACGTATTGGCCATTCTTTCCTCGCTTTTCATGCTTATTCTTGAGCTTGTGAGTACCATCATCTTGAAGGGTGTTGAGTTTGAGAGTGACGAGCTTAAGGAAAAGAAGCAGCAGGAGAAGATCCAGCAAATTGTCGACGACGAGACGCCGATCAGTGAGAGAGTCAGAAGAAGAAAGCGGGCTTGAAGAGCATCAAAAAATTAACAAAAAACATTCATAGTCATACCCCAACCTAGATTTAATAGTCAGACCGCACGTAGTATCGCGATTATCCACGCAGATTAGGCTGGACTTTTATGTGCACTGCGAGCTGAGTCAACTTTCACCTTCCTATACTTTCACTTACTCAATCAACATGGCAGGCAAATTCGGCAAAAAACATGTGTTGATGATTGACAACTACGACTCCTTCACCTGGAATTTGTACCAGTACTTGTGCCAGTCGGAGCTCTGTGAAAAGGTGGATGTCTTCAGAAACGACAAAATCGATATCGAGACGATTGAAAACGAGATCAAACCGGACATTTTGTTTATTTCTCCCGGTCCAGGCCACCCAAGCACGGATGCTGGAATTTCCAAGGCTGCTATTGAGCACTTCAAGGGAAAAATCCCCATTTTCGGCGTCTGTATGGGTCAACAGTGCATGGTGGAAGTCTTCGGAGGAGAGGTCTCCTATGCCGGTGAAATTGTCCACGGAAAGACTTCTGCTATTAAGCATGACGGCAAGGGTTGCTTCACGGGTGTTCCACAGGGCGTGGGTGCTACCAGATACCATTCTTTGGCCGGTACGATCGCTTCTATTCCAGACTGCCTTGAAGTCACTGCTAGGACGGAAACCACTAGCCCAGAGGTGATTATGGGTGTCAGACACAAGAAGTACACCATTGAGGGCGTTCAGTTCCACCCTGAGTCTGTCTTATCGGAGGCTGGCCATATCCTTGTGGAGAACATTCTCAGAATGCAAGGCGGCACCTGGGAGGAGAACAAGCCTTCTTCCTCCAAAGAAAACATCCTTATCAAGATCTACAAGCAGCGTATGGAGGACTACGAGAAGATTGAGAACATCCCAGGTAGAAGTTTTGCCAACCTCGAGACCTCGTTGCAGCTCGGATTAGCTCCTCCGCTCATCAACTTCTACGAGCGTCTCCAACTCACCAAGTCCAACAAGGAAAACATCATTTTGGCTGAGTTCAAGCGTGCCTCCCCTCTAAGGGCAACATTAATATCTCTGCACACCCTGCCAACCAAGCCTCCACTTATGCCAAGGGCCACTGCTCGGCTATTTCGGTGTTGACGGAACCCAAGTGGTTCAAGGGCTCTTTGGAAGATATGACTCTAGTCAGAAGAGTCATTGATGAGCAGATTTCCGGCAAGGGCGATGCATCTTACTCCAGACCAGCAGTTTTGCGTAAAGAGTTCATTTTCAACAAATACCAGATCGCCGAGGCCCGTCTAGCTGGCGCCGACACTGTTTTGTTGATTGTGAAGATGCTTCTGGACAGCAACTTGTTGCAGCAGCTATACGAGTACTCCTTGTCATTGGGCATGGTTCCGTTGGTGGAAGTGAATGATGCCGAGGAGTTGAAGGTTGCACTTGCTTTGACGAATAACGGTACCACTGAGGATCCCCTTGTTATCGGCGTGAACAACAGAAACCTCACAACTTTTGATGTGGACTTGAAAACTACAAGCTCGCTCGTGGATTCTGCCAAAAACAGTTCGAGAAAAGGTGATGTTCTCGTGTTGGCCTTGTCTGGCATTACATCAGAGCAGGATGTTCACAAGTATAAGACCGACGATGACGTTGACGGCTTCTTGATTGGTGAATCACTCATGAGAGCAGAGGAGAGAGGCGAGGCTGAAGCTTTCTTGGACAAGCTCATACATGTTTGATAGAGGACAACAAAAAAAATAGACAAATTGTAATCATTCGACGGACTAGTGTCGCTTGTGAAGAGCAAAGTACCCCTCTAGCCTCTTGGATCTGTGTGCGTCCTTGAAGTGCCTTAAGTACGAGGATAAATTGAAGTTTCCAGAGCCGATACCACCGACATCGAAATCAAAAAGATCATAGCAGGCAGGACAAACCACACAGCGACGTTCTTCGGTGCCATCGATAGTTCCCAATCTGCTGTATCTTGGTGTATGATAGATACCTGCAAACAACGGTTCTGGAGTCAAGTAGTCGTTCGGATAGACACCATGATACAAGGCCATGTGAGTGGCATAATAGGATCTCCGAATGTCAAAGAATTGAAAATCTTTGCAATAGGAACAAAGGGCGCTTCGAGAGTTTTGAATGACCCTTCCTGTTTCGTCTTTTTCTTTTCTGACCCATTGATAACTGTACGGTTCCTTGTCCGAGAAGAAGAAATGCTTCACATAAACATGCTGAGTGTCGTTTTTCTGAAGATCTTGTAAGTTGGGCCGGACGTATCTTTTTCTCTGTATCCGGCAAAACCTTTGGTCCAATAGCGTCACCATATACCTTCTGAAAGCAGGTACGACGGGCTTTTGAGTTGCCTCATCGAAATAAGGAGCTGGTTCCGGGTTCCTGGCAACATTAATCAAATGACTACCGCCAAATTCCCTTTGGTCTATGGTTACATTATAATCCATGTCGAAAAGTCCAGACACTTTTTGACGCTTTTGCAATGGTTCATTGGATCTTCCCAGTTGGTGGTCCTGCTCCAATGGAGTTTTGGGGACATACTGGATAGGACTGAAAAGCTTTTGCTTCTTGTGCTTATTCTGATTTTGGGTCAGCAGCACAACAGCACCTGCTCCGTTAGAGGATTCTCCAAGTGCTTCATGAGACACAGAACGATTCTGAGGGACATAAGAGAAATTGTCGAAACGGCAGTTCAGTTGCAGCTTTTGTGGTGGATCAAGCGACGGAGGCCGTTTCTCTATTGGTGGAGAGTCCACTTTTTCGAACCCAAGTGGGTCCACCTCAACATCGGAGATGTCACTTTCATCGGTCTGAGACTCCTCTTTTGGCAGAGGGTGATTAAACAAAGGCCGATGCTTCAACAAGTCAAACTCATCTTTAGGGAGAAAGATGTGCTTTTTAGAGCTCGAGGGTGGAAGAATTGTAAAACTCTCGTGAACCACAATTTCCTTCGTGGAACGGTTAAGGCTTTCTTCATCCAGGCTCCGTATAATTGTTGATAATTCAGAAGAATTAGACGAAGCAGATGGTACCAGGGCTGTGACTTTGGGAAGCTCAGGCGATAGATTCTTGTGTCCCTCACCACCGGCACAGTCATCTTGATCCACTATCGCCCAAATCGGACACTTTGGAAGCGGGTCGGGAGAGCGGATATGAAATTTGTCCTTGTTAGAGATTATATTCATAGCAGAGGTGGAGAGTTGATTAGCTATAGGTAGGTGGTTGCAAATCAGAGGAGTAGGAGGGTATTTGTGAAACCTCGCGATATGATGGAAGTCGGGAGAAGGTTCTAGGGTAAGCTAGTAGAAGATAAAAGAAATCAAAATTCTAATGGAATACGAGAAGTTTATTTTGTAGGAATGTAGAGTCTGCTGTGTCACTTGGGATTCGAATTTGCAGCCATTTCTAAGGAGGGTGCTGGTGTTGCTAACTTGAATTGAGTAAGACCAAGAGCTCGTTCAATATACTGGAATGCTATTAACAAAAACAAGTTCCGATTTCCTATGATGTAGGTCTCAGGAGAAACTTTCTACGAATTATATGTTCTACAGACTGAGTGAGCTATGAAAGATCAGTGAATTTTCAACAAAGTATGATACACCAGATGAGAAGACACTATTTCAGCCATAACTAGGTTTAGTGACCGTTTAAAATACCCATTCACAATTAGCACACATTTTACAACCCATTCGTCTTTCATCTGACGGACTCCAATGTATGTGGTGCACTGATGCACGCCACTATCAAGACATCAACCTCAACGCGTATGTAGCTCACCAAATCCACCTTCTAATATGGACGCTGCAAGTGTGAGAATACAGGCCTCTACGATAAAAGACTTTGGGGACGCGTTGTTAGAGTTGTTGGAAGCGTCGAGAATATCGATTTTGGCTCGAGCACAGCTACTTTAAATGCTGGAGGTCCTATCCAGGTGACTGTGAACGCGAATGATGGCCTAGAAGTTGGCAAAATCTACGAGATCATCGGTAAAGTGGGTGCTTCTGACTACAAGGTCAATGCCTACTCCGTGACGCGTTTCTCCGATAACACGAATTTGGAATTGCACAACAAGCTTGCTGCACTTGTTCCTAAGGTGCCTGAGCTCTTCTACTAAATGATACTGATGAATCCGTGATGCGTTTGTTTATGAACCTAGGCCAAGTCGATGTCTCTGTAGATATCCTTGAACCTAGCGCTGCTGTATAGTTTTTTGCAGGCGTCGTACCAGGCAGGCTTGCTTGACGTGACCTTTAATACCAATAAGTTACCCAATGCAACACACACTCTGTAGGCAGACTCCTCGTCGGCTTTTATTAAGTCCTCGGCGACTTCATCAAGGAGTGCAAAGAAGGCAAGTGCCGCGGAGGGGCGTTTGAAAGCGACGTATTGTTGAATGAAAGAGCCGTGAGATCGTACAAGAAGGAAGACACGGACGTCAATGCACTGCTGTAGTGCTTGTGGGATGATGCCACCGAGGAAGAAGTGATGATCTTCACAACCACAGTGACCTTGTTGACCACCTCTTCGTAGTATTCGTTCAAGGAAACCTGGTTGTGGTCGTCAAGAGTGAAGAACAACTGAGCGAACAAAGTGCTGGTGGTGAGGTTACACAAGACTCGGGCGATCATCATCACCAATGGCAAGTCCTGCTCACCCACCTCGTCTAGACTCTGCAAGAGCATTTTGAGAATACCTTCAGCAGCCTCTGTAGATTGAATCAAATCGACTGTGGTGACTCTGGGAATACTCACCCTCAACAAGTCAAAGCCAATGAGCTTCTGAGACAGCTCCCACGAGGATAAGATCTTAGGCACGATGTCGGTGATTATGAAAAGTGCATTCTTGGACTTGAGATCATGAAGACCAGACTCGACACTTGCGACATCCAGCGAGGAGAAGGCTGTTGATTCAGGTTGGTCAGAGTTGAACTTCTTGAAGCCCTTGACCAACTGTTCTGGCTTGTAGTCCTTGAATGTGATTGGCGACTTTTCAGGAAGCAATTTGAAGTTTTGTGGAGCAGGTGGCGAAGCAGCCTGAGGAACGGCTGGAGCACCTTGGCTTTGCTCCAACAGGAAGCCTCCGGTATTTTGCTCAATGAAACGCACAACTTCATCCTTGTATGAAGCTGGCAACTCGTGATCAGCCAAAAACCTCTCGGCGGCAGTGTATGGGTTCTCATTGGCGTTGTAAGGCAACTTGAGCGGAGGCTTACCATCCTCGACATCAACGTCAAACAAATAATCCCACTCCTTGCCATTGTGGCTCTTTTTCCCGGAGCTTCCGCCTGCAGAGCCCACCACGTCCCGATCTTCACCCATTGACCGCCTGACCATTGGTGAGCTTCAATGACACCAGCAGGACTCTTGACCATTTTCGTTGCACCTTCTTCGTCGGCACCTTGCTCGAGAGCCTCGTAGCCAGGAATGTCAGTTCTCTTCAAATCGTCAATGGACTGCTCTGAAATTGTTGAATTCTGCACAAGCGAGGTGAACTCTTGGATACCATTGGCGGTGGCCTCACGCTCTGGAGAAGCCGTAAAAACATAAATCGACTTATCCGAGCCGCCCACGGCAATGTCGTCATTGGGAAGCGTGTCCACACACCACACAGAGATGCAAGGCAACGTAATTGCCTGAAGGGTCTTGCCATTGCGCCAGATTCTCACGGTACGGTCTTCAGCAGTGGAAACCAAGTCGCCATTGGAGAGTATGGCAATGTCGTAAATGAAGGAGTCATGACCGTGGAGGGTCTGCAAAACAGCACCGCTTTCGAGGTCCCATACCTTGAGTGTGCAATCGTTGGAGGCAGAAACGAACTGCTTTCCTCCAGGCAAGATCAAGAGCTTTCTCACCACGTCGTTGTGACCAGAATACTGAGCCACTTCCTTGCCAGCCTTCCACTTACGGATGGTGCGGTCAGCAGAACAAGTAAGGTAGATTTCTTCGGCGGCATCGACGATTTTGGCGTCCCACACCGAGGCAGAGTGGCCCTTGAGGTCGTATTTCACCGAAAACGAAGACAAGTCCCACACCTTGGCCGTGCAGTCCCAGGAGCCCGAGATCAAGGCGTCATCCTTGTAATTGAGCGAACACACGTTGCCCTGGTGGCCGACTAACTGGAACTTGCCAAAGTCGTCTCCAGGTTTGACGAATGAGCCGTGGAGTTCTGAAAGGTAGATGATCGCATCCTTTCCGCCGACTGCAGCAACATCACCAGTAAAAGCGCTATTGACAAATGTCACAGCATTGACGAAAGCGCCCGTGGGCGACAGAAAGCAGATCTCGTTGTTGGGGTTGGTGTCTAGAGTCAAGGAGAGATCCCAGACCCTGGCGGTTCCGTCTCTGGAACCCGAGACGATTTTTTCATCTGAAACAGCGGCAATTCCCCTCACGTCCAGCTCGTGGCCGGGAGCGTCAGTCTGAGCTTGTACATGTGGAGAAGATGGATTAGAGGTCAGATGGCAAATGGAGTATTGAAGCGAGCGTTGATATCATGAGCTGCAGGAGCCCCAGAGGTGGCTAGTGGTTTGATGGAAGGGTGGGTGATTTAAAAAGGGGCAACTTGGAAATGAGGTGTTCGAGGCGGGAATTTTAAATATTTTTTGAATTGATTGATTTTTGTTTGTGGATGGGTGATGGGGGTTGCTGAGTAGGCAAGTATGGCTGCGAAAGTGAAGGCAGATTGAGAACAATGAGGTGTAGCAAAGTCCATACAATATGGAGCGAGATCCTCAATTTGGTGTTGTAGATCAACCAGCTTTTCAAATCACCAGTATAGCTTTGATACCCAAAATCTGGAACAAATCTAAAAGATACGTGGTGGTTGTCCACTTTCACGATTGCCAGTAGACCCTCACAATTGCCGGATAGATCTTCCTTCAAGACAAACTAGATTCCTTCAGATCTACGGAACTCATGCCACACCAAATACGCCTCCAGAACAAAAACCATCGAACCATTTTCTTTTTCTCATGCATTGAGAAGGTAACTCCCTCGGCACGAATCAACCTTCCCTTGCATAGCCGTGCGGTGGCTGCAAATTCCAAGCAACCAACACCAGACCCTTCCACCGCAAGCCACCTGTGAAACTCAAAAATCCCCACTTTCCAAAAATCAAAAAGCCACAATTTCAACATACGCTTGATTTCGGCCCGGGGCCAGATCAGCCTGGAGGCTTCGCATGAGGTTTTCCAGAAATGGCTGCGAAATTCAGCCAACGCATGGAACTCTGCAGACATGCCAGAGGGCCATTGAAGCAGGACAAACCTTTTCTGACACATGTTTTGAAGATTGATAATGCAAAGTGCAAAATGGAAATGCAAAAAGCAAATTGCAGAAATGCAAAACGCAAAAATGCTACAAATTTATGGGTATTACCGCCACCTCCCTCATCCCCATTGATCCGGATCCGAACCGGCAAACACCCCCCACCATCCAAAATTCACCCGCTCCTCCAACATGCCCATACATTTCCCCTCAGATTATAACGGCCAAATTCTCCCGAAACCTTCTTCGTGCCCTTCTCCGCATTGCTTCCTGTTGGCCGTGGAAACTTGGCCGCGAACCTCTCACATGACATCAACACTAGGTGAACCGCCCCAACTTCTTTTTCTTCATCTCGTCTAGCTACACCATGTCGTTAACACACTTTGTCAGTGCCGACGGCCTGCACGTGCTCTTCCTGCCAACTGCCAACCAGTACTTGGTGGTCAATTCCGAAGGTTCCACGGTTTCTTCGTCTTCTCCAGATGTCGCTGCCAAGGGGAAGGGATCCACAGTTTCGGCGGTTTTGGGAACCATTCGCTTCAGAATCAACAAGTACCTTGTTTTGGTCGACAAGCACGAGGTCACGGGAACCGCCTTGGGCAAGAAAATCGCCAGGGTCGTTTCCCACAAGATCCTCCCATTGGGCAACGAGAGCCTCTCCAAGAAGGACGCCGAGGAGTCCAGCTACTTGGCGCTTTTGGAGCAGCACTTGAAGCTGGCCTCGTTGTTCTTTTCGCTCGACAACGCCTATGACTTGACCAATTCCTTGCAGAGACAGCTTGCCGACGGTGTCACCAAGCCCGATGCTCGTTTCTTCTGGAACCAGTACTTGTCGGAGGAATTGATCGCTGCCGGTGCCTCCGCCTTCGTTACTCCTACGATTTACGGCTACTTCAAGTCTCACACCACCGAGTTCAAGGGCCACCAGAAGTTGGACTTTGCTCTTTTGACTCGTCGTTCATGGTCCCGTGCTGGTACCCGGTACTTCCGTCGTGGTATCGACGAGGACGGAAACGTGGCCAACTTCAACGAGACCGAGCAGATCTTCTTGACCTCTGACAATCAGCTCTTTGCGTTCCTCCAGACCAGAGGCTCTGTGCCCGTGTACTGGTCCGAGATCAACGACTTGAAGTACAAGCCCAACTTGGCCATCTCGTCCAGACCTTCCCAGGACGCCACCGCCAAGCACTTTGAGCAGCAGGTCAAGCTCTACGGCGACAACTACTTGGTCAACTTGGTCAACCAGAGCGGCTACGAGAAGCCCGTTAAGGATGCTTACGAGGAGGCTGTTCAGACTTTGCCTGCTTCGCTTGCCCAAAAAGTCAAGTACATCTACTTTGACTTCCACCACGAGTGCAGCAAGATGCGCTGGGACAGAGTCAAGCTCTTGCTCGAGCACTTGACCCAATTGGGCTTCAACAACGACAACTTCTTTGCCTACGATCTCAACACCAACACCGTCAACAGCGTGCAGAACAAGGTCGTCAGAACCAACTGTATGGACTGTTTGGACAGAACCAACGTGGTGCAGTCCATGTTGGGTCGCTGGGTGTTGCAGAGACAGCTCGAGTTGAACAACTACTTGTCCTCGGCTGGACAGCCTTGGGAGCTTGTGGATCCCGACTTCAACTTGTTTTTCCAGAGCTTCTGGGCCGACAATGCCGACGCTGTGTCCAACGCCTACTCTGGTACCGGTGCGTTGAAGACCGACTACACCAGAACCGGAAAGAGAACCAAGATGGGTGCCTTGCAGGACTTGAACAACTCCATCACCAGATACTACCTCAATAACCTCAGAGACGGCCACAGACAGGACGCCTACGACTTGTTCTTGGGTAACTACAGGCCGTTCAGAGACTCCATCAACAGCCCCTTCGTCGACAAGAGATCGCCATACATCCAATTGCTTCCCTACATCATTGGAGCTTCTTTCTTTGTGCTTCTTTCGCTTTTGTTCTGGCCCACCGGCTCGCTTCTCAGCTGGAAGAACATCTTCATTGTCAGCGGATGCCTATACGTTTTCCTCAAGAACGCCTACTACCTCGTCAAGAACGGCTACCAGTTTGTCGACTGGCCCAAGTTGGTGCCATTGGACTTCTTGAAGAGAATTGAGGAGTACTCGCAGGATGGTAAGTTTGTTGGAGTCAAGTATGAGGAGCACGAGAACTACAAGACGTCGAAGAAGCAGATCTAGAGACACCTACGCTAGAACCCCCATACAGCTTCTTTTCTATATTGTTTTATTTTAATGGCAAAAGCTATCGATCCCCATTCTGTGTAACCCAGTGGGGTGTCCTGCTGCACGTGACCAACCTGATTTTTTCTCTATCGCGTTCAACAAAACCACCGATTCAAAAGTAACCCAGCTGCTATGTCCAACGCTCTAGAACAATCCTTGGACGATATAATCGGAGAGCAGCAAAAAGCTCGTAAGTCCGAGCGTGGACCCAGGAGGTCTGGGCCTCTGGATAGAAGAGGAAGAGGCCGTGGTCCCAGAAGACCAGTATGTGAAGATTAACGATTTGAAGATTCCCTGAAAAAGCAAGAACAAAACTAACAATTTTAGCCCGTCAGATTCAACAACGCCAATACAATCCCCGATCAGATCCTTAAAAGCGCAGATGGCAGACCGATGTTGAGGTTGAAGAATGTCCACCCTGACTTGAACGGCGAAGACCTCTCCAACTTGTTCTTCAGCATTGCCCCAGTTGATTTCATAAAATTCGACCCCAGAGACGAGGCTGTGGCCTACGTCTGCTTCCAGCTGAACTACGGCGACAACAATGCCAGAGCCGTTCAGAAGTTTGACGGCAGAAAAGCCATGGGCCAGACCTTGGTTGTCGAAAATGCCGTTTCTTTGGCTGACAGGATAGCACCACAGGCACACCCCAGAAGAAACGCCGGCAGGGAGCGTGAGGAGGCGCCAAGAGCAAGAGAAGCACACAGATCTAGAGCCAGGGAGAAGAAGCCCAGGCAGCCTAGAAAGCCCAGGCCAGCTGCTAAGACAGCCGAGGACTTGGATGCTGAATTGTCTGCTTACATGAGTACCGAGGCAAACGGCGGAAACGACAACGGCGCCTTCGCCGCCCAGGACAACGGCGAGTCCATGTTGTAGTAAGAAAAAAGTTGAAAATTGTAAAGAAGCAGACTGCCGCCCTCGCCGTCTAATGCGGTATATGTATGTGTATAAAATCTATCATATTCGGACCAGTTAATGAATGTATTATATATGTATTCTTAAGGAGTAGCTACAAGATTTATAGCATGTTAGCTGTAGGGTTACCTTGGAAGTATTGAAATCAATAGACAGAGCCATTAATGTTAGGTTCATCGTGCTACATTCAAAATTATTCTATGCATCATCTCTCTACTGCCAAAGATGTGTATAAATCTATTATATTAAATTAAAGGAAAAAAAATTAACCCATTCCCTGGGTGAGCTCGACCAATTGCACATAGAGGCCCTTGGACCACTTTCTCCAGCTCTTTCCGTAGTAGAGCGTGGGGATGATGCAAGCAATGGTGACAAAGTCTATTACGGCCAAAGCAATGTATGTGTTCTGGGTTCCAGCGGAGTTCAACCAGAGAGAGCATGTAAACGTGAAAATGCACGCCAAGGTGTTGTTAATGATGGAAACACCCACCATGCCCTGAATGACGATTTCTGGATAGCAGTCCATAAGATACGACATGGCAGTGTCACCAATGGAGCCCCAGCCAAAACCAATGAGTGCAAGACCTCCGTAAACAACCCAGCCTGGCCATTCTCTGTCTGCACCTACACCAAACATGATCAAACCAACAGGAGAGATGATCATGGTGATGAAAAGAAGGTAGAGTCTGTACTCGGGCTCGTAGAGACCGTTGTTGCGTTTTGCAAGCCAGAGAACGTGCTTATCGGAAATGACACCCGACATGATACAGCCAAATACGGCGCCAACTAATGTTGCAACGTTCATCACAGCCACACCGGTCTCGCTGAGGTTCCAAGGCTCATCGTAGAAAAAAGTGTCCTGGGTGGTTAGGAAAAACGACATGTAAGCGTCTTGCAAACCCCAGAGCAAACCAGAAAGCCACACGGCTGGTAAGGTGAAGACCTTGAAGTAGACGAGGAAACGCTCAATGTACTGCTTGACGCCGTAGCCCTCCATGTACTCTGAGGGCGTGATAAGAGCAATTTGTTTCCAGTACGAGTTGGGTTTTTCCTTTTCCAAAGCGGCCTCTTCGTCCACTTCCTTGACTGGTCTAGACCGTCTCCTGGTTCTTTCCACGAAAATCTCGTTTCCCGACGCAATGGCGGTGTTCAAGTCCTCCTTCTCCTTTTCGTCCTTGAAATCCCGTTCTGGATCGTCGATGATGGCCACAGCTTCCTCGGGAGAATCGTAAACGGGAAAGTACTTCAGTCTATCGAAAACGGTCTCTTCGCAGGTAAAACCAACCACCACAAGCGTGGCTCCGGTGATAATGGCACCCCACCAGCCGACCCAGCGGAAGGTCTGGCTTTCTGAAATCAAATGGGCAATCAATGGCCCGAGAAAAGAGCCCACCGAGGTTGCCATAATGTAGACGGTCAAAACCGAGCCTAGCTGGTGCTGAAAGAAAATGTCTGCCAACGACTGCTGGGCCTGGGCCTCGGCACAAGCTTCCGACATACCCACGAACGCCTGGGACCAGATTGTGTCTGCTGTTCTCTTGGAAAGTGCAAACCAGACCGAACCCAAAGTACCGGCCAAAAGACAGATCAAGTAGGTGATTCTTCTGCCGTAAAGCGAGGACGCCGGGGCAAAGAAAATACACGACCAGCCGATAAACAAGAAAAGCACACCGGCACCGGTGTTCATGGCGTCGTATGAGATTCCATAAAACTGGTTCAATGAGTCCTGAGCGGCACCAGCATCGTTGGAAATGGCTGCTGTGAGGCCTGTGATGTAACAAACAACCATGAAATGGTATGCTTTCCGAGGAGCCAGCCAGTTAAGGGGATCATTGACGGAGTCAGAAGGCTGGGGAAGCAAAATGACACCCTTCTTGTTTTTCTTCAATGGTCTGCCCGTGTGGTTGCTGGAGGAGTCATCTGACGATGAAAAGATATTAGTGGTTCCCGGGATGTATTCCTCCGAGAAGTAGTTGGTGTTCATGGGTTGCTCTATGCTGAGTTTCTATGCTGTTTTCTATCGATTGTGTGGCTAATGCTTATCAAATATGCTTTGGAGGTAAAGTGATTATCTGAGCTGGCGATGTCAAAGGAGCATTATAATTTTGTGGATCTGGCGGACAGAAATGAAAAGAAGTTGTTGTGACGGAGGAGTTTTAAAAAATTTCTCGCTTTTTGAGCAAAGATAGCCGCTGTGTCTGGTGGAGTAGATGAAAAATCCTCCACATCAGGTTCTCACGTCATCTCATCGCGAGTGGGGGCCACAGTGGGGTCATACGGCTCGAAAAAAATTGCATCTTGAATTCTTCATATTTTCTTGAATCTCCACCGCTACACGCTAAAAAACCTTATTTCTTTATCGTCTCGTGTGATGCCTGGATTTGCAGACAACGCTGTCATTATGCGCCAAGCGAGCGCCAAGCACCTCGTTGGTTGCACCCTTTATGAGCCTCGCACGACCACCATTTTTACTAACCTCACGATACTGATTCAAGACTCACCACCTTCTTCCTAGAGAACCTCACCCCACCATCCATCTAGAGGATCTCGCTGTAGAAAAAAAGGGTCCCTTTCCCCCGCCGCGCCGCATACTAGTCTTCTAATTTCTTCTCATGTCCGCCCAAGACGACCTATACCTGCTTGAGGAGTTGATCCAGATGAAGGGCCACATATCCCAACTCCAGGCCACATTGAACCAGGTGCTTCTGCGGGCGCCGCTGGTGGCAAAATACAAGGAATTGTGTGGCGTGATGGAACTGCCGGCCTCGCTTCCGCCTGTGCTAGCCTCGGCTCCACAAATGGTGGACAAGCTCAAACAGACGGTGAATACGCCCCAGATCAAGGTGGCTGTCCGCATCAAGGAGCTTTGCGATAAGGGCTACTTGCCGTTTCTCCTAACGTTGGCGAAATGCAACTTCAAGCTGACGAAGCTCGACCGCCATGTGGGCTACATAATGCACTATAAACCGCCCAAGGACCAGGAGCTGTTGAAGGAGGAGGAAAACGGGCATCTCGTCGGCAAGGATATCGAAATGTACCCTCCTAGTTTGCCTCCCATTGAAGACAATTCGTTGCTCAAGTTGGTGCTTACAGACAAGAGCTTGAGACAGCCTCCGGACTTCTTGGAGCTGCAGTTCCACGAGGGACATCACGACTTCAACAACAACCACAACCGAAAATTGGCCATCAAGGGTAAAGCCTTGTTGGACTACCTCCTTTTGGAGATTCTCGACGACAAGTTTATCCACAAGGCCCACGAAGACGATGTGGTGTATGTCAAGAACAGGCTCACATCGACCATGATCTTGGCCAAGTTTGCATACCTCTACAACCTCACCGACGAGCTTCAACACGCTGTTTCCGACGAGCTTGCTTTTGAAGATAAGCTTGTGGTTTTTAAAAATGTCTTTCTTGCGTACATCCAGGCTTTGACGATGCTGAAGTATAGCACGGCTGAAATCAAGCGGTGGCTCGAGGCGCTTTACGAGCCCATGTTGGCTAAGTTGCTGCGGGAGTATAGCGACGGCGAGATCTTGAAAAACGTCTATGCCGTGGCGCTCTCTGAATTCCACTTTCTCATGACTCGTGTGAACAACTACTTTGAGCAGCCCACCAAGAAGATCCGCTACGACTTCAATGTGGTAGAACTGGAGCCGTTTGTTGTTACTCTCAATATTGCCGGAGAGGACTACAGCACGGGCACGGACAACACCGAGGTTGGAGCTCGTCAAAAGGCAGCCTATGAATTGTTCCAAAGTAAGACATTGCGTTTCAAGCTCATGAGGTACCTTTTTGACAACTACAAGAAACCAGAACCTACCAAGCCCGAGCTTCCAAAGGCAGAGGCTCCTAAACCAGCCGAACCATCGCTAGCCAAGATGATTGACGATGACGACGACTATGATCCTGAAGCATTGAGCCTGACCAAAGACGATACTCCAGCCTCTTCTCAAACACCTACATCTTCACAAAAGCCAGATGTGCCTTCAAAACCTGAGGCTCCACCAGCCAGAAAACCTTTGCCATACGGTGCTTTACCTCCAATTCCTACAATGAAAAGGAGAGCGGCCAACAGGTAGTTCTTTAGGTGGTGCAGCCAAGACTGATTGATCTACATTTGGGTGCAAAACGGGCGAGCAGTCAGTTTTGTGGAGAAATGGTCTGTCGGAGTTCAAAGTGAGGTCGGCCCGAAATAATGCCGATGCTGGCGATCCACCGACCTCGGAAAAATTCCAAAAGGAACGTTGATCCGTGGAACTGACTTTACACGACCCTTGTTGCAGAGTCTTTCTTGGTCCCGGCGAGAGTCGGGCACATGGGCATTTTACTGTGTAGAGGGAAAAGAAACGCTCCGTTCCTCAAGTGTGCAAGCCAATGAAAACGCTTCATTCACACCGCGAATTTTTTTTTTTTTTTCCACTCCTCGATATATCTAAGCTCGACGCTTCCGTACCGCAGATTTCGAAAGCTCTTTTTCCTCAGAAGCAAACTTTCTTTTCTTCCACTTTTATCATAAAAAATGGCTACCAAGACTGAGTACAAGCTCCCAAACTACACCGTTGGTGACTATGCATCTTTTGCCCTTGCCGGTGCTATGGGCTGTGGTCTTACCCACGGTGCCATGACTCCAATTGATGTCGTCAAGACCAGAATCCAATTGGAGCCAACCGTCTACAACAAGGGTATGATCTCTTCTTTCAGACAGGTTATCTCCAAGGAGGGTGCCGGCGCTCTTTTGACCGGTTTGGGCCCTACCGTCTTGGGTTACTCTTTGCAGGGTGCTTTCAAGTTCGGTGGTTACGAGTTGTTCAAGAAGACCATGATTGAGCAGTTGGGTTACGACACCGCCTCCAAGTACAAGAACACCGTCTTCATGGGTTCTGCTGCTTTGGCCGAGTTCTTCGCTGACATTGCCTTGTGTCCATTGGAGGCTACCAGAATCAGATTGGTGTCTCAGCCAACTTTCGCCAACGGTTTGGTTGGTGGTTTCAGCAGAATCTTGAAGGAGGAGGGTCTCGGATCTTTCTACAACGGTTTCACCCCAATCTTGTTCAAGCAGATTCCTTACAACATTGCCAAGTTCTTGGTTTTCGAGAGAGCCGCCGAGGCCATCTTCGGTGCCGTCGGCAAGCCAAGATCTGAGTTGTCCAACGGTGCTTTGACCTCCATCAACTTGTCTGCTGGTATCATCGCCGGTTGCGCTGCCGCCATTGTTTCTCAGCCAGCTGACACCTTGTTGTCCAAGGTCAACAAGACCAAGAAGGCTCCAGGCCAGTCCACCGTCGGCTTGTTGGCCCAGTTGGCCGGCCAGTTGGGTGTCCGTGGTTCTTTCGCCGGTTTGCCAACCAGATTGGTCATGGTCGGTACCTTGACCTCCTTGCAGTTCACCATCTACGGCTCTTTGAAGGCTGCTTTGAACTGTCCAAAGGGTGTCGAGTTGTAAGTATGTGTTCATAATAGAGACCTAAGTTATTCACTCGCACGTTGATGTAGACAGCTAGTTTTTTTGATACGGACTTTAGTGAAGAGATCAAGGTGACTCTTGGAAAACTGTGGCTGGTGTACGGATGTAGTGTGGAGATCGGCTTCACTTAGATCCGAAAAATCCATTTGCGGTAAATTTCACCTACAAGCTAAAAGCCTTGTAATTAAGGCCATTTTCAGCTCGAAATGCTTAACGATGTTTGTGAATTCCCTGATCTGCGGAGACTCGTAAACTTTTGTCTCAAATTTACAAAGATTATCAGATCGTGGAAATAGTCCAAATCAGGCATTCGCAAAACATGTCAAAGTCAGAACAATGGCGAGATCAGACCCGAGCACAATCCATAATTTTAGCGCCATATGGAGCATATTGCGTTGAAACATTGCTCAGACGTGGAATGGCCAATTTCACCTAAACCCTTATTTTCGTTTTGCTTTTCTGGTTCCTGAGGCTTTGTAGTCGTCTAAGCACAGTCACGTGGAAGAGGCACTGCAGCCATCTTCTGTGACCGTCTTGTCTGCAGGACTCACGACATATCACAGTAAGTTGCTGAGCTCCGTGACCGGACGTGCTCCAGGCAGTGAAAGGCATGCAGAGGAAATTTTGCATTTGTGTATGGGCCCACAGCCCTAGCCAGCTTGGCCAAACTGCAGATAAGTCAAAGTCCCGAAGGATTCCGGAGCCCATAAGGGTGGAACTCCGCTTCGAGGCTTGTCTAAACTTTAGCCAAAAAGTGTTATTAACAAACCGGAAGGGGCAAGTCGCCCCTCAAATTGAAGCCAGCGAAGGCTTTCGATTGACAGCGACACGTCTGAGAAAGCAAATTGCCTAATTAGGCAAGGTTATTACCATCACACACGTCTAGCACGTCACTACGCAGGATGTCGCTACCAAAAATAGCGGCGCAGGCCTAAAAGTCACTCACCCAACCTCTCTCGGTGCCTGGCGTCCTGCAGACACGCCTCTCTTGCAGCACCCACAGGGTCTCTATCGGCACAATATATAAAGACCCACTTTTTCGTGCTGGTTGTCTTACCGCATCGGTTTTTCCTGATTTCAAAATGCAGCTCCTCCTTGCATACTTATTTGTCCTTCTCTCGGCTGTTTCGGCTCTCCCCATCAACAAGCGCTTGTATAAGCCATCCTCCCCAGTTTTTTCCGTCATTGCCCATCATGAAGGTGCTGTTTTCCAATACCACTTGTTGAAGTGGGACGGCCAGGACCTTGTGCTTAACACTGACGAGGCAGCCTTTTTCGGCAGAATCAAGGCCAACAATGACTACATTTTGAACTTGCCTGGTTCCAACAAGTCCGCTAATGCTACCCAGATAGAGCCCCAGACTACCAATGTCTACATCAACCCTGAAACTTACCAGCTTTCCACCACTGAGTCCCCGGTTAACGCTACCAGCGGATTCGGTATCAGCCACCAGAAGTTGACTTATCAAAACTCCACTGAGTTCTTGGCTTGTCCAGCCAACGGCTTTAGAGGCGAGTACTATGTCTACTGGGGCAACGACAACAAGACCGAGTGTCCAAGCCAGGACAGAGGCTACCCTATTGAGCTCATTGTGCAGAGCGATGACGCCATCAACTACAACCCGGAGACCAACAAGTTGGGTAACTCGCTGTTGCCTCTTATTCCAAACAAGAAGAAGAGATTTGTCTTTTTCTAAGCTGGAGAGGATACCAAAAATAAAGCAGAGTTGATTCTCGGCTACAGCAGGCACGCTGCCTTTGATGGAGGCAGAAGCCCGCACGCATTTACTTTCTTCACCGCTACTTCATTTTCTTACGACTACCTAATTCGCACGATTCGTATATAAAAATTGATACATTTCTAGACTGCTTCTGTAAGTTCGTTCCATGGCGCCACCATCTGGTCTCTACCTGAAGACAGGTAGGTTGGTAGCTTTTCACTCTTTTCAAAAGCGAAGATTCTCCTTGTCTTTGCTCGTGCAATTTCGTCCAACCTCGTCAGGTCCTGCGGCAACAAGAGTATCCTGCTCTCCAATTCGATAAGCTGATCGGGAAGAGTAGGAAGAAACGAAACACCAATCTGGAGCTTGAGAGAGAAATGCAGACTCACAAGCTCATCGAAGTACGATTGGGCATCAGTAGCCAAGGAGTACGGCATAAGCAGGGAAGGAAACTTGAAGCGGTACTCCTTATCGGTGATGTATTCCTCGGGCCGAACCTTATCCCAGGAGTGGGTTCTCTTCACCTCTTCAAATTCATCCAAACGCACAGCCATCTGGGTTTCCTGTTCAAGCAATGGGGTGATGGAGGTGCAATCTTCTTTGTAGACGGCATTCTTGACAAACACCTGCCTTAGGCTGACTCCGTTGATCAGAATTCGCAACAGCGGCGTGGTTGTCTTTCGTTTCCACCATGAGGCTTCACGACATAGCTTCATAAGAACAGCATTGGATAATGGCGTATAAAGATAGAGATCCACGAAATCGCCTAGCCTCTCGTTCTGGTAAAAAACGTTATTCGTGTTGCCAAAGTTCTGGTCTGGGTATCGTCTCTTATAGGCAAATTCTAGCCGGAATGGAACCTTCACAGCTAGAAACTTCTCTTCGCTTCTGCCTTCTTGAATGAAAAAGCGCCGGGAAAAAATCTCCAGCTGTCGAAGCGGATGAGGCTCAATTTCTGTCGTGGTGACGAAATCCGTATATAACCGAAGTCCCTGAAGCGATGGCTTGATCTCGAGTGTCTTGATGGCCCTGAGTTCTAGACCCTCCAGTGTGGTACACTCAGCCTTGACAAAATAGCTGAATTGTGAAAGTGATCCGTCTGGAAGAAGGACATGCTGGCTGGGGACAAGCAGCCTGTTTTCTGGAAAAACAAACGTAATGTCGTACTTGAGGGTTCCGCTTTCAAAAATGACCGGTTCGCCCTCGAGCACATCGTATGTGGTTCTCGTGATTTCTTGTTCCGTGGTTTTCTTGCTTTGTGCACATACTAGTCTGGAAGTGCCATATAGGATCAAATGGAAACGTTCAAGTATGACTTCTCTGTGAATGACGAGGTTGACTCTCACCTGCAATGGCATACTGGTGCAGTGTGGTCCAGAGGTTTCTGGAAAACTGACTAGGATATCGCAAGGTGGGGACATATTGGGAAGACTGTGGTGGATGGGATTTGGTCAGATGGCATGGTGACGGGGTATTTATAAGCTTGTGGGCGAGTCATTTCTGGGGTTATCAAAGGGGAAGGTGGTATTGAGTTTATGTGCTGACAGGTTTGGTTTTAAGAGGAAGGTGGAAGGAAGAGCCAAATGAAGAAACCATAAGTCAAATGAGATTTAAACAGGGAGCTCTGGAAAGATGAAAAGCTCTTTGAATGAGAATGGGATGTCAATTTTTTGAGTGTCTTTCAGAAACACCTTGGTTGCATACGCATGATAACAGACCCTACATAACCGAGCGAAAGCGACACGCAAGGAGATATTCATGATTAGGGAGTTACGTGCGTGGCTTCAAAAAAACAGACATTTTATCCTGTCTTCTCGATAATTTCAAGCTGGGACGTTGAAAAAGGCGGTTTGGTAGAAATCAAGGTTTTCGATAAATGCTTGGGTCTGCTTTAACAGTGTTGTGAGTACGATCTAAACTTTCGAGCTGTTTCTAGATAGCTTGAAAAACATCATCTTCTTGATAGACTGAAATAATAATTTATTGGGCATCTTGATAGTCCACCGTCTAAAGAGCTTGGTAACGCAGTAGACATGATAGGTCCCATTGCACCAGACCCACACTATCTTGTAGCACATAAAAGAACTAAACAGCTTTGTTATTGAGTTTTTTGTTAATTTCACTCAATCAACTATCTGTCTGGGAGCATATTACATATCCACACCACATCAGCTACTCAGTCTCAAGAAGTGCGATATCCCCACAGACCCTACGCACAATTTTCAAAATTTAAACGAAACGCCCAAAACACTTTCAAATCAAATTTTCAACACAACATCTTATAGGTCAATTTCCTTCTTTTTATCACTGCTTCACCTCCCTACTTGGGGCCCTATCGATCTGGACTGCATGCAGCACTCTGCTCAAAAATTCTCTGATGAGCATCTCCATCTTCTTCAACTCTTCTCAATGGCACCTTCCCACAAGTCAGACGAAAGAGTGTACGACTCCGAAAGTGGGAGTGACTATGAGGATGTGGCCTTTGAGGCTCCCAAGGGATTCAAAAAAGTGCCCCTCAAAGCGCCAGACTCGCTAGGCGACAAGGAAATCTGGCTTCTCAAGACGCCCAAAGGCTTCCCTCTTGATAAATTGAAGACGTTGCCTGTTTCCTTCACGTCCAGAAAAGTCAAGAATGACGGCGTGAAGCCCGTGATGGTGGACAAGACAAAGTACCAGGTGAACGAGGAGCATTTTTCATCAGACAATGCCAAATACGCTATCGTCAACAAGGAGTTGAGAGGCAAGCATATCGACAGATACTACACGATAAGAGAGGTTGTTGACATTCCCAAGATCGATTTTGAGGCCGTCACTGTGCCACGTGTGGATGTGGAGAAAGCTGAGGGTTTGAAGATGAGGCACTTTGCTACGGGTTACGGAGCCAAGGACTTCGAGGAGGCCCAGCCTATCGCCGAGCTGAGGCTAGATGAAGATGGCCGTGTGATCAAGAAGGCTAGGGTCGAGGAGAATAAGGAGGAGGACAAGAAGGAGGACAAGAAGGACAAGAAGGAAAAGAAGGAGAAGAAAGACAAGAAGGAGAAGAAGGAAAAGAAGGACAAGAAAGAGAAGAAGAAGAAGGCTCAGGAATAGGCACTGCCGGCCACTGCATTTGCATTGTACAATAATACACAATAGAAGAGACTGAATGTAGGTCAATTGGGGTGGATGGCGTTGAGTGATCCACGAATGAGTAATTAGTGCAATATTTAATTCATATGTGAATCAGACGATTACTCAATTCTCAAGGTTTGTTAGGAATGAGTGGTACTGATATCGCACTAGGTCAAGTCAGGACCAGTGCCAGACAACCTCTGACAGCTTTTGACACATAAATGTTACATCACATATTTAAGCTTTTAAAAGATAATCTGATTAATCTAATTAGTGAAACAGGTTTAATTTTTGGGAATACTCTCCCCAGGCTCAATGTATCCCAGCTTCCCCAGATCAGGCGCGCAGATGAGCATCAAATCATATACTACCTCATTCTAGATTACTAAAACACCAGCATTTCTCCTCAAAAATGGGTGGCTCAGCATCAAAACCTGCTAGGAAGCTCACCAAAAACATCGTCAATACAGACAAGATCACGCGGAGCTCCAGGGCCCATCTTCCCCCTCAGGCACTCAAGGAGCAATTCGAGAAGTCAGCAGCAGCCCAAGCTGAGGCCCAAGAGGCGCCTAAAACGAATGACAAACAACAAAGTGAAAAATCGCAAAATGAAGAACCACAAAACAAGAATCAACAGGTTGCGCCTCAGCAACACAGATTCCAGAGTCCTGCTGGCAATAATCCCCCTGGAAAGGATGGAATGGACCCCACGGCTGACCAAGCCTTTATAGACTCCATCAGCAAGCTAGGGCGCCAGATCAAGAGTGAAGACGTCAAACAGCCCAATCAGCAGCTCGATGTCAGGGCGTTGAAGCAGCTTCTCAACAGAAAGGCACTCTACGAGAAGGGCCAGAAGGAAGTCAAGGACCAGCTTGACTCGCTGCTGAGCCACAAACGCACAATGATCCACCCAAAGACGCTTCTGGCGATTTTGAATGCATACCACGACGAAGGCGTGACCAACGAGACGGTGCTTAAAGACTACGAGTTGAGCGCTGACTTTTTCCAGAACCTCAATCGGTTCAAGGTCGCTCAGAATATCGTTCCGCTCCAGGAGGATACCAAGGAGGACGAAGTGGGGCCCAGAACGGAAAAGGACCGTGTGCGTGTGCACGAGACCGACGAGGAGCATGGCATTGATGGAGATGTTGGAAAGGAGCGTTTGAAGGAGTTGCGGAAGCGTCTCGAGTGATTGTACATAGGACGGGGTGGCCTGGAGGCGTTGAGCTTTGGGGACCTCCATATCGACGGATCCGTTTGATACACGTATTTATTGAGTGGGTGTAGGGCGGTTCTTTTAATTGAAGAGGTATCGGATTCTGATAATGTGTGCATCCTCCGGGAAAGAACCCAAAAACTACAAACCTTTGTTTAAGTCATTTTCTAGTTTCCGCTTGTTTTGCACCTCCTTAGTCCTAGCTGCCGTGACAGGTGAAACACAATCCTCTCGTCCCTTGTTTTACCAAGATCACTATTTTCAGACGCAACGATATTCACTTGAGTGCTTTGCTGGAGCTTCTCGAGTGTGTTCTGAATTTTCAGTCCTAGAGTGCCTCCAGTGGTCTTGAAGGGGTGATACTTCAAGTCTGTGCTTTGAAGTGCATTTGTGGAACAGTAGGTCCCCAAATTGCCTACTTCACCAGGCATGGTTTTGATTTTGCATAATCCAATCGCTGTATCTTCAAGGGACAAATTAGGCGTCAGTGAAGACTCATTATGCATTTGGCTTTGAGAGCCTGCTGGAGAAGATACCTTTAAAGCCTGATCAGCTTCACCTCCTTTCCCTTGGTCCTCCTGATTCTGTGACCCCACAAAGGAGCCAAAAGACTCAACATTCTCCTCAAACTCTATACTTGAGCAGTCTGAATCATTCCCAAAAGTGTCCGGATAATCATACGGAAGCTGGTTCTCCATCTGCTGTTTGAGACACTTGTACTTCGGCAACTTGTATTCTAGAGGGTCCACATAACGACGGAAGACTCTCGGCTTGGGTTTTTCCTTTTTGGCGGCCTTGTAAAAAGACGGTATTCCTTCTTCACAAAGCACCTTTTTGGAAAGAAGCATGGGCGTTTCTTTCTTGAAAAGGTAAGCAGCCACTCGCCTGAATCGTCTCTTGATACGAGTTCTAAAGTGGTGCTCTTCCACAAGTGCCTTCAATTGTAGATCGTCAATGCCTTTAAAATCTAGGAGCTCCTGGACGTCCATGGGTGACTTTTCCTGAATCAACGGCTCGGTTTCGAAATTGTAAGCAGAAATTGGAACTTCCTCTCCTATTGGTCTTTCAGGAAGTGGGCAGAAACGAGGATATCGGGTGCTATGGAAGCTTTGGTGGATACGAGTAAGCATAGACATGATAGAGGTGGAGTAGTAGGTAGTTGTCTCGCAAAAGTACAAACAGCGTTGGTGAGAAGAAATATTGTGGCAGGGTACCGAAGCTATAAATGTATATAAAAGATTCGATGAAAGGGGTATAGGAATTTTTTGAGAGGAATTTCAAATGTGATTCGATGCAACCAGAAACTTATCAATGAAGAGTTTCTGGGGTGAGGTATCGATGGGGGTATTCTAAGGAACTCATGTTCGTTGACCAGCAAGCCCGGTCTAAAATATCAACGTTAATGAACGTCATCTCCGTTGCTTCTTCTCTACTACTTCTTCTTCTTGGCTTCTTTACCAATTACATTGACTGCTTAATTGAGCTTAGCCAACCAGATCATCCATAACTGCCACACCATAGGAGGCCGTTACCCGCCCGAACAAAATACGTGATGAAGGCACTCCAAAGAGTGAAGAAGCATGAAACTGAATAAACTGTCTTTTGGAATTCGGAAGTACTTCTTCGATTGACCAGCCCTCAACCTGACTCTTTCGCAGCCACTGTACCCCAGACTCCTCCACAACCCCACGAAAAGGCACGTCAAAACCCACCGAGAAAACCCAAAATTTCAACAAACCAAACATTTCAACAAATTTGTTCCTCCCCTCGTCCATTGACCCCGGACCTCCCATAATCGTCCTTTTTCATGTGCACCTCCGGGTCCGAAACCGGGTACCCCAGATTCCGCGATTATCACCAACCTTCAACTAACCACTCTTTGTTGAATTCCAACCCCTAGAGAATGTCGGTCAGAAACACTCTCGCTAAATACACCCCGTGCGACATTTCCGACGCATTGGCCAATTACGGCTTGAAAAACGGCGGTTTCATCCCCAATCTCGTCCAGAGAAGCCCTATTGGAAACACCCCAAACTCAGATGCCTCTTCTGCGGTGGGACTAGCGTATACTGTGCTCTACGCTCCTAAACTGGATCCTCGTCCAGCGGTGAAACAGAGCTACATTGACGAAATCCCCAAAAACAGCATGCTTGTGATGGCTGTCACCGAGGAACTTCAGCAGACCGTGGCTCCTTATGTCAAGGTAAACAACGCGTTGTACGGCGGCTTGATGCTGACGAGAGCCAACTACAGGGAGGCCGCCGGGTCGGTCATTCTCGGCCGGATCCGGGACTTGGCTGAGCACAACGACCTCAACTACCCGGTGTGGAGTTACGGAGTAGGCACTACTGCTGGCCAGCCTGTGGTGAAGGTTGTGGGCATCAACGTGCCTGTTTCGGTAAAAGTGGCTAGTGTTGATGGCGAAGAGACGATTCGTGTTTTGCCCAACGACATTGTGGTGGCTGACCAGAACGGGGTGGTGAGAATCCCTATTGGTCACACGGAGGGTCCTGAAGCGGACATTGACCTCGATAAGGTGTTGGATTACATTCCCAAGCGTGTGAATGCTGACACGCATGTGAGTGAGGACATCAAGGCCGGTAAGCCTGCTGCCGAGAGCCAGAAGTTCTGGCGTGGAAAGATCTAGTTTCAATAGAAGGGACGTTAGTGGGTTGTTGTAGGGTGGTGGGGGAAATAGTTGACCTGCCTTTGAAATTGAGATGCCTTTGAAGTGATGTTCATATTTTGAAGTGAATTTGAAGTAGTGTTCTGGTATTGAAAGGCTTCAAAAGCTGTGTTTCAATGGCCGGCCACTTGGCAATTGTGTACTTATAAGTTACAATTAAACCACAGCGTGTCCAACAAATCTAACAGGTAATTAAAAGGAAGCCCAAAGAGATATTAATATTAATATTTTTCTGAAATTTTGAGCCCATCCTTCGAAATGTTGTAATTCTGGAGGATTCTCTGTTTTCAAAGGATGTTGTCGATGACACGGGACATGGATTATATCTTCAATCGTTATCATACTCGTTCTTTATAGCCTATCAAATCACTTTCATGGCTGTTTTTCATCGAAAGAGCCACTTGAAATTGAAGCAAATCAGATTCCCTCATTCACAATAGCCACATCAGAAGCTCGTTTCAAACTCCACGACTTTCATTTTCTTCCCAAATTCATATATTTCATTTTCATCAAAAGGTCTCAAAATATTCTCCCCAGTGTCTCATTGCCACCCTCTGACTCACCTCAATGTCTCGTTTCAGAATCGCAGTACCTTCAATTGCCACCGAACCATCACCAAAACCAAAAACTATATAAAAAGCCAAAATCCCATCTTTTTCAAGTTCCCTAAAACCAAAACGTTCCTTTCTTATTCTGAACACCCTCACTACCAGACCTGCCCCTCCTCGCAAACCATCACCTGCGATACCCATTTTGCAGCAATTCAAAGAACCCTCCAACAAGTCCCCACGAAAAAAGCAACCCCATTCTCGAATTCCCCACATTTGAAACCACCCATCCCCCAAATATCCCCCAATTCTGCCCCACCCCCAATTCGCCCCCAATCTTTGCTACCGCACTCAACCTCACCTTATCTGCGATCTCGGTACTCAGTCCCCACACTTCAACAACCACTTCTTCAAAACATGCCTTTGGACACATATGCACATTTGAACGGCCGCCCGAACGGCGCTTCGGGACTTCCAGACACCATGGCCGACCTTAGACTTCAGCTAATTGGAAATCGAGATCTTAAGATCAAGGTTCTTCAAGAACCACACTTTGTCGCTTGGCTTCTCCAGGAGTTGTACAAGGACTTGGAGGCCGTGAAGAGGGAACAACTGCTTCCCGACGTGTCCAAAACACGCCATCTTCACGACAAAGTCGTCATTTTGCGTATTCTAGCGTGTTTCGTCGCTGACCTCCAGAACCTGGACGAAAAGGTCTCTGTGGATGCGCTGTGCTTGGCTGAATCGGTGCCCTTGATCACGGAATTCTTTGAATGGGTCATCCAGACGTTTCTCCCGGCTTTGGGCGACACCCTGACCCCAATCGGCCCAGAAACGGCCGATGCCAGAATCGACCTCCAGAAAGTGCTCTGTGACAGTCTCTGGATCATGCTTGTTTTTGCCAGCTCAGGCAGCGTGGCACTCACGGAATCTAGCTACGAAAGCTTGTACAAATTGACCACGGCATTGCTTATATGTGACGACACCAAATCGCCCAATTCTGCTCTGACCCTCCAACGAGCCGTGATTTCGAGCTTGAACCTGCTCCCGTTTTTGCTTAAAGGAGCGTCTAAGCGTCTTTCGGAGACTTACGGAGGCCCCTTGCTTAGACTCTGTTTGCTCAGGCTCCATCGAGAATTTGCTCAGTTGCATAATCACTACGTGGATGGTTTGCCCAGTCAGGGACACTTTCTAGAGAAGGTGTCGCCCAACATCATAGGCGACAAGAGGCTTCTACGGGACATTTTCGAGGTGGACTTCATCACGTCGTTGGTTGTTGCAGCCGCTCAATTGCTCAACCACACAAAGGAGAGAAATAGAGCGCTTCCGCTTGACCTGGCCTTCTTCACATCCAAGGAGGTGTTTTTGTGCATGGTCCTTTTGCTTAAATGCGACGGTTGCCACTTGCTCAACGTTGCAACACTCAATTTGATCCATTTCTATCTTTCAGCGCTTGAGGATCTGGGCTCGGCTTCTGAAGAAATCATCTTCAAGACCTACGAGAAGCTATTTCCCCGCATCATTGAGCTTTTGGATGCCGATCTCTCCCAGAAGGACTCTGTTCCGCCATTCCTTAGTCTTCCGGTTTCCGTGCTTTCTGGTTTATGTCTCAAGTACCCCCGTATGTCGTTGCACTTGCACAACACCAATGTCGACATAAAGATCATGAAAGACCTCCAGTCTCTCATAAGACGCACGCCGATTTTTGCAACGCTTTTCAAGCTTAAAGTGGCTGCCAAGGAAGGCAAGAAACTTACGGATTTCACAACCCTCGCCAAACACCGTTTGGGCTCTGACAACCGTGGTGAGACCGCTCTTCATCTGACCAACTTGGAGCAGATTTCAGATTATCTCCAGCTTTTGAGCGTCTACACGAGCTCCAACGATGACTACCGTCGTAGAGTTACGAAATTCCTGGAACTGAAGGCCACCAAGGCCCTGTCGCCAAACTTCTTGTGTCTCACGATTTTTGAGCTCATAGACGATTACCGGTTTTTAATGCTGCAAATGCTCTTGGGTTACGATGTCTTGGGCAAGATTCTTCAAGACTCTTCCAAGTTGGACCAAACGAAGGTGCTCACTTGGTTTGGTAAGAACCTCGGAATAATCTACACGTTGATTGAGCACCCTATCTTCACCCAAACGATCTACTTGGTGAGATCTCTTTCAAGATCGATCCCCACCTTGCGGACATTTTTTGTGGACTGCAATTCTATCAAGAGTGTCTTTGATGTTGACGATGATACCGTGTTGAACCCTAATGACGCCAGCTCTCACGAGGATATAATCGACATTGTTAAGGTTAGGTACAACAAGGAAGCTTCGTTCAAGAGACGCGGCAGCTTTGTTTCGAGTCTTCTAGAGATACTCGGCCTGCTTGACCACGTAAAGTATGCAATGCAATACTTCGTCAAGGCCAAGCCAGACTTGACGCTTCAATACGCTCCACCAAGGAAGACACTCTGTGTGAAGAGGGTTATTCTTCTTGCGTCAATTGCAAACTTCATTCTCGACTTCAGCTCCTTCCGGTACGAGATTGTCAACCACGACTCATTCTTGCTGGATTTGTCCAAGGTCTTCCAGAATGTGTCTCTCAGCGATGATGATATCAAGTACACTGAAGAAGAGGAGAAGGAGATCACCTACGAGAATCTTCGCGAGCAGCTCACTGTCTTACAGGTGGTGAAGAGTTACTTGTACAATGAGAATGAAGAAAACAGCAAGATTTTGTGGGACTTTATCCTGTTGACGTTGATGTTCGAGAAGTCGCTCTACGGTCTCTCTGACAATGTGGAGCAGGATGCTGAGCTTCATGGATTGCTCGTTCAGCACAAGATCCTCGCATTTGAGATCATGAGAAACCTCACGGCTGCATCGTCGTTCTTCAGTGAAGCCATTAGTGACTCATACCTTCAATACGTTACGGAAGAGAGCGAGGATGGAAATCATTCTTCGCCCTCTACATGGCACGATTACCTTTTGAAGAACCTCCTTAGCTTCAACTTGTTCGTCAATGATGGAAAGGTTCATGATGAAGAGGAGTTTTTCAAATCCGACGAGTTCTTTTTCGGATTGATAAAGAATCCAGAGTTTGTGAGGCTTCTAGTGGGTGTCAACTTTGTGGAGGACCATCGGTACACGAACATGAGAGTCTTCAAGAAGCTGGATTTCCCACTGAAGTCCATTCTCGAGATTTGGAAACGGATCTTGAAAGCTAAACTCACCGACAAGCTAGAGCTCAAGCTTTGCGGACACAATCTCAATGAGAGAGTAAAGTTGGCCAATCAGCTTATTGAGGTGAAGCTCTCCATCACATGGATTCTCATCAACTTGACATGGAAGGACGATGCTTTCGGCTACCAAGTTCCTGACAAGGTGAGTTTCTCTCTTATGGATACCGTTGGCCACAGAACGCATAGCGATCCCCATAGTGAAGAGAGGCAATTGTTCAGCTCTTCCAATATCGTGATTGAGGAAAGCGAAGACGACGAGGAAGACGATCATGAGGCGACGCAGCCTGAAGAAGACGACACAGAGATGAGTGCAGAGGATAAAGCCAAGTTGTTACATCGCTACGGATTCAGCCATATTTTGCAGCAGATCATCTTAGACATGTCGAAGCCCAAGTTCAAAGGTCGTGGTGGCTCACGCATTGAACGGTTTGACCTCTTGAACGCCAACAACTTGTATGAGAAGGCCAAGACAGCGCTTTCCCAAATTACTGGATTGGTTTCCGGCCATGCATCAGGCAATGAACCTCAAGCAGGCGGACCGGCCGTCAGTGAAGAGCGCCATCCCCTCAGGCGAATGAGCAACATCATCAGCAGCAGAGATGGGACGAGAATCCGTAGAGACGTCAACCGAGGCGGGGAAGGATTCGGTTACGATTCCGCCGATGAAGTTGCAGAGAGTTCTGGAGAAAATAATCAAGACGAAGAGGAAGATGCGTCAGATACGAACCCGGAGCAGTCTGACATGGACGATGTGGTGGATATAGACGAGTACTGGGTGAGGTGAGTCAAGTCTAAATGACGATTTTCATGCACAGGGGAAGCGGGCCAGACAGATACGGAGCGGTGTGTTGCGGCGGGATCTTGGCGACAACGGCCATTATTATTTTTTTTTTGTTTTTTGCCTCAGGCTACCCGTTTGCAGCCAGTTGTAGGTAGTGCAGAGAGCCGAGGACGAAAAGGGAAGAGAAAAAAGCATAGTTGCGAAAAAATGCCGACGGCATGAGGCATTTTAAAGCAAACGCTATAGCGGCAACGTAATCACAGGAGGGGAGATGAAACTGAGTCGGCTTAGGCAATTGAAAAGAAAAGAAAAAAAAGTATGGGAATCACGTGCTGACCCGAAACTGGGCCAAATGGCCCAATCTGATTGGCCATACCCCATGTCTTCTTTGTGCTGTTTAAACCCAACTTCCCACCTCGCTCCCTTGCGGCTTTCACACTATTCCTGTCTCTGCGCCCACCGTTTTGACATCTGGGATACTGCTTACAGGAAGTGAGAAAGAGCGAAAGTGAGAAATCTAAAAGTGATAACTGGGAGCTTTTCCACGACTACCCGCCAGGCCCGCCAGGAAATACATTCCAGCGCTATCATTTTTTGCCATTTTCGGCTCGTGTTCCCGCTGATCCCGCAACCCGCTTAATTTTTTATCCAACCCCCCGCCTTTCCCACATGGACTATCACGAGACCCAACAGGCTGGTCAGCAAAACAACACCCCGGTGCCGGTGGGTCCGAACTCAGATGCGCTGAACCACGACACAGCCGCTGCAGCAGCCGCCGGGGGAGCCGCCCTGAACCAGAACCAGCCGGCGCAGAAATCCAGCAAGAATAAGAATCGCGATGTCACCACAAAGGGCAAGTACCTGTTGAACGATTTCCAGATTCTTAGGACGTTGGGCACGGGCTCCTTTGGCCGTGTGCACTTGTCACGGTCGGTTCACAACGGCCGTTTCTACGCCATGAAGACATTGAAGAAGGAGAGGGTCATCAACATGAAACAGGTGGAACACACAAACGATGAGAGGAGAATGTTGAAGCTCGCGCAGCATCCGTTCATCATCCGCATGTGGGGCACTTTCCAGGACTGCCACAACTTGTTTATGATTATGGATTACATCGAAGGCGGTGAGCTTTTCTCCTTGTTGCGTAAGTCTCAGCGGTTTCCTACACCCGTGGCTAAGTTTTACGCAGCCGAGGTGTTTCTCGCAATAGAGTATCTCCACAAACTCGACATCATCTACAGAGACTTGAAGCCAGAGAACATTCTCTTGGACAAAAACGGGCACATCAAGCTTACCGATTTCGGCTTTGCCAAAGAGGTTACCGACGTCACATACACCTTGTGCGGTACGCCGGACTACATTGCGCCGGAGGTGGTGGCAACCAAGCCGTATAACAAATCCGTGGACTGGTGGTCCTTTGGCATTCTCATCTTTGAGATGCTTACGGGCTACACGCCGTTCTACGACCCCACGCCCATGAAGACGTACGAGAACATCTTGAACGGTACCATCACGTACCCAGACTACTTACCGCCCGACATCCTCGACTTGCTCCAGAAACTCATTGTGAAGGACTTGACGCAGAGACTAGGTAATCTTCAGAACGGCAGTGACGATGTGAAGAACCACCCGTGGTTCAAGGAGGTCATTTGGGAGCGTCTTCTCTCGAGGGACATTGAGACACCGTACGAGCCGCCCATTACGTCAGGTGTGGGCGACACATCGCAGTTCGACCGTTATCCCGAGGACAAGGAACTCGATTACGGTATCACGGGCGTCGACGATCCGTACGGGGAGCTTTTCGCTGACTTTTAGGTCGGTAAATTGGATCCTACTCTCTTGCATTGCATGATGGCGTGGCCGTCATTTCACTTCATTCACGTTAATCTTCAGTTCCCGTTGCATGTGGCTTTTGCCTTTGGTTTGTCGCCACGGGCGAAGGTCCGTTTTGTACTCTTACCTAATCATGTTCATACATATCAAGCACAGCTTTCAACGTCGTTGATCCAGGCGCCGCTCAAAAGGTCGTCCACGGTTAATCTTGTAGAAGGATTCATGTCGAGCAATTTGTATATGAAGAGACGCCGTATTTCGTAGTCGGACTCTTCGAAACCTTCTTCGTCACTGTCGTCTTCGTCCGACTCGTTATCGCTGCCTTTGTCAAAAAGCGTCTCTATAGGAATGAAACTGCCTTCTTTCTTGATGGTCCATTCTTGCGTTTTGCTGTTGTAGTCTGCCACCATGGCGTTGTGGACGTATTCGTCGAAAACCGAATCTCTGTATTTTTTATGAGAAAGCGGCTTCAAATCAGTCCGTTTCCACAAGTATGTGCTGCCGTAAGCCCTAGAATCCTCCTCCTTGGACGCCTTATCGTAGTAAGTCGTCACAACAAAATTGTCAGAGGTGCCACAGAAATAGTGCCGTCTCACGTTGTACAAGACCAAAATCAACACCCCAAAGACCAGCAATCTTTTTTAGCCAAAGACCAGCTTTTGCACAATTTCCCATGTTCTTCCGGGGCCATATACGGTTCTGAGCCAATGGGCCCGTTGGACGCAGGCCAGAACTGCTCTGTCAGATCCCACTTTGTTCTGAAAACGCTGGATTTGCCGAAATCGGAGATTTTGAGGTTCATCCGAGCCATTTTGCCGTTTCGGCCCGGCTGGATCGACAGCTCGTCGTAGTCTATCAAGATATTTTCCAACTTCAAGTCACAGTGAGCCACACCGTGCTGGTGCATGTACCAGAGGCCCCTGGCGATCTGCTTGATCATGCAATCGATGTCGTCGATGGAGACGTAGTGCTTGTTGGAGACACATTTCTTGAGGTATGCAAAAAGGGTTCCGCCATTCAGCGCCACCATGACCTGGTTGACTTTGAGCGAGGCGCCGGTGCTGTCGATCGGTGGAAGCGTGACCATGAGATCGACGGTTCTGACAATGTTCTTGTTGTTTAAAGCAGACGATAAGATGAACTCGGAAATGACCCTGTCGATGAACTTATCCGTAGGCTCTGTTTTGTTATCCTGGGTGCGTTTTTGTAGCTCCTTGACAGCGTAGACCCGGTCCTCTTCACCAGAATCTATGAGCTTGATAACACCATAAGCTCCACGACCTACCACGTCTTTGACAGCGCCATATCGCTGATGGAGCGTTTTGTGATCTTGGAGAAGCAGGTACTGTTCCGGAAGTTTGCCCTTGATGTCGATCACGGCGTTGAGTTCCTCCTTGAGTCTGTTGATAAGCGAAACCTGGGCCTCGTCGATAATGGACGCCTCGAGAAGCTTGTCGTTGCGGCTCATGGTCGGCAGCAAACGTGTGATTTTGAAGCTCTCGTCAAGCAACGAAAATGTCCGTTTCAGCTCCTCGTTGGCCGCTTTTTGGAGCCCTTCCTTCAGATCCAGCCCGATTCCACAGTATCCCATCAAAGTCGACAATTGAGACACCGACGGCCTGTCACGGGGGAGAAACGTGTGCATGTGGGGCTCGTAGTCCAGATCGTCCGTTTCCTGGTCCTCTTCATCCTCGGCAAAGTCGTTGGCGTGTTCTGTGCTGATTTGTCTGGGTAGGCTTGGTTTTGGAGGAGCAAGGGCGGAGGCGGGTTTATTTTCGGGATTTGGCGATGCCGAGTGTGATTTTTGCTTTTGCGGCGTTTGGGAGGAGCTCAATGGCGGTTTGGGCAGCTTGGACCGGTCTTTCCGGCTGAAAAGGCCCATGGTTTGTGGAATAGGTGGAGTTGATGATGCGAAATTTGGAGATGCGGGATGGTGGGTGTGTGAGTTGAAAGGAGGGGATTTCTGGAAAGCAAAGGTGGAATGGAGTTTCGGGAGATTCCTGAATTTCGAAAGATTGCTATTTTCGGTCCGTGGAACGTTTACAGGAGAAGACGTGGAAATACGAGTGGTGTGCAGCATTTTGCACCCAGTGCGGATTGACAGGTTAAGTGGGGGTTGGGGAGTGTGATTAGCGCAAAATGTAGGGCTAAGGAGTTTTTCAAATTCGCCTTTAGCGTCCTATTTGCAGCTGAGTTGGCCTGGAAATTTGAGCTGGCTGGGGACATTGTATAATGGTGCTTGACAGGAGAGTGCGTCAAGGAAGGTTAGACATGAGGTGGGTTTTGTTAGACTTTTGACGAGGCCGTTTTTTGTTCATGCAGTTGATGTAATGCGATGCAGTTAGTCAGAAATGAGTATTTGGAAGGGTGGCATGCCGTTGAGGGTTGGAACGGAAGTGGTTGTTGAGGGAGTTGGGTACGAGTTGTAGCTTTTGAGCCGAGATGGGGTTTTCGGGTGATTCCAGTTGAAATCTGCGTAAAGTTTTTGTGAATCCTTTGGAAGTCATTGCCCAATGGCAGTAAGTGCTAATTTGTAGCCTTTCAGCTCTCAGAAGGGAACTCACGCAAGACAGTACTTTTCATGACTTAAGACTGTTGATCAGGATAATGCTTACAGAGACAGTCAGTGAGCTCAAATGCGTTTTCTCATCTTTTTCCGATTGTCGTTTTCTTGTTGTCAATTGAAGTTCGTTCGATGATTCGGGTGTTCATTGGACAATGAGTCTCTTAGCTTGCTTCAATATCAGGTGTCAATGCAATTAAAACCTCCAGTATCGAGTCATCTGGAAGTAGTCTTATTCTGTGAAAGGACTGTATTTCCAATAACTGAAAAGAGTTGAAGATAATTGAAGAGAATTGAGGAGAAACGCTACGGTGATGGGTTTCGCTTTTCGTCAACTCTGAGAATTGCACCACTTCGTCCATCTCGTCCAATAGGCTAACAAAGGTCACTGAAAAAAGCCCACTACTCTAAAAGCTCCAAACTTCCTCTCTTCAAATAAAACCATCCCTTCGTTTTCGACCACCATCTTGTGACGCCTCGTGTATCTACAGAACTCCTCGTCTAGCAGGAACAATGAAGGCCTGCTACAATCCTCCAACAGTCAACCCTAAGCCACAAACAGTAGCCCTCAGTCGCCAAAATGAAACCCCAAGAACCAAATTCAAATCTCCCATTCCTTAATCCTCTTTGCTCCATCACCCCTCCTCTACTCTCCAACTCCCCTACTCTCCAACTCCCCTATCCCATTCTCCTATCCAGACCCCGCTCCTCACGTCTTCAGCATCGCCACCATTCAGCAGATCAACGCGTCAGACCAGAAACCTCCCTGAATCAATCGCCGCCTGGGGCTAGAAAAGCCTTCGAAAGCCACCTTCACGTCTCCCAGGACCGGTTCGTCGCCAGAACGAGCCGAAAGCAGGCGACGCCTCAACGAGAACAAAAAGAAGAAGAAGAAGCCCAAAAAATTTGCAGAAAAAATCAGCGAAACCCTCGCCTTATATACTTTTCATCCCACCCCTGGAAAACCGATCTGCCATGCTCGTCCCCACGTTCAGGCACTGCGCCGAGAATGTGCACGAATGGCTGCAAAACGAAGCACCCTGTAAAAAACCAGGAAGCAGCGAGAAATTCGAGATTTCAATATCATTTTCGTTATCTCCGTGCCCACTTTTGGGGTGCTTTTTTTTCCCGGGCTGAAAAACGCCATTTTGGGCTACCCGGTGCTCGTCAATCTCCCTTATTCCTCTTTTAGGGCCGCGACGCGGTCGAAACCATTTTAAATTCTCAACTCACCACCACCAGCATATTCGTTTAGAAAACCGGTCCACGAGTTCCACGTTTTTTCGATCGACACACGGCGGCATTTGGAAAAACCTGCAGAGCTCAGAATCACGATTTTTGCATTTTGGACGCTGAATTTGTTAATTTAGCCCAGCTCCAAACTCCCCATACGTTTCTTGTTTGATTCTTGTTTGATAGTTTGATCCACCTGGACAGACGAATCTGGACAAACCAGCGTCGCTCCAAGGACCAGAGACTCTTTTGCTGTTTAGACTTGCTGTTTAGACAACTTTTGTTGGTTCAGTTCACCTCCAACAGACAATACTGAAACAACACGCCAGGCCTCCAAAACGGACCACGCTTTCTACAGCACCTGCTTTGTTTTGATCAGTCTAGGCGTACCTACCCCTTTCTCGCTACGACTCATTGTCTAGCTCCCTTATCACCCATTGATCGTCTGTTCAAAACGACCAACGCATTAGACCCCAACGACACATCCTATGATGTCGATCTACACCTCAGACCTCAAGAACCATCGGCGTGCCCCTCCTCCCCAGGGCCGTCTCCGCCCCACAGAAGAACTGGAACCTCTCGAATCGCCGCCAGGCTGGCTGGGTCCAGCTAAAGGAGGACGGTTTCACATCGTTCCGCTGGAACAAGCGTTTCATGGTCATCAGCGACAGAACGCTCAATTTCTACAAGCTGGAACCTTCCGCCGACATGAGCCAGCCCAAGGATTTGGACATGCTGTTCCCGCTCAACTTGATTGGCGCCATCAACTTGAAACCGAGCCTGAGCTCCAAGCTGACGCCGCCAGTGATTGAGATTGTGCCCAAGAACAACGCCAAGTCGCTTTTGATCTCCATCAAAAACAACAACGATCACCTAGACTGGCTCGACTCGTTCGCTACCAAATGCCCGTTGATCACCATCGGCTCCGGCCTGGGCTCTCTGTCCGTCTCGCTGGGCGTTTCTAATCCTACAAACTTCACTCATAATATCCACGTGGGTTTTGACCCAGCCAGCGGTAACTTCACCGGCGTCCCGGAGGCGTGGAAGCAGTTGCTCCTGAACTCGAAGATCACCAACGAGGACTGGAAGAAGGACCCAGTGGCGGTGATAGAGGTTTTGGAGTTTTACTCCGATATTAATGGCTCTAATGGCGGTACTCCCGTGTCAACGCCTGAACTCAAGCAGGGTCCTGGCTCTTTGAACTTCCAGGATTGGACAAAACACCCGGCTGCCAAAGCCCAACAGCCAATGGACTTCAAACCTACCAGAGCTGCTCCAAAACCACCAGCTCCTTACCACACGACACAGAAGCCCCTGTCGCCATTGATGAACCTCATGAATGCCCAGGGCCCTGAGTCATCCGATTCTCTCGCTAAATTGTCAGGTCCAGGTAGCTTAATTCCAGCTAGAAGAGCTCCTCCTGTGCCAGGTCAGGCTCCAGGACAGGCTCCGGGACAGGCTCCAGTGCCTCAAGAACCAAGAAGAAAAGCCCTGAGCCACCTCAGGCACAACCTCCCCGTCATCAGGCTCCAGATGCTGCCAAGAAGCCACAGGGCTTGGGTATCAGCACTCTGGTACCTAAGCAGGCTCCTCCAGTGATGCCCCGCAACGTGCATCCTGATGTCAAGGTCCATTCTGATAATATCAAGCATACGTTAGCCAAGACTGACCCTCTGAGAAGGCCACAGGACGACCTTCCTGACCTCAAGCCACTCCGCTTGAAGCCCAAGCAGGAGCAGCGTCCTAAGCATGAAGAAAAACCTCACGAGGCACTCAAGCAAAAATCTGACAATGTGCCTCCCCGGACAGTTGACCCCAAGGTTCACAAGGCCCCAACGCCAGCGAAGACCACCAAGCAGATCAAGAAAGAGCGCGAGCAGCTCAATGACCGCCAGATCCTCGCCAAGTTGAAGACTGTGGTTAACAATAAGGACCCATCTACATTGTTCCGCATCATCAACAAGGCTGGCCAAGGTGCTTCGGGAGAGGTGTACCTTGCCGAGTCGCTTGCGCCTAAGGACAGAGGCCAAAAGGTTGCCATCAAGCAGATGGACCTTAAGGTGCAGCCTCGTAAGGAACTTATCATCAACGAGATTCTTGTGATGAAGGACTCTCAACACGCGAACATTGTCAATTTCTTGGATTCTTATTTGCGTGGATCCAGCGACCTTTTAGTGGTTATGGAATACATGGAAGGTGGTTCTTTGACAGAAGTTATCGAAAACAACGAGACCAAGCTCAATGAGAATCAAATCGCCACCATTTGTCACGAAACATTGAAGGGTTTGCAATTCTTGCACCGCAAACAGATTATTCACAGAGATATCAAATCCGACAACGTTTTGCTTGATGCTAAAGGCAATGTGAAAATCACCGACTTTGGTTTCTGTGCAAAGTTGACGGATCAAAGGAGCAAGAGAGCAACCATGGTCGGTACGCCGTACTGGATGGCGCCGGAAGTGGTTAAGCAAAGAGAATACGACGGCAAGGTGGATGTCTGGTCTTTGGGAATCATGACAATTGAAATGATAGAAGGCGAGCCACCTTACTTGAACGAAGAGCCATTGAAGGCGCTTTACCTCATTGCCACAAACGGAACACCCGAGTTGAAGAACCCCAAGGCGGTGAGCGAGGAGATGATGAACTTTTTGTCATGCTGCTTGATCTTGCAACCCGAAGCAAGAGGCAGCACCGACAGCCTATTGAGGGACCCATTCATTACGCACAAGAGCACCGATGTTGGAGTTCTAGCGCCTTTGTTGGAGTGGAAGAAGAACCAGGAAAGCGCTGATGCACAATAAGAGAGGGACTGCACGGTTGTGAGACCCTGGGCGCGTGATCCTTGACACAGCATTATTATTCATGCAGAAGACGCCCGCTGGTGCAGGGGCAGACGCATCTATCTTGCGAGCATCGAGGCCTCGATTTTTTACATTATATTATTTTTCGCTGACGCACCGAGTACGAGTATCAAAGCACCGCCAAGGAAAAACGTGCCTGGCCCTAATTTGGCTGCAAAATTTAAACCTAGTGATGGTGGCGCGGCTTATATGGATAGTTAAAAGAAATGACACGGACGGCAGAAGTGTAGCTTTAAATTCAAAAAAGAATTTAAGTAGTTGTTGCAAGTGAAGGAAGCAAAGGTAAAAGCTAGGCGAGTGAAGGGTAATTCTAGTTCTGGAAGAAGCTTAAAGGTGGGCAAGTATCTAAGTATAAACGGTTTGTGCTGATTATGTTTATTGGTACATCGGGCCACAGAGTGGCATTATGTAAACTGTGGAGTGGTTTATGTGGGGAGCTCAGGTGGAGAGCTTGGAGGACAAGGTGCCTTATTTTCAAAGGAGGCTGAGATGAACTGCAAGCCTTGCTTATTCGAGTTTCTGTGACTAAGACGTCCAAAATGATGCAAAATAGTATGATGAAACCAGCCGTTCTATCGGTGTGGAAATGGAATTTTGGACAGTCCCGGCATCTCTGTGGTGACCTTATCGTGAGGTTTAGCGCTTGCTGCTTTTTGAAGATCCCAATGAGTATCTGCAGCTTCTGCGCTTGCTTGCACGATCAAGATTTGCCTGGCGTTCCGCAAACGACCTTTTTTCTTTTTATCTTATTTTTTTTTTTATTTTGATCTAGACCCTGATTCTGTGATGCCGACAAAGTGTTCCGTTTGTTATTATCAGATCTGTGGTCTCATTTCGGACGGAGAAAAGCCACCATTTCGGACATTAGCAACAGACGGGTCCCCAGTGGGGAAAAGTGGCGTTTGTGTGATTCACCTCTGAGACAAGCTTGTTGATCGGTATGGCTGTTTTAGGCGATTTAGCCTCTTCAGTATACGAAGGTGGCGCAAACAGACCAAGCTGCTGATGTGGAGGTTGGCAAGTGGTGACCGGAGATTCACGGAATTTGCAAAACTCGTGATCCTTGGGTAAGACGATGTAGGGACATCGGGTACCGAGTGGATTCCAGTGGATTAAAATTCACACAATATCTTGTCCGTCTGGGCTCAAAGCTAATTTCCATCCGTAGAAGGAGCAACATTGACACAATGGGGCGTGGGAATAGAGTTGAGTAGATTGTGGCAGCTGTCAAGAACTGTAGTTGTAGGCTGGGAAAGCCATTGAACGTTACCTCTGAATGCCGTAAAGTCACGAGTAGACGAAGGACATTGAAATCGACCAGGGCAGCAAATTTCAGAAAATCCGGTTCAAAGAGATTTCTTCAAACGCTTGTTCAGAACTCTCACAATGCACTGATACATCGCAAGCAGTTCCACTTCTCAGGAACAAGCAAATCAGCTCAATAGTCTCATCCCAGTCACATCTCTTCAAAACCGCCGACACTCCAGCACCGCAAGTCAGCAACTCACCAGCCATTATTAAGTTCCATCACTGCATCTCCATTATTAAGTGCCATCACCGCATCTCATTATTGAGCTTCACTGCAATTCAACTCTCCAACCACAAATTCCCATCACCCTACAACGTCTCCTTCCACATGTAGTCCTCCTGGTAGCCCTCCCTCGCTGGAACCCGCTCGGGAGCCGCATACTGGTAGCCCTGGTTGTAGAACTGCTGGTACGGCGGCAAAGGCTGGGTTCCAGGCGGATTGGCCATCTGGTACTGTTCTCCAGCGGTGGGGTTCAAAAGACCCGGCCCGTTGTAGTACTGAAGCGGCATCTGGTGGGAATAAGCGCCGTAGTACATTTGTTCAGGCACCGGGTCCGGCTGGGGCATGTGGATCGGAGGAACCGGATGGGGAGGAATCTTGTGTTCGATTTGCTCCTCCTCCTTGACATGGCGGGCTGGAGCATCGGAGTACGGGCTGGGAAGCGGCACTTTGGGAAAAGGCAGGTAGTTGACGGGCTGGGCGTACGGCTGGAAGTAGTGTTTCGGGTCTGTGGCTGGCGACACTTTGCGGTCGGGCTGGGAAAGCACCAGCATGTTCTGGAGCTGGTAGTTGGCGTCCAAGAAATAATGGGCCTCGTCTTCAATGGGGATTTTCCCGCCCAAGGTCGATTTCTGGATGGCGGCCCAGAGATCCGGATTCACAGGCATGTACTGGAGATTGCTCTGGGACGGACGGACCAAACGGCCCAGAAGCACGTCGTACGCCAGGTAGTACGAGATGAGATGCACGGTTTGCCTCTGCTCCTTGTCGTTTTCCTTGACCACGGTGGAAACGCTCAAGGTCTTTTTGATGAGGCCGTGGTCCAGCCGGGTCACCGTCATGTGGGGGTCCTTGTGCTGCAACGGCAGCGTGACAAACGGCTGCTGGAACTGCTGAAAATGCTGTACCGACGGAGCTCTGTCCAGCTCGGACGCCAGCGAACGCTGCAGCATGGACGGCTCCAGGTTGCGTTTTCTCTTTCTGCGGTCGTCGTGAAGCAGCTTGTCCAATTCACGGTACACGAGAAAACGGCCCAAGATCCGGGAGGGGCTCCAGGCAATGCCGTCTGTCCAGCGCTTGATGCCCAGCTGCTCCTCGATAAATACAAAGACGTTGCCCAGGCGAATGAGGTCTGCTCTTTCTCTGCTGTGGGGTCTGCGGTGGACACAGGCGAACTCTTTGGAAAGCACGCCCTGGATGACAAGAACGGCGTCTCGGGTGGACCCGATGTAGCCCGTGTAGGTTGGCACGAGGGTCATCATGGGGAAGGAGTCTAGGCGCTGGGCTCTGGTAGTCACTCTAAGGAAGTTTGAGTTCTGGTAACTAGGAGTATCTGAAGTCTTTCTGGTAGCTAGGAGTTTCTAGACTTCTGATAACTCTAAGGAAGTTTTGAGTCTCTGATAACTATAAGGAAGCTTTGAGTCTCTGATAACTCTAACGAAGGAGTCTCTGACAACTCTAAGTAAGGAGTCTCTGGAAGTCTGAGTGATGCTCGGATAGGATAGTCTCGAAAGCCTGGGAGGCAGAAGTCTGACTCTAAAACAGGACGAAGGCCAATCTTAAATACAATTCAGGTGACCCCCGAAGGGAAGAGCCGTGGTGGTGTTAGAGTTTGGGGAAACGGGGTTTCGGTGGTGGAACCGGGATGCTCTGGAAAAACTCAACAAGGCACCGGTCTCCAGGCACGACGACGATCGGCTGCTACTCTGGGGGCTGGTTGAAGACAAGCTGGACAAGGAATAAACTTTTGGCTCGAGGATCGTGCTTTTACACTGCTGTTGTGGAGGAACCGGTCAGCACTGGAGGGGCACGGAGGAGTGACTGTGGGAAATCAGCGTGTGGGTAATTTGGGAGACTCTCGAGAAATTCCGTGGGGATGGGTCGTTTTTAAGCGTGCCGGTGGTCTTGGGTGCAGATGAGGACGAGAGGTTTACAGGGTTCGAGGCTTTCTTTGCAGAGGGAAAGCTTAAATACTTATTAGGAGGGGCGATTTAGGACCCGAGTGAGGCGGGAGAAGCCCGAGCCGTTTGTTCCATGCCTGTCTAATGGAAAAAAAGCAAGGCCGGGATGTTTTTTTTTTTTTTTTATTCGGGGCTGTAGCAATAGGGTCCTGATCCAATGCACGCTGCAATGCGGGGCCGGCGCAGTGGTGGTGGAAGTAAGTCAGGTAATCGAGATTAGTATTTTGGTGGGAAATGTGTGGGAGGGTAAAGTGGGCAATGCGGGTTGTGTGCAGGCGCGTCGAGCACTAACGCACGCTGCACGCTGCACGCTGCAGATGCGCGCGAGGGTCTCTCAATGGTGCAGCACTTCCATACAGAGTGTGTGAGGTGAGAGAGCGGTTGAGAGAGACGGTGATGTGAGCGAGTGAGAGATGTATGAAGAGAGACGGTTATATGCAGTACGGCACCTCGAAGCGTCAGAGCGATCTCGCCTTGCTCCATCGTGGCTAAACTCCGGCCCACGCTGCGGCTCTCCTTTGCTTTCCCACGGGACCCTTCTCCCAGCATGGAGTATGCGCTGAGCGACAAATCGCTCGGATAAGAGAAAAAGAAGGCGTGCGGCGGCTGAGCAGCAGCAGCAAGCTGACGCACCTCTGCTGTACCAGCAGGCTGGACCCGAGACACTTGGAAATTGCCTATGGTGTATTTGTCGGAGGGGCAGCCCACAGGCAGGGACCCGTTGAATCCATTGATCTCGGGGCAGAAGCGACGATCCGGCAGAGGCTACATCACAATCAATTGGTTTCGGAAAAAGTTACTCTAGTACATTCGAGGCGCTTCCAAGCGGCAAGCGGTGCCGGCGTGGAGGCTCCTAGACGAGGAACAGTGCCAAAAAAAAACAAAAAACACAAAAAACGAAAGATAACGGTCGGGCCTTCGTTGCAGCGAACCCAGTCTCCATAACCACCCGGTGCACAACAGAAAGCACAAAAAAACAGCAAACGCCGGGGCCTCGTTCTCGTCGTGCCTCGTGCAAACCTTCATGCCACTGTGGGCCGACTTTCAGCACACAGGCGGTCAGCGGCGGCAACGCAGCGAACCAGGCGCGATCGTCCCTGGGAGAGGCTGGCAGCGGTAAAATAGCGCCAGGGTCCCAGCGGATTGGGCGTAGCGAAGGCGGGATGGACATTCTGGAGGGCCACGGGCGGCTGGCGGCGGGCCGGGCATTTTTGGGTGTGGTGTTTGCGGGTGGATTTTTGGCGGTGGTTGGTGGTTTGCATTATGGATTTAGTGAGACTGAGCCATAGACAATTGAGCAGTTGCACAATTGGCTGTCTGGATTCGATTTTGGGGTTTTTTTGTTTTTTTTTTTTTTTTTCTTTAATTCGTAGTCTCTTAGCCTTGCCCCCCTGGAGTCACTCGGGATCTCTCCAAGCTGATTAGCTTCGCGATCAACACCCTGCTTCTGCTGCGATCAACACCTCTTCTCTATCAAAGCCAGGGAAGCTTCCGGGAAGCTTTTGGAGAAGCTTGTGGAGAGGCTTTCCCCTGCCGTGGGAATTTTTCCCGGCGAAAGCCCCGACTCCGACCCCGGATTCCTCCACAACCGTGTCTGACTTTTCACTTTCCACACCTTATCGCTTTGACTTTAGCCTTGCTGGGGCTCAGCCTGCTCCAAGCAAAACAAACAATTTTTCCAGCGTCAGATTTCTCCGCCTCAGATTTCCCCAGCCTCAGACTCTCCAGCCACAGCGTTTCGTGTCCAAAATACGGCTTATCCTTCTGTGGCGTGGACGTTGTGCACCACATGGGCTGTCACTGCTTCGACTGCGCCGTTTGCTGACTGCTTCAGCTGGCGTTTTTCAAAAACAAATTATACGCCTTTCTTGTCTATCCCTTTGTTTCTGCCCGGTTTGGCTTTGTCCCTGATTGGCGTCTCCTCCAGTGATTGGCATTGCGAGACTCCCATTGTCACAATCTTGCCCTGGAAAGCTCCATTGTGATTGAGTTTGAAACCGGCCCCACGACCCGCCGATTGGCTCTTTGGCTTGCCTACACCTGAAACCCACGTTTTGCGTGTTTTGCGATCTGTTGGTCATTCTCTCTTGCGATTCGTTTGGCTATTTCCCCCTCGGGCCCTCGTACTTTGTAGAGCTTTCCCTGTTGGTCGTTTTGCTTTGAAAAAGCTCGGCGAACTCACCTGATACTTCTCCATTGTCCACACAATGGCCAGGAACCAGGCGCACGGAACCTATTCTGTGGTTATCTTGGTAAATCTGTGATTGTGATTCTCTTAATAATCTGTGATTGTGGTTCTCTTAGTAAATCTGTGATTGTGGTTCTCTTAGTAAATCTGTGATTGTGAATTCACCAACGATCGATTCCTCACAATCGGCCCTCGTTAGCCAGCCGCCTCAAAGCACAAACGCTGATAAGGTTTCAGTTCTGGCAGTCCCTGGATCGACAACGCATTAGACCCAGCGAATAATAGCAAACGCTCGAACTAAAAACATTGCGTTACGCCGCAGCACGTACATTGATTTCTGAAGAAAAGAGGAGAAGAAGAGGTGTTGGAGAAAGGGGAGTATGAGCGGGCCGGGATGTTCGTCGAGGAATATGGGGACTAAGTTGGTTTCCAAAAATTCGTTTGTTACGGCGATTTTTTACTCAACAATCCACCGTGCTTTCATTCAATTTTGAGAAAATCGTTCATTACGGCGATATTTTACTCAACAACCCACCGTGCTTCGTGTAATTCTGAAAAAATCATTTATTACCGCAATCACTCAACAACCCACCGTGCTTTCATTCAGTTCTTAAAAATCGTACGGCAATCTTTCACTCACCAACCCACCGTGCTTTCGTTCAATTCTGAAAAAAACGTACGGCAATCTTTCACTCACCAACCCACCGTGCTTTCGTTCAATTCTGAAAAAAATCATTCATTGGCAATCACTCACCAACCCACCGTACCCTCATCCAATTCTGAGAAAATCGAATTGTGCAACATACTTTTGTCAGACAACACTGCAGTTTTGCCTCGTCCGAAGAATACCTCATTGAAGACAGCCCTGTCCCAGCCTTTCAAGCCTAACAAAGAGCAGGGGAGTATTCTGACATGGTCTCTATAAGTCACCAAAACGTCCTACGGCGATTTATCACTCACCTTCCTTCCCTACACTTTCTCTTAATTCTGAACTACATCGCCTGCACCGCCTGGCCCGCCAGGACCCAAAATCCATACCCTTGTCCTCGACTTTTTGTTTCTACCGATGTGCCTCCACGGAAAAGCCGGGAAGCTCCTAACCAGCATCTGGCGTCGAGGCAGGACAATAGCAGCTTTGACAAGTATCAGGCCAGAAGAGCCATAGATTATTTTGAAAAATTCGAGGGCCCAAACCAGAGCAGAATTGGCTGTATTTACAGAAAAAAAGAGCGCCAAAACCTCCCAGGACCCCATCCCATGCACCCGCTCCTCCTCGAAACCTAATCTCCCACGCTTCTCCAAATCACATCTCTCGTCTGCAGCAGCATCTGGCGGCAGCCCCAATCTGTATCTTCGACTATGGCGTTGCAGCGTTCTCCAACAGTAGACGATGCAGCCAGACGCTGCCGGTGCTAAACCACATATTTCCTGTGCTTCCATGCCGCCTGAGCTATCCGACGTTTTCTCTTAGCCATCTCGGGCATGCCAGTGAAGCGGCTCGAAATTCCAGAGAAAGTGGGTTTGGGTGGTTTTGTCACTTGAGCTTATGGATACAAGAAGGCCCCTAAGCTATAGACCCTGTCTTTTCACTGGCCGTCTTTTTAATCCATTTCCTCATCCCGCCTTCTTTGCAGATTGCTTTCCTTATCCACGGATCATCGTGCCTCTGGAGCCATGCATGCCGTGCTAACTGCTCCACCCTGCAAGGAAGGCTAACTAACCAACGACAGGCCAGGCGGCTGCGGTGCACTGAAACGGCTGTGGGTGCTGGAATGCAAATGGGGCAGTGTTGAGGGCTTTGGTGTTTCGGCTAATCTAGCGAGAAGTTTGAGCTGCCGACTCGGGTTCTGTGGGCGTTTCTGGAGTTCCTTAGGCTTTGACTTTCATCTTGCAGAGCTCCGGGACTGTCCCCAAAATGGCGGTTTTACGATCCTCTGGTTGTTGGGTACTAGCCGCCAGGCAGAGGAACACTTCGGAATGTTGCCTGGTGTGTTTTCATGCTGGGCTGGTATTTCGATGGGGGCTTTCCAGGGGATTTTCAGGTGAATTTTCAGGTGAATTTTCAGGTGAATTTTCAATCAAGAAAATTCTTTTATCTCCCCTGTCATCCCTTATCTGATAAGGCTGCTTGAAGGCCTCCGGAAGATTCTAAAAAGTGACACAATTCCACCGCTCAACAACCATATAAGGCGTGCTACAGAGACCACTGTTGGGGTCATTACCCGGGCTAAAATCCGAACGCAACACCCAAGCAACTACTTGTTTTCTGGCGACCCGGGAACCCGAGCAATTACTTGTTTTCTGGCGACCCGGGCACCCGAGCTATTCCTTGTTTCCTGACCTTCCGCATACCGGGATTGCCTTGCATCATACAGCTGGGGCGGAGTTTTACACTTTAGCCACTATCACGTCGCAATTTAGCAGGAATCGCTTACAAGGTGTCAAGCTTCCTTAGTGTCTCCATTGTCCGGCTTGTCTTATCTAGTAGCACAAAAACGTCCGGGGCCTTCCGTCGTGTGGCTGTCTGGAACTACTAAATTAGAATTCCGTTGTGGAGGCCCATTAGGGGTCGCTCAGCGGCTTCTTTTTCTGTAATTCTTGGCCACGAGGGTCCACTGCTGGTTCACGACTTGTAAAGAATCGGTTTCACAAACTTTGTCTAGCGCCAGTATCTGCGAGTCTTGTCGCTTCCTAGAGCTATTTTTCTTTCCTCCGTAACTTAGTTCTTAGAAAGTGTGTTCTTCCGAGAAGCAAGGTGAAGCAAGGTGAAGCAATGTGAAGCAAGGTGAAGCAAGGTTCAGAGCACACACCCTACGGGTGCAAAACTCTAATTTTTTTTTAGTGCCTCTGGAGAAGGTTGGGATGGAGAAGCAGCCTTTTTCCGGTTTTGCGTCTGTAATGGCGATTTTCACGCCGTCTGGGTTTTTTAGATAATGGTGAATTTTTGGTGGAGGAGGGTGTTGTAGACGTCTGGGTGGAAAACCAGCCGGACCCTAGGTTAGATGAGATTTCGTGGAAAATATTTGCAGCTTTTTGGAAGGTGTTTTGATCGTGGGAGGTGGTGTTGGTGATATCCTTCGACCCTCGCCCACAAATCCATAGCGTCTACATGCTTTTTTGGGGATTCCATAAGTCTACATAATCTTTTGGGGATTTCAGTGGTCTATTAATTTTCTAGCAGTTCGGGATCCTCAAAAGATAGTTCTACAAGTCCACTTCCGTATGGCTATCCAAAACACAGCAAATTCGTCAAACGAAGATCTCTTGAACCCGGCAGTCGAAGTGACGAAACTGCACGATCCCTCTTAATCCTGCCAAATCTGCTTTCAGCCATTCTCCCGTGAAGCCGGCCTTTTCGTGAATCTCGTATCTTGCCGTTTCCAGAACCCAAAGCCACTTCTGGGCTCTGTTGACAAGGCAAGAAGCAAAACAGCAGAATCGGGCAAGTTGTTTCAACAAAACTGTCCATTTCCACCAACAGAGGCTTGGGCTGAAAGCCGCTTTTTCAAAAGACCCCTGAAGATCGCTTGTTGCACCTGAAAATCCACCAAACTCCACCCAACCACATCCACATCCTCGACACCGTTAGTGGACCTTTTTTGACACATCCAGCAGAGATCCCAAACGCTCTAAAAACCGTCTTTTTCGTCTGTCGCCTCGCCCTTTTGGACCATGGCTTAGACAAAGTACCGAGATCGACGAGGCTAATCTGAGGCTTAAGGCTCTCGATGACCAGACCCCTGGAGCAAAGGAACAGAAGCAAAAAAGAAAAAAAAGGTCGAAAAAGCACGGTTCCCGTCGCCTGGCCAGATGCGTCCAACCCCAGACGAAAACGCAATCAGCACTCCAGGATCTTCAAGACCCACATAACGCAGCATCTGACGATCCATGGTGCATCTCCACAATGCAGAGCTGGTGCAACCAGGCATTAGGCATCGTCGATCCCGATTTTTCGCCCGTTACCTGACAACAACGATGCACCGTGATGGGGTGTTTGGGCTATGGTCTGATTTGATGGGTGGTACGGCGAAAGGGGACTGGAGGTTGTGGAGAATGTGGGGATTTTCTAATTTTGGGCACTTTTGAAATATTACGATAATGAATGGCCTGAGGTGTAATTGGTGGTTTCTGGTTTGTGTGGGCGATTTAGAGGTACATGTAAAGTGGACCATCAGCTGAGGTGGACGCTGAAACATAATACGTCAAAGCGGTAAGCGAGAAGTGAAATTGGAAAAAAAGATAAGCGAGAAGTGAAATTGAAGAATGGATAAGCGAGAAGTGAAATTGAAGAATGGATAAGCGAGAGGTTAAAGTGTGAAATGGAAATTGCAGTATGGGTGGCCAGAGTGCTTAGGCTTAGGCTTTTGAGGTAGCAGGCATTTATAGCGTTCTGCTGGGTTATGCTTTTAATCTTTAGGGTACCGGTAGAGTTGCGAGGATGCTTCCATTGGGTTCCAGGTCCTGGGATTCTATCAACTCATTATTCTTCAAGTCTACGATTCTGTAAACCCTGCCGTTCGTCATTTGGAAATCTTCATTACTTCCTCCACCCAATCCCCAACCCAATGAAAATTGGTAATTCCTCAAGCCCGAAAAGATCCAAACAGACAAACCATCACAAAGTGTCACAAAATCAACGTCCTAAAATCAAACTTCAACACACCTCCCAAACTTCTCCAAACCACTGCAATGCAATTACAGACTTTACACTTCCACCGGCCTGCTCTATTAATTACGTTCAAAAGTACTCAGAAATAGCCTTCAAAAGCACTCAAAAATAGTCTTAGAAAAGCAGCCTTAAATAGCCAAAGCAGCCTGAAATAGCCTTTCGGCAGACTTCCGTCTGAAACCTTCACCTGCGGACCCGGCCGTTTTTTTTTTTTTTTTTTTTTTCCACTTTGTTGAATCCATCCATTAAATGGAAAGCCCTGTTCAAATCTACATAGAAAAAACCATCTTGTCAGCTTCCAGACTAGCACCGCTTGACCTCCAGACTAGCACCGCTTGACACCAGTGAACCAAGACGCCGTGTTGCAAATTCACAGGTCCAGAGAAATGGAGATTTTGAATTGAAAGATCAACTTTTTTCGATTCTCTGAATTTTCAAGTTGATACATTGTCGGGACCACAGGGGTTCCCCTCCTCGAGGCAAGTGACAAATTAGACTCCTCGGCTGCGTCGCACGAGCTGTACTGAAAAGTGCCATACAAGTCTGCCAAAATCCACCAAATCCACCAAAAAACGCCAAATCCAAAATCCAACACAAATCCCTGAAATTAGTGCTCCCGAAAATGACGCCGCCAACACTAGGCCCAAAAACCGTCCCCGGACCCAGCGCCTCGAGGGACCGCCAAATCACCGCCAAGAGCCGTTGCAGCCAGTCCACCCCCGCGCTCGCCAGCGATACCCACTGCCACCGCACCTCCGCCACGCCGACTGGCTGCAAAACGCTGACGCTGCGGCGGCGGCCGCCAAACGGGCTACTTCGACGGGAAATATTTTTTAACTTCTGGATGAAAAAAGTGGAGGTTTGAATTTCCAAATTTCTTTGGTCTATTTTTTTTTAGTGCATATTTCCCCTTTGGGCGGCTCAGTAGGCTTCGTCTGCCGCCGTGCGGATCCTTTTCTAGGCTGCCCCTATCCGCAACGAGGGGCCCCGAGGACTTGCTCTGGCTGCGAAATGGAGAACTCAATTAAGAGACAAGAAAGAAAAAGTGGGAGGTGGGAGGTTTTAAAAAAAAAAAAAAAATAAAAGTCACAACACCATCACCAGACCATCCGCCGAAACTTAAATCAAAACAATCAAAACATCACCTGGGGTGCCCTGATTGCGGCCTTGCTTACTGTCTTGTGAGGCTGCGGCTGTTATCACCGTACCAAGCAAATATAATCCTGCCAACTACTCCTTTTTTGATCTGACCCGAAATCGGCCCCAAAGCTGGTTTTATTCGCCAAACCAATCAAAAAGAGTCCAATTCTCTTTTGACCGACCCCCTACCCCATATTTAAGCCTCCCATCTGAGACATCTCCACACTTCCAATCCAACTACCACATTTATGGAGGTGGAGTTCAGAAAACACCTCCCTCCCTACCGCTCCCTCGTGGACCCAAAGTCCCAGTATGACTACAGAACCCACTCGTTTGTCCAGTTCAGCCAGCTGGACTTGTCCAAGGTGTTGCTGGGCTACCAGCTTCCCAAGTTGCCTCGGTCCAACTTCAAAATGAAGTACAAGCTGTTGCTCTCTGACGTGTCCATACGGGCGTCCTTGCTTACTCGGAAGGTCCCGAGCGTCAAGCAGACAAACACACCGAAAAAGAGGGCCCCTTCCACATCCTTCAATGACCTCCCAGAAGAGATCCAGATCCACGTCTTCTCCTTGGTCAATGACACCCCGTCCTACCAGAACTGCCTCTACACGTGCAAGACCTTCTACCGCTTGGCCAAGCCGTTCATGTTCCGCTACGTGTCCTTCTCCTCGACCTTCCGCTTTGCCCAGTTCATCACCTACCTACGGCTCAACCCAGCCTTGGGCTGCCACGTTTTGGAGGTCGACTTGTCCCAGCTCAAGCCGGGCAACTGGGAATTGGAGGCCCAGAGCGACACAGAACAGGACGAAAACGACACAGACCAGTTCCACGACATCTTGGCCATCTGGGCAGGCTGGCGGGACTGGAAGTTCGCCAACAACCCATTGTACACCTTACATCCGTTGCCTGCGACGCCGCTAACGAAGGCGTTGCTGCACGCTCCACACGGGCCGCCTTCGGCCAAAAAACGCAAGTTTCTGAGGTACTTCATGAAGAGAAGACGGTCTCATGCCAAAACAGAGGCTCCTGAGGAGCAGAGACCACTGCCAGGCGCACGCCGTCACAGCCAACGGCTCCTCCAGCACCTGAGCCACCCGAAAATCAACAAGTTCTTGATGAACTACTCGTCGCTGAAGGACGTGCCCATCGGCTACATCATCCACTTGATCAACATGTGCCCCAACTTGCGGTCGCTCAACTTGGGCAGCTTGTCGCTTTCCACAGACTACATGATCTCCCCGAAAATGTCCCAGAAGTACCAGGCCTTCGACATCATGAACAACTACTCCAAGGAAACCGTCGACACCATCGACAACTTGTACCCTATGGCGGACGACGAGTTGTTCTTCAAAAGCGAAATCACCCGCCGCATCCCCGACCTCACTTCCCTGGCCTCGTCGGTGTTCTCCATGTCCACTCTTTCGAAGCCCAACCGCAAATACAACAGCTTGCTCCCACCTCTACCCAAGCTGGTTCGTGATATTCTGTACCTCCAGAAAGGCGACGGGCTCGTCTTTTTGAGCGACTTGAACTTGAAGTCCATCAACAGCGCTCATTTGGAGACCATCAACGAGTCCGAGATTTTCAAGTCCTTGTGCAAGCGGTCCAAGCTCGAGTACATCAACTTGCTGAGCATGATCTGGATCAACTTGCGCTTGGTCAAGCAGTTCATCAGCGGCATGCTTGCCGAGGACCTCCAACGCAAGAAGTTTGACGGCAAAGAGTGCACCGTCTTCAAGGATAACTACTTCTCGTCCCTCGAGCTTCTAGATGAAGAGGACGAGGACGAAGACACGGGCACGCCGAAAAATTTGTTGCTTGACTTGAGCAACTCGGGCATGAACAAAAATCTCCGTTGGGCTCAGCCCATTGATCTTGAGACCAGAAGAGGCAGAAAGCTAGTGCACAAGATCTTGAACGACGAATTGCTCCCACCATTCGAAGAGTTCATGCTTCGCGAGCGGGACAGAATGGGCCGTCCGGGCGAAAACTACTTTTCCTAAGAGATGTCCCAACATTCAGGTCATCACCGTTTCATGAATCAGCTCATACCCTAGGGCAGGCGACCTCCAACAGCGATGGTTTTAGAGTTGGTTGCACGAGTGTGTTTATCTAGAAAACCCTACACCAACGCCGCTTGGGCTCTGACCGAGGCCATTGTTAATGCCGTGGCAACGACGCCAGAGTAGGAAGTCCTGGTTGTGAAAAGATTTGATCTCGTGCGATGAAGTATAGGTATCCTGGCCTGTGCACGACCGGGCTCAGAGAGCCCTATAGGAAGAAATCAGGAAATGCCGTATGGCACTGTATGATATAGCCTGGATTTACAGAATGAAAATGAAAAGGTTGAAGTGGTGTAGTTCTGGAAAGGTTGGTTTTGTGGTTTTGGGGCTTCGTAGTTAAGAGCAATAAAGTGGGTAAGAGTTGGTTTGCAGCCATCCATTAGCCATACAATAGAGGCTTTTCGAATCGTGAAAAGAGAAGAGGTTACTGAAGATGAACAATTGCCCTGTTCTTAGAAATTTACGGGACATTCAACTTTTCGGGCTGTGTTGCTGGTGAGTGTTTCTTCGCAGGGCATTGGTTTAAGCCTTCTGACTGGCCAATTATGCTGGTAAAAGCAATTTGATAACTATGAATAGCTCAAGAAAAAAATTTGTGAGATTCGGTTTTTTTGAAATTATGGGCTTCTGGTCTCCGTTTGCTTCGTCAATGCTGTCAGTTTCATGAAATTGACTTCCAGATGCTCATAATGGCCGCTAACACCAACAAATTGACGCCAAGACGGTTCACAAAAATTTCCTCTTTCTATCAATATCAGCCCTTCTGCCTCTCTGACTCCTTGTGTTTCAAAATTCTCATAAAAGTCACCCTTCGTAGGCATTCTCCACTCAAACAAACCAGGTCACGCTCCTGAAACGCCCACAACCCAAAAACCCAAATTTTCATGACGACTATTAACACATGACCACGCTGCTCTTGCCCTAAACTCACCCAAATCTCACGCCTTTCCTTTTGAAACCTCCTCCGACTTTCCATAAATGTGACAAAACGACACCCGTGCACCACGCAATCGCACATTTATTCACCACCTCATTTATAATATATCCCCAAGGTTCTCCTTCATTCCTGCTAAACCCACCACAACTGTTCTTTAGCATATTATGTCAGACCTCCTGTCTCAGCTCCTGGCTTTCAAATCCAGAATCAGAAGCGGGCCTTCCGTGGCGGTCAGAAGAGCAGTTACCCCCAAGCCTCTGAACCAGGACACCCCCCTGGCTCCTCCAACGCCCCAGACCAACGGGTCCAGTGGCAACGGCAGAAAAAGATTAGCTGAGGATTCGTTCCAGTCTATGAAGAAACACAGGCTGAACATCAGCATGTCGGGCTCCCACCTCTCGACAAGACTCCACTTGGCAGTGGAGTATATCAAACAGCAGGATAAACCCGTGGCGATCGACAAGCTCGAGAGCTACTTGGGCACGGATGTAACGGAGGCGTTGCTTCCGTTGTTGAAGGAGATTGACCGGATCAAGTACGACCCTGCCACCGGCACCTTGGAGTACATGTCTCTCCACAACATTCGTACCGCAGACGACTTGCTAGACTTCCTCCGTCTGCAGCCCACTTTCAAGGGCACACTGGTCAAGGAGCTCCGGGACGGCTGGTCCGGGTGCATGGAGGCGATCCAGACCCTTGAGGAAAGCAACCGAATTCTTGTGCTTCGTAACAAGAAGGAGAATTCGCCTAGGCTCGTGTGGGCCAATTTGGGCGGTGAAATCGGCACGTTGGACGACGAGTTTGTGGAGATGTGGAACAAGATCAAGATTCCCGAGCCAGAGAACCTTTACCAGGCTCTTGTCGACCAGTCGTTGAAACCCACAGGTGCCGATCCAAACATCGTGACCAAGAAGCCCAAGCGTGAGGAAAAGAAACAAAAGAAGGCCCGCAGAGGCAAGATCACCAACACCCACATGAAGGGTATCTTGAAGGATTACTCGCAGCTCGTTTGAGGGCCTGCGGTGTGGCCTTGGCTGTCTTATAGAGGCCAGGTGGCTCTCGCAAACATAGAACAGGCGACAGCGTCGCCGCTTGCATTTACATATGGTTAAAACAACGGACATAACAATTGGGAAGTAGCATGGCTATGGCTAAGCGCATCGCTTCTGACATGAAACGCATCTTTAGAACCGGGGAGGTACCTCATCTCTCAAACATGAATTTGCCATGCGTGGCTATTCTTTTACTTTTATCTCCTCCCCATCTTTCCTTCATTTCGAAAGCAAATGCCTAGCAATTGAGGCCAATCTGGCTAACGTGGGAAGAAACAGCATTCTCACTCAAACTTTTAGAGCTTCCAATCTCTAGTGACAATTTTGAGGACAAATCCTATATAACCCGCCATGAAAATAAGGATTAATCCGATGAACATCGCTGAAAACGCCCACTGCCCTGCCTGTGGCTCGGGCTCCGTTGCAATACACCAGATGGCATGACAGGCAAGAAAGAAGTAGCTAATGCCAAACATGAAACTGAAGAACAACCAAGACAAAGCAATATCACTTTCAGCCGTACAAAGCACAAAACACTGTAAACAAAAGAGCGCTATAGACGTTCCAAATAACATCCCCTTGATCCTTTGAATGCGATCGGTAATCTTCTGGGCTTGTCCACAATAAGCATTGAAAGCGTCATCCCGTTGAACTTCGCATTCAATTTGATGATTCAGGGGATTCTTACCCGTTTGATGGCTTGGTGGAATCAGTTGGGTTGTTTGTACGACTCTAGTCGTCGTGGTGGGGGGGTTGGGAACTTCAAGATCCGCGCCACTTAGCTGTAGCCAGACATGCTCTCTCGAGACATTCCAAGCAGATTTTTGTCTTTTCAGGCAGACCTTTTGAATGGGCTTTTCACAGATCTCGCTCTGTGCAAATGATGAGTATACTGGTATAGTATAAAGACATAGGCCTTGCTGCTGCCCATGGCAAGCTACTTCAAAAGCCTTCTCAAGGGCAGATCTTCTCTCTACCTCCCCTGTGCCCATGCCATAAGAGAGCATGAGTGTAATCAATACACCAAATGCCCCCATAAAAACAGATGCATACCTCGCATTCCGCCCGTAATTCCTAAAAAGAAACTCGTGGAATGGAAGGTGGGGATATGTCCTCACATCCCCGTCAGAGGTTTCCTGGTTGGCAGCACTGCGCTCCGCTGGGTCTGTGTTGAGAACGAAGTCTATCTCTGGCTGCGTGGCTCCTGATACAAAATCATGCACGGTCTCGCCTACCGATTCGGCATCTTCTGTAGACCCCGGTGGAGCCTGGCCGGCAGCGTCATCAGTGCTCTTTTCGTGCATCTTTTCACCAACAACACATTCTTCAATGGTACCTTCTTCTTCGACTTTGGCGTCTTCTTCAAAGTTGCCGTCTTCTTCAAAGTTGCCATCTTCTTCGACGTTGCCGTCTTCTTCAAAGTTGCCGTCTTCTTCAAAGGCGCCGTCTTCTTCAAAGGCGCCGTCTTCTTCAAAGGCGCCGTCTTCTTCAAAGGCGCCATCCTCGTAGCCAGGATCCTCCTCCACTTGCTGGCCATCTTGAGGAGTGGCTGGATTCTCTGACCAAATCCGCCCATCAGTAGTGGCTTCTGGATCTTCCAGAATAGGTGGCACTATATTGGCCACCTCGGTGGGTGGCAAGTCGGTTTCAGCTCTGTTTGGGGACATCTTCTTAAGTGATTCCAATACGTGAAGCTCTGGGTGTGATTACTTTTATGGATGTATAATTATTAAATAATTCGGACGCGTGGGAATAAGTTCTTAAGGTAAGTACGAGCTCTGGGGGTGTTTTTAGGAAAGTAGTATAGACGCGATCCATTGCAGCTTTTATAGTACCTTGGGAACCTCTCCTTCCAAATCTACAGGACCCACTCTTCCGGATAACCGAAAAGACGTAAATCAATAAGTATTGAGTAAATTGAGTAGCTGTGAGATAGTATGTTCGATTTCAGACAATACAATGGCGGTATGAGTGAATGCAAATCATGCCATACAAATCCATGAAGTCAATTCTTTTACCTTTTTGGTTCAAGCTGACACTTAAGAGTCTAAGCTCTGTATATACGGCTTGTCGTATTCTAGCATTATAGCCTAGGTTAATGGCATTCTTGAACGCCGCATCGATGATCGAGATAAGGGTCCTCGCATAGTTTGAGGCGGAATTGTACACTCACATATAAAATCAAAACAGAGATTTCAATTGTTTCCGTTCATTTGATTCTACTCTTGTGGAGCTGCCTTTGAGACAATGTCGTCTTTATTTCTTTTATCGAGCCCAGAGGTGTCTCGGGCCCGGACGCATCTCCGATTGTACGCAGGATATTAACGCAAGGTCGTTTTGACACGGAGCCAATGATTCAGGTTTGATAATGAGAAATCCGGGGCTTGTTAATTCTCGCTTGATTCTATGTAGTACATTAATTTTTTAAACTTTTGGTGAAAGGTCGTCCGGGAATGTAGGCACAATGAGGTGCGTTATCGCTTAGCACGAGACGAAGAAGTATGCAAGGCACCGCGTCAATACTTGCATATTTTGGGATCACGACCTAGATAGTGGTATTGGGGTGAAGGGCCTTTTTGTTAAGAAACGGATGATGTTAAACGGTTTGAATTTTTTCACTGTTTGGGTTTATGAGTTTGAATTGGAAGTGGTGGTTTTGTTATTTTTTTGGGTCCATCGATTACATGAACAGATCGTGTTAGGTACTTGACACCAGGATCCCTCACTAGTAAGCCTCCTAATTAACAAACCATCGATGTCAGAGGCTACTCGAGGCTCTTAACCCTCGTAACCCTCGTGAAGCCCTGTCGTTGGCTGGTACTTTCCCGAACTCGGAGGATGACCGAGGGTCTATATATTTAGCTAGAATCCGTTAGTACCTAGTCTCACACTAGGGAGTTAAGTATGTCAAACACTGATCTGCGCGAACCTAACAGATCGAGAGAAGATGAACCACTCGCTATTACTGCATTACTGAATCCTGTTAATCCTGCTACTAGTAAATTCTACTATCTCTAAATTCTGCTACCACAAAGTCCTTCTCGATCTGGACAAAAGAAAGTATATAAAACGAGTCAAATATGAAAAGTGTTGTATAACATGTGGAGGAAAGAAAGGCTCACAATAATGAAACACAGACCAACTTCGGTTAGGCAACTAAATTGCTTCATTTTCGCAATCAAGTAACTCCTCAAACACTTTGTAGCCACATTAAGCCCAACAAAACAAGACCAATAATGCGGTTACCACCGCTGAGGAACCGCACCAGAGTGGTGAGCTATACCGTAGCTCCTTAATGTATAAATGGGCAAGAGAGCCAAGTAAGTATTGCAGCCAAAAGCATAATAATCCGATGCTTATCAATCCCAAATCCCAAGTAAAAAACAACAGGATCTGTAAAAGACCGAGCCCTAGAGGTGTTCCTAAAACCACACCTGCAAGGATCTGAAGTAGATTCTTTCTATTCCGGACCTTTTTACAGCTAGCACCAAAAATTTGATCCCGTTGAGTCTCGCATTCAATCAAATCCAACGGATCCTCCCCTGTCGGGAGGCTTGTCGGTTCACTTATGTTTTTCCAGAATTCTTCTTTCTTTTCGTCCCAAGCAAGCTTTTGTCCCCCTAAGCAGAGCTCACGAACAGAGTCCCGACAGTCCCAGCTCTGAGTTGATGAAAGTACTGGAATACACCCACCTTGCTGCTTCTCATAGCAAGCTATATTTCGAGCTTCGTCTAGAGCTGAATCTTGAAAATCTTTCACTCTAACTACAATAGGAAAGAGCAATAGGAAGAAAAATAACCCGGCACATCCCATCCCAAAAGCTGTCATGGCCATGCATTTGATGAATCTCTGGAGAGTTCTCCTGGGTCTTTTGGTGGACCTCTGGTTTTCATCAATAGGTTCGGCGGGAGTTCCGACCATCACCTGCTGCACTGCTGTAACATCACATATGGTTTCTGGGGAGACTTGCGCTTTTGCTTCCTGAGGTTTTTCTTCACTTTCGTCTTCTTCAATTTTGTCATCTTCAAAATCTCCAGTGTCGTCAGAATCTTCCTTCACTTGCTTGCCACATTGAGAAGTGACTGGGTCTGGACATACATGCACTTGAGTGGAGGCTTCTAGATCTTCAAGTGGCACTGTTTCATTTACCTGTGCTGGTGCCGAGTCGGTTTCAGCGGTGTTCAAGGACATTTCGTAGAGTTAGCTCAATAAGTAGAATCCGGGTAGCCTTACTTTTGTGATTTATATGATGGGGTGACTTGTGGAGAAAAGTACTCTTATGATAATTTTGAGCTTTAGGATGTAGCTTTTATAGTCTCCAGACGCCCCTTCATCTTCCTCTGCAGAATCCTTGCCCGGCAAAAAGAATGAAGCTGTCATAATTATGAAACCAACTGGCTACTGGTCAATTGGTATTCGATTCCAACAATACAAGAAAGCCACAGAGCCATACAAATCTATATAGCTGTCTACTTTACAACTCTCTGGGCAAAGACGAAAAAAAAAAAACAATCACTCTAACTTCTCTGTGAGGTACTTTGTGGAATAGACTAGGTGGATAGCAGTTTAATTCCCTTTTGAAGAACAAAATTAGGGTCCTAGCATTGCGATACAGAATCGTGCATTCACATAACAAATTGATTTGAATTTTAAGGAAAAGCTGTGTGATCAGTATTATAGTGAGATAATTTTTATGAAATGCCGTCTTTCAATTCCTGTTGTAAAGTATGTGGTCCACCAGTTGTAAGTTTCAGGGTAAGAAATAATAATTTTCCTCGTTCACGGCATACTAGAGCTCAATTTCTATGGCAAACTTAAGCTTCTTTATGCATCTCTACTTTCATAAAATACGCAAGCATAAAGTTCATGAATCATGCTTTTTAGAACGAATTGCCGTGAACACATAGTCCAAGCTGACCTTCGTCCATCACCCGATGCGTCAAATTGATACCGGGCAGTTTCTCCAACGTATCTTCAAATCTCAAAAAAAAAAAAAAAAAAAAAAAAAAAAAAAAAAATAGCAATTGATACTTTACCAACTGAAAAGTCCGATCCTTATATTAGAGCGATAATGCGCACCCAATTCTTTATCAACCCTCCACTGTCAAAACTCGGAGTTTCATTTCGAAGACCATAAACATTTGCATTCCCCAATCCTTCAAACCCCAAAACACTTCAAATACCCCAAAGCAGTGAACCGTTATTGGCCGTTTCCACCATTCTCTCACAAACACAATTGGCACTTATTGCCTCCACCAAACCTTCCCCACCTCAAGCAAAACCCCTCAATCCATCCAAATCCCACCTCTCCCCAATTCAAAAATTCCTGCTTTCAAAAATCACCACCACGGGACGGATCAGCGGGACACCGGTTGGACCCAATTATCAACGTCCTGCATGCGGCACCTACGACATCAGAGGGAGTAAAAAAATTGCCGGTTCCATCTATCAACACCACCGCCATGTCTGGTATGTAAGCCGCTTTGGGCCCTAATTGGCCTATCATTGGGATGCCTGCTTAATTCCACAAATCCCCATCCATTTTTAGAAAACCCAATCCCACTAACACGCAGTCGATTTCAACACCGTAGCCACCGAATTCTGCAACTTCTACTACCAGCAGTTCGACAACGACAGATCCCAATTGGGCAACTTGTACAGGGAGCAGTCCATGTTGACCTTCGAGACCTCGCAGTTGCAGGGCTCCAAGGACATTGTGGAGAAGTTGGCCGGTTTGCCATTTGCCAAGGTGGCCCACAGAATCTCCACTTTGGACGCCCAGCCCGCCTCTCCTCAGGGCGACATTTTGGTCATGGTGACCGGTGAGTTGCTTATTGACGAGGAGCAGAACGCCCAGCGTTACTCGCAGGTGTTCCACTTGATTCCTGATGGATCCTCGTACTACGTGTTCAACGACATCTTCAGATTGAACTACTCGTAAGGCTAAATAGAGCGCCTTCCGGCGAATATAGGATTGTGACATGAGGGCCCGTGTGGGCGGATGTAGAGGCGTAGGGTGTATGGTGAGCGGAGAGGGCCAGGACTAGGCGAGACATGAATTTTAGTTGGACTCTTGCAATTCAATGATGGAGCAGATGTTTAAAAAGCTCATTGGACTGGGCTTATTGGTTGATTTGAAGGAAAGGAATTGTGGAAGTGCTGCTTTTGGTGGTATCTATCCTTCCAGTTGAACGGCTCATTCGGTTACATTATAAGCTAACTTCTGGCTCAGTCTGAACTGATAGTTTCTACTGTTCCGAAATGCCCGGATTTTAAGTACTAGCAGCCTTAATAGATAGATATGTGGTCTAGATTATCAGAAGCCGGCTTTGCATGAATGGACTAGTGGTTGGCCAGAAAGGAAAGGAGGAACAGCGCTTTATCATTTCCTTCTGTCAATGCACTCTCTAATTCAAAAAATCGGAAATACCCCAAAGCTATTCAGTTGAGCGTCTGGATGGATAAATTGTGGCTCATGATGGCTCACCTCACCAACCTCGGATCAATCAGCAACCCACTGATTCCACACACCATTGGGGGTCCAAGATATCTCAAGTAGACTCAATTAATTATTTTTATTAATTCTCAAAAGTTTAAAAAAAACCTTCCAATATTCAAAGCACTGCTTATACTGGTCACCAGACCCTCATTCACACACTACAATACACCCCTCTCCCACCAAATGTCAAAAACAAAATACATCCAATCAAATCTTAAATTTCAAAATCCCTGCTTCCTACTATTTTTTCATCCTCCCCCAAATATCCCCGGGAATCTGCCTTATCGTGGTGCTTCCTGGATACAGTGAGCCCGGATAAATACGTACCCCAGAATCCTCACCAAAACTAATACCACCTACACCGCAAAATGCTGGAATCCCCTGTTCCCTCGATACCCCAGCGGCCCAAAACGAGGCCCAAGAAGTCGGAAGACGCCGTTAGTGCCGAATCGGGCAATTCCTCCGCCTCAATTCCCACGATTCCTCAGAGACCCAGAAAGACAGATACCCTGAGCTCCTTGGAGAGTCAAAACAGTGAAGAAAAGAAGGAGGCGGCTGTTCCTGTGGTTCCCAGCAGACCCAGAAAAGAAAAGAGTGAAGTTTCTGAAACGGAGAGTGCTGAGCCGAAATTGCCCTCGATTCCGAGACGCCCAAGGAAGGAGAAGTCTGAGGAGCCGAAAGTCAGTGAAGACGCTGGAGCCAAAGAGAGTGAGGATCTTGAGCCTTCGAAGGATGTGGCGGCTGAGGAGCCTTTGGACTCCTCTAAAATCAGCTCGGGTGACGTTGGATCGTCTGCATTTGGATCTGACACCGTGGAGCTGGAACCCAAGGAAATTGATAGCAAGGTTGATGATTCGAAGGTTGTTGACGCGCCTTCACTTCCCCTGAGCGACAAAGCCGATGCGGATGAGGAACCCAGCAAACCGGAGTCCCCTGAAACTGACAAAATTGTACCTTCTGAACCACAGGAAGACGAGGATCCAGACCCCGAAGATGCCAAAACAGAGCCTGTTTCTTCTGGAAACAAGGCCCAAAGCGACTCCTCCAGCGACTTGGCAGGGGCTGTTGGAAACAAAATCAAGGAGCAACGTGAACTCGCTAGTGAACTGATGTCCAACGTGGAGAGCTTGCAAGCTGAGAGCTCGGAGGGTGCATTGGTTGACGAGATCGACAGCGGCACTCTTCGAAACGAACACGTGAATGAGGTTTCTGACTCTGCTTTTGCAAAGGATAACCTTAGTTTAAGGGCGCTGGATGAGCAGAAGTCTGAGGAAGAGTCGAAGGAGACAAAGTCTGAGGAGGAACCAGCCTCTGAAGAAATTGCAAGTGTTGAGGACAAGAAACCTGAACTTGAGGAGGCAAGCCAGATTGCTGAACCTTCTGAGACTAAGGAGCTTGACATTCCTTCCAAGGACTCAGAGAATGCTGAAGAGCCAGCTGATCTGGACGCTCCCAAGGAGGAGGCCATTTCTGCAAAGCCAAATCAGGACGCAGCTCCTCTGAAGGAGGACATCCTTTTCCCGAGGGTGATGCTCCAAAGGAAGATGCGTCAGAGGAAGATGCTCCAGAGGAAGATGCTCCAGAGGAAGATGCTCCAAAGGATGATGTTCCAAAGGATGATCCTCCAAAGGATGATGTTCCAAAGGATGATGTTCCAAAGGATGATGTTCCAAAGGAAGAAGCTCCAAAGGAAGAGGCTCCAAAGGAAGAGGCTCCCGAAGAAAAGGCAACTACGAAGGAAACAAAAACCGAGGACGAGAGCCCTGCTCCAAAAATGCCTATCATTCCCCTGCGCCCCAACAAGCCAAAGAGACTCGACTCCAGTGTTTCCGAGCTGGACTCCAAGAGCTCACCCGCCATCCCCTCCAGACCTGCCAAACCTGCAACCAAGGAGAAACCAAAGGCCCCTCCACCAAAGCCCAAGAAGCTTTCGTCAAAGATTGCCGCTTTCCAACAGATGTTCAACCAGGAACCCTCTGAAGCTGCTAAGGAGGAGAAAAGCTCTCCTGAAAAGCGTGGCAAGCTCTCCTCCGAGAAAACCAACTTTGCCGCAAACTTGCAAAATATGATGGGTGCTGGAATTGCCTTGCCTGGCATGGCCAATCCCGAATTGTTGAAGAAGCTTGCTCCTGCTGAACTGGAGTCTGAGCCCTCTGAGAAGAAGTCCGATGAAGCTCCACAACCCACATCCAGAAGAGCCAAGGGTCCCAGAGGCAAGAGGCTTCCAAAGTCTATCCAGGAGTCCAAGATCACGATAGAGCCCCGGTTCAAGTTTTCCAGTGGACTTTTGTGGGAGTTGGACTTCTCAAAGGCCAGTACTGGGGAGCCAACTGAGGGTGTGACCGAGCCAAAGGAAGATATCAAGGAGGAGCTTCTTGCTGCTTCTCAAGAGCCTTTGACCGGTGCGCCATTGGACTCAGAGGACTCATTGAAGAAGGAGGTGGAGGAGCCAGAATCTACAAAAGAAACACAAGAATTCTCTATTCCTATTAGCGAAAGTTCAGCAGAGCAGCCAGAAAGCGTCGAGGATCTCCCTAGCTTGCAAGAAACGCAGCCTGCTATTGACGACAAGGAGGAGCTTCTGAAGATTGAGCATGCCACCCAGGCGCCTCTTGATGCCCTTGAAGAAGGCAAAACCACGACCAAGGACGCTCTGAGCGAGGCCGAGCCCGACTACGAGATTATCAGCAGAGAGAAAGACCAGGTGGAGACGCCCCGGGCCAACACCTCAGGAACGGAGGAGTTTGACGACGACAGCGGTTTTGAAGAGGCCCGTGAGGTCTTCTCGAGCCCCAAGCCGCTTGGAGACTTCACCAAGGACCCCGAGCAGTTTTTGCAGTCGGAGAAGGACCCCACGGTCGAGGTGGAGCAGCAGCTCAAGGAATTGTCGGATTTCGTGCGCAAGCACGATGACGAGCCTGTGCTTGTGAGCAAGGCCGAGGAGGAAGAGGCCGAGAAGGCCGAGTAATTGCATTGTTATCATCAGCGGTCGCCGTAGCGGCGTACGTAGTTGTAGGAGGGGTTCAGTGACTTTGTGGGTTTGTCTGAAGCGTCCTCAGTATGATCCAGCTTAGCTCCAGAAGCTTCATCCTTATTCTTTCCATTTTCTTCAACATCGTCGGCTTTCTTATCGCCATCCTCTTTTTCACCGTCCTCTTTCTTTCCATCCTCCTTCTCCTCCTCACCCTCCTTTCTATCGTTCCTCCTCAACTTCTCTCGTAGTTCAGCAACCTGCTTATCGATCTCATCATCGTCGACCTCCTCGTCCTCCAACCTGTCTCGTAGCTCAGCACACTTGATCTCCACTCTTCTCCTCCTCTCATGCTCCTCAATCTCCCCTCCAGCCAGTCTTCTTGATTTGAGCTGTTTAGCCCTGGCTTCCTTCCTTTCTTCGTTCTCCTGCTCTCTATCTCTTTTCTTTCTGTACCCCTGGAATCTCTTATCTGCGAGGTTTTTCTGGACGTATCCGGAAGTACCACTTCCTCGAGGCGTCTGGAGGCCTATTCCGTTGTATGACATTGTTGTTCGAGGTGATGTGGTAGTTGATGCAGTGCGATAGTGTGGAGGTGATGCGATGAGGATGCGATTGATGGTGGTGATGGTTTTGGTGGAGGGGCTTTTTGGCTTGATTTCTAAAGTCTCTATGTTAATAATGGGAATTGCATGGTTTGTTGGAATTGCGTGGTTTGGTGGAATTGCCCTCTTGGTGTGGATCCAAGTGGTGGTGCTACACTAGGCATTATCTGGGTCTGCTGCATGAATGCAGCCCTGTGGTCTGGGACTGAGATCTGCTCAATGGAAAATCGTTTTGTTGCTTCAGAAGCATTGAATGTGGAGGCTTGACCTTACCAGATACGAAGTCACATTGTGTAAAAGTATTCGGTGTTCGAGCCCCAGTGCCTTATGACAATCAGGCTGCACCACACAATCGCCCCAGACGTTCAATTCTCGGATCCGCCCACATTGATGCATTCATTCTTCGGCCCAAACAGCCCGTATTCATGCATTTCTCGTAAATCTGGTTTGTTCATCAGGTGGCTTTGTCCTGATATCGATCCCATTGTGCCCTTGATCTGCCTCCCTGGCCTATGGGCAATTGTCCCACACATACCTCCGCAAACCGCCCAAAACCAATCCACCGTAATCTCCGTCTCAAACTCACCCCGAAATTTCAATATCACTACGAAATCCAGCTTATTCGATTTTTCATGCCCGTTCTTCCCCACGCATTAGTTCGTGCGTCTTGACGCACACTTGCATTTGGGTGCAAAATACCCACCTTCTGGAAAATCAGAAACACCTTTCAAAAAAAAAAAAAAAACCACTCAATCAACACTTCCTACCAAAAGGCACCTTTCGGCTCCCACCACATCCACGTTCACCTCATCCAACGCCGCCCCACGTGGGGGTATATAACTACCGTGGTTCCTCCATCACCAGCATGCTCAGAACAACCACCCTTCTTTCCCTCTTGACAGCGTGCCATGCAGCCGTGTACCCACAGTACTACCCGCCCGCAGACGGCGCCATCGGCAACCTAGACGCTGTTTTTGACCTGAAAACGGCCACCAATGGCGGCATCTACACCTCCTCAGAAAGCTCACCCTACGGAACCTACAACTTCTGCAACATGCCCCATGTGCGGTCCAGCGAGTACCAAAAGCCAGAAGGCCAGCTTCTCTATGTGGAAGTGATCCACAGGCACCACAAGCGGACCCCGTACACCTCGAACGTGTTTCCCAAGGAGGATATACCGCTTTCCTGCGACAGTCTGACCAACTTCTACTATGGCCAGGTAAATCTGCAAAACCTGAGCGCCCAGGTCGGGTGGAACTCGTATGTGGATCCGGAAAACCCGTTTGCAGACCAGTACGGCTTCAACGGGCTGTGCCAGTTTCCGCAAATCAGCCCAGGCGGTCTTGACGACTCGCACCAGCATGGAGTGGATCTCTTCCAGAACTACCACAGCTTAGGGCTTCTTCCGGAGGAGTACGACCCAGAAAAGGTGAAATTTTTCGCCACAAACAACGTCATCACCTCCCAGGTCGCCGGCGGTGTCGTCAGCGGAATGTACCCTGCTTTGCAGAACCAGCCTGTGGAGGTGTCAGTCCAGCGAGAGGACTCCGACTACCTTGAGCCAAAGTACCTGTGCAACGGGGCGGACCAGACGAAAAACTACATTTTGGCGTCAGGCGGGTGGACCGAGCACCTCCGCCGGTCACAGGAGCTTTTCGCCAAATTGGACGCCGTCTCGGGAGTCAATCCAGACAACAAAGGCTGGCACGCCTCGTGGGACCACTACTTTGATAATTTGGCCCACCGCCAGTGCCACCAGCTTCCGTTGCCCTGTAATCTCGAAAATCCAGCAATTTGTGTCACCGAAGAACAGGCCCAGCAGGTGTACAGATTGGGCGACTACGAGTACAACTACCAGTACCGAGCAGCACCGCAGTCGACCATGTACTCGGCGGCACGGTACGGCGTTTTTTTGAAGAAGCTCCAGAAACACTTGAAGGAGGCTCTGGAAAGAACCAGCGCCGTGGTGTATCGGCACAATGTGGCCCACGACGGATCCATAGCTCCTTTGCTTGGAGCGCTTCAGATCGAGGAGCTCAGGTGGCCTGGCATGGGAGCCGAGGTTGTTTTTGAGCTTTGGGAGAGAAATGGCCAAAATTTTGTGAGGGTTCTTTACGGCGGCCAGCCGCTTCGGACCCTGACGCCGTTGGGTGTTTTGGACATGGTGCTGTTGGGTGATTTCCAGGGCTACTTGGATGGCTTTTTGGGAGGCCGCAATGTGGTGGACTTGTGTCGGACGTAGAGTGGGGGAGGTAGCAGATGGATGGATTAGATGGAGGGATTAGATGGAGGGATTTTAGATGGAGAAGAGACCTTCCGTAGAACAGGAAGGGTGGGAAGGACTTATAGGTCGCTTTTGTACGAATACAAGCTCCACTAGCTTGGCAGTGAGAGGTTTATAAGACGTTAAGCCATTTGGGGCTGATTCTGTATTTCTTATAGTATTAAAGCTGTTTCAATTGGTGTGGACGATGTAACTGTAGGTTCTGACCTTGGTTCGATAAAAGAGGCCATACAAGGCATTGAGGATCGATATACTATTCAACGTCATGGCAAACGTCATGGAAAGAGTTTCTCGGTGGAATGCTGATTGCTTAAAGGTTTCTTGGTATGAATATTGAACAAACTGACGCAGAGGCCAGGACTTCACTTACGGAATACCACTCAATTGTGTGATGTGTATTAGGTTCCTACCGAGGCCTATAAGAGGCCATGCTGATCTACTTGGATCGTGTTTTCACAGACATCTCCAGCGCTTGAATTCCTCCTTTTTTCTTACTACATGGTAATTCTATGGTCTGATGAAAACCTCCCACCATGGATGCTCAACACTGGGGTATAGCTGAAAACAGCAAGGCACATTATGGAGAGTATGGCATTTCGAGCAGATGGTGAGAGCGGCGTTTCTAAGACTCTAATTTCAACGGCAAGCCCAGAATCACAAATTGCGGTGGATCAATGGGCTTGTCATCCATGAACCATCCGCACCACTCCATGAACTGATAAAAGCAGCGGCCACCCGGAGGCTTTTAGCAAATTATTTCAAAATGCAAGAATGGAAGGGTTACCTTTATTTCGGAAAATCCTTATTTTTGACAGAATGGCTGCTTCAAGTCTCAGAAGACTCCCTCATCACTGAGCCGCTTCCCATGATGCCATGTATATCATCAGAATGCCCTTCTTATTTGAAAAGAATGGTTTTTTACATCTTTTCGTAAAAACTGAAATTTCCACCACGGCGAACTTATTATTGATATTCTGTTCTTCCAGAGGAGGACCCTAAGAAGCACCCATGAAGCTTTCCATCAATGAGCGGTACATCCACAGAAACACCTGCCTCGATGAAACATTGCCTTCATTTTGAAAATCAGGCACTCCATCTATAAATTGGGCACTCAGTTTGAAAAAAGGGCATTTTTATCTAAATACGGTGCACTAAGTCTGTAATGGTACCCTTCCTCACCATATTCCACAGATTCACATTCCACCTCTCCCGCCTTGCCCTGCTTTCATTACTTCCTTCAATAAAATGCATCCCTTAATAAAACGATATCAACAACCCAATTCACCTTCCATGAAGCCGAAATACAAATGTAGGACCATATCCATAATGAGTCCTTCACACTGCCATACTCTTCTTATCGCACCACAACTTATCATCAACAAACAACTACACATGTCGTGGCTTCGACAGGTTCGAGCACTACCACTGAACCCGGCGCTGAACGACATTCTAAAAGTGGAGTATCTCGATGTGAATCTCAACAATTCACGCAAACTCATGGCCAACGTGGCGAACCTAGGGGTTGAAGCAAAGCAACTCACGCAACATGAAGAGGACACTGTGGAAGCGATGCTTCAGCTTAAGAATCTTCGAAACGAGCTCAGCTGGACTGATAGTGTGCGTTGAAGAGAACTGTTGGCAAGAACTCGTGGATTTTTGAAACTACAGGTCTTGAAGCTGACCAAGTGACGGAGATGCTAAGAGAAGCCTACCGTTTACAGGTTTACGTGTGCTCGGAGGATGTGAGCTCAAAGTATGTTGGATGATGCTTGTTAGGATTACAGCGGAGTACACGACGCGTGTACCATATCAGTTAAGGAGGGAACATTGAAGGCCTACTAGGCATGACAGAACCAGGACTCTAAAAGGAAGGAGTTGATCAGTGTTCACGCCCCACATCCAGTCAACCTGACCTTACTTTCCACATTTGGCACCGCCTCCGTTTTTGATATTGAGAGGTCACGCGGGGGTCGATATTATGAAAGATGATATAGCAACGTGGTCACGACAACCACTATATCTATCCTCTTTTCCACTTCAGTCCGACTCACACTGCTTATGAGATTCTTAGGCCGCAGAAGAAAGCCTCAGCCTCAGCCTCAACCTCAGCTTCGGAAGGAGGCTCCTCGAGAGAAGTTGAGCACGATCTATCAGCTTCGCAATTTTGGAACAAATTACAAACGGCAGTTGGATGCCGTAGTAGAGGCCGTTGACAAGAATGTCTTTTTGTCCCGGACAGTTGGCCTATTGCTTCAAGGCGAGCATCTCCAAGTGACTGAGCTCGCCGTGAAGAGCCTTGACATGGCAGAACACCCTGATCGGAAGATTCAAATCGAGTTCGCACGCTTGAGGAACGGCGTCACCTCCTTTGGGGAAGGGCCAAATCCTGGGACCACAATGCTTGTTTTCGAGGTAGTTCATACATACCATACTTTTGATTGGTCAGACCTTGAAATGCCGATGCCGATAGTGGGGAAATGCTTCTTAGCCGCTGGCGATGAGAGGCAGCTATTTCCAGGACCCAAGTTCCCTATGTCACATCAGCTCTACGGATTTGGGTCTGAAATGAAGATAGGCTCAATTCATGATAACGTGACGGCTGATGGAGGGAGCCTTGAGCTCAAAGCTGAATTTAAGCCGCCCTCGTGGATTCGGCAAGAGGCGTATTCTCGAATTGTGCTCCCTGGGATGCACGTGGCAAGTTTCCTCCCGTTGAGTTTACAGCTTGTCGATGAATGGAGCTCAAATAACAAGCTCCAGGAGCCGCTTCACTTGACCAAGATTCGTGTGGAGTTGCAAGAATTCAGGTGTGTGCCACACAGAAACTTTGAAAGTACCGACATCCAGAGGAAGGTGTTGGTTGAGCAGGAAGTCTTCATGGCAATTGACTTGCTCAACAAGAAAACCATGATTCCCCACACGATGTACGATTGCGTGATTCCAGAAGTGGGCCCTACGTTCTTCACGGACGGCTTTTTGAGAACGTACGGCTTAGAAGTCACATTGACGATTTCTAACGGAAGTGCTTTGAATTTCAACACATCTGTGTTCATAGAGCTCAATTTGGCCCAGGAGAAGTTCGAGCGTATAAACAACAAGGGAGTTGTGAAGTCACTTGAGAGTTACTTGGGCGAGGGGGGCGAACACCCTACACACCATTTTCATCTCATGAAAGATCTTAGGGATGTGGAGTCGACTGCTAACGGTTTGTTGGCATTAAGCCGCTTGAATGCAGACGAATCCACGGGAAAGTTCCAGCGATATCTCTTTCTGGTGCACAGGCGTGGTGGAGAGGGATGCGTTGTTATAGGGACTCAGATCATGAAAGTTAGACCTTATAGGACGAGTGATAAAAGCGTTAACACTTCGCAATTTAAGCCCGAGTATCTGGAGTGGCTGGAAGGGACTTCAATATCAAGCCATGAAAAATGTACGGGACCATGCTTGGAGACTAGAACTGTTCGAGTACCTACTTTTGGGACCGGCGTTAGCTTTGATAAGCCTCATGCTGCAACATGCATAGTCTTAAACGGTCAGATCATCGAGGCGAACTCACCAAAGGCTTTTGTGCGACAGAAGAGATCGTCTCCATATCGGATAGTTCGATTTGGTGAGAGAAAGATTCCGCTTACCGTACGAATGTCACTCAATGAGCATGAGCGATTTCAACAATCGAACGAATGTTCTGCTATGACTATTGTTAGCCCAGGAATGGAGCTTTCCGAATTTGTCAAGTGCGCCTTGATCGTTGCACAGAGCTTCGAAGAAGCCAGCCTTCACCACCATGTAGAGGACACAGAGATTCAGCTTGAACAAATCGAGATCAAATTGATCGAAGCGAAAATCGAGAACGGCAAAATTACACGTGAGAAGACAATTTTACTTGATAACAAGGATTTACCCTCGATAAGATGGAGCGACTTCAAGGATACCGTTGCTGGAAGCCCGAAAGCTCGTGCAATAACGTTGCCGCAGACCTTGTTTAAGGGGAACTTGCCTGCAAATTTGAAACCACATGTATTTTGTCATCAGTCGATGTTTTACAGAGGTCATTTGATGGATGGCAGGTTGCTTGTGCGTTTTCTGGGACAGGTGTATACCTTTGAGTGGTCTTACCATCTTGAAGTTGCCGAAAACCGCATGTGAAGGCATGATATGATTACCTACGGTGATATGATGGTGTTGGCAAGCATTAAAGTGATAAGATGGTTGAAAGCGATGATAGGCCAGCCTTTGAAGCTCCAGTTGATACAGTGCGTGTAGCTTGGAAAACGTGCAATCTAAGCTCGTCTTCAATATAATGGGTGCTCGCTTCAGGCGAACATTTACTCGACACATTTATTCAAAGATTTTCTTATAACTGGATGAGCGTGAAGGAAATTGTTTTATGCCGTTCTTCAGGCGTCTTATAGGGCTGTCGAATGCTAAGTCACCGGCATCAGCATGCCTTTCAAAGAGTCCGTAGTGTTTGAACGACAGGTTGTGTCGCCTTTCACCATCAGAAGAGGTCTGGCGATGGTCAGACGTTTCCTGCTACAAAAGAGAAGGAGGCCTGACGTCTCCCTCGACAATGTGCTGTTGAAAGCCCTCAAGCACGCCGGGCAGCCTTGTTGTCTCGTGTATCGGTGTATAAAAGAATCTATGAGCTCTCGTCGTCGTCAGTGACTATGAAATCGTCGAGAGCAATGTCACCCGGCTTGTGGTAGCCGGCAGGGCTTGACTCCACGTCGCCTTCCACAGGCTCCGGGCCTGCGCTGGGCTTGTATTTGATCACAATGGTGGCATTGAGCACAATGAGTCCGGTGCCCAACATGCTCAAAAGACCCGGAAGGTGGCCCCAGATGGCTAAGTCCCAAAACAAGGCGTAGACCATGGTGGAGTAGATCATGAGCGAGGACTTGCCGGCTTTCTCCCGTTGCAAACCGGCGGTTAGGCAAAACTGCATCAAGAAGCCCGAAACGCCGATAAGGCCAAAGAGAAACCACTGGTAGCTCGAGCGGGGCACGGCAAACAGCACCGTCGGAAGAAGCAAGGTGCTGACAAAGGTGACGATGCAGGTGGTCAAGGCAAAGTAGCTCACCAGAATAAGCGGGTGGGCCAGTTTGCCGATTTTCCGAAGCAAGATGTACACGGCAGCAGCGCCACAGACGCCGATAAGGCCGACGCCGGTGCCCAAAAGACGAAGCTCAGTTGACGAGGACTCGGTGGCGTCGTCGGCTTTGTCGGTGTCGGGTCTAGGCCCAAAGAGAAACTCTGGTTTGGCCACCAAAAGCACGCCTCCAAGACTGAGAAACGCACACACGGCCTCGAGCACGGAGTAGCGTTCGCCTAGCACGATCCAGGCAAAAAACGGCGTGACCATGGGGATCAAAAACGTGATGGACACGGCGTCCGAGAGGGACAAGTACTGCAAGGAGAAGTACAAGCCGTAGACGCCAAAGAAGCCGAGAATGCCCCGGAGCACGAGGAGCACGCGTTGGTCCTTGGGTCCAAACGGCGCCTCGTCCACCAGACGCGTCACTAGCATGTACGCTAGGCAAAGGAAGTAGGTGATAAGCATGCGGACAAAGAGGATCTGGAGCGGGTGGATCGGGTGGTCTTTTGTTTCCGGGTCTGTTTCCAACAACTTGCATGTGACGATCATGATGGAGTTGAAGAAGTGGGCCACGAGGAGAAGCAGCACTCCTGTGTTCGGAAGCACCACGTTGTGGTAGAATTCTGATAGACGGTCTTTTAGAGACATGGGTGTGGGTTGTGGATTTGTGGGTTGAAGGTGTGGCTGACGTTCAGGCAGGTTTTGGATAACTGGATTGGAGTTTTTTTGGGTTCGAAAAAGCAGCTTTTTTGCTGTGGTGGCAGAAAACGAACCAGGGGCGCAGGAAGAAAGTGGTGGGTAGGTGTGGAAATCAGCAACCGATTCGGTATACTAAGTGCGATAAGCACCGAAGAGATCGGCACCGAGGTGCCGGAGGGGTGGGGTTTTGCAGAAGATTGGGTTTCGGAGTTGAAATTAAAATTGGTTTTTGGGGTTGGTTTTGGGGATTTTTGTGGATTGATTCTGTGGATTGATTTTTGTGGATTCTGCTTTGAGAAGGTGATTTGCTTTTTGGTGAAGCTGTGGTGAATTGGGACCGTTGGATTAGGGTGAGGCTTCTGTGCGGGACAATGCGGGACAGCGTGGGGCTGAGGACTGGATTTGGTTTTTTGGGGTCTTTTGGTTTTTTATTTTTATTTACTTTATTCTATTAAAATGAGAGTATGGAGAGATTGGATTTTGGTTTCTCGCTAAATGGCTGCTTTCCAGGATGGAGCTTTGGGCTTATGCACCCCACAGTGCCGTACAGAATGGTGAGGTCATCGGGCGGAATTGGTTTTTCACCCTGGACAGGATTGGCTGTGGAGGTTGAAAAGGTGGATTTTGGTTTTTGGTGTTTTGATAGAGGGTGAATTTGGAGGTTTTGGGTTGTCTTTCTGTTTTGTGGAGGTGTGGCAGAAGACTTTCAGCACGGCGCTAAGGTGGGTATTGAAATTGCTGGGATAGCCGAGGCCTCCTATTCTCTTCGACCATTCTTCATTTTTCTTTCTTCGTGCTTTTCATTGTCCATTGTGGCTCGGGCCGAGTCTTAGGGCAAGTGCCAGATTTTGTGACTAAGATGTCTTAGATAAGGTGGATCAGATGTGCTGGATCAGATCTCCAGGGTGGCGTTGACAATTGAGGATTTTGGCATTGTGGTTTTGGGTTGGGACTGATATTCAGATGATGGAAATTGAAGATTTGTGAATTTTCAGGTGGTACCAAGATCTAATCCACAGCCAAGCAGTGCACCGTTGCCAAGAAACCATGACCTTCAATGCCACGACACTGGGAGTAGAGCACTTACACTAGTTGGTGTAAAAAATTTAGACTTTTACTTTAGAGATACAGATATGGACTTTTCGTAGCACGTTGTATGTGGTCCAGAAAAGACGCCATCAGCGCTCTCGTAAGCCAAAAACCAAGACCTTAAAGTTGAAACCGCTCACATTCACATAAATTTAACCCATTTCTTCTAATATCTAAACCCACTGATTAGCACTACCCCGCCAAAACCACTTCATTCCTCGAGCTCGCTTGATAGCACCACCTCGGAGAACTCCATGGCAGCCCGACTTCCGAGGGTTACGAGGCCCGACAAGCGGGGCACTTGCGTGGAAGCCCCGGTGAAGCGCCAGCCTTTATAATTTTCGCCCCCGGTAAGGTAAAAGCTAGATAATAAACGTGGGTTCTGTATAATTATGTAGCGCTTGCAGCTGGATGTGCCTCGTCTACCTCGGTGCTTTAGACGATGCTTGGATGGAGGCACGATACCCACGACGGCAGCCCAGAGCGAACGGTGTATGATATTCTTGATTTCTAGTTCTATCATTAGCTTATCTATGTCTAAGGTCAGTCTCTCTATGTCTATAAATGCTATGGCTGAAGGTTCCTCGCGGTGCAAGGTGAGTCAAGCTCCGATATCAGCAGTAGATGGCCAATGGGACCATACCACCAATGGCAATACCAGAAGCCCAATTTCAATGGAATCCTCAGAACGTCAAAAGCTGTTTAAAGCTGCTTTCATCACTCCTTCAACAAATTGGTTCACCAGCCCACCATACCGTTCAGCACCCTCTCCGTTCCATTGACCCTTCCTCATCTAAAGCCTCATCAAATCTAAACCACACCACAATCGATATCCTTAATCTTCCCTTTGTAAGCAGAAACGGTCCCGGCCCTCTGTCCTAACTCCATCCAGCGGCTCACGGAAGCGAGCATCTTCCGAAGCCTCCATCAGCAAAACACCGGCCAGACTCGCTCCCATCACTAAGCGGCACTTGAGCCAAAACACTTTGGTACTTTCAATTCGATATTGTAAAACTCAAAACGATTAGAGTTTCCCGGCCTCGACCTCCTCATCTCGCGATGCTCATCGGTCCATCGATGCACCTCCTGAAAAATTAACCCACCCAAAGCCAAATGTCAATTGAAGATCCTCCTTTTGCACAATCCGCCAAACCGAACCTCAGGCCACCTCGGCACGTCAGGCATCTCGAGGCGCAACTATGTCTGGATCTGCAGGAGCCTCTACTTAAAGCCTAAGCAATTCCCCAGATTCTTCCACAACCCACATTCACCATGTACCCCGACCCGCTCAAGGTGGTTTCCCGCAAAATCACAGACAGCATCGTGCTCAGCTCGAGCGGATTCCGCCGGTTTGGCAAAATCAACTTTGGTGCTCGCATGGCCTTGTTCAACTACAACGGCTCCATCGTGGTGTGGCTGGCGATGCCGTACGGCGACGGCGTGAAAAAGGCGTTGGAGCTTTCGGCGGATGGAAAAGACCCCCAGGTTTCGTACGTCATCGTTCCGGACAGAGAACACACAATGGCTGCAAAATCGTTCAAGCAGCAGTTTCCAGCGTTGAAGATCATCGCCATGGAGGGCGTGGACTTGGGCCTGGAGGCGCCGATTGACCATGTGATCAAGGCTGACGTCAAGGAGAAGATTCTTGATAAGCTGGCGCTCGAGCTGATTGGCATCACGGACCCTGTGATCGTGGACAACTTCGAGTTCGTCTACCTCCCCAGCCACGCCAACAAGGAGCTAGTGATGTACGACAAGAACCTGAAGAGTGTCTTCCAGGCGGACTTGCTTTTCAACTTGCGTGCTGACGAGGAAAACGAGCAGTTCACCAAGGAGGTGGGCCACGAAGGGAGCGCTTTTTCCGGTTTCTCGTACCCCGCCAAGTACATCAATCCCGACAGCAAAGTGGGCCGTTTTTTCATGAACAAGGCCGCCAGCTCGTCCAGCGGCGCCGAGGGGCTCAGAAACATCTATAGCTGGGATTTCGACAGGTTAGTCATGTGCCATGGGTCTGTTTTCGAGACTGGCGGCAAGGAGGCGTTCAGGAAGGTGTTTGGGGAGTTTTGGGCAAGTAGGGCGGGTTGTAGCTCAACAGTATAGTTTAATTGCACCATGGGTCATTTGCAGCGATTTTCTAGATTAGCTTTGCAACCGTTTTGCGTGGATCAGCTTTGCAACCGTTTACCGTAGATCAATGTTTTGCAGCCATTTTCCCTGGTTCGATTTTTGCAGCCAATTCGCTTAAATTCTGCATCATTTTCCGTACATCAAATTTTGCAGCCATTTTGCAGCCATTTTGCAGCCATTTTGCAGCCATTTTGCAGCCATTCTCCCTAGTTCGATTCTTGCATCCATCTAATTTTTGCATCCAATTTCCGTAGATAAAAGTTTGCAACCATACTCTGTAGATTACATTTTTGCAACCATTTTCCCTAGGTTAATTGCACCATTTTGCGTGGATCAAGCAACCGTTTTCCGTAAATCAAGCAACCATTTTCAAAATTTTGCAACCATTTTCTGTGGATCAAAAATTTGCCATTTTCCGTAGATCAATTTTTGCAGACTTTTCCCGTGAATCAAGCGACGTTGCAAGCCTGAAAATGAAGCCGTCGTTTCCAATTGGCTGAATTGATCAACTCTTTTGGCTCCAAAGCTTCCAGATCTCTTACCTGAAGAGCCCCTCTTGACCTTTCCATTCATCTATCAGTCATTGACATAAAAAGTCAAGGATAACCTGGGCCATGCCTGTGCTCCATTGTCCTCCGAACCTCGAAACTCAACGGTTGACTCATCCCTGGAATGCAACGTTGCATCCACCATACAACTGTTGGTCCCGGAACCTCAAACACTTGCTTAACTTCAACTTAAATTCAGCGGGCGTCATCAAAACTATACCCCGTCGTTAAGTACTGAAAGGCATTTTGCACCCATTTTCCTTCAATTTTTGCAACCGTTTTCCGTTGATCAAATTTTGCAACCATTTTCCGTAGATCAAATTTTGCAACCATTTTCCGTAGATCAAATTTTGCAACCATTTTCCGTAGATCAAATTTTGCAACCATTTTCCGTAGATCAAATTTTGCAACCATTGTCCGAAAATCAAAATTGCAGCCAAGTTCCGCAGATCGATATTGCATCCATTTTTGCAACTATTTGCCGTAGATCATTGTATTGCAACCATTTTTTCTATAATAATTTCGTGTGATTAACGAAGTGTTGGAGTTGTTGTTTCTAAAGTGGTTCCAATAGCCTGTTTCCTGGAAGGCGTCATTGAAACACGATGGTACTGTACAATCTCTGGCATCTACGTACCAGTTTCCCTTTAACTTTTGCACCATGGATCAAATTCTGCAACCATGTTCCCTGGTTTAGTTTTTGCAACCATTCTCCTTGGTTTAATTTTCCATCCATTTTTCCGAGATCAATCTTGATCAGACTGTGGGGCATATCCTCGGCTGCGAAAAACCCCGCGATATCACCATCTCATCCTACTACTCTCCATGACTCAAAGCGAAACCACCCCTAAATCCGCCGGCGTGGTGGCCGACGAGCAGTATGCCGGACAGCTCTACGCCCACAAAATCTACCAGTACTACCAGGCGTTGGCGGAGAAGCACGCGGTGGTGAACAAAAAGTGTGGTGATATCTCCGAGAGCATCTGGCCTAATTTGACCGGCGACACGCTTATTGGTCCAGAGAAGATCGGGCTCCGGTCGGGCTCGTTGTACTTGATCGACGACAAGTTTTTGACGACCTTTGACGACGTGGAGGAGCTCCAGGAGGGTGAAAACAACCTGGGGTACACATTTTTCAGATTGGGATCGAGGATCTCAGGTCACCCCAAGATCGTGCACGGCGGGCTTTTGGCCACGTTGTTGGACGAGTTGACGTGCCGCGTGGCGTTCCAGAACTTCCACTCCAAGAAGGGCGTGACCGCCAACTTGAACATCAAGTACTTGAAGCCGTGCTTCGTCAACCTGTACGTCTTGATCAAGTGCACGTTTGTCAACAAAAAGGGCCGCAAGTGCATCACCAGGGGCCAGGTGTACCATGTGGACTTGGACGCGGAGATCGACGGCGATATTGCTGAGTTTGTCGAGTCCAAGGAGAATTTGTTGACTGAAGCTGAATGTCTTGTTATAGAGCCCAAATGGGTTGAGGACCTCCACAACCAGGCCAACGAGGCCGTGGCTGCACGCTCCTAATTTCATTTTATTTATTGGGCGGCTCGTTCCGTGCCTTTGGTCTTGCTCTGACCAACCTCGAGTTTGGCCAGTTTGGCTCCGAACTGAATCGCCCGTTTGACCTCCTCTGCCGCCATGGGGAGCCCGAGTGCATGGCAAAGCTGCCGTAGAAGATACTTTCGAGAATAGACTTTGGCTCGTTTTTCGCCTTTTTTGCTTTTGACGGTGGTCCAGTTGAACTGGACTTTGTAGTGGGGTGCCAAACTCGCCAGAAACTCCACCACGGCGTTGTCGAGGTACGGGTACCGGAGCTCCTTGCCCCAGCTGGAAATGGCCCGGTCGTCTCTGCCGAGGTTTCGGTTGTATATGGCCGTGATGTCGTGGTGGAGCGATTCTGAGAGTTCATCGTACAAGCTGTAGATGGTTTCTGGAGCGGCGTTTTCTTGTAGAGAGTCGAAAACAGCCTCGTGCCGGGAGTACCCTCCGTAGAGCTCGTCGGCGCCGAGGCCCGAAAAGAGCACTTTGGCGTTGGAAGTGTACTTTTCTGAGGAGACGTAGGATTCTCGGTTTTTTTCGAATTCTGACCACTCGGGGAAGTCCTCCATCGTCAAGGCGGTAAAGTCGCCTGGTTTGCTGGCGAAATAAAACGCTATGCCAATCGAAAGGTCCATTTCGGTGGCAGTGGGTCGGATAAGGTTTAGCACCCTGTTTTTGTGAGAAAGCCAGTCGGCGTACGAAACGTCCACCTGGACCAAACGGAAGGAAACATTGGAATTTTTGAATTTTCTCGAAAGCTCAAACCACAGCTGCTCGGAGAGTTTGCGGTCTGGCGACTCCAGCGCAGAAAGGCCTGTTCTGGGGTTCTCGAAACCTACAGTGAGAAGATCGATTTTGACGGGCTCACCGAGAGATTCGTAGTTTTCGGCAATTAGAGATGCCAAGATCGTGCAATCAAGACCCCCACTGAACAAAACGGCCACCTGTGTTTTTGTAGCGTGGAGAGGGTGCACCGTCTTTTGACGAACCAGACAAGCGTTTTTGAGGTGTGAGTGGAGCAGGTCCACAAGAGCAGCAGTTTCGGCGTATCCTTTGCTGTATGCTTCTCCAGAAACGGCATCCAACCGGAGCTGCTTTGGATACGGCGTTTTGGAAAGCTTTTTGTTTTCCACATCGTAGACGTATAGCACGCCAGGCTCACACTCCACGAGCTCGTCCTCGGGCAAATGGCTCAAGACGGAGGCCACGGCCAAGCCGTTTTTCGTGGAGTACAAGAGGGACCGTTTGCCGATGTGGTCTTTTCCGAAAAACACCCTTTTGGTGGATTTGTCGGTTAGAACGAACGCAAACTCGCCATTGAGGCGGGACAAAGCGGCACCGAGAAGATCTACATCCCCTTCAGAGGCCTTGATCTCCTGAAACGCAAATTCGCTGTCATTCCCACAGAAACACCCCTCGTTGTAGAGCTCTCCGTTGAACTGAAAAACGAACCGCTCGTCCGCCAACGGCTGCACTGCAAACGGCTGTCTCAACGAAAGCACCGAGCTCAAGCCGGAAACAAACCATTCCCCAATTTCGCCTCCCACAACTCAGCGTAATCGGGACCCCTGGCCATGATATCCACCAAGGTGCCATCCAAATCGGGTTCAGCCGCTTCCAGCGCCGAAACCACCAGCAATTCCGCAATTTCCCGCTGCAACTCAGCGATTCTCGACGCGTGGTTCTTCACGCTGAGCCGGCCAAGTTCGTTTCGTCTTTGCCGGATGTTTTGTGCGTTTTCCACCTTCTGTTTGTCGAGCGCCGAAAGCGCCGTTTGAAGCGCCACGCGGGAGCCGACGATCTGGGCGATTTCGTCTTGCGAGTACCGTTTTGCCTCGAGCTTCAGCGGCGCAGCGCTGGCACTTACCGCTAGAAATATCCCACACATCGGGATGTGGTCCTCGATGCCATCGCGGCTGCGAAATTTCCGGGGTACCCAGGCGAGGGAGTTCCAGCGTTTAATTGAAAGGATTAAAAAAGAAAAATTAAAGGAAGAGGAAAAGAAGAATGATTTGAAACAGACCTTGGAGGAATGAGAGGGGGTTTGATTTTGTGGTGTTTTGTTTTTGGGGTTTGGGTGTGGAGGGGTGGTGGGTTTACCGGTATCAAGGCATTTGAGGTTGGAGTGAGACTGAAGAAAGGGGAGACTGGGAAAAGCTGGAATTGATGGTTCCATTGGAGATGTGCATTTGCATTTCAAGAAACGAGCTTACTATCCGATATTGTAGTAATTTTTTTTCTATCCTTATGTCTTTACATGTTATTTGCTTAGGAGCTTGACTTAGTTATCTAACGGATTTGGTATCAATCTCGTTGGCGAAGGAAGTACACAGAGAAGGGTAGAAAGATCATTGCTTTCAATGGCATCTTTTTGGGCTTTGTGGAAACATTTTCACTAATTGCTATGTTACGTATAGTAATAGCTAACTAAGGGCTGCCTGTTTTCTTCTTCTCGGCCTCAACCTAGCTGTCTTTTGGTTTCGATTTTAAGGCACGATGAGTATATTTGATGGAACAGCATCAAAAGGGTTGGGGAGATGTTTGACGTGCTTCGTGAATTCTTTCATTGATTTTCCTCCTCAATTCAAAAGTTGTTCGAATGGAGGAATCACCACCTATAACATACAACAACCCACTAAGCACCCTACCTCAGACCTTAATTGTGCTCCTTACGAAAACTTCCGTTGCATCGCTTATGGAACTCCACGTATTTGCAATTTGCTCAACCCGGAAATACATCAACACTAACCAAAACCCTATCAGCCCTGCAACGGATGCTCTAATAATAACCCAAATAGCTCGCCTGGCAGCGATGTTTACAAACACCGATCCAACTTTTCAAAAACCGCCCCAAAAAGAACAAACCGCTACAATGCGTCTGTTTGTGTTGTCCGAATCCAGGGTAAATAGAGTAGGTTTGACGTGCTGTCACATTACGTCAATGTGCCGAAGCGACCGATGGGTGCCACTTGAGCCACTAGCCACAATAAACCAAAACGGACAATATTTCACTGATGAGTTATTTGACACTTTTACCAATTCTACTGATTCACCGATTCTTCAAAAGCGTAGTTTCTTCAGCTGAAAAGTTCATGCACCATAGTGGACTCGGCATATACCCTAACCGATCGATCCAAAGATGACCTGAGCTGTCGATCCGTGGAAATAGAAACCGCAATTGAAGCCGAAATTGAGGCCGGAATGAGCCCAGGGTGTACTCGGAATTAACGGAATCATCAGCCCCTCCTCCCTGTCCTCTACAATACCCCATGCCATGCCCCATACTTTATACCTCGAGGACACAATTAGCCAGTAGACAGACAAAAAACGTAGGAAAGTCAATTAATCAACGTCATTAGCAAAATCCACCGAGACACAATGTACCACGCTTTCTTCCTACCTCTTCTTGTTCTGTTACTTCAGTGTAAGTGTAATGGTAGATCCACATTTCGCAGCCGCAACCGAACCCCGATATGCACGGACCCCATGAATCTACGTCATCTGACCAAACCAACATTTTCGAAAACTAATCCTCACATTTTACGACCCATAATGAGATATCCAGTAATCACGGATTGCGAAGTCAGGGAAGCGTAATGTATGGTGTCCTTCAGCAAGCCTCAGATTCTCACTCCGGTGTCTGCCGAATTGGCTGCACCAGAGCAGTCGGAATGGTTGCAAAATTAGCTGTTGATTTAAACACAGCATTGCTGAGCTTTCTTTCATGATCGGCACATGCGATCCAAAAATGACGAATAGCTCTTAATGATCGATAAAAAAAAGAAAAAACCGGTTGAAGAAGGCCGTAAGACAGATATGTCCTATGGGTCGATAACACGGCGAGACGTTCGGGAAACCGACCTGAGTGTCGTGAAATTGAGAATAGATCTTATTGGAGGTTGTTTGAGATATAGCTTCTTAACTCTATTAAAGAGATATCAGTTAAAAAAAAAAAAAAAGAAAAAAGAAAGGGCTGGCAATTACAGCCCGCCAGATGACTTTGTCAGGGACGATGCACTCCGTTGTTGAGACTCCCTGTACCTCACAATCCCCATGCCCCCCCCACTGTCCCAATTAACAAGGAGACAGACAAAATTCGAAAACGCCAAAAACGTCAAAACGTCAAAGTCAAGCAATCAACACCATCAGCAAAATCAGCACACTCGCAATTTCCACATCGTTACTTAACCACTTCCCAGTCGGCTCAATGTTCAATCGTATGCAGCCGCAATCGAACCGACCGATATGCACCCCACGAATCGACGTCATCCCACCAAACAACCGAATCAACAATTCAAAAACTTTCAAAACCTCTCAAAAACTAACACTGCAATTTTGCGACCCTTGCTACGCCCCTCATGGTACCAAATAAAAAGAAAAAATTGATGATGCCTTATAGATAGACCAGGGCCTGACGTTCAGGACGAAGCCTGTCGCGCCTTTAATGGAAGACATTGGCGTGCATGATTAGTGGGTTGTGTTTCTGTAGCAATATAGTTTTGGTTTCTAGTGGAGGGAATCCTCTGTTCGAAGCGCCCTGCTAATACATTCTTTTAAAAAAGAAAAAAAAAAAAAATTGTCGTGGCCCCGCCGCAACCTGAGGTCACCGGTGGCTCGCAATTGTAGGAATGTTCCCGAGTCCGGGCTTCCCGCCATTCTGCAACGGTTGCGGCGGGGTCCCCATTGAGCGGCAGCGTTGCTCGATTTGGAGGGCTGCTGCTTGGCGGTTGTTCGGGTATTGCGGTTGGTTTTCGCAGCCAACCTCCAGAGAAGCCGATGGAGAAGAGTGGGACACTGAGCCAACGGCAGCAGCTGCGGTCTTGGAAACCACGCCAATCGCTTTAAAATCAAAATGTACCCCTGGAGAGCTTTTTCCCCCACCGCATCCCCGAAATGCACCCTGGAGCAATGACCGCAACCCTATAGACCCCCACCGGGGCCTTATATACGGCCGTGACTCCATAATGTTTTGAAGCAGCCAGAACAAAAACCAAAAGGCAAAAATGAAATCGTGGTCCGTGTCGCTCTGCATGGCCGTGGCGCTTTCTGCTGCCGTGCCCAGCCTGCTTTCCAGCTCGCCGTTTGTGGATAACCTCATTCAGGCCAATGCCACCGGCGACGACGATGCCATCGAGACTTTCCCAGAATCATGGACCTGGGGCGTTTCTCAGGTCCCCAATGTGCTTAACAAATCGGCCGTGGACGCCAACGAGGAGGCGCTGGGCTACCAGTTGTTGAATGTCTCCAGAAGCGCCAAGGGCCTCTCGGGATTCCTCCGTTTGCAGAAGGAATCCGACCTCTACGGCTTCGACTACGACATATTGAAGCTCGACGTCGAGCACCAGCTGGAGTCCAGGCTCCTGGTGCACATTGAGCCCAAGAACCTCACCGACGTCTACAAGCTTTCTTCCGACTTGGTGCCTGAACCGGAGTCTTCCAACTCGACTTCTTTCGGTTCCGACTTGGTGTTCCGCCATTCCGGCGTCAACGAGCTGTTCTGGTTTGAAGTCGTCCGCAAACTGAACGCAGAGGTGCTTTTCTCCACCAAAGGCAACCCGCTCGTCTTTTCCAACCAGTTTGTCCAGTTCAACACCTCTCTTCCGGAGGGCCACGTAATTACCGGTTTGGGCGAGGCCATCAAGGGCTTTACAAACCCGCCGGGCACCGTCAGAACACTCTATGCCAACGACGCTGCTAATCCAGTAGACGGCAACAACTACGGCGTCCACCCCTTCTACATCGACCAGAGATACGCCAATTTGAGCGAAGCAAACGCCCACCAGGGCCCTGTCAACGAAACCCGCTATCCTGGCGTCAAATGGGGCAATCTGACCAACCTGACGCTCGGAAACTCCACTGTTTCCAATCTGAGCTTCTACGAGGACTTCACGCCGCTTAACAAATCGTACACACACGGCGTCTGGTGGAGGACCCTGGCGCCCCAAGAGGTCGTCGTTGAAGAAGAAGCCCTTACGTGGAGAGCGCTCAATGGCGTGATTGACCTCTACTTCTTCTCGGGACCTACTCCAAAAGATGTGATCCAGCAGTACGTCACGGAAGTCGGCAAACCTGCTCTCCAGCCTTACTGGGCATTGGGATACCACCAGTCCCGTTGGGGATACGCTTCTGTGGACAAATTGCAGGATGTTGTAGACCGGCTTGCTGCAGCAGATCTCCAGCTTGAAGCCGTCTGGACAGACTTGGACTACATGTCTGGGTTGAAGGACTTCACCAACGACCCGGTCCAGTACCCGCTTGACAAGTTCCAGAGCTTCCTTGCGGACTTGCACGACGGTGATCAAAAATACATTCCTCTTGTGGATGCAGCCATCTACCACCCCAACCCTGAGAACGAAACCGACAACAACTACAGTGTTTTTGGCGACGGCGTTGAAAAAGACGTTTTCTTGAAAAACCCCGACGGCTCCTTCTACATCGGCGCCGTGTGGCCCGGCTACACTGTGTTCCCCGACTTCCTCGGCAACAACACCTACGAATGGTGGAAGGGCGCTTTGGAGGACTGGCGGGACGAGGTCGAGTACGACGGAATCTGGCTCGACATGAACGAGGCCTCTTCTTTCTGCGTGGGTTCTTGCGGAACCGGCAAAGTCCAGAGCAATCCCGTTCGGCCGCCTTTTGAGTATGGCGGGTTGCAAGAACAGTTTCCTGAAGGATTTAAAAAATCCAACGCCACGGAGTACAAGCAGTTTTTGCAGTTGCTTTCCAGCCAGACGGCCGAGAACACCTCGACCGTGCTGAACTCCAGCTCCTCCGACTTTTTCAACTCCAAGCAAGACGGAAAAGGCAACATCAACTACCCACCCTACGTGCTCAACAACGTCCAGGAGGGCCACGATCTTGCTGCACACGCCATTTCGCCAAATGCCACCCACGCCGACGGCTCCGTCGAGTACGATATCCACAATTTGTACGGATACCTCCAGTGCAACGCAACCTACCATGCTCTCACCGAGATCCAGCCAAATAAGAGACCCTTCATCATTTCCAGATCGACCTTCTCCGGCCTGGGCGCCTATGCGGGCCACTGGGGCGGCGACAACTGGTCGAATTTCACCTACGCTTATTACTCCATTCCCCAGGCGCTCACCATGGGACTTTCGGGCATTCCGTTCTTTGGCGTGGACGTCTGCGGCTTCAACGGCAACGCCGACTTGGAATTGTGCTCCCGCTGGATGCAATTGGGTGCTTTCTTCCCCTTCTACAGAAACCACAACGTCTTGGGCGCCATAGATCAGGAACCCTATGTGTGGGAGGATGTGCTTGAGCACTCCAAGATCACCATGGACATCCGGTACTCGCTTTTGCCTTACTACTACACGTTGCTCAAGGAGGCCTCTGAAACCGGTGTTCCTGTTCTTCGAGCCCTTTCGTGGGAGTTCCCAGACGACCCTGCTCTTTCTGATGCAGACAGGCAGTTTTTCGTTGGAGAAGCGCTTTTGGTGACCCCCGTGCTCCAGCCCAATGTTTCGGAAGTTGACGGTGTTTTCCCCGGCGCCAACGTCACCGACCTCTACTACGACTGGTACACTTACGAGCAGGTGAATGTCACTGACGGTAAAAACGAGACCTTGGAGGCTCCACTCGGCCATATTCCGCTTCATATTCGTGGAGGTCACATCATTCCTCTTCAGGATCCCGGCTACACGACGGCAGAGTCGAGAAACAATTCCTGGACGCTTCTTGTGCCCTTGGGCATCGAGGGTACTGCCTTCGGTTCGTTGTACTCAGATGACGGAATCTCGTACCCTGTGAGCAACTCGACCACGGTGGAATTTGTCGCAGGCGACGGTGTTCTTTCTTCTTCTGCTTATGGAGACTACGAGATCGAGCAGCCCTTGGCGTCGGTGGTGATTTTGGGTGTGGACGAGGAACCTTCTTCTGTGAGATTCAACGACGAGACGGTGAACTTTGACTACTACAACAAGACGATCGAGGTGCTGGATTTGGAGGAGTATACCGAGAAGGGCGCCTTCCAGCAGGACTTCCGTCTCTCGTGGGAATGAGGTGATGTGGTCTGATCTTTATACCCTGTTTAGTTAATGATTGCTTTGATGAGTGGAGTGTAGTATAAGGAGATTGAGTCCAGGCAATTTTTGATTCAAACAACAAAAAAGAATAAGAGAAAAAAATAAAGAAAAACATGTTCTGAACTGAGGATTCCCGAATGGGTGTAAGATTACCATGTAGGCCTTAAAACTATATAGGTCTTGTTGGAAAGAATTTATTTTTTCTAGCATCCTCTAATTTAATAATCAATATATAAAAAAAAAGGGCGCCTAATAATTTGACATCTCTATGTTAGGATGCTCATCCATAGTATATCACGACTAACCCTTGGATATAACTTCCTTGACTTCTAAACTAAGAGGACTAAGAGCACTTAAATATTTGAACATAGATAATACGATAACAGGAAAGAGCGGTTCTCTTGTCTGGTATCTGAGAGACCGTGGATTTCTTGTTATACCGTGTATCATCTAGTGTGCTTCATTAAAAGGAAACTAGCTCTAGCGGGAAACCGCCTTATCTATGTTTGATACCTGACACGCTTAACATTAAGCGTGAATCCATAGTTCCTAACGTGTTCCTAACACTATGACTGGACATTGATGCAACAGCATTGGCCAATAATCTCAATATTCAGGGCAATTGACGTATGATATCCGAAATGGTATGCTGAGGGCCTTTACAGAGTATAGAGGAGGGATGGAGATATGTCCAATGAGGAAAAGGGTATATCCCATGCTGCCTTTGAACAATGCTGCAATGGTGAAATGTGATTTTAGTCATGCAAACGTTTTCGAAGGACAGCTCCATAATTAAAATTTACCGTCTGTTGAAAGGCAGAATGCTCCAAGTATAAAAATCTGCTTCATAGTTCACTGATGAAAATGTAGTGTGAGCCTGGACTTGCCGAGGAACACAGAAGTATGGCTTAGACGACCGATATAAGGCCAAAGGAAGACTTCAGCCTCTCACTCTGAAAAGCGCCATAAATTCTTCTGACCTTTATACCCTGTTTAGTAATGATTGCTTTAGAAGTGGAGGTGTCAGAACAAGTAGTAGGTAAGGGAGGAATTGTCTGAAGAGGTATTCAGGAAAATAAAAATAAAGAAATGAGAGAGCGAAGATGATAAATTTGATTGTGTGAGTTGGGATAGGCCTTTGTGGAGAAAGATGCATTCGGAATCAGCCTTACGGAAAGATCTCAACGTTCTAGTTGAAATCTGATATCTAAGAATGATGCAACTGAGAGGCGAGATCAAAAATAGGAAAAAGGAATGAAGTGGAGATTTTAGGTGAAAAGAAAGGTATGTACCATCCTGAGACAAAAGGATGCTAAGACATGGAAATGGCGCAAGGTAATATGGGTTTAGGCATTACACATATTATTAAGAGAAGACTCCTTTATACTTGAATGGACCACATGAATAGAAAAAAGAATAGTAGAATCCTTCAAGTCTAATAAAGTGCTTCATATATTAGTGATAGAAATGTATTAAAACGACACTTGAGGGTTTAGAATACTATGACCTAGAGGTTAGACCAGAATGAGGCCAATGGACAAACTCCAGCCATTCACTTAAAGCGTCATAAGTTCCTTATTATAAGTTTTGGCAATGACTGACCATCAGTAGTGTGGATGCATCACTAAATCAGATCTGATATCAAAAGCAGACTCAACCAAGGCCTACAAACCAAAAAATTGTCATAATCAACAATTTTACAATAAATCAGCCATAACTCAGCTAAAATTAGCAGTTCCAAAACCCTCTCCTATTTTCAGATACAAATCATAACCGGCAGTCCCTCATCCTCGAAGATGACGAAACTTATGATGAGAATGAAAAGCTTCAGGTTTAAATAGGGTTTTCCGTTTAATCAGATGAAATTAACAAAAAAACATAGTCTTTAATCCAGTGCAAGAGATATAAAAGGGTGAAGAAGGCTTGTAAGGATGGACAGACTATGGCTTAGAGCCGCTAACAGAAAATTTATGGTAAATTCGAACACAGATTTAGCATCTCATTCTGTAAAATCTCATCAGCGCTGTATCGAATTGAGCTTCAGCTGTGGCTGATGATTTGTATTGAGTATCCTAAGATTACCTGGATTAGAAGTGATAACAGCAGAACAGACCTAGAAGTGCAAGGGATGCTAGAATTTACATTGACAGTATGAAATAACCATAAATAATCATTCTAGAGAAGATGTCATTTTCCAATATTAAGGCCTTCTCTACTTTTCACCCTCCTACTATGCGCCATACATAACCTGTAGTCTGGAGTGCCAGATTGCCCCACAATCAGAACCTGAATTTTCTTCATTATGAATCCTTCTCTTACCGCCATAACTATCATTTATGAACTTCCTTCAATTCTAGAAAAAAAAAAAAGTCCACTTTCCCCAATTTCCATCGCCTCAAAAACACCATTCCTGCCTCACTACATCTCAATCGCACATCAACAACATGTTACGTCGTCCAGCTACAACCATCAAACTCACTCCAGAGGACGTGCTAGAATATGACGATTCGGTGGCAGAGCAGAAATCACTAAATGAAACCCACATCGACCTGCACCAGGAGGACAAAACCGTTCCTGCCATCACATTCAAAGAACCGTCTTTGGCTGGAAGAAACGAAAGACTAGGCGTGGGCCAGTAGCTACAACGTGTATAGGTCATGCTGGGGGCGAGGCAGCGTGCCACTTCGCCAATAATATACAAGGTATGGGATGCTGATGCTATTTTCTTCTCAAGAAGTCTCTGTTGAGCCAGCTGCTCTTGCTCTCAACCACCTTGGGGTCGGCCTTGGGCACGGACTTTTTGGTCAGCCCAAACTGCTGCACTTGCACGTGGACGGGGCCTTTCTTGATCGCCAGCGTCCGCTGCTGCTTGAGCTGCTTGAGCTTCTCCAACTTGGCCTTCTTTCTCATCTCGGCGTACTCGTTCTCGAGATCCTCCGTTCTCATGTGCTTGCCCTGAGGCTGCTCTGGCGTGGTACTGACCTCCTGAAGAAGCTCTTCCGGAAGCAAGTCAGGCAATTCCTGCGACGCCACGAGCTCTTCGAGACGCTTCTTCTTTTCCTGTTGCTGCTGTTGGTATACGAGATCCTGCTCTTTTCTCTTTTGCTTTTCCTGCTTGCGTCTTTCCTGTTCTAGCTTTTCTTGCTCTTTTTGCTGTTTGAGCGTCTTGGCCTTGGATGCTGAGATCGACTCTTCCTCTGGAGCCTCGTCTGAGTCGGAATCGGACTCGCTCTCCTCGGGCTCTGACTCTGACTTGTCAACTGTGATAGGCTCATGGTTCTCGGGAAGCTCACCGTCATCGGTGAACTTAATTTTCTTGGAAGCCTGACGGGTCACTGGCGCCATGCTCCTGGGTATCTTGTTCCACTTTCTGAGATAGGCATCTCATCGTGGGTATTTTTCGGTAGTGTCGCGCACATATCAGCTGTAATCACGGCTCGAGCGTATTGACACCTTTTTGCTTCCATGTAGTCTTTGTCGGGTCATTTCTGATTAGCTTCACGATTTCTTTATTCATGAGAAGGTTGATTGACCCCTTGTGTATATCGAGGCCATCGAGGATGAGCTCGTCCAAATTTAGGGTCTTGGGGCTGGATGGCTGCGAACTGGAGAAGTTGAGCAAGTTCATGATACCAATTCCGTTGATTTTTTGGCAAAACGAAAGGTCGAGCTTCTTGAGCTTGATGTTATCGTAGCCGCATGCATTGGCTAGATCGTTGTGAAGAAGTTTCATTGAAAGGTTGTCAATGTCCATTTCGTTCAAGTAAAGCGTTTGAAGGTGTGGTGCGATTTGAAACACCAGGGAAAAGTCAAGAACCTCGTGGCCTGTGACAAACTGATCACGACGGAAGAAAACAAAGCGTGATTTGCCCAAATTAAGCGATGAAAGTTTGAATCCTGCGTTTGCAATCGTAAGAAGTTTGAGTAGGCCCTTTGATGACAAGGACGAGCCATAGATGTCCAAGTGCTCTAGTTCAGACAAGCATGGCAAGGAGTCCTCCTCGACATCATTCAAATTGGAGTGTCTCAGTTCGCCCTCCTCTCGGATGGTGAGACGTTTGAGTTTGAATTTTGCCTCAAAAAGTTGCAAAAGCCTCAAGAGAGTCCTTATCGGGAGCTGGTCATTTTTCTCTAAGTAGAGGCTCTCGAGCTGGTCACAGCAACTGACGAACTCCCCAAACTCATGCGTTGCATTTTTGAAATTGACTCCGACCAATGTCAACCTAGTGAGAGCTGGGAATCGGAGTTTTAAAAGCTGTGGCTGCGCAAGTGGCCTTATGTCAATGTAAGTTTCGTGATTGATATACGAAAAACCTTTGAGTGAATTCAGCGAGGTAGCAGCACTCAGTTCCAGTAGAAACTTTTTGTAAATATCGGATGTCGGTGTCAAAGTATCATATGGAATATTTGCCACTTCATCGGCCACAACAAGATCCAATTCGGTGAGCTGCGGGTATAAATGTAATAGGAGCTGAGGATTTATCAAGGGTCTATTGATCACAAACCTCAACTTTTCGATCGTGCTAAGATTTTCAAGTTTCCACTTGCATTTCTCCAATTTGTTCAAGAGAAGCTGCCAACTGAAATCTCTGTTCACAATCTCCAATTTTCGAAGTTTAAGAGTTTCATCAGACACGATGTTTTCTAAGATTCGTCCAAGATGGATTGCATCGTAAGTCGACCAGAGCTTTACTGAGCAGATAGATTTCTGGTAGGAGTATTGCGAGACCTTCTTCATAAGTTTCAAGCCGCCAAAATACTCTGGAGCGGTTACTCTGTGGCGTAGAGAGAAGACTTCGCTGTACAAGCTAGGCATTGATGTCAAGAGGGCATACCAGTCTTTGCAGACCAAATGCGAGCGGAGTAAGCTTCTGACTGGGAGGTACAGAAAGATCTGCTCAATTACATCCACAGGAAGACGCTCAAGCGGGTCCGAAGTCGACTTTGGAATATTCCTTGGTTCAAGTGCCTGTGGAGCTGACGAGGAGCGTGGAAGAGGTAACATCTCGTCAAGTTTACGCTGGAGGCCCGAGGCAGAAAAGCTCTTTGCCTTCTTTATGCTTTCTTCAGGGGTTGGTTTCTTCGATGACACCTCAGGAGCCAGCCGTTTCCGTTTGAGTTGTCGGTTGAGCTCGGCATACTTCGTTCTGAGCAGGTTGAGCAAGTTCTGGGAAATCGGCACGTCGTGCTTCTCTAGCGCCCGCTCTATCGTGTAAATGCCCCTTTGAAGCGCCTTATACGCGTCCACATCCTTGCCCTCCTTGCCCCAAAGCTTGGCTGCTCTAAGGTATCCTTTAGGGTCCAAAGGGTCCAAAGCCATGGCCTTTTGAGCGTCTTTCAACGCCCTAGGCAAATTGCCCAATTTCTCATATGTAGCGGCTCTGTGATCTAACACAGAAAGGAGTCTGGGGTGGCACGGAACCCCCATAAGTGGTCTAGGTGTGAGATTGTAGTACTTCCTGATTTTCGTGATTTCCGAGGGCAGCGTCTCCTGAAGATGCAGCACAAGCTCATTGAGCAAGCCGAGGCACCGACTGTAGTCTTTTTTCTTGAAGCGGGAGATGGCCGCCTCGATTCCGGCTTCATAGGCCTCCTCGTCCTTCTCCATTAGACGCGTTTGATTGGGGTGAGTTGTAGAATTTTGGAAAGTTGAAGGGGGACTCTGGAGGACTTATATAGTTTTTGAATATGCGGGGAAACAGTCCTAGGAAAGCCCGTGGCGGTGTTGTGGTGTGGGTTTTATGTAAAAGAGGGTGTAGTTGATATCGCACTATGGAGTACACGAGAAGCTGTTGATAGGATAAGAGAGGATTTGGGAACTGTTCTAATTTGGCGCTGATTTGGAATAGTTTATAATAAACAGAAGATGAATTGGCTGTAAATGATGTTTAATCTATTTTGTACGGTAATTTTGGGAAAGATTCTCCAACGATATATCTTCACCACACATAATAGAAATAGGTGTGAGTTCGAGTCTAGGGCTATATCACTTGTAACTAGATATAAAAAAGTTTGAATGCATTTTCGTTATAATTTGCTTTATAAAGATGATGTCAGTATTTTTTTCGATAATTGTTTATCACAGTTCACTTCGTTTACAGAGAGAGGTAAATGTCGTTTCGAGGAACCAGTTTCGCAGCCAAAATGACGTAAGACATCCCTTCAATTATTGCAAAAGTCTTGAAAATATGCCACAATTTGACAATTTGACATATCAGCTTCAAAGGTTCATCTTTACAGTAAATCATTAAATAGTAACTCTATTCCTTCTTTCCTTTGAATCCAAGGGTTTGCTGGATCTGACAAGTACTAGAAAACCCACAGCCTTAACGTTCATCCTACGAGCTTCTTGTAACTACTTTTTTTTTTTTTTTTTTGTTTGTAAAGTGGAATTATAAAAAATCTGGTGATATAATTATAAACATTCTTATCTCTACTATGCTGTCCTAGATCAACACTTAATGTTGTATCAACATTCGCATTGTGTACTCAGCGATAACTGAGGTCTACTCCATCATTCTCCAAGAAATGCCATAAATACAAAGCAACACCCATTTCACGTTTCCATGACTTTTGAAAAGAAGCCCACTCGAAATGGAAAAAATCGTTCCTCCAATCCAGCCACTCCACAGCCTCTGAAAAGTAAACGGGGCAGAAAGAACCAAAAGACAACAAAGAAGCCTGAACCAAAGAGTGATGAAAACGAATTTCCCACAGAATGGATCGGTCTTTCTCCCAAACTGGTCGATCCGAATTTCAGCGATCCACACGAGAATCACCAGGACAACATGAGTTACCTACTAAGACAAGCCATGGTAGGTTACGAGGATGCCTCCTACTTTACCCAAAACCAAGTGAAACAAATCGTGACCCAAGGCGCCTCCAAGGAGACCGTGTGCTCAGAATTGAATGACCTTCCTCATAATAGCATTACCTACAAGATGGACGTGTCAAACGTGAGTGGGATGCTGGATTATGAGATGACAGCTATTCTTCGTAGATTTGGCTGGCAGAGCTACAAGGAGGCGAAACTTAGATGGGAGGAGCTACGCCCCGACTATGTGAAGGCTTTCGGGAGACTCTCCTTAGGAAAGGAACATCCCGAAAAGCGTAATCGAGAGATGCTTTCTGAAGACAATGAACTGGAATCGAGGCCAAGAAGACTTCAAAATGACACTAGAGAAGAACTTAAAAAAGCCGCTGCAGAGGCGATTTCAAGCGTGCTCATAGGTAATGCGAGAGTGATTGGCTCCAAAGTCCACTTTCTGGGAGCGTTGGAAACAAGTTGTATCAAAACTATCTATGCCAGCCTAAGCGGAGAGGGAACCAATGATTACCTTCCACCAGAAACTGGTCAAATTACAGAGAGTATTATTCAGCTTGTTCACGAACAACAATTCGTCGATCCCCAGGATGAGTCCAGACATTTCCTGTTGCGCAAGAGCCCCAAGTCTGAAAATTTCTTATGGGTGGTTGTTCTCCATAGAAGACCATTCCCTCCCAAGATGTCGTTTAAAGATCTCCATTTGCAACCGGTGGATAGTATTACTCTGTGGGAAGAGTTGCCTCACCAAGATGATAAAACGGAGTTCTGTTATTCCAATGTCCAGATCAACCTTGTTCTGGGAAAGATTCCTCCTAAAAGAGGAACAGTGGAGGTGTACCTCACCAATCTAAAATATAACAAAGAAGATTACAGAGATTACCGTATCCTGATAGAGGAGTTTGAAGAATTCGTCAGTGCCTCACTGGTTATACCCCGAGAGGGATTATTTGAATTTGCTATTGCACACGCTGCTGCGCATGAAAAGTGGTACGAGAAATGCATCAAGAAATACTCATCTTATGCGCCTAAAAGCATTGTTCCCGATGAAGCAGAGATGAGTTGCTCGATCAAGTTCTGTGCCAAATACTGCAGCATATGTTACACCACCGATCACTCACTCGTGGAATGTAAGTTGAGGGGCTGCAGTAATTGCGGTGACAAGAGTCACCCGCGTCGGAAATGTCCTTCCAAATACGAAGGTAAAGTTTTGCCGAATTCAGCGTGTCAAAGAAGGCAAAGAGAGGGAAGAGTCAGTGCCTGACGATTTGAAAGGCTACACGAGGTAAATTGCCAAAAAAGGAGGAATAGAAAGGAAAGGCGCTCATACAAGAGAGCCGAACACTTCAACAAAAATGATTGCACCGGAAGGTGACTTTTGTCCATTCTATTTCATAATATTGTACATAGTGCACCGGCTGGGTGTATTCTAGTCATCACAAAATCTGGCTAGCAATAGCTAGCAATTACTCAAATCCCTTTAGCTTGTAAATAAAAGTGTGAGGAATCAAGGAGGGCAAAATTGCATTGCAAAACCAACTGTCACAGAAGGTGTAATGGGGACTTGAAGATCGAGTCGCAGATGGAGTGTCGTTCAACCCAAGATTATCTCGTATTCTTGATCAGACAGCAAATTCTGGAATTGATCTTGTTTTTGTTTGTCACTAGGAGATTGCTGGGGTATTTTTTTCAGTAATTTTTTGTAACCTCGTTCGGCTGCTACAGACGCATTTGATCTTCTGTGGGTAATGCCATTCGCACCCAAAATGCAAGTAGAGGTGGATTACTGGGTTACATCTATGACAATACCAACGAAGCATATCAGAGCACAAATTCGTATTGTCTTTCTATGTTGATGAGTATTATTCATTACCAATATAATTTCAAGTTCGTCAATTGTGTTTAGTTTTACATAAACGTCATAGGATCTCACAATAGTACCATCAATTCACTAGGGGAAGCATTACCAATAATTATAAGAAGTTACACGGTTACAGAGACTTAGCTCACAGACCAATACACAGTTTACTCAATGCCTTCAGATTCAAGAGTGAGGAATCTCATCCACTGTTTTGAAGAATACACCCATTGGCCCAGTAACTATCGATCAGATTCAACAGACCATACCGGCTTAGAGAGGTGGGAAAAAATTAGCGAAAAAAATATGACAGGATTCTTGGAGAAGCAAAAATTTAATCAATTTAATTCCGCCTCGAAAAGTCCCAATGCCGTAGAATCTCACCTCGCATCCCACAGGGTCCGACACCGATCTAAGCCATCAGCGAGATCTAGTGACAAATTGGCCACAACCCAATCAAGTTTTCAATTTCTCCAATTCACGTCCAGTCATCTCCGAAAAACAAACTCATCAAAAATCAAAAAAATCCACCAATTCCAAAATCCCAATTCCAAACAATGCCCCAATTTCCATAACCTCAATGGCATACCGGCTCGGTACCTCACTAGCCACCTGCAAGCCGACCCCATCATTCGACCACACCAGGCAACAAATCGAAACCAATTTCAAAATCACAATAATCCGAGAACACTGGGATCAGTTGCATCAAATTCAAAACAAATCAAAATGAAAAATAAATCAAAAATGCAAAGCACAATCCAAAAATGAAAAATCCAGGGTCTTGGCGGATCGCACTATATCTACACACCGATTCCCACCTCGCGTTTCTCAGACCAACCACTTCTTTTTCCTAAATGCCCGAGCTCCTTGTGCTCTTTCTCTTGGCGGTGTTCATGGCAGCCACGCTGTTTGCAGCAGGGTTCCTTCCGTGGAAGTTTGGCTTGCCGCTTCACCAGCTCGATCTGGTTATTGTCGCCAGTATGGGCATTTTGGTGGGCACCGTGTTGGTTTTGGTGATTCCAGAGGGCGCCGAGACGATCTTCGAGGGACGTGGCGCAGGGCCTCACATTTTGCTGACGTCGACCGTCGCAGGCACCTCGCTCTTGGTCGGCTTCATGTTGATGTTCTTTGTCGACCAGTACACGGTGGTGAAAGACTCCAGTCCGTCCCAGTACTCGGACGAAAGCTCCTGGAAGGCCCGCCTCGAGAGCACCTTGCACTCCACCTTGACAATTGGCCTCATTCTTCACAGCTGCGTCGACGGCATCGCCTTGGGACTGTCGTTTTTCCACGAAAACTCCTTCCACATGTTCTTGTTCTTCATGATCATCATCCACAAGCTCCCCACGGCCTTCAGCTTGGCCGTGGTGCTCCACACAGAGGGCTTTTCCCAGAACGTGGTCAACTTCCACCTCCTCTTGTTTGCCTTGTCCACGCCCACCTCCTCCCTACTCACCTACGGCATCATCTCCACCTTCCACTTGGACTCGCCCTTGGTCTTGGGCATCTTGCTTCTATTTAGCGGCGGCACCTTCTTGTACTCCGTGATCCACGTCATGATGGAGGTCTTGGAGCGCAAGGGTAAGGACATCGAGTCCGCCAAGCCCCAGGCCCAGGCCTTTTCCTCCACCGAGTTGATCTTGACCGTCGGCGGCATGGTCCTTCCGATTCTCTTCTCCGTCGCCGGCGCACATTAATTATGATTTATGAGACTTATGCTTTGTCCCTAGGACACAAATTTACCTGAAACAATCGACCCTGATCATCGACCCTAGGGTCCCTTCCTTCATTCACAGGGAAAGAACTCCCCCTCGGAATCCTCCTCGAGCCGCTCCTCGCCTTCCTTCTTGCCGTCGTCGATTTCCGTGTCGGCATCGTTGTCCGACAGAACCTGTCCGCTGGCGTCCTTTGACTGGCCAGAATCGCTGACTTCCTTATCAAAGACAGGCGCTTTGTTGAGCGGAGTGGGCGTTGTAGCGCCATTGCTGCGGTCGAAATATGCCTGGTTACCAGCAGGTCCCAGAAGCGACCGGGTGTGGTGACGCTGGCGCATCGACAGCATCCGGGTCTTCGACATCAGCCTCCGCAAGTCAGGCAGATTGAGCGTCTTCATCAGCTCAATCATCTCGTTGTCGTAGCCAAGCTGCATGAACGCCTGGCTGGTTTGGGGGCTATACGACGTCAGGTTCTCCCTCAGCCTGTTGAGAGTCAAGTACGTGCTGCTTCCAGTGGTTCCCAGTGACCGAGGAAGATTGGCTTTCTCTCTGTTCTCCTGGCTTCGTACCCGCTCAAGCTTCTTGCCGGACGTGGAGTACAACGAGGCCTTGTCGGAGTCAAAGTAATGGACAGACTTGTCGTCTTTGGGGCTGCTGCGGAGCTTGATGGGGCTCTGTGGAACAGAGTCTCCACTGACCTGGAAATTGCCCGAGCTGAGCGCCTTACGAATCGTGCGACCGTTTTGGTGCTCGTCGAACGAGGAATCATAGCCTTCGATGGAAGGAATTGCAAGCTCCTGTCCCGCAGAAGGCTCGCTGCCAACGCCTCGATCGAGGTTCCGGTTCATAGACAGTAATGAAGTCGTTGACTTGCCTTTCAAGATGCCCTTACCCTTGCCATTGAACATCGAGGTAAACCTGTCTCGTTTTTTTTGCCTGGGTACTCTCTCCTTGGGTGTGTAGATGCTGGCATTAGTGGTGGTATTGTGTCTTCTGATTTGTGGAAGCTCTGGGCCCTGTCTCTCCTCATCTCTAGGTTCTTTGTTGAACACCGGGTAGCTGATGAGGTAGGAATTCATTTCACCGTTCTTCAACATATCCGAATTGCTAGGGTTCATGGATGTGCTATTGTAGGTGATCCTGTTGTTGGAAGATGCAATAACCCGACCACGAAGCCTGGTGATGGCCTTGTCTAGATGAAATTCAACTCCACAGTGGTTATTTATACGGCTGATTCTGGGCCAGCACGCACGGGCTCCTCTGAGAAGGAAGTCGAGCAAAAACTCGGGCTTGGGGTTCTCAAAAACCTTGGGGAAGTCAGAGAAATTAAGTTCTGGCAAGATGGTGATGTCTCCAGAGTACTGCTGGGATAACAAGGATATAGCCTTCATGGCCAAGTTCTTCGAGACATCCATTTCGTGGATGATCTGGAGGTAGTGGATGATCTCGCAGGCAATGAAGTCGTAGCAGTTATTGAGCACGTTTCTGACGGCGTCACTGAATTCGTTCTCGACGTTTCCAGACGCAGCACCCACGGAAAGTCGGAGAATGGGAGAGACATGGGGGTTGATCTGGACAGCAATGATATGGTCAACATTGAACATCTCCGACAAACGCAAGATTGGGAGATCACCGTCCACGGAGCCGTCGACGTACTTCAGCGAGACATCGTTGTTCCACTCGCGGATCTCTCCAGTTCTGGGGTTTTTCTCGTAAATGGAGGACGAAGGGAAAATGCCTGGAAGGGAACAAGATGCACTCACAGCAGACCAGATCAAGCAGTTCGGCGCCGAGAGATAGTTCAAAAGTCTGGTTTGCTCGTGCATGGAGGCAGGCGAGACCGTGATGTTAAGGATCTTGCCTGTTCTGTTGTAGGCTTCCCGAAATGTCAAATCACCCACAAACTCACGCATTGACTCCTGAAGGCCCTTGATATCGAAAAACGTGCCAAATTTGAGCATGTGGCTGACCCGCTCCAAGAAACGCTTGAAGGTTCCCTCTTTTGGGTCCAGCGAACCGAAGATATTGAGTTTCTGCTCGGTTATCAGCGACAACAACTCGGTCAACTCGTCGTTTGTGTTGCAGCACAACATACTGGCAAAAATAGAGCCCGAAGAAGAGCCCAGAATGATCCTGGGCATCAAGTTCGTCTCCAAAAGCGCAATCAACACACCAATGTGGGAAACGCCAAACGTCGAACCACCCGAGAGCAAAAGCGCCGTTCGTCCGATGTTCTTACGCGTCTGGATCAACATGCCAAGGAGGTATCTGTCGTCGAGGTTGACGTCCGGGTCGCTGGTCAAAAAGTCTAGCGAAAGCTGGCACTCTTCAATGAACTCCTCAATAAGCTTCTTGGTGCCAACGTGAGAATGGCGGAACAAGTTGATGTCGCCCATGTTGCCGACGTTTCTGGTCCATTTTGTCCGGATCAAGTACAACAAGAGGTTGTAGTCCTTCAGCAAACGGGCGTTTCTGAGCTCCTGGAGGTTCTTGTACACGGTATCGTTGTCGTAGTAGGGCAGCTGGGGGTCCAACTTCCACACGTTGTTTCCCAAGAGCTCGTCCAACTCGGCCAGGATCGCGTACCACTCCTTGAACGTCACGGCTGTTTTCTGCTGGTGTCTGAGTTTTTCTATGAGCTCTTTCTTGTGGTCCACTGCTGGAACGACTTTTCCCACTATTGGCACGAGCCGAAGCGCCAGAAGAGCCTTATTTCTCATGGAGGTACGGGAGTCGAAGCCGTGGTCGGGGTCCTTGGGCCGGAGCTGGGGGTTCTGTGTTAAAATGCTCTGGATGATTTCGGCATGACCGGATACGGCTGTTTCAGCCATGCTGGAAGGGGATGTTTTGGAGATGTTTTGGTTGGGAATTAGGGATTAGGGGTGGGGCGCGTTTGCCAAAGCGTATGGGACTTTTTTTATTTTTTGGATATTCGTTTCTGGTGAGCTGGGGGACGGTGCCTTTTTATAGTTGTAGTTGATGTTTCTGGATGAGTCGCACATGCGCTCGATGGATTAGGAGGATCTCGGGCAACGGCGTGAATGCAGGTGAGATCTGGAAAACGTGCCTCTTTGGGGAGAAAGAGAAATTGGTTTTTTATGTTTTGTTGACTTTTGCGTGATTTTGATGTTTTTGTTGGTGGGTTTGGCGTTTTGTGGTCTGTTGGCTGAGCCGCTTGCTGGCTGCAAGACGCACTTCCCCATATTTCGTGAATACGAGGGGGACGGGGGAGGAAAATAATAACAAAGGGGAAGAAGACGATAAAAGAAGACGATGAAGGATTTAAAGATGATTTGAGAATCCATTGTTCTGAAATTGCGATAAGTGTGGTTACTCAGAAGTTGGAAACCATCCGAGGATCAGCCGAGGATGAGATCTGGAATCATCACATATGAGTTACAGCAGAAAGTCACTTTTTTTGTCCACCCCCTTTTCCTCAATATCGCCGTTTCTAAGCTACCACAGGCACCAAGAACGGCTGATGTTTACACTTTGTGCGATGACCTGGGGTAACAATAGCACCATTCTGAGAAGATGAACAATGGCTGATGATCTGGCACCCGAGGCGTGGGGTGGAACGGCTGGATTGGGAAAAATCAGGAGGGGTGGGAAGTAGTGGAGGGCAACGGAAGGGTGAATTTGATGCGATGGGGAGGTGGAAGGGAGGTTAAAGAGATGGGGATATGGTTGTCAGTTGATATGAGTTTCGAGGAAACAGATGATGCAATCTGACTTTTTGACGGACGTTTAAATTCTGAAGTGACGATGTAAAACCAATAGGTGCTAAAAGTGTATTTGTAGGTATTGATGTAAATTGGTTGTAGCATGGCAGATGTACTCAAGCACCGCTATTTCCTTGCAGTCATCCGAAAGTTTTTGAGTCAAGCTAATTAAACGAACTATAAATATAGAGTATAGAGATAGCCTTTAGAAATAGACTTTGGAGTGATGAGGCTCGCAATGTCAGCAATGGTGCTCTTAATAGCTTCTCAGCCTAGGACCAGGATGCGAGTGATGGTTTTGAAGATACCACTCACTTACGGCTGCTATTAGTTCATATGCAAGGCAACGTCAATGTGAAGAGAAATTCAATCAAATATGGCCCTTAAGATTCCTCCAGATTCTCACCCACTAGAACCCTGACACATCCATCGACAGACCTATTTTTATCCACACCAGTGCGGCAGCTCCAGAGCCACACTCGCTATTAAAAGGCTCCATTCTCTTCGAAATCGAATAAGCCTCTGGCGTCCCCCGCCTACAACCACCTCATCATATTCTCATTAACTATCCACTCGGCTAGGTGCTGCGGCTATCGCGCCGCAGCTAAGCCGCGTCTTGACAGCTTCGCTTGCAGCTTTTTGCGCTTTTTGCAGCCATCAGAACCACGAAAAGATCGACTTCAAAACACTGAGAAGCACGCTCCAAATACTGAATCCTCCACTCAGACTCGTGTCCACAGGAATCAGGTTATTTCCCCAGAGCGTCATGCTGCTGTTGGTGAGTCCGTCCACAGTATAGTTCACAGGCCTGTAATAAGTAGGACCCTCATAAACAGAACCATCCCAGCAGTACTTCTCAAAACAACGCTGACACTCTTCGCTCTGCTCAACACCCTGGCGCTCCTGGTCTCTTCTGACCAACGCACAAGCCACACACGTGCCCCAGGAAGCGTCCACAGTGCCGTTCATCTGAGAAGCTATATCGTAGCCGTTTTGGATGGTAGCTTTTTTCTCGTCATCAGGCCATGTCAATTGGAGCGTGCTCTGATTGGAAAAGAACTCAAACGGACGGTTGGCAAGGTAGATCACGAGCGGCGGCACGACATCGTCTTTGACGAGATCCGTCTGGTTTTTAGCGTCACATCCAAAGAAAACAGGACGAGCGGTGAAATTGTGAGCCAAAAAGGTGTCTTCTCCGGGGACCCAAGGGCAAATGGTGGACTGGCCCTCGTAGGTCTGAGAACGACGAAAAGCGTTGAC